GGGGGGTTCGAAAACAAGGGCAAGGGCAAGGGTTAGGAATATTTTAGGTTTGGAATATAATTAACATTAATAATTACTTACATAATAAAAAAAAAGATTAAAAAATAGATATAAAGAATTAATATGAATTGGTGACAAGTATTACAATAAAGATATATATATAAATATAAATAAATATAAATATTTGTTATATGTATGTATATAAAGTAATGTTATTATGCTTCAACTCTCACCAAAGTTGGACTTAAGCTTGAGTCCTCTTCCATTCCAGTTCCAAAACACACTCACACTTACAAAGATAGAGACATTGTCATTGAAATAGAGAGATCTAACTCTGAACTAAATAGGCAAGTTCACCTCAAAAGTGTGTGTGGTTGTTGGGGGACTTGGGGTTGGTCCAAAAGGCCCATGTGTGTGGACCCACTTGCCTAAAAAGTAGTAGTTTCTGTTGTCCAGACAAAACACCCACAAAGTAAGTAGTAGACTATTCGATTCGATTCGATACATTACTTGTGAAGGGCAAGGCTGGGTTCGAGAGGCGAGAGAGGTGACCCAGTCAAGATAAGTTCAGCTGGAATCTAAAGGGTCGGTTGGTAAGATCACCACCTTTGTTTTGGAAGTTTGGGCAGGTATGGTGGCCTAGGTTGAGGCTGGGTCTGGGCCCAGGAATAGTACTGGAAGGGTCAACACTCCATATGGTTGTCGACTGAGTACTATCTGTCCCGATATTGTTCAAGGCCTTGCGATGACAAACTACATCAACAAGATGATTCGTCAAATAAATATCGGATATGGATCACGGTCAACCGTTGATTTGTAATGTGAGCGCTACACAAGCATGTTGCCTGTGTAGGTTATGTTAAGTTAAGAGTGTTCATTGTCGTTTCCAATCATTCAATCTCAACCGGATTTGTTTGTTGGCGGTGGCTGTGATTCTGATTGAGTGGCTTTGGCGTTATTATCTTTGTTATCCATGTACAACAATGTGTTGGCTATTAATTGTTTGGTCTGTTCGTAGATTGTAAAGGAGAGTGATGCGGCCATACCGGCCTTCAGTATGGATGGCACACCACCTTTGTAGAAGGCTTGCCAACCCTCTTCGCTGTACATCCTCTTCACACATTGGCCAAGGGTCACATGGGTGGGCTGCACCTGCAGTCGCTTCTTGACCACATCGAATGGCAACACGATGAACTTGGAAACAGCACCGGATGTTGCGCCACACAGCAGTTGGCCGCGGGCATCCTGCGACACCTCCAACTCGGTTCGTTCTTGATTATGTCGTAGCGCGATAAAATGTACATAGGTGCGCCGGAACCATTCATACGTGGCAAACTGAAGGGATATCTGCGGGATGATCTGAAGCAATGACGAGGACAGGCCTTTGTAGTAGCCAGCCACGCCGTCGGCGGCGAGGATCGACCGCGCCACCTTGGGAATGGTCGTGTGTTGATGATGAGAGATGATGTTGGTGCGCACTGTGTCAAAGGGATAGGAGAGTGCCGTTGCGAGTATACCCGACACGCCACCGGCAACCAGTGCCACGGGCGTCGGAGGTGAATAGTGCTTGTGGTCCGTCTCGGCCTGCGTGTAGTTGGGGCCGTCCAGACTGCGCAGCAGGTGGTGGTAGAGCGAGAACTGTGCCGCGGCGTAGCTGACCCACAGCACCTCGGCTATCAGATTGCCCTTCCATAGTGCTCGCAGTCCTTCATCGTGAGTTATCTTTAATGCCGTCTGAACAACACCACGATACTGTAGAGTGTTGCGGGCAGTGTTTCTCGGAGCATTCTGTAACTGAAGTCTTATCTTTATAACATCTAGCGGGGCGACAAAAGCACGAGTCAGTGCTCCTGACATTGAACCAGATGCCATATCAATCCAATGTGAGTGTTTATGTTTCTTCTCATTCTTTGTCATATCTATTATTATTATTATTATTCTTATAACTGTTTCCACTAATTATGTTTGGTAACTTGAGTCATTACATGTATATATATATATATACATCGAGTTATTCATTCATCGCGATGATGTGTTGTTGAAGTTGAACACCACGCCCATTCAATCCCCAACACGAACAAACAAAGTTAAAAGTGTGTGTTGGGACTTGTGTTGAGATCATTCACTCAACATCTTCAATGATAAAGATAAAAGATAAAGATATAATAATAAAGACAGATATGTGATCAATAAGTGATACGTGTGACCCGAGTCAGGGACTACCAGAGGTAAACAAAGATTGATTGATTGATTGATTGATTGATTGATGTTACCTATTTTGGTAGGTGATCGCATAATGGAGACACAGAAGCTTTGGACTCTTAAATTGTACATGGACAATCCCGGGATGTACATTCAATCACGAAACGATGATGTCCTGGACATGAACCATTACTCTTTAAATAGAACAATGTAAAGGGGATGGACCAACCACCACATAATCCACATCAGGTGATGTCACGCTAGGACATCGCGAATGGGACCCACCTTACTAAGTACAATCTAGCTTGTGCTCAATCACATCGATACACAACACAGTGTTGTTGCGTGATCAACATTGCTAAAAATAAGAGTGAGTTTTTGTTGAATTAATTTTGTCGTTACACGACAATAAATGTGTTTGTTGCGTTGCATCTGGATGAAGGCGCTTTTTTGAAACAATGAACAAACACACAAAGTGCTAAGGTAAATTCATTCAAACTAAAGTTATTCTTTGTCGTTTAATACAAATATACACACATATATAATATTTCATAATCATGGGAAATCTATGCGGAAAAGAACAAAAGGAGGCACCACCAAAGGGAGAAAGAGTTAATCCTGCTCCAGTCGCTGCCAGAGCTGCACCAGCACCAGCTGCCGCAGTTGGTGGTAGTGCACCAGCACCTGCCCCAGGCGCAGCAGCCAAAGCTCCCAAGCAAAAGGTTGCCCCAGCCACAACCACAACCACAACCACATCCACAGCTGGAGCATCATCATCATCGTCCTCAAGCAGCGGCCCAACGACCAAGTCGATAAAGGTGGACAAGGAGCTGCACAAGTATATCATTGGAACAAAGGGCGCAACTATCAAGGAGATTAGAGATGCCACCGGCACCACCATCGATGTTGGTCAGGACGGCGGCGACAATGTCAGCGTGAGCGGCCCCTCGGAGCGCGCCGTCGACGACGCCATTGCCCGCATCCAAGACGTCACCTCGCAGCACAAGACCCAAGCACAGCGCGACCAGGAGCACAAGCAGATGCGCGACGCACATGAAGCCGAGAGCCAGAGGACCGACGCCATGTACCAGAAGTACCAGGCTGAGATCGACCAATACGAGAAGAGACGTCAAGACCTCTCGGCCGAGGCCGACAAGGAGTACAACGCCGGCAACAAAGATCGCGCAAGAGAGCTTCGCGAGGAGGCCAAGAAGCAACTCACCCTCCGTGACGAGGCTCAGACCAAGGCCAGCCGAGCAATCTTTAACGACAAGTATGTCCCACTCATTCATTCATTCACTCGCGCAATCATACTAACATTCACTCGCGCAACAAACTTTATAGGAACTCTAAGCTCGACCCATTCACAGTGGATCTGCATGGACTGCAGACAAAGTATGCATTGGAGTTTATGGATGAGAGGATGGACAGTCTGAGGAAGCAAGGCAACAAGGGCAAGCAGTTCACCATTATCACTGGTGCTGGCAATCACTCTGATGAGAATGGTCCAAAGATCAAACCATTAATTCAAAAGACTTTGAAGGAGCGTAACATCGCCTTTGAGGAGGTGAACAATGGTTCAATCACCTGTACACTTTAAAAAAGTAGTTTAGTAATAATAATATATTAATAAAGTCGATCAATCAATCAATCAATCAAACAATCTTTCATTCATTCTCAAAGTCTTCCGATGGGCTTAGGTCGTGGACTCTGCCCCCAGGTCCCATTAATCATCGATGTCCTGTATCCAATTCCCATTCCCATTCCCAAATAAACAATGTTATTGTTTGTTTGGTATAAGGTATTGCACCGATAACCCCCAATACATGAAATGATGATCAACTATTCATTCATTCATGGATACTTTAAGTGTGTGTTATTTGGGGTCATTTGCCCAATAAAGGTGGTCGTTCCCAAATTGAGAAAGTAATGATGAATGTGACAACCATCCCACTTCAAACATCAAAGTAAGCATTCATGAACCATGGTTCATCCCATCTTCTTGTTTCATTTCAAATGTTTATTTATAAATTATAATAGATATATATATAACTTTCAATCCTATCTCTAGATAAACATATATGCCGTTTCAATACTTGATGTATGTATGATTGACCTCGATTGACTTGATTGACTCGATAGATTGAAGTACTTACTTACATGTTATGAAATAGAAGCTAGATTAATTGATTGATTAATTGATTAAGATAACATAACGAAGAAAGAACCAACAAACAATTATAATCATATTCAATAAGAACTATCTCTCAGATGAGTATATATAAAGATACAAGGAAAAAGTCATCAACAACATGCCTCAACCTAGTAAAAGCAATAATAATACAACGTCGACGAATACAACCAACAGTGGAACAAACGAGAAGACTCAACCAATACAGATAAAACAAGGCCAAGGTCAAGGACTAGGACTAGGACAACACGTATCTGGATCTGGTACTACACACAACATGGTGGATGAACTGCTGTCTGATGAGGAGGAGCTGCTGATGATGGACGCTACGGCAGCAAGCAAGAAGGCGGCGGCCAGCAAGAAGACTGAGAAGAAGAAGCAGAAGAAGAAGGAGAAGGAGGCATTGCTGAAACGATTGGCAGAGGACCAGCAGACTGAGCTGGAGGCGCTAAGTGCCATCTTCCAGGACGACTTTGTCTCACTGCCTGCGCCATCCTTCTCCAACGAGACGTTCAAGTTCCAGATCACCGTACGACCATTCTTTGGTGAGCCCGGCGATCAAGAATGCTTCGTCATCGTTTGTATAACATTTGGCTTCGTGCCACTCTACCCCACAACTGCGCCAAACATAACAGTTGGCGTTATCAAGGGTCTTCCAATCGTAAGTCATTCATTCATTCACTCAATCAATCACTCGCTCACTCACTCCATTCGATCAATCAATCAATTTAGAAGGATGCAACTGAACTTGAACAACTACTTCACGAAGAGGCCAACAGTAAGCTGGATAATCAGATGGTGTTTGATCTGTGTGGCTTTGCAAGGGAGTTCCTGGCAAAGCACAATCACAAACCATCGGCAAAGTCATTCCACGAGCAGATGGTCGAGCAACAGCAGGAGCAAGAGCGTCTGAAGAAGGAGGCCATCGCCTCCAAGAAGCTGAAGCAACAGCAGCAGCTAAAGGATGGCGGTGGCTCAGGCTCGGCCAGCAGTGCGCACAATGAATGGCAGTCGACGCTGGAGGACAACAACCTCAAAGAGGATCGCAAGAACTTCCGTCTGCAAAAGAGCATCGAGCGTGCACAATGGGAGAAGGAGAAGAAGCGCGAGTTGGTCACACAGTACACCACCGATCCCAAGCGTACAGGGGGTGATACCATGGCCCAACAACAACAACAACATCAACAGCAACAACAGCAACAGACGGGCTCCACTGGCAAGTCAACACACAAGCAACATCAATCAGCAGCCGACAAGTTCATTGACAAACAGCAGACATTCATTATATATCTCTTGCGTATGCTGTGTCAGAATGACATCAGCGCATCACTCGACCAGATCAAGCTTCTGGGCACACAGTTGACAAGCATGGGCATCATCTCGCCCACGCATCTGTCGCTGCTCAACATCAACAACTCCAACTCGAACCAGATCTACCAGCAGATCTTCCACGAGTACTTCACCAAGTCGATCGCATCCGAGGGCGTCAAGCGCCCACCACCCGGTTCGTTCGTCGAGCGCTTCTGGTTGGGCGGCGGTGGCGCGGGCACCAGCGGCCTGCAGAAGGAGCTGCTCTCGCAGCAACAGCAACAGCAACAACAGCAAAACAGTCAGCGCGCGGACATTGACGAGGTGGTCATGCCCACGGCCTACAATCCCAATGTACAGACGTCGCGATATCATGGCGACTTTGAGGAGATTCAGCTGCTGGGCCGCGGAGGATTCGGCCAAGTGGTCAAGGTGAGGAACAGACTGGACGGTCGCTTCTACGCCATCAAGAAGATCAAGCTGGATCGCGATCAAACACTCAACAAGCGCATTCTTCGCGAGGTCATCACTCTGTCGCGATTGCATCACCAACACGTTGTGCGCTACTATCAAGCCTGGATCGAGGGTGCCGAGAGCTTGAACACAGAGACCAAGTTGCCAGGTCTCGAGGGCGAGGAAGGCGACGAGGAGGATTCACTCTCGGACGAAGAAGAGGACGACTCTGAGATGTCTGAGGAGGAGGATGACGAGGACCAAGACGACGATGAAGAGTCCTCCGAGAGTTCAAGCAACAATGACAGCGATGATGATGACACGAGTGAGTCCGAGGAGGAGGACTTTAGCTTCTCCGAGAACATCCTTTTCCAGAAGCAGTCGCTGGACTGCTTTGACCTGACCGAGGAGAGCTACTCATTCCTTCACTCGGACTCGGGCTACCTGGCGGACGTGTTTGACCTGAATAAGGGCACGACCAGCTTCAGCACCAGCAACAGACGAGGCGGCCGCTCGGCATCGGGCAGCACCGCCAGTGGATCACGCAGCGATGGACACAAGAAGGGCAAGAAGGGTAAGAAGGCCGGACAAGGACGCCTGAGTGCCAAGGAGCGCAAGAAGCAAGAGAAGAAGAAGAAGAAGGAACAGCGCCGTCGCAAATCGGCCTACCTCTACATTCAGATGGAGTACTGTCAGAAGATCCTGCGCAATCTCACAGAAAGCGGCATCAGCTCTAACGACGACGACATTTGGAAGTTGTTCCGACAGATCGTCGAGGGCATGGCCTATGTGCATAGCCAGGGCATCATCCACAGAGACCTCAAGCCAAGCAACATCTTCTTTGACAGCTGTGGCGACATCAAGATTGGAGACTTTGGCCTGGCCACCAACAAGACCTCGACCTCATCCTCGACGACCAAAATGTCATCTTCCACTCAATCACTCAACACATCGTCGACTTCAACCACCAGCTCATCAATGTCCTCGTCAAACAAGGCCAATCTCTGGGAGTCGCTCGAGGAGCAAGAGAACGACTTCTCCTTCGACGCAGTCGACCAGCACACAGCGCGAGTGGGCACGCTCTTCTACACTAGCCCAGAGCAAGAGTCTGGCGTGTGCGAAGGCGAGGGCTCCTACGACGACAAAGTCGACATGTACAGTTTGGGCATCGTCTTCTTTGAGATGTGGTACGTTTTCTCGACTGGCCACGAGCGTGTGGCTGTACTGCGCGATCTCCGTGACCGTGGCATCTTCCCCAAGGACTTTGAGCGATCACACCCTCGCCAATCCAAGCTCATCCGCTGGCTGACGGAGCACGATCCTGCCAAGCGACCCAGCGCGCAGGATCTGCTTCAGAGCGAATTGATGCCGCCCAAGATGGAGGACGAGTACGTTGAGAACTCGATCCGTGTCATCACCAACCCCACAACACAGTTCTACCAACACATGCTCAACTCGCTCTTCTCCCCCAATCACCAACACCTCCACGCGCACATCTACCACCAGCAGCTCAACCAGCAGCGAACATCGACACTTTACGCCCTGGACGAGTTTAGCATTCGCGAGACTGTCAACGACATCATCGTGGCCATCTTCCGCAAGCACAATGCCAATGTGCTTCCCACGCCCACAATGAACATTGCCAAGAACTGGGAGGATGATTCGTCCAGCAGTTCGACCAAGTCACTCGCGGCCAACAAGACTAGCCCAGTGTCAAGGCAGGCAACATCGACAACAACGACGACGACATCCAACTCACAGCCAAAGACAAAGTCTGCGCGATCAATCATCATGGACGACAGTGGACAGTTGTTTGAGATGCGCTTCGATCTGCGCACATCATTTGCCGAGCACCTGGCACAGCAGTTTGCCAACACATTCAATCCGATTGGCGCGGGCGATAGTATATTACTGGCGTCGCGTGGCCTTGGCGAGGAGGACGTCGACGAGAACGGCACCCCACTGGTGCCCAACAAGGAGCTCACATCATTTGAAGATCTCATTGAGTACTTCTCACACACGCCTCTCAAGAGATATGAGGTGGCCACAGTCTTCCGCCGCCCACACCTCGTTGGCAAGATACCCAAAGAGATCTCGCAATGCTGCTTTGACATTGTTGGTTCGACGTCGATGCTGTCGGATGCTGAGGTAATCAAGGTGGCCTGCGAGGTGTTTGACGCACTGCCCTCTGTCAACAACTATGTAATCAGACTGAATCACACTGGAATCGTGGAGCACATGTGGCGCATTGTTGGCATCAGCGACATGAAGCAGCGCGATGAAATTGGCATTGTCCTGTCACAGTTGTTGCGCAACCCATGGTCATCAGTGCGCAAGGTGTTGCTCGACCGTCTTCAGATGTCACCCAAACAGGTCGAACGACTGGCCAACTGGATCCTGGTCAAGGGCAGCATGGCGGACGTGATCAAGAAACTGGAGGCAACCGGCAACAACTCGAACACTGGTTTCCTCACGGCATCTCAGACCAACATGCGAATCAGTGCATCATTCACTGACTATCTGGACGACATGCGCTCGTTACAGACCTATCTAGACAAGTTTGGCATCACCAACAAGGTGTCATTTGACCTGGGTCTGGTGTTCTGCGAAAACTTCTACAGCGACGTGATGTTCCAGGTGCTGATCAGGGACGAGGCAGGCCGCTTTGAGTGTGCCGCTGTCGGTGGACGCTACGACCGAACAGTGTCCAAGCTCATTCCACAGCTGAACCCATCGATCAAGAAGCTGCCCGCAGAGGAGGCGCCCAACGTGCCCGTGGTCGGTCTGTCCATTGCGCTGGACAAGATCTACAACAAGGAGAAGGAGTACAGCCACTCGCAGCTGGAGCAGGCTGCGCCACAGATCCAGAGCAGCCAGACGCCACTCTGTCGCTACGCGCATCCAGAGATATTCATTTGTTGCCTTGGCCAGAATCTGTTCCCGGAGAAGATTAGTATATTGTCAGACTTGTGGAGTGCTGGATTCCGCGTAGAGACTGTCTACAAAGAGTCCTCGTCCGCTGAGCAGCAGACAGAGTTGGCCACGAGCAGTGGCGCCGCATTCCACGTGGTACTGAAAGAGAAGGGTAACAAGAAGATCATCAAGGTGAAGAATGTGGAAAAGAAAAAGGAGGACGACATCTCAAGAGAAGACTTGGTAAAGTTCCTCTCCAACAACATTGCATCCATTCGAATAAGGAATAGCAGCAAACAAACATTGTAGAATAATTATAAAAAAACACAAACAAATGGCCCATCCTTTTGGACTCTTACTCCACCTCCTCCTGAGAGTTGTACTAGTAGCAGTAGGCTGTGGCCACTGTGGTGGTCATATTTGATGTGAGGTAGGACGACCTTGAAGGTAATTTCTTCCGACATACATTCCATTGATGACGATAATGAAGAATAACGAATAACGAATAACTAATAACGATTGCCAATATTGTTGTGTTGATTGAGTGATGGAGGGTTGGCATCGACACAATCTAACCCAAATACACACTCGCACGAGTGTGAAGGGTGATGGTCACCAGTGGGTTCAAAGGGTGGATACTTGAGTGTAAGTGTGTGTGTGTATTTGTGAGCATCATGAATCAAATATTACTACTATTATCACAACCATGTACAAATTGTAAGCCGGCCGGCCGGCCAGCCGGATGAATGAATCTTACCATCTTGCTAGAGTCATGATCTGACCCTTACCTCCCCACCCTACCCCTCACCTGCCCATCCATGCCAATGCAAATGGCTGCCAATTAATCAATCTACCAATCTATCAATCAATAAAAGAAACAAGCAATTGGTACATCCCCCTCCCTACTTGGGTAATAGCTTTTGCTTCTACAACTTCCATTATCGCGACCACCATCACCTCAACAACATTCTAAACAACTATATACGTACGGCGACAATAACTCTAACTCTAATCTAAAAATAACTTCCTACTACTACATTAGTAATAACAAGATGTCAATAACAATAACATTTGGTGAATCATTAAATATCTGGAGATGGTTCAATTTCAAGACCGCTACACTTTTGATGATGTTGTTGACATTAAACCTGCTGTGCTGGTCATCGTCCAATGTGATGGCATCAACCTCTATCAAGATTGACACCCATGCGACCGAACAGGGTGTCGGCCTTGACCCACCTTCGTCCCCATCAAGAGCTAAAATAACCATGCGTTCAGGGAACGCGGTCGATGGTGATCCTCCAGCGAGCAAGATCTGGACCACCGAGGGGGAAGCCGATCCGACGTCCTACTGCCCTACCAAAGGCATCCCCAGGACATGCGAAGCAATATGTGCGAGCTACCGTCCGTGTCCCGACAATGATCTGTGTTGTCCAACGGAATGCGGTGGAACATATTGTTGGCGCCAACAACATTCGGCGACCCCTGATTCAAGCCCTGAGATCGTCGTTCGAACCCCCGCGCGCCGGTCGACACCCAACCACCACCTCGACCACCACCTCGACTCTTAAGAGTCATTCCCTTTGCAGCATTCATGCATGGTCGATATAATAATGCAAGATTGAATCAATTCAATGGAATGAATGAAATGAGTGAGTATAATTTATTGATCAGGGGGTGTATGTGTCAGTCAGTGTAGGAGTGTGATTGAACGATGGATGAGTGTGTTAGTTTAATGGGGGGAGTCTTCCCGACCAACCCAGAGTATACTCCAAATGCGTACTTTTGTACCAGCGGAAAGGGCAATAACTTCCCGCGTTGCGCAATAAATGCATTAGATGTAACCTGTACTCTTGACTTATTGATAGAACCCCCGCGCACCCTTATTAATCCCATCACCGCCAGTCATGATTGATCAATGCAAAGGTGTACTCACGTCCCTCAGCGCATCCAATTTTAATTGTTGTAAGTGTAGACTGACTCTCGCCATCAACATACACCAAAGAAAACCATTCATGATTGTTGATTGAAACAACACTGACTAATTCACTCACTGATAGAGTGATTGAACGATATTGATATCTTGATTGAGGGGGAGTTTTACTCACCACAGCCCGCGGTCCCTCTTTATTTAGAGTATGACTTGAGTGAGAGAGACTGAGTGATCTGTTTGAAGCGCGGTGGTCATGTTGATGGCCATGGGGCTAGCATGCTTGGGGACCATGCTAAAACAGCTAGGAGATTTGACGACAATTTAGGGCAGGAGAGGCAAGGTGATCGCGGGGAGTGGTGATTGGGTGGACCACCACCCCCAAAACACACATGAATAACTATGTGAGTAAAAATATCAATGTGTTGGGCACCACCAGTAATTCATGAAGTGTGCCATGTATGTGGGCAATCGATGTGTGTGTCCTGAGCTTTTTGCAGATTATTTACCCATCTATGGGCGTGAGACTCCAGCGGAGCTAGAGAGGGGAGGTCTTACTTACTTACTAAGTTACGCTTACAAAGAGAGAGACACATCTCCCAAGCTTAGAGGACACAACTACAATCATCGTCGAATTTAACACGTTTAGAGTCAGTATATTATTATTCTCTATCTATCCTCACATTATATACATTATCCTCCATTGTATAAAACAATTTGTGTTGTTGTGATTGATTGATTTTGAATCAAAAGAGAGAGAGAGAGAGAGCTCAGCTGAGAAGAGAGAGTTGTGACAGTCCATACGCAGGCGCCCCACCATTCAAGGCGAACAGACACCATCCCCCCCTTATCCTCCCTCCCCTTTGCCACCACCGGAGACCCTCCACCATCTCCTTCCCTCGTTCACACTCATTCACTCACACAACCATACTTTCATACAGTAATTCATACATAGTCAGTCATTCAGTCAATCTACCAGTTATCCAGCGCATCATTCTACATTACATCGCTCTGCATCATTTCATTTCATCTCATCACACACATCTCCATCATCTTCAATTCAACCATTCATCAATCCATCCATAACAATTACACTGTTGTTGTGTAGTATTACTTACATTGTTTGTTTGATTGTGTGTGTATGTGTTGTTTGTGTGTGTTCGAGAATAACAAAACACAAGAAAAGGAGGCCTCACGCACATAAAGGCCTAATCCCACCATCCATTGGCACAATTCCAGTCGATCCCACCAACTAAGATCTCCCTCTTCACAGTACAACAACATTTTTTTTCATCTCCTAGATTTAATCAATTAATCAATTAATCAATATTAATATATTACCATATATATATATATATAATTATATTTAGAATACCCGCAACTAGTCATTCAGTCACAGACAGTCAATAATCGTCAGTCAGTCAATCAATCTTACCTTAGTTCAATACTACTTCTATTACTATTACTACCAACATACATACATACATTACCACCTCATTCTTGTCGACGAGAATGATGGACAGCAATTGTGATACTGCCACTACAACATCTGCAATAACCTATTAAGTAAGCAAGCAAGCTAGCTAGCACCTGTTGGCTTAGTATTGAAAACAAAAAAATAGAAATAGAAAGAAGAACCGCCAAAGAAGATAGAATAAGTTAACAAAGGTCATTACACAACACAACTCAACGCAACTTCACTTCACCTCTTCGCTTCACTCCTACATTACCCTTCATTCATTCAAATCACACACATTCCTAATTCAAACAATCCGCCAAACCATCAAATTGTCAATTCGAACAAACTTCTACACTTCAAAAACTAGCATAGACTACACAAGACTACGTCTACATTCATTCATTCTATATATATATATATATTATTATTAATTATTATTATTAATTATTATTATTATCATATAATTATTATCAAAGATACGGCGTCTATTACTCTTCCTCATTAATCAATCAATTAAACAATATATATTTCCACACCAACTTATCTACCATAAACAAGGCCACCAGGGCCATCTCCATGAACAACGAAATATATACATATAATAGTTTGCCTATCTTATGGATTCAGATCGGTTCCACCACACGCCTGTCAGGTGGAAAGTGTCCTCTAAATCCACTGCATCATCACCTTCGTCCTCCTCCGCCAACTCCAACGCCAATAAATCAGCGCCATCACAATCCACCGCATCATCCTCCTCAAAGTCACCGGCATCACCACCATCATCTGCGCCATCCCCCGTCTCATCCTCCTCATCCTCCTCATCCTCCTCCTCCCCCATCGGTGGCCTGATATCCAATCAAACACCACCGCAGCTGCCCGGCCTGGCCACTCACCTCCACCATCCCTACAGACCATTCAACAATCCATTTCCGATGCCGAGAACGACCACCATCACCAACCCACCTTTTCTTGAATCCAGGCTGCATCCGCAGCAGCCTGGAGCGTCCAGCAAACGACACTTCCAACCATTTTACCTCCTGTCACCCGATGAACAGGATAATTTATCCGACTCAGAGCCCGAGACCAGTCCACCACCTACGACCACGACAACAACCACAACCACAACCACATCATCCGCCTCACAATACCTCCACCACCAGTCTCATTATCACCAACCACTTTCCCCATTATCTCCGCCTCCTCCTCCTTCTCCACAACATCTGCAGCGTCCTCCTCATAATCCCCAGCGTCCTCCTTCATCACCAGCGAAAACTTCAACCACCAGCACCTCACCTTCCTCTGCCACCGGTAGCTCTATGTTTGTAGCCGCTTCGGCACCACCCACCAGCTCTAGTGGTGGAGACGGTTACAATTGGCGCAAGTACGGCCAGAAGAATATCAAGGGCCATCAGTTGACCAGGAACTACTACAAGTGCACCTATCCAGGTTGTCGGGCCAAGAAGCAAGAAGAGAAGAACTCCACAGATAACAAGTGCAGCATCCAGTACAAGGGGAGACATGTCCACGCACTCCCAGTTGCAAAGGGTGAGAATACAAAGGTATGTCCATCATCAATCAACCAATCAATCAATCAACCAAAGAATCAATCACTAATTCATTCCATTCCATTCTCCGCCAAACCTACAGAGGTTAGAAGATATTGAGCCGGGAAAGTCCAATATCAATGCCCTGATCAATAAGGACGACGAGACCGACAACTACCTGTCGTTGGAGGAGTTCACCGACTCGGAACTATCCAAACAAGACAAGAGTAATAGTGCGCCAGACATCTCGGCGTATTATGATGACGAATATGACGACGCCAATGCGCACACGGTTGTCATCGAGGCCGACTCGATGGACAAACTGCTGAGCGATGGTTACCAGTGGAAGAAGTATGGCCAGAAGTACGTGCGTGGCAGTGTCTACCCCAAGAGCTACTATAAGTGCACGACGAGTGGCTGCCAGGTCAAGAAGTATATCATCCAAGTGGAGGAGTCCAAGTACTTAAGTACGTACATTGGCCTCCACAGTCACGATCCACAACAGGCCACAGGTAGTAGTATTGGCGTCAATTTTAGCAATCGGTAACAACGATGTGCTGCCTCCCTTCTCCTCGTCGTCCATGTTTATGTCCATGGTTATGTCCAAAGCCGGATGCAGCATATAATTATAAATATAGATATATATACACCAGGTACTCTCGATCGTAGCCTCTTACACCCCTTATCATCTATCCCTTTCTCTTCCTCTTCCCCATCGTTCACTCAATCATTCAATCAAACAAACATACTCACATACATATACATATATAAATACATATATTGGAATGATCCTCGGTCGATCTTTACATGTCCATGTTGTTGTTGGATGCCTCCAGTCGTATGATGGATGCACGGAACTTGCGACTCTTCTGCTTCTTCTTGACCTCCTTCTTGAGCATTTCCATTCGATCGGTGTTTGGATGGAGGATACCTTTGGTCCAACCTTGATTGTTGTGTGCACCTGTCAGTACAGACTTGACTACATCCACTGATGACTTTAGATTCATGAACCATATCTCATCGGTTGGGTCCATTCTTGTTGTATACAGTGATATATATTGTATGTTTGATAGTAAGTTATCTGGTCTCGCCTTTAACAACACATATGCCATGATTGGTAAGAAGTCATCTGGTCCACCAGACTCTCCAAGTGGTTTGGTGTAGTCTATTCATTCATTCATTCTTTGTTAGTATCAATCCATCAATCCATCAATCCATTGGCACTCACTTAATATAATGTTCCAAGTGTCAATGATACACTTCATCTTGTCATGCGGAGACTTGTATAGATTGATCTTCCTGATCTCTGTATGTTTTGCGTGGCGAATGAGTGAGCAAATGATTGATTGATGAGATTATGTTTGAGTCTGTGACATCGCATACCTTGTTGGGCAAGCTCCCATGGTGCTTGGTTGGCGAACTTCTCGGCAATGTACAGTCCCTTGTAATCAATGACTGATGATCTTGTTTGGATGAGCTTGGTGAACTTGGCATCCTCTTTGGAAACACTGAATGAGCTGTGAGGAGATTGTGTAAGTGAATGAATGAGGTACATGATCATCTCCAACTGATCAAACTTACTAATTATAAATATGTGTCATCAGGTTCCTCTCCAAGGTCCTGAGTGCAATGTCGAGGTCCTCCTCGTCGGAACCTTTCCACCACTCACTCTTGGCAATGACATCTTTGGAACGCTTGACAAAGGTGGAGATCATGGTGGACTTGAGACTACAGGTATCGCATATCTTGGACAGGTTGTCATCGATGTTTGGATTGCACGAGCAGTTGCCAGTGTCGATGGAGAATCGTGACATGAACTCACAGACAAACTCTGTCTGCATGCGATCGTACGTCTTCTCGCGGAACATTCTGAACTTTTGATTGGTGAGGAACTCCATGTGTATGTTCTTTTGTGAGATTATTTGTGAAGTGTGTCGTTGTAACTGATCCAGATAGAGTACCTTGAGTTGCTTCTCCATATTACGTTTCTTCTCACGTGTGTGATAGTCATCAAACATCGAGTCGATCAACAACTCATAGTCGTTGGCCCTATAAGCCTCGGGCAAGGCCCACATGCTCCTGATTGTCTCTTCTATCTGTGCCTCCAATATGTTGAGTTCCAGGCATCTACTTCTCTGTTTATGTGGGGGAGAGGAAGGATTAGTATATGATCATTCGATTGATCGATTGATTGTCAACAACATACTCCACATTGTAGTAAGAGGATCTCGCAGATGTTGGTTGATGAGGAGTAGCCACAGATGTAGTTGAGGACACTGAGTGCAAGGGCCAGGTTCTCTTTGGCAAGCTTGACAGGTTGGCTCAGCATCATGATGCTGTGACGTGGGTTGGTGGGGTCTTGTGATGGGTCCTTCTTCTTGGGCAACACATTGATCACGAGGAACTTCATTCCATCCTGCAAATGTGATGCCTTTTGAACGTCCTTGATCATGTCCACAAGCTCCAATTGTAACGCCGATGTTTCTGTCTCATCCGATGTCTGAGGTCGATTGTGAAAGACAAGCTCCATGATCATGAACAAGTCTGTGGATGACACTAACAGGTTCTGGCCAAGTTCCAACTCGTAGACTGGTCGATGGTAGTAGAGCTCGGGCTCATCTACCTGAGTCAACTCGGAAAAGTACTCATCCATGCGTGCACGCAAGTTGAGCGACTCATCCAACCAGGCTGGAACTTCGGCCGGGTTGGCAAGGAAGCTAAGTGCCAACTTAGCAATCTGAATGAGATTGTGTCGTGTCTTGTGGCTGATGTTCAAGCCTGTCAACACGCCATAGTGATCGGGTCTGATCAGCGCTGGGATGAAGTAGTGCTCAAACACGAGATGTACAAGTAGCTCGCGCTCCACGCGCGAGTCCTTGATGCGAGAGAATGCTGTATCGACATGGTCGGCTGGGCGCACTGATCGAAGATGTGCGCGGTACAGGTTCTGTAGCACCTTGCACACCCAGCGCAGGCCATAGGGCAGGCCAGTGGCGAGAGCCAGGACACGATGAATGAACTCGCCACTGAACTGTTGGAGCAGCGCATGTTGGTCCACATCGGGCTCCTGGTCGAGGCCAATCTCAGCCAGCATGGCCTTCTTCTGTGGATCGTTCTCCAAGTTCATGTTGTGATCCTGTACGATTGCCGCCACCAACTCCTTCAGCACCGAGATGGCGTAAGGCTTGCCAAATGTGTAGTTGAGGTATGTTGACAGCAATGTGTATGCGAATGGCTCTTGTGCGCCGAATCGTGCCTTGTCCGGGAAGGCCGCAAACTCATGTTCGGCAATGCGCTTGATCAGCAAGAGTAGTAATCGCTCATCACTCGCGGTGAAGCAGTTTCCAAACAAACTGAATACGATTGCCTGTGAGAGGTCTGTGTGAGTAGACTTGATGGCGCGGTCCGAGTCATCTCGGAGGTATCCAGCGCGACTAAGTGTGTCACAGAGGATTGCTGGCTCATTGCGCATCAACACAATGATTCGCTCCAGTGACACTTTGAGATGTTTTGTCAACTCAGTGACAGCCGATGCATCGGCTGGTGGTTCGTCATCTGGGAACTGAGACAAGAAGTTGAGGTCGGACACCTGTATCCTGTTGCTCACTATATGTGCGATTGCCTTGTCCAGGTAGCGCACCTCCCATAGCAACTGATAGAACTCCTCTGACTTTTGATACGTGACCTTGTTGATCTCACTCAACACCTTTCGATCTGCTGAATTCGTCAGCTCCTCTGCCTTTAACATTGATTGCAAGATTGCCAACTTCTCGCCTTGTCCACGTGATTGTGTTTGTGAATGTGATTGTGATTGTACATTGTTCGAGCCAACTCCATCATCTATGACTGTGGATGGAGCGGGAGCCGGACGATTAGAGAGTGAGTTTGAACGCGCGTGTCCAATGCGTGCGTCTGATGTCTTGCGGATGGGGATGTGCTTGGCCATTTTGAGTCGCTGACTTATCTTGAGATTGGCAGTGTGTACCATTGAGGGTGGAAGTGATGTTGACATTGGCGCGAATGCCTTATGTTGTGGTGGTGGCGTAGTCCTAAGAAAAGGCTTCATTGCCTGTGTGATTGACAATCCATTCTCGGACATTGCTGCATTATTCTTCATGTACTCATCTGTCAATGATGATGATGGCATTGATGTGGTTGTAGTGATTGTTGGAGATTTTGTGGTTACTGACTTGATTATGATGGGAGGTGATCGATCTAGCTTGGCGGCAACTAGTTGCGGGGACATCTTTGATTGATTGGGTTGAGGTGATGAACTCAGGATTGACTGTGATCGAGGTGATGAGCTCAATGTTGGACTTGACGAGCCTTGGCCTTGAGGTAGGTGGATATCCATCTTCTTGGCCTCACTCAACTTCCTTGGAGTGGTAGTGGTAGTTGTTGGCAAACTACCGACCTCACTGGCATTATGTTGTTGTTTAAGCATCATTGCAATTTGTTGACCTCGCTTTGCTATTGATATATATCCATCAGCATCACCATTCTCTGTTGATGTTGTAGTAGTAGTCGTTGTTGATGTTGTTGTTGTTGTTGATGATGTTGAGTCGGAGACTGATTGAGTCCCATTCACATTGCCATTACTATTGAGTAGACGAGAGAATGAGAACGCCGATGGGGGTGAGATGGACCTTGGAGATTCCTTAGTTTCCAGTGTTTCAACAATTTGTGTCGGTATGGGCATGTGAGTCGTCGTCTTTGCAGTAGACGAGGTAGTACTAGTTGGTGCAGTAACAGTAGTAGTACTGATCGTAGTAACATTTGTCGGTGAATGTGCCAATGGTGATGTTGAAGGAGGAGTGTTGTTGTAGTCCCCATCTTGTAATCTCTTCTCCAATGCATTGATCTCAAAGTCCACAAGAGTCAATCTTATCTCAATCTGATGTATATTCTGTTTGATATCATCTGGATGTCCTGAACCACGACCTTGTAATCTCTTTGCATTGTTCAATATCTCCTTTGTCTTTTGATAATTCTCAATAGTAGACTCTATAACATCTTTGTTTGGTGATGGTGTTGCACCCTTTAATCTATTAAGTCTCTTATCAACCAATGTCAATACATTTAGTATAATACTATCATCCATAGTAACCCTATATCTCTCTCTTTATGTATATATATGTAGTTGAACGAATTAATGAATGAAGAGTAGATGTGAACTCAATTGTACTTTAGTTCGTGTCGACCACGAGTCGAGTTTATGACAAACAAGAGGTCATTGTGGGGGTCAACAAAAGGTGGGAGATCAGCAAAGTATTCACATTTTGATCATTTTTGGAACAAGGCACTCATTCGTTCAGAGAAACAATCAATCAAACAAAAGGTTGCTGGGTCTGAACTTGTAAAACATTTGTATGGTTAACATATCCCATTCATTGATGTATTACTGGATATGTACCAAAAGTCAAACACACAAGTTGAAGTTGCACAATGCCCTTGAAGAATCATAATAGCCACATCAAGATTCCTCCCAAGAAGCGGGATCATTAACAGACGTCGATGGGATCAAAGAATGTGCTCAAGGACGAAGGGTCCTGGTAACAGCCCATGCGGAGATAGGAGAGAGAGGCATGGGTCTTTGTTTAGAACATAATTGCAAACAGAGTGACGAGGAGGAGAGAGATGGATGGCAAGAGGTAAGATCCACTGCTGGCTTTGGCAGATTCTCCACCGAATGTTGGATCCCAGTAGACCAAGTTGGGTCTGATTGCATCGAATGATTGGACGAGCATTTGGGTGTTGAGCGAAGCAAATGCATTGAATCCAATGTTGATCGAGTAGTTGTTGAATGCCTTTGATGGCTTGGCAGTGATGTCGGTGACCTGAGTGTGCACCTTGGCAGTGATTGTGCCGTTGATCAGGACATTGTCGACCCAGGTGAGCGAGGCATCAATCTCGCCACCGCTGCTCCTCAAAGAGGTGGAACCATCGATGTTCAAGTCGGCTTGAGCCTGGAGAGTGGCCACGTAGGACACGAGGGCCAGACGAGAAGTTGGCTGTCTGGATGCACCGGTTGAGGCACAGGAGTATGGCAAGGAGGCGGCAGTGCAGCCAGCCGAGGCCTTGTTGACATCCTCGTCGTAGTAACCATTGATAAGGATGTCGATCTTGGATTGCTCAGCAGTGAGTGGCACGTTGTTAAAGATCACTGGGGCGCCTGGGATGGCAAAGTGGAATGTGATGAGGCCACGGGGCGAGATGGCCTCGGCGAATGTAACGTCGAAGGGGAACTTCTCGCCGTTGGCCTGGGTGCTCAGTGGCTCAGAAGCAGAGGTGTTGATCTTCCAGTTGGGGTTGTTTGTGTCGACCAACTTGTCCAGACGAACCCAGCCAACCAATGAGTCGGATCCATTCTGGAATCCATCCTGTCCATTGGTCTCGACGTACTCGACGAGAAGCGAGGGCATGTAGACGGCATCGAAGCTTGTGGCGTTAAAGTTGATAACACCACCTCCAATGCTAGCGGCCAAATGGTTGTAGGACAGAGAGTACTGGCAAGTGTTCTGTCCACTAAATGTGAAGATGTTGGAGTCGGCAATTGCATTGAGGCTTGTGTTGGTAAGTGACTAACGAATGTATGGAGTGAGCAGATAAGTAAGTAGGTAAGTAGGTGTGGAGTGATGGCTTGTTTGTAAGTGATGGTGTGTATGGATCGTGATTGGAGATGGTATGGTAAGTGTGTTGTGTGGAAGGGTGACAGGTACTTACGCCATACACTGCAGTTCCAGTGGCAATGAAGGAGTTGATACCTTCTACCGTCTCGTATGTACGGATTGTATCGTTTCCAACTTCAACAACAACTATTCCAGCTATGTAATGTGTGATTGATTGTTTGAATATGTGTTAGTGTGACTGTGAATGTGATTGGATGTCACCAAATTGTCGGATTTGGGCCAAGGCATAGGCCTCAGCTCTCAATCTAACTTTGAACATACAAGCATCTGGAAAAGCCGAAGTTGCGGCAACCATCATTAAGACAGCTGTTATAAATAATGTTATTTTGTACATGTTGTTTGTATTGTTATAATAAATAAAAGAGGTAGGTTTGATAGTATGATAGAATGAATGAATGAATGAATGGTGGATGGAGTGATGGGAATGATTGATGAGAAGGAGGATCAATCAAAGGGTTGTTTGTTTGCAACTATTCGAATTGAGTTGATGGATGGAATACCTCCCCATGTTAGTCATAAAGGGTGGTGGATATCATTGATGGGGTTGGGGACAACCTTGTCTAGCCAGCTAGGCTAGTTAGATAGTATGGAGACAGTGTTCGGAGCTGAGGCGGGGTAACCTTTTCATAAAGGTGTACGAATGGACTCTCTGTCCACTTTATAATAATTGAACTGGTTTGTTTGTTGGTGTTTTGATGGTTTGTTGGGTGGGTGTGAGGCCTCATCTATTGATCTTAAGGGGCACATTGGACTAGTTAGTCAGTTAAACCATCACCTTCAACGAATCGATCAAATCACTGAAGGGCATGGTTTGTCATTGGAGTAAGATTGAAGAACTATTCAACAACTATGATAAGATCTAGAAATATACAATTAGTATTTGTTTGATCTCTCAAAATGATCATTTTTTAAAGAAACTGGAAGACTAAGATTAAATGCCAGAAGATATAATATAATCATCGTCAACTCACTCGCAAGGACAAAGAAGAAAAATTATTATCAATGAGAAGAAGGTGTAAACGTCAATTAATAATGAACTTCGAAGCAAAGTCAATACAGAAGACTATTGAGATCGACGCTCATCAAATTGTGAAGATTTATTGACAGAGGTGTGTTGATGGAAAATTCGAAAACGAGTCGTGTGGGTGTATGTTTGGATGTCTGTCAATCAATCAAACTGTGGGAGTGACCTTGCATTCTGACTTCATTTGATTGACTGGGAGTGGTGATTGATGTCCTGTCCATCTAATGATTGACCACGACGAACCTTGAGACTCCCATCTCACTTCAACAACCTATTTAACAAGCTCACTTGTTCATTTACTATTATAACATACCAACAATCAAACAAATAAATAATCACTTCTTAATCCTTACAGTAAGTAATAATTATCATGACATTATCCTATAATATCTTATTAACATTCAATCAATCATTCTCCTTCTTTCTCTCTTCTCTCATTCAGTTTCTAAAATGACCAAGCTATCTACTCATTCCACAAAGCTGTCAACACTTAGAGCCACACTTACTCCTTACAACAGAAGGACCAACAACAGAGAACCTCATACTTTTAGGTTTACTCCTCTGTCCTCAGTGCCATCACTTCCAGCTCTTGTTATTGACGATAATGACTGTGAGATTATTGATAAGCCTTTTGTACCAATAATCCAATCAGATTCATCCTCTACTCCCGTCTCGATTCCAGTCAATGTCGTAGAACACACCTCAACTCCACAATCCTTGGTTGTAGCTAATCCTCCTGTTGTCCAACCCTCTGGGCTACCTCTCCCAATTCCACTTCCAAGTCCTGTTGCCCCATCGGACACAACAACAACAATCAAGACCAACACCTCCCAAGCCCAACCCTCCTCCTCTTCCCCAAAGACACGACAGCCCAACCCTTCACCAATCAACAATGCCGGTACATATGTTCCCGATATCTACTACTACACTCAGAAGGCATTGGATGACTTTAGCAACAACACATACTCTACCAATGTATCATCACTTACATTGTTACCAAAGTTGCCATCATCGCCATCATCAACTACTACCACCACTACCACCACAACAACAGTAGGTGGCATGTCTGGTAAGCCATGTATGAGTACCAAGACCACGACTTCAGTGCAGAATGTGTCTCCAACCACATCAATGTCTACCAAGGTTGTCGTCCAATCCGTCTACAATCCATCCACTCAAACATATGTTCCAGTGAGACAAATGACCATCAAGACCCTGCATCCACTTCCAAAGGCCTCTGTCCCATCATCACCAGCATCATCATCCACATCCACAACTCCATCCACACCATCTACACCAATCAAAGCATAATTCATTGCTTTGACTTTGTTCCTTATTTGTAATTCTCTGCAGATTGTCGACCGATCGAATAAACTGTTTAACTTATAATATGACTAAATATTTTGAAAAGCAGAAAAGAAGATGTGTGTTCAGTTCGGTCTCATCATGAAAAAAGTGGTTCGACTTGTTTGAATTGTTTGGTGTGATCGTGTGTCTCCCTTTCAGAAGAACGTGCCATATCTTGAACCAAACCACTCAAGTCATCCTGAGTTAACTTGTGGTTCGCAACTGGTATCACAAATGTTTCAATAGATAATAAATAAACGAGCAATATATTTGTATCTTTACTTCATATATTTATTATCTGTTCAACATTTGTAAAACAAATGTACAGATGTTCACAGAATAATCGAAACTCAGGATGGCTTGAGTAGTTTGAACAACCCATAAGTGTTTGGACTGATTTGGTTTATGGGTCTGTTTTGAACAAAGTTTGAAAAATGGCGCCAAATTCTAGTATATGAATGAATGTGTGTGTCTTAGTTCATTCATTCATTCTTGTCTTGTTATAACTACATCATCATCATACTTATACATTGACACAACCAACACGGTCACTCATTCATCATGATGTTGGGACAAAAGAGACAGTTGGATATTGGCATTGATACGGATGGCATTAACCAAGAGCAGTTGAGTATGTTTGATTGATTGGAACAGTTCCAACACATGGTATCAATCAATCACTAATCAATCAATCACTCACAGTCAAGAAGTACAAGACAGATGGCAATAGCAAGAGTAGCAGTTTAATCAAGAAGTTGGCAACCAAACCAGTTGTACCATTCACAATTGATAGTGAGACTATATCGATAACATCATTCAATGGCAAGAGAGTTTATACAAAGTTCAATAAGAGACATGATGATGGTAGTGCGAATGGTGTAGCTGATGATGATGACTTTGACTACGACCATAACAAACATTATTATGACGAGGACAGTATAAGGAAGAGGATCGAGCTGAATCGCGTGGAGGGCAAGCTACTCAAACAATCAATTGAAGATCTCAAGAATGAGATCGATGACCTCGAGACCAAGCGATTGATCGAGCTCCAGCATCAGCAACAACTGGAACTCAAACAACAGCAACAGAGTACCACTGCAGCTGTCGCCACATCTGGTACACAACAGCGCATTGACAACAGACTATGGGTGGACAAGTACGCGCCCACCTCCTTCCACGAGTTGCTCTCCGATGATGTAAGCAAGCCTACTCGATCGAATTACACGTCCACTGACTCACAACTAAACATCTCCCGCGCATCACTCAAAGAAAATGAACAAGGACATACTGACATGGCTGAAACTTTGGGATCATAGCGTGTTTGGAAAGCCATTACCAACAAAGTTGATGGCCGAGAAGAAGGCTGCCAACAATAGTAACACTCACTTCTTTCAACAGAAGTCAAGGTTTGGCTCGTCGAATATGTCTGGCGGATCGGCTGCCACCTCTAATCAGGGTGGCGCGCCCGGACTCGACGGCAACAACCTTCCACAACACAAGATCATACTTCTTACAGGTGGACCTGGCCTGGGCAAGACCACACTCGCTCATATCTTGGCCAAACAAGCTGGCTACAACCCAGTTGAGATCAACGCAAGGTAAGATGATAGCCAATGCCAATGTTGGGTCCACTCATTCGTTAACTCAATCAATCAATCACTTCCAGTGACGACCGTTCAGGAGACAAGTTCGAGACCAAGTTCTTGTCGGCGCTCGAGATGAAGTCTGTGTTCATGGACAAGAGGCCAAACTGTTTGATCATCGATGAGATTGATGGTATATCTGGCAGGGACAATGTATGATCGGATTCATGGAATCATTCCAATCAATCACTAACTCACCCCATAATGACAGGGTCCAATCGAACTAATATTGCGATTGTTGGCCAACAGCAAGAAGTCTGGTGCTGCAGCAGCCGCCAAGAAGGCAGGCAAAGATGAAGACGAGGATGACGGCGGAGATAATGGCGACGACGAGGAGAACTCGCTAGACAAGTCCAAGTCCAAGTCCACAAAGAAGAGCGGCAGCAGCAAGTCGGGCTCATCGTCCCGCATTAACAGACCAATCATATGTATCTGTAACGATCAGTTCGTGCCATCGTTGAGGAAGCTTAGACAGGAGGCACTGCTGTTCGCCTTTGCCAAGCCCAAGTCCACAAGACTGATGTCGCGTCTCAAGGAGATCTGCCAGAAGGAGGAGTTGAAGGCCGATGACTCGGCACTGCACCAGCTGGTCAACATGACCGGCCACGATATCCGTTCATGTTTGAACTCACTGCAGTTCATCAAGACCAGGACCGCCGTTCTCAACTCCACCGTACTCAAAGAGAAGAGCATGGACAATGTGATTGGCCAGAAAGACATGGAGCGCGGTCTGTTTGATCTTTGGAAGGGAGTGTTCCAAGGTGTCAGTCAATCATCCACCACAAACAATCAGATAGGTATGTCCTCGTTGGAGGATCCTTGATCGCGATCAAGTCCCAATCACTAACACTCCTGCCACTACAGAATCACACAACTTCCAGAGTCTGGAGAATGAGATCACATCATGTACCCAGTTTGACAAGTTGCTGGAAGGTCTCTACGAGAACTACCCGGCCAACATGACGAATGACTACACCATGGATCGAGTAAGTATAGTGTGTTGCTCCCTAAGCATGTCCATGATGGTCATCTCTAACCTCCTCCGCCAAGACTGTTGAGTGTCTCGATTGGTTCATTTACTCGGACTCCACCAATGATGACAGGTACAAGTCATTGGCCCCACTGGCCATTCATAAGAAGTGCTCCAACGTGGCACCAAAGTTGACATATCCTCACAGCGACTACGATTGCTACGTCCAGCAGAAGAACACCGCCAACACAATCGATTCATTTCTGTTGTCTGAGATGGTGTCGCCACACATCTATCACTCACTTCACCGATCGGCCTTTGTCCGTGACTTTATCTCACACTTTATCGATATCATCTCCATTCCAATCAGGACCGTCAATCCACATCTCTACAATCAGAAGGAGAAGTCATCATTGAACAACCTGATTCGCATCATGAAGTATTACAACATCAGCTACACACTCGAGACCTCATCCACCGACTCTACCCTGCAATATGTACTTAACCCGTAAGTCAATGATCAAGAAGGGATGATTCCAACTCACTCACTCACTCACTCAATCGATCAATCCATAGACCAATCGACACTGTTATCCAGATGGTCAAGCCTGATCCAACAGCATCAACGAAGCGAACAGCTGTATCCAAACATGTCCAGTTGACAAATGCACAGAAGCAGATAATATCACTGGCAGTTGTACAATATAGAGAGAAGAATGATGAGACTTTGATGGCTGCTCCAGCTCCAGCCACACCTGCAAAGACAAGTGCCCCTGCTCAGTCAGCCAAGTCACTGGCCACACCAAACAAGAAGGATGAGTCGTCCAATCAATCACCATTCAAAGTTCCAACACCGCCAAGTACGCCCAAGCCTGTCGCCACTGCGCCAGTGCTGTTGGACTTCTTTGGAAGACCGATACAACTATGTATGTGTTGCAGACCGCTCCACATCTATGTCCAAGGCTAACTAACATCCACATTCACCTAGCACCCGAGCAACAGACACAAAAGACAGAGAGGGAAGCGCCAAGGATAAGGTATAGGTATCAAGAAGGATTCACCAATGCAGTCAAGAAGAGTGTTTATATCAAGGACTTCTTATAAATATACGTTCATCCAAGCCATGCATTGACTTGTACAACTTCTTCATGGACAAGAGACACGAACTGGGCATTATCCTTGAGTGTACCAAACAGGACTTGATCATGGGCGAATGCTTGGACGGGGTCTGTAGCCTTAAAGATGTTGTTAAGCATCTCCTTGGTAAGCACGGCGTCAACATAGATGTAGGGCAGCTTGCCCTGATAGCTACGTTGAAGGAGCACGAAGAATAGTGCCACGAGTCTGATTGAGGACCTAGGCGCATCGCCACGTTGGAAACATGCTGTGATCGTTGGCACGACAAATCCCGGTATCTTGGTGTATCCCTCTGAGCTCACTCGTTGATTGGTGTCGGCCAGATAGGGATTGGAGAAACGGTCCAAAGCAATGTCTCTGTATGACTCGAGATTGAGTGGAGTCTTGGCCTTGAGTGTCGGTATCACATCGTTTGTAATGTAGTCGTAGGCCATGGTCTTGATCTGAGGGTCACGCATTCCTTCATGGATGTACGTGTAGCCTTTGAGCGTGCCGCCCCAAGCTAATATACAGTGACTGGCATTGAGTATGCGCACTTTGGCCTCTTCATAGGGCTTGACGTCTTGGGTAAACTCCACGCCAACCTTTTCCAAGGCCGGTCTGCCAATGATGAAGTTGTCCTCAATCACCCATTGCGTGAACTTCTCGCACATCACTGGCGCACGGTCCTCAAAGTCTTGGTGCAGGGTGGCCACACGCGCCACAAGGTCAGCTGGCGGGCGAGGAGTGATACGATCCACCATTGTATTGGGACATGTCGTATTGGCCTGGAACCACTCCAGCAACATCTTATCCCCAACCATCTCAAGGAATTGTTGGTAGCATGTCTTGAACACAACTCCATTCTTGCGAACATTGTCACAACTTAGTAGAGTGATCCTCGAGTCTGCAGTGCCAGTAATCTTCATGCGCTCCCTTAGTATCTTGGTTATTGAGCCGTAGATTGTCTTGCAGCCACCCTTAAGATCGTGTTGGATGTCGGGATGCGTGGCGACAAGCTGTAGGTTTACGTCATAGTAGTAGCCAGACTCTGTAACGGTGAATGATATGACCTTGGTATCAACATGTGCACCTTGTTGAACTAGATGTTTGCCATCCTGGTCGTAGGGCACTATTATCTTGATTGATTTTATAACATGATGTTGTCTGTCACCTACAGAGTCAACAGTCTCCAATGTATACTTGCAATGTTGTCTTTGTAACACTTCCAATATATCACCAACATCATCTCTAATGTTACCCAATGCTATTGACCATCTACTAATGCCACTATTCTCTTTCTCTTTCTCCTCTTCATCAAGTTTGTTATTCAACTTGTCTAAATAATAAGCTTGATGTGCACGGTGGAACATTCCACTTCCAATGTGCATCCATACTAATTGTTTGTTATTATTATTATCACTCATTCTCACAACACTACCTTTATCTCTTCTCTTAATCTAATCTATTAACTTCAACAACCAATGATCATTGATACCAACACCTTGGGATTCATTCACAATCAAGGTTGATTGGGTGAGTGAACATGAGCACCCCATTTGCACAAGCTTTGAAGGTATCACACAAGTTAATATGATTATTATATGTATGTTTGACAAACAAAGGGGCAGATCATTAATGATTGAAAGTTGTTGAAGTTGAACGAATGTATGAATAATATGACCCAGGTCTGGTCTGTGTCGAATATTGAATAAGCCTGGTTCAGCCAAAACTACATCCACACACATAAATTGTCTCTTGAATTCGCTGAATGATTGTTTTTGAAATTGTTTGGCAAGAACACTTGAGAGTGAAGTGGATGGATGAGGTCACTCAATTTAGTTCTGTTTTGTTGGTTCTCCAACACCTTTTCAGAAATAATACATATATATTTGATTGATTCTATTATTAGTAGCCGCAATATTCTAATCAAACAGACGACACTACTACAAGTATAAAACTGATGAACTCATCTTAATCATCAATGTATAAAGAAAGATATAATATAATATATAATCATTCACTCAATCACTCACTCATACTCAGTCAATCAATCATATATAATATATATATATATAAATAATAATAATAATAAGAAATGAATTCATTAGAGATATTATGTATTGATAAGATATTGTTAAACTCAATACCAGAACAATTGGAAAGCTTTGATGATACTTTGAAGGGGAGAATATTAGAGAGATTATTATGTCCGAATACACCAAAGTTCTCTTATAGAGGTTCATTACCACCTGCACCTTCTCCACGTTGGTTGTCAGCTCTGGTGAACAAATCAACGACTCATCTCGATCTTAGTACTGTGCCAACATTGTTTTGGTCCCAGTTCAACATGACTGGCAACTTCCCCTTTCAATTCCTCGAGCGATGTACCCAACTTACATCACTCAAGATCAATGCACAGAACTTCACCGTTGGACAACTGGTACCATTCCTGCGTGTAATTGGTGCTCGTCTCAAACATCTCGACCTGTCGCGTTGTATCCGTCTCAACGACTCATCACTACATTTCATCAGCTACTACTGTAGACAACTCCAAACACTCAAGCTACAGGACTGCATTGGTATTGGCGGTGCGGTATTCCAGCGCTCGATGGCCACCGCCATGGCCCTGATGCCTACATCCCGCTCATCAGACGGAACGCCCGCGCCACACCCAAACTCATTCGCAATGATGCGCATGTCAAACCTTGTCGAGCTTGACCTCACTGGCTGCAAGAGTATCGCCATCAGAAACATGTGCAACTTTAGCTTTGTATTCCCCTCCCTGCAAGAGTTCTCATTCGCCAAGGCATTCCTGTCGGATGAGGATGGTTCCATGCTCGTGCAGACGCTGCCCGCATCACTGCTCTCGCTCGATCTCTCATTCAACCCCGTTGGCAAGAACACAATCTCTGCACTCGTGCCAGACTCTCGAAAGAATCTTACAACATACCAACTGCGATCACTCAATTTGGACTATTGTCGATGTGTTTCCACGATTGACATTCAAACATTGTTCTCCAAGGTGCAGACCACACTCGAGACTCTGTCAATCACTGGCTGTCTTCAGATTGAGCGACAAAACTTCAACGTCATCTCCAGCACCTCCAGCGGCAGCAGCAAGAGGAGTAACAAACGATTTTCATTCAACTCGTACAAGAGAGATCTTTATGAGAGAATGCCCAATGTTGTTTATTAATTAATTAACTAAACTAAAATATTTTATTTATTTGTATAAATCCACTAAATAATTGATTGGACTAGTTCCAGAATCTCCATTTATATTATCTCCAGAATTCATAAACCTTGACTCTAAGCTTGATCTCTTGGAAGTGGATATTCTTTTGGACCCACTTGCGATCACACTTATGAATATCCTCTTCATCCAACGGTTCACGTGTCTTTGGGTTAGTTGGATGAACACTTAACCAACCTTTGATACATTGGTAACAGTAGTAACTGTTGCTAATGCCATCATTGATGTAGCATGGGTCCTCCATCCTGTCTAGACATATACCGCAAATAAGTTGGTTTGCAACTTCAACATTCTCCAATGCTCTCATAAAGTGTTCCTTGAGACCGATTTCCGAGGTGAATTTGCGAATGTTGTCACGGTACACAATTGATTCCAGGACACTTGAATCGAGCTGATACATTATTTCCTTGATCTCACTATACTTTAGGACAGAAATAAATGCAGTATGGGAATCTTCTATCACTTGAGGGAGATCATCAAATCGAATGAAGTTGCTGATATTGATACCATATTTCTTGCATATCATTGAGCCACCAAAATAAATAAATATCTTTGTTAATATACGTCCACTTTTTGTTACTATTTCATCACTATATGATAGACGATCAATTCCAAGTGATCTAATCAAAGTAGAAACCTCTGGAATGAGATTATTGACATATTCAGTGACCTCACTTCCCATTCTATCCATTCTTATTTGAATATTTTCCAAATCCTCCGCATATTGAACTATCTGGATTCTAGTAACGTCCTGTTTGTACAAGTACAAAAATCTTTCATATTGTTGTACAAATTGTTTAGTCTTGTCAATTATGTTGTACAACTTTTCAGGAATACTAGCTTCAATCACCTTGGTGGTATAGTTTGGTTGAGACAATACTCTTCGAAGTTGTTCAAGACGATTGAATTCAAAAGACATCAATCTCCTTGAATTCTCCAGGAAGGAGACCTTAAAGTCAAGAAAGTAAATATATATTATCATAATTTTATAGTTGATAATTAATTGAATAATATTTACATTAGGGATAATTTCGTTCTCAATATTCCCGATTAAATTTAAGAGGTTGGTCCATAATACTTCTTGATTTTGTCCTTCAGAATTGAACTCAACAGGATGTTCTATAAAATCAACATTGTTGGTATCTATATTAGTCTTTACTTCCTCATAAGTATTCTTATTATTATTATTAATATTTGTAGTTTTTTTATCCATTATCTCTTCAATTTAATAAGTTTGTATCCAATGATTTCCTAACTTTAGATCGGTACTCTTTATATAATCAAATTAATTATCAATAAATTCCTTCCAATACTTTTTCAACCTGGTTTTTTAAGTTGTAATAGAACATTGTCTAGCTAGACAGAACTTGAATAAATTCTAATACCAGTTTAATACTTTACCAATCATAAATACCATTAATAGTATTAGAGAATATGATATAATGATTGGCATTGGATACTTGTATTATTGACCTACATTATATTATTGCTATTATGAGTGTGTAGATCAGTACAATTGAGTGGGGTTCAAAGTTGACGAAGTTGACCAGTGTGGGAAAGGCAGATAATTGACGAATATCTTTACCCTCAGTGTGTACGTGTGTGCAAGCAAGCAAACAGATACATACAAGTAGTGTTGTTGTGATGTTTGTTTGATCGACTAAACTTAACTTCCCATTTATATATATATAATTAACTTAACTTTATATAATGTTGACGACAGTGAAAAGGAAACTAAGAAAAGTGTCACAGTCACAGTCTACTGCGGCAGTGTTCTGTAGACAATGCTCTTTCCATGCACTGGTGCTGATTGTACTGCTAATACTAATCATACCGATATCTATATCAATATATAATTCACCACCGAGACGATACTTGTCGAGTAAGGCATCGTTTGACGGCCCAGACAGCGTAGATCCGCGCATCAACCACACCGTCTACGACGCAGACCGTGTGCCAACGTACAACGTGTTGCTCGATGCTCACTCACACTCAACCTACTCGGACGGCGGTCTGTCGCCCGAGCAGAACATCATCTGGCACATCAAGAACGGATTCAACGCCATGGTGCTGACCGATCACAACACAGCGTCGGGCGGTGTCGCTGGCCAGCGAATCGCTCTCGAGAAGTACAGCGACAAGATCGTGGTCATCCCCGGAATTGAGTGGACCAACTGTCGGTGTCACATGGGTCTCATCGGCCTCACAGAGGACGTCCCACTCTACAAGTTCCCAACCAACGAGCAGATCAAAGAGATCATCGATCTCACCCACTCCAAGGGCGGCTTTGCCGTCTTGAACCATTACCCATGGTCGACGTGGGCTAACCTCGAGCAGCCGACGCTTCAGGAGTTCCTGGAGATGGGCATCGACTTTATTGAAGTTGTCAATGGCGATACGTTTGACTTCTCTGGCTACACATTCGCCAGACGTAATAACTTGCGCTACTTGGTCGGCACCGACTTCCACATGGGATCAGACGTGGCATCCTGGAATGTACTACAAGTGAATGATGGCGGACGATACAATGCCAGCGAGCCAATCAATGCACGCTACCTCAATCAATCAATCATAATGGATGCGCTCAAGAATGCAAACATATCATTCCTGTTTGATGCAGTTGGCAGCAAGATTGGAGTGTTGAAGGAGCTGTCGCAACAGACATCACTCTACACATTCCTCTCGCCATGGATTCAGCTTGGCTCGTTCTTCCACACGTTCTTTGAGCTCAAGAAGGGAATGTACTCATTCGTCGATGGCAGCTGCACCAAAGAGGAGGTCATCGTTCATACGCCCGAGATCATTTGCTTGGCTGCATGGATAATCTTCTTCTTCTTACTTGTACAACTTACATTATTCTTTGGCGCTACGTTGATAAACTACCTTCGTGGACGTCGTCATGGCAACAAAGGGGACAACGATGGTAGTATAGACAGCAACTCACCACTTGGCTATGACATGGTTGACGTCAACTCTCCGTCAAGATCACGAGCCAAAGATCAATCAGATGTTGACATACCCTTGGATGATGTTCAACACAAATAGCGCGCAATCAATCAATCAATCAAATATATTTATTATGTACAACTATTCTATTCTATTCCAATCTTTGAACTCTATATACAAGCTCACCATCCTTTAGTGATAGGATGGGATAGTAGAGGAAGGACTTGCCCTTGCGCCACCACTTGCCTTCCTCATACTTCTTGTCAGATGGGATAGTGGCCTGGCCCTGGGCATCAACTTGTTGACACAGTTCTTGTGTCTCCTTCTTTGAATACTCCCTTGGCCTTAGTACAGCACGATAAGGATTCTTCTCTGAGAACTTATAAGATGCGATCAGACATCTAAGATACTTGGGTCGTGTACCTTGTGCAAATGGGTTCTTCCTAAGCATGCCGACGACAGATGGTTCATTGCGCAATAGTTTGTCGCAGAAACTATCGAACCATGCTCCAGTTGTACCGAATGATTCGAATTGGCAGAACCATAGTCGCCACTCTAATCTTGGTAGATGACCAATAATGAATCGAGGTTGGACATCCAAGTCACCAGGCTTCCAATTGAACTCATATTGATGCCACTCCTGTCCATCCGTTGATCCCTGGAACAATATCTCCTTCCTACTTGTAGTCATCGAAGCAAACAAACCATAATAGTTTAGCAATCCAAACTTGGAAACATACATATACGGTACGACCAACTTGTTGCTAAAGCCAACCATTCCTCGTGTCAACTTTGATTGATAGAGTATGAGTGAGTGCGTGTAAATGATGATATTGGGTTGGATGTACTTACCTGAGTAAGTGGGATGAATGATAGAATGAGGGTGATGGCTACGATACCAAGTGCGATGGATGCAAAGGTCGCTTCGTACATGATGCCACCAATCGTCTGATCATTATTTGTTATAATATAATTGATTACACTTGATATTGTTGATGGGAATATTGAATCATCAAGGAATATCAATGATATAACCATTGAGTTTAGATTGAATATACCATAGTTTCCACTTATTGCAATCAATATCTGAAGGAATAATAGATTGAATACATCTGTATGAGTATGAGTGTTAGTTAGTGATTGAGCCGTGTGGAATCATTCCATTATTATTACATACTGAACTTGATGAAGAGTGGAAGCATAAGTAGTAGGGGACATGTCATCTCCACAATGAAGTGGTACCAACATCCTAACTTCTTGATGGGTAGTGGTAGTTCATGGAAGATGTAGCTTTGCCAGATGGGCATAGGTTGTGACCAGAAGTGATAGTTGAGTGCCAATCCTTCAGTCCATGATGTGTCGCCTGAGGTAAGCTTACATATACCACTGGCCATGAACAATCTTATTGACATCCAATGCAGTAGCCACCATATTGAACGATGATAAAACGAAGATGCAGGTATACTAACAAATGGAATGAACCTGAATGGTGGCAACAACAATGTCCAAAATGTAGTATCAATCAAAAGGTTATCAAACTGCAATTGGAAGAACTCTCCGCCACAGTTCTAGAAATGATCCAGGCGTTGATTAGTTGATTGAGTAAGTAAGTGAGAGTTGGTGAGGGTACATACCCTAAATGAGAGGTGATTGCAGAATAGGAGTAGTAGCATTAGACTTGGACAAATGTCCATGAAGAGTAGGATGGAACATATGATACCAGTGTGACATGTGTTGATGATGAACTTGTCTGTGAGGTATTTGTTGGGAAGTAGGATAAAGAGTGATGGACTTTCAATGAATGATTTGCTTCGTTCTTTCTTCTTCTCAATGTTTTGTCGGATTGGTAGTATTCCACGTTCACCAAACAGTGGAATCAATTGTGCTTTCAAACTTAGGAATGATGACAAGTATACCAATGCCAACAATCTGATGAACATCCATTGTATTTGATTGAATTGATTAAGTTTGTCATCTGGATTCTTGTTGAAATATACTCTTGTAACAGTGAATTGAAAGAAAGATTTGATAGAGATAATATATAATAAGGTGAAGAATATCCTAAATGACTTTGGTGTTATAATCCTTGATAGAAAATGATCAACTGATCTCTTTGTTGCTCTAACTGCTGCCATTATTATTGTTTGTTTGATTAAAAGTGTATAAAATATTACATTATTTATATATATCTAAGAATAAAAATGATAATAAAGATAATAATAGCTTTTGTTAAAGGATGCATGAATGGATATGACATAGGTTAATTCATTCATTCATTCAAATAAGTGGATAGGATGGTTGATTGGAGGACCAAAATGGAAAGTTCCTTTTTTGGTAAAGTGTGTGGGGGCTTTGGGCTAAAGGCTCAAGGGTGTTGACAACCCTTGACATGTGAACATATACATATTCTCAATTGATTGACTGAATGAATGAATGAATGAATGGATGAATGATGATGAACCAAAGACAGAGGTGCTCAAAGTTGTTTCATCAAGTTGATGAGGTTCTCAAGTCCATGAATGTAACTTGTGTCCAAACACAATTGTTGTGTTGTTGATGGTCCAGTGAGATGGTCTACATGTGCAAAGTCAATCATCTTGATGGTGATTCCAGTGTCTTGTGAGATCATTGTTGTAACATCTTGTTGAGAACCATCTCTAACCTTGCCATATATGAATAACAATGATGAAGAGTAGAATGCCATTGACCTATTCTGATTCTTGAACCAATCAAGTAGTACCTCCAACCTCTCTATGAATGCCAACACCACTCCCTGTCCACCGCACTTGAACACTCTCTCAAGGCCATCCTTCAACATATTCTCCTTTGTCATGTCCTTGCCCCAATTCTTATCCAATCTCAATATCTCATGTGTCTCTGGATGATGTAACTAATGAATGATTGAAAGAATGATCATGATGTGTGTAAGTGATCGAGTGAGCGAGTGATTGGAATGATTCCAGTGTTGGTGATCACACATACCTTTGCACCACAGAAACGGAATCCCAATGATGATGTTGTTGTGTTTACTGACTTGTGCTCCTCATACTTGATCTTCTCTGGTGTGGCAGTGCTGTCATAAGTCCTCATTCCCATCTTTATATCAGCAACACAAACACTATCCTTGTGATAAGGATACGTCAAGTCCTCAAGTCCCATGTACTCTATATGTTGTTGATGAGTGTGAGTAGTTGATCAGGTGACACGACCATTCATAGGAATTCATAGCATACCAATATCGTTCACTTGTATGACCTTGTCAAACTTTGCCAAGAACTGATGGATGGTCTGTTGATGTAGTGTGGATACTGTTTGTTGGTAGAAGTCAACTTCCTTCTTTCCACGCTTGCCTGGTACAGGTTTGTAGACATAACCATCAGATGACATCAAGAATGGTGGTAATCCCTCTGTTCCAGGTGTATCTTCTGTATGACCTGCAATCTGAGAGTCATAATTCCTTAAGTTATTTGTATTCGTACTCATTCTTTTCACTGATGATTCAATCAATCAAGCAAAGACCAAAAAGTGATAAAAAAAGGCTGGAACTTTCGAAAGTTACACAATTTATAAAATGCCAAGGATTTGCTTGGCAATGTGAATGAATGAATGGATAATGGATAATGGATAATGGATAATGGACTTGAAGGACGGATGTGACTCTAGAATATCTCATTGATATGTTCCAGTATCAGTTGGACTACTTGGTTAACATTCTGAGTATCATTGACTACGTTCATGACATTGGTATCTTGGCTCTTGAGTAAGTTGGGTGCCAGTACAATCGACAGATTAGCCGGTGACATCTTATTGATGTTTGAATTCTTGATCACCTTATCCAAGAACTTGAACAAATATCTAGTCAATGCCTTATTAGCCACTGGCAACAATGACATCAACAACTTCAACGACTCTATCTTCTTGTCCAATGGCCTGTTCACCTCTACATCATCATGGATCAATCTTGTTAGTATTCACTCACTCACTCAATCAATCATGTGACTTTGTTTGGGTACTTACTGACTACTTCGATGAATGATGGATAGGTGGAGTAGGGGAAGAGTGGCTCTGGAAGCTCACGAAGGAACATCTTTAGGAGACTGGCAACGGTATGGACATCTTCGCAGTCGTCAAGGTTGACATCTTCACCAGAGTCGAAACATAGTTTGAGTGATTTGACTTGTGAGTTGGCACCAGATAGACGGAACAATCCTTCAGCTTGCAGTCCCCTTCTCTCCAAATAGTCAATTCCCTTGATGAACAATATTGGAACATCATGAGTATTGTCCGGTCTATTCAACAGCTCCTGCAATGGCACGCCAAAGTATGGCGGTGACTTCCTACCCGCTGGTCGATATCTTGGGTCATCGGGATAGGGTGTTAGTCCTTGGATTTGATTGTTTGATTGATTGAGGCCAACTTACGACATGACGGATGATGGAAGATTGAGTTGTTCCCTCGAGAAATATTTGAATAGGTCGCTCAGGTCATCAATGTAGGTCAGCTTCTTCCAGAACTTGGAGCTGATGAATGGTTTGAATAGTCGCAGTGTGAACTTGACCCATGTTGTCGAGTGTACAACATACAATCCCTTTAAGTTCTTTTTGTACCTTAGTGAATGTGAGTCGAGAGTTAGCATGATTGATTGATTGATTGATTGAGTGAGTGCAAGGACACATACTTTCTGTTGAATATGGTATAGACCTTCTTCAACCATGCAAAGCTTGGCTTGTTATCGTTGGACATGTTGGTGTGAACGTAGACGAGGACGTAGTCATCATCGACGATTGGATCCATTACGGAGATGGTGTAGAGTAGGACGCGATCCATGTCAGTCTGCTTGGCGGGCAAGTTTGACACGATAACAACAATCACGGAACGACCAAGATTGTCCTTGCCAGCGCGGTATATAAAATTGAGTGATGCGATATCTTTGAATGTATCCTGCTTCGATCTCTGAAGATAGTCTGCGTATTCGGCCTCTGCTCGTGTCATGCCAGTGCCACTCGATGACGATGATGGTGATGATGTTGAAGATGTAGATTGTGAGACTGCTGTTGTCGCCTTGTTTACTATCGAGCTGAACTTGCTGGTGAGGTTCGAACGAAGTCCACCGACACCACCCTCAGATGTTGTTGGAGCTGGAGTTGGAGCTGGAGCTGGAGTCGGGACCTTGGTCAAGTTGTTGTTGTTGGCGTTGTTTCCAATTTGTAGTCCACCATGCTTGTGATCATATGATTCGAGTAGATCAGCATTGTTCCTCTGCCATTGTGGGATGTTGGCAGTGTCGATGGTGTGATACTGTGGCTTTGGTCGCTGAGCTGGACCTGGATTGAATGAGTAAGGCTTGAGACCAGCACTGTTCCCTGTCTTGTTGTCCTCATCATGATGACCTCCAATAACAATCGCTGAAGGCTTGCCAAGCGTGCGACCACGTGGACCAAATGCATCGTTGCTACCAGCATGTGGCTTTGACATTGTCGTCGTCGATGTCTTTTGACCTGACCAAGGTGTCTGTTTGATGACGGCACATGACGGTTCCTCGTCATCAACATCCACAAGCAACAGTTTAGACTTGTCATCAAACAGATTGATCTTCTCAAACTGATCATCAGTCATATCAGCCAAAGGTGGAGGCTCATCAATCTTATTGTTTGTTCGGCCACCAATCTGCAGTCCACCCATGACCCTCGGTATATTTGGCTTTACTCCAGTAGTGGTCGTCGTCGTCGTAGGTGCAGATGTTGGTGCAGTTGGCGCAGTTGGCGCTACATGTGAATGTATCAATGTCTTTGATCTGTTTGATTGAGGTGCAACTCTACTATACTCTTGTTGTTGTTGTGGTTGTTGTTGTGGTTGTTGTTGGACCACCTTTGTTTGATTGAGTGATGATGATGATGGTGATACATGTTGTTGTGTGGGCGTCACTTGACCTTGTCTATTTATTCCTAATGATGACTTCGATGATATTGTCGGTGTTGTTGTTGTTGTGTCACCAACATGTAATGATGAAGAAGATGGTGATACTGTTGGAGAACCAGTGCCACCTCCACCATTGGCATTATTCAACTTGTTCTGAAATAATAGTTTAGTTGTTGCAACACTGACACCAACTACACTACCTGTACCCTGTGCATTCGTCGTATCATCTTGAGGTAGTACAGTCCTCTTTGATCCTATACTAATATTATTATTATTATTATTATTATTTATCATTTTTCTTTATATATATCAATGAATAAATGAAGAGTTTGTTGACTCAGTGAACTGTCAACAACATATAATGATATTATTATTCATTCATACATTCATTCAATCAATGAGACAAGTACATCACCTGCTGACAAGCATGTCGCGACATCCCATAATTCAAATTCAATCATATTATCTGATTGGTGTGGATGATCTTTTTACAACTTTGGAAGATGAAGTGTGTAACGTTGTTGTTTGTTTATTGGACTTCGTGTTCTCTTTGATTTTTTTACCTCTCACCCACATTCATGAATGATACACACCACAGACTTTATGGATCTTCGAACTTGCCTCCCTCTCTGCATGAATCTCTCGCGCCAGTCGACAAGACAACTTTGAACTGTTCTTACTTCCTTCATTGATCAATCAATATACAGAGATTTGTTAACTTTATATATATATACTCATAAAATGAACACTCCTGTATTCGTCTTAAGTATGTCTTGTTAATAATGATTATGATGATCATAGTCATTGATTTCAACTCAATCATTCAATCAATATAAAAATTGAGACTAACAACAATAACATCATGTTCATAACAATTAGACACCAACGCAAAGCGCGAGGATCAGAAGGAGGCCCAGCAGGGTATCTTCATGGCAGTCAAGGTAAGGTGATCGCGATCAATCAATCATTCAATCAATCAAACAATCAGCAGACAGGGGGCGAATACAGTGACAGCAACATAATCAATCAATCACAGACATCAGCGATAGATAAAGATTAAACAGGTTTATTGACATCGATATCAATCAATCAATCAATCATATAATATTAGGCTGTTGCAAGTATTATCAAGACATGCCTTGGACCAAAGGCAATGTTGAAGATGATCTTGGACCCAATGGGATCGACTGTGGTCACAAACGATGGCAATGCCATTCTTAGAGAGATCGATGTAACTCATCCAGCGGCAAAGTCAATCATCGAGCTGTCACGTGCTCAAGATGAGAACGTCGGCGATGGCACCACATCGGTCGTCATCCTCAGTGCCGAGATGCTCACTGTCAGCGAGCCCCTGATCGACAAGCGCATCCATCCCACACAGATCATCAAGGGCTACAGAATCGCCCTCGACGACGCCCTGCGTCTCATGGACCTGTACTCGCTCAAGATCGACTTGAAGAACCGCAATGAGATCCTCAAGGTCATTCAGTCATCCATTGGCACCAAGTTCATCAACAAGTGGAGCAATCTGATGTGCAACCTCGCATTGGATGCCGTCATGACCGTTCGCATCCAAGATGAGGAGCGTGAGGAGATCGACATCAAGAGATACGCAAAGATTGAGAAGGTATGAATGAGTTATCATGTCGATCAATCAAACATGCCAAGCCATGCTAACTCGACTATCAATCAATCATTCAATCAATCAAACATTAGATTCCAGGTGGAGACATCACAGAGTGCAAAGTATTGAAGGGAGTGATGTTGAACAAGGATGTCACTCACGCCAAGATGAAGAGAATGATCAAGAATCCAAGAATTGTACTGTTAGATTGTGCGTTAGAGTATAAGAAGGGCGAGTCTGATACAATGGTCGACATCACCAACGAGGACGACTTCACCAAGCTGCTCAAGATCGAGGAGGAGTACGTTCAGAAGATATGCAACGACATCATCCGCGTCAAGCCCGATCTGGTGTTCACCGAGAAGGGTGTCTCTGACTTGGCCCAGCATCACTTTGTCAAGAAGGGCATCACCTGTCTGCGTCGTCTCAAGAAGACCGAGAACAACCGTATTGCCAGGATCTCTGGCGCCACCATCGTCAGCAGAACCGACGAGCTGCAAGAGAGCGACGTCGGTACCGAGTGCGGTCTGTTTGAGATCCGCAAGATCGGTGACGAATACTTCACATTCTTGGAGGAGTGCAAGAACCCCAAGGCCTGCACCATCGTCCTGCGTGGTGCCAGCAAGGACATCCTCAACGAAGTCGAGAGGAACATCCAGGACGCTATGAGCGTCGCGCGCAACGTTGTCTTGGACCCACGTCTGGTGCCCGGTGGTGGTGCCATCGAGATGGCCATCTCACAGGCACTCTCTGAGAAGTCCAAGTCCATTGAAGACATCTACCAATTCCCATACAAGGCTGTCGCTACAGCCCTCGAGTGTATCCCAAGGATTCTGGCTCAGAACTGTGGATCAAACACAATCAAGCTGCTAACTGAGTTGAGAGTAAGTCAACACAATACATCACGATACTCAATCAATCAAACACTAACATCTTCACACTACCATCTTTAGGCCAAGCACGCTGTCAACCCAATGGAGAACAATACATGGGGAGTCGATGGAGATAAAGGTATTATTGTCGATATGAAGGAGTTGGGCATTTGGGACACTCACGCCGTCAAGGTGCAGACTTTGAAGACCGCCATTGAATCAGCCTGCACAATGCTTAGAGTCGATCACATTGCCTCGGCTGTTTCCAAGAAGGGTGGTGACCAGCATGGACACTAAACAGAGGTTGACGGTTTAGAGGAGGATGGGTCGGATCTGCTCATCCATCCATCCATCCATCCTCAGTCCAAGTCCACAGTCCAATAAATCATCATTATCTTTATATATTTTAACCAAAGTGTACATGATGTGGTCTGGTCCATTATTATTATTCATTACCATTATTCATTGAATAACACCTAGATCATTGTAACCGGGTAATACCTACCTACATATCTGTATATGTCTTGCGTTGGTTAACAGACAGGGACATGGAAATGAATGAATGTCGACGAATGATGGGCAAGTAGTAAGCAAAAGGTTTGTTTTTTAGATGAATCATACATTATGAAGCCCCAATAAAGTGGTTATATTACAATGGGTATTCTTATCATTGACAAAAAATATCTACTAATAACTAATAATACAAATGATACCAAATGTATAAATAGATATCCTCCTTCAGGAGATAGATGTAATAATATTTTATAATTTTCAAACAAATAATTAATAATGTATAATAATTTTAACAAGATAGTCCTAGTTTTGGTTGTACTTGTTTGTGTATTCCAAACTACAAATGGTTGTTTGGAGACTTATATGACAAGATATTCAACTGCTATTCATTTGACTGCTAATGATAATGGAAGAAATGTAGTTGAGGAGGTACGTTCAATCAACTTTAACAACTGTTTCACTTGGTACACAATCTTTTGGGGAGGAAGTGATGCCAATGGTTTCATGACCACAAGACACAACTGCCAGAACCTCGGTGAGAACGAGTTCTACTTCTCAAGAAATGGTTTCTCATCAGGTAAATAATTATTTTATTATTGATTTAATATTCTTTTTCTAACATTCAATATTAAACCAGGATGGAAGCCATTTAACCAGGGTTGCCCAATTTGGAGCGGAACACCACCTCTTGATTCAAGATACGCTCAATGTGATTCAAGAGATTGGTGTTAACACCAAATATACCCATTTATTATTATTAATAATAATAACACCAATACATTATAATAAATATAACACAAATATTATTGGGGCCAATAATGTCAAACTGTGAGTGATAACTTTGTATTTCAAGTTAATCAACAAAAGTGTGTTTATGAGTTTGATTTTCGTGATACCACTAAACTATTGGAGAGGGAAAGGAAGAATGATTAAATCAATTAGTTTAATAATTTGGTTAAAGTTAAATATTAATATTAAATCCTTAACTAATTATGATTATAAAAACCCATGAAACACATCTTAATATATCATTATCCAATTTCTACATTTAATTAACAATGGGCAACTCAAATAACAAACAAACCCTTAACAATAATCAGATATATCTCCCAGTCTCAGTTCCCTTAGAGATCTCATGTTGTGAGAAGGAAAAACCTCTATCTAAGGATCCAAACAATAATAATAACAACAACAACCAGAATAATAATGATTATAAAACATTCAAGGAGGATCAAGTTAAATATACTGAAATGTTAAAGAGAATTGAATCTGAGGTCAATACTGTAAGTATTATTTTTGGGCAATATTAATATTAATCATTTATTAACCTTTATTATTCCCATTTTTAGATTGAATTCTTTGTCCTTGCCAAACTAATCTTGAAATTTGAGTTGGAACGTATATCCTCTCTCATCTTGATTATTTTCCAGAATAGATATTCTGAGCATGTCAATCGTGCTGGAATTCCAGATACTCTGAAGAACATACAAGGAAAGATATTGGAGTTTATTTCCCACTACCTCCTTTTCGTAGATAGTTATAAGAAGGACATAGCTTCTATCTCAATATTAGAGTACGCCACCAAACTAGAGTCTATCGAGAACTATATGTGGTCCCTATACCAAGCAATAAGCTCTTTAACCAATCAATTGGTTAAAAGTGTTGCAACACAACTTCCAGAGTTGGAGATGCAATCAGAAGATCTCAAGAAGGATATGAATATTGGATTGGGGTATGTTAAAGAATATTATATATGACATTATTCAGTACTAACACTAATCAATCAATCTATTGGAAATATAGAGTGGGAATATCCACTTTAGTAGTTGGTATTGTTTTGACTATTACTGGATTTGTTTTCTCTCCAGTAACTGGAGGCACTTCACTTGTTTCTACCGGCGCTGGAGTATTGATGATTACTGGTGGAACAGTAGGAGTAGGTATTGGATCAACTGCTGTGGCCATCCCTGTGATCAAGTTCAATGATATTAAGAAGCTTATCAATGGATTGAATCAAAGTGTGGATACGTCTCTATTATACAAGGCCAAGTTAACTCATCTCAAGGACCAGGTTGGTCTTAAGGAAATGTTCTTGAGAGCACTCTCAAATGTTGAGCCAAACGGATACATTTGCCTTATCTGCAGAGAAAAGTTGAGGAACCCTGTATACACTTTGAATGGAAGGTCTGTCACTTACTATTGTTATGATTGCCTCGAAAAAGCATTGGACAAAAATCCTAGAAACCCATTGACCAGAGCCCCGATGGTGATTGCCGATGCTAGAAAATGCACAAAGGAAGAAGAAGATATTATGAACAAGTACGAGGTGACTAAGAGGAATATCGAGATTTCAGAGTTTTGGAAATGATCCATTAGAATGTGTCTCTCTCTCTATCAACTTTGCTCCACATTACTGTCTCCAACAATATTTAAAGCTCTCTAATTATCTTTTATTAAAATTATATCTATGTTTCTCAAAGAATGAATGATTCAATAATAATTAAAGAAGGATAGAATAGGATAGGACATTCAATTGAATGTACTTTTTTCTAGGTAGATGTATACCAATCTAGGACATGCGAGAATGAATGGACATGTGTGTGGTGTGTTGACACTTCACATGTTACCCCCATCTTCAATACACTACTAGTGTCAACAACACGAAGGTGTTGTTATCTGATGATGTTGAAGGTGATAATGGTTATATAATGATAATCAACAACTATATGATGTTATAATAATAATAAATAGTTATCATAATAATTAAAACAAATAAATATTTATTGGATTGAATGAAATGAATTACTTAAAGAACAAAGAAGCTTCATACAAGAAGTTGGTCAGCACTGATAATGATGCAAGTGTCAGCAACACAGCTGCTGTGACAGGTACATCATCATCAATAGACATTGATCAATATCAACCAAACAACATCAAAGATGTTGACAATCACAATCGATACGATAAACAACAACAACAATCTTCATCATCAACATTATCATCGTCAATGCCAACTCGTATATTAGTGATACCAGAGGGTCAACAAACAAGTGATAACTATAGTGTAGTGTCAGTGGATGTTCATCCGGGAGGAGAAGAAAAGCAATCATCAAACAATCAAGACCTTGATGAACGAGAAAGAGACGACTTCAAAAGATATATGTCTGGAATGGACCAGGACAATGTGCCTCTGATACAGGACATAGGACATGTTGATATCAACGAAGATGACCTGCCAAGCGAACCTCCGCCCAACCAACCATTACTGCCATTATACAAACTAATAGCACTCTCAATCTCTTTCTTGGGCGTTCAGTTTGGTTGTAAGTGTATTAAGAATGATGTCAAGATCAAAGATTGAATGCATGGCTGACCATGACCATGTTTTCACAATAGGGGCCTTGCAAATGGCATATAGTACTCCGATGTTCTTACAGCTTGGAGTGTCACGATTCTGGGTATCATTTATTTGGATCGCGGGACCTGTTTCAGGACTGATAGTCCAGCCAATTGTTGGAGTGATCAGTGATCGATTGGTATCCAAATATGGAAGAAGGAAACCATTTATATTCTTTGGATCAATATGTATTGGTATGTTGTTGTACCTAACAACCCAAGGTCTACGTTCAATCAATCAAACTAACCTCCAACTCATAGTTCTTGGACTTATGTTAATATCAAATGCACCTTCAATTGGAGCAAAGATGGGTGATACTCCAGATAAACAGACCAAGGCTATTATATTAGCGGTAAGATAATAACTCTTCAGTTGGAATCCAAAGGATGTGGCAACTGAACTGACTATTTCAATCATATAGATCATTGGATTCTGGATATTGGACCTTTCAAACAATGCTGTACAATCACCTTGTCGTGCACTTTTGGTTGATGTCGCACCACCTGCTCAACAAGGACTAGGTTCATCCCTATTCTCCATCATGTTAGGCATTGGTAACCTATTAGGTTACTTCATGGGCTCACTCAGTTTGGTTGGATTACTACCCTTTATGAAGACAGACATTCGGATATTATTTAGTAAGCATTCAATCAATCGATCAACCATAACGCCATTGACTTACATACACTACCCAAGCCATCTCTAGTATAGTCCTTTTAATATCAATATCAATCACACTCATTGTTATCAAGGAGGATACTTATCAACCGATCAATCAACATCTAGAATCGACAAACTACCTCCGCCATATATTTGACTCATTGCGAGACATACCTCCATACTTGTCGCGAGTATGTTGTACACAGTTCTTCTCATGGATTGGATGGTTCTGCTTTGTTCTCTACGTCACCACATGGGTTGGAGTCGATGTCTATCATGGCAATCCCAACGCACCCGCTGGATCAATTGGTCTCGACCTATTCCAAGAGGGAGTGCGCCGAGGCTCTCTTGGCCTATCGATCCAATCAGTCGTGGCCATTGCCTCCTCCCTGCTTTTACCTTGGCTGATAAGATTGATTGGACACAAGGAGATTTACTTCATAGGAACATTCATTCAAGCAGTGTGCTTTGGACTGTTCTTCTTTGTCGAAGGACGCATATCGTGTCTGTTCCTCATTGGTGCAACAGGATTCTCGTGGGCAGTCGTCATGGTAATGCCATTCACAATAGTTGGAATGGGATCAACTGCCAGCAAGAGTGGACTACACATTGGAGTGATGAACATATTCGTGGTGGTGCCACAACTACTAGTATCATTGACGATCAGTTTCATCATTGATCTCTTTGGAGGTGATATAGTTATATCATTGTTAACTGGATCAGTGTCATCATTCATTGGTATGTATCTATCTCTTCATTCGAGCTGCGTGTTCATTTATTCAAACTAACACATAATCTATGTTTAGCCGCACTATCTGTTCTACGATTGATTATTCCTGAATATAATATTGATCAACTAACTTATTAATATATCAATGAATGGTGGACATGATCAATCAGTTCTAGACATTTATAAATGTATACATTCGTCACATGCATCTTCCAGTTTGAGATGGACTCGTTCGTTTTTTTGAAGGGTACCCCTTTTGACATCTGTAAAGTTCATTCTTGGGTTCAACTTATACCTGATCATCTTATTTATATAAACACATATACATGTCTGTCTTTGACAACAACAACAACAGCAACAACGTCATTGTTAAAAAGATGAAGAAGAGGAAATCGAGGGAGGTTGATGAGGCGGAGGATGTAGAGAAAGTGGAGGAAGTGGAGGAGGTAGAGGAGGTAGTCGAGGTCGCCCCCATCAAGAAGAAGAAGGTCATTGTCAAGGCAGCCACTTCCACATTGATAACAGGTCGCACATTAGTTGATTATTCAAACCCATTTGGATTGTTACCAGATGACACTGATGGAGACAATGAGGATGCAATCAAGAATTCAAAGAAGCTAAAGGCAACTATTGAGAGTGTGTTCACATCATCAACCACGACGACAACGACAACAGAGCGAAGAGAGATATTCAAAGAGTATTCAGAGGTCTATGGAGAGCAGGCCAAACTAGGTGTGGAGATTGCAAACAAGAGTAGATACGCGACGATAAGAGACATTCAACATTATATCAAATGGTTGTTGTCAGACTTTGCAGAGACGACGCCCAACTGGATCTTCACCAAGAACAAACCATTGCTACAAAAGTTGGTCGTCGTAGTGGTGCCAGCAATCGATGACCTGCTGTACGAGAAGGTCTGTCTGCTCTCAGGCAAAGAATGGTTCACAGATAAGCTGCCACACTCATCCACAATGAAGATACACACTGTTGTGCCCAGCAAACCTCCCTCACAATCACTCTACGAGCATCTGTTCACTGTCAAGACTTTGGTGGCCAAGGAAAAGAGACAGGGTGGCTCCAATGGCAAGGTGTTGCCAGCATCTGGATACCTTCTTGCCGACGACGAACTCATTGAGAATGGGTACCCTCAATCCAAAGACTGTACAGCCTCACCATGGGCACGCGCTGTCCTTGGCAAAGACAATGATCCATTCAATCTCCTTGCTGTCGATTGTGAAATGGTATGACAAAGATCACGAGACTAGTCTCTGATGGACACTTAATCAATCGACCGATCACTTACCTCCAACTCCCTGGAATCATTCCACTTTCCCACCCACTCAATCAATCAGTGTGTCACAACAACTGGAAAAGAACTGACACGCATTAGTATAGTGGATGAGAATAACACGGTATTGATGGACGAGTATGTAAAGCCAGACAATCCAATCACAGACTATGTTACACGCTTTAGTGGTATCTCAGAGGAAACACTGAGGGACGTGACGACAACACTGAATGATATTCAAGTCAAGCTGAAACATCTGATTAAGAAGAACACAATCCTGATTGGACACTCATTGGAGAATGACCTCAATGCGATGAAGTTCTACCATCCCCACATCATTGACACCTCTGTCTGTTTCCCCACTGGCAATCACACCAAGTTCCCCCTGCGCGTGCTGGTCAAGAGGCATCTGGGTCGCGTGATCCAGGCAGGCAACGATGGTCACAACTCAATAGAGGACGCCAAGGCCGTCATGGACCTGGTCAAGCTCAAGATCGAAAAGGGCAAGGACTATGGCACATCGCTCGAGCACAACGAGAACCTGTTCAGCATTCTACACAAGTATAACAAGCGAGCGACCATGATCGATACGATCGAGGAGATCACACAGCACTCGACCAACGTGGTGTCGTGCGTTAAGTGCAACACCAAGAGCGAGGTGGCAGAGCGCGCCATGAAGGAGCTGCGGGGCTCCAGCGACTTTATCATCTTTAAGCTCTATCAATTGGCCGATCACTACAAGGCTGTGGAGAAGTTGTCATCGGAGGAATCGCAGCAGCTAGAGCAGCAACTCATTCAATCGATCAATGACGACACATCGAGCGAGGGCAAGGCAAAGAAGCAGATCATGAAGGAGCTGAGCAAGTGGGACGGAACCATACCCGTCAACAAGCCAGTGTTTGATGTGTTCCAGACCATCGACGATCAGCTGACCAAGATATACGATCAAATGACGTCCAACTCAATGTTGATGGTCCTGTTTGGTCCAGGAGCATTCAATTGTATCAATCGGTTCCAGAACGATCCAGACAAGGCTGAGGACTATGTGCTCGCCGTCGAAACTGCCAAGCTAGGAATGGTCAAGATAGGTATCAAATAAAGGGTGGTAGCTTTGAACCATATATACATTTGAAATGATCGATTGATTGATTGATTGATTGAATGATTGAATGATTATTGAGCTGCATATGATATAGCCATTGGATTGACAGGTGTCACCTTGAAGGCCTGCAGATTGGTCATTGCCACTCCAGACTTGATGTCGTCGTCGAACTCTATGAATGCTACACCCTTCCTTGCGGCAGTCATATTGACACTCTGGAATCCTGGGAACCTATTGTAATGATTTAGAATGTTAGACATCATCTTTGGAACTACTCCAGCCTCCGGCCTTGCCCGTTGTATACATACTGTGAGAACAACATCTCCAACATCATCGGCTCGCAAATGTCTGGCAGGTTCTCGACGAATAGGATCTTGTTGGGTGGGAACTCTTTGGCTGGCCTGCTCGAAGAGGAGAAGGATGGTCCTTTTTTTGTGTCTTGTTTCTTTGAAGCTTTCTTTTTCTCGAGCACCTCATCATCGCGAGGTCTCTTCTTCTCTACGAATGTACCGTCGAGCTTGGCGACAGCGTCTGATTTTGACTTGCAGTATGTTACTTTCATCTGTCTACCGAGGAAGTCATGACTATCCATTGCCTTCATCGCCTTTGACGCCGACTCTACATCACTATACACAATGAATGCCTGTCCCTTCATTCTCTGTCTCTTTGATACAACGATATCCAATATAGTTCCATACTTTGAGAACACTCCTTTCAGTTGTTCTGTAAGCTCTATATGTGTTATTGGTTCATAGTTAGTCCATGGTCGATGGTCATGTTTGTTTGAATGAATGAGTGATGGTCATATTACTCTTTTTCGAAGGTCTTTCATTGAGATTGTTAACATATATAGTCTGATTGGGTACTGCCTGTTCTTCTGATTCTTCAATCTCTGTATCCTGTTGTTGTTGATCTGTCTCTGTGTTTGTCTCTGTCTTTATAACATCCTCAATATCTGTATCCTTTTGTTGATCCTGTTGTTCTATCTTTGTAGCAGGTGGTTGTTGTTGTTGATCCAAACTAATTGTATCTACAACTTCATCCTCATCAATAGGTTCAACTGATGGTGACTTTGCACTATGTTGTTCAGACATCTTTAGAAGATTGTATATATATTTATAAGTATAGATAATGTTACAGATAAGTTTGATTGATTGATTAGGTCTTCGAAAGTCAATGAAACGTGACCCCCTCCCTTTGAAGAGAATTCTGCAAGTCCAGAGTGAACTCGAACTCAATCAAGTTGGCGAATTAGTCAAGGATGAATGAATGAATGAATGATTTATTAATTAAAGGGTCACAAAGATGTTTCTCTTATCTTATCTTCTCTTCTATTCTCTTCTCGGATGTTATTGATTGAAAATAATAGTGATAATAATAGTGTATGTACGTTTTAGTTGATATGGATGGAACTGTAAATCTTGCGCACAAAGAAGTAGCATGAATAGTATCCAATGGCACCAGTCACCACAAAGAAGGACAGTGACATGATCAATGAGTATCCAAAGTAAAGGAGGACGGAAACAAACTTGGTGATCTGCAGACGTCTAAAGAAGAAAATAGTGTACAGGAACATAAAGAATGCCGATGCTCCCGATGTCAAGAATGATCTCCACCACCAATGGTAGTCCTATTAGTTGATATGAATGAGGTTAGTTAGTGACTGGACATGGCGCTGTGTATCTTCGGATCAATCAACATACCTCTGCACAAAGTTGGAAGTAGCACATGACAATGGTGATCTCGGCAGAGGTGACAATGAGGATGACTAAAACGATAAAGAGGAATCCAAAGATGTAGTAGAACTGGTTGTCCCAGAGTGCTGAGAGGATGAAGTAGAGCTCGATAAAGACGGCGCCAAATGGTAGGATGCCACCCATCAGGATGGAGAGCGTTGGCTTCATGTACCAGATCTGATCGGGTATCTGGCGGGGGATTTGGTTGGTGCGCACCGGGTCTTGGGGCACTGGCTTCTTGGAGGCGTAGTAGCTTCCGCAGAACACCAATGGCACAGAGATACCGAACCACATAGCGATCAATGAGAGGAATGTTGGGAAGGGCACGGCAGCAGATGATCCAGCGCCTCTAAGGAACATATTGATGATAAAGAAAATTGTAAAGATTATTCCTGGGAAACCGAATGCAGTCTATAAAGTTGTTGTTAAAGTTGTTGAGATTAGTACTTGGTCGCGTGAGGTTGGATCGTGATTGATTGAATGAATGAACATACGTAGATAGTGTTCCTCTTCCAGTTCTGACCCTTGAAGATCATGTAGTTCCTTGTCGAGAAGTATCCAGCAAACATACTATGGGGAGGGAGATGTGTTAGTTGATGGGTCATGTCAGTGTCATGGACTTGGTCCACAATATACTTACGCCATGATAATAAAGAGTACAACGAGAGCAGTTGCAAGACTTCCAATGTTGGCTGGTGAAAGGAAACCAAGGAAGGCGAACAACATGGTGACGCCAGCCATGGAGAAGAGCTGGACACCACTGCCAATCATGACAGAGAGAAGCATTGGACGACTGGGGGGACGGAAGACATCGCCGTGGATCATCTTCCAGCCAGTCTCCTCAGCCTCCTCAGAGGCGTCGATGGTGTTGTAACGTCTAAAGTCGGCCTTGAGCGTTCTCATCAAGATCATTCCGACCATGATCGTCAAGAAGAAGACGATGATCAGCGAGTTGAGGATGGAGAACCAGTGGAAGCGACGTGACTGCACGTCGGTGCTGAGCAGCGAGTCCCAACGCTTCTCCCAACGGACATCGCTCTGCTTGAACGTCACACTGTATGTCCAATAGATTGTCTCCTTGGCCGAGGTCACAGTCTGGCCATATGCGGCGGACCTAACTTCAGGACATTCGGACTGGTCCTTACGGTAAGTATCTGGGTTGTAAGCAATACTGATTGGTGTCACTTCGAATCCGACCACTCTAAATTCATCCTCTCCATTCTTGTGATAAAGGATAGTAATGTTGGCATGATTGTATACATAGTTCTTTCCAAGTTCCTAAAGTGGTATACATGTTAGATGTGATCATTCGATCATTCAATCTATCATTCAATCAATCATTCGAATCACTTACCTCATCAACAGTACCAATGTAACCCAATGGGAAACCTGGCTCATGAGGTGAACCACCGGACAATCTAACTGGAAGACCATCGAGGATCCAATGTACCTTGTATTCATTCTGAATCTTATCGCTCAAATCCTTCAATTGTCCTTGATCCAAATCATCAGTGCATACGGCACCCTCAATCGAGTTCAGTACCTTGCAATTGACTTCATTCAAGAATGATATCTAAATTTAAAGATTGTGATTGATTGATTAGTTCCTGTTTCTGTGTCTGTGTTTCTGTATTCAATCAATCAATCATACTTCATAGAGTGAACTTTCGATTCTGTCTCCAAGGAGAATCTCACCGAGGTTCTCAGACTCGTCTTGGATCTTGGCGGGTCTGCACACTGGCAGTTTGTAATAGGTGAATGGGAGTTGAGTGTGAACAGAGGTGATCTTGTTGACCTTTAGCAACACCTCATCGTCTTTCTTATAATCCTTTGAGAACATTCCAGGCAAATAAGCATCGACATTTGCCACTGCGCTTATCAACATCAAAGCGACCAACAACTTTGTCGCCAGTTGTGTTGATATAATCATTCTTTGTTTGTTGTATATATGTATATGTATATGTAATAATAATAATAATCAAAAAATAAGTTGAATGAATGAGTGAATGTGTGTGAAAGATAGGAGAGATAAAGTGTGTTTGAGTTGATGTGCGTGAAATGGAGATTGGCTCTCAGTCGATTGAGTCTTTCACTTTCATACACAAACACACACAAGCAAAGAAATTGGAAGGTGGCTCCTCATACACACTCACTCTCTTTCACTCATATTATTATGATGATTGATTTTTATTTATTATTAATTTGATGAGTGACGTGTGTGATTGTAATGCAACAACAAACTGAATGACAATAATGGTGCGTTCAGACAAAGCCTGGCAATTGCCTTTGCCAACAACTGCTGCAACGTTGCATGTGTATGAACACTCTGGCTAATCACACATATATTTTTATCTCTATACATAAATGTATGATTGATCTTGATTGAATGGGTTCTTCGATTGATTGGATTGAATGTGGAGTGTTGATTATCTCACTAATCTTAAGGTTGAAGAAATCAAGTCAAAGTTGGTCTATCAATCAAAGAGTCAATTGACTTTGAGAGCTCCTGTGATTATGTGGGTATGAGGAGGGCATGAGGAGGGCATGTGCTAGCACATTGAATGGGCTTGAGGTATCAGACGATGGAAGTACACTACTTTCTCGTGTTTATTAGTGACTCTAGGGCAGGTACAACTTTACCATCATTCTCTCGCAGTGCTAGTTCGGCAACATCGGCTGTTGTCTCCAATTCGCTACAGATCAATTCAATATCTGCCTTATCAACCTTTACTGCTGCCAATGCCTTTTGTCTAAAGAATCATGTATAATGATTGATCGAATGAATGATTGATTGAATGAATGATTGTAAGTTGTTACTGTCGATCAAACTACACTAACTCTCATACACAACACCTACCTTGCAATACGTTTCTCTTCCTCCTCTTTATTGGTTTGATTCAGTTGTGACATTGCCTTCATTGCCTTTGAATCGTCAATTCCTTTCTCAACAGCTGTAGTCTGATTCTGGAGCATACTATTCATGCTCTGCTTCTCTGCCTGTGCCATATTTATATTATGTTTATATTAGTTGTTACTTTGGTATACTGAGTCATCAGATCACGTTCCAAAGATTTTTGAGCGACTAAACGCAACACAAACTCATCCAACCGTCTTATCTTGTTCTTCCATTCTTGTTTGTGATCCACTGTGATTGGAACCTACACGTAGCACTTGAACCAACCTACCCACAATCAATCAAACAACTCCTTTCTTTGGTCCACGTGGTACCTACAACAAGTACATGGATTATTTGAACATCATCTCTTCAGACTTTTCTTGCCTCGTTTAGATAAATTAAGTATGTCTCAAGAGAGAGTAACTGAATGAAGGATTGCGATTGACACGACAACAATCATATATGATGTTCAAGGCAATGACCATGATTGTTATCACAATCATGTATTTAACTTTGATTGTATGTATTGTTAGGGTAGACTGTTCTTAGTATCCACCCGATAACTCTATATCTCACTCATAGCTCCTTCTATCTTTCAATAAATATATACACCTACATTAACAACAAACTTGGATCAACCAAACATTGTTAGTACGTTCAACTCTGGCTATCCTTTCGCATGCGAAATGCAATCTCTCGAGTCAATACGACAGATAATGTGACAATCTAGAATGAGGTGATTAAGTTGAACATCAGTTGAATACTTTTGTCAAACACTCCAAGGTATCCATTCACTGGATCGAATGAAACAGAGTAATTATAGATTGGTGCCAGATTACTTGTTTGGACCATTAATGGCTTGGAAGTATGTGTTTCTGGATTGATTTGGGCAACGTAGAGTTTGTTTGGTCCTTGATAGTTGTTGGTGAGTTGTACAACATACCAATCGTGATTAATGGAGGAGACTGTAATCCATTCATGGGAGTAGTGTCTGTGGTGTCCGATACCCAGTTCATACTCCTTTGCATGTCAATGCCAGAGGATATGACATGTATGTAGAATGTTCTCCTTCTATCTCTATGATGCAGATATCAACCAACTTACTTTAAAGAGTAACTCTAGCTTTAAAGATATCTTTCAATGGATGGGCAGTCCAGGTGATTGGTATCAATACCCGTACAGCATTGGAGTATTCAATGACACTCTGTATCTCTATGACTCACAATATGTCAGTGGAGCATGTACCATGATATTGAATATCTTTAGCATGGCCGATGGATCAATTTGATCATAATAGCTGGCCGCCTGATTATTTTCAAGAATTGGCTCCATATAGGTTTGGGTTGTCTTGACAACTGAATCAATCATGACGAATTCGTCATACAGGAAACGATAGGTTGTTGTGTTTCACTTGCATTTGCAGTTAAGTTGGGAGTTGCTATATAAAGTGTGCCACTGTAGTAACACTACTGCTAACTACAAAACAAAAAGATTGATGTTATTCAATGTATAGTGAAGCATATCAATGTTTGAGTGTCTTACATGTTGTTATTTACATTTGTAGTTACTTGGATACATTTATTAATAATCAAAGTGAGGGATCTGGAGGATGCATTGATAGAGAGAAGCATGAGCAAACTCCCCGGATAGTTTAATGTAAATGATTCCCAAGTGATCAATTACAAGACATCGTGCTATTCTGAAGTTTTAGCAGTGGTGGCAGGAGCCATTGGAGCAGGAGTTGGATCATTGGTAGCTGGAGCTTCAGTAGTGATGACTGGTCTAACGACAGTGTTGTCCTCATTCCATGAGATTTCGCTGTTGGTGAGGTCAATGGTATTCTTAGCTGACACAGTTGGAACACTGGAGGCAGTGTAGTTGTTCATGTTGGAGATAATTAATTAATCAATGAATGGTCTTTGATGATGTGTCGTGATCATCATGACCACATTCTTTTTAGATAATTTAATAAAATGATGGAAACTAGACAAAATTTCATCCAAATATCATTTGTTTTTCTATTAACTCAACAGAAAATTCGACTCTGGAAACAACAAGCAGGAAGAAGAAGAATTCAGTGAAGATTGCGAGGTTCATGGTGAGGTCGGGAGGTGTCGATGTTAAGTCATGGTTTTTGTTTAAAGTCGTTGGATCCAGTTAACTGGCCTCAAATAAGGACACCTTAGCCAAGTGGTTACGGCGTTTGACTCGAAATCAAATCCCTTCGGGGGCGCAGGTTCGAATCCTGCAGGTGTCGAATACTTATTGTTAATTGATACCCTGTGTAGCATGAGGAATTTCCAGGCAAGGCAAAGTGTTTATATTAAACCTGGAATGATTTTGGTCTACTTTCATCAACTATCTACCTCTGGTTGTGTTTAACTTGTCTTTATGTGAATGAAGTCTCTTTGAATGTCCTCAACTTCATCTCTCTCTAGGGAGCGATTGATCTTCTACAAACACAACTACCATCATACTTTATTTGAATCGCTTCATACTTAGTGTCCTCATCATTCTGTGTTTGAGCACTGCATTTTTCTTTACGATAAAGATAGTTGCAACGACGACTAACAATGCACAAACAACTGAACAAGTAACAATGACTGGAATCTTCCAGTTGTTTCCATTGCCAGAACATTCTCCATTGCCGTCTGCTGGGGCCACCAACAAAGAGCCAAAGTTTGGATCGACCACTGCGTATTGTTCAAAGTGAGGTATGGTGATGCAAGTCAAGATGTTGAGCTTGTCGCCTCCATATGTCTGTACTGCTTGTTGAACGGCCTCATCAGTGTCTGGCAACACATCGACCTGACTGTGTGACACTCTGTCGTCCACGATGATACGGTCCGAGAAGTAGCCCTCAAGCACCAGAGCACCCTGACTAATTTCAATCGAACGCAGTGAAGACTGTTGATTGCTTACGGCAGCGCTAACCTTTGACTTTTGTACATTGCCACAGTTCCCAACTGATGCGGCAGCCTGTGACAGGAAGAGAACTTGCAGTGCGTTGGTCTTGGCACCAAACGACCAGCTGTTGATTCGGACCACATACTTGATTGAGTTGTCCAGCACTTGGAACGCATCGCCAGCAAAGTCATACTGGCTGGCATTGGTAAACACTGTCATGTCGATAACTACACTCAATAGTGGATCGCTGCTGAATGTGCCATTCAATATAAAGTGTCCGCTGCCGAAATTCTGTGTGGTCCATGAAGCATCCTTGAGGTATACCTGCTTGACAACAACATTGCTCGATGTGACCTCTCTAAGCTCTGTCACACTAATGTTGAAGTGAAGATTATGATCGCTTGATCCGAGTACCACTTGTGTCGTGTTGCTATCGATGTTTGGTATGTCTGTAGTCTGACCAACTTGAATCTCCACTGAACATGTAATACCAGTCCATCCCTGTTGGCACTGGCACTTGCTCAAAGTACTGTTGCAATCACCATGCTGGCACACTGGACACTGAGTTGGCACTTGGTAGATGAATGATTGAGAGGTAAAGTGCAGAGAGTCGACCGAGACGGTCACTGGCAATGATTGATTGCTGTCTGGATATGGTACATCTGAGCTGAACTGACATTGAATCTCTGTGCCATCATTGTTGGATCGTGGATTGATACACTGTTTGCCACCGATGGTCACGTTCAAGTTGGTGTTGGCAAAGTTGGCGCCATTGATTGTAACTGTGCCAGACTGATTGAACTGAGTGGAACGGACACCGACCACTGATGGAGATTGGTAGTCGAGTGCATAGCCGAAGCCATCACCAACATTGTTGGTAATTATCATGTTGCTCTTTCCAGTTCCACGAGGAGCAACACATGACAGTTGGTACCAGCTATCGACCTGTCTCAACACCTTGAGTTCAGTGCACTCTAAGCCTCCCACAGTAATCTTTAGCACCTGATCATTGATGTAGGAGTATGGTGCCATGTAGTAACCGGTGATGTTGATCAAGCCTCCATTGGTTGGTGGACTGGTGCTGTTCTCGAATCTTGGTACGGCTGTGAATGTCTTTGGCTTGGATCGCTGGCCGCCCGACACGATTGAGAATGTTCCACTCCTAACGGTGGGTGGCAGTTGGAACTGAAGCGTAGTGTATGTGGCCGAGGACACTGTTGAGGGGATTGGATCGGATGTGAGTCCCTCGAGCATGGCATTACCAGAGTCGAAATGATACAGGTAGTTGCCCAAGACCATTAGAACAGTGTTGTTACTACCGGTAGTGTTAAAGACCAGGGGCAGAGGGTAGGATACCAACAATGTGTTGGACTGAAGACCATCTTGATTTCGCGCAAACAATTTATGGTTTGCCCCCACCTTATAGAGCGGAGTAAAGACCTTTCCATCTGGGCTTGGTGCAGCATTCATCCATACTATTTGATCAAGTATGAATGTGAATGATTGCATATCAAAGTATATTCCAGTGAACCTATTACCATTCATCAGATCAAATGTTGGTGGTTCCATTGATAATAATACTGGTCTGAATACTATTGATTGATTGGTTTGTATTAAATGGGTGAGTGATTGAGTGATGGGGATAGTTCCAGATACATACTGTATGTTGATTTGAATGGCTTTAGATTGCCCTGGTTACTGATGACGACTGATCCATTGGCTGCTGATGATTGGATTGTACATGTCAAGAGTGTGTCATTGATAAAGATCAATGGCTTGCATGGTGCACCTCCCACTGCCACACTCAACGATGGACTGTACATCATTAGACTGTCTCCAAACACCTGTATCGTTTGAAGGTTTGATTGATCCTGTGTTACATTGTTCACGACCAAGTCTATAAGGTTGGGAGAGGGGGCGGGAGGAGAATGAGTAAGTGATTGATTGGTATGATTCCCATACATCTCCAACAACAACAACAACATACTTTTGACTGTGAATTGAACTGTGTTGGAAGTGGAAGTTGCATCACCTGCACGCATGATGGCAATGTTGTAGGTTCCCTCGGGTGGTGCATTGACAATGTTTAACACGCATGCAGAGTCTATTGTGGCAAAGGAAACGCAGTTGACTGGTGCCTGAGTCGTGTTGACAAACTTGACCTGTAGTACATCGATGTTATTTCCAAATGCCGATCCAAACACTGTTATCGTGCCACCTGAAGAGGGGATGGCACGTGGCGACACTGATGTCAGAGCCATCTTACGGAGATCCAGGTCGTAGGGCTTTGATGTAACATCGTTGCCAGTGCCTGCTTCTGCAACAATCTTGACTGTTAGGTTGTAGCGTTGGGGTGCAAGGTTGGCATCCAGGTTGCAGACGATCATTGTTGTCGTTGTCATTGAGCCAACAATAGTGCACTTGGGATAGATCTCGAGTGCGAGTGGAATAAAGTTGAGTCCAGTCATTGTGATCTGAGTCGAGGCAGCCGATGCACGGGTCAACGTCTTGATGATGGGCGCGTCGTACCAGATGTAGTAGGGGAACACTCGTTTGTCGGGCAGCACAACTTGGACCGTGCGGTTGGCATAGCCTCCGTTGCCATCGTTGATCAACAACTTCTTGTTGGGCACATCCAGTGAGCCAGTAAGGTTTAGGGTGCCCCTGATCATGATGACGCCAGTTGACGACGATGCCCAGCCATAGTTCTTGAGCATCGCGATAGGGTACGAGCCACCATCGATTGGGATTGATACCTGGTTGACACTAGTGTCGACGACTGGTGTGCGGACACCCAGCACAACGACAAAGGGACGTGTCTGAGAGATGGAGGCGGGGTCCACTCCAACAATCTTTCCAAGCACCATGTCGTAGTAAAAGTTGCCAGTTGTCGTTGGTTGTGGCACTGGTGTCAAATTGATCACATGATCATTGTAGATGAAGTTGCCGCCATTGAGACCCAATTGTTGATACTTGATATTCTGCCAGATCGACTTGATCGATGAACTGCCGAGGAACAGAGTGTTGCCAATGAATGATGCCGTGGCACTTGAGTCGACCAGCGCGACATATCCATCCTCATTGATAGCGCTGTACTGCTCACTTAGAGCGATGGCGGTCGGTAGGTCCACAGAGAATGGCACACCGACGTAGTGTAGTTGTGAAGCTTGGTCGAGGATGGCTGGACGCCAGTACACGATTGTCGTATCGTTGTACCTCAGTGTTATGGGTAGCGGCAGGATGTTGAACTCATTGATTGACACCAACATCTGGGTACCAGAGGGATCGACCGTGTAAGTGTAGGCGGTGCCATCGATAAAGTTGAGTATGTCTATGACTGGTGACAAGTATTGGAATCCACGACCAATGATTGTGATCACTCTCATTGCCGGTTGTTGGGAGGGGTTGGGGTCGGCAGGTTGGTAGCGCAGCGCGTCAATGGCGGGTGGGTTGAAGCGGAATGTCGTAGAAACGGTCTGTCCACCGCCAGACACGGTCAAGGTGAACGTGCCCTTATAGGTTGAAGGGGGTGGGATATTACAAAGTAGGCCGACAGTTGGTGCGGGCGCAGCATTGCGCTCTTTGCAAGTGAAAATGGCGGGCAGTTGTGGATGTGAAATGTTGATCGACACTTGATTCGAGTCCAAGTACTTGGACATGCTTAGAGGGAAGTTTGAGATGATCAAACGATCGGCGCCAATCTCTTGACGAGACACCATTAGCGAGTCGGCCGCACCAAACTCGATGATGAATGATAGTTCGGTGCTGGCGGGCGTAGCATACCAATCCAGCATTGAGTTCTTGGTGGCCAGGTTTGTGTTTGTCATGTTGAGATCACCTTTAAAGTTGGCGCAGTACTCTAGACATCGGTCTGGTACCGCTGTGTAGAACGGCTGCCGTCTTGACGAGCCATTGATCCAGCCCCAACTTGAACCATGTTGATCGAGTCTCTCTGCGCCCAACCAAAAGTCCGTCACCAATGTTCCAAAGTTATTCTTTATGAAAGTGTACTCATTAAAGTCATTCAATGATAGTATGGTGCTAATTTTTTGATTGATCGAGTGATTGATCGAGTGATTGATCGAGTGAGTGATTGATCGAGGGAGCGATGTTAAGGAAATATTTACCCATTCATATTTTGGTATATTGTGTTTGAAGCATAGTTCATAGCTTGTTGGAAGTTGAGTTTGGTCGGTGCCAGTTGGTAGAAGCGTCCATTGAATGGTAGTGTGTCGGCAAGTGATGATGATGATCCAACAAGTAGTAGTAATAGTACAAGTATCACACAGTGAATACGAAGTAGTAGTAATATCATGTCTGTAGACTAACTATATGTGTATGTAAATGTAATAATTGTATACCTATGAACAATGATTGTTTGCAAACAATCAATCCGAGGTCCACGGACATTGCACCACCCCAAACGATACAAGAAAACAGCTGATCGATTTTAGAAAAATAAAGCGAACCCTCGATCTGATCGATCCAATTTACAATGATGGTACACCATGGTTTTTTCTTGTTTTATTACAATTATGTAAGAATTCATTACCTCAAACTTGCACAAAAGGAGTAGTCCATATTTAATGAAGCTTAAAGATGATTTAAACCTCGTTTCGGTTTTTTCTAAAAAAAAAAAGAACCTCACCAAACAACTTTTTTTTGTTGGGGAAGACAAAAGAGCTCTCTATCCGAGAATCGAACTCGGGGTCACAGTGTGAAAGACTATAGTGTTACCGACTACACCAATAGAGATTTACAAAAATGAAATAGTCAAAATCTGTCTTTATTCGGTCAAAAATTTTTATTTTATTTTTTATAATACTCGTCACCAGACCCTTCAGCAATTCCTCAAAGGAGTAGATGTTGTTAAATATTTAATAATCAACAAATTTCATTCTTTAGAGTTTATTATTGGGTTGATCATTAAATAGTTGTATACAAAAGGATTGTTGTTGGTTTTAGATGGGGTGAGAGATAACAACTTGTACCTGAGACCTCTAGTTGAAAGAATCTCAATGTATTCCGTTTTGAATTTAAGTAAGAGTTCAACAGACCTTTCTAAATACTCCATAGAGTACACTACTGAATCTGGAGGGAGGAATCGTCCTTCGCCAAGGTTGTCCATCACATCAGAGTAGAATATTGCAATATCCTGATCAAACATTCTTGTAAGGTACTCAACGAGTTTCTCTCTTGATAATTGTTTGTACCTATACTTGAAACAAAGAGCATTTAATAATCCATAGCAGCACTCTTTGTTTACTTTGATATATAAAATTTCAGAGTCTAATTGTTGTTGTTTGGACAGCTTTATCTTGTCCTTGATAGGTAATGATAAGTCCATTGGATGTTGGAATGAAGGTGATGAATGAATGATAATATCACACACAGAAGAAGACATGATTGTTTTATTAATTAGATTGTGAGACAGTTGTAAAAGTGTGAGAGTTGTTCACACGACTGCTCACAGGGTATTATTAAAACACACAACTCACTACTTCCCCTTCAGGAAGTAGTAGGGTCACATCTTACAATATTTTATCTCGCGAAGATACACATCTTCAGATTAATCATATAAATTATTAGTCGGGACACCAACACCAAACAACACTCCTAACCCAGAAACGGTCAGAGTTCGTAGTAAATCTTTGCCTTAATAAGAAAAAGGATTCTCTATTGATTTTAAAATAAATTACATCCTATTTTATTGATATTTTTTTAGATATACATAAATAATTTGGAAAATTCTTGAATATAGGAGAGTAAGCTCTAGAATGTTAGCGATTCTAGCGTAGTTATCCACATACTCTATCTAGGTATTGGATAATTTATAGTATAAACTGCAGAAAGTTATTAAAGTATTTATTGGTCCGATTGGAATGATGAAAGTTGTGCATCACTATCTAAAAAGCCTTGTGATTGGACAGTGTAGACCATTACACTGATTCCAAGTTTTCCCTTTGTTTACAAACAACCCCAACCAACATTCCAATCATATCCACCAACAGTAACATCCTTTTTAAAGGTGATCTCGATTTGATCACACATAAGCCCAACTTTAGTAGGAATAAGGTTTGGAACTAATTATATCCCCACATAGGGCCTAATACACAAGGAGTCAATCATATGATTGCGACACTTACTCATGTTGAATGTACTTGCATTCATGGTGTTGCAAGGCAAGATCTAAGGTGATCACAACAACTGTCAAACACTTGTACTTGTTGTGAATGATTGTGTGTGTTGGCAAAAGTGTGTGAATGTGGAATGATCATGTGATCGAGTGGGGTTCAGTCCATTCCTAATTAAACGCCTCTACCTGCCCCAACTATGACCTCCATGCCTCCAAACATGACTTACTACATTTCTACAAGTAGTACCGTCGACCTCGGATCAAGACTAGTCCACATCACTCAATCAAAATCACATTTCTCCTATATCTATCTTAATAACATTTTCAAACAAACAATTAACTCAATATTAATATCCATTCGAGTTATTATTATTATCTTTAAACTCTCTTTCCAACAACAATCGACCTGCCCTATATCATTGCAATCACTGAAACATCATCTTCATCAACAATCTCAATCAATCAATCATAAAAAAGAACCATCGACCACCTATCCAATCACCTGATCCTGACCATCATTGCTCAGATCAGTTCAGCTCAGCCCAGCTCAGACCAGACAAAAGGTGCAACCGTCAAGTTAAATCGATCACCACTCACCCACCACACGGACACACCCTTTCTCAATCATTGTTGACCTGTGAGTTCATCAGCTTCAAGAGTTTGGCTAGTGTGTGAGTGTGCGAGTGCTTTGTGTTTGAGGGACGTGTAGTTACATTACATCGGCCTCGCACTACTTATCCACACTAGAGCTGAAATAGTTGGCTAGCCGTTACAACAGTACTACTACTCTTACTACTACCAAGTGGCGGCTTCTTGCCGTATAACACTATTTGTGTTTTTGGCTTGAGTGTTACCAAGAGGTGACTGGAAGGAAAAGACAACAGACCAACAACAAGTTCTCGCCCCACACGAGCGCGCACTCTATCGCGCCTTTGTGTTTGATTGAACACCATCCCACCATCACCACCGCCGCAGGGTGTGTGTTTGATCAACTTGAGGAGCGCCTCATCACTTTGTTGGTGGATCATCAAGAATTCAGGTCATTCATTCATTCATTAAGCTTGACCCAATAGTTGTTGGCAGGGCAAACCAACCAATCAATCATCAATCCAACCTACCCAAGAATATACAAAGATAGATACTTACTCAATATGGCAACAACTACATCTCCTCCAACAAAGTTAATGAATTCCTATCAAATAGTACCAATCGATACAAATCAACCAGTCCTTCAGAATCATAATATTAATATTAATAATAATAAGTCCACTCAATCATCATCATCGACAACAACATCATCAACAACAAATAATGTTAGTAGTAGAGGTATGCCAATTAGTTATCAGAAATGGGGAGAGATTAAATTGTACAGCAGCTTCATATTAGAGTTCGCAACGGATGCACCCAATCATCCGATGACCAAAGCATTGTTGGCCGACCTTTATAATATATCAAGAGTGCTAGTCGAAGTAGTGGACAGTGTATACTATGACTCATTTCACAATAAGGATGTAAGTTGATCATATCTGGAATAGTTCCACCGACTCAATCTTTGATACTAAAATACTAATTCAATGAAGATATCTCAGATATCCAATATCCAACAACAATCGATATCAACACCACCATTAACATCAGGGTACAATCAATCACCTCAACATCATCATCATCACAATAACTACCAATATTACGATCAGTTGGAAAGACAGATGGTCAATCTTTCACAGCGGCCAAACAATACTCCAACAGCAACAACAACTACACCTGTACATTCACCGCCAAATATTAACCATGGAAACAACAATAACAATAACAACAACATTACAGCTACAACAACACTTTCAACTAGTAATCCAAATATTCCAACATTATATCTACAACATCAACAACTTGCCAATCAGATCAACAGCAACAGGATGGCCAACTCACAACCAAACACACCTCCACAAATGTCAGGATTGGGAATGGCTATGGCGAACTCGACCACTCCACCATCGCCATCATCAATGATGATGATCGATCAGCAACAGCAGGTAACACCAGGCTCCACACCAACTATATCATCCTGCTCAAACTCTACGACATCAAACACTTTGGGGACAGTCGCGGGCAAGTCCATTAGTCCTCGCGCCAAGACCATGCACATGCATCACAAGAACTTCTCTGGTGAAGTATTCTTTGATGACTTATCATCCGACAAACCAAGAAGACGGAGAAGGACCGTCTACACGGCCAAGCGTAATCTAAAGTGCCAGTACTGTCATGTGACCGAGACACCAGAGTGGCGTCGAGGACCAAACGGTGATCATACGTATGTATCAATCCATCAAGTGCACTGGATGATCAATCAACTAACTCCCTTTGATCGATCTAGATTATGTAATGCTTGTGGACTTCACTATGCCAAGTCTTTGAAGAAGAAGAATGCAGCTGAATTGGAAGAGAAGGAGAAGGAGAAGCGGGAAGAGAGCGAGAGGAGGGAGAAGGAAAAGGACACCAGGAAGCATTCAATCGACTTTGTGATCGAGGCATCTGACCCATCACAGCAACAACTTCCAATGATGGATTAAGGCCAGTCCTTGTCCTGTCCAATCCAATCCAATACAATCCAATATATCTGTATAACTTGAGTATCCATTTATTGGATGATGTCCTCGGATACCCCGACCCTATCTATCGCGCTGTGTGTCGCCACTACTCCTCCCTCGTGGAGAGTACAAAGAGTGCCAATACAGCAACTAGTAACACCTTTAGATAAGGATAGTCGTGCATTACAATCGTGACCATACCAACATAAGGCAGGAATCCCTTTGCTCTTCCAATAATGTGTTGACGATTCAGCCAAATCTGTCCATCCGCGTACAATCCTCTATCGTGCTCTGTGTTGTTATCGCCCTTTGTCAAGATATCAAAGTCTCCATTTGGTCTAACATTGATTGTGTTGTCATTCATGATGATGAGTATGTTGTTGGCCTTGGCCTTGGCCTTGGCCTTGGCCTTGAGCTTGAAAAAGGATGGAACTTACTTCTCGTGAACATGTAGTATTCTATGTACGATTGGGATCTCTTTGCCATCGATTTTGAAGACAACGATCTCACCAACTCTGAATGGACCATCGTCCATGTTTAGGTATAGTAGGTCACCACGATCAAACGCTGGACGCATACTGCCAGAGAGTACAACGACGATCGGACTCTCACTACCACTGAACACCATCAGAAACTTCCAGATCATCAGTGCCGATGACACAATCAGACCAAAGTTGATTATTTGTTGTGCAATCTATATATTGTTTGTTGTAGTGTAAGATAATGATGATCACTCCAATCCATTCATTCAATCAATCATTCATTCAATCATTCAATCATGTACCTGATACTTTGGAATACCTGCAAAGGGATTCATCTTTGAAAGGAATGAAGGTTGTGGTGGCAGCTGTGGCTGAAGCTGCTGTTGTGTTTGGCTCATCTTTGTACAATGTATATATATGTGTATGTATGTATGAAAGTTATATTATGAATGAAGTTGAAGAATGAGGATGAAGAAGTTCAACATAATCATTCTCCAACCACACTCTCTTATGATTCACCACCAATTGACTGTTTCACTGTTTTTTGTGAAAGTAGCTGAAATGCATCCCCGTCACCAATTCATTCTTAAGATTCAACAAGTTCATGAACTTGAGGTTCACAGAGATAATGGTGAGTAATAATAAAGAACCATTGAACTAAATGAATACATTACTCGACCATAAGTTTGTTAGTTTCTGTTCATTTGTTGATAGATGCATTGTAAAATGCCCCAACACTGGGACATCCCATCATCATTTGTGTAAAGTTCCCAAACCAACATTGACCAACCATTTGACTTGACCCTGGTCAACATTAACAAGTTTACAACTCCTATGAATGGGACTTACACCCCTTTCATTACCAACACTACTTATTAATACATTATCTGTCTCTAGATCAAGCTCGTAAAATGAATGAACATCTTACACCAAAGATGATGCCCAGTGTTTAGAAATAGTAGCAGGTACTATTTGGAAAATTCCATCAACTTAATTTTGATCATAAAACGAACGATGTATAATTGAAAATATCTGGTTTAGGGTGTATTCTTTAGTCAAGATTGATACTTTGCACCATCAGGTACCCATGTTAGCATCCAGGATGGGCACAAAGACTCAAAAAAGATATTTCCTTCAAAGTGAATGTGTGTTTTGGGGCGCACTCTGGATTCATGTCAAGATCCGCTCACTGTACCAAACAGAAATTAAATCAAATCAAAATATCTTGTTTACTCCTAATCTCCATCTTGTTCAAATAGAATCCAAAATCTAGAGTCAACTCTGACACATTGTTTACTATTATCATATCTCCTACTTACATACTTATATACATATATACATATACATACTCAAACGTAAGTATCTATCTATCTATCTTTGATTGAATACATAATCTCATTCACTCATTCACATACTCACTCATTCTCATATCAATAATTCACAGAATGAAATATATTGCTTTGTTCGTTGTATGCCTTATTGCCTTGTGCAAGGTTGCAAATGCCCAGGTTTATGGTGTTGACTTTTCTTCGGGAACAGATATCTCTGCTTTCTCTTGCCTCCAATCAAATGGTTACTCGTTCGCCGTTGTTAGATGTTACGAGTCCATTGGCCAGACCGATCCAAACTGCCCACACTCCATCTACAATGCTTGGGATGGTGGCATGCAGCACGTCGACGCCTACATCTTCCCATGTTTCTCCTGCGGTGATGGTGCCGGCCAGGTCGTCGCCATGGTCAACTACATCAACTCCTACCAAGCCAAGTTTGGCATGATCTGGTTCGACATTGAGGGTCCAGGCACGTACTGGTCCGACGACCAGGGCGCCAACCAGGCCTTCTTTAACGACATGGTTTCCGGTGCCCAGCAGGCTGGCGTCAACGTCGGTGTCTACACTTCGTCCTCTCAGTGGGAGCCAATCATGGGTGACTGGTCCGGTGGTGCATCCTTCCCTCTGTGGTATGCTCACTACGATGGATCCCCATCATTCGATGACTTCTCGCCATTCGGAGGTTGGAGCACTCCAGCCATCAAGCAATACAACGGTGATGTCACTGTCTGTGGATTGGGAGTTGATCAGAACTACTACCCATGAACAACAACAACAACATCAACTTCGTCACTGTCTCCTACAAGATAACCGAATCCCCTTCATTGTAGTGAACTAAAACGAATTACTTATTTAAATACAAACAAACAACAATCAAACAAACATAAGAATCCCGCTGTCTGTGTCCATCGTGTCTCGTCTTTAACGAAAGGACATTAAGTTCACATTTCTAAATTAAGCATTTAATGATGGGTTGATATGATTGGGGATTGATTGAATTGATTGGTTGAACATAGACGACAGTAGGAGTAGTCGGTCCCCTTGCACGAAGGTAGCCAATCAAATAACGAGTCGAATGTTTGGTCCCAGAGAGATAGATAAATATATAGATACACAAGTCAACTTCAACTCTATCAACAAGACACAAAAATTTACATTTTATCTTAAGATATTTGCCGAAATAGGTTATAATAGGCACCAACGAAGGCCTCTGAATGGCTACCATCCCATCGGAATTGACCTCTTCACTCTACACTCACACATAATCATAATGACATAATGGCATCATGTTTGTTTTTTGTTCACCTTCACTTTCGCAGGCTTGTTAGTTCACTTGATCGTTCATTTCATTCATACATTCATCATTCAAGCCTCACATTTCTACCCTACCCATTCGAATTCCCATCCCATCTCTACATCGCTCAGTTCATACTCACACACCCATTAAACACAACGTTCAATCAAATTGATAGGTTATTACTATTTATAACTTTGATACAGATCAGGTGAATTGGCAGGCCTCTAACCTAGCCCCCACCAAATCAAAGAGGACAACATCGTTGGACCGCCAACACCAAAACACCCACCTGCTCACTATCCTCTACTCCACGAATACCCACCTCTCTACCCTATTCATTGGTGTTGTTTTGTTGATGTTGCCCGAGATACATACCAAGTCTCGAAGCAAAGACCTGACCACGAAGGCTTGAATGTTTCACCCCCTTGCCCCCGACACCAGGCTCAAACACATAATAGGCCGTACTAGTTTTAATTGAAAAACTACACAGGTGTGAAGTGTAATAGAAGTCGTCGCCGTGACCCCCATTGCCCAACAAGTCAACAACCAAAGCCAGAGTCGTTTTTGAGGTGGTGGAGGTGGTGGGAACGTCTACAGATAGATACACAAGTCTGTTCAACAACCCTCTTATCCCTTCTTGATACCCAATTCCCCACCACCAGTCGACAAGCAAACAAACTACCAAACAAACAAACAAACCAATACTCCGTCTTTGACAACAACAAACACATCATCCGGTAGTAATCATCCTATTCTCAAAGCCTCGAGATAATAATCAACAACAACCTCAAACACATTTATCTTTATTACTTACTTTTACATATATATATATATATATACTCACATGCTAAATCATTAATAACTATTACATCTTTATATTTATATATTGTATATTCACAACTTATATAACAACAATATATATTAGTTATGTCTGTCTACGGACGTCAAACTAGTTATGTTGTCATACTGACACTACTAGTAGCATTGATGTTCTGCTTGTTGATATCACATGTTGAAGGTAAAGATCAAGATCACCTCCCTCATTCATTCATTCAAACTCATTCAATCAAACTCACTAACTCAAACTCATTCAAACTCATTTAGGTGACCCTGCACCTAATCCAGAATTCCCAATATATTCAAAGCGTAGATCAGTTGTATTTATAGGTTGGATGAAGGTGTTTAGTCAGGATAAGGACGTGTCATTGACAGTGTTACATAATATAATTCAAGATCCATCTTGGAGACCATTGAGAAATGGAAAGGATCTGTTCCAGCGCGATAGGATACGCAGCTCTGGCAACACTACTACATTCTCCTGTGTCATATCGTACGACTCGGGAATGTACCATTTCAAACAGATCGATCCATTGAACACTGGCTACAACATACAGAGTGGTCTGTTCAATCTCACCGTGCAGGGCAACGATACCAAGACATTGCTGCTGGATCGCGAGCCATCTACAAGGGTGGTCACTGGCGATGCGCTTCAGACCCAACCAATCGTGTCATGGGGCATTACAAACACAGAGAGTCGCGGACGCATCGAGCCGTTCATCGTGTCTGCGCCAGAATCATCCACGCACTATATCACCTTTTCAAAGATTGACATTGACAGAACTGCCAAGACAACGACATTCCAGGGTCTGGCCATCGTTGGAGACGAGGGCGAGTACTCGATCGGCTTTGTCGACTCTGACACATGCGAGATCGTGTTGGTCTCCCAGCCAATAGAGGTGGTGGTCGCATGGCCCTCGCTCATTACCATCATCGTCGTGTCAATGATGATCTCGCTCTGTGTGTTTGTCCTGGGTCTGGCCATCCGTCTGTTTATGAACCACGCGCGACACAACATTGGCAATGACAGCGCCAGCAGCGCCACATCACTCAACTACCTAAAGTCCTTCCAAATGTCCATCTTGGTCAAGAACATCGATGAGTTTCTTGACCGTCGTGGCAGTGACTCATTGCACATCTACTTCAAATCAATCCGACTATTCATCATCTTCACCATCGTACAGACCGTCCTCGGTCTGGCTCTTCTCATCCCTCTATCAATCATTGGCAACAATAGCCTATTCGAAATATATATCTTAACTCAATCAAATTGGTAAGTACCTTGTTGGACATGGACATGGATATGGACAATGGACTAACATGAATGAACCAAACTAGGCAATACGACTCTTCCAAACTATATATATATCAAGCACTGGTAGTAGTTGTCTTTGTTTCATTCATATTATTATATTCAAGATTCAACACCGAGCGTATATATAATCAACATGACAGGAATCATCTTGTGGCTTCAAGAACAGTGCTGTTGGACGGACTGCCCAAGTCAATGATAGACTGTACCCTATTGAGGGAATATGTCCAGAACTCTTATTCAAGTTTGTATCCACTCATCCACTCATTCACTCAATCAATCAATCATAATAGCTAACTCATTCAATCAATTACTTTAGAGGGTATATTCTCATTGGCATTGATACTTGATAAACACTTTAGTAGTGCACAGATTGAACGTGATTTGGATGGCTTTACGGATGGCTTCACAAAGGATTTGAGCGCAGATATAAATAATAAGGAGGTGATCTCATCGACTGGACGAGCATTCATAACATTCAGTTGTGTATCGGATGCTCATCTGTTCCAGACACAGTTCTCACCACACAAGTGGACGTGGATCAAGTCCATTGCGCCAATACCACCATCTTCATCCGATGCCGAGCTCCAGATCAAAAAGTGGCGTGCCTATCAAGTGCCACGCGTCTCTGACATCATGTGGACCAAGCTACATAGTCTCTCTGGTCAACACCGTCTCTGGCGAACCATTCTCCAAGTCTTCATTTCCATCATCCTTTTCATGTCCATTTCATTCGCAGCAGTTCTACTTCACGACTCTCAATTCGAAAGGGTATGCATCATCTGGGAATCATTCCAATCACTCATTCAATCCACGGTTTACTAACTTCTTCCAACACAACCAACCAGCTGAATAGGAGAGTGTACTTTAAGGCAGACTATTCTAGGGCCATTCATTTCCTGGTCTACACATTCCTACCTTGTAATATTCTGTTGTTTCTCAACCGCGTCATACCTTGTATTATCAAACAGATTCTTGTAAAGTCCCGTATCTTTGTGCGTAGCTCACTCAAGTCCAAGATCCTGCTGACCACCTTCTACGCCCAGGCACTATCCATCGTCTTTGTGCCATCCTTTTACTTTGTCATCATGATGGGTTCACCCGTCGACGACGTCAACATCTTCTTCTCACCTGCCAACTTCTTTAGGACTGGCGGTAAGTAACTTACATACTTCCACACTCACTGGCAACACACAAGTACTGACGACAGCCAATCAATCAAACATTATTAGGATTCTTTTACTCTCAATTCATTATATATTATGCGATCGTTACACCATTCTTGGACAAATCAAGGATATATAGTAACGCCGCCAACTTGTTACGATTCCATCGATACAAACAGAATGCACTCATTGCCGAACGATTCTTGGACCTGTCTACACAATATGGCAATCTATTGTTGTTGGTAATGATGGTTGCAATCTACGCACCACTCTTCCCAATACTCTACTTGGCCCTGCTGCTCTACCTCATCACCAAGTACTTCTTTGACAAGTATACGAGCATCTCGTCAAAGATTAGGAACCCGCCATCAGATCGTTTGCTGGTCGAGCCTTTACAGCACTGCATATGGATGATCATCACGTGCATCGCCATCTTTAACGTTGGCTACGTGCTGATGCTGTCTAGGATCGATCTGATCTTTGTTTATGGCTTCCTATTCATTGTGGGTCTCGGTCGATACGTGCCATCATGCTCAAAGAGTCTGTGCTATGGTGTGTGTGACGGTGCTGTCATGCCTTGCATGGAGTCTGATGGCTGGTTGCTCAGACGACTGAGACGAAAGGGCAAGAAGGACAAGAGCGGCGGTGGAGCCGACAAGGACATCAATAGCGAGGTCAATAGTCAAGCCGGCGCCGAACAGACAGAGGACAACAGCGACAGTGACGACAGCGACTATGAGTATGATGAACAAATCAATGACATTAACTCGCCATCACAGCATGATGGAGTGAATGGCGTGGTAATGGAGATGAGGGATATTGGATCACCAGACAACAACAAGTCCCGACCCACCCAGAGTCTGAGAATGACGCTGGACATTGAACAGGACTATGCCATGGAGTCGCCCGGTAGATCATTCTTCTCCTTCCTGTACAGCTCACGATTCCAACTTCCCAGTCCTAAGTCCATCACCATCCACCAGTACTTCTCGCCCCTCTACCGTACAGGTTTTTCCATGTTTGCCCAAGACTAGACTAGACACCTTGCTTGGACCTTGTCAATAAACGTTAAACCACACCAAGATATGTGTGTGGATCTTTGAAGAGAAGTCGAGTAGTCTACTCTATCGTTGTTTATGATTGTTATTGTTGTTGTTGTTGCTGTGGTTGTTGTTGTTGTTGCTGTGACCGTCAACTCCTTCTTTTAGTTCATTCAACTCTTGGAGCAACTTGGCATACTTCATTTGATTGCGGTTCTCACGATCACATTGCTCATACACTTGATCTTGAATATGCTTGACACGGGACTCTACGCCACGCTGCTCTTGCAGCCTCAGCTGCTTGAAACACTCTAGCTCGATATCGCTCTGCTCCACCTGCTCCATCAACTGCTGCATCTCTTTGGCCTTGGTGGCCAGCGAGCTCTGCAGAGGCGCCAGCTCAGCAGTGAGCTTCTTCTCGGTGGTATGTGCGCGTGTGGCGTTCTTCTTGATGGACTTGGTGATGGCGTCAAACTCGGCCTGCAACGTAGCGACCATTTGCTCAGCGCTGATATTGGCGCGCTCGACAAACTGCTGTTGGCTCTCGATAAAGACGTAGTTGCTGTGTACAAATTCCCAGGGATTTACAAAGTGTTCGACTACCTGCTCGCTGGTCAGTGGCGATCTGATCGCCTCCATCTCCTTCTTGATCAGTGTCTGTGCCTCAGCCATCTCCTTGTCCGAGAAGTAGTTAAAGTCCGACTGAAGGTTTGAGTCTGGTCGCTCGCCATCCATTGGGAACATCAGATTGTCGTGGTTGATGACTGCCAAAATCTCATTGATAACCAATTGATCGATGCCTTTCTGTAGTGTCTCGTCAATGTCCTCTTCGCCACCACTGGGCGCCACCAGTGGCTGGCAGTGTTCCACATTGTTGTACGCCAACGTCCTGGCTCGCGGCAACTGTTTCTTTAGAGTGCTACTACGATTCCTCAGCCTAAACTGTTCCTTGTGCTTCAGCTCCTGCTGTGCCCGCAGGTCAGTCTCTGATTGATCGAGGTCGAGCTGCTCATCGTCGTTGATATCCTCCAGCGCTGGTTCGTCAGGCAAGCTGATTTTAAAGTTGCTCTCAGGCGCAGGGAGATTCTTCAAGCCTGTGGCAATCGACTGTTTGTGTTGTGCCTTATTCGATCGGTCCTCGACACTGTCAACTGGGTGGTCCTTGCGAGGTGTGATTCCTTGTGCCAAGGGGTTTGGTGTGCGCAGGGGAGTGCGCGCCACCATAGGCTTGGGCGTGGCGCCACTAAAGTCTGATGGGTGGAGCTTGGGGTTAGCGCCACCTTTGAGAGGTGTCTGTGCATTGGCCATCGCCAACAAATTCTGTGATTCCATCATGATGACATCCTCTCGCATTGGTGTACGGGCCACCAGTTTGGAGCTGGGCAGCTCAGTGGGTGGACGCATGGTGCCCACCAGAGCACCAGTGGCCGAGCGATCGCCCGCGACCATTGCATTCCTGTTGGCCTTTTCAAACTCTGCAATCTCTGCCAAATCGTCGTCAGTGAGCTGAGGCTCGGGCAGCAAGAGCTTTGATCGCTTCCTCGTCATCTCTGGGTCGTTCATCTTGGCGACCTCCTTGATCAGACCGGGCATGTTGGTCATCTCCTTCTTCTTCTTGTCCAAGTCGGCCTGCTTGTTTGCACGCTCCTGTTGTTCGGCCTTTGTCTCGCCCTCTATCTTTGACAATCGCTGATTGATAAACTCCTTGTCCTTTCTCGGATCCACAACACTCTCTGCTGCCGTATCATAAAAGCCAGCCATTGGCTTCCTATAAAATGGTATCTCTTGAGCATAATCGAATCGTTTCTCTTTGTTCTTCTTCTTCTCGTGTAGTCTATATAAGAGTGTCATGATATGTTAGTGTCTTCAACGTTCACTCATTCAACATGATCATCAACATACACTATACCAGCAGCTTTGAGCTCACGCTTCTTTTGTAGATATGCCAATCTTCTTGCTTCTTCAAGTTGCTTCTCACGGAACTTGCGCTTCTCCTTCTTGCCCTGTGTGTTGGAGAGACGTGCTTTGGCCTCTGACAGTGTCTCTTTCTCGTCTTCGTCCATGTCGACGGGGTCAGGCTTGGCTGGCTTGGTCTCGGGGTTGGCCTCGACCTCGCCCGCACGCAGACGACGTGGATCGTCCTCGCCGGCATGTTTCTCCTGTACAGCGTCCAACAAACGATTGTAATGCTCCAAACATTGTGATGCAGTGCGGCCTACCAACGGCGCGATCGTCTTCCACTGCGCCGGAAAGATCTTTGCCAAGTGCAACAACTTCTCCTCCTCCTCTTTGCTCCATTCTGTCTTTTTGATGCTTGGGTCCAACCATTCATACCATCTCGCTTTACACTGTGCAGGACTCTTCTTTATCAACAAACTACTAATCCTAGCCCATTGATTCTTGCCATATTTCATCACGGCCACCTTTAGAATCTCATCCTCTGTATTCTTCCAAACTCCACCCTTTATATTACTTCTCATATCTCTCTAACAATATCTATCTATCTATCTATATATAATATATTACAATACAAGTACTTGTTATTTGATTGATTGATTGAATGAAAGAATGAATGAATGAATGCATTCACCACTTTTCGAAAAGTGAAGTTTGAAAAACAATCGACAACTTGTGTGAAGTTGACTTTGGCGTCAAACTTGTTGTCCACAACTTCTTTGGCGGCGGCAATGGCTTCGTTGGTTGGTGTCTATCATCGAGGAGAGAGCCATGGTTGAATGTCCCTGGGAGTGGTAGCCGTGGTGGATTGGACGACTGCCTGACACTTACTGCCTGCCCGCGGGCATGTGTGTATACTTTGAAGGATACACTCTAGAAATGGACCGGTCATGTCTTACTGTCTGTTGACGGACGACTACCATTGATTCCTTTAAGATCAACTACCTCCTTCTCCAACTCCTTGATCCTTCTATCTCTGTCTTGTATGATCTTGATCAATGATTCAATGTCCATTGATCGATAGTCGGCAACTACACTCGTGTTATCATTAATGTCATTTTTGGCAGCATGGACAGTTGGAGTAGTAGGTGTTGGAGTAGTAGTAGTGTCCTCTGATCTCATAATAATTGGTAACCAATTCTTGATGATATCCTCTGTCGATGGTCTGACACTTGGGTCAGATGACAACATCATTCCTATCAACTTGCTCTCATTCTTATACTTCCTCTGTGTCTCTTCCGGTATGATACCCTCCCTTTGATTGATTGATTAAGAAGAGTCAGTACCATACTCATTCATTCACTCATCCATCATCAACATCGTTAATACATACTTTAACATTCTTATGACCTCTGACCTCTCTGACATTGTGTTAAAGTCATAGAGTAGTTCGAATAGGATGATGCCAAGACTGTAGATGTCCACTTTGTTGGAGTAGGCATTGCCTTTGATCTGCTCGGGACTGGCGTAGGTCAGCGTGCCAATACCATGTGTGTTGTTGGCACCGTTTATAGAGTTGGCCAACATTACATTGCCGAGTTCCTTCATCATGTTCTCGTGGAGGCCTCCCGCCACGCCATTCATCGTCGACAGTGGGATGTCCTTGACCAGGCCAAAGTCGCCAATCTTTACAATCAACTCCTTGGTCATGAATATGTTGGCTGGCTTGATGTCCCTGTGCACCATGCCCTTTGAATGAATATAATTCAAACCAGACAGTATCTGTTTGAATATTGACAGTCTTGATTGAGCGCGCATGTTGTTGTCCATGTTGTTGGTACTACTGCTGATGCTGATTCCGATGTTGTTGATGCCAGAACGATTGTCTAGCCACTCTCTAAGTGTCTTTCCTTCACAATGTTGTGTCTGGACATAGAGTGAGTACCTTATCTTAGGCAACTTGTTCAAGGTGAGCAGTTGACTGAGATTGTTGTAGCTGTTGGTCTTTGCTATTCGCGAATCATATGGCACCAATTTGTTATTGCTGTTGGGACTGCTGTCCGGTCCACCTTTGCTATTCGTCGTGAGCTCCTCGACAGCTCGAGAGCTGTCATCGTCAAACAGATTCTCTGAAGCGTTGATGGCAGAGGAGTCGCTCAGCAGATCATCGTCGTCATCGTCGTCATCGTCAAAGTCAGCCGAGAGATTCTCTGCTGTCTCCATACTGCCCTCGACTGAGCTGTACTGGTTGGACAGATCGCCGCCAGCCTGTAGCTGTGTGTTCAGCTCGACCCAGGCATGATAGTATCGCAGGATGTTCTTGTGGTCGAGACGCGCCAAAGCCTTGACCTCGCGCAGCACCTTTTCAATCTTGGTGTTGACCATCTGCGAGCCGAGGCTGACGCTAAAGTTGATCTTCTTGACGGCATAGTTGCAATTGTCCAGGTTGTTGCGCGATAGATGCACCGTTCCAAAGCCACCGCTGCCCAGTCGCGAGATCTCGGTGAACTCCTTGCGGTATCGATTGTCCAGCGGCGTCATCACCATCTGGTTGCCGACCACGCCGCCCAGCAGCGCGGCACCGGTGCCCGTGGGCGGGTCCAGTATCAGGCCGTTGGTCATTGCAAAGGCCTGCATGAAAACTGTTCGGTAGTGTTCCAGGAAGAAGTCCTTGAAGCGTTGTGATTGAATGAGTGTTGGCGAGAGGTTCTCCAACTCCACGGACACCACATTCCTCACGAACGAAGCCAACTTATTCTGATCAATTGTCGCCGTACCATTCTGATTGACAAAGTTCTCAGTCAACATCATCTTTAACATTATCCTCTTTTGTGATGCTATATCCTCTGTTCACGTAATTGATTGATTGAGTGAGTGATTGATTCGTCATATGATCAATTGATGTTGATACACACTTGCAGAGTCAATGAGTGAGACTACTTTGTCAAAGCTATCTTGGGTGGATGTGATGTTGTTGTAGGTCTTGGTCAACACGATTGGTGCTTCAGAGGAGGAGGATGATACATCTGATGCATCTGAATGAATGGATGATATCAAACCAGGACGGAATGTATTTGCAACATCATCGACTGATGCAAAGCTATCTGCACTAACATCGTTGTTATCGTCATCGTCCACATCGACATGTGGTGTATCATCATCATCTGCATCATCTACATTATCATCCAAATCATCATCGTCTTGTTCCAAGTCATCCTCGTCCTCTACACAATCATCATCATCATCATCGAGCTCATCATCAAGCTCCTTGCCATCACTATCACTAAAGTATAGTTCTTGTATATAGTTATGTCTAAGTGGTTGTTGTTGTTGTTGTTGTTCATGTAGCATAACATCAACATGATTGGCTGAATGGCCTAGGCCATCAACAACCTTATAATTATTATTATTATTATTTATACAATCATCCTCATCTTGTTTGATATTAATATGTGTTGTTGTTATATCTTGTTGTTGATTCTGTATCATTGATTGTTTAGACTAAACAAAATACAACAACATATTAATAATAATACACAATACTAATACTAATAATAATAATAACAATATATATCTGTTAGTTCTTATATTTATGTGTAGAATGAATGATTCATTCAATTATTGAGCCACATGTAATTGTTGAGTCATATATTCCAAACAGTTTCCCACCAAAACCCTTCTCTGCAACCACATCTCCTGCCTCGTCACATGACTTGTGTTACCAACACAAAAGTAATAAGATTGTAAATTCCAACGAGAATCTAGATAGTTTTCAAGTCAATTAATCTATCAATTTATCGATCAAACAAGTTATAAAATAGAATCAATTATTTGTTATATATTATAATAGTTGGTCGTTAATTATCTCTCGCCTCATCACACTACTCTTGGTCAACAATGAATGAATCTCGTTGAAGTGCAACTACACCCAATGTTTTTTTTTGAAGATACAGGAGGTCTTGACTTCCAACCCCTCTTTGGTTAAAGGTCACGTCTGACGCTCATTCATTCATTCTATTCATTCGTTCATATTACATATTTAGAGAGATATAATATTATATATATATATATACATACGTATATCCAAACATATATGTGAGATAGTTAAGAGGATATGTATCATATATTCTCATCAAATATTTCACAACATATAGGTGGTGGAGCAACAGCTGCTGGAGGCAATCGAGCAACAGCAACAGCAACAGAGTTAAGTGAGATAAAGAGGAGATTCAATGGCAAGATATGGTTCATTATAGTGTTTGGAATAATATTCCATGCAGTGTTCACTTTATCCATATTCGATATCTACTTCCGATCTCCGCTAGTCCATGGAATGACTCCACATCACATCAATCATTACACCAATGTTCAGCCACCAGCTCAACGTCTTGTACTATTCGTAGGTGAGTAGTTGTCGTAATAGTAGTAACGTCACTAGTGATGGACGACATGTTCTAACTCACTCAATGGAATCATTCCAATCAATCACATGACAGCTGATGGATTGAGAGCTGATAAATTCTTTGAAATGGAGGATGGAGTTAGTCGCGCACCTTTTATGAGATCGATTGTGGAGCAACAGGGAGCATGGGGAGTCAGTCATACGAGAGTGCCGACAGAGACTCGTCCTGGACACGTGGCACTTATTGCTGGCTTCTACGAAGATGTTAGCGCAGTGACCAAGGGCTGGAAGTCCAACCCTGTCGAGTTTGATCATCTGTTCAATGAGTCGCGACACTCTTGGGGCTACGGCTCGCCCGACATCCTACCAATGTTCTCGGATCAGGTGGATCACATGGCGTCTGAGTCATACCCACCCGAGGCCGAGAACTTTGCCAGCGAGGCATCCGAGCTAGACACGTGGGTCTTTGACAAGATCGAGCAGCTGTTTGACAATGCCACCAAGGACGAGCAGTTGATGCGCCAGATCAAGTCGGACAAGGTTGTGATCTTTTTGCATCTTCTGGGCTTGGACACCAACGGCCACGCCTACCGCCCCACCTCGCAAGAGTACTATGACAACATTCGCCTGGTGGACAAGGGCATCCAAAAGACGGTCAAGCTGATCGAGGACTTTTACAACGATCATAGGACGGCCTACGTCTTTACCAGCGATCATGGCATGAGCAACAAAGGCAGTCATGGTGATGGCGAGCGCGCCAACACTGAAACGCCCATCGTGGCCTGGGGCAGCGGCGTGCGCGGCCCCCTCTCCTACAAGTTCCAAATGGAGAACATCACACGTCTGCGTGGCAAGGGTCGCGAGTACCTCGCCGTCGATTCAGACACACCATCCAACTGGCAGCTTGGCAACCTCATGCGTTCCGATGTCAGTCAGGCAGACATTGCGCCACTAATGTCCACACTCATCGGTGTGCCATGTCCACTCAACTCTGTTGGAGTACTACCCACCGACTATCTTGGTACCGACGCCAAGTACACATCATATGCACTCTACAGCAATATGTTACAAATATGGGAGATGTATAGACTGAAGTCTGGTAAGGTTCATTCAATCTTATTTGGATTGATTGATCATTGACACTAACTTGATCACCTACCTATATTTAGACACAAAGAGAGAGAGTAGCATGATGTTTAGTCCATTTACAAAGTTGAACGATGCTCAACAAAGACTGAGCAATATCAAGGTATACCTGGATACAGCTCAATATGAGGATGCACAATTGGCCTGTCACGAACTGATTGATCTATGTCTTCAAGGTCTAAACTATTTCCAAACGTAAGACGATGATATATCCAGGTTGGCCATTTCAATCAATCAATCACTCACTCATTCAATCAAACATATTCAGATATGACCGACCATTCCTTATGACTATGATCACATTGGGATACTTTGGATGGATTATAACACTATCACTATATGTCATGAACAACTACACCGAGGTTGGATCAAAGGCAGACAGGGAACAAGTGAAGCAACTCCTTCCTACATTGGTATGTTGTTTGCGCCATATGCTTGGGAATGACACAACCACACCTTACTTACTCATCACCCCGACCAACTACCACAGGACAAGATATCAAACCTATTGATTGCATTACTATCACTGGCGTTGTATGGATACTTGTTGGCGAACGAATCACCTGTGCTTTATTACCTCTATTGCACATTTGTTATATTCTTTTGGGGCAAGACTATCCCTGCCAATGTGTTGCCAGCCTACCTCTTTATGCAAGAATACTTTAATAGTGCCACCACTGCGACACGTGACAATTCAGCCAGGTCCAAGGTGGTGAACAACTTTATCCTATTATCCATTGGTGCCGTCATTGTTATGGAACTGCTGGTTGTTGCCTACTTTGATCGTCGCGTTCTCTCCTTCCTCTATGTACTGCTGGCATTGGTCTCGATCAAAATCAACAACTCTGTCAGTCCATTGCAAAGAATGGTTTGGATTGGATCATGTTTGTTAATGTCCATCTTCCCATCATTGCCCATTGACTATGGTAATGCAACCAATCTTGTGTAAGTAGTCTTGGTCATCGTCATCCTGAGCCAACACTAACATGTCAATCAATCAATCATAGATGTTTGGGTGGAGTATTAACAGTTGTGATGGCACTGGTTGCACAAACATTTGGACCATTCACATCGACAACATCTACACGCTCACCAACAAATGGAGGAATGGTCCAGTCATCACAACAACCAAAGATAACACAGTATATATTGATGGCAGCGATTGCATTATCAGCATGGCTAGTATACACAACGGACAGTGCCCTGGTTAAAAAGACTGGTCTACCATACTTTAACCAAATCACCAGTTGGATATTGTTGGTGGCAAGCTTTGTCACATTAGCACTACTCAAGGGCAAACACTACTTTGATCACTGGATCTATCTATGTCTCTCACTCTGCATCCCATTCGTATTACTAAGTATCTCTTACGAGACACTGTTCTACTGCTTCTTTGTCATCAACCTTTCCCTGTGGATGTACACTGAGCTCAAACTTGAGCGTAAGGATGGACGACCAACATCAGCAGCCGCCCTGGCAACAACAGACACAATCACTCATAATGATATCAAGAGAGCGATCATATATGTATGTAATGTTGTTTGATTGTGAACACACCAATCATACTAACATATATTATAATTTAGATATTCTTTTGTTATATTGGATTCTTTGGAGTTGGAAACATTGCTAGTATTAGTAGCTTTGAGATCTCATCCACTTATAGATTCACAACGATATTCGATCCATTCTTGATGAGTGCATTGTTGTTGATCAAGATATTCATTCCATTGTTGTTGGTGGCCATCTCGTTCTCGTTGCTCAACAACAGTTTGAACATTCCACGTCCGGCCAGCTTTTTGCTGGTGATGGCGCTGACCGATTTGATGAATATCAACTTCTTCTTTTTGGTCAAGGACACTGGCAGTTGGCTAGAGATTGGCATCAGCATCAGTCATTATGCAATCTCCAATGCATTCATCATCCTCCAGCTACTTTTGTTTGCCGTGTCGTCCTCCCTGATCCCCACTGAGGTTTCAAATAGGATAATGCTTGCCAATAATAAACTGAAGCAATAACTATTTTCAAATTAATCAATTAATTAATTTCAACCATTTTTTCAAAAGAATAAAATATTTTCATCAATGTGGTGAACCTTGATGAAGTTTTTCCATCATGTTATCAGGTTAGCAGTTAAATAAGGGGCTATTTGGTGAGCCAGTCCGGGATGCTGACAGGTGGCATTGAGTGGTGGTGCCAGTCAAGGTGGAATTGTTTGACGATGCCGTCTAACACCGCTTGAATGGCTCCTCATTTTTTGAGCGCTATGAGCCTCTCCAGTGCTGACTCCCACTGGGCCTGGACCACAGTGGATAGGTAGCATGAGAAGTGGGAGCGCTTGTACAACGGCGGTGGCTCGTCGTGTTTGACCTTATTGCGCAGGGTCCAGGTGAATCTCATCATGATGGCAGTCATCGTGGCGGAAATATTGTCCGAGTGGGGCTGCGCGTGGATGTTGAGGTTGTCGATCAGCCAGGGTCGGGACCGGTCGAGTTCTGCCATGGCCAGTTCGTACTCAAGAGAGAGTGCAGTGGACCTTGGGCAGGTGAAGAAGATGTGGTAGCTGCTCTCTAGCTCCCCACGTGGGGCACCCTCCAATTTTTGATAAAATCAACATTGAAAAGAGAGTTTTTCCAGCATGTTATCAGGTTAGCTCAGTTGGCAGAGCGTAGGTCTCATAATCCTAAGGTCGTGAGTTCAATCCTCCCACTTGATATCCTCTTCCTTTTTTTTTTTATTTTTTTTTTATTTTTTTTTGAAACGGCAGAGGTGGTCTCAACCTCTGGGACATAGAACTTAGAGCCCTGGCCTACAAGATTTGGGTTTATAACAGAGCGCTTAACCTCTCGTTACAATCCTCAGTCGGCTATCTGGACTCATGGAGAACACAGCACCTCATTGCGTCCAGGATGCTCTCCACTACGTTCAGCCCCAACTTCAAAACGTTCTACACCCCATGATCCGAAATTCAGACAGAACTACTTCCACAGACACTGCGATAAGCTCCCGCTGGTGGATAAGGACGGTTCCATACTGTCCATCAGAGCTATATACACGCTGCTATGGAAGTCCAAATACGGCTCTATCAGGTGGACAGAGGGTCAACAACGACTCCGACTCCACATTAGGTCCTGGTCACACGCGACCATCGACATCTCCAAGAAGGGTGACAATCTACCTTTCGTCCACATCATCGCTGCAATCATCCAGAACAGAAATAGCCCGTACCTTCAATTAGTACCATTTATTAATGCTTCAATTAATAAACTATCCTTGTATAAAGTTTAAAAAAAAAAGCGATTAATTTACTTTTATACACCTACCAAGATATTGCTATTGTAATTGTCCTATTAGTATAATTGATATATTCCATACTGATTGCCAAAGTAAACAATGGCCAAAGTACATTCCCAAGTTTACTTTGATCTTTTATTATTATATGAAGATTGATAAAAATGGCAAACATCAGATCAGCACTCACCATATGGACTATAGTTTGAAGTGTGAATGGATGGGTTGCGGGCTACTAGGCCGGCAAATGATGGCATTAAGAGTCTGGCAACCGTTTTAAAGGGAGTCTCTGAAGATGCACTGGATGATCTCTGCTGCTCTTATGTCGATAAGTCAAAGAAATATCTTATTAAACCATACGAAAAGGCCACTCAACATTTTATAGAGGAAGTCTCTAGCACAAACAAACTACTTGGGCTATTTGAAACAAAATCGTCAAAGGCAGCAAAAACTGGAAAAAGCAAAAGGAAAGAGGCTCCAACTACATCAGCAACCCGAGAATCAAAGAAGGGGAGGAAATAAGAAAGAAATAAAATAATCAAAATTACAAAATAAAATACAAAATAAAACAACAATTAACCAACCAATTAATAAAATTAATGTTTAATTTTGATCATAGCCAGCGGCTTCTGGATGTGAATATTGGTGGTCATAGTCATCGTCGTCTTGGTACTCATAGTTAAATGTAGTAGTTCCGCAACTGGGATCCAATGACAAGACAAATTGGAATTGACCATTCCAGAAGTTGCTGTTCTCATTCTCAACTACGGCAACGGCTTTGTGAGGACCATTCCGCTCCAGCAAAATATTGGGATTGGTTGAGTACCTGATGACATGTACCGGAGATTCGTTGTGCTTGAATTTGAGAGTTTGTTGAAGGAAAGTGAAGTTTTCTGCTGGAAGGAGGTGTGGAGAGTCGTCACAGAGATTTTTTGGAAGCTCTAAGGTGATGAATTTATCGCCATTAATCCACCCAGCTGCAGTCATCCTGACAATAAGAGAATATAGAGAGACTCCATTGACAGCCAAGTTGAGTTCATGTAGAAAGCTAACTTGCAAAAGGTTCCCAATACAGTCTGGATCAAAGCAATCAAAGCTTGACTCGAAACAAAGGACCTTGATCGGAATGCTTTGTATGAGCAAGTGAAGATGACTTACAATGACTTTGGCATTGTTTAATAGTGCTTGATGAAAGCGGATGGTGAGGGTGGAAAGCTTAAAGCTGTCGGGCCTTTGAACACTTTGCTCATGTATTGCAATGAGTTGTTGATAAAGGTTACAGTCGCGCCTTGATGAAAGATGGAGAGAATGTAGTTGCGGGAAGATTCTTGACTCATTCATGCTGATCTGTAGATGCCGGAGGTTTTGTTTGGATGAAATGATGTCAATGAATTGGGATCCGTTGATGTGGCCAAGAGAGAGAGATTCAAGTGTGTCATTCCCGTCCAAGTATCGAAAAAATGATGGCTTGTAGTCTTTCCAATCGGACCGATTTGCCAGGAATAAGTCCAGACGGCGCAGCGTTTGATTATGAGAGAGTACATTAAAGAACGACTCTGGATCTTGGAGAATAAAACGATTCTTGTATGTCGCGCCGTGGTCCGCCTGATCACTACCAAGTATCAAAGAGGTCAATCGATTGATAATTGCTGGCTCATTTAGAATATCGCCAAATGGGCCTTGACCAACAAGTGAGAGTGAGGTGAGATGCTCGAACTTTCCAGAGAAGGAAACCGTTGGAGATGTGACCCCCCCGATATCTCGCTCAGAGTTGGTCGTGATGCACAGAGATTGTAGTTTCAGAGATGACGACGGATGAGGCACATCTACGATCATCTTCATGATGTCGCAAGTGTACGATGGTGCCACGCTAGCCAATGACAAGTGTCTGAGAGTCGAAGCATGGTGAATGATCTTGGATAGGGATGAAAAGGCAATTCTAAAGCAGATTGTCAGTTCGAGAGTTTGTATAGATTTAAGTAGCTGAGTAAAACATGATGACTGCTCCCACAGCACTCTGTATTCGATTCTTGCGTGACTCGGATACTTGAGCACACAGTACATGGAGTTGAGATGACCTATAACACTCTGACAATATTGCTTGGTCTTTGCAACATTGCTTTGTGTCCATGAGAAGTCGATGAATGTGTAGTGATGTGCTACTACTTTGAAGCAATGCCAGGATATCAAAGCAAGTGCCAGCTTGAATCGCACACCCAACCTTGGGTCTCTCAAAAGAAATGACAAAATCTTGTCTACAACTTGTTGGTGCATGCTTGTTGCTTGTTTGTGTGTAGTTATTAGTTATATGTTATGTGCTGCTCTGTTGTCAAATGAAAAAAGTGCTCCCCTTCAATACACCCACACCCATGATGACATGTACTTGAATGCCAGTCTTGATCCAGAACAATATTATCCATTGTACAAACAGTCACAATAGATGTTACTATATTAATAGATGTATGGATAGTTTCCTGCTGGTAGTTTGTTGTTTGAAGACAAGGTCACAAATTGAATGGATATTATGGACAATCAATTGAGAAAGTATAACAAACTTGCCAATGACATTAGGCTACTACACCACGCGTGAAGAAACTACCTTTAGGCATTTCTAGCATGAGCCTCCAAGAGATAGACGACACAGCCCAAGAGCTTCTTGCCATACTCAATGTCCAAGAACTCATTTGGTCCGTGAGCATTGGACTGTGGACCAAGGAGACCTGTGATGATGAATTGAGCCTTTGGGAACTTGGCACCAAGCATACCCATGAATGGGATCCTAAAAGTATTAATTGATTGATTGATTATAGTTAGTATGATATTGATCGTGACTTTAAAAGATATATTTAGACTTACGTTCCACCCTCTCCAAAGAAGACGTGTGGCTTTCCAAAGAAATGGTTGGAAGCCTCACCAAGAGAGGTCAAGAGCCATTGGTCGAGGGCTGGGGCATCCCATCCGTTGGCAGACTTGTCAATCTTAAAGGTGACGGTGGCTCCGTAGGGTGGGTCCTTCTCGAGGGCCTCCTTGATGGCCTTGCCAGCGGCCTGTCCGTCGAGGCTTGGTGGCATACGGAAAGAGAGCTTGACAGAGGTCTTGGTTCTCATGACGTTACCGGCGCTGGTCAGTGCTGGGATACCATCGACTCCAGTGACACACATTGTTGGCTTCCAGGTCTTGTTGATGAGGAGCTTGACAATGTCCTTGGAGACTGGCTGGGTCTTGCCCTCCCAGAAGAACTCAGTGTAGACAGTGTCACCGAGGATCTCTGCGCAGGTCTTGGTCTCCTCGACACGGTAGCCTGGGATCTCAACGTGCAAGTCCTTCAACAGAATCTCACCAGTGCTGTTGTCCTCAATACGGTCCAATACCTGACGAAGTACACGGAATGATGATGGGCAGATACCGCTGGATAACAATCAAGTTAATATACATGTGCGACATGATATGTTGTTATGTATATACATACGATGCTGAACCAGAGTGACTGGCTTGCTCCAACACCTTGATGGTGAGATCTCCAGTGAGGACACCACGAAGACTGGCAGTCATCCAGAGTTGGTCGTAGTTTCCACAGCCAGAGTCGAGACAGACAACGAGGTTGGGCTCACCAATCTCTTTTTCAAACTTGTCAATGTACTGTGGCAAGTGAATGCTTCCACTCTCCTCTGAACCCTCAATCAAGATGACGTATCTGTCATGTGGAATGTCTAATTATATATGTTAGTTAGTCGTCGTCTTGTGTAGTTGATTGATTGATTGGTATACATACTCTGAGCCTTGAGAGCTTGGATAGCAGCAATGGAACCAAAGGTTGAGTATCCATCATCGGCACCACCACGTCCATAAAGCTACATTGGACCGACAGATTATGTTAGCAAAGTTGAATGAGTCATGACTTGTGTCATATAAACTTACACGCTTGTTCTTGATGACAGCCTTGTATGGGTGGAGTCCCTCTGCCCAGTCGTCGGTTAAGGGTGGCTGCTTGTCCATGTGTCCGTACAACAAGACGTTCTTTGGGTTGGTCTTGGTTGGCTCAACGATAGCCAAGATGATTGGGGAGATTCCCTCAATACGCTTGATCTCACAAGAGAGACCTGGCACATTCTGAGCCAATACCCAGTCGGCCAACAACTTGATAGCCTGCTCGGTGTAACCATTGGTTGCCCACTCACTGTGTATATTTAATCAGTCAGTTAGTTAGTAAGATTGATTGATTGAGTGATTGAGATGGATGCGATGGGATACATTACCTGTCGTAGAGTGGAGATTGGTTTGGGATCTCAATGTACTTTGACAGAGTTGGGATGATGGTGTTCTCCCATGCGTTGTTTGAGAACTCAGTAACCTTCTTAATGTCCAATGCTGACATGTTTGTTGTAGTCGTTGTTGTTATTATTTATATGTGTAGAATAAGATAGACACAATGAATGAGGTGGATAGAATGTTCAAAACAGAACTTGATGACAAAGGAATGAGTGCGATGTTCATCCTCAAATTGAACAGAAGGTGGTTTTTTGGGATTCTCCTTTTTTATCTTGGGCCAGGTCCCTGTGTGTGTTGTCAATCAATCAGATATTCAGTGGTTGGGCCAAGTATTGGATACGCGTCCAATATCCCAATCTAGGTGTAGATTGGTCTGGACAATGATCAATATCTTTATTAGGAGAGAGTGATAGTCCAAATATATACAATGGTAAACCAAGATTGACTTATCGATTGATAGATTGATTGATCAGACTTAGAAATAATCTTCATCAGAGCTACTCTGGTCTTCATCAGTTTCAGTGATTTCGTCATCGTCGTCATCGTCATCGTCGTCGTCATCATCATCATTGTTTTGATGGTTTGGCCAATGATGACCTCCACCATAATCATCATAGTCATCATAATCTTCGTCTTCATCACCGTCAAAATCATAATCTATCTCATCATCTTCATCATCCTCATCCTCATCCTCATCCTCCTCATCTTCGTCTTCCTCGTCTTCCTCGTCCTCCTCATCACTTGCATGGACTGCCAGATGTGCTTTCAGATGGTTGACCAAGTCGGAATCAAATTCATCATCTTCATCATCTTCATCATCTTCATCTTCATCATCATCATCATCATCTTCTTCATCTTCCTCATCTTCGTCTTGATAATCCTGATCATGGTCATAGTGATGGTGTCCATGGTAGTGATCATCATCATCATCATCATCATCATCAGACTCTTGATATGATGCATCTACATCGTCCTCGGGAACAGTGTCATCGTCCAACTCTCCAAATGAATATGTTTTGAGGTCCCTTATGTACATGTGTAGGAACTTCATCATGTGCTTTGAATCAACTATTCCTCCACGCATGTCATCCAGCATCAGTAGTGTCCACCTCTCGCTCAGTGGCCTCAGCTCGAGTGTCTCAAACTTGTTTGGTGCATGATTGAACTGAAGATGTCTGATGCTGTCGCCCTTGATCGTGTGATGACCGGCAAACGATGGTTGGAGCACTGCGTCGCCCTCGAGGATCAGTCGTCGCACAGAAGGTATATCCTCCTCCTGGATGTGGTAGGGATAGGAGTCGGACATCAGCTTTAGCTCAGTGACTGACTCGGGGATGGAGCCTTTCTTGAAGGGCTGACTGAACCCGAATCCAAACGTGATGCTCGTGAGCGACGATGGGAACATGCCTCTGGGAACCTGTTGGTTGAATGAATCGCCAAAACTGATTGATTTGAGCGTTGAGGGAAGCGCACCATGTTTGAGTAGTCGATTAAAGTCCTCGCCAAACACCAGCGTCTCCAAACCATCGGGCAAAGCACGCTTGGCAATCGTATGATTGAATGAAGCACCAAGCTCAAGTACCTTGATCTGCTTTGGGACATTGCCAGAGGGGATTTTCGTGTTAAAGTTGACGCCAGAGTTGATGTCTGTCACCGATGGAGGAATTGCTCCGGAAGGGAGCAAGAACTGCTCGCCAGCAAACTCAATCCTCTCGAGCTTCTCTCCAATCTTGAGCTCATTGAATGAATGTGGCTGCTCGTACTCTGAACCAAAGGAGAGATGGACTATAGTTGGCGGCAGTATATCCATCAATGATTGATTGAAATCATCGCCAAAGCTTAGACTGGTCAGCGATGAGGGAACTGATCCGGGTTCCAGTGGTTGATTGAAATGTCCACTAATGTCAAATGTGATTGTTGTTAGGGCTGGCGGGAGAACACCTGGATTCAGTGGGGAGTTGAAGAATAGGCCAAAGAATATCTCCTTGAGGTTGGAGGGCAAAGTGCCGATTTCCATCTCCTGATTGAATGTCTCGCCAAACGTTAGCTTGGTGAGGCTCTCGGGGAGGACACCGGGATCGATCGGTCTGTTAAAGCCATCGCTTATCAGTAGCTCTGTCAGACTGTTGGGCAGAGAGTTGGGCACCAGTGGACGATTAAAGTTCAGGCCCAGGTCCAGATAACGTAGCGTGTTTGGTAGATGGCCAGGCTTGATACGTGTGTGGAACTCGCCGTCCCTGAACGTCAGACTGGTCAGGCTGCTGGGCAGTACATTCTCCAGTGATCTGTTGTACTCTTGTCGAAACTCAATCGTCAGGACCGACTCGGGGATGGCACCTGGGTCGATCAGAGAGTTGAACTCATAGCCAAATATCAATGTCTTGATTGTCGGAGGGATCATACCCTTCCTAATACGACGATTGACCTCTGTAGAGAATTTTAGTGTAGTGATACTAGGTGATATTTTATAAGGTCTATATACTAAACACATGCATATGAGTTAGCAAGACGATGGGGATGGCTTGCCACAGACTCGTGGATGTACATACATATATGATGGACATGGTTAAAGTACTTAAAGTAACTGATGATTGTGTTTGGTTCACAGTCTTTGCTGTGATAGATCATGGTCTGGTCGGGACGTGCATCAAATGCTTCGTCAATCATTGGTCTGAAAGAGTTGAGTCTTATACGTGTACTTTGATAGAATGTTGTCGATAACCTTATCGACGATGGGTTCAGACTAAAGTACTTGTCCTTTTCCTCAAAGAATCTCTTTGACACCAATGCCAGACATATCCTATCAGCATTAGATTCAATGAATGAAACTATCTTTCTTAATAATATATGTGATAATGTTTCCATTATATATATATAATGTTTATATGTATTTATGTTTATAAGTATATTTATGTATTGTTGATGAAAGAATGAACTTGAACTGCTCAACAACACAAAGTATCTTGTTTGTAAAAATGGCAATCAATGTGGTCTTCATCCCAATTTTGGTGAAGTCAATCATTTGATTGACTAATGGGCTTCATTCATTAATATATATGATGGTACCTAAATTACTAGTAGTATTTGTATCACTGTCTCGTTTACTGATTACCAATATATCTACCCATAACGGTAATGTTATCTGAGATATATATATTTATTACTTCTTCATATTAAATATTCCATATTAATAAATAATGCATATTAATAGATCCATAAGATAAGTTAGAGAATAATATATATATTAATAATAAGTATAGTATATTAATACAAATAGTATACTATATCTATTGCAATGAAATGATAATAGAGTTAACCTACAGCTTGTTGTAAATGAACAGTTGAGTGTGAGAGGGGTTGTTTGATCAATCAGCAAGTTGTCACCTGATCAACAGGCAGATGGAGGGGGAGGCGGGCGAAGTCTAATCCAACTCTATCATCAACAATATAAACTTGTTTACCATTATTATATAACCATTCATTCATTCATTCTTTCTTACTTATACTAATAAACATAAAGATATATAATAATGTCATATAACTCATATAATAATAATGGAGGTGGAACAGTAGAAGGAGGATATTTGGAGAATGTTAATATGAACTATGTTGTATCTAGCATTGTATTCTCAATGGTATTTATGTACATTGAGAGGAGATCACAATACTTTGCAAGGTACTTTGGAGTTGAGAGACAATATATTGCATTGGATGCCAAGGGTCGTTCAAACTGGGATCAGTTGACTGTCTCACTAGTTCACGCCCTCATCGCAGTACCAATATCAATGAAGATAAACTATGACTCTGTTGGTGTATGTTTTCTAACCTCAATCAATCAAACTTAGTACTGACTATATATATCATCTTAAACAGCAAGACCCAGTATATTACTATAGTGATTTGATATATTACCAGTTTATCATATCAGGTGGATACTTCCTTTGGGATCTCAAAGTTGGATTGAGTGCACCAGACCTTGTTGGAAGAGTAATGGTATTCCATGCTTGTTGTGGAGTATTGGCAACACAATATGTCAATGTAAGTTGACACTCACGATCACTCTAGATCACTCATGATCACAAACTCATATCGTCATACATTTTAGTTACTTCATGGTGGACCATTATATGCATGCTTCACCGCCAAGTTGTTCCTGTATGAACTTAGTACGATACCGCTGAATATTAAGGGATTCCTACAGGTTGTCAATCCAAAGTCCAAGTTCTATGAATGGACATTGTTGTCATTTGCAGTGTCATTTATTTTGGTTCGTTGTATATGGGGAGTGTACACTACATTGAACATGCTCATCTATATCTATCCAACACTGGACTCATACCCAATGGACAAGAACATGGTGTTGATAGGTGAGACCATGGCAACATCATTGATGAACCTCTATTGGGGAGGTTTGATAATGACCAAAGTACTTCAACGTTTTGGTCGTCGACCATCTTCGACTTCATCATCTTCATCCAGCTCTTCATCCTCGAGAACATCTGGTATTTCAATAAAACATGATTGATTGATTGACTGACATTCCGAAACCATGTCAGTCTGTTGATCAGTGATTTGTACATATCCCTTACCCTACCCTTACCCTTACCCTTACCCTTGCCCTTGAACTTCCTTATTTTTTCCTTGGTCTGTCACTTGGATGTATTCGTGGTCAGAGGTGACTACGGTTCATTCTATTCCTGCTCCAGCACTATATATTTACATAGTTAACTTAACCAAACCAACTATGACAGAAGCTAATGGTACAATACATCTTCTTCCCTCAAAAGATGATATCATAACTCATGGTGATGGTAGTAGTGACACAACAGAATCCGCCGTCATAGTAGAATCATACTTATCAAAGAATGTTAAAGGATTGTTATTGTCACCAATCACAATGACAGATGTAGACACGTCTGTCGATCATATAATCGATCCATCATCAATGTGTTTAAACCAACATACTCTTGCAACAATACTAAAGGATCTGATTGCAATGGGACTACCAACATCTACACAGTCCCAAGCTCAGGGTCAGTCACAACAACAGACTACAACAACAACAGTTGAATTGAACAATGATATTGCATTGAAATATGCAGCCGCATCACTCTCCATTCGTACAATGGCCAACACATTACTCAAGTCTTTAGTGAGAGAGCAATCAATGTCAAAGGTGGAGACACAATGTTCGTGGCGGGATAAACTTCCATTCAGTCCGGCAATGTGGCGAGCAAGTCAATGTACCCTCTTGAATGATGTAAGTACTTTAAGATGGTTGAGTGAATGAATGCCACGGTTGACCGGCCACCTACTAACTCCAATCAACAACATAATATAGCTTAACTTGATGGCTGATGTCTCTCAGAGATTGACTACAATGATGATTGGTACTCAGGTCAATGACACTGACCTCATACTTTGCGCTTCAATCTTGACATTGACAATCGAGAGACTGTTGGGCGACATAATCACATGGAGGATACTGTTTGAGTACCGCAACAACAGCAATACATCATCAACAACAACTACATCAAAGCCAACAACACCTCCTGTCATACCAATGGGAAGAATGTTACGCGATATCCTTGAAGACCCTGTGTTGCAGAGAAGTATTGGTCCAGAATTGCTGTGGACATTGCGAGTGATCATTGGTCCACCAATAGGAATGAACTTACGCAATGTGCTCTGGCATGGATTCATCTCGCCTGGCGAACTCGACCTCTCAATGGTCATCCTCATGCTCGTCATCCTCCACTCAATGATCATTCAAGTACAGACATGGCATCCACAGCCACAAGCACTCATTCCCAAGAAGCAGTTGGATCTCAGTCAACTACCTAAACTGATTCGTGTGCAACAAGATCGTGACCAGGCAATGGCCCAGTCACAACAGACACGCGTCAAGCTCACACCCAAACAACTACATGACATTGGTCGTCTGATTGACTGCTCGCCCTTTGTTGTGTCGGGTCGACAACATCTTTGGCATCACGCTCTTCAACTCTACAATCAATCACTCGTGGAGACAGACCAATCACAAACTCAAACTCACCTCGACTACTTTACATTCATTATCCTGTTACCACAGTTGGAGCATTCTTTACGATGTCAGTTTGTAAAGATCAATGGACTGTCGCCTCGCTTCCTCCACGCCGATTATCTAAGCTACTACACCACGCTGGACCTATTCCTCACTGATCGTCTGGCACTCAGCCAATCGTCACAGCATCAACAACTTCAGATCTGCCTCACGACCACCAGTGTAGCCTCAACACAAGGCTCATCATCACCAGCGCTCAAGAAGTACTACAAATATCATGATCCAAAGTATTCCAAACTTGGACAGAGTCAAGATGTGGAGACAGAGGAGTCCGAGGAGTCCGAGGAGTTGGAAGAGTCTGTGATTGAGTTCCGAAATCAACTGATCGATAGTGTTGGCCAGAGCAATATACTTGGACTTCTCGACCTGTTCCTTTATCCAGATGGTCCACGCATTCGAGATAGGATATCACATGGAGAGATTGATAACAAACATATACCATCATTCATCCTCGATCAACTCTTTCAAACTGCCGTGACCTTGCTTGTTAAGTCAATTCCAGCTAAACAACTGGCCACTTTGAACCTAGATCCTACCATCATCCCAATGGTCAACAATGAGTACAAGGTACTTTTCCATCCAAAGGCAATGGCACATGAGAAGTTGGTACAATTGGATCGTACGACCAGTGCGCTTAGACAATACCTTGGCGAGCTGAAGGCCAAAGCAGTGGAGCCAGCCATCATTGACTGTCCAGCCACAGAGAATGAGCGACTCTATGAATACGTGATGTCAAACAGTCAGTTCTCTCTCGATTCACTCATGACCAACATGTACAAAGAGTTAAAGAGTTCAACAACAATGACAGAGGCGACCATCACAGTTTGTAATCCAAGTGCATTGGAAGTGAGCTACTATGAGTCGATCAGGAAGACGGCTTCGACATGCATCAAGTTGGTGGCAGAGTTTCAGCAATGCGGACAACAGTTGTACAACGAAGTCATTGTCAATCAAATCAAGAGCAAACGAGTGCAGAACTCATTCTACAAGTGGTGGGGCCTAGCCAATGGCTTTGCCAGATTCTCACGTATAGTCCAATGGCTCCTAGTGGTACAGATTGTTCGTCCTGCTCCCAGCACCACCGATAACATGGATATACATGTTGATCAGAAGCAGCCCAAGACGATTGGGTCGTACAATGACAAGTTGATGAGCCAAATGGAGAAGCTGTCCATTAAGATGAAGAACAGTGCATGGGAGTTGATGTCGGAGAACATCACAGCGATAGGTGCATCCCAGCTGTCATCTTTGATGCGACATATGGTACAGGTCTGATTGTTTGAGTCGAGTTAGGCGTGACCCGAATCACACCCCTTCGTCGTTTATATTGTAGTCGCCAGCTTTAAGATACAAGCCAGGAGAGAGACATCATCATCATAATGGGTAACAATGATGACCCCGCCCATCAAAAACCAACCTTCCACATCCATCAATCACTCACACACCCACTCAATCATACATTCCTGGGCGCCCGATATCCAGAAATATCCAGTTTAATTAGTGGTCGGTCATTCATTCCTTGTACAACTAATGAATGAATTGATGATGATGGTGATGCCCCCTGTCCATTCATTCATTCAAACTTCCCTAGCTGGGAACCCTGGCTTGCCTGCTAATGCCTTGCCTGTTGTCTGACTGCCTGCCTGCCTCGTCCAGTTGTCAATGAACCAAAGGTGACCTCTTCCCACCACACTCACTCCTGGAGACCATGTTGTTGTAGGGTAGATCCTGTACATCCCTACAACAACATACACCGGAGGGCCACTCCACATCCCGACTGATTGACCGCCGTACAATGGAGACTCGTGACCTTCCATTGGAAGGATGATGATGATTAAGTAATTGATCAATCATTCAATCAATCAATCAACCTCATTCAAACAAATAATCAAACATGTTCAGATACACTATTGCTTGTCTCTTCTTGTTCGCCGCTTTGGCTTCTGCCCAGAACCCAATCTGTGCCACCTACAACAACACCTACGGATACGGTTACAACACCGTTGCCTTCAACTTTGTTGGCCGTCACAACCACTTGGAGTCATTCGCCGAGAGTGGAGGTGTCGTCAACGACTTTGTCAACCAGCGCTCCGCCGTCTTCTACCGCATCCAGTTCAACAACACCGACAACATGCCCATCTTTGAGGAGGGAATGGAGGTGCACTTTGGCAACAACAACACCAACTACCTGATCACCAACGGCGTCTGCTTCCTGTTCTCGGCCTACTTCCCAATCCCCAACACCATGGTGCCACCCAACACCAAGTTCTCCAACCAAGTCACCATCGGCTCGCAGAAGTACAACTCATACACCTCGCCATTCTTTGACGGAGTCCACTCCTACTTTGGTGCCTTTGAGCAATCGACCTGCATTCCAATCAACCAGAGACTGTCCAACGTCGACTACACCCTCGGCGAGGCCCACACCTCCATCTTTGACTTCTCGACCACCATCGACAGCAACGTCTTCAACCTGCCACCACCATGTGAGCACCCAATCCACAACCGTGAGTACACTGGTGTCCGCACTCACATGAACTACTACTTGAACCGCGAGTTGTAAGTCCATCCGTCGTCCGTCCGTCCATCGTCCACTCTCAATATTATTCATTCATTCATTCGAATGAAACAATAAAATGAGTTCCAAAGTCCCATCCAAACAATGATTGTTAAGAGAACAATTAGAGTTCTAAAGTGTAAACTGCTACATTACTGTCCGTCTCTGTCATAGTTGGCGACATACTTCCATTCATCAAGCCACCACCTGGCTGACTGGCACTGTACAACTGTGCTTGAGGGGTCACTTATTCACTCAAACATGTTTAATTGATTGATTGAGTGTGGAAGGAACAGTGCGCAACTTGTGTTTGATTGTTTGATTGTTATTTGAATCAACATCCGTCGACACCATACCAATGCTTCGATACCTTTAGACCCGAGGCAGTTCAGAGTATAATTGGTAACCAAAAGGCAGATGATGGGACTTTGTCCAATCAAAACAGGTCCTTGGACCCGCGTTAGACCCCACATCTTATGACAAAACTATGAAAAAACCTACAAAACTACCCAACAACACACTTTTTTGGTCTTGCAATGGTTTTGGAGGTAAACTCCAACCGACTTGATCTTGTATTACATGTGTAGTAGCATGTATCCTTCATTAACTACCTTTATTATTGTTAATGACAATAATACCCCATAACTTTTGGATTGAGGTTGGGTTTTGATTCAAGATCGAATTTAAAAATATTAAAGTATTACTGTTCTTTCAATCAATTTGCGATAAATAGACTCCAATTTTGCCCTTCATTCGTTATTTAATTAATAATCATTGTATAATTATTTGTATAATATATATATATCCTTAATCACCTATATTATTATTTAATTTATTATTGTACTTTTAAAACACCATTCAATCAATTTAAAAAAAATGAAATCATTAATATTAATATTTTTATGTACTTGTATAATTACATTTACAAATGGTCAATTGAACCAAACTGATATTGCTACTTTTATTAATAATCATAACTCATGGAGATCAAAGCCTGTACCCACTCCATCCACATCACTCAAGTCGTTAGTTTGGAATTATACCTTGGCCGCCCAAGTCCAGAGTACCCTTGATCTATGCGATGGATCGTGGGGCACCTTCTCAGGCTCTGCAGGATGGAAGCTCTCTATGACCTCATTCAACCCCCAGAACTTGATGAACTACATCTGGGGCACCAATGGCAACTGGAACTTCAACACCAAGACCTGCACAACCAGCCCATGTTTGGCAAGATATGGAGTGTGGCAGTCAACTACCTCTGTTGGATGTGGCATGCGCAAGTGTGGATCATACTACTATGTCTACTGCCGCTACTACACTGGAGGTGGCTTTGCCAACACAAATCCATACACTCCATATGTAGCCCCTACCCCTGCCCCAACCACTACCCCAGCCCCTACTACTACTCCCGCACCAACTACCACCCCTGCTCCATCAAATCCATTCCCAGCCGCCAAGGTACCAACTACCAACTCATCTATTGATTGGAGACCCTGGTCAACTGCACCAAAGAACCAGGGTAATTGTGGAGATTGCTACATCTTTGCTGCCATTGGTAACATTGAGTCCAAGTTCCTTGTGACCTACGGAGGCAATCCAAACAGCATCAACCTCTCTGAACAGGATGCTCTCAACTGTATGTCCAATGGATGCAATGGAGGATGGCCAACCCAGGTCTATGACCAGTATGCCACCAATGGTATCTCTTTCACTGCTCAGAACCCGTACACTGCCGTCCAAGGATCATGTGCCTCATCCAGTGCATCCACTCCAAGATTGAAGTTCAAGGGATACAATCAGATCTTCACTCAGACCAAGCAAGCATTCATTGATGGACTCAAGAATGGACCAATCTCCATCGGTCTCTATGCTGATCAAAACTTCATCAACTATGTCTCTGGTATCTACAGCAGCCCAACCTCGTACACCAGTGTCAACCATGCCATGATCCTCACTGGATACAATCCAACCTATGACTACTGGATCCTTAAGAGTATGTTAATCATTCATTCATTCATTCATCCAATAACCTTAATACTAACATCTGATCACTCAATCAATCTTTAGACTCCTGGGGTGCAAGCTGGGGAGAGAATGGATACATGAGATTGACTGCCAGCAACGACAACAACTACATGCTCGCCTATCCAGCCAACTATGTCAACTTTGTATAATAAACGTGTACCCTTATCCTTACCCTACCCTGAACAAACACTGCCAAGTAGGCAAGAGATAATAATGATAATGATACAGATGTACCTATGTGTGAGATTTAAGTCTTTGACTTGGACTGGCATTGCGGACTGTCCTTGGGTACTACTACTACTAGTCGGTGTTCACCTCGCTCTCGCTGGCACTGGTCTCAGTGGCACTGGTCAGGTTGTACTCTGGAATCATACCCTCACGCCTCTGCTTCCTGACAGAGAGGACACGCTTGTCCACCTTCCTCTGTTCGTCCAGTGACAGTAGCTCCACTTCCTTGATGGGCAGATGCTCCAGACTACAGGTGAGCACCTTGGACGTTGAGTCGAGCTCGCGACACACACCAACCAGAGCGTCACTGTTCTGGAAGAAGATCTCCTTGAGCGAGATGACGACAAACTGCGTCTTCTTCTTGGCGGCCTTGCTTCGTACGTAGCGCACCAGTTTGAGCACGTTGATGTTGTCAAACGCTGCGTCCACCTCGTCCAGCACAAAGAATGGCGTTGGCTTGTACTGATGAACGGCAAAGAGGAGTGCCAGCGCGGCGATCGACTTCTCGCCTCCAGACAACATCTCCATCTCTTGGAAACGCTTGTTGGGAGGGATGGCCGTGTACTTGATGCCTCCGTTGAATGGGTAGGACGTGTCCTCGACGGCCAGATCGGCCGAGCCTCGCAGGTAGGGGGGATAGAGATCGCGTGTCAGGTCACCGTAGATCTTGTTGATCTTCTTTGATATGCTATCAAAGGCGCGGTTGAAGAGGTGCGTCCTCTCCTTCCTCACTTGGGCAAACTTCTGGCCCACCTCACGGGCGGCGTTTCGTCGCTCGTCCAGCTCCTTGATGGTCTCTCGCAGCTTGGTTGAGATTGTTCGGAAGTGCTCGTAGGCCTTGAGGTTGGGGTTGTACGTCTCCATGGCGGTCTTGATCTTGTGCAGGTCGTGTGAGTACTCCTTCAGCTGGTGCTGCAGTCTGTCCTCCGACGTGACCGACACGGCTGCAATGAGCTTAAAGTCAAAGGGAATGCTGATGTGAGCTTCGTAGAGCGCGTCCAGCTCAGCTTCGGTCATCTCTTCGCTGGCCATCTCTACCAAGTCCAGGAATGGGTTTTCCTCCTCAGCCTCGTCCTTCTCTTCGTCCGAGTCAAGCTCCTCTTCGTCCGAGTCGTGAAAGATGTCGTCGTCTGTCTTGCCTGCCTCGCTCTCTTCCTCTCCCTCGCCTTCACCAGCAGACTTGTCGCCTTCGTCCCTGGTCTTCCTTTTTCTCGATGACGACGACTTCTTCTTCCTCTCATCCTTGCCACCAGTCCTCTTGCCAGTCTTTCCAGAAGATGGTGTCTTCTTTTGTGAACCAGGCACGCCCTTCTCCGACTCCTCTGGCTCTGCCATCTCCTCGTCCTCACCTCTAAGTGGTATCCTCATGTTCTCAGTCTTTGCCTCCAACAATGTGTTGTGGAAGTCCTTCTTGATCTTTGCCAAATCATTCAATCCAATCAATATCTGATTCTCCATTTGTGCTCTCTTGAATCCATTCTCCGACACCTTCTTCTTGGCATCTTTAATCGCCGTGTTCATTGTGAACAATGTCTCTTTGTGCTCTAATCATGATTGAATGATTGATTAGTATTCCATCGTGCACTTAATCAACAGTTCTTACTTACTCTTTATCTTGTCACCAACATCCTCCAACTTTTGTTCAATCTCATTGTCTTGCTCAACGCATCCCTTTTGCAAGCCAACTTCTCTATCTAGTGCCTCTTGATTGGCCTCCAACTCTGATCGAAGTGTGTTGATCTCACTCTCCAGGTTCCTGCTACTCTCGTACTCCATCTGATTCCTGACTCTGTCAATCTTGTGGGACAGTGCCATCCTCTCGCTTGACTGCTGTTGTATCTTCTTGAGTCGATCCTCTTCAAACTCTCTAATGCTCTTGATGCCCAGTGATTGACTAAACTCCTGGAACATGTCCTCCTCCACGGCGCTAATGTCATTCTGCAGCGAATCGATTGTGACTCGACGCTCGGCGATCGACTCTGTGATGCGTTGGATCTCTGGCGTGATGGGCGCCTGCTCCTTGTCGATCAACGCAACCTCGGCGGTGTTCTTGGCGATACGATCGCGGATGGGCACCAGTGTGATGCTGTTGGTGCTGGCCGAGAGCCTCAGCTCATTGATCTGGTTGTTCATTTGTTGGATGTCCGACATGCTCACCTGCTTGGCCTCCATTCCCGACAGCTCCTGGATAATGGCGTCGCGCTGCTTCTTGAGGTCGTCGAGTCGGCTCGCGTCAAACTTGGTCTTGGACTTGACGCCCATCAGTCCACCACTCATCAGACCGGTCTTGGTGATTTTGATGCCCTGGATTGTGACGACCTTTTGGCGATTGTTGGCGTCGCCAAATGCCAGCTTCTTGGCCTCGGGCAACGAGTCGCAGACCAAGGTGTTGCCAACGACGTATCTGATCGCGGGCTCGATAACCTTGTCAAACTTGAGGCAATCGATCAACAACTTGGACGTTCCGCCCAGTGTGCGCAGCTTGGGATTCAGTGCCTTGGGGTTCAGACGGTCGAGTGGGAGGAAGGTGGCCGTGCCGTACAGTTGCTCCTTCATGTACTCAACGCAGGCGTAGGCCGTCTTTTGAGTGTCCACAATGATGGCGTCCTGCAGCTTGCCCATGGCGACGGCCAACGCCGTCGAGTACTTGCGCTGGGTCTGCTCACACATGTCAGACACCTTGCCACGCACATCTGGATATAGGTTCTTTAGCGTGCTGATCACAGAGTTGAGACGACGGTCCCTCTCCTTCTCGGTCTGCTCGGTCTTGTGCTCGGAAAGAATGAACTGGATGCGGTCCAGCTCGCTGGTGAGTGTACTCTGCTTGGACAACATCTGTGCGTTTGAGGTGGTCATTTGATTGAGTGCGTCGCGCAACACGACCAGACGCTCGTCAGCCTCCTTGACGTGCTGCTCGGCGATGTCTCTCTTCTGGATGAGCTTCTCGTTGGTCTGCTCAAACTGCACGCGCATCTTCTTGAGGTCCTCCAGTTTGGAGGACAGGGTCATCAGCGACTCGGTCTCGACGTTCTGTTGGCGCGTAAGCTGGTCAAGTTGGCGTCGCATATCGGCTGTCTCCTTGCCGGCCTGTAGCTTGATCTTGTTGTACTGCTCGATCTGGTCCTTGTCCAGCTCGATCGACTTCTCCACCTCGGCGCTCTCCACGTCTGTCTGTTGGCGCTCAAGATCCGCCAGGTCTTTGCGCAGCTGCTCGATGGTCGCTTGCTGCGCGGCAAAGTTCTTCTCGGCGCGCTCGATAAAGTGTGTCGTCTTGTTGATCTTGTCGTTGAGCTGCTTGACTTCCTCACTGGCCTTGAGAGCGCTGGGACGGCCCTTGTCGCGCGACCTCTTCAGCAAGTCCATCTCGTCCTCGAGCTTCAGCAGCTCCTTGTGTGTCTCGGCCTGTTTCTTGCTGGAGGCCTTCTGTTCGTTTTCAAAGCGCTCGCCCTCCCTGCGCAGCGTGGTCAGCTCCACCTCTTTGGAGCCCAGCTGGTCAGAGAGCTGCGTGATCTGGCCCAGGCGATACCGCAGCGTCAGCAGGATAGACTTGACGCGCAGGTCCTCGCGCTTTGACATGTACTCTCTAAACTCTCGTGCCTCTGCCAGCTGTGCGTTGATCTGTTGCTTCTCCTGACTGATCGCCTTCTTCTTGGAGTAGGTCAGCATGACGGCGTCCTCAGCTGCCGTCTTCTCTTGGAACAGACGGTCGTACTCGGACTTGAGCGCGCCCGAACCTGACACGGTCTCTACCAGCGCCGTGATCTGCTTGGGGTTCTGCGATGCCAGACTGATCACATCGCCCTGGAACACAAAGAAGTTCTTGCAGGCCACGTGCACGTCCAGCTCGGCCAACTTTGACTCGTACTCTTCATATTTCAAATGTTTATCGTCCACGTAGTAATGCGATGTTGAGTCCTTCTCCTTTGACTCAATCTTTCTCATAAACACATAGTCTTTGCCTGTTGGTTTATGATGATAATGCATCTTTACGAATGACTCCATCTTCTCCACATGTTGTTGTGGAGATGCTATTGGTGTGATTGAGTTAGTTCTTTGATTGATTGATTGATTGAATGAATGAATGAGTTGGACTTACAATCTGGTGAACCATCTTGTGCCAATGCTTCAGCGACACACTCTGATAAACTAGCTTCTGCCAATGCTTCAGCGACACTGTTTGTAACGATCTGTTTGAATACGAGTTCATTTAGATTGTTGCCTCTTATCTGTGATGATTTGTAACCGAGTACAAAGATGATGGCCTCCATCAGATTGGACTTGCCACTGCCATTGGGACCTATAATACAAGAGAACTGTTTGAATGGACCAACCAAATGCAATCCCTTGTATGATTTGAAGTTCTTTATTTCCAAACTAACTATAACCATTGTATTGTATTGTGTCTATCTATCTATCTATGTACATATATAACTTAACTTAAATGTTGAATGAGGTAATACATTGAATGAATGAATGAGTTGGATTCAGAAGTGTGTCAAACTTCTTCTAAATTAACAAAATTGGCGCCAAGTCCACACACACTTTCTCAAACAAAAGATGTCTTGCAATCTCGAATACCAACCATTCATTCATTGTTTGGAGTTATAATAATGCATAACAAGTTTGTTTTATTTGTTTGTTTGTTGGTTGTGCACCTTATGAGAACTAATATACACTACTTTGATTAATTAATAATAATAGACAGCAGACCAGAGTTGATATATGGTCAAGATGGGAGATGTTGGGATTGAATGGACTTGAACATTTGACGACTGACTTAGTTGAAAGCAGCATCGAATGATGGACAGTGACCTCCCTCAACGATACGGATGACTGGGGTGAACTGGTTGTGACCGTTCTTCTCCAAGTAGTCGGTGGCGTACTTGAATGAGTTCTTCTTCTCGTTGGCGTTGGCCTTTTGTCCAACCCAGATGTACAGCTCAAAGCCGAGATCGAGGATGAACACGTCGTTGGTGTTGAGCTGCGAGCGGGCGATCTTGCCCTTGGCAACTTGGGTGAACTCGAGCTTGCCGGTGGCATCGGACAGACGGAAAAGGGTCTTCTCAATGGCCTTGAGAGCGGCTGATGGTGGCTGTGCATCGGGGATCTTGGCTGGCTTGCCTCCGAGGAGGGTCCAGAAGGCGGCGGGGATGTCCTTGTCGGTCTCACTGTAGGTCTCGATGCTGGGAATGCCCTTGTGCTCGCCCTTGATCTGGGTGGCAAGAGAGCCAGCCTTGACAACCTCGCTTGGGTTGGCCTTGCTGCCGTTGAACACGTAGATCTTCTCACCAGCGTCCAAGATGAAGCTGTCAGAGTTGTTGAGCGAGCTGGCGGCCAACTCGACCTGGATCACCTTGGGGCACTTCTTGAAGCCGACCTCGGTGGTCTGGATGTGGAGCAGACGGGGCTTGTACACCTTTGGTCCGACGTGGTTGAAGCCACTGTCAACACCACCGTGCAGGATGAAGAACGAGTTGTTGGGGAAGAGGCGGAGGAATGAGTCGGACTCGTAGTTCATGACCTCGCGGTACTGGGTGGGGGCGCCTCCAAAGAAGTCGTCCAACTCGACGGTCTTGTAGGCGGCAGTGCCGGCCTCGTCGGTGGTGGTGTCCAGTCCGAGCCAGAAGTAGATGTCGTAGGTGAACGATGGGCCGCTCTTCATCGAGTGCAACACGATGTAGCTGTCACCGTCAAAGAACTTTCCGTACTGGTCCTGGGGCCATGGCACCACCTTGAAGTTCTCAATGCGCCACACCTGGATACCCTCCTTCTTTCCAGCGGTCTTCCACTGGGCCTCCAACTGAGCCTTGTCCATACGGCACTTCTTGTCCAAGTCAGAGCCAAGCATGGCAATGTTGGTGTTGGCAATGTTCAACTTTGGTTGTTTGATCATTCTTTAGTTATTATGTCTTTGAAAGATAGAGATAGAGATAGAGATATTAAGTGAAAATGTTGGAACTTGAATTGAATGAAGATTGATGATGTGTTGGGGACAGGTATAAATTAATGACAACAACACACGGGACTTGGGGATGATTCAACTTCAATCATTAATTAAGGGACCAGGCAGGGCAGCCGGCGGTGTGGTCCACACAAATGGGCTCAAGCTGTCAAAGACGATTATATTAAATTAGGTAATCATTCATTCATTTGGTTCATTTCAAGGTGTGTAAAGATAAATAGCTGGCGCATACACAAAATAAATTAAAGGAACACAAAGATGGAAAGGGACTCAGTGAGTGATGATACCTATTATTGTAAGCCTCAGCCCCCAATCACTTTCAAGACACCAACTTGTCCAAGTCTTGTTTGGAGGGGGGTGTTTGGTGTGTGTGTGTGTGTTCGAGGTTGAATGAATGAATGAAAGTAAGACATCAAAGGGGTGTGTTGGGCACATCAGCTGATACCAAAAGGTTTTCAAACAAATAATCAATCGATCGACTGTTGTGTCAAAGTCTGTCAGATCAGGTTGTTCGTGTCAAAGGTCAGCAAGTGTACCAAAAACACTAAAAGTGGACATGATTTATCCTCCTGAAATGGAGCCTTAATTATCGACCGACTCGAGAGTGTACCAACTTTGGGGATATTATATTATTATATGTTTGAATTAATAATAATAATAATAATTATAAGATAGATGTTATTTATACTATGAAATAAATATATATCATGGTCTTTTCAATGGTCTTCAGCCTTGAAACAATCGCGATGTTCACACACCATCCGTTGTGAATGAATGTTGAGCACAACATCAACAACAACTCCTTTTTTAGTGTTGAATGGTGAATGATTGGATGAATGAATTAAAGATGAGTTCTTGTGCTGGTGAGATACACTAATTGTAATCATTCTGTTTAATAACTTGCTACCTATATATATAAATAATATAACTTATAAATAATATTATACATATTGGTTGATTGATTGCGCTGAGTGATCGCAGTCAATCAGAGGATGATGATGATCTCAACAGCAGCACTAAATCGTTGTTCAAGAGTTGTCAACAATAACATTCATTCATTCAAGAGGAATATAATAACAAACAAACAATCTCAACAACATTACTATTGTTCAACAAACAGTGGAGGTGGAAGTGGCAGTGGCAGTGGAAGTGGCAGTGGAAGTGGAAGTGGCAGTGGCAAAAGAGGAGGTGGAGGTGGAGATATTGATGATGATATTACAATAGAGACAACGACTAAAGTTACGAAACATATACATATTGGACCAAACTATACATATCTATGGAATAATCTATTGAATGATGATGTTCCACCATCTACATCAATCAAAGGTGGTCGAGGCTCCACAGACGAGTCCGAATACCTCCAAACACATCACTCTGTCCTTAACCTTTCACTCGATCAACTGATCAATACACATAAGGTATGTTTGATTGAGTGAACTCAATCACTCATTCAATCATTCAATCTATCATCTCACTCACTCACTCAATCAATCAATCACACTTTCTAGAATAGACACTCGGTTGATCTTAGCCGTGTACCTACACTTGATCCACAGGATGTGTTCATTAATAGTGAATTGAAGTTGAGTGAGATCAAGGTGTTTGGATTCGATTATGATTATACACTGGCCAACTATAGTGATCAGGTCCAGAACTTGATCTATGAACTCTCGGTCAACTACCTGGTCGATGAACTAAAGTATCCATCCAATCTAAAGGATCTGTGCTACGACCCCAAGTTTGCCATCAGAGGTCTACACTATGATATGTCCACAGGACTACTAATGAAGCTTGACTTCCTAAACAACATCCAAGCTGGTGCCATCTATTATGGACGAAGAGCACTAAGCAAAGAGGAGACAGTATCAATCTATGGATCAATGCAGGTATGTGATTGATTGGATTGTCGCCCAGGTCCAGGCCCCAGGCCCAACTGGAACCATCCACTCACCCTCACTCACTCACTCAATCAATCAATCATAATAGTTAAGGAGAGCATATTGCGAGACATATTTGAAGCCAATGATTGATATCTTTTGTATACCAGAGGCTTGTTTGATCAGCGACATCACTCAATTCCTCGTGGATAATAACTTTACTTTCGAGCCAAGAATCATTTACGACGACATCACCAAGGCTGTGTCCAAGGTGCATCTTAGCGGTAGTCTGCACTCCCGCATAATCAACGACTTTCCCCTCTATCTCAACAAGCATCCATTGTTAGGAGAGTTCCTCTTGAAGCTTAAGGCTGCCAACAAGAAGGTATGATGTGGAACACATCCAGGTGTCGGAACCATTCCATCTCACTAACTCGCTCGTCATACCTAGCTCTTCCTGTTGACGAATAACTCATTCTACTTTGCCAATCATGGCATGCGATACCTGCTCAATGATCAACTTGGCGGATCCTATAATGACTGGACCGACCTGTTCGACGTGATCATAACGCAGTGCGATAAGCCCACGTTCTTTGGCAAGGGCCGCAACTTTAGAAGCTTCGACATCAACTCGGAGCGCTACGACTGGAGCGAGATCCGCGAGTTCAAGCCGGGCAAGGTGTATGTGGGCGGCAGCCTGCAGCAGTTCACCAGCATCAGCAAGTGGAAGGGACGCAGCGTGATGTACTTTGGCGACCACCTGTTCAGCGACCTCGTAGAGCCGTCGACCAAGGAGGGCTGGCGCACGGGCGTCATCATCAAGGAGCTCGAGACCGAGGTGGAGATCCAGAACTCGCCAAAGTATCGTGAGAATCTGGCCGAGCTGTTGCAGATTGAGGACGCCATACGTCGGTGTCAGTTCTTCAAGGGCGAGCGCAAGGATGTATTCCTCGAGACGTTAAAGACCGAGCGATATGCCAAGCGACTGGCGTTGAAGGAGCCTTTCAATCAGAGCTTTGGCAGTTTGTTCAGGACTCATACCAATGCCACGATGTTTGCATACTCACTACATCGTCATGCCGATATCTACACGTCAAAGATTGAGAATCTAATCTCATATCCACTCGACTACTCATTCTACCCTGGCAGGAACTATCTTCCACATGAGTTCAAATTGAACTAATGTGTTGTGGAATCCAACATACAATCATTAATATATAAATATACAAATGTATAATTACTTACTTGATCAGATCCAGTGATCCCAATCAGAGTTGAGTGATGTTGACAGTTGTTGTAATACATCGACATTTCCTGGAACTGGACATGGTTAACATGTTAAGATAATAATATTCATTAATCAATATCTAATAATAATGGATAGATGGAAGAAGCCTCTTCATTCATTCGTTGACATTTGGGGACTGTGAACCAGGCCAAGCTCCTCGACAAAAACAGGAATACTTGTCAAAAATGTCATGAATGGATTTGTAGAATGTCATCGGCTGCAAAGAGAAGCCCAAGATCTTTTGGTCCAAGGGATTCTACTTTGGTTTTGACATCATAGACTAAATGACTTCTCTTTTCGAATTGGTCAATTATCCGATCGATGTCAACTCTCTTCACATGTCCCCGGCATTAAATAAATGATCAACCCTCAATCCTAATTATTCATCAAATCAATCAAGCATCCAAATCAATCAATTAATTAATTAATCCAAGTCAATCAATCAAATATTATTATTATTATATTCTATCAAACAAACTAATAATGTCCACTTCAACAACTTTATCACCATCAACTGTAAACATTCTCAATAATGAGGGCAAAGATTATATACTTTATGGAACTATTACAACAAATACATGGAAGTTGCGTATTTTGTTCGACGAGATGGAGTTAAGTTACAAGTATGAAGACATTGATATCTTTAATCCAGCAAGTGAGAAGAGAGCCGAGTTCAAAAAGATATTCCCAAATGGAAAGGTACCTGCTTTGATGGACTTCACACTCAGCCCACCCCAGCCGGTCTTTGAGTCTGGCGCCATCCTCCTCTACATTGCATCCAAACATGGCAAGTTCCTCCCAGACATCAAGACTCACCCAAGAGAGCATAGTGATGTCCTACAGTGGCTCGCCTGGCAGATCTCTGGCCTCGGCCCAATGCACGGCCAGTACGTGCACTACGCCCTGTTCGCCCAAGACGCTGTGCCCGCTGCCGAGGAGCGTTACTACCGCGAGACTGACCGTTTATACTCTGTGCTGGACAAGCACCTTGAGGGCAAGCAGTGGATTGCTGCCAATCAGTACTCGATTGCCGACATGGCCGTGTACGCCTGGGCAATGTACCTCCCCTATGGATTCGTTCCCAACCACGAGAAGTTCACCAATGTGTTGGCCTGGTTGGACAGAATGAACCAGCGTCCAGTCCTAGCCAAGTTGAGACCAATCATCAACCACATCATCGAAGAGGATGTCAAGCACTTGAAGGCTGTTGGCACCTATCGTGTGAAGGCATTCTAAGTGTCGTCTCATACCTTCCCTCCATCCATCATCCATCATTCATACCTTGAAATAAAGTAAACTCAATTAAATATCAATATCATGTTCCAAGTCGAGTTTGCTGATCCGATCACCATCACTCTCGATGAGTGGATGATTGATAGGTTGATAGAATGAGTTGACCATGTTTGAATACCAATGACACGACGATGTTGTTTGTTTGGTTGATTATGGGATCAGCAGCGATGCTAACTAAGAACAGGAGGCTAACTATGTTTATTTCTTGGTGGACTTGCCCTTCTTTAATCTGTTCTTCTTCTCCTTTCTCTGCTTTCTGGAGGTCTGTGGTCTGGTGTAAAGACCAGCCTGTTTGATTGGGAGAGACATGTTAGAATGATTGTCCGAAGGAAGTGACCATCCAATGTTCGCAATTGATTGATTGATTATGATCGATGATATCATGATTACATACTCTGGCCAGACGGTACTTTGGCTCGTACTTCTTGGCGAGCTCCTGGTTGTCGTAGATCAGACCGAAACCAGTGGAGTGACCACCACCAAAGTCAGTCTTCATTCCGAAGACGTAGACAGTCTTGGAGTCAGCGACCTTGTGGATCTTTGAGACGGCGGCAATAAGGTCATTCTTGGAGACGTTAGCCTTTCCTGGGTGAACAACATCGACAACCTATAATATAACATCCAAATCAATCATCCATTCAATCATTAATTCAATCGTTCAATCGATAGTTGTATCCATATCCAAACATCCAAATATCCAATCGATTGGTGTGTTTGTGAGTAGTGAGTGGAGGTATCGCGGTTAATTGATGTCCTGTTGTGATGATTGATGATCCTATCGCTGGGATACCTACGAATTGCTTTCTCGAGAGGAGGCGGTTGGACATAACCTTCCTGGTGCGAACGACAACAGCTGATTTATCGGCCATGGTTGACTATAATGTTGTTGGATTGATTGATTGATGATGATGATGGATGTATCAGTATCCTTGCTCTTGTGATGTGATCAGATCACATGTCATAACGATGTAATAGTACATACATACTATGAGGGATCCGGGGGAAAAGGGATTGAACAGAGAATCACAGCTTCATTATGACACCCTCGCTCAGGCGATAACCCAGGAGAGGTCTCCAGCAGCCAGAATCCGTTCCTCGCTCGAGCTACCCACACACATTAATTAAAATTTAAAAAAACAAACTTTATCAACTTTGAGAACTCTTGTAACGTTGCTCAATCAATCATAGACACCATTGATACAATCAATCATCATTATTACATCATACATACTTACATACATACATATATATAATTATAAATAATGAATAGTAAAGATAATAGTAATATTGGTGATGAACCATATTTGTCGATACCAGACTCAGAGATTGTCGTCCCACTGGCAATTGACAGCTTCTTGAGAAAGAAGTTGAAGGAACAGACATTGGTAGATTGTGAAGTACCCGTCAAGGAGTTTGCAAGATGTACAGAGGATAAACTGTTATCAGTCATATGGGAATGTAAAGAACTACAACAAAAGATGAAGGATTGTTTAAGTGCACAGTATTGTATCATACATCAATGAATGTTTGGACGATGGACCGGTCGAGACTGAGAACTAATCAATCATAATGCACTAAAACAACAGTACTACACCAGAGAGATTGATGGAATTGAAGAGAGAATGGATAAATCATACAAAGAAGAAGATGTACGAGAAGAAGATGAAGGATGAAGTGTTGACAACATCGATGTCATCAGACGATAAACAATCAAAGTAGTCGGACTGACTACTTGGGGCGCGAGCAAAAATAATACAACAAACTAAGTCTGTATGTTTGATACAAGTCGAGACGTTCCAACTTTATTGAACACGTTTGGTCCCCTTCATGCAACACACTCATTGTGTGCATGGGAATAGATCCGATCGTGACACTAAAACGATACAGAGGTGCGATGCTTTGCGATGCGATGCTAGGCGATGGACGATGCAATGCCAATGCAACGAGTCGCTATGAACCTTTTGGATCTGTTGAAACAGGTGCTGGCGCGATGCCTTTGAATGGGAATATGATTATGCCTGCCTGACTGGGCTCCTCTCCCATGTTTGATTCGATGATTCGATGATTGATTGATTGTTTGATTGACAGGTGATTCGATTGATTGTTCGTCCAGCATTTGAGAGGGAGTGGATGGCAAGGCGCTTGATTGAAGTGGAATATGTAGGGTCAGAGTAGTAGTATATCCCTTGCTCTTGATATAGGTTTGGCTCATAATCGGTATGAGTTGGATTGATGGCGATATGGCTGTTGTAGTGTAGTGTAGTGGTGTAGTGTAGTTATGTGTATATATATAATATTGTGATGGATAGAGTTGGGGTTGGAATGGAATGGACTTGTGATAAATATAACAACAACAAGTGTGTATGTTTGACGTCTAGTTGCCTCTCTTGTCCTTCTCTTTGTCCTTCTCCTTGGCAGTCTCAAGGAGTGCAGGAGGTGGCGCGGTGATTTGCTTCCTGTAGGTCGTAAGCACAGGATATATATTCTCAAAGGCTTCATAGATCTCCTCTCTCACCTTGGCTCCAGTCAATACAATCTTTCCAGACACGAAAATCAACAAGACGACCTTTGGTTTGATCATCTTATAAATGAGGCCTGGGAAGATTTCAGGTTCATACTGTGATTGATAGAGTGAGTGAGTGAGTGAGTGAGTGAGTGAGTGAGTGAGTGATGTTCGATCAATCAATCAAACTTGACTCATCAACTTACATTTGTGAAAGAACTATGAGTGTTGTTCAATGGTTCGAGTCTGATTGGGAATTTGACATCGCAGGAACCAACGATGTTTTGGATCTTAAAGTCGGTGAACTGTGCAGGGAAGTCCAGCTTTTGGATGATTCTGGCGTACTTCCTTGCGGCCAACTTTGACGCCTCCTCTGACTTGGCACCAGTGCACACCATCTTGCCACTCTTAAAGATCAACGCAGTTGTCTTTGGCTCTCTTATACGCATGATGACGGCAGCGAAACGCTTTGGATTGTACTCTGCATTTCTTGCGCCAAGTGCAATGGTCTTTAAGTTCAACTCTGTGCCCATGTTTACTGTCGACACAATGTTTCTGGTTGTGAGGGGAGGAGAAATAAGTAAATGAGCATGACATCACACTTTATATCCTTATATCATCATAACATCGTCGCCAACACTCCATATGTATATCGTCGGAACGACCGCTTACTGTAATACGGGAACTATACCAGAAGGATGTTTAAGAAGGTCGACTTGCATCGATGATGTAGACGACGATGACGAAGCGATACTAGCGATATTAGTTCCACTCATTTCTATTTTGTTTGAATGTATTTATGTATATATATTAAATGATGGGTCTATTATATATGAACTTAATATAGATAATAGGATATTATTGATTGATTGATTGATCGATTGGTGTAAGGTGATTGATTGAGTGAATGAGTGACGGTTCAGTTTCCCTTTCAACAGACTAATAACAAAAGTGTTAGAATGTATGAGTGAGTGATTGATTGATTGAGTGAGAAAGAAGAAGAAGAAGAAGAAGAGGAAGATGTATAAAAGTCAAACAAACAAAAGAAGGATCATTTAAACAACAACAAAGGTCAATTGATGTTGTTATTGTAATAACTATAAAACTATATAGCTATGAACAGATAGTACTTGTTGTAGGTAAGTGGGTAAAAAGTGAAATGAAAGGGAAAGTGAGTGCGAGGGCGTGGGGGTACTTGCAAGGTGTGTTTAAATATTTTACTGAATTTAATTAAAAAGAATAAAAATAAACTGAATGATGAACTTCGATACACATTGTCTCGTGCATGACTCGCGCGCGAATTCAAATTGTTTGATAAAGCCCTGTGTGCGGGTGTGTCTGTGAGGGTATGTCTGTGAGGGCATGTCTGTGAGGGCATGTTACATTGACAATTAAGTCATGTTTGATGGTCATTGGACATGGATGATTGATTGATTGGTTGATTGGCTATTGTACATTGGCCACGGTTTTGTCTGGATCGTTGAGGCCAGAGTTGGAGTTGGTGTTTGGGTTGACCGAATCCTTCTTGGAACATTCGTCATTGTCTTGGTCATTGACTCTGTTGTTGACTTTGTTGACTTTGTCGACTTTGTCTTTGACTTGGCCTCTGACATGATCGCCGATGTTTGAGTTGACAGTGACATTTTCCTTGTAGTTGGTGTCCTTATTGATGGGGGCATTGTCGTTGCCTTTGTTGACTTTGTCGACTTTGTCATTGACTTGGTCGCTGACATGATCCTCGATGTTTGAGTTGGTATTTGCCTTCTCATTCTCTTTGATGGTGGCGTCATTGTTGTTGATGGTATCGTTGTTGTTATTGTTGTTGTCATTGACCTTGTTCTTGTTGTTGCTGCTCTTCTTGCTCTTCTTGCTCTTTTTCTTCTTATTCTCCTGGTTACTGTTGGTTGCAGTCTTCTCGAACAGACCATTGAATTGTTCAGCAGTTGATAATAGACCGGTATTACAGAATGGTTGATCCTTATAGATCATTGGTGTACTGTAGTAGGATTGAAGTGCGACCTTGTCTGCTTCGGTGAATGATCGAGCATGGAATGCTGACATCAATCTCAACCTCATCATATCAACATCATGTGTTATCAATAGATGTTCTCTATTTGTTGCAACAAAGTAATCTCTATCTGCTTGTGTTAAATAGTCCATTATTTGTATAGTATATAGTATAAATCTATTATGACTTGATCAATCAAACTTTGGTCTTCAAACATCATTCATTAATTCAATCATTCAATCACCAAATAATTCAAACGGAAAGTTAACGGTCAGAAATTTGAATTTGAATTGTTTGATGGTCCAATGTTTGAGAAATCGCAATCAATCTCTCAATCAATGAATTAATAAACAAATATTTAATTAAAGTGTAAGGTAATTCATTATTATTATAATAATTTACAAATTGGGTGTTCCTTTAGACCAATAATAATAATTATTTGTTGTTTGGAGTTCCAAACCAAAAAATAATGTTGTTGTCTTGAACAAACTTCCACTTCGATCACTTCACAAACAACATCAACAAAACAATAATAATTAATTGATATATACATGATAAAAGATAGATAGATAGATAGAGAGATGAAGGTCAAGGTACATAATTATAATTACAGTCTTGACTTTGTCCACTTTATCAAGGAGTACGATAGACAGCGTGGCGACAACACTGTCCATGAGTTACCTGCAGACTTTTATTCAACATCAACATCAACAACATCAACATCAACAAACAATAACAATAATAATAATAACAATAATAATAATAATAATAGTAACAAACAACAACAAACACCAAAGACTTTGAAGAAACAAGACAAAGCATCAACATCTTCATCAAACTTACTACTTCTTCAAAATCATGATGCGCTGGCTCTGACAACGACTCAGCCACCCAACACACCAACTACACCTGCAGCCAACAGCAGCAATGCTGTAGCCAATAACAACAACAACAACAACAATGGACGACGCACTTCCATTGCACCATCACCAAGCCACACATCGCCAACACTCTCCGCGTCACTCTTATCAGCGTCATCTGGAAACATTGTTGTCACATCACCCGAGTTGCTCTCTGCACACCCATTGCTCTCGATGCCCCTGCAGTTGCCTCCACCGAGGAGGGGACCTGGCCGTCCCAAAAAGGCAGACCAGGAGCAGCAGCGTCGCTACGAAGAGCAGCAGTCCCTGTTGGCGCAGCTGCAGGCGCTCGTGCCAATGGACGATGACCTGAGGAACTCTATCCCAGCGCTGGCCGAAATGGAGCAGCATCGTCAACAGCAGAATCATCAGCGACAACAGAACCAACAGATACTCCATCAACAACAGCACCCACATCAACCTCAAGGTGGTCAAGGTCACCAGCCGCAACAATCACAGCAGCAAGGCAAACGAAAGAGCAATGTACAAATGACAAAGGATGACGAGGAGCACGAGACTGAGGACGAAGATGCCGAGGAGGAAGATGAGAGCGCGTCAGAGTTGCTTAGTAGTGATGACCACATCAGACCAACGACCAAGACGACAAACAGCATGAAGAGGAAGCGCAGTGGACGAAGAGCATTGAGTGATGAGGATCACTCTGTTGACGATGATGACGACGAGGAGGAGAGTATGCAGAGCTCAGACAGCGAGCATCTGTTGATCGACAAGAAAGAGAAGGAGAAGGAGAAGGAGAAGGAGCAGCAGATTCAGGAGGCCAACAGGAGAAGGAGGTCAGAGTACACATTCGACCCAAGCAGCAGCAGTATCACACCGACGTTGGTACACACGACTGGAGCCAGTGGTAGTGTACCAGGAGGTATGAGGACAAGGGGCAGGAGTGCGATGCTCCAACATGATGAGCCCTCGACCACTGCGGAGCCAGAGAAAGATGCCAAGACAATGGCTGCACCTGCGACCCCAACACAATTGCCTCAGCGAGGTCACGGAAGACAGGCATCCACGACCTCCGCACCAGCTACACCTGGTGCCCCCGCCACACCGACCGCCACATCGGCAGTCACTTCCGCCCCATCCACACCTGCTGCACCAACCGAGTTAAAGGTTGCAGCAATGACGCCAACTACTACTACAACAACACCTATTACCACAACACCCAACACAACAACGGCACCAGCTACGCCATCTACACCATCCACACCTGCAGAGGCAGTGGCAAAGGGTGCAGCAGCACCATCACCAGCCAATCCATTGGAGAAGAGGAGAGGACCAGGTCGTCCAAGAAAACATCCACGACCAGACGATCAGCCAGCTGCCAAGTAATAAATAGTAAATGAAATGGAATAGAATGGAATATGGATGAATGGATGATGGGGATGGGGATGGATGGGATGATGGATTGATGTCCACCTCTCTCTCTCTTTCATTACACTTTGGTTCTTCTTTCTACAGCCTATAGATGGTCTTGACAGTTGAACTGAGATCACCTACTATCTTGGCGTTCTGTATAGAGTCCTTTGGAGTGAACAGTACATTCTCCTGTCTGTCCTTGTGATATGCCAGTGTCTTGATCAAGTTTCCAACTGATGGATTGAATGATATCCTTGATGAATCCAACTAATATGATTGAATGGATGTCAGTCAGTGAGTGATGTTGCCGACCAGATCACTTCAGGTGTGATACATACCGATGGATCAGAGCACAGATCACTCAGTACTGATGCATAGTCGTTGTACATTGGCTCCGTACTCAATAGACAGTCAGACGATATTGTGTTGCTAAGACTTAAAAAGGGTATTTGAATTGTACAGTCGCTTCTATATATTGCGTGTAGCTGTTTGTTGATGATGATGATTGGTTAGGATCATGGCAACTGATCAGTCATGGTAGTCATAGTATACTTACACTCTCTGACAGGGTCTCTTTGGCTTCTTTTGACTTGTTGGGTGCAGTTGCTGGAGCCTTCTTGATGCCGGCTGGTGACACGGGAACATTCTTGCTTGGCGTTGATGTTGTTGTTGGTGCTCCCATCACTCCTGCGCCAGTCTTGATTACTTTGATATTCTTTGGTTGTATTACATTATTATTATTATTGTTGTTATTGTTGTTGTTGGTACTACTGCTGCTGTTGTTGTTATTGTTGTTGTTGATGTTTGCGATTGGCTTCATTGGTGATGGCTTTCCATTTACAATACTTGGTGCTGGCTTTAGTGGAGGTCTGCTGGTTGTTGATGTCTGATTACTCTGTCCATTTGTACCAGTAGTGGATGCGTCTGATCCAGTTGCTGCAGTGCCAGTGCTAATGCCAGTGCCAGAAGATGATCCATTCTGTTTGAAGTTGTTGATGAGCTTCCTTACTTGTGACGGTGAGTTTGACGTTGACGATGATGGTGATTGATTGTTGTTATCCTTCTTTATCACATCATCCTTTGTTACAACTGTTGAGTACTGATCATCCTTTGTAACGACTGTTGAGTACTGATCATCTTTGGTGACCACTGTAGAGTACTGATCATCCTTGGTGACCACTGTGGAGTATTGTTCATCCTTTGTGACCACTGTAGAGTATTGCTCATCCTTTGTCACAACAGTTGAGTAGTTGGTCGTAGTATTGTTGTTGTTACCATCATCCTTTGTCACAACTGTTGAGTAGTTCTCTTCATCCTCGCTGTTGCTATCAAAGTTTGCTTCATCCTCCTCTTCATCATCAATGTATTCCGCAGAGTTGAGTATATTCCTACACTTCTCTATCAAGTCTTCTAGTATAGTGAACGGCTTATTAGTCTGAACAAACTCATGCTACATTGATTGAATGATGTTAGTATGTTTGATTGAGTTCACTCTACTCCCAAACAAGACTAACCTTTAACAGCTCACTTGAGGATGGTCTCTGTGATGGATCCTTGGTGAGACACTTGGCGATGAAGTCGTGGAACTTGGGAGACCATTTGTCTTTGTCTTTGAGGGTGGGCGGATCCTCGCGCGGGATCATAAAGATGACACGCATGGGATGAACGTTGGCATTGGGTGGGATAGCCTCAGCCATCTCGACCGCTGTGATGCCCAGCGACCAAACATCAGCCTTGCCATCATACTTATTCTCTTGTATGACCTCTGGTGCCATCCAATAAGGTGTACCAACGAATGTATTCCTCTTTGAGAACGTCGAGAACAGCTGTGCACTAACTCCAAAGTCGGCTATATGATTGATTGATGTGATGTGATGTGATGACGCGAGTAAGTTAAGTGTGTTGCTGCTTGGACATGGGCTGCACACACGACACTTACCAAGCTTGACCTCTCCCTTGTCGTTCAACAAGATGTTGCCACCTTTGATATCACGATGTATCTTCTTGCACTCGTGTAGATATTGTAGTCCTTTGAGAGCCTCGCGACATACCAGTGCGATCTCATCCTCGCTAAAGCACTCGACCAGCTGCAGTAGATCACTGATTGAACCACCGCCGCAGTACTCCATGGCAATCCACAGTTGGTGGTCCTTGAAGTAGCTGCCGTAGTAACGCACGATGTTGGTGTCATTGCACTCGGCAAGGATCGAGATCTCCTTGCGCACGTCTTTGATTGCCTCTTGATCGTAGAGTGAGATGATCTTTATCGCCACTACTGAGCCATCGTTGATATTGATCGCTTTGAACACCTGTCCGAACGAGCCCTTTCCCAGACGTTCCTGTTTCTGGAAGATTGTTGCTGGGTCCTCAGGTGAGATCGGCACGCCAAGCTTATCCGACAATGTCTTGACATTTATAACCGCTGGTTTCTTTAATGGCATCATCATTTGATCGCCTCTTGTCATATCACTGCAGCAGAACAGTTCACTATCTTACAGTGCAGTGTATATTTTTATATATTGTTTGATTGATTGAGTGAGTGAGTTGATTGAGTGATTGATTGATTAGATGATTGATTGATTGAATGAATGAAGTATTTGTTGTCTTTGATGTTGTTGACCTGTCTCTATATATCTCTCTCTATCTCCTTTGTGAAGATACACTACATATATTAATGATTGATTGATTAATTAATGAAAGATATTGTTTATATGAATGGGAACTGTCAATGCTTCAGTTGTGCACAACACCAACTCCATCCATTTTTTGCAATTTATGCAATTCTTCAGGTTATGTTGTGTGAGGGTAAGGGTTGGGCAAGGGTTGAGGGTAGGGTTGAGGGCAAGGGTAAGGGTTGAGGGTTAAGGTAAGGGTAATGGAGGGCATAATGAATGAATGAATGAATGAAGGAAAGAAGTTTATTTCTTCCTGGTAGGTCTCTTCTTTTCCTCTTGGATCATCATCTCTTGGATGGCGTTTTTGCTGAGTACTTCATTCTGGAGGTCGGTTATGTGTTTGCAAATGTCCTTCTCCATGGCTTCAAGCTTGTCTTCGACACTGAATAACTTCTTGGACAATGCATCGATTGGGTAGAGCTTCTTCATCATGGAGCCACCGAATGCCATCGAGTCGGCGTTGTTGTTCGAGTCGATCGTCTTCTTGACGTCGGCCAACAGGTTGGTGACGTGGGCGTTGGTCGCCAGACCCTTGGTCGAGCGCACCAGCGTCTTGGTCTCCTGGATGATCTTGTCGATCGTTGCATTGCACTCCTTGATGTCGGCACGGTTGTTGGTGATGTCCACCTTGAGATAGTTCAGCTCCATCTGCATGTTGGACATGACCTTTTGCAGGTCCTTGAACTGCTCAAACGTGTTGTCTCCCAGACGACGGTTGGTGTCCTCAATCTTGCGCACGACATTGTCATTCTTGGTGGCCACATAGTTGCGGAAGTCCACCAGCTCGGACTTGATACGATCAGATTGTATGTTTGATTTAGTTCTTTGGGACTTTAGTTCGTCAAACACCTGATGTGATTGAGTGATTGAGTGATTGAGCGAGCCAGGGAGAGAGGGAGTAAGTATCAGAGGACGCGGCGAGTGTGGCCAGGGGAGTGGACATACCGAATGGACTTCACGCATGAGGCTATCTTTGATCTGGCGCAGTTCATACTCAATATCTTGGGGAAGTGTGGATGATGGTAGATTGGTCGCGCCGCCACTATTATGGCTAGTATTGTTTGATCTTGATGAGTTGTTGTACTTGGTCGATGAAGATGATGTTGTTGATGTCGATGTCGATGATGATGAAGTTGTTGGTGCGTACATTTGTTGAGGTAGTAGTAGTTGTTGAGGTAGTGGTTGTTGTTGTGGTTGTGGTAGAGATAGAGGTATATGTTGTTGTTGTTGTTGTACATTGAATGCCATCTCTTGACTGTTTGTTACCATCATGATGTCCTCAGTGGGATAGGATAAGGACTGAGATTCAGGGGCAGTAATAAGGGATGAGTTGTTGTCTTGTGAGTACTCATCGACAGAGTCGTACATCCTACTCCTGCCATTGATTCCAGATGCATGACTGTCATTGTTGTCCAAGATGCCGCCGTGTCCATTGATGTTGATGTTGTTGTTGTTGTCAATGTCAATGGACTTGTTGCCGTGAGATGGTGATCGTGATGGTGATCTTGACCGTTTGTTCGTGCCAGACACTGTGGATGGTGATGCATTGCGTTGTCTATTTGGAGATGGTGATGAGAACTTCTGTTGTTGTTGTTGTTGGTGTGGTAGCAGCTGTGCAGGATAGGCCGATTGTCTTCGGTGCTTTGAATCAGGTGATTCACTTCTACTGCGATCTCGTGATCGTCCTCTACGAGGACTGAGATCAGAAGTATTGTTGCCATTGGAGTGCTTTGATGATGATGAGTAGTTGTTGTTGTTGTTTGATCGGTAGTTGTCGGTTGTTGTTGATGATGATGATGTCGTCGTTGATGTTAATTGGGGTGGCGGTACAAAGAAATGTGCATTGTTGTTGTTGTCGTTACTATGATGTGAGCGTGATCCACCAGGGCTTGTACTTCTTCCTCTATGAGGACTAAACGTCCTTGTTCGTTTAGACTGTTGGTGATTGCCTCGGAATCCAGGTGATCTTGAGCCTGAAGGTGTTTGATTGAGTGAGCATGTGATTGATCGAATGATTGAGAATGAGCGATATACTTACGTGAGCGATATCCTCTCCTTGTTGGAGACTGGGACTGAACGGGAGGTGCCTGGGCACTGCCAGGCATTGTGGCAAAGTTGACGACGAGCTTGCGGTTCTTCATTTCAAAGTCGTGGAATCTTGCAATTGCACGCTCAGCCTCTTCGACGGTCTGGTACTCAATGAAGCCGTAGCCCTTCTTCTCGATGAAGTGGCTGCTCATGACACGACCGATTTCGCTAAAGAGGTCCAGCAGTTGGTTGGGCGTCGTGAACTCAACGTCGTAGCCAGAGATGTAGATTCTTGACGAGCGAGGTGCCGAGAAGATCGTGCCCGACTGTGGCGTGGGCAGCTGACGTTTGGACACCGAGTACTCTATCATTATCTTCTTGCCCATGACCAATGTACCACTCAAGTACTTGATGGCTTCAGCAGCTTGATCAGTTGTTTTATATTCCTTCATTGATTTGATTGATTGATTGATTGAGTGAGTGAGTGAGAGAGAGAAAGAGAAAGAGAAAGAGAAAGGATGCGAGAGAGCATATATGTGTAAGAGGGGATGATCATCAGGGTCGATCGAGAATGCAATGAGCTGTACAAGACATGATCGCAGTCAATGTCAATGTGGTGAGCAAGAGTGAATGAATACGTACTACAAAGCCATAGCCACCTTTCCATGAATGGTTGCATATTCGTCCATACTTCTGAAAGAGTTCAAAGAGTTCGCGATCAGTGAACTGATTAGAGTCAATCTTGATGTAAAGTTTAGTTGATGTCATTGTTACTCCTCGTCGTCGTTATTGTTATTGTTGTTGTCGTCGCGCCCAAATGTTCAATGATCGATTGATTGATTGATTGAATGATTGATTGATTGATTCAGTGCAATTCGTGAGAAGCAAGAGTAGCAGTCAGTGCGAGCAATGTAGATGCTTTGTTGTTGTTTGTTGTTAATGAGTAGCTTGTTCAAAGATGTAACAATGCAACCTTTCGATTCTTCAAATGAGTATGAGAAGGAGGAGGAGTGTAAGAGGTATTGTGTAAGCAATGTATTCTATTCACCAAATGAGGCAGTCCAAGTTGAATGAATGAATGAATGATTGAATAATAGATGATTGTTTGATTGAATTATACGTGAACAATACTGTGAACAATGAACAATGAATTGGGTCAAACAATGCTCTTGTTCAAACTTGTCACATGATCATGTCAACAAAGAAACAAAAAAAAAAAACAAGATCTGAAATCAAGGAGATTACACTTTCTTGATGTATCATTTACATGGATACCCATCATTATTATTATTGATATCAATAATAATAGTAGTAGTAATAATAATAATCTTTATTAATAGTAAAATTATAATGTCCAAAAACTTGATATTTATTAATATCTGGAATTAATATATTATATTAAATACCAAGTACCAAACTAAAAATTACTATCTTGATATCGAAGTTATCTAGTTATTACATTGACATGAATAATTATATATATATTGAATACCAATTGAAGACTGGAGTTCTTTGTTGACATGATCAAACAAGTTGGAATGATAAAATATCCATCAAAAGTGGGGGACAATGTCAAAGTTTGAAGAAGTTTCAGAAGACTCTCATTCATCAAAGAGATACATATATATTAGAAAGATAGAGAAATAGATAGATAGAAATGAGTGAAACAACATCAACAAGCAAATATCAAAGTATACAGGGATCTAAACAACAGGAGAACTTATATAGACAGTTGGCCTTGCTGACGAGGATACAGGATAACAATGTTGTCTCACACTTGGTTCATTTGGCCATTGACAAGATCTGTGGCAAGACCATTGTCGATGCCGTCAAGTCAATCCAACTCGATCAACAATTGATCACACTGATAATCGATGTACTTCAATTGTTTGTCAGCAAAGTTGTTGGACGTGATCTTAAGCGTGAGCACATCATCGAGGATCTCAAGACTGCTCGCGTCCAAGAGGCACACGCCAACATTGTGGCCGACTGCATCCAAGCACGCTATCAAGACATCAAGCGCGAGCTCACCGAGCAGTTGACCTCAATCTCATCATCATCACTTACAGACTTTGATTGGAAGATGAATGTAAGATCAACTTTGACGATATCGTGTGATTGATTGATTGAATGATTGATCGGGAGACATAATAATAACATCATCATCAACATCACATCATATATCTAGCTCATCCTATCAAGTGACAAGATCAACAGTGTACAAGAGAGTGTGTTGATGCTTAACTTGTCGGTCGATCACCACACCGACAAGAAGGAGCAGTTGCTGGTGGAGCTCACAAAGAAGGACCTCGATCAACTGTTGAGCACATTCGATCAGATCAACAGTGTAGTGCAATCCTTGAAGGTGTAGAGTATCGACACTCCATCGTCCGGGTCCTTCCCAACATAATGTGTATAACATCGATCATTCATAATCAATCACTGCTTCAGGATTAAATCCATGCTCGACCATGGTCGGGCAGTCAGAACAAACGACGTCTGTTGCGAAATGATCAATCAAGGGGAGTGTTGGCGGGCGAACCGAGTGATGGATCATGCCTAGAGTGATCTAATTGTTAATGTCGCGTAGTGTTTGTGTGTTTGAGTTTATTGTCTTCTCTTGCTCTCTCTCATCTTCTTGGCCTCCTGGATCAAGTCCATCTGTCTCTCCATGTCCTTCAACTCTTTAGTCTGTATTGATTGATTGATCAGTAAGTGTGTCGGTTTGATTGATTGATCAGGCTGATACATACATTGGTAGACTCGTCCAACTTCATACGAGCAAAGTCGTACAGAGGTACGTCACCTGGACGTTCGAACAGTTTGCCACGTCTGGTCTCCTTCTGGCGTGGGTCAATGTCTTGAGCGGCGCGCAGTTGCTCTCTTCTCCTGTAGAGACGGAGCTTGATGTCACGCAGACGCATGAGATCGTAGGACTCGGTCTGCTCATCATCGTCATCCTCGTCCTCAGCGTCGTCTTCGATCTCCTTGATCCTCTTTCTGACGTCGATCAGACGCTCCTTGAGCGTCTGGAGGTCGTTAATGTTCTCGGGCAGCTCGTTGCTGAACTCGTGAGCGAGACGCGCGTCGTCCATCGACAGCTCGTCAATCAGACGCTGCGTGGGCTTCTTGTTGAGGTCGGGACGGTTCAGAATCATTCTGACGACGGCGCTGTTGCTAAGCGCTGGTGTGGTGCTGATCTCTGACTGGGCGTTGGCGACCTCGGTGGCCTCGTTTCTGAGCTTGGAGATCATCTCCTCCATCTCCTCGACGACCTGCTCGTAGGCTTCCAGCGCGTCGTTGGTGTCGACCAGCTTGTCGGTGTTGGGCGCGATCAGCATGCGCACCTCATGCACCATTCGGTTGATGTCCTGCTTGATCACACCATAGTTGTTAGCAACGAATGGCTTGTTCATGCGATTGGCAAACTCTGGTGATGTTGCCGTCTCCCATTCTACCTTCTCGCGCAACAATTGATCGAATATTCGTTTAGATACAACTTTTCTCTGTTGTTGTTGTTGTTGTTTCTTTGTAGATGTAGTTGATGTCCTTTGCTGCTGTTGGGTAGAGGTTGATAATGCTCTAGTATAATATACATTGACACAACATGTTGATGATATCAAGGTCTTTGACCTAATGATTGTGTTGTTCAACATGCTTTGCTTATATGTATGTATATATAAATGTGTACAAAGTATGATTGTATGTATCTGATCCTTCGGCTCACTGATCAGTCGACATACTTGACTTTGAATTTTTCAAAACATACCCTACCCTTGCCCTCACCCTTGCCCTCACAGACATACCCTCACACAAATTTGTCAAACTTGAATACATTCTTAGCATTAAACAATATAATTGAATGGATAACATGTTCTTTAGACTAGTACAAATAAGACTTATTCAATTGATATCTCTAATATCCAGGACCAAGAGCAGTATTTCAATCAGTTCTACCTATTACCATTGGTGAAGAATCAAAAAAACAATAATTCAATCAGTTTCAAAAGTGATGAAGAGACGAAGATCAGATAAACATCTGTCATGGAGTATAACTTGCCCCGTTAGGATAACTGATCGATCGAATGATGGCGATTGTCATCATCAATCCAAAGCATAACCGTTGAATGTTGGAAGGGCAATCAATGGATATAAAGTAAACCGGGTCTGGCTTCATTCTTACATTCAATCAATCAATCATTCATTCATATCAATCCAACAATCAATCTATTATGAAATACTCAAACTTATTATGTTTGGCACTTGTTGTCATTGTGGCCATCCAACTCACTTCATCAATGAGAGTAGGTATAATCTTACCCGACTCTCCAAAGTCATTTACTCACTGATACTATACAAACAAACAGACCTCAACCAGCATATCTCCACCAACTTCACTTGTCGGCTTTGCCTTTGGACTTGATCCAGTTGCCCCACTTTACATCAAGATTAACCTGGAAACTGGCCACAACATTAACAACACACTTCCATTGCAAAAGAAACAAAATATCCAATCCATCCTTCAAGTGTACGACAATGATGACGTCCTCGTCTACTACATGGATACTGATAGTCAAGGCGATTACATTGGAGACTTGTCTATGTACCATCCAGGAGTATGTTATCTTTGTTGATTGATTGAATATCACTTACTGACTGTCAGTACTCTGGTTTAGAATAATACTATGACGAGACTTCAAACGATACCATATACTCAAGCAGAGTCCACCTATGAACCCGTTATATTGACTGGAGCTGGTTATAACGCCAAGACAAACACTATGTACTCCTTTGTCCAAATCTATGAAACATATGATCTTGGTGTATTATCCATTTCATTCAAAGATCAATCATTGTAAGTAGTTTGGTACGTACATAATGAAGGTCAACAGTTAACTAACCAATTTACCTTTGTTTAGTGGGTTCACATCATTATCCAACAGTTGGATCAATGTCACCGCCGCAGCATCATGCTTCGACCCAATTGGCGAGAAGTACTATATTGCTTTGTTATTGATTGACTCTGATTTGCAGATTGCCACTTATGATACTGTTAGCAAGTCAGAGGTGATGTTATTCAATGTATCATTGGGTATTGATATTGATAACAGTACCGATGGTACACCTCACTTTAGTGTCTATGTATGGGACTCGATGATGTATGTCTTTGTAGGCTCTACCCAGGAAGGATTCCCATTATGGATTGGTGTAGTCAATTTGGCAACACAACAAGTCAAGACCATTGTTCAGGATAACATTCCTTTGTATGACAAGAACCTACCACCATTCACTATTGATCACAACAATGGGTATATGTCTGCCTTTGCCATTGACAACACCGGCAAGACCTACCTCTACATGCTTGACCTGTCCACTCAAGACTACACCAAGACATCTGAGCCAAACCTCTGGGTCAATCCTCAAGACTTCATCTATGAATCAATCTTGTCGTCATAAATTAAAATAAAGTTGTCTATTACGTGTATCGTTCTTCTTGCGCAAGACTATTTTAGTCAAAGAGACACGATCAGTAAGATTTCATTTCCCCTCATTTCGAAACAGTTTACTGATTGTGTCGCTTGGCCCATTGGGATAACTGATCGGGTCAGTGATGGCGATTGATGATCGTCTTCTCCAATTAATGCAACGTTGGCATGATTCCCTATTTAGTACTTTTGAACTACCTTCAACCAATCATTATAAAGACTTGATTTCCACCTGGTCATTCTTTACACTTTCATTCAATCAATCATTCATACAATCAACCAATCAACCATGAAATCATCCACCTTTATATGTTTGACTCTGTTTGTCATTATGATCTCTCAAATCACTTCATCAATGGGCGTAAGTATCCTAAGAATCTTTCCAACTCCTACTCAACTTACTTATTTACTCATGCACCTTCAGATCACTTCTACATCATCAATACCAACTTCACGGTAGGCGTTGCCATAAGCTTCCCTCAAGTTGATTTCCAATACATCAAGCTAAACAGGGAGACTGGTACCAACTTTACCCAGACAATTCCAGTCAATTCAAATATTCAATCCATGCTGCAGGTCTACAACAATGGTGACATCCTCTTCTATACAAACAGTGATACTGGTAACCTTCCTTTATATCATCCAGGAGTATGTTGTTATTGTTGGATACCATGAATGATTGATTTACTAACTTTGGACTATTTTTAGAATAATACTATTACAAACCCTCAATCGATACTATATACTGATGCTCAAAGTTCCTATGCTCATGTACCATACTCTGGAACTGGTTACAATGCCAACACAAACACTGTCTACTCCTTTGTCGTTGTAAATCAAACATTTGATATTGGAGTATTAGCCATTTCATTCAATGATCAATCATTGTAAGTAGCATGCAATGCCACCATCAGGGAGGAAGCTCAGTTACTAACGAACGCTTCTTGACTACTTGTAGTGAGTACACATCGTTGACCAACAGACCAATCAATGTCACTGCTTGGTCGTCGTGCTACGATCCAAACAACCAGACATTCTATGCAAGTTTGTTGTTGAGTGACGCAGTGATGCAGACCGCCGTTTACGATACGTTCAACAAGGCAGAGGTGATGTTATTCAATGTGTCGTTGGACATTGATGTTGATAACGATTGGTTTGGTGAACCATTCCTCAATGTCTACGTCTGGGACTCGTTGATGTATGTTATGGTTGGTGCAGATCAACCTGGTTATCCATTATGGATTGGTGTCGTTGATTTGGAAACACAACATGTCAAGACCATTATGCAGGACAACTTGATGTTGCTCACTGATAGCATACCAACATTCTCTGTTGATCCCGTCCATGGCTACATGTCAGCCTATGGCTTGGATGTTGACAGTGAGACTGCCTACCTCTACATGCTTGACATGTCCACCCAAGCCTACACCAAGATTGCCCAGCCAAAGTTGTATGTTGGTCCTCAAGACTTCATGTATGAAGCATTCTGGACTTCGTCATAAATTCTTTAAAGTTATAATTATCTGTTTGTCATAGTATGTGTGTGTGTGTTGTGAATGAACGAAGATTATTTTGGAATTATCTCTTTCCCCGAATTCAAAAATTCATTTAGAAGTATCTCAACAGATCTGTTTTTCAGAAACAACCGCCTTAATGTAACTCCAGCATAAGGTGGACACGTGAGAGGTCTTTCATTTGACATCATCATACTCATTCATTTCATTTAATTATCATCTCTACAGTAACAAATACATATATCAAAGTAATAATTAATATTATTTAAGAAGAATGCCACCAAAGAAGAGACAATTGTCAACATCTGATGATGCTAGTAATGAGGATGCTAGTGCAAATTTGTTTGATGGAATGGTGATTACATTGGTTGGATCATCATTTACAACGACACAAGCTGCACTTTATTCTCAGATTGAATCGATGGGTGCAACAACAGCCAGATCAATGTCGGCTCGTGTCACTCACGTGATCACCACACCAACCGATTATAACAAGAAGGGTGCTACGATCACAAAGGCTATCGCCAGTAACTTGCCAATTCTCTCAGAGGAGTACGTCACTGAGTGTTTGGCCAAGAAGACCAAGCTCGACACCAAGGATTACTTGGTTGCTGCCGCTGCTGCCACTGCCGAGGAGGAAGAAGGGGAAGAGGAAGAGGAGGAGGACGATGGTGCCACCACTGCCAAGGCCGAGACAAAGAAGACCACCACTACCACTACAACCACAACTACTGCTGCACCTGCAACTAGAAGCACAAGAGCCAAGAAGACAAAGTCCGAGGAAGAGACTCCCGCCGCCAAGAAGGACAAAGAGATGGAGAAGAAGTTGGCTGAGGTCGACTCTGATCTCGAAGACGACTCTGACGAAGAGGAGGAAGAGACACAAAAGACCAAAGTACAAATCAAGGGTAGATGTGCTGTCGACACCAACTGTTCTCTTGCTGGATCGGTATGTAGCGATACACTTGGATTGATTGATTGAATGAATGAATGACTAACTCGCAAACTCACTCAATCTTAGTGCCATGTTTATGATGATGGTACCAATGTATACGATGCCACTCTCAACCAAACTGAGATCAAGAACAACAACAACAAGTTCTATATCATTCAGTTGTTGGAGTCGGACAATAGCAAGAACTACTACGTTTGGAACCGTTGGGGTCGTGAGGGACAGGTTGGCCAATCCAAGGTGTTCTCGCATGGCACATCGTTGAGCTCGGCCATCTCTGACTTCTCAAAGAAGTTCCAAGACAAGACCAAGAACGCATTCAGCAACCGCGCCAACTTCCACAAAGTTGCCGGCAAGTACGACATGGTCGAGATTGACTACACCGTCGACACCAAGGACCACGATGAGAAGAAGAAGCCAAAGAAGAAGGTCGAGCACAAGGCCGAGTGTTCGCTCGACACCAGAGTGCAGAACTTTATCAAGCTCATCTTTGATCTCAAGATGATGAAGAGAACAATGATTGAGGCCGAGTTTGATCTGAAGAAGATGCCACTTGGCAAGTTGTCCAAGAACCAGATCAAGAAGGGTTATGAAGTGCTCAAGGAGATTGAAGAGGTTATCAAGCGTGGTGGCAGAGGTGATCTCACTGCACTCTCCAGCAGATTCTACACGTATGTATCGCACCGGTGTTGTTGTTGCTGTCCAATTGGATGCTAACTCTATCCTTCAAACAGTATCATTCCCCACGTGTTTGGTATGAGAGTACCACCTGTCATCAACAGTTTTATTATGCTCCAGCAGAAGATGGACATGTTGGCCGTAAGTAATCTTACTAAAGATAACCATTCCGATTGTCTCCTTCACTCACTCATATTAACCAACAAACCATCACTCTTTTAGAACCTTGCCGATATCGAGATTGCAACCAACCTCATTAAGGATACTGAGGATGATGAGTCCAACCTTTTGGAGGCCTACTACAAGCAACTGAAGTGCACTATCAACCCAATCGACTCACATAGCGAAGAGTATGACTTCATCCAAAAGTACGTCAACAACACGTACCAGGGATCAAAGAAGCCAACGATCACCTCGGTGTTCCGCATCGAGAGAGAGGGTGAGGTGGCCCGTTTCGACAATGCCAAGCATCTGGGCAACAGGAAGCTCCTGTGGCACGGCAGTCGTCTCACCAACTTTGTTGGTATCATCTCGCAAGGTCTGCGTATCGCTCCTCCCGAGGCACCCGTGTCTGGTTACCGTTTCGGAAAGGGCATCTACTTTGCCGACGTCATGTCGCTGTCGGCCGCCTACTGCAGAACCAGTGGTACCGATGACTTTTGCATGTTCTTGGGCGATGTTGCCCTTGGCAAGACCGCCGATCTCTACCGTGACACCTACATGGAGAAGCCACAGCCAGGCTCCAACAGCACCCTTGCGCTGGGCATGATCGAGCCAGACCCCAAGAAGGTGCACAAGCACAAGGATGGCTTTGAGGTGCCACTTGGTGAGATTGTCAACTCCCCTTACAAGTCCACCTCTTGCAAAGAGCATCAGTACGTCGTGTACGACGTGTCCCAGGTCAACCTTAGATACCTGTTGCAGCTCAAGTACTAAAGACAAAGGTTTCACCAAAGAGCAGAAGGCCCAAAGGTCAATGACGCCAAGTGTATTCTATAGTATCGTATAAGTACTACCACCACCCATCTTCTCCACTTTATTACATGTCGTACGTAGTCAGTCAATCAGTTGTTTGTCGTCGTCGTCAATAAACCAGAATGTGATAGTTATATATAACATTGATAGTGAAGAATTGATTGTGATTGATTGATTTGATTGGTCATCAAACGGAGATACTCTTGATATCAAACTTGGTTGCGTCATCATTGGCTATGGCGATGAATTGGAAGGTATGATATTCACCTGGATGAAGGGTAACATAGCTTGGCATTGTGTAATCCTGGGCAACATCACCAGAGGGGACCAACTCCCACAGATCACCAGGACTCCTCAATTGAACCTTGGATGTCAATACAATCTTGGTAAACAAGTTGGTACCAGTATTTGTGATTCTTCCATTGTAAAGGCCATAGTTTACGCCATTATCACTCCATTGGTTACCAACTGTAACCACGACTGATGCTGCCGAACCCCCAGTTGTTGATGAAGTGGTAGTAGTTGACGATGTGGTCGTGGTTGATGAAGTAGTGCCAGTGGTAGTTCCACCACATGCTTGTCCCACTGCATCATACTTATGTTCCAATGCTAAATGGAATATATACATCACTCCGGAGTTGTATCCTGTAAATTACAAATATGGTTAATAATCAGATTATAAAATATAATAAAAGTATTGGGAGTATGTACATACCGCTAACAACATTTCCATGACAGTTGGTAAGGTTAAAGTTTACAACTTGTCCTGGCATAATCATTACAACATTAGCATCCTTGGAAATACGGAAACTTCTGGCATCAAAGAATAATGGCTTAAGGATATTGACATCGAATGGTTGTTTGATCGATTGGACACAGTTCTCATTGTCGGCAAGTACTGATTGGTATGAATCGGTGTTGGCCATATCAATTGAGAACATATAGCCAGTCATTGAGTTACCTCTGGCGTATGTAACACTACCAGTATCATTTACCATGATCACTTGTATACCAGCCTTTTGTCCAAGTGATTGGAAGTAGGGACTAAGTGCAGATACACATTCTGATACCTGGGCTTGGGTGATGCCTCCAAAGGTACTAAATAATGTTAATATTATAATTAATAAACTATATTGTGATTTAGAATACATTATTATTATTTGTTGTGGTGATGGATATTATTAGAGAGATAAAAATAATAATAATATAGGATGGAGTGAAATTTGGACAGATGGATAATAAAGTTGTTCAGTTATTCAAGTGAAGTGACCATACTCGATATGTATAAATAGGTAGTGTTTCAAAGCGGGGATATCAAGTCGAATAAAGTGATATGGAGGATGGATGGATGGATGGAGTGAGGTGTGTGCTGGCCTAAAGGTAGATGGATGGAAGGATGGGTGATGTCAATACTTCGCCAGTGTATATATTGTCAACAGAACTTAGATGTGGTGAGTTATAAGTTGACACTCATTAACTTAAAAGTCAGTATATGACTGTGGGAATATTATCTAATGAGTGTGTGATTTGAATGAATATATGTGAATAGGTGTAGAATCATTCGTTCGATTGTGTGTGAGTGTTTGTTTGAGTGTGAGTGTGCTTGAATGCTTGTGTATCCATGATGATTGAAAGGTGTGTTTGTGTCAATCTCGCTTCCTACTCTGAACAAAGGTCAGTGATATGAGGGAAGATATGGTAAACAAACAATGTTTTTGTTGTCAATCACATCTTTCGACATCATTCATTCCCTGTTCAGTATAGCCCTTTGCCTCAAAGTATTATCTAGGAGATCAAGTGGACCAATGAGAATGGTCCAAACCTTGCCCATGTTACAATTTTTTGTACATCTCTGTTCACAGGTGATATTCAACTCGAGGAGAACTTGAACTTTTGACTTGGCAAGGGATGTACAATCAAGTGTAACTTCACAACTGACCCTCCTGGATACTCAATTTGAAATTAAATACAACTTTGAAGTTGAATCCAAAATACATCTGATCCAATACGATTGATCACTACTCAACGCTCAATCAGTCTGGTCTTAATACCAGGGTTAATAATAATAGTAAGAATATTAATGAATATTCTGTTATATATAATGAATGGATTTAACATAATTACATCAATCAGATATTGTCCGGACATAATGTCTCAAACTCCAATTTAATTGATCATCATAAAAATATTATCGATGGATAGTACAAGGTAGCAATGACACGTCTCCATCCACACTGAATCACACTCAATCAAACTCTATCTATCACGTTCACTGACTAAAACCATCAATCTGATACATTGAATTTGTGTGTGATCACACACATTCATACACACATAAATATTATGATCTGATTTACAAACCATACAACAGGTCAATAATTACTTGTCGATTGTAAACTGATCATAAATGTATTGTGAACATTCATTGTAATCAGTATTCAATAGTGGTAATGGCATCGTGATGGGTTCAATTTCAACAGTGTATTCAATGTCCTTTTAGATGGCACCTCAAACCATATATTCGAGATCATTGTCATCACTACAACAACAACAACAACAAACTACCAAAAGACAAGACAAACTATAAATTATATTAATATTAATATTTTTCAAAAATAATAATAATAATAATATGAGGTACCCTGTTGTATTATTGGCAGCAGCCTTGCTGCTGGTCGCGTTTGCAGACGCACACTCATTCTTGAGTTGTGTAAACTATGACTATGCCCAGTCAACTTGTAAGGCGTATCCAAGAAATTGGAAGTACCAGGAGGTGCAAGGAGACCGCTACCTCTACCAGTTGGGCAAGTTCACCAAGCCCGGCCCCACCAACTTGGGCGTTGCCTGTGGTCCAGCTCAATCGAGAGCATCCAATATCTACAGCCAATACTCGGAGAAGTATCCAATGGGACAGTTTTACCCAGGCCAGAAGCTGTGCTCGCAGTGGCCTGCCAGAAACCATGCCACCCAACCACGTGCCGGAAACGTCAGCTTCTACTTGGGCAACAAGAAGAATGCCAACAATGATGTCGACGACAACCAGTCAACATTCTTTGCACATCCAATTGCCGCCAGACCATTCGGTAACTGCACCAACTATAACCAAAACACAAACAACGCCACGTGTACCGCTTGCTACGAGATACCTGCCAATGTTGAGAACGGACTATACACTCTCCAGTGGTTCTGGGAGTTTAACCCAGGCGAGTACTACATGACCTGTGCTGATATCCTCGTCGACAAGAGATTCCAAGCATCACAGCCATTGCCACAGTGGCAAACACAACAACAACCATGGCAGCAGCAGCAGCAGAGGAATGGATTCGCCACTCGTCCACACATCCCCCAGGAGTTGATTAACTACGACCCATACCGCGCCCAGTACAGCAACCCATACAACCCAGACTACATCGTCGACAACAATCCATTCCAAGTGCCATCGATCCACAATCAACACCGTGAGCGTGAGCAGACTGGCTATGACAATGAGGTCGAGACCATCAGCACGCCATCTGGTGACCTCGTCCTCATCTCTGACGGCCAGTTCAACGAGAGGGTTGTTCAAGATGCTTCATGGGGTCCACATGGCGTCACTACAAGACTGAGCGCAACCTCCTTGCAAGCCAAACAGACATGGATCGAGTTCATTCCAACTAATGACCGTGCCTTCTACGTCCGTTGTCAGACTGGTGCCTGCATCACATGCAAGGAATATGGCACTCTGCACTTCTATGTACGTGGACCAATGGGTGTGCTGGATGACATGACTGTCAAGTTGGTGCAGATGGACAATGAGGTGAGCGAGTTCAAGTTGACAGCGACCTCCCAATCACTTGCCGAACTGAATGATGACTCGTTCAACCACTTCGCCATCGATCTTCCATACGGAAGAGAGTACAAGGGTTTGGTCATGTCGGGTGTGTCCACCAACACAGCCGACCGCGTCTACATTAGCAAGGTGATACTTGGTCGTAGACTTGCCGCTGCACATGCTGCTGGACTTATCTAAACACCAACAACATACTACAACAACAAGTTTATAAGCAATTTAGAGTAATAATACAAAATTATGTAACACAAATAACTCCTTTGCTCTTGTCTTGTCTTTCTTTCGCCCATTGACATGTCGTCACTGAGTTCCAGGTAATGTCATTGTTGTCATTGCTATGGTGTAGATGTTGGGATGATGTTGATGACTCATAGTTGGAAACCATCCATTTGTTGAGTCATCAACATTATCTTTTGCAAAGGACAGGTACACGTTTCGATCGATCAATATGAATGATATTTATAGCGTCATATAGGATGATGATGTCTTCTTGATGATTAGAGAATGTAGATTGAGATTGAGATGTGGTCATTTCCCACCCAAGTAATCACTTTGGTAATAAGTAGGTGGACAACAACAACAAGTAATATAATTTAATGTATCGTCATCTAAAGGTTATAACTCCAATCGAAGGAAGTTCCTTCATCTTTCGAGTCATATTCGATGCATTAGTGTAGTGTAACATGGGGTTGTTGACAAGTGTGGTGGTGTGGTGATGGGAAGACTAGGGTACCCTGACCAAAGGCCTCTGGTTGAAAGGACACTCATTAATGACGACAAAGAATGGGTGTTCTACCTACCGACACACACAACATTGTGGTTTGTTTGTTTGTGTTTGACTTTCTAGACACACACAACACGCACAAAGAGACTAATCCGCCAATCAAAACCAAAGCACCAACACACACAAGCACATAAAGTTCAAAGTTTGTGTTTAGGCCCTCTCCAACTGACTTGTTCTCTTCTTTCTGTCAATCTTACTCATTACCCAGCAATCTCTCTTTGTTCCCCGCTCTTCTCTCGTTGTTAACATCTTTAATCAATCATTATTATTAATTGATTAATTTTAACTTTATTTGTAATACAATACAATAATAATATTACTTTCAAAGTGTCCTAAACGTGTATGTAGAGTTTGAGTTGGCCGTGTCAGCAACAAGGAAGAGTGTACCTAATCAATCAATCAATCAGATCACAACAAACAGTAACAAACAAAGAAACAGACGGTCGTTAACAAGGATGGATAACTTCCTTCAACAACCATTTGTGTTTCCTTCATTCCAACAACAACAGGACAACTCACAACAACAGCAGCAAGGAGCTAACAATGCTACAAACAACAATAATACTAGTTCTACTGGAGTGAGTGGAAGCAACAGTTCAACATCGAACACGTCCACTTCAAACAATAGCAACAACAACAACAACAGTAACAACAATAACAGTAACAACAATAGTGGCTTTGACACTTCTAGCATTTCATCGCCACCCTCTGCATCATTCTTCAATGATCCATTGTTAAAGAGTGAATCATTGTCAATGTCTCAGATATTCAACACTGGCTATGGCTTCTCCCCATACTCCAATCCATTGGACTCTCCCTCTGTCTACAACCAGCCATCGCCATCAATCTCCCAACAGACAGTGGCCACCCCATCATCTCAGCCGTCCTCAATGTTGGGTCAGCATCTCCTATCCCAGCAGCCTCAGCAGACGCAACAGACGCAGCAACAGCAACAACTACCAATGCAACAACAGCAGCAACAACAACAACAACAGCAACAACAGCAACAACTACTTCAGCCAACTTATCATCATGAGTATGATACGCTGTTCACTCAGGTCAGCAATACGAATGCAAACATACCAGCTGGTACAACACCGACCGATCTTGGCTTCATCCACTCATTGATACAACAACAGCAGGAGCAGTTCAGGAAGAGACTTGGTCAGCAGGCTACGCTACTAAGCGAGGCTCAGATCCAATATCTCTTCCTTCAGGAGCAACAAGCACTCTTGAAGCAGATCCTCGAGGGTCCTCCACAACAGCCTTCACTCTCAAACAACTATAACATCAACAATAACAACAATAACAATGTTGTTCCGGCTGCACCACTCATCAATAGTATTGCTCCTGTTGTTGCCGCTACTGTTGCCGCCTCCGCTGCTCCAAAGATGATGACAACACCGCCGCCATTGCAACAAATGATGACACAGCACTCACCTTTGGTTCAACAACTTGTGCCTCCACATCCACTACAGTTGTTGCAACAACAACAGCCAATTGTTAGTCTGCCACCAACACAGGTCCAAGTCATGCCACAGCAACAACAACAAGTACAACCTCAGGTTGCCCCAAAGCCTGTTACTACTTCTTCTCCTCCTCAACAACAGCAACAACAGCAGCAACAACAACCATTAATCCAAACATTCAACTCACCTTACTTCTTTGACACAACCCAACCGATTCCAGAGTCACTCTCAATGAACACTTCACCAAACATGTATCAAGCCCAACAACAGTTCACAACATCCTCACCAATACAACAGACGACATCGCCACGCGTAGCCAATCACCTCATCCCATCACCCCAACCTCAGCTGCCACTGCCACAGCCGTCTCAGTCCCAGACTCAGACTCAGCAGCAGGCACAACAACAGTCCACACTTCAATCACAGATCCAACAACATCAGAACTCACTCTTCCAATTCCAAGCCAATCAGCCACAGATGACTTCCAAGCCATCGGCCCAGCAGCAGCAACAGGCAACGACATCTCCTGCCACAGGGTCAGCTCAAAAGTCGGGCTGCCCCAAGTCCGCGAGCATCCCATCTACGCCCACAAGTAGTTTCTGTCCGAACAGCTATAGCAACAACAACAACATGTACAGCAGCAACAGGTTCGACGACGATGACGAACGCAGGGGCGGCGGCAGGAACAACCAGAACACCGCCAGCAGGAACTACCGACAGAGGAAGAAGGACCACATCTCTGAAGTGGAGCAAAAGGTCAAGCAGCTGGCGCTCGAGAATGATCGCCTGCGTCAAGAGAACAGTCTGTTGAAGAAGGGTGATCTGACCGACCTGATGCGTCCGGACGGTTCGTTCGAGGAGGTTGTGCGCGAGGTCAAGCTCTTGCTGGCGCAGCTGCAGAAGGCTGTGGACAGTAACGATGAGAAGTCCGTCGAGTACCTACTCCAACTCTACTACTACTCCTCCCAACTGCGGTCAACTGTCATTGAAAGAGAAGTTGAGAAGATCGTGCATCCCTACACACAGGTAAGTGTGGCGACATTAGCAACTCCTACCCTGCCACTCATACTAACTCAACTCTCACTCACTCACGCATAACAGGCAAGACTGGCACTAATGGGATACAAGTCATCGGCAGAGTCATCGATATTGTGCGCCAAGCCAATATCAGCAATATGGTGGCCAAACTTTGTTAATGAGGTGGAGATGAATGATCAACAGAGGGTGGCTTCAGAGATGTTATGGAACGATCATGTAAAGATACATCAAGAGTTGACTGATGAGCGCGAGAGATTGGACCACGAGATCAAAGAGTTGATCCTAAAGAAGTTCTGTGTGATGGAGGTTGACGAACGATTCCCAAGAGCCTGCATCCAACCAAACATTGATATACCTCTTGTGAATCCGCCCCAGCAACAACAACAGGACTCTTCAAACTCGACGCCAGAGTCGCCGAACCAACCTACAACACCTGGCAAGGCTCCTCAGTTTGATGAGAACAGCTCGACCAACATCTCAGAGTTGTTGGACTTGACGCGCAAGCTTGATCAGCTCAAGAAGAACTTTGTCAAGCACAGGAACCTGATCTGTGACACTGATCTGGTGCTGTCGACCATTCTCACGCCAATCCAGCATGCCAAGCTCGTACTACGTCTCAACAGTGTGACGTGCTATGATATCCAGATCGTCGATGTGATCACACGTATCTGGGGCACGATACACACGTCCAGCAGTGATGGACAGAGCTCATTCGTCCAACATCTAATGCCTGGCGAGAATGGCAATTCGTTGTTCATGGAGTCCATCAAGAGTCTACCGCAGATCAAGTCGCACACCAGCCATGACGCGCCACTCGAGACCCTGTTGACCACCTATGAGAACTTGTATCATAATATTTACAGTTTGCACTTTGCTCCACCTCCTCCAACACAGCAACAGCAACAACAACAGCAACAGCAGCAACAGCAAGTGCCACAATCACTATCACCAAGTAACCAACATAGACAACAATCGTCATCATCGTCGCCTATATCCTTGTCACCGCCACAGATTGACATGGCATACCAAGGCAATCTAGACGCCGCTGCAACGACCTCCTCACACGTGGATCCAAGACAGAAGATATTGGTGCCTCAACAGCAACAACAGCATAACAACTACCAGTAGACTATCCATTGCATCCATCCTTAAACCATCAACAATCAAATATATCATTTCCAAATTGTTTATGAAGATCAGTCCTTGTCGTTTGTGTGAAAAGACGACAATCCTGCAAAGTGTGTGCCTGTCTCAGCTGACACTTCGCTCATTCATTCATTCATTCAATCATAGACATACTTATATACTTATACTACTACTACTACTAGTACATACATACATACATTAGAATGAATGGATTAGTTGATACAATTGAGATAGTCTCAATGTTTTATAGACATCAGAGAGAGAAGGCTGTACAGAGAGCACTGCGGAGAAAACATAAACGATCATTCATAAGGAGATTGAATGTTATAAAGAGTCGATACTACTATCCAGCTAGAGTACATAGGAGAACAACACCATCATCATGTGTACTAATAAGAAACACTGCGATGAATACATTGAACAATGAAGTGGAGTCTGATGAGAAATTGTTGAACAAGATGAATGAGGTTAAACAACGAATGGTAAGAATGAATGATGGTATTGAACAACTTCATGGCAACCAACTAATCAATCAATCAATCAATCAATGACATCATCATGAACATGCAGTATCTACAAAGATCAGAGGATATCATTAACAAGATCATACAAGAGGGCCTTGGTAGAGAAATGTTCGGATTTGATATCGATCAAAATGATGACGATGATGATGATGAAGATTATGAAGATGATGAAGAGGACGAAGAAGAGGACGATGAAGACGAAGAACTTTAAAGTTCAACCAATTCAATCTGGATCATGTCCCAGACTCCCACATACAACGATATCGATGTCGTTGTGCATTGATCTACTCCATGCTCTGGATACCAGGAGCGAACAATCAATCAATCCTCCGCATCATCCTCAATCCTGGACTATACATGGACTTGGACAACAACACCAGCAATACCATTTGGTAACGAATGATTAAATGGATCAATCCAAGTTGTTGATTATATATAGATCTATTTGGATTTATTACATTGATTATATATATAATATGATTGATGGTCCATCGTTTAGTAGAACTCCTCCTTGATGACCAAACCATCCTTCCACTCTTGCAAAGCCCATTGAGTCTTCTTGATGTTGTGCTCACCATAAGTGAAGTCCATGTACATCTCGTAGGCGGTGTTGTTACCATCGACCAGAATCTTGGTGACTATATTATAATTTATGTTAGAATGACTGAGCTGATGACCTCTATCGATGATCATTAAAGTTGATGCATACCCTTTGCCTCGTGGATCTTGGCATTGTCAACAAAGTTCTTCTCAGACTTGTAGTTGGCCTCCTTTCCGACACGGTTGGTGGAGTCACCCTTCTCAAACATAACGACATCGGCATGGTAGTACTTCTCAAACATATCGAGGATTCTGTTCTCCTGGATGCCCTTGATGATCTCGTTCAAGTTATCTCTGATTGATGGTGACATTATTAATAATTGTTTGAAAAGAAAATATAAGAATTAAATATTAATTTATATTTGATTGATTGTATATTGTTTGTTTGATTGATTGATTGATGATTTGATGATTGTTCAATGATGTCCTAGGATCATTATAAATAATAGTTGGACAGAGGGTTCCGGAAGGTTGTCTGTTCTTTGGATCAAGCACTTGAGTGTGGTTCGAGATCCATGATGAGATACTAATTTGGAAATTTTGATCATTGTGCTCAAGGTTCCTGAATGAGAACAAGCTCTATTACCGCAATGTAATAGAATGATGGTCACTGATCATTATTTGGTGGGAGGCCAATCAAACAACGAATCGATTGATGTCGTCAACTAACATCACCTCACCATCAAACAGTTTGTCATATTCCTGATATTATTCTATATGATCTGATTGATATGACTCTCCATATTCTACACATAGCCTTATACTTAAAGACTTAAGAAAGACACATCTTTAATACCTAAAACGAATCATTATGCTCCAAGTAACTGCTGTGGGTTGAGGATGTCGGTACATATTACTCAACTCCAGTCGTCATCAATCAAGATCATCAGATTGAAGAGATCGATTGTGACATTGTCTTCAACATCGTTTGGTACACCATTTATATCTCCATTGTAGATTTCTGCAGTTGGAATCTGGATTAGATACAGTGGATTGTTTGCTACAGGAGGTATGTTGACGGCCATTGTATTTCCTGTGGCATGACCAAATCCTTGATCAACTGCATAGGCCATTGGGAGATCATAAGGGACGGCTCCAAAAGAAATGACTTGAACTGGAGTCTCTGTACTGACCGACCTTCGATAGAGTAGTGCTAAAGCACTGAATTTGTAATTGGCAGATCTCGGTGGGAAGATCTTGATACAAAGGACGACCTGAATGTCGGTGAAGTTGGAGAGGTAGAGCTTTGCTTTGTAATGAAGCGATGCTACAGTTTCAGACACTCCAACCTCGATGACAAGTGTTGGGAATGGATGCGTTCCAATGGCAACCAATTCACCCTCTGGTACTGGGTCCGGTCTTCCCGAAGGGATGATGGAGCTATCAGCCTCAGCTCCTGTTCCACCAATGACTTGGGTCATTGATCCACGACAACGGAATGTTCCTTTGGGGAGTTTAGTAGCAATTTCCAAGAGGGTCCAATCTACTATACTTTCATGAATGGGTGAGATATCCAACTCGTAGACTAGTACCTCTCCATTTTCGAACCAGAGCTTGTACTTGAGATCAGTTCGATCGTAGTCAAGATATTCCTGTAGAGTAATATTGTTACATACTACATAATGGTCAGGCACCACTGGTTCTTCCAACCTCAGTTTGATAATGGCAAGATATATCTTGGAACAATTATTAGTTATATCATATATATTTGATTGTTTAATTACACATACATCTCGCATGTATTGAATTCTTTGATGCCATGTTGGGGCCAGGGTAGGTTGATGTAGAGTCATGGAAGAGGTAGGTGTTAGTATTGGCTCTTGTGATTAATTAGGGAGAGAACCAGGATGAGTAGTCTTAAGACTACTTGTGGCTCTGTCTTTAATAATGAATTAATAAATAATAATTTTAACTAACTTCCAAATCTGTTCTCAAGGTAGAATGGAATAAACATGTCGCTTTTATTATTAATAACTGTAATCAAACTTATGATATATATGTATATATATATGTATGTATCACTGGTACTGGATGGATGAACTCCATCTCAGACCATTGGACTCTGCAGCCGCAGCCGTCATCGCTTATTTCTTCTTGCCCTCCTCCTCTTGCTGCTGGATCTCCAAACCGGACACCTTGCCCTTGCGTCCCTCCTTCTCATTCTTCTTCAACCATTGCACAATGGCCTCTGTGCCCTTCATGACGATTGGGTTGGGTGGGATGGTCAATGGGTTGTGGCTGACGTCCAGCACGGACAGTGTGAGCAGGTCACCAAACTCCCAAGGCAACTCTGTCAACATGTTGTGGCTGAGATCGATCTTGGTGATGGCCTTGAGTCCGCCAAGTGTCTCTGGCAGCTCTGAAATCTCATTGCTCTTCAAGTCCATGATCTAATTATATGTTTGATTGATTGTTTGATTGATTGAGTGTCAGTGATTGATCGAGATATCATCATAATTATCGCGCTCGCTTACCTGTAACTCTGCAAGGTTTCCAAAGGTCGATGGAATGGCTGTAAGCTTGTTGGCAGAGAAGTTGATCTTGTTGAGTTGAGTGAGGTTGCCAATCTCGGCTGGGATCGCTTGGAGTTGGTTGCTGGCACACTCCAACTCCTTGAGGTTGGTGAGTGTGCAGATCTCGGCTGGCAGTGCCACCAGCTTGTTGCCAGAGACAGAGAGCTTCTTCAAGTTGACGAGACGACCAATCTCTGTGGGGATGTTGTCCAGCAACAACAAGTTGTTACGGATGTCCAACGATTGAAGGTTGACAAGGTTGCCAATCTCGCGAGGTACGATCTTCATGTTGTTGCCATAGAGGTCGAGCTTCTGGAGGTTGATCAGCGTGCCAATGTCGTAGGGGATCTCCTTGAGTTGAGGGTTGTCYTCGCATGTCCAACTCCTGAAGCTCGCTGAGCAAACCGATGCCCATGGGCAGATGGCTGATCTGGAGGTTTCTGATCGACAGCTTCTTGAGCTGGCGCAGGTTGGCCAGGGGTGGCACGTACTGCAGGGGAGGGTTTACCTTGAGGTCGAGGTCTGTGAGCGAGACCATCTGCGACAGCTCCTCGGGTAGCTGCTGCAGCTTGTTTGAGCTGACGTTCAGAGTTGACAGCTGGCCGAGCAGAGTGATCTGGCTGGGCAGCGTGATCAGCTGGTTGAGCGACACGTTGAGCTCGAGCAGACGCACCCATCCCGAGATCTCAGCGGGCAGCACCTTGAGCTGGTTCTTGCTGATGTTGAACGTCTGCATCTGATGCAACTTGCCGTACTCCAATGGGAAGGAGGTGAGCTGGTTGTCCGAGAGGTCGAGGTACTCGAGGTTCTCGAGGTTGGACAACTCGACGGGCAGCTCGTCGAGCTGGTTGCCCGAGAGGTCGAGCTTGGTGAGCGTGCGCAAGTCGCCCAGCTTGGCGGGTAGCGGCGTGCAGAACAGCTTGTTGTTCGAGAGGTAGAGCTGCTTGAGTGTGCGAAGCAGGCCAATCTCGATGGGGATCGACGTGATCCTGTTCTTGGAGGCGTCCAAGATCTCGATGTTGACCAGCTTGCCAATCTCCTCGGGCAGCGTAGTCAAGTCATTCTCGCCCAGCAACAACTCCTTGCAGAGCAATGTGCCGATGGTGGGTGGTAGCTTGTCAATGGACATCTTCCTCAGATCTACAATCTCTCTCTTTCTATACTTGGAAGACTTTAATTCTGTTGATAAGTTTCCTCCCATCTTTTTATATAATTCTTTGTTTCCTTTTATAGGTTCTTTTTAGATCTCTAACTATTATTATGTAAGTATGTATGTATGTACTCAATGGTAATTAATTAATAATGTTTGTTGATGAATATATATGTTGAACTACTTGTAGTTGTGTGTTTGTATGTCTATGTGTGTGAATTATGTGTGTGGGTAAGTAACAATGGGTGGTGTGTTTGTGGGGGGTTTGTTCACTGTTGAGAATGACCTACCCATCTTAATCTTTTTGATTGGATGCTGGTATCACAGGTGTTGGGGGGAGGTTGGGTGTGGTCTCGTTCTAATCCATTTTTATATCTCAGGCAACTTGTGTGTTTTGGGCAGTCCGTTAACAAATTCAAATATTAGTATTTTTTATCTCAGCCATCATGAACTTCCCTATTTCACATTCAAATTCATATTTCCCATTTCTAACGGTCGCGCCTCCAACCCCTATAACTGTTACTTTCAATCATTCATTCAACCATTCAATGATACATTGATGCATTCAAATATAGTAAATAGACAATATAGATAAATAGATAGATATTTAACAAGAGAGAGATGTTTTCTTCAAGACCGATTAATAGTATGCTTCAACAACAGGGTCAGGGTGGCCTAAAGAATGCTCTGTCATTGTTGGCCGATGATGATATTGAGAACAAGGTGGTTTCACCAATGGTATATACACCAGTCAAGTCAAAGCCAATACCAACAGCAACAGAGAACAAACCAAAGGCAACAGTCACAACACCTACCAAGTCTCCTAGACGCGGTGGTGATCTCGCCAGATCCCCGCTGACCCCTGTCAGAATACACAACTCTCCTCAGACCAGCTCCGATGAGAATGACGACGAGCATAGAAGAGTGTTAAGATCACCTTCTGCTGTTAAGGTATGTCTCTCTCTCACTCACTACACTATCTTATCAATCAATCAGACTCACTCACTCTCCCCTCGATCACTCAGAGCAAGAAGTCCAAGCAGACTAGCAACCCAATGAAGAACAAGAGAATGGAGGATATCAATGATCAGATGCCAGAGATTGGTTCAATTGAGGGTACGTGGAGTGATTGAGACATCACGTGCTATCGCATGTCTCATACTAACAATCATTCGCTCCATCTCGATCACTCGCTAACTCACTCAATCATTCGCTCACTCGCTCACTCAGACGTGATCAAGTTACATCAAGAGATAACTGAGAACAGGAACAAGATCCAGGACTTGCAGGAGCAGTTGACAAACGCCCAAAAAGGTTTGATTACATATGACAATACATTGTCTTGTCGGGCTTGGTCACCCGCCCAACAACTCGAACTCGTTATTTACTAATAATGGGCATCATGCATAATACAACACAACAACAGAGAAGACCAACATCGACAATGAGAGACAACAACTGTTGGAGAAGTTGAAGAAGCTGGATGAGACTCGCGAGCAAGCAGAGACTCGTGAGAAGGACACAAAGAAGGAGCTGGTTGAGATGGAGAAGAAGTTGACCTCAACCGTCGAGACATTGCATCACGAGTTTGATCGCAAGGTCTCAACACTCAATGACGAGAGGCATCAATCAGACAAGCGCAGCCAAGACACCATCTCAGTGCTTCGCGACCAACTATGTCAACTCCACGCTCAAAATGAGTCCTCCAAGAAGATGGTAATTACATGAATGGTGAATGATTGAATGGTTGTGAATCGTGATCACTAACATACATACTATAGCTTGAGAAGCTTGAAAAGGAGAGTCAGGAGAGCTCGACCAAGGCTGAGTGTGACAAGAAGTTGATCGAGGAGCTTCAAACAACAGTCCAGACCACGACCACTACCAATGCCGAGGTTACACAGACATTGGAGTCAACAAAGGAGTCACTTCAGAATGTGAGGAAAGAGTAAGTAATCACGTAACAACAACCCCCACTGATTGGTGCTCGAACACTGACATCCCGCCACCCACCCCCTTAGCCTGTTCTTCTCCACTTGCTTGGCCATCAAGTTGAACCAACTTATGTTGAACGCACCAGCCAATGTGTGCACTCAGGATCTTTGGGATGAGGCTGAGAGCCAAAAGATGTCTTCTTCCACCTTTACCCAGTTCATCAGCCAGAAGGTCGTACTGATGCAACAACAACAGCAACAACAGCAGCAATCGCCCATCAAGAAGGCTCAAAGCCCAAGAAAGGGATCCACAGGCCAAGCCAACAAGGTTGCCAGTGCCAAGGGCACCAGCACCACTACTGCCAACAACAAGAATACTACTACCAAGAGCAAGAAGTAAACCCTTCTTTCCCTTTATCACTTCCAGTTCGAGTTGTTTGTTTGTTTGATTGATTATCATGGACATTACCATCCACCGGTAATCATGGATATTACCATCCCTTTATTATTAATATTTACATGGAGAACGGCGTCCATCCATCTTAAAGTGATCCACTTCTCATTGGTCTGCAGGAATGTTCAACTCGTTACGGAACTCTTTGATGAGTCTCTGTTTGATCTCATTGGTGATCAGGGACAGGTCCACGCCACTGACCCTCAGTGTCTCCTCTCCGTTGATATTGGAGTAGGTCACTTGGACATTGTTGACGGTCTTTGACGATGAGTAGGAGTAGGAGTGGCTGCCGGCCTTGCCTCGGGAGGTCTTCTCGACACACTCTCCATTCAAACAGTAGGTGGTCTTTGTAACGACTTCATTGCCATCGTTGTATGTTTCGGTCTGTGTATAAGTTCCTTGTGTATTGATCTTTGTTTGGGCCTCGGTCTCTGAATTGGCATTGGATTGTTCCTTTGGCGCTGGTACAGGGTAGTTTATATCCTCCAAGGATGCATCCACTGGCTTGGCATGCTTTGGAACGTATCTTGATGTTGACAAGGCAACTGTTACCAACAATGCCAATAACAATGATATTTGTATAAATGATCTCATTCTATTCTTCTTATTTCTTTATCTATCTCTTATGTGTGACAGGCTATTTGTTGTTGTTGTTGTTTAAATGATTGTTATTGCTGCTGTGTGCTGGCTTGGCTTAAGTAAGTGGTGTGAGTGTTTGTTTATGATGTGATTGATGTGCTTGTTGTTGTGTTGTTGTGGTTGATGTCAAGGCAGCGAAGTGAAGTGACGAGGCAATAGTGTGTTGTTATTGTTATTGTTAAGTGTCTATCTGTCTATGAATATGTGTATAACAAAGTATATAATATATGTTGTGCTTAGCTTAATATAACTCGTGTGCATGATGATGTGATCTCAAAGTCGACGTCGTGCCCCCATTTAACTTAAATTACCTTGTTGTTGTCATCAAAAGTAATATTCGGTAAGATGTCCATTTAATCTTCAACAAAGAGATAATGTGTAAGTAAGTACAATTAAGAAATGATTATAACAACGCTAACTGTTACTTCAATATTCAATATAATGCAAATAAAAGGATAAATATATCCTTCATTTAATATCTGGTCACAAACCGAATGAACAACCTTAACTTGAATGAGATACCTTGATAAATGAGCCATTTTATTCAACTTTTTACAAAACAAAGGAGATAAAGATAAAGATAAAAGAGAGAAGAGAAGAGAAATGTCGGCAGATAACCCAAACCCAGTTGTTTATAATGTTCACTCTGGAAGTATCAATGATAACTCATTGATGTATAGTGAGAGATTCACAGAGGACGAAGATACATTGGACGAGTTTGATGTTTATGAGATATTCGACTTGGTCAGAGAGATCAATGATCCCGAGCATCCATTGACATTGGAGCAACTCAATGTCGTTAGACATGAGAACATCTCTATCGACACTGAAAAGAACCTCATTAGACTATACTTTACGCCAACCGTACCTCATTGCTCGATGGCCAATCTAATTGGGCTCTCAATCAAAGAGAAACTCGTTCGTTCATTGCCTCGTCGTTTCAAAGTAGATGTTAAAGTTACTCCAGGAAGTCATTCATCAGAGCAATCAGGTATGTATTTACATCTCATTCATTCGTTCATTCATCCTAACATCACTTCTCGTTTGTAATCGAAACAGTCAACAAACAATTAAATGACAAGGAAAGAGTTTCAGCAGCATTGGACGCAAGTTCATCAATTCTTAATGTTGTCAACGAGTGCATCAAGCTTCAGAACTAGGGATGATCATGCCCTTACCTTGTTAGACTAGCAGTTTCGACGAGGAATCACTTCCTGTTCCCAGTAGTGACCCATACAAAATCGACTGTCCTTGGTACTACCTCTGAATTACAATGATCAAGTTACATCAGAGTAGAATTGCAATTCTTTGGCCTCCAATCACAACAGTCCCTTGAACAGAAACTGAAGAATTTTGTTCTGAACCATGCGTCACCAAGTCTCAAGATTGACAATGACACTTGGTGGGGACATGGACAACAGTATACAATAAAGTACCTACATGTGCATGTATATATAAAGTACCTACCAATGTTATTGATTGATTGATTGATTACTTGTTTGAAAGTCCTCCACGTACTTCATTTTTTAATAAATAAAATTAATGGTGGGGATGATGATGTTCAACAATAATCACTTTCTTTGATCAACTTCACACATTCATTTCATTTATTCTTCACATTGTATTCATTAAATATATATATATATATATAAGTAGTAGTTGTAAATAGTAATAATAGTGATTAATTCATTGATATATAGATATAGTATTGATATAATATAGATAGATATAGATATGTCGACAGAACAAGAAAAGAAGGAGAAGGCATTGCAGTCATTCAGAGATAGATTGATAGAGCATAAGAATGCTGAGCTTCGTCTACAAAAGACACATGATTTGTTGAAGAAGTTAAAGAGAGACTTTGCAAAGACTGAGGATCATCTCAAGGCCACCCAATACATGGGTGAGATCATCGGAGAGGTCTTGAAGGCATTGGATGATGAGAAGTGTATGTGTCTCTCCCTCATCACCAACAATCAATCAATCAATCAATAGAGATAGTTTGGAACTAACATTAATATATATTATAATAGTCATTGTTAAGGCATGTAATGGACCAAGATATGTAGTTCGTACAGCAAACTATCAAGAGAAAGCACCATTGTTGGTACCAGGAGCACGTGTAACTTTGGATCTTACTACATTGACCATCCTTAAGATCCTACCTCGTGAGGTAGACCCAATCATCTTCAACATGACCACTGAGAACCCAGGCTCCATCAGTTACTCAGAGATAGGAGGACTGAACGACCAGATCAGAGCGCTGAGAGAGGTGGTCGAGCTGCCACTGCTCGTGCCCGACCTGTTTGTCAGAGTGGGCATCAAGCCACCCAAGGGTGTGCTGCTGTATGGCCCACCAGGTACCGGCAAGACGCTGCTCGCGCGTGCCATTGCCAGCAACCTCGACGCCAACTTCCTCAAGGTCGTGTCGTCCGCCATTGTAGATAAGTATATTGGAGAGAGTGCCAGAGTGATCCGTGAGATGTTTGGCTACGCCAGAGACCACCAGCCATGCGTCATCTTCATGGATGAGATCGATGCCATCGGTGGCAGACGTTTCTCCGAGGGTACTTCGGCAGATCGTGAGATTCAGAGAACACTGATGGAGTTGCTCAACCAAATGGACGGTTTCGACGTGTTGCAAAAGGTCAAGATTATCATGGCCACCAACAGACCCGATGTGCTGGACCCTGCCCTCCTTCGTCCAGGTCGTCTGGATCGTAAGATAGAGATCCCACTTCCAAATGAGGCCGGTAGAGTTGAGGTTATCAAGATTCACGCTTCCGGTATAACTAAGCATGGAGATATTGGTATGTTTGAACAAGTACCCGTTTGATCACAATCATCGCATTCATACTCATTCTCACTCATTCACTCAATCAATCAAACAATCAATAGACTTTGAGGCAATCTCCAAGTTGGCAGATGGATTCAATGCTGCTGATCTGCGTAATGTGTGTACCGAGGCTGGTATGTTTGCAATTAGAGCAGAGAGAGACTACACGATCGAGGAGGACTTCTTCAAGGCTGTCAGAAAGGTTGCAGATAACAAGAAACTGGAGTCCAAGTTGGATTACCAGAAGATTTAAACATCTTTTCGACATCATCTTCATCTTCATCTTCATCAACAACAACAGTAACAGCAGCGATAGCAGAAATAAGTAAGCGACGCCCCCTTACAAACATGTATAATGAGTTGCCAACCGGTGTCACCCATCCATTCCATCCATCCACCCATCCATCCACATTACTTTCCAATCCATTCATCAATCAACCACCCAACTCAATCCTAGTGACCTGATCAGCACAACAATAAACAAGTACATTGCCTCACCATAGCCAGACATTCCAATGTCCACAATGTTGCCAAGATGGCAAGAACTTCCATTCTATCCTATTCGCAAGATGATGTGTTGGTGATGATCATCCTCAACAACAACAAAAATTCAAATTTTGAATTGAATTGGAGGACCTTCCAACTGAATGAAGGGTCAGATTCAGTTGTTTGTTTGTTAGTTATCGAGTTACATAGAGAGAGATAATACTCATACTTATACATATTCACATTACAGATACCAAACTCCAATTGTAATAACATATCAATCAATCACTTGGGGAGAGGATGATAAAAAAGAAGTTATTGTCCTCACTGAAAGAGAAGAAGGCTGCTGCCATTGCTGCCGCTGCAGAAGAGTCAAAGAAGTAAGATGAAATGAATGAATGAGTGAATGAATATGATGATTGACACACTATATTGTCATTATTACAACAGGGAGGAAGAGGCAAGAGCTTTGGCAGAGGAGGAACAAGAAGAGGAGGAGAAAAAGAGTAGAAGTAGGAAGAAGAAGAAACATCATAGTGCTGCTGAGGATGAGGATGGTGATGATGTTGAGAATGATGATGGTGATGATTCATCATCGAGGAAGAAGAAGAAGTCATCAAAGAGCAAGCATAAGAGTAGTAGTAGCAAGAAACGAAAGGGTGACTCTGATACCAATAATGATGAGAATGATGGTGATGCCGACGACAACAACAATGAGGAGGATGAGAAACGACACAAGAAGAGACATCACAAGAAACATCATAAGAGAGGTGATAAAGAAAAGGATGATGATAGTGCCGAGGGTGGTGACGACGATAGGAAGCACAGGAAGCACAGGAAAAAGAAGCACAAGAGAGATAAGGACAAGGGCGATGAGGAGGCTGCCAGCGGGGGATCCGACGACGAAGAGAGGCGCAGGAAGAAGCACAAGAAGAAGAAGAAGAGAAGCAGCAGCAAGGACGACACAGACAACAATGATGAAGAGACACTTGTCGACGAGAAGACAGAGGACAGCTCCGTTCAAGCATGGGACGACGCAAATGAAGAGGCGGTAGCCAGCGACGTCGACCAGAGGAGAGCGCCATCCTCCTGGGATAACAATGATCGTGACAGCAGGGAGCACAGAGTGTCATCACCAATCTCTCGAAGAGATTATAGAGATGTGGAGCGAGACTATCGCGAGATGGAGCAGCGTGAGAGGGAGAGAGAACAACGAGAGCGCGAGAGAGTTGCTCAGGAGGAGGAAGAGGCAAACCAAGCATACGAAGAGTATGACGACGACGACGATGAGGAGGAGAAGGAGAGGAATATCCAGAGGCGTGACATCAAGCCCCTGGAAGGCTACTTCACCCATTACCAACCGACGGTCGCTCCCAAGCTTTCCACCAAGAGCAAGTTTGGTGAGAGTCTCATCAACAGAGTGGATATACCTACTCCATATTATCCACTTCCACAGCGTCAACAGAAGATGTCTGGCTACTCAGATGTAAATAGTAACAGCAGCAGTGGCAACTATGGTAGTGGCAGTAACAGCAGCAGTAGTAATATTAATGGTGGCGGATATGGCTCATTGAGTGGAACGGCCAACAGCAGTTCAAGCTACAATGGCTATGCATCATCCGATCATCACTATCAACCACCACAACAGGAACCATCACAACCGATTGGTAATGCAGAGTACCTTGCATCATTCAACAATCAGAAATGGGACTTGGACTTTAACACCAGCAGCACAACTACCAACAACGCCACCGTCACCAACACAAGCATAAGCAGCACAATCAGCAGCAGTAATAACACAGATAGTATACAGAATGAACAAGAAGACAAGGAAAGACAACACCAACATCATCATCATCACAGCAGCAGATCAAAGGAGGATATGGAGAGGAGAAAGAAGATGTTTGTTAAGGAGATATCAAAGATTGTCGTAACCAACTTGAACAAGTACATGAAACAAAAGAAGATATCTAACAAGGAGGACTTTAAGTACCTCGCCAACAAGTTCACGATGCTCGTTGTCGAGAAGGACCACGGACGATTCGAGGCCAAAGGCGACACGCCCAGGAAGGTTGAGAAGCTGCTCGATGGCTACTTCTCAAAGCTCGATGTCTATGTTCGCAAGAACAAGAAGGAAGAGTACGCCTCTGGCAGTTCTTTGGGCTCCAGGCCAACCTCAAACACAACCGACTTGGAGAGCAGTCCTCACTCGCCTCCACCTCCCATCTATATTCCCGGCGCGTCGCAATCAGTGTTTGACGACACAACGGCCACTTCAAACTCCTCCACTTCAATGTCACCCTCAACTACTACAACTACAACAACCTCATCAACAATGGAGTCAGTCACAGATACTTTCCTCATTCCCTCAACGATGAATGGATATAGCAACGGAGAGATGATGCAGGATATGCTCAACAACAATGAGCCGATGCTGGTGGATGCTCCTACTTCATATGAGGCAACTCCAGCGTCATCAACAACTACGACAATGGATACTTTAATGGATACATCATCAACGTTGACATCATCAGAGAGTACTTTATCCTATTCTGTCCCAATGACGAGCGAGTCAACAGATGCCGCTACACTTTTGTTGGCACCTGACGAAACGGCAACCTTTGTTGGAGGAACCACTGATTACAGCAACGATGATGACACGTCCAATAAGTTGTTGTAGAGATATAGTACATTAAAGAGTGATCGATCGTCAATCGAATAAGATGTTGTGTTGTTGGTATTGCTGGCACCAGCACAACCATCCAGCCAACCTGTCAGCCGGCCAGATAGGCACCTTTAATGTTGTACCAAAGTGTACACTGAACTAAATAACTAACTTAGGCAACAGTCTCTGTCAGTTGAGATGTTGAGGTTTCTTCTGCGATTGATTTGGGCTTGGAGGTGAGGTCTATCAACTTGTTGGACTCGTGGGCAATCTGCTCAATGGTGACACGACCCTTCTTGTTGATGAACTTGGCCACTGATTCCATCTCCTCTCTTGATACATATATAAACTTGCCACGATCGTCGATCACACCAGAGATCAAACCTTGCTTGTCCAGTGTCTTGATGCGCTCGATCACATCATTAGTCTTCATGCCAAACTCCATTGAAATGTCCTCCAACAGACATATCTTGTTGGTCTCTAGATAGCGAATGAACTCTTGTAACATGTTTCTCTCGTCCTCTTCATTCTGCTTGGACTCTCCAGACTCCTCCAGTGAGAATGCATTCTTCATTGCTTGATACTCCTCGTCCTCCTTCTTCTCCTTCTCCAGACGTATCCTTGTCTCTTCCTCAACCCTCAGCCTCTCCTTCTCCAACTCCTCCAATCTCTTTTGTTTCATCTCTTCATCTTTCTCTTCCTCTGCCTTCTTTCTTTCAGCACGCATATGTTCTTCATACTATCATGCGAATGAATGGTTAGTATCGTTGATGTATCATACAACACCTCCCCCTGCTTACCTCTCTATGCTTTCTCTTCTCATCCTTTCTCTTGAGTTTCTCCAACTTCTTTGTTCCCATCTTCTTTCCTGTCCTTGGATCAATACCTCCATTGGTAACAATATCATCAAGGTCCTCGATATCATCAATATCATCATCACTGTCTACATCTTCATCTATATTAATATTTGATGTTAGTAACTTGTTGTATGTGTCTTGTTCTTGTCCTTGTCCCTTACTTGATTGTTGTAGTTGTCTCTGTTGTTGTTGTTGTTGCTGTTGTTGTTGTTCGACAGCAGCTTGAGGTCTATTCCTGTTTCTAACGTTCATTCTAGCCAGACCACCACCTCTGCCTCTATTGTTATTGTTCACCATAACATCATCATTGTTGTTGTCATTGGCAGCAGCAGCATCATCATCATGTGGAGTGACAAAGTTCTTCTTTGGGAACAATACAACATATAACAATGCAGTTATAACAAGTGCACTGATGCCCAATATTATCATATACAATGTATCCATTCTATATCTCTATCTGTAACTGTATCTGTATACTTGTATTTGTTAATTGATTGAAATGAATGAATTAATGAAGTGTGGATGTTCAAGTCGTGGTAGTTTCGCGAAACTTCCAACTTTATTGAGTTGTGGACGTTGTTGTGGCTGGGGATGGGGCTGGTGATGGCTCGGACCATGTTGATGATGATGATTGTGGTTGTTTCTCGAATCTTGGCTTGACAGCCTCCCAACCAGCGTAGAATTTAGGTCGATGCATTGAGCACTGTAACAGTCTTGTCTGGATGTTGTGGAAGAATGGTTCGTAGGCATTATAGTGGTTTTTCAAAAGACGGAGGTACATCGGTGTCAAGGCCACGGTGTTGCCCTGCTTGTGATAATAATCCATGACAGCTCGCAACAGTCCATATTGTAGCCATGGAAGGTTTGACTCCTGCATCATCAATCTCTTCTCGGCCAAAATTCGATATTGCTCGATGGTGCACAACACTTGGAGAATGTCCTGGTCATTTTTCAGAGTCGGGTCTACTCCGACCATATGCTTGTACAACGTATCGATCATCTTGTGCATGCCAGGGTAGCCAGCGGCGCGCTCGGCCATGAAGCAGAATAGGAGGGCGTAGTCATCGCTCTTGAAAGCTGGACGCGAACGCGATATCTGGTGGAGGTACTCGTCGAATCGCTCCACCTTCATTGCGCGACGCTTGATATGGCTGCGTATCTTGGCCACGATCATCAGCGGGTGGCCCAGGTCCAGGCCTAATATGTAGGCCCGGCGCAGGTCGTAGTCGCCGTCGTCCGCCAGGGCGAGCTGGGCGATCATCTTGAGGCGCGTGGTCATCGTGAAGCGCGTCTTTTTCTGATCGATCATCGTCTGGAGGTATGCCAGAATGGACAATGTGGAGTTTGGTTGCACGATGGACATGCCCAGGAACATATGTTCGAGCATTTCTTCGGTGGCTGGCGACTTGTTCAGACCGCTGAGGAGCTCCTGCATATTCACCTTCTCCATCTCGTCCACCAGGATCAGCGACTCCTGGATGTTGGCCGAGGATTGATTGTCGGTGATGACTTTGATGGCATCGTAATACTGGCCCTTGGAAATGTGATGACGCACCAGCCATACCATGTTGAGTTGGCTCAGTCTTTTGGGCTTCCTCACTCGGTCCATGATGGGTGCGATGTTGGATGGAATGTTGACAAAGAATCGAGGCAGGTTGGACAGGACAATGTCGATCTGGCCATGCGAGGGATTCGAGCCTCCCAACAAGACGATCCATTTCTTGAGTTCTTCGGCGATCAGCACGTGCTCATCCTGGGACTTGATTGTCGCATTCGTCTTATTGTGCCAACACAGGCTCAGGATGATGTTGGCGATGGCCTGGGGGGTGGCATAGCCCCTCTCGGCCATCTTGGCCAGACGCGTCCTATACTCCAACACCACGACCACCATGGACCACTCATTATCGGTGAGTGGGTGATTATCAAAGATGGCCCTGAGCGCATTCCTCTCGCCCGTGGACAAGGGGATCTTGATCACCTGGCTGACAGAGAACAAAGCGGCGTGGCGCACGATCTCCTGATTGAGGTCCATTTCTGGCAACATCTTGATAAAGCGTCTGGGCTCGCGCTCGGCGGCGGCAACGAGCAGGTCCGCCTGCAGCCTATGCAAGAGGTCCGCTTCTTGACTGAATGTGAGTCGCCCCAGCAGACTGTGCGCCATGTCAAAGTGGGCGTTGTTCACGGCGATGTCAAACACCTTGACCAGGCCCTCGGGCGTCATCGCGTCGTCGCTGAGCAGCTCGCTCAGCTCGGTGGTGCCAACGGGCAGTTCTTTGTAGCTGTGTAGCAGGTCGATCATCTGCTCGATGGTGAGGTCGGCTGGCGTGCTCTCCTCCAGCAGCAGACGCACGGCGGGCAGGTGGCCGGCCTTGACATAGCGATTGAAAAGGTAGTAGAACGTGGGCGTGTCGATGGGCGTGCCATCGCTCTTCAGGCGCGCGTGGTACTGCTCCAGATATTGCACGCTGAGCACCTTCATCAGCTTGAGATAGTGGCTGGAGCGCAGGGGTAGGTTGTAACGGCGGCACATGTCGGCCCAGGGCAGCCCGGGGAAGCGCTTGATCAGCACCGACATGGACTCATCGCTGGGCTTGAAGCCGCGCTCAAACAGGTCGATGGCCACTGTGTTGACGCCCTCAATGTCCTTGACGCACGAGTCGATCAGCTGCTCAAAGAACTCGGGCATTGAGTGGGCCACGGGGTCGAGCGCCAGCAGCAGGGGCAGGGTGATGCGAGAGCGTTGCGCTGGGTCCTGGATGTGCTTGACCAACTCGAGCATGGTGTTGACGGGCAGCTTGTCGCGATCGGGGCTGCGCTTGAATGTGGCGGCCAGCACCTGCTTGACCAAATGCGTCTGATTGCTGTCGGCCAGATGTTTGAGCAGTTTGTTGATCAGCGGTAACGATGGTGCTTTGGCGTAGAACTGCACGGCCACGCCACAATTGATCGGGAGCATATAATATGTGATGGCCTTGTACAACTCCTCAATATCGGCCGGGCTGTCGCTCAGCTCCTTCTCGATGGCCTCCTGAATTGCCTCCACGCTCTCCTTGTCGGTGTCCAGATCCTCGCCCTCCTGGCCAGTCTTGGCCGGTGCTGTTGTTGGGTCGCCATTGCCAGCATCAGCTGCGCCACCCTTGATGAGCTCGGACAGCGTCAACTTGAACAACGTGTCTTTCTTTAACTTGACGCCAAGGGGCGCAAAGAAGTCCATGAGAGTCTTGAGCTGGACGCTAAAGCTTCCGCGTCTCTGTGCGATGATGGTCTCCTCGATGTGCGTGTACAGAGCGTTGTCCAGCTCGATGCCACATTGGGCCATCAGCTTGATCCACCAGAAGGCGTGGTGGTCGCCAAACGGCAGCGCCATATAGATGGCGCGGGCAAAGAAGCCGCGATCCAGCTGCAGGTTGTCCTTGAGTGCATCCTCCAGCGTCAGCATCCACTTGGAGAGCACGCTGTCGTGGCCGTGCGCGTAGACGCGCAGCAGGTTGTAAGTGTCGTGCTGGCCGAGCGTGCCCATCAGCTGCACGATTCGCATACTCATGCCTTTGATGGCGTCCTTGTCTTTGATGTCCATGCGGCCAATCCAAGAGATGTATCCAACGATCATTGAAATTATGATTGTTTGGCGTGATTTGGCATCCAATGTCTCCAACGCAAGTATAGGGCCGACTTCGTACGCGCGACCATTCAGCACATTGATCAAAGTATACAATGCCAGTGAGTTGACACTCGTCTTCTCCAAGTCTAGTGCGCCTATTGGCAACACAGTTCGCGTCCAATCACGTGTTCCAGATACAATATATTGGCACTTATCAAAGATGTCTCCATCTGTATTCGCTAAAAGTTCCTTTATCCTTTTGATTGATTGATTGATTAGGTGATGGATTGAGTGAGTGAATGAGTGTGGAATGGTTCCAGTGAGGGAGGGGGGGTGGACTTACAGCTCATCAGCAGGCTGTCCTTTGTCTGTTATGTTGAAGTTTACACCGATCTTAGCCCATTCAGATACGTCCTCAAGTGGAGCAGGTGTTGATGTTGGTGTTGAAGTTGCTTGTGGCGCATCAACATTGACATCAACATCACGTTGCGATGTTGAATAAGATCTTGCTGTTGACCTGTATTGCTGTTGTTGTTGTTGGTACAGTGGTGATGATGATGATGTGTTGTTATTGATCAAAGATGATGATGATGATGATGATGACAATGTAGTCATATGCCTTCTCAATTGAGTGAAGGATGTTGATGACGATGACCTTGTACTAATGCATCTTAGGCTGTTATTAGCTGATGGTGTCAGCTTATACAGCCTTTGTATTAAGTTGATCATTCGATATTATCTGTTAACAGGTCCTGCTATGTATTTGTATATGAACAATGACCAATCAATGATCAGACGAATGCTTTCACTTGATCACTTTCGTCAAAAATATGTGAATGGTGATTGAATGATCATTTTGAATGTAATCATGTAGTAATAGGTGGTGTAGCCCAATGAACTACACATGATTCATTTATTGACAAGGGTACCTGCGAACGAAAGGGCCTCAAGAGGACCTAAAAAGACCACGATTGAGTACCTTAATAGTCGGACCATTCAGAGTCTTCATCGTCCTCTTCATCATCCTCTCTCATGTTACCACGACGTTGTGCCATGGCAAGAGCGAGAGTGTCGACCAATGATCTGTTTCCTTCTTCATCTAGTTTCTGAATGTCGGGAATTGGCTCGTTTGGATCGACCTTGCGAAGACTGGCACCACCTCTGATGGCTGAGAGGAGGTCGCCACGACCACCGCCACCACCGCCGCCACCGCCACCACCGCCACCGGGAGGTGGAGGGGGAGGAGGTGCTCCCTTGCCTCCAGGGGGTGGAGGTGGAGGCGGTGCATTGCCACGACTTGCCATTGGGGGTGGAGGTGGTCCAGGGGGTCCGCCTGAGCGTGCAGGCACACCCGCTCCACCCTGTGCCACGGCTTCACCAATGACGCTGACGATGAACTGAGCAGTCTCGACATCCTTGAGCTCCTTCTTGGTGATACCGGCCGACTGGAACAGCTTCCTCCAGTCGGGTGGGATGTTCCTAATCTCGAAACCTTGTGATGGGTCCCATCCAATATGACTCTCATGTCTAAATCCAGTTGGTTGAGAGATTGGCAAGTCCTCGTCAATTGTATCTCCGCCACCAAATATCGATGAAAGGAATCCCTTCTTCTTCTTCTTCTCTGGCTTGGCCGATGTTGTTGGAGGTGATGCTGGCTCTGTTCATGTGAGGTATTGTGTGTGAGTATGTGATCATGGGTTGGAATAGTTCCAGTGATTGAATGAATTAGTGAAGTTGTTTGTGATAGGACATGGACAAAAGATTGAGTGATCGAGTGATAGAGTGGCGAGTGATTGATTGGTCAAGTGTTGGAATAGTTCCATTGATTGATGATTGGGAGGAGACAACATACTTTGCGAAGCAATGGCTGGGGATGAAGCAGCGTTCATGCGGACGCTGTTCTTGGCGTTGAGAACATTGCCAAAGAATTCGGCAGCCTCGATCACATCGGCGAATGATAGACCAAAGACAGAGTTGTCACCTTCAAAGGTGTAGAAGAAGTCACGAGCCTTGCTGTAGTCAAAGGTCTCATAGATCTCTTGGTCAAAGGCCACCGTAGTGTTCCTTAAGTCGACAATCTTGATGTAGGCACTCTTCTCCACGCGATTGCTCACCACGGATATCGCGCCAACGATACCAGTGTATTCCCAACAGCCCTGTTTGCCCTCGTACAGTCTGGCAACTGTCGTGGACAACACATCGCATGATGATCCATGGACGAATCCCACCTGGCTCCTCTCTTGATCACTAAGTGTTTGACCTCCCATAAATAAATAAATAAATAAATAATAATTAATTTTACAAATAAATAATAGTTAGGTGGATGATTGATTGATTACTTTAGATTGATGATAGTGATCAGTGGTCAGCAATTCAACCATTTAACCTCAAGGTTGAGTGTTTGTCATTAATGTAACAAGATGGCCCAAAGTGGGCCTCACTAAAAGTGAGTGAAGCGATTGGCCCTAAGCGCGGCGGATATTTTATCTGAAAACGTCTGTTGGGGATGACTTGGGAGCGGACCATGTTTGCTGGATTGGTTTAGGAATGAAGTGGCTGKGGTTGGAACTTTCCACTGCATGATCAATCAATCAAATTAACCAATTGGATCACATTTATTGAATGTTGCTGGCACTAATACTAACTACCAACGACTGAAAGTGAAGCGAGTGAATGAATGATTGGGATGGATGGATGATTGGCGTTTATCCAAACTTGGGCAGATAGGACATCACTGTTTTCCAGTAGCCTTCGTTGGTCGAGAGACAACACTGTTGATAGATGTTCGTGTAGAGTGTCTTGATCTCCATCAGTCTCTCCTTTCTTCGATCGTCCAGTTGTTGTTGACTAAGTTGTTCCTTGTTATTACTATGTGGTGTTGTTGATGTGCTACTATTACTATGATTGTTGTTGTTGTTGTTGTTGTTATTGTTGTTGTTGTTGTTGTTGTTGTTGTGATGATGATGGTGATGATGATGACTGTGTTGACTATGTTGAGCTTGTTGTTGCTTCTTCTTGTGTGGAGTATCTATTACATCTGTTGAGCCACGAGTGTGATTGTTGTTATCGGTGAGTCCTGATGATTGCTTGACACGTTTGTTACAGTTGGCAGGTGACTCTACATCTGCGTTCTCCACAATGAATCCAGTGGCTGGGTCCCAGCTCTGATCCATCTCCTCGGCAGCATTGGGCTCGTCTTCGTCGTCACTTGGTGCAGTCTTGGAGTTGGTCTCGTCGGCACTCTCATCCATCTCGCTGGATGAGAAGCTGTTGTTGGATGGATGCAGGTTCTTGGGCGTGGAGCCAAACGATGAGAGGGACTTCATCTTCTCCTGAAGTGAGCCCATCAGTTGCCAGCTGCCACCTATATCCTCATTGTTGTCTCGGGGTGCCGTCGAGTAGGCGCGACGAGGCACGTCGACTGGCCCTGTGCTACTGGGCAGGTTTGGAGAAATGCGATGCTCTCCAAGTATCGAAGTGGATGTCTTTGGTGAGTGACCGAGAGGAGATGATGGTGCCGATGTGTAATTCGAGATAAAGGCTGGCAACTTGATAACCGAGGATGGTGCAACCTTCTTCGGTGTTGGTGGTGCCGACTGTGAAATGTCATTGAGTGCCTGGCGGAGGGCAGATTGATGTTGTTGTTGTTGGGGTTGTGAAGTGCCATTGACCAATGATGGTGCTGCGTTGTCAGTTGTTGTTGTTTTACATTGAGTATTTACAGATGTTGTTGGTGTAATGTTGTTGTTGTTGGTTGCACAACATGTTTGTTTGTTGTCGATGCCATTGCCATTACCATTGCCATTACCATCATGTTGTTGAGTGTGAGTATGTACAGTTGTTGATACATTGGTGATGCCTACAGTGCTAGGACCACCACCACTTGCTCTATTCTTGTTGTGGCTACTGATGAAAGAATGGATAGAGAAGTCATTGGAGCAGATAAACTCCAGGAAGTAAAAGCAAAAGAAAAAGATGTCCTCTCCTCTGCCCGCTCGATCAGAGAACTGATGGCTAAACAGTAACCAATCGTAGGCCACGGTGAGATAGAGTATTTCGGATGCGTTCAGAGATTGGTGGATCTCTCCATCAGCCCACAAACTTAGTCTGATCAGTGAAATGAAGAGTGGCGTGCGGTCCCATCCAGAGATACAATGTACAAGCAGGCCAGAGCTGTCATTGTCATCAGCAATGTACTCCAGCAGTAGCTTGAAGTAGTTCTGTGTCAAGTACACTATGTTGTAGTAGTATGTAAGTTACATGTGATCGTGGTCATGAACATCGAGACAAGACTACTTACGTATGTCCCATGACTTGTACTGCTCCCAGGGCACTGAGACTGGGTTGGATGAGGTGAACTTGAGTTCGGCGGGATACTCGGTGAAGTCCCAGCCAAACACCAAATCCTTTCCATTGTGACCGTTCTGGTTGAACTCGGCAAAGAACTCCACGCCAGGGTATGGTGTGGCAGCGATAGAGAACTGCTTGGAGTATCGATCATGCATGTCTGCCTTCTCAGACGAGCATACATAGAATCCAAACCTACGTGGATAAGTGTGAGTGGTTGATGTACATCAAGACACGTGTTCATTATCATGTACTATATACATACTTCTTCTTCTTGTTCTCTACCATCAAATCGCAGATATACTTGACAGACAAGTGTTTGATGGCCGATATATCGTTGTTCCTAAGGTTCTCCATGTTTTGTGTGTCAACATTGTCAATCTCCTCCACAGGTGTGTCATTGTTACTCGTGCTGTGGATGTGTAAAGGTTAGTCATGATGTTTGTTTGGATGTAAAGGGTTGATGCATACTTGATGAACTGTTTCTTCATTGAGTTGACACCAGTCTGGAACATGTATTCGATCTTCTTTGAGAGAGTTGATGAACGACACAGGTTCTTGTTGTGAAAGTATATGACTGGAAAGGGGAATCTGGTACGCACTCGAGCGAACCTTGACTGATTGAGTATCTTTTGAATAGATGGAGAGTGATTGACTGATTGATTGATTGATTGTTAGACGTGTGCGACACTGACTACTCGCGAGTCGACGCAGACTTACTTGGTTTGATGTCTCTTTCAATGCATGCCTTGCATTGAAGGTCGTGTTCTTTCTCGATAACAATGAGTTGGGGAGGGTAGGTGGCACACAGCTCTCCATTCTTGTTGTTGATGAATGAGATTTGGTAGTCCTTCATAAACAGACCGTTGACTTGTTGTTGGAATTTAGACAGCTCATCATCGCGCTTGCCAGACACTGACAGGGAGAACTTGTGACGTCGGAAGAATGAGAATAGCTCACAGAGTTCGGCTGCCAGTGGTGCACCCTTGAGTGAGAGCAGGTCTACATTGGCAAGTGTAGGAGAATGATGTTGATGTTGATGTTGACCATTCGATGTCGTAGTTGACGTCTGATCAATCAAAGGAGAAGGTGGTTTGTTTGGTTCTGTTTGATGGATGTCAGACGACTCAGCAACAGGTGATGGTGACTCTTCCTTGCTTCCAACACCAACCTGTTGTTGTTGTTGTGTTGGGTTGTTGACCATATTGCGATCTTCATCATCTTCGGAATCAGTGATACATGAGCCGTTCATGCTTCCACCGTTATTATTATTGTTGTTGCTGCTGGTGACAGAGTAAACCATTGATTGTCCTTGTGTGAAATGTTGTGGAGAAGATGCTGGCGAGGTCGTTGTAGTGGTCGTAGAGACATTCATAGAATTGATAGCTGTTTTCATCTGTGTTTGCTGCCTGCTGTAGACTCCTGTTGATGCTGCGGCTGCTGTTGTTGCTATCTGGTTACAATCTAATTGTTTGCTTTGGTGGTGAATACACTTTAAGGAGTAGAGTATTGATGGGTATCTATATTATATAATATAACTACTACTAGTGTGTGATATTCTTACAATAATGTATTATTGTTATTGTTAGCTTGCTTCCTTCGATTGATTGAATGAATGAATAAATGATTGAATGATGTATGTGTTTATGTGTGTTGATGTTGTTGTTGTGTTTGCCTGGTGTGACTTGAACCCACTAACAAACACACACATTATTGCTTACATTTTAATTAAATTAAATTTGGGAAATTTCCATTTGAAGAAGTTCGTATTTATTTAATGAACTTGTATTTTCAAAGTGTTCCTCCATCCAACAACACTTTGAACATCAACTCCGCACAACAATCAATTTGAGTCTCTCTCTTACTAATTATAGAGATAGATAATTGTAAGAGGGAGTATTGTTATGGATTTAAGTCGAAGCTACGACAGTCCTTTGTCATTGTCTATCTCATCAACAACAATGGCAACAAACTATGTGTTTATGAATGATTACGAAGTTGTTGAATCTATTGGGATTCTCATCAACGACAACAACTACAATTTGTCAAGTCCAACACGGATATTAGACGATGTCCAACTCCCTTTTCAGCATCACGATCAATCATCACCTACGTCACCAACCGGTAACACAAACTTTTCTCCTTCCTCCACGGAGCAACAAGGTGCCATCTTGCAACAAGATGAAGACAACTTCAGCAACTTCCTTTGTGATCAACTTCCGCCCACACCGCCATCGGACATTCATCAAGAACTTGAGGAGACCAAAGGATTGATGATGGAGCAACTGTCTTCGTCCCCACTGCACCAAGTGGCAACATCGACAGCTCCAATTCAATACCTCATCTTTCCCAAGAAGTGCCCGTATTGTGTGTCGGATCCTCCTCTCACTCAACTGCAATGTTGCGGACATTCACCAGCCTTCCTTGGTGTGGATGTTCAAGTGTTTTTCGGTCCTACTATGATCTCACTACCAGCGACAACCAACGTTGTGACCGATGACCACCCCACTGGCAACTACTTCAAGGCAGACGAGAAGTATCTCTACTATGACATCACACACAAACTTGAAGGCATCGAAACTGATGCAGCCAAGTTTTGTGATATCCCGTTGACGACATTCAACAGATACTACAAAGCACAGAAGGGAGGCAAATGGAAACGAGAGAGGATCATCAAACTAAGAGAGTTGATTGCCAACCCGGAGACACCAAACGATACTAGAGAGTCTAGTATCAAGGAGCTAAAGACTTGTACTGCAACATGCATAATCAAAGTCAAACGTAACAGACCCAAGTCTGGTAAACCCCGTCCAGCCAAACAAAGCATCCCCAGCCCAAAGCAAGGTATCCTCAACCAAAGGCAAGGCGGCTCCAGCCAAGGGAAAGGCGACCCTAGCCAACAACCCAACGTAGCAACGACCCCGTACCAATAAATTATTCCAATGACCGAAGTGACTGGTACCCAGTCACTTCAAACCCTACCTACAAGTCTCTTGTACTTGCCTCCTCCCTTCGCTACCAACTCAAATCATTCTTTATGTTGTTGTGCACAAATGGAAGAAGTATACATGTTATTATTGATGGGTGTTGTTGTTGTTGCAATTGTTGTTGCCAGTCGAGTTCAACAACTTGGACATATCATTGAGTAGAGATAGGATGGACTCCAAACTGTCGGTCAGACCAATGTGGGTGTAGTAGGGAATGGTGTGATTGATATCCTTGATGCCGAGCCATCCAAAGACCGTTGTGATCTTGGGCGTCAGTTCACCGAGCACATTGAGTGTAGGCGAGAGTTGGAACTTCTTCTCAATGAACACTCTCTTGCCTGATGTCGTTGTTGTCTTGATCTTATCGACCACATTGTTGTTGTTGCTGTCCAGGTCCTTGGACTGCACTGCAGGTATTGGTGGCGTGGATGTTGTGGAGTAGGACTGAGGAGTCAGGTCAGTGGCAGCCTTGATGTAGGTCTGCACAATCTCTCTGATGTCATTGTACAGGTTGAGGTTGACGGATATGGCAATCGAGTCTGTGAACTCGGTGAGGTAGTAGAACTCAATCGACTTGTTGTGATGCTCAGTGGTGTACATGATCAAACTGGCCACGGGTATCCTGACAATCTTGGTCTCGTTGGCGCGTCGTTTGAATGGGTCCAACGACCACTGTGGCGCCGACTGTATCGACTCCTCCGACATTTTGGAGATGTAGTTCTGGCCGAGGAGGATGGAGAGCTGTCTGTGAAGCTCCTCCTTCTTCTTGGTCTGATCGAGCGTGATCTGATATGACTCGAGCGTGAAGTTGATCCATGTTGGGTCCTTGATACTGTAGCCAAACAGGAGGATCTGGAGGTTCTTGCCCTTGACTTTGATCTGGCCAATCACCATCGTTGGTCGTCCGGCAGATGCTGACGTTGAGACGGTAGTAGCATTGCTCTGGACGGACGATGTGGACTTGGTGTCATCATCGCGATAGTTCAGTATGTCGCCTCCACTACCTTCATGTTGTAATGCTCGTTTGGCCGATGCCAACTTCTCGCTAATGATCTCGTTAATGCGCTTGACTATCTCCACGATCGACGTGATGGTCTCGCAGGACAGTTGTACCTGAAGGAGAGAGCATGAGATCTCGGTGTTGATGTTGCGCACATCCGTCACGGTGGACTCTGAAGTGGGCGCATCGTAGAACTTGAAGTAGATGTCGCCAGCGCGCAACTCAAGAATCTGGGACTGATTGAAGTCGAACGATATCCTTATGGGTGACAGGTATGCCGTCCACATGTTGATCTCCTTCCTCATCTTGATGTATGGCTTCCTCTCGCCAATGAGCGCGACGCCCTCCAACTCGATGTTGCCCTCCAGCTTGCCGTGGCACATCAGTGCGATGGGACCGGTGTAGACACTGGTGTAGAACAGCACTCCACTATTGCCCTCGACCTCGGTGGGCGAGTACACTGCACATATGTTGTAGATGAGCAGGTTGACTCGACTGATTGGGAGGAAGTCGATGTCCATGCTGAGCGTGCCGAGCTTCATGGTGATGTAGAACTGAGGTCGTTGCTTCTTATCCACTACTGCTACTGGCTGGCGATGTTTGTATGGTGTTGGCGGTGGTGTTATCATGATCCTCTTGTTGGACCTTGGTATCCATGCGCCAAACAGGATGATGATCTCGTCAAGGTACTTGGTGTTGAGATAGCCTTGCGCGCCATCACTGTTGAGCAGAACGGACACGACAGGTCCTTCGTCGGTGATGCCGTGTGCAGTGCCAATGTTGATCTGGAGACTCTTGCACACCATGCCCAATCGCTCGTCAGTGCTGGCCGAGTGCATAATTCTAAAGATGAGGTTGGTCAAGTTGAGTGTGCCATTCATCAGGAGCACTCGTTTGTTTGAGCTGGTCGACTTCATGATGCTGGATAGGAAGACGTCGATTGTACCAATCTCAACGACCGCGAGTATCTGGCCCACGCCATTCAACAACACCTTTGTCGGATTGATCCTGATTGTGAATGTGATGCTGCCTGGTGTTGTGATCGTGCCAGAGTTATCCTTCTCTCTCTCCTTCTCCCTCTCCTTCTCCTTGGATGCTTGATCCTCACTTGTTGACGCTGCTGGTTTGTTGAACTGGGCGTGATAGGTTGACTCTGGTGCGTTGTGGATGAGGTCATAGAGGAAGTGAGTAAAGAATGGCGTCAACTTGATCTCTTGGGAGCCGAGCGAGAGCATGATGTTGGTCTCTGTCTTGGAGCGCTGATTGACAGAAGTCGAGGGGATGAGCACGTGGTTCGTGGCAATGGACAGGGGCGGCAGTGGGAAACACTCTTGGTACTCGTCAAAGTCGTTGGTGTTGGCAAACTTGGCGTCCGAGTTACCCTCGAAGCTGTCCGAGAGAGGGGAGTTGTCGTGTGAGAACTCATGGTCATCAATACCTTGGTTGTTGGCGTGCTTGGTGAGTCTGGTCTCTCCAATGGTCGTCTGCAACGAGAACTCAATCTCCAATCGATACTGTGGCTTGGCATTTGCGCCAAGGTTCGATTGAGAGTTGCTCTTGACGCTTGGCGACAGCCTCTCTGGTGCGCCACCAGGTGTAGAAGGAGCGTTGTTGTTGTTGCCGTCTGTTCCTATCGACTTGATCTTCTCTTGGCCGAGCAGAATGAGGTCTTGGAAACCAATGATGTAGTGTAGGAGCTTGGTGTCGAGATGAAGGAACAGTCCAGAAGTCTTGAGTTCGATCGCACATTGGACCAGGTGTGAAGTGACGTGGATCACAATCTGACAGTCGCCACGATCAATGATACCTCTGTTGACAGAGGGCAGCGTGTGCACGGACAGCAGCTTTGAGTGATGGTAGTTATCCACAAACTGGAATGATAGCTTGGAGAACTTGCAGTCGCCCAGCACCTTTATGGGCGTGGACTGGAGTGTACCAGGACTCCTGGGGCTTGGTGTTGCGCTGCTGTGTGAGGGCGAGGGATGCGGCTTGGACGTGGACACATGGGCCGCAATCTGTTGCTGGATTTGTTTGATCGAGACTCCATAAAAGGTGAATGTGCCGAGCGAGACAACTAATGCTGAGCTTGTGTTGCTGGCTGATGAGGACTTCTTCTTCTCGGCGGGATCGTGAACTGGCACTATTAGCGTGGTATCAATGATCCTGAGATGTAGCGAGAGATTGGTCTCACGGATGGGCAATGCCGAGGGGATCTCCATCGTGGTGAGCGCACGTTTGACCTGTGGCTTTCGCTTGGATGGTATCTTGGCAATCTTGGACGAGGCCTTCTGGTAGGCGTCCAAGTAGAACAGCCAGAGATCAGTGCCCTTCTCAATGGCCCAGGGCTGAAGAGTCACCACTGTCTTGTTGATCAACACCCAAGCATTCTCGAATGGACTGGTCTTGACCGAGTTGGCCGACGTCGCCGCATCTTTGGTTTGCGACGCAACGATCAGTGATCGACTGCTGCTGCCACCAGCAGCACCCTGGTGGACACGTGACGAGTTGGAGTTGAATGGGAACGACTGCATCATGATGTCTGTGAACACACCAGCCCACAGCTGAGACTTGATGTTGTTGATCTTGGTCGAGCAGCCAATGGCCCCACTCGAGCTCGAGTGTAGGGCGAATGAAGGCTCGGACAAAATGAGTCCCATGCCTCGCAGACCAACACGCCAGTTGAACTCATGATTGTTGTTGACGACCTGATTGTGGAACTCGCTCGAGTTGTTGGAGAGCTGCACATCGATCACGCCAGTGGACATTAACAGGGATGAGTTGCTGTTGACCAGCAACACCTCAATTCCACGCAGCATCAGTCGCAGGCTATACGAGCCGTCGGCCAGCAGTGACATGGGGAAGGAGGGTTCGGCCGTCTTTGAAGCGCTAGGCTGCTGATGCTGTTGCTTCTTCTCGGCAAAGTTGATGTAGGCGTCTAGAAGGTCGTCGATCTCCTTGGACAACGTGGTGCGCAGGACCATGATGTTCTCCAACAGCTCGATTGAGAGTGTGTTCTGAATGAAACCAATCTCAAGGTTGGTCGTGAGCGATAGCTTGTCGTCAGCGTTGTTGGCGGTCTTGAGCAGGCCGAATGCTTTGATCTGGGGCAGCATGAACGGCTCCTTGGACAGTGACGCCATGTTGTTGCCATTGCTATCGGTTGTCTTGCCTGGCTTGTTGGTGAGGAACACTATCTGATGCTGGTGCAGTTGGACATTGAACTCCAACTCGCTGTTTGTGAACTGGCTGAGAGCTGCTGATATCCTTGTGATGTGATACTTGACGGGCAGTGAGCTGATGGCATCAGTACTCAGTATAATATCATGAAGATCCAGCTTGATCCTGATGGGAGGGAACTTGAGTGTCTTCAGGTTGATGCCCTTGTCCTTGTCCTTGTTCTTGCCGCTTGCCTGCTCAGCAGCGCTGTCTGGCGGCGTCCAGGCCTTGAGGTAGTTCTTGAGCTTGGGGAGGAAGCGATGGGACATCTTGAAGGGGAGGTCCGCCTTGGAGAAGGTCATCATGAGGTCGTACTTGAATGTGAAGTCGATGTACTCCTCACGCTTGCCATGAGAGTTGTGTCTGGTCTTCTTCTTGCCGATCTTGAACAGCACCTCGTTCAACACGAGGTTTTGGATGCTTAGCTCGATGATTGGTTTGACGCGTGCCGTGGCTGTTGAGGACGACGATGTAGCGCTGGATGAGGATGTCGCAGAAGACGATGCAGACGACTTGCTCTTGCTGCTGCCGCCACTGCTACTACTACTGTTGGCGGGCACAACAACTGGATCCAATAGTTGGAATTGGATCTCGGGGATTGAGAAGATGCAGGAGTGGATCATCTCGACATAGTCTCCATTGGGTCGCGACTCTCCGTATGACTTCTTGGTCTTGGAAGTATTCTTGCCAAACTCATTGAATACAAAGGACATGTCTCGCAACACCATCTTCATCACGCCATTGGTCTCGGTGATGGCGCGGCAATTCACCTCCTTGAATGAGAAGTGTCCATGCACCGAGATCGTCAGTATCGTCTGATTGGTGTGTGCATGGATCACTCTCTTCTTTTTTGCCGTCAACACGGGTTGGGTCACAGTCGCCAATGATGGCTGTTGTTGCTGAGGCTGTGTAGTCTTGTGAGCGCGCGCAGAGTTTAGGTTTGGCGAGCTGGATGTTGTTTTGTGCTTGGTGGTGGGGATCGAGCCTGAGGAGCGAGGGGAGGTCGTGAGGTCCTCCTCAGAGTTGGTAGTGGTGGGCGAGGTGACGTTGGACGATGGCTTGACGGCCTCCTTCCACTCGTGTGAGCCGAGGATCAGCTCCTCATCTTTTAGCACGTCCAGCTTGGTGGAGAGCACCTCCTGCACGGTCAACTGGAAGAAATTGATCAGGTCGGGGTTGATCTTGAGCGACACCTTCTCGCAACTGGCAAAGAAGTTAAAGTCGAATGACGAGCGCGGGATGGCTGTCTTTGTGATTTGGTTGGCACCCTCGGCCATTGACTCGAAGGCGTACTTGGCAACTGCGCCTCCCTCAATCTTGCCAATGGACAATTGATTGCTACTGTTGGAGGCCTTCTCACTGAACACCGCCTGGACGATGCCCTCCAGACGGAACTGGAGCTCGAGATCAAAGGCGTTGTTCTTGCCAACGGGTGGGATGAACACCTTCTTGATCAGAGGACTCTGGAACAGATGGATCAGCTCGCCTCCCTCGTCAATCTCATAGATCTCATTGATCAACTCTTGGAACTGCTGGTAGGCGTCGTAGTCACCCTCGAGCGACACGTTGGCCACGAGCAGGTCGAGGTTTGGTCGCTCGGCACACTGCAAGAAGTGACGCATCTTGGAGATGTCACGCCAGCCCACTCGATGTATTAGTGCTTCGTCTCCAATGATCTCTTTGAAGTCGGGTGGGATGAAGCCCACGTTGTGTTGGTCGATCTTCTGTCGCACAATGTTGGCCGATGTGTGAAGCGAGCGGGTCTTGACACGCAGCAGTTCACCAATGAGCATCTGTAGTTGTCGCGACCACAGTTCCTGGTATCGCTCAATGACATTGGTCAACTTGGTGATGTTGTAGATCCAAATGTCGACGACGCGGAATATGACTGGTGGTGAGTCACTTGTGCAGAACAATGATATTGGTCCAAGTGATGCTGTGAATGCGCCATTGGGTAGTGAGCCGCCCGACGACTTGGATGAGTAAGTCAACGAAGAAGATGAGGTCGACGATGATGAGCCAGACGAGGAGGCAAGTGGATGGGAGGGGGCGGCACCAACTGGACTACCACGCGCATTGTGCTTGACTGAGCGGAACTTGCCCTTGATGTCAATGTTCTCCGTGCCAACCGAAAGGATGATCCTCTGCTGCTGTTGCTGCCTCTGCTGCGAACCGGAGAATGTTGTGCCTGTCTCAGTGTGGCTGTGATACTTGGCCATGATCTCCTGAGGCAAGCTGGTGCCGGGGGTGTTTGTGCGAATGCAACCATGAATGGACTTGACTGTGAGCGAGGTCTCGAACGCACAGAACTCCTCTTGTGGCAAGAATGAAGGGTTGCCGTTGTTACTGCTGCTAAAGCCTCCAGCCTGATCAAGTGGTCGTCCAGTGGACTGACTACACGTGGCCAGGAAGATCTGAAGGCCGTGCACCTCCAGCTCGGTGGTGTAAGGCACTGGGGGCTGCTTATCGATCGCCAACAATTGCAACCAGTGTAGGTTGAACTTGTGCAGCGAGAGGGACAGTCGTGTCTTGTTGTGCAGGAACTTGCGCACCTTGAACTGCTCGGAGATCGTTCGCAACTGGAAGTTGTCCAACATGTAGTCGACCGATGGGTCCTTTGCGATGAATGATTCGACCAGCTCCTCCAAGATGCTGACAATCACAGGTGTGGCAAACAGCTCAATGTCTCGCATGATGTCCACAACAATGGTGGTCGTGGCAGTTTGATGCTCACTGTGTGCGTGAGCATCTGTTGACTCGGCAGCAGGCTGTGATGACGATTGTGTCCTTTGCGTGTTGCGCGTCGGGTTCACAATCGATAGTTTGTGATTGAGTGATCTCTTGGGTATTGGTGGCAGTGCGCCACGGTCCTGGATGTAACGGACGAATGATGACTCTTCCTCGTGGGAGACCTCATGCACCGAGTTGTGGGGATTGAGTAGGTTCTTGCGAAGGCCGCTTGAGCACTCTACGAATGACGACGTCCTTCCGCTCGCCGATCCAAAGGCGTCCATACGCACTTGTGATATGTTGAAGAAGTAGGTCCGCAAATGATTGCGCAACACAGAGATCTGAGGATTGACCATGTCGATGTTCTTCCTGTCCTCGGGCTGAGCAGGAGCCCCTGCGCCAGTGCCTGATGTTGTGGTTGTAGTTGTTGTGGTCTCGGGCACCTCCAATATGTCCTCGAGCTTGGATGATATCTTGGCCTGGAGTATGTTCTTTAGATTGCTCGTGCTGGACGATACCCTGAGAGGGGAAGGCAGACGGATGTTCTGTTCTGGGCCGACACTGGTTGGCAGTCCAAACAGACGATCGTCATCCATTGATTGGAATATCTCGTCACGTGCGTCCTCCTCATCGTCGTCATCATTGTCATCTCCTTCCTTAAGTGATGACTCTGGCGTCTTGAAGTCTGCAGTCTCATCTTGGTCATCGTCTTCGTCGTCATCGCCATCATAGTCCTCATCGTCCTCATTGTCAGAGTGGAATGATCCAGTGCCACTGACATCCAAGTTGGACCTTGACGTCCTGATCTGTTTGTAATAGTCATACTGTGATACATTCATCGGACTGTTGGTCGTCCACTTGAGTATGTTATGACTACTTCCAGTCGGATAGAGGAATGATGACTGCTTGGGCGTGGCCATAATGCTCTTTGGTTGTGATGTCGTTGGCGTCGAATGGATACCAGTGGACGTCAACGAGACAAATGGTGACAGTGGCGACAGGGCAGCCGAGGCATTGATCGACTGATTGATGCTCGATCCTCCTGCTGCACCATTGTTGGCGGCTCCAAATGCCGATGTCGACGTCGATGTCTGATGCAGGCCAGTGAAGACCGATGGCATGATAAAGTCGTCGTCGTCCAGCTCATCATCGCCGACCCAGAGGAAGGGCAACAGCTTGCTCTCCTGGTCATGCAGCAACAGGAACTCGCGCTGGCGCTCGCTGTCCGACTCCCAGTTGGGCTCCTTCAAGTATATGGTCATGTTGGTGGCAATCGAGAGGTTGCCAACCTCGGCCCACTTCTTCTTGCGAGCCGACTTGCTGTTCTTGCCCATGTGTTGCTGGGAGGTGACCTTTGTACAGGGCACAAGATGTTTGAACGCCAGCTCGGGGATCTCAATGACGACACGCTCATGTGACAGCAGATCAATCAGCGCGTCCGTGTGCAGCTTGAAGCCTGAGGGCATGCGGATCTCACTCACATTCTCTGACGAGTATAGGTAGAGCGAGATGTTGTTGATGTTGAGCTTGAGTATGGAGAACACTGGGTTGTTCTTTGTGGCCAGCTTCGTGGACAGCGCGTTGTCCTTGTTCTGGAGATGGAAGAAGAAGTTCTCGAACCAGATGCCCATCGAGGTGATCTGTGACACCAGAACGTGGCCGCTCACCGTGCCAATGTGAATGTTGACAAAGTCTGCGTAGTTGGTCTGTGTCGGCAGAGGGCCGTACAGGAAGTGCAGCTTGAATGTGAAGTTGTTGATCTGCAAGTAGCGCGCAAGTGTCTCGCGCGATGTGGCCTCGGCCGCCTGCTGCTGCTCCTGATCCGTCACGGGAATGTTCAGGACGAGCGGACTAAAGTCTGCGTAGAGATCGAGGTATGTGGGCAGGTATCTGATCTCGAGCAGGAACTCGTGGAGGCCGACGGTGGCCTGCTGTTGCGAGCTGTACAGTCCGAGCGGGAAGAACAGTGTCGTGTCCTCTAGACTGAGCGAGACGTAGATCTCCAGACCGTTGGACACGATGTCGTCATCCTCGGCGTCTGTCCGCTGCTGTTGCTCCTGCTCATGCTGCTGCTTGGCCATGTTGTCCTTGTACTTCTCGAGGTTGATGATGTGACTGGTGTAGCCAAAGAAGTTGTTCTTGAGGAACAGGAAGTAACGGATGTAGAATCCAAACAGTGTGACTGTGGGACTCTTGCCAAAGATGTTGAGCACGACTGAGTCAAGATAGGATGGGTCGTACTTGGAGTAGTATAGGTACTTGCCCGCCAGGGTGAACTCATCGCACGTGATGAATTGAGAGGAGCCCTCGATGAATGAGGGGTCTTGAGCAGAAGCGTAGCTGTTGTCCAATGCCTCAGAGTATGGATCGCTCTGGATATCCTCCAGATGCTGTCTGATCGTATTGTACTTTGGTAGAATGAGTTTGAGTGATATCTTTGTGACCTGTACATTGAATGTGATCTCAGTCTTTGGTGATTGAAATGAGATATATGGGAGAATGAGGTTGGCCTTTAGCAAAGGTCCTGTGAATACATAGTGCGCTATAGTGTGTCCATGGAGTTAGTGTATGAATGATTGATTGATTGATCGAGCTAAGGACATACCATTCTCATCGAGATTGTTCGGTTGATTGATGATGTTCTGTTCGTTGACATTGCAAAAGAGTCGGAAGTTGGTGAGGGAGAAGTCAAAGTTGAAGCGCTTGGGAACAAACATGGTGATGTCTACGGGCTCGCCTGCAGACCAGTCACTGCCCAAGTCCTTGAACAATGTGATGTGATCGGACAACAAGAAGATTTGTGGCGCGTCAACGTTGAAGCTGCATCGCCATTCAGTCAGATGATTCCAGACGATTGGATAGTTGACGTCGCAAAACACCTTGAGACAATTGGCGTAGAGCAGCTGTGTGTTGGTGACGCTGGTGGAGATGTTGCATCGATTGAGAATGACGTTGAGCACCATTGTCGAACCGGTGCTCTTATGTGTGGTCATGGGCGAGATGATGTTCATCGTGGAGCTGTCCTCCACCTTGATGTCCACCCAACCCGGCTTGCGACCGTGCAGCTCGTCCAGTGACAGATTGACGTCCTTTGATAGCTCGCGGAAGGGCACACGAAAGGTCGTGTTCTTGGAGAAGTTGAGCAAAACATTGAAGCTGGCGTACTGTCGCTGCTCGCCGGCAACAGGTCGATGAATGACTGGTGTCTCATAGTCAAAGGGGAAGAAGAAGCGATGCAGGAGCGTGCGGTTCCTGTCGGCCCAAGGGCCGTACACGATGGTGGTGGCGCCATGGAAGTTGACGTCGACGCCCCATTGTGGCGCCAGGAACTCTTTGAATTGAACGTGATCGGGTGAGGCGGGCACAGGGCCAGCCACATCGCAGTAGTACAATACGTTGACCAGTGGTGCTGTGAACAATGTTGGATGCTTGCCATAATCGAATGTGATGTTTGAGTCCTTCTGTGAGTCATTGTCTCCCTTCCTCCTCGGTATATTGCTCGTCTCAAAGTTCTCGTCTGTGTTTATAAATGTGAACTTGAAGTCCTTGAACACAGACTTGAAGCTCTCGAATGCATATGATACAAAGCTAGTTCGTTTGATTGACGGGAGTGAGTGATTGTCCACACGATCAAACAATGGATACATACTCTTCCTTTTGTTGTCGCTCAACATATAGTTCCTCCTCTCCACTGTAGTCCTTGTTGGGTACCAATGTGATGGTGGTGTTGACAATGTCCATCGAGGTGATCTGGCGATAGTAGTCGAGTTCGGGCAGTCGCGCGTCATCTGTGGTGTACAGACCCGAACTCTTGTCGAATTGCATGACGAGAATAGTGGGCAACTCTGGATTGCTCACCATCAGACATCCTCGTCTGATCGACAACGAAGATGCTGGGAACAATCGATAGAATCTTGGAATGACAAAGTCTCTGACCGCAGGCAACTTCATCAATTCATCTATAATCGCATCCTTTCCATCCTTATTGTTGTTTGCTGCTTGTGCTGATGTTGTATAATCCTTACTATGTTGTCTTGAGGCACCTCCAGTACCTCCAACATGTGTATTCCTTCGTTCCACTACCTCTTCAATATGATCATACTTGTAACTATTATTATATATCAGGTATTCTACACCTTCAAGGTGAACAGATAATCTGCATGGACTGTTCTCTGTATGTTTGATTGAGTATGAATAAGTGTCAATCAATGAATGATTGAATGAATAAATGAATGAATGATCGGAGTACACATACCATGTACATAAACTGACTGCCTGGTCTTTGAACGCCAGTAGCGAAAGGTGATTACGGCCTCGACAGCACGTAGACATGTGTTCTTTGTTGCAAACTTTAGACCCTTGACAACTACTTTGCCAGAGATCAACGATACATGTAATGACTTGATTCGTAAGAATGTTCCACGTGGCAGTAAGAATGGTGCGATGAACTTTGATACAATGAAGCCTAACGTCAGCGATGAGAAGAATAATATGTACAATAGGAATATTCCCAATATTGCAGAGAAGATACTAAAGTATAAGTAGCTAACTGTCTCCATATCTGTCTGTATATATAATATATATAATTATAATTGTGTATGTTATAAGATGTTGCCACGTGAGTCTCTCTATCTCTTTGAATGACCCACTAACAAATGAATGAATGAACACAAAGTCAGTCTGTTTGACTCTTATTCATTGAGCTCCCAACCCCTCTCTTTCCACCCAAACAAATACACACAAGTCGAGACTGGATAGTGGAAGAGAGACACTATCCTCTTGGCAATTATGTAGACATTATTGTTCGGACAGACCAGACAAGTCTCATTGTGTACTCAATTATTAGTATACTAGTTTGGAACACATGAACGAACGAACGAATGATTGAATGAATGAACAAGAAGATGAATGAATGTAATAAATAGTTAACTGTATTGTATTGGTACATTGTTGTATTTGTAGTTGTTGATGGATGATGTTGTTGAGTTGATATAATATAGTTATTGTTGTTGATCTAATGAATAGCCAGAGTGAGAGGAGAGAGGGATAATGGATTATAATCACCGACTACAGTGACATCACATCTGCCTTCAACTTGGGGAAGAAGCCTGTTGATTGATTGAAAGAGTGAATGAGTAAGTAAATGAACACAGGAGGGTCTGGCGAATATGATAGGGTATACTACTTACTCTCTAACTTCTCATGTAGACCTCTTAACTCCTCTGGACAACGAATGGAATGGATTTGAAGTCCACGACTTAGGATGTCTACTTGTCGCTTGAGTGCACATGCTAGTTTGCCGGCACAGACGCGATCGACGCTAGCTTGAATATTGGACGAGAGGAATGCTTCTTTGTACATGTTGATACCACCGTTGACAGCGGCATCGATCACTCCATTGAGCGCCATGGCCAGTGGATTGAGATTGAGTTGGGAGTTGTTCTCGTACTTGGTCACCATCTCCTCGAGATCCTCGCATTTCTGGTTGACCGAGTTGAGCGCCACTTCGACGGGCGCCAGCTCGATGTGCTCCTTGCGAATCACCTCGGCACGACGATGGATCGTGGGGAACGTGGCGTCGGTGAACAGGAAGTGATTGCGTACCCAGAGGTCGGCAAACTCGTTGCCGCTCTTGGCTGTCGTCTTCTTGAAAGGCTTGGAGTAGAGGAACACGTTGACGTTGTTGCGCTTGAGGTAATTGCGTGAGTTGGCCGGTGTGCCCTGGATGAACTCGCGCATTGGCTTCTTCTCAAGCTCCTCGCGCGACGATGGGTTGACGATCGTCACCAGCAGGTACTGGCCGTCCGAGTTCATCACGTCGGCCGTGGGCTCTGTCGTCTTGAGAAGCTCGGCGTTGGGGAACTTGGCCATGATACGCGCAGTGAACTCTGACAGACGCTCCAACTCAAAGCCCTTATACAGGTACTCCTTGCTCTGGATCGTGGGCGGGAACTTCTTGCCGTAGTAGCCCACACGGAAGTACTCCGAGAAGAAACGCTCCGTGTTTAGGATCTTGTCGTAGAAGTCGGCCTCCTGGAACAGCACGTCAGAGAGTGCGACAAGGTTGTGCGCCGCTTCATACTGCTTCTTGAGGTCCTGGATCAGCGTGACACAGATCTCCCAAGCTTGGCCCTTGTCCAGGTAGGTGACGGCCAGGCGGATCAGACGCACCTTGCGCTCGGTGGTCGTCTCCTCGGGGAAGACAATGGCGTTGGGCTGGTCTGGCGTGTTGAATGTGAATGACGGCAGCGTCGTCTCGCCCCATTGATACAGGTCCGAATGAAGCATGAAAGCGTGTCCTGCCTCGGTGAAGTAGCCGCTGTTGATGTGTTGATTGAGCAGCTCGTGCAGGTACTTGATGTAGGTGTCCTTGCGGTCCTTGAAGTACTCCATCATCTTGAGTGTGGCAATGGTTCGCTCCTCCTCGAACGAGCGGTCCAGTGGCAGCGTCCTAAAGTCGAACATCAGACCGAGCAGATGCAGCATGTTGCTAATGAAGCTCTTGGCAGAGTGGCGGAACTCAGCCGAGAGGGACACGTCGCCATTGCTAAAGTATGACTCGAGTCGTACGCCAAGGAATGTTCGGAATATCTGTTCATCGCACGATGCGTCTCTGATGACCAGGCGATCGATCACCTCGATTGTCTTTGTCTCGACACGATGCACAGACTTCTTGTCCTCGTAGTCCAATTGCATGATCGATGTGAACAGGTCCTGTGCCAGTTCGTCTACCTCGTAACTTAGGTTCTGTTATGGTGGCGGAGGTGGAAGGGAGGTCAGTCAGTGCGCTGAGGATGTTGAAGTGAGGTTAGTACATACCAATAAGAGCTGGAAGATGAGTGGCACCATGAAGTGAACAAAGTGTATCTGGAAGGAGGCCATTGTGGCCCAGTTGTGTCGCACGGATTGGATGACGCTCCTGCGCATATCGACGATGGAAGACATGATGAAGTGTAGACGATGGATGCGATGATCGCTCGAGCGAACCAATGGCGAGCGCAATGTGTTGAACTGAAGCACCAGGAACGTGTTCCAGAGTTCAGTGTCGGACATTTGGGGTTGTAGTGGCGCATATCTGTAGATGAGCGGCGTCAGCACGTCCTGTTGCAGACGATGGGACACACGCAGATGGAACAGCATCATGGCCAACCAGTGCGTGGGATAGGCCTGGCGCGACATCAGTCCGTCCAGGATCTTGAGTGTGCGTCTGAGGGTTGTGCGGGTCACCTCTGCGCTCTTGTCCACCAGGTGCAGGTTGGCAATGTTGAACTTGAGCATGTAATCAAACAGCGTGAGCAGACATGTGATCATGTAGGTGTGGTCCACGCTCATTGTGGGCAATGTGGGCATCTCGCGTGCCGACTGTGTGATACTCTTGCGGCTCTCAAGGGCGGCGCACACGGCCGATGCCACAAAGTCGTTGGTGATGGTCTCGCCAATCAACAGAAGCTTGGGCAACATCTTGAGGATGCTTGTTATGCACTTCTGCTTGTCGGCCTGATCGAGCTGCTCGAGTGACTCGAGAGTCAGGGCCAGCAACTGAGTTGCAAGCTTCGCTTCCTCAGGCTTGGGAGAAGCGACATGCTTGTCGATCGTGGCAACGAGTGTGGGCAGTAGATTGGGGATTGTCTCGCGGTCCAGAGGCAGTGGGCCACTGAGGATCTGGTGGAAGATGCTGAGCTTGTGCGTGTTGAGATGGTCTGAACGCTCGCCAAAGTACACAGACTCGATGAACTGGCAGAGGATCTCGCACAGCTGCTTCTTGTTGAAGAAGTTGCTGAGTCCCTTCATCATTGTGGCAAAGTTGATCAGTGCCAGTGTCTGCACGACGATGAGCTGTGGCGCCGAGTTGGACATGAGCTTGTTGAGCATGCCCAGGAACTCGAGAATGTCAGCACGCCATTGCTCGTCGTTGGCCTGCTGTGCGCCCTGCTGCTGCAGGTAGACAAGACGAGACTTGACGATCAGCTGGAACATGTAGTCTAGTGCCTTGAGAGTCGATGAGATCTTGGCCGACTCCTTGCTTGAGATGTCCTGCATGTGGTACGACAGGCAGTTGAGGATGTGCTTGTGTGCCAGCGCGCCAGAGAACTGCGTCTGGATGTATGAGTCCAGCACCTGCTTGAAGTACTTGAAACGGTTGGTGCGGTCATCTGTCAACAATCCAATGATGAAGACAATAGTGTTGTAGACCATCAGCGCGACGGGCTCCACGATGAAGAGCGAACCGGCTGTGTTGGAGTCGTAGATCTTGAACAGGGCATCGATCACCGGGGTGAGGTTACGCATGATTGAGATGGGGTCGACAAAGCTGAACTTCTCCAGGATGGCCGGGATGTGGTCCTCGTGCGACTTCCAGTCGATCAGCTGTGCGATGGCAGCATGCTGGACAAACTGTGTCGTGTGGAACAGTGACTTGATCTTGAGGGACTCATTCTTCTTGAGCGAAAACTTGGACGACTTGTCGTGGTGTGCAGCCTTGGGATCGCCAGTGGTGGTCCAGGGCAGGTCCTCGTGGATGTAGGTCACGGGGATCATGTCGGTGGAGGCTTTGTACAAGATGAGGTTGTGATCGCCATTGGCCAGCGCGATCTTGTTGGCGTCTGACAGTCGGACAAAGCCAAATGCGATGGGCGAGGACTTGTTGGCCTTGGATGAGGCGTTACGCACGATGAACAACAAGTGTGCATTGGTGAACTTCTCGGCTGGGATGTCGACGTGTATCGTCTCGCTCCAAATGGGTGACGTGCTCGAGCACACCACCGAGCGGAACTCGGACACAAATGTGCCGGCTGTACCATTCGACAAACAGTTCTGGATAAGCTCGCCAGTGTTAAGTCGAGCGCGCACGGCAATCTCGATCTTCTTGCCTTGGGACAGCTTGCCGCTGTCCAGCGTGATGTATAGCTGATGCTTGCGCTCGTTGATCACAATGCGATGCTCAAACTTCTCGACGCGTGGCATCGTCGCCAGCTCAGGCCACAGCTCCACTGCTCGCTTGAAGCTCTGATCGTAAAAGGCCATCGACACCTGCATCTGGAGTTGGGCATTGGCACCCACGCCCTTGGGAGGAGCGGGCTCGATGCCCTGCTTGTGAAGCTCCTCCGGGCTGCAGCCCTTTGAGATGTCTGCGCCGAGGGCGGGGAACTGGACGTCGCTGGATGACATCCAAAACAGAACGGACTGTTCGCGCTCAAACACGCCGACATTCTTATCGTTGAAGAGGGCAAGCAAACTGATGCTGCCCTGTGCATAGCCGCGGCGCAAGTCTGTGGCGCTGCCCTTCTTGATCTGCTGGGTCTCGCTCACATCCTTCATGGTGCCGCGACGAACAACGCGGCACAACAACACGATGTCCTCGGTGATGTCAGATGGCTCGACGTCCTTGAACAAGATCTTGGAGATTGGCGTTGCGATCACGCCCTCATTGATGCTGACAACCAGCTGCTCCGAGATGGGGCGGCCCTGGACAAAGTTATACAAGGAGAAGTACAACTCGACCGTCTTCTTGCCAATGATTGGCAGCATGCGCTGGATCTTGATGTCGACCACAAGTTGGCCATATTCCCACTTCTTTTGTGACGCCAGGAGTGTGGCGGATGACTGCTCGGCGGCATTCGCGGTGAGTGAGGTGGCCTGTGTGGTTGTCTGTTTCTTCTTCTTGTCGCTGGTGGCGCTAGCATAGTGTTTCCTGAGCAGGACAAGTGGTGACACATTGTCGTCGGTCAAGATCTCGCCACTCTCATCGCACACATAGTACTCGTTAGAGAGCTTAGCACTGACCGTCTCGATCTCCCTACGCAACTCGCTGTAGACTACGTGGTCTGCAGAGGCGCCCTCGCTTATCAGGCGGTCTTGAGTGGCGCGCAGTGAGCGAGTCAGCTCCCTGAGTGCCTGTTGCACCTTCTCGGTCTCCTTGGCCGGGACGTCCAGCGTGTCGAATGGTTCCTCCGAACGCTCAGAAATCTCGGTCGTGACGTCCTGCACGTCGCTGTGCAATTGGTACTCGCGCTGTGTTACCACGCGGACGCAGCTAGACGGGAACTCGCCAATGTCGCTCCAGCCATCCAGGCCATTTCTCATGCGGCCGCGACATGTCGTACTGTCGCCCGAGCCATGCTTCTCCAGGATGGCCAGCACATCGCCACGCATCAGAATGAGAGCCTTGCTGCTGCTGGAGAGATCACGTGTTGCTCTGTAATCGCGGATGCACACAGCGTACTCGGTGCCGGCAGGTGGCTGGATGCTCAGTGGCGACATCGTCTTAGTGTTACCAATATTGAACGCGCCAGTCATCAATCCGTTGTGTCCGTTGTACATGTTCTTCTCGCCCTTGTCCACCACCTCGATGATGTCTCCGCGCTGGTAGCTCAGATTGAGTCCATCACCGATCCTGTTGTTGGTGGTGAGGACACGCACGCGCTCCAGCTCAGCCTTTTGCGACTTCTCCAGGCGCTGGGTGATCTGTCGCGAGAGGTCTGATGACTGAGACGCGACTGCTGGCTCCACTGGGCCGACTAACTTTGAGGGCGTCACGGGACGCCATTCCTTCTTTGTGACCTTTTTGAAGGCGGTTGTGTTGGCCGCGGACGATCCTGCTGTTGATGTTGGAGGTGGTGACAATGATTCCTCGCGACCCTGTGCTAGGTTGCTATTGCTATTGCTGTTGCTGTTGTTGATGCTGGCGGGTGCGACAGTCGCAGGTGATGAGATCTTGGCCGCGTCGTTAATGATCGAGTTCAATTCGTTTGATATCGACTCATCTTCGACCGAGCCATCATCAAGTTGCGAGATGGAGTCTGGTGACAAAGGAGCAAAGGTATCTTGCTGTGTTCGTGTGGGTGGTGGCACAGATGGTGGTGGCCTACTCGGTTGGCCAGTCAATGTTGGAGATGTTGTGGATGGTACGACGGCCGGCCTAAATGGCGGGCTTGTATTGGAAGAAGATGCGACTGGTTTAAGAATAGGTGAGGTTGTAGGAGCTGGTTTGACCGCAGATGGCTTAACCAATGGGTTTGTTGTTGGCTTTGCCGCGAATGGTCTAGGTGCAGGCTTGCTCATTGGTTGTGTCTGTTGCTGTGGTTGAGATTGTGGCTGTTGCTGTGGCTGTGGCTGTGACTGTGACTGTGGCTGTTGCTGTGGCTGTGGCTGAGACTGTTGCTGTTGTGGCTGTGTGGTTGGTACTGGTGCAGCTGCACCTGGTGTTGTCGCGCCCTGTATTGGTTGTGCTGGAACCTTCTTCATAAAGGTCCTTGGTGGGGGCTTGGGTTGTGAGTCACTTGGTTGTTGCTGCTGAATCTGTGTCTGTTGTTGCTGCAACTGTGGCTGTTGTGGTTGAGCCTGTGGCGCACCAGCTCCAAGAGGACCACCAAATCTATTGATCGCCATTGGCTTTGGACTGCCTGTGGACTGTGGTGCACCCGCTGGAGAGGGAGTAGTGGATGATGGCGCTGGCTTGAACATTGAATTCGCACTTGGTTTGAGTTTAACCTCGAATGGTGATGTTCTGGGAGGTGCTGTAGAATCGCCATTTGTCGAACCAGAGTCAGGCGACTGTACTCTTGGTCTTGGTATTGGTGGCTGTGGCTTTGAACCATTTGGCGATACCATCGCCGGTTGATTTGTGTTCTCTACCAATGACACACCGTTTGGTGGAGGGAATGAAGGTGACTTTACGATTCCAACAGAAGTAGGAGCAACAGCTGTTTTAAATCCTGCTGGGCCTGGTGGTGGGAGTGCTGAAGGTGATTGATTGATTGATTTGATTGTGGGGAGGTGAGGCGTCAGGTCATGTGATCACATGATTGGACTCAATAATGAGATATGATAATTAACATACGTCTTCCACCAGCAGCTGGCTTTCCTTGTGTTGGATTCATTTGACAGCTATTAATGCTTATTATATATTATACTATAGTATATATTGGTATGTCTCTGTTGTTGTGTATATTATATATATCTAAAAATACAATGTTATGTTGTCTATATTGATTGATTGATATTGATTGATTGAATAAATAAATACAGGTGTTTGATTGAATGAATGATTGATTGAATGAAAATGCTACTACTACTTTTTAATATATTAATATTACATTAAGGAGAGATATATATATTAGTTATCTAGATAAATAGGAAGAAGGTAAGTGATAGATAGAATAGAATGCAGAAAGGAGAGTTTAAGTCAGTCCATCTAGTTGGGTCCTCTTTTTTGGGGGTGTTGGGTGACCTATCAGCAACAAAAAGTCCAAATCGTTGCAAAAAAATACCAAAAGCGAGCCATCGGTGTTTGCTAATGGTCGTTTGATTCTTTTCAAAAAAAAAACCAGATATCTAATTTTGGTGTTGTTAATCTGTGTATGTTTGTGACAGTTCTACTACACTAACAACGATCAAATAATCATCTTAATCTTATAATAATACATCTCTGTAATACTTTAATTGATTGTTTGAATGAATGAATAAATGAATGAAGTTGAAGTTGATAATTATCACATTATAGTTAGTTCAAGATTGAGATGATTGACAAAAATACACCCTATGAGTTTCTTCAAGACAAGGCCAGTAGGGTGTGAACAACCAAACTCGACATGATCATCATGTTGTTGGATGAGATGCACTATCTTGAATGAATATGGCAAAGAAGAGAGTATTAGAATCAACATTTGAGTCATCAGAACAAGATAATAATAATGATGTAACAACTACTACAGATAACTCAACAACAACAAAGAAATCAAATAAGAAGAAATCAGTCAAGGATAAGTCAAAGGATGACGATGCATCATCATCCACTCAATGTGAAGAAGATGGTGAACTACAAATGACCATCGATCAATGGAAGAGTGACCTTCATTCACATACAAGGCTCGTCTCTGTGTAGGTACTCCTGCCACGGTGCTCATGTTCCTCACCAACTAATCAATCAATCAATCAACCAATGTTGAATTGAAGTAATCAACTATCAAGAGCAGAGTATCAGGATGGATTGTTTGTTGTTGGAGTTAGGAAGGGCAAACACTTTGACTCTATCGGACATACTGTTAAGGGACAGCTTTGTCTTTATGTTGAGGAGGCGTTGTATCTTGCAACGCAAGGCTCTTTGGAGTTATATTACAAGGGCATGCCATTGACACTACAAGAGGCATACCAACTATGTGAGAGACAATACTGTAATCATCCTTTCTACAAGTTCCAAGTGTATAGCTATCTTAAGAAGCATGGTTATCATCTCATTCGATTCACACCAGAGGCTGCCGCACTGGAACAACAAGAACAACGTCGACTTGCAAGCAGCAAATACAACAATACCATCACAACAAGTGAGCGAGCCAAGATCATTCAATCACTCCCGCCATCAGGGGTCTCCCCTCAACATGCTGTTGCTGTTGCTGCTCCTGTTCGGACTTCAATGAGATGTCGGAGTTGGTGGAGACAAGAAGAGTGGCCATGCAATGTCCAAGAAGTCTACACTTACAAGCCAGACAATGTCGAGTGGATTGTACCAAATATCAATGATTCATGGACTAATGATAGAGACTCACTGCGGCATCACTCATCATCTGTGGACTCTTTGGACTTTGACATCATTCAATCATCAGCGTCATCATCGACATCAACAAAGCCATTGTTACGCATTGCCCAGACATTCAATACCAACCAGACAATGAACTCGGTCAATCGTCGTGTTAGGCTGTTTGATGTATCGACGAGGTTGGAGGACAAGGCTGCTGAGGACATCAAGGATTGCAAGGACATTGGTCTGATCGACTATAATGTCTACAAGCCAGGACCATCATTTAGAAAGAGTTCACCTGGTACACCAGACTTTAGAATATCAATAATGCGATTCATGGACAAGGTACCATCGATGGACGTTGTCAATCGCATTCAATCAGCGTTCAAGGATTCAGTACCTCTGTACTTTTGTGTCATTGCCTTGAATGACATTTCATTCTTCTCGCTCCAAGAGATGGATGCAATGGCACTCTAAAATAGAGATTGATCGATTGATTGATTGATAATAATAATAATAATAAGGAGGGTACTGTTATTAAGCGTAGTAGTATGCATACATGATTGATTAATTGTACATGTGATTGATGATTGATTGATTGAGTGAGTGTAGTTGTTGCGCAAGTATACTGATCGTAATTGAGATTGATTGAATGAATTGGAATGAATGATTAACCAGTCTTTAGAGCCTGTAACCTGTTAAATATCTCATCGTCCTCTTTGACAGCTGGCTCCTCCTCTTGCACGGGGACATCGAGTGCATCAACGCCAACCTTGGGACCTGATATCAGGATCTCATCGAGGATCTTGCTGACCTCCTGCTCGGCCTCCTCCTCCAGTTGATCGTCTCTGTCAAAGGTGTCGTTGATCATCTCCTCGATGATGCCAGCCTTCATCATCTCCTGGCCCATGGACATCATGATCTTGTTGAGCTCTGGAAGCTTGACCAGATTGTTCATCATCTTCATGACCTCTGTCGACTTGGCCATGTGTCCGGCCACCTTTGCCATCGACAGGTTGGCCTGTAGTTGCATCGTCACCGAGTTCATCTGTGCCTTTGCTGTATATATTCTCTCCTTTGCCTTCCTAGCCGCTGCGACCTCCTTTGCCAATGTCTTTGCACTCTTTTGATCACCAGCCTTTACTCTCTCTTTTATCATTCTAATCACTTTCTTCTCCTCTGTATCGATTGCTTTTGATTGATTGATTGATATCAATGTTAGTATCTATTCAGTCATGATCATCGTGCACAAGTACATACCTCTGATTTGTGTATCAAGTCCTCTATCCTCTCTTCTCAACTCTCTCTTCCATTTCTTGACCATCTCCTCTGGTGAAGGTTTCTTGAACAAGTTGAACATTATTTGTTTGTGTTTGTGTTTGATTGATTGTTTGTGAATGAGTGATTGAGATGAATGTAACTACTACAACTACTATAGTAGTATGATTATATTATTATTATTATAATATATATATTAAATACTAGTATTTGATCTTGACAACAACAAGTTAATTAATGATTATTGAATGCTTGGGCAACAGAGAATCCAACTCACTTTCAAACAATTTCAGTTCATTTCCCACGTCTGTGAGAATCAAAATAACTTCAAGAATCATTGTTTATTCGTAGTCAGTTGCAACTGAAGCAATTCAGATATTGGTACAGTAACATAACAATCAAACCAAAGATGAAGATATAGATGTTAAACAATGATTGATGATACAAATATTGTTAACAAATAGATATATTCAATACCAAGCAAGCTTAAGGTGTCTAACTGGTAGAATTATTATATTGGATGAACAAGTACTATTATGTGACTGCTTAACCGACTCTTTTATCTATTATCGACCAACCATGTACATGTATACATGTTGTGAACAGGTAGACCTGTTCCCCATCCAGATTTTAAATTCAATTGGATCTCAAACTATATTAACTATTCATGGCAATAACTGACGGACTGGCTGATCAACAGGTCTCTCTCTCAGATCACTCATTTGGTGAACATCATTTAATATATCGATGACTCTTCATAACAAACAATTTCTTGTACATACATACCATCAAGTTCATTCAATATTACCAGAATAGGTCAATTTCGTGAACAATCTTAAAAATAGGTCCATGGACACTTTGAACAGAGGGTATCAACCGTAACAAAAGAAAAAGAGTAGAACATTGGTTGAATAATGTCCCTGGTAAAGTATAATGATGCCATCTAAAAATATCCACAATCAACCAATTACCCATCAATAACTTTATATCTTGTTCGACTCGAGTTTGAATCTCAGAATCCCATTGGTGTCTTGTACTTGAAAGACAAACACAGTCACATGTTGGTGTGAGAGAGTTAGGTCTCGTCTGGTCAGGTCCTATCCCTCATCCTCATACTTATCTCACACACATACTCAGTCCAACTCTTCACAAACTCACCCCCGTGGTTGTGTCCGACGAGACGAGAGGTCACCACGACCACTACCACATTCAAACCAAATATGGAAGGTTAGATCCTTGACGAGAGGCAAAGGCAGCCAGTGCCATTGGCAATTGCCAGTTCCAGGATGGTCCTGGATGAGTGTGGGCACACTATACACAATACCTAAGGGTATTTATAAATAGTTCTATAGAGTCTTAGAGGATCTACTTATTCAACTTATAGACTAGTCTTCAAACTAACTATTAATACACACTTACTTACACTCATACACACAAACACATTAATTACTCCTTCTACTCTTTGGACGAGTTATCCTTGAACTTGTCTTTCTCCTGTCTTTGACGAAGAAGTTGATACTACTCTTTCTCCTACTCCAAACTACATTTTATTATTATTATTATTATTATTAATATTATTATTATTTACATTTATTAATTATTTATTCGAACGAATCATAAGACAATGAAATATTTAGTTGTAATTGATGATAAGGCAGCATCATTCTCTGCCTTTTATAAGGCTTTGGAACTGGTACAAGAGCCAGATTGGATAATATTGATAACAAAGCATAAGTCAACAGGTGCCGAGAATGTAAAGTTCTTTGCCAGGGTACTTGACAAGAGAGGTGTATGTATTCATTCAAACATCCACTGAATCAATCAAACATACTAACATCTCCTATTTATTATAGATAAAGAGTCTACACTTTATAGAACATGGCAGGACAAAGGAGTTGGTTAGCAATAAGATCAAGCTACTCACGATTGATAAAGTAGTCATCTCACCATACTCCTCAAAGAGGAGAAGGTATGTTTCAATCATTACCCAAACAAGTAATAATACTATTGGAAGATACTAACAAATATATACTTATTTAGACTTTGTGATTATGTATCAAACAATCTAAAGGTCAATGTAATAACAGTTAAAGAATTCCCAATGGTCGATGAGAGTCTTATTCCTAAGCCACCTGTTGTGGAGGCAAGTCGTAAGGGATCGTCTTTACTTCAATCAAAGTCTTCATCGTCAATACCAGATCATGTGGTGCTGAGTAAGAGCTCACCATCAACAAGAGACCAACTACCAAAGTCAAAGTCCCAAGAGAGTGTACTATCTCATTCATGGGCACCAGTGATGAAACATCCATTCTGTGATAGTCCAACACTTGTATCAACACCAACCTCCTCATCATCTTCATCTTCATCATCATCGTCTGCCCACATTGGTGGAAGTGCACTGGAACCAATCCATCACAAACCATCACATCTACATCCAATCATACAACCACCCTCGGCCCTAACAACCCTCTTCCGACGATCGACTCATACTCCCTCAATAGCATCACCAAGCACACGCGACCCTGTTGACTCGGACAATTATCGACAGAAAACACCTTCGCCAACATCAAGACATGGAGGTCATGGCCCATCCAAAGCTCCCACCCCTGCACCTTCTCCAGCCACCGCCAAGGCTCCATTAAAGTCAGTGATGAAGCGTCCGAATCAAATGAACAGTATTGGGTCGTCCTCTTCATCCAGTCCTCAGTCACCATCGGTAATGCGCACTGGTACTGGAAGGAAGAGAACTGTCACATTCGCACCCCAGCAGACACTTATAAGTTAGATCTAAAAATATTATTATATGTAATAAAATACAACTTGTACGTATTTATTCAAATATAATACATATATATATATAGTGGACTCGGTCTTGGAATATCCATCAATCTTGATCACGGTCGATTGGCAGGCTGATCACCATCAATAACGAGATAGAGTTCAAAAAGGAAAGGATATTGTTTATTTATTTATAAATAATATTTGAATGATTGAGAAAGTCAAGGAAATATTTTAAAGATTAAGTATTAGAGTAGAACTCGATCCATTCTCCAGCTTGGAGAGAAGCATTCCTTTTGTACTCAAATAGTAGTATACCTTTTTGGAAACATATTAATCATGTTTAAGGGTGGATGTTAGAGATGATAAATAGAACAAATTAAGTATTCCATACCATGATGATTGTGTAGGTATGAAAGTACTTTATCCATGGCATGGCCACTGATATAAAGATAACTTGTATTCCTTCCGTCCTCAGCCAGAACCTCATTATTAAAGAACACTGGAGGTACCAAATGCTCTTGAATATGTCCCAGGGTATTAACAACATCATTTAATCTTGATACCCTAAATTGATTAAATACGTTCATGACATTAAGTCTCTCTTCAGTGTTCAATCCACTCCCATTGAATCTAACTTTCAAAGTTGTGGCATGCATTTATTATTATTATGATGAATATAAATAAATGAGTGAATAAAGGGACATTCTATTGTCTTAACTTTATAGATCATCAGTTAATACTTTTACTTAATTTGTTCATTGGACAAACAGGGGGCATGTCCAAAATAGGCCTTGTTTGTGAATTGTACGAATTTTCATCAGTCATATTTTGATCAATCAACCAAATAAGTGATCATCATTGATATAGATAGACTTATAGATAGATAGATATAGAGATGGCATCACTGAGGACATTAACATTATATAACTTTAATACAAGTTATTCATTTGGTATTAAGGACCCTGTGATGGAAAAGGACAACTCGGTCGTGTCTAGACTGGGAAGAATGAAGGAGACCTTTGAGAAAGAGGGTCTTCGAAAGACTGTCGAAGCCATAATCATAGTACACAATCATAATCATCCACATATCCTTCTACTCAAGATTGCCAATACATTCTTTAAGCTGTAAGTCAAAGTCATTGATCATCATCTGAGGTTGATCAATATCAGCTGATTGATTGAATCGGATTTATGTCAGCTGACAATGTCACGTGATACTAATATATTTGGACTTCAATCAATGTTATGTAGACCCGGTGGCAAACTGAAGCCAGGTGAGAACGAGGTAGAAGGATTGATAAGGAAGTTGACAAAGAAGTTATCACCTCTTGGTACAGCAGAAGCAGATTCTCCATGGGAGGTTGGTGAGAATATAGCAACTTGGTGGCGACCAAACTTTGAACAAGTCTTGGTAAGTGTCTCCCGACTTTGAAGCACAGGATACAGGACTCAGACTAACAACAAAGTTCAAACAGTATCCATACACTCCGCCTCATATATCCAAGCCAAAGGAATGCAAGAAGCTCTACGTAGTTACCCTTCCAGAAAAATGTAAGACCCATTGTTGTTGTTGTTGTTGTAGTAGTTGGATGATTGACATCAACATATTTACTCATTAATTATCAACTATAACATCACAGGTACATTCGCAGTTCCATCCAACCTTGAACTCATAGCAGTTCCTTTATTCGAAATATTTAACAATTCACAAAGATATGGAGCGATCATATCAAGTATTCCTCAACTCATTAGCAAGTTCCATTATGTCTACTTATCACTTGATGCCTAATCAATTGCAAGACAAAGTGATATAGACAGACGAAAGAATGGAAATGAACTAAGGGCACTTGCCCTCACAGACATACCCTCGCACAAACAATCACTTTTTTTTTTCAGAATTTGATCACATTCCTCACGAAAGCATGAATGATTGAGAGTGTTACGCAGACTGACTTGAACATACTTTCGCTTATGTGTTTGATTTACATTATTACATATACACATATATATCTCATAATATATAAGATGGAGGGCATTCCAGATGATTTCAACCCATACACTAGAGCAGCTTCAAATGTAGTTGTAGGAGGTATTGTTGGTGCAGTCGGCGCCTTCAACATCACCTACCCAGAGTCACCATTCGTCACACCAGCCACAGTGAACGAGTACTATCGCGCAACAAACCGCACCTTTGCTAGATGTATAATGGCTGGTTCACTGCTTGGTCTTGCATTCTCTGCTGGAAAGTACAGTCTACAGGGTATTCGTCAAAAGGATGACTTTTACAACACTGTTGCTGGTTCACTCACTGCTGCTGCCGCCATCGGTGTCTATCGTATGTGTCCCAAAGACAACAACCTATAGTGATCAACAATCACTCACTCACACTCATTACCTTTATCATTCAACAGACTCTAATATGAGATTGACAATTGGCGCTGCACTTTTGTTTGCACCAGTTGCCATTGGATTGAAGATTGCCGATACAGAGGTCAATGTGGCATCAGAGATGTTTGCCACCAGGACACAATCGAAACAGAGAACCAACTTGATCCTCTCCAACAAGATCAGGGAGATTGACGAGAACAACGCCAAGTTGGATTCTGTACTATAAATTACTTCAAGCGATCAATCGATCAATAGATCAAATCAATCATATATAACATAATACAAAGCATGCATTCATTCATTCAATCCAATCAATCAACAATCAATCAAACAAGTAGACTTGACTTGTTGTTTACAACCTTTGACACAATCATACATACCATACCGCCGATTCGTTGATGATTGTTTAGGGGTGGGATTGTACTCTCTCCCTACCAAGCTATCGATCAAGTCAATTAATCTTGGAATCACTTTACTACTTTGAACAGCCACGACCTTGCCCCTTCCGATAGACATATACATCATCCATTAATCAAACACACAACACACACACATCACAAGTCATTGTGTTAATCATTTCAACAACATTCAAGTCAAAGTAAGGTGTAGTGTGTTGCGATCGTGGGATCGCTCTCTCACCTTTCTGCCTGGGATTGAGCAATGACTCACAAGTATTTTAATCACCCCACGCAAAAAGGGTGAGACTAATCCACGAATAATTCTTTATTGGCAACAACCACCCACAATGTCAATGTTCATTACGCACGACTCTATCCATTCACATAATTATAAATATAAGTAATAGAGATAACAGATACAGATAATTATCATAATATAATAATATATACAATTTTATGTAAAAACAAATAACATACAAGAGATACAAACTTAAAACAACAGTTACTTTAATCAATCAATCAATCAATCAAAACATTGTTACATCACATACTTTAAACACAAGACAAAATGGATACCGATACATTGATCCCAGATGATAACTTCACACAGAAGAAGACGACTACAATGATGAACACATCAGCATCTGGAATTGCTCATGTCACCAATGAGGTCCAACATCCAACAGAGGCAGAGGAGGAGATCACCATTTATGAGCAACTGGCGTAAGTTCAACCTCTTTACATTGATTGACTATTGAGATACTAATATCTTTATCTTTGTTATATTCCTTTAGGAGTGTGATTAGAGAGTTGGTAGATGATGAGTTTGATAACAACCTAACATTCAAGTCAATGACTGGAGGTGTCACCAACACACGTATGTATTTGTGTACAACATGAGCATGAGGCTTGTAAACTAACCTTTACCACTACTCAGTTTTCAAATGTACATACAACAATAGCCATCAGGAGAAGAAGAATATCATTATTCGACTTTATGGCAAGGGAACTGAGAACTTTATTGATAGAAAGTCAGAGTCTTATATCCAATATCTGCTCAGTGGAAATGGTGTCGGACCAAAGTTCTATGGCACCTTCAAGAATGGCTGCATCTATGGTTTTGTTGAGGGCGACCAGTTGGAGCTCACAGATCTTGCCAATCCACATATTCTTAATCTGATTGCTCAGGAGTCGAGGACATGGCATTCACTTACACTTGATCTTAAGAAGCAGCCATCATTGACCAACTACCTAAACTCATGGGTTAGCAATGTACAGACTCTACTAAAGACTGAGAAGGTCAACATCGATGTAGACTATTACATTAAGGAGACTGAGGCCTTTAAGCAATTCATCAAGACCAAATACAGCCACCCCAGACATGTTGTATTCTGTCACAATGATCTTATTCCAAGGAATATGATCTATAACTCTGGAAATGGTATGTCAATCCAGACCTTGAGACATACAAACAACAGCATCCAGTTGACTAACCATTCTCAATCAATCATATAGACGTTGTAAAGTACATTGACTTTGAATACTCTGGATATAATTATCGTGGCTTTGACATTGGTAACTTCTTCTGTGAGTTCTCTGGTTTGGATCTGGACTACACAAAGTACCCATCCGTCCAGACACAGAAGGAGTTCCTTAGATACTACCTCGCTGCCAACGGTGATCCAGTCACCGAGGAGGAGGTCCACGAGCTGTACATAGAGGCCAATCACTTCACATTGGGCTCCCACTTGATGTGGGGATTCTGGGGCATTGTCCAGAACTTTAACTCAACCATCGACTTTGATTACATTGGCTACGCATTGAAGAGATTCCAGCAGTATGACCTGGTAAAGAAGAAGGTATACAATCTCCAATAATATAAATAAATATAACATTATGTACATGTATTCATCATTATTATCATCATAATCAATCATCAGTGACAATGACAAGGCATTTATTATATCTGTTTGGGAAAATGTGGAAGTGATTGGAATGTTCGCCAGGCCACTTACTTGGTGGCGTCGACTATGATTCCAATTGGACAATGACTGTGAAGGTTTGGCAATATCGATATTGTTAGTGTTTGATCAACATTGTGAATATGGATGTTGGGTGTAATACATACTCTGATCCAGTTACATTTGTTCTCATGTATGAGTGAAGGATTGATCCGATAAAGGTGGCTGGAACAATGAAGTAGTCAAGACGCCAGCCAATGTTGGATGCACGCGAGTTACGCATGTACGACCAGAAGGTGTAGGCAAACTCTTTCTTGGGGTTGAAGTGTCTGTAGGTGTCAACGAATCCAGACTCGAGATGACCACTGAAGCTTGTTCGCTCCTCAATGGTGAATCCAGCCGTCCTCAGGTTGGTCTTGGGGTTCTTCAGATCGATCTCCTTGTGGGCAACGTTGAGGTCACCGCACCAAATGACTGGCTTGGTCTTGTTGAGGTTCTTCATGTAGTTGAAAAAGTCAACGTCCCACTCCTTTGTTCTGTAGTCCAGGCGATCCAGTGGCTTGGTTCTGTTGGTACCAGAGTTTGGAACGTAGCTGTTGACTACGTAGAACTTCTCATACTCGGCAGTGATGACACGGCCCTCTTTGTCATGCTTGCTGATGCCAATACCCTTGGTAACAGACACTGGCTTGATCTTGGTGAGGAGACTGTACATGATTTGAATGGTAAGTAGAGTTGGAGGGATTGTGAAGAGAACCAGAGAGGAGCAACGTACGCAGTTCCATGTTGTCCAGGCTTCTCACAAGTGTTGAAGTGATATTCATATCCATCAGGGATGGCCTTGAGTCCAACAGCCTTTGTTTGCTCAATCTTTGTCTCTTGAAGACACAGGATATCTGGTTGTTCCTTCTCAACATAGGCCTTGAAGCCTTTCTACTCATATTTGATGTTATAGAGAGAGAGTCAGAAGAATGTCATCGATCAATCAATGATTTAAACATACAGATGCACAGGAGTTGAATCCAGCCACGTTCCATGAGATAATCTTGATCAAACCGCTATTGAGACAGGTTAGTTGGTTGAACGCCCCAGTGAGTGCTAAGGACTTGGGATACTTACTCCTTCATCTCTGGCTTGCTAAAGTCATCAGCGTTAAAGTCACCGGCTGAGGCAGCTGGTTGGACAGCAGCTCCATCCTCATCACCATCGACCTCGTCCTGAGAGGAGATTGGTGCTGTGGACACTGTTGATGTAGTGGTTGTAGTTCTCTTTCTCTTCTTTGTGTCCGCTGACTCTTCCTTCTCATCAGCATCAGAAGCCTCCCTATCCTCATCAGCGAGAGCAGCCTCCTCAGTCTCCTTCTCCAAATTATCCTCTACATCCTCAATCTCCTCCTTTTGCTTCTTTGTTCTTCTAGTGGCGGCAGCTTTCTGGTTGATGTTATTAGCGGATCACGGGGAAGTGGGGATATGTTAAGCTATGACTTTGATTGATGGAAGTTGTCGACCCTTTACATACCTTGGGACCCATTTGTGTTTGTATATATGTTGTTAACTGTATTGTGATGACGGTATATGTGCTCAACAAGTGAACTTGACTTTATCAGGTGTTACTGTTGCGCGCGCTCGCAACTTAGATTGACAACAACATGTTTTTCCACGAAATGAACAACAGATATTATCTGTAACCTTTTTTGGACTTCCACTTCGGGCGGAAAGAGATAGAGTTTATTCTTGCTTCAATCTGTACCATAAATATATGTATGTCGTATGACTGACTCACTCAGTTTGAATAGTCATCATCGTCGTCATCTTCATCTTCCCCATCGTCATCGTTGTCTTCAAAGGATGATGGATAGGTGAACTGTTGTCTGTTGCCCAAATGATACCATTGCTCCTCGACCATGTCTTCGTCGTCGTCCTCTTCGTCATCGTCCTGGTACGACTCCTCGGCCAACGCCTTCTCATACTCTGCCTTGGCGAATCTATTCCAATCGCTCATCGATGGTTCCGACGTTGTAATCGATTCCTTTGTCTCTTGCAAGAAGAACTTGGTCGTATTGAACAATATGTTATAAAGATATCCAGCCAACTTTGATCGCTTCAAATCAGACAATGTTATCCTGTCTGGATTCGATGGCTTGACCATGTCGATACTGAGTGAGTGAGCGAGGTAAGGTTAGTTATGTGGACTTGGTTGGACTGGCGCGTCGACGATGGCGGCACACATACATTTGACAAAGGAGGTCTGTGAAATGAGGTGGATCGAGGTTTAGGTTGTCCAGTCGCTCCTTTTGATCGATGTAGAAGTACTCCATCTCGTGGAAGCTGAGGACACCATCGCAGTCAAAGTCGAGACAATTGAACCAGTACTCGACGCTGGTCTCATTGTTCTTGTCCTCCTCAGAGAGAACGAACCAGACAAAGTTCTTATATGATATCACTCGCTTGGGACTGAACTCCTCTTCAAATATCGGTGTATCGATGATCCTGTTGATGATCTTGTCGGTCAAGCTGAAGTTGGCGTATTTGGCCAAGTCCGAGGCACTGATGAACAGGTCATGATCAGTGTCCAACTCCCAGAACTTGCAATAGATAACATAGAAGTGTTCATAACTAAAGTACTCCAAATGTTTGTTGATGTCTGGTTCCACCTCTAGCAATGTGAGTGACTTTATAAAGTTACTCCTCTTGATGTCTCCAATCGTGATCCTTCCTCTCTTCCTACTAAGAGTATAGAATATCCTAACGATTATAGTCTCCAAATAACGCTCCTGGAACTCTGGCGTATGCTTTAAGAACTCCAAACCAGGGTGGAACTCCAATAAAGCTAGGATCAGATTGTTGGTAAGTATTATGTTGACTCTGGGCTGGCTGGCGATGCCATCATCGGAGGATACATACTTCTTGCAAATAATACCAAGTCATTGTAGATTAGATAGTTTGAGCTGGAGTTTGTTGTCCTTCTAAGTGCATTGAACAGTATGTCCTCTGCCTCCCTATTAAATATCGTCTCTTTATAATAGCTGCGCTCAGAGGATAGATGTTAACATCATATTGATTGAATGATTGAATGAACTTGATTGATTGAATGGATTACATACGATGTGAATATGTCTTGAGTGATTGATTTCTCTTCGGATTGGGATATGATATAGTTGTACAGCAGTCTGATGAGTACTCTTGGTAGGGTGTGGAGGTCTTTGACAAGGGATTCGAATTCGTCATAGGTCTGGATGACCTTGCCATCGTTGCCAAGTTGATCGAACCGATTCTTGATCTTTAGGTCGTCCTGTTGAAGCTTGTCGCGTGAGACAAACTTGGAGTTGCCTCTGCTCGACGTCTGTCGGGGGAAGTAAAATGCGGGCACGGGTATATGCGCGCTCGCTCTCTTTGACACCTTGCGCTCGTGTTGCTCCGCCTCGGAGCCATCGATCAGCAAATCGCCCTCTTGCTGGCTGTCGATGCTACGCTTGAACTTGCTTGGCGATGACAATTGGTTGCCGCTGCCACCACTGCCGCCAGAGACTGCGTTGGACAGACTGGCCAATACATCCTCCTTGTCGTCCAAAATGATTGGTACGCACTCATCATCCTCCTTGATCATGTTCTCATCGCTGCTGTGGCTGTGGTTGTTGTTGCTGCCAACACTCTCTTGATATATCATATTCTCATCGACACGGATAACCTTTGCACTCTCACTACTCAGATTGACAATGCATCCTGGTTGTTCATGTTGTGGTTGTTTCTTCAAAGATCCATGTTGTTTAATATCGCTGTCAACATGTGTACATGTTGAGTCTATTATCTCTATATTGTTGTTGTTGTTGTTGTTGTTGTTATTGTTATTGTTATTTTGTTCGATAATAACTTGTTGTTGCTGTTGTTGTAGTTGTTGTAGTTGTTGTTGTTGCTGGAATGAACTCAGTCCATTCAACAGATCACTAATATAATTGACAGTGTCATCCCTTGACAACCATGCCAAGAACAGTTCATTCAACTTTAACTTTGCACCAATGACATTATTGTCTGTTGTTTGCTGCCTCTCATGGAATGCATTAAACATCGTTATTAAGTAATTGTAATAGTAATTGTGGTAATATTATATTATATGTTTATACTCTTATATCTCTTATATATATATCTGTATTCGTATCTATGTGTATCTGTATCTGTATCTGTGGGGTTCAATTCATTTAATGAATTAAAAAGCAAAGGGAACGAGACTATTATGGTGTTGTTGATGTTGTTGTACAACAAACATCTCACTTTACTTCTTTCAACAACCCCTCAATTTATTTGAATTGGGGGGTTTAGTTTCATAATAGTGTGACTTTGATGACAACATGCGCTTTTCAAGTCAAAACCCATTCATGCATTCGATTGACTTCCGATCTCAAAGGGAGTTTCATTGAATGTCCAATTATTACCAATCTCGCGATAATTATCAATTGATTGAATGAATGAATGAATAATACTTTATAAGGTTACTAATACTTATTATGAATAAATAAATGATTTATGTTTATGCTTTAGAAGGGGCTTTGATGTACAGGCATTGGACGATGGATGTTGATAATGTTAGACTACTTTTGTAGTTTGGTTGGATTGTTGTTGTTGGATGTTGTTGGGGACGGCGGACTGAGTGAGCTATGTTGAAAGGACCTTTAGGGTACGATCCTTTAAACAAAGGGTGGCAGGACTAGGACAAATAGTTTACTTGGCCTTTGGTCCGTATCTTCTCTTCTTCTCCTCAAGGTCACGGTTCAACCACCAGAGGGCACCCTCGGATGAGTGAGCACCACCTTGGCCTGGGACACCGGCGGCGCCTCCGTACTTCTTGCAAGCAATACGGACGGCAGCCTCGGCGGTGATGAGAGCCTTGTTGAGCTCCTCCTTGAGGGGACCGGCATCGATCTGAGCCAACATGTTCTTGGCACCGAGGGCCTTGACACCCTGGCCTCCGTTCTGCTGGGACTCAGCGGTCAAACGGGCCTTCTCCTCCTCGTAGGCACGGATACGCTTGTTGACCTCCTCGAGGGCCAGACGGGCCTTCTTGATCTCTGGATGCTCGTCGTGACCCATTGAACGGGTGCAGAAGTCAGCTGGGTTGGCGTAGTCTTGGTATTGGTACAAGAGGTACTCGAGGAAGGAGATACGACCGTCAAAGTTGACGTCGACCTTCTCTCTCAACTCTTGCTTTCTCTTCAAGGCGGTCATCATCACTGGCATCGACTTGACGTAGGTGGCTGGGTACTTGGAGTTCTTTGGGTCCTCACAGAACTTGCACAGCTGCTCATAGAAGTAGAGACCAATGTCAAAGTCGAGGTCGTTACCCTCATCATACTTGTACACCAACTGGATACCCTTGAAGTGCATATCAGCGTACTTGATGGTGTCCCAGGCAACACTATATGATAATAACAACCATGGTTAGTTAGTGATATGACGCGAAGGTGTTGTAGGATGGTTGTTTAGACATACGCGTAGATGAACTCAGCCTCAGTGGACAGCTCGAACCAGTAGGCGTTCAAGAAGGCGACAGCCTGTTGGGAGAATGATTGGGCAGCAACCTGGTTGAAGAAGGCCATTGCGTCTGGGGCCAACTTCTCAGTGAAGGAGGCACCTCCCTTCTTTCCGACCTCTGTAGCACATAACAAACAAACAAACAAGATGTTAGTATGAATGGATATGATTGAATGATTGAATGAATGAAGATAACATACCGATTCCCTCAAGAACCTTCTTGGCTGTTGGTGATGTAGATTGTGACATTGTTATAAATTTATGTACTTAATTAATACAGTTATACAGATAAAGAATAAATATTATATATTATGTTTATGTTTTATGTTATACAAGATAGATGGAGTTGATCAACTGACTGACTGTCCACTCTGTCTACAAAGCTGTTGTCTAATATCTCAATTCATTTGTCACTCACACCAGAGACAGACAAACAGATACCCTTGCCTACCCACACCCATCACATCCAATCATGACCAAAGGTGGACCTCCAAAAGATAATTGATGGCTTTGTTTTTCGATAATCAGTTCACCCATTCAATGAACAAAGCCCCACCATAAATCCAATCAATCCATCTAATCACGCCGTAGTGTAGTAGTGTGTGTGTTGGTATGTATCTGTCTGATTAATGAATGGCCTAAGGGTAATCGAAATTTCAATAACAGTCACTGAGTGAGGCAAAGTCGATGACTGACTAATGGAAGTAGCCAGCTAGGTCTATGGCCCACTCCGCCCATGCCAGGCCCATGCCCATGTAATAATGGATAACCATTATTGTTAATGTTTTTGATTGTCGGTTGTTTATTCATCGTCTGACGATCCAACAATAAGATCCGGTAGATCATCATCTTCATCGTCGTCATCGTTGGTGGTGTCCATCTTGATATTGGCATTGTTGGATGGCTTGGCATTACTTGATACTGATGTTGTTGATGTTGATGATGTTGATTGCTTCGATGTGATTGATGATGGTGTAGTGCCAAAGGCAGAGTCATCAAACAAATTGGTCCTCATGCTTCTCATTATTGGACCTCCTGTTGTTGTAGTCGTCGTAGTGGTAGTCGATGTCTTTGTTGTCTTGCCAACTGATTCCTCATCTTCCTCTTCTTCATCATCATCTTGGCCAAGTGCTCCAGCATCCTCCTCATCTTCCTCCTCATCATCATCAGACATATCATTGAATGTGATGTCAATCTTGTCATTGGCATCCTCATCGTCGTCGTGTTGGTTGTCCTCATCAGTCTCCTCTTGCTCCTCATCGTTCTCATAACTGTTGATAATGTCCATCATGTCATCGTTGGCACGTGATAGTGATGACTTGGATGCTGAGGTCTGGGCAGCAGCACCACCATTGATGGTCGAGGCTGGCGATTGAAGACTTGGACACTGTGGATGGATCAAGGCTTGGCACACGGCTGCACCCTTGGAGCACTCTGAGCGTACCTTGGGATGATCGTCAGTGTTGCAGCCAACGGTCAGCAAGCGCAGTGCGTAAGGGAGCACGGCCGGCACCGAGGGGATGGGACGCAGCACAGCACTGATCAGACAGGCATAGAGCACCTGGCGATACTGCCACGAGGCGAATGAGCTGCCAATGTAGGTGGCCGTGTTCTTCTTTGATGCCACCAGACTATGGCACTGCAATATGAGCGAGAGGAGCTGTTGGTCGATCTCTGTGCGCATGGCCTGGGGTCCGCTGGATGCCTGCAGAGATGCGCCAGTAGCGCGTGATGTTGCCAACTGGCTGCCACAATGCAGCAACAGAGATTGGAGGGCTTTGCCTGCGGCCACCTTGATGTCAAGCGAGCTGGTGTCGTGGAGATGGTTGGCATCAACGTTGCCAATGGTGTTGTTGGTTGGCTCGTCTACGCTTTGCTGGGCCATTGGTGCAGTCGTCTGCTTGTTCTTCTTCTTGCCAGAGACAGCCGTGGCAGCGGTGATTGAGATCTCTTGTGGGACGAATGGTTGGACGTCGCGCAAAAGGAATGCGACGGATGGTGTGGCCAACGAGTCAGCACAGGCAGCGCCCAACGACTCGATTGCCACTCTGATCGTTGAGTAGACCTGCAATTGAATTGTGGCGTTGGAGTATGTCTCTCTCATTCTCAAAGGGCGCAAGAGTAATGAGCTAATGGTCTTGGCATACGGTAACAATGCACGTCTAAAGCTCTGTAGCATGCTGGACAATATCGCCAAGCATTGTTGGTGAAGTTGGACAGTCACAGACAACAACTGACACAAAGGGATATCCTGGTATGATTGATAATATGTGGGTTAGTCCTGGAATCATTCCCATCACTTGATAATTCAATCCAACACCTACACTATGATCCTTCCTTGATCTGATGTTATAGAATCCAATGTTTAGGACACGACACAGTAACTTGATGATCACGTCAACTGGAACTGAACAGGCGGATTGAGTTTGAGTGGTCATCAGTCGAACGAGACATTTGGCCAAGCCATGGAATGAGTTGGCGCGTGACTGGCAGTCGACTAAAGTGCTGGGCGTGTTGATGGTGATGTTGGCTACGTGTGAAAGTTGGTTCATGATGGCATCCTCGCCTGAACTGTTCAGCTTGCTGGACGATGGCATGACGACGGCCAGTGGGAAGTCCGTCTTGGAGGTCTCGTCATCCTCTATGCCAATGTAGATGGCCGAGGCGTGGGCGTGCATCTCCACGACGAGGCGCTGTACCGTCACGTCCCAGTACAGATCGCTGGCCAGCAGGTTGACGGTCGATGGCAGGTTGGCAATCACTGTGGAAGCGCTTTCCTGGAGTGACAGCTCCCTGCTCACGAGCAGTGGATAGACAAGCGTCTCGATCTTGTTCAGGTGTGGGCGGATGGCGCTGGACAGCGACAGCACCAATGTGTTGAGCGCGATCAGACTGTCGACCTGTGCCTGCAGGCCGTACTGTATTGTGCTGTCTGGCTGCAGGGAGCTGCACACGGCGCTGACGATCGGTGCCAGGGTCGTGTTTGTGACGATCGATCGCTTCAAATCGTTCCAAAGCGCAGACTTCTCGACCAGGAGCGCCAGGGTTGCGACGAGCGACGAGTAGTCGGCAGGCTGCAACGCGACCTCGTTGACCTTGCCCGTGGGCACGATCGAAACGAGTACTTTTGACCATTTATCGGCGTTTGCCACCATCGTATCATAATCGCACACTCTGATTGTCTCGGCCATCAAACGTAAACCGAGTGGGAGCTGTGGGCTACTTGGTCTGAGCATTGCCAGAACAGCCGCACACCATTGTGTTGTGAACTTTGTTTGAGCACGATCTGCCAACACCATCTGAAGACATTGATTATGATGCAACAATGATACTATCTGTTGGATATCAATGTTGTTGTTGTTCGCGTTGTTGACATTGACATTGACAGCAGTCATATATGTATCGAGTATTGACTTTAATAACTGTATATTATCATCATTATTAATGTTTGATTTGTTGTTATTCTTTGTTTGTTGTTGCTGTTGCTGTTGTTGTTGTTGAAGTTGCTGTTGTTGTGTTGTCTTTGGAGCCAGAGTTGATAGTTTTATAACCTTCTTCTTTGACTTTTTATTTGTTACTTCATCATCCCTGTCAACCCTTGTCAAGGCATCAGCCAATCTCTTTGTTCCAACCATCTTTATATCTTATCTACCTATCTCTGTTCAATTCAATAATAAAATGCATTCGAATCATTCACATCGTTTTAATTTTGTCGTTCGTCTCAAAAAACAAACATGAAAAACGATCAATTTCAAATCAAACACCCCTTCAGCAGAATAATATTATATTTTATTTTATTATGGTTTTCCAACTTACTCCACAACTCTAATAATAATAAATAAATATGTATTCAAACATTTAATGTCCGATCGTATATTCATATTGCTACTCTCTCCAAACTATCTAGATAGAGTGGGTTCTGATCCAATAAATTCCATAATATTAATCACTCCATAACCACAATTATGGTGGTATTGATCAAGAGGAATTCCATAGTTTGGACAATTTAATTTGAGTAACCAGAGCGAAGATATCAATCATAATTGTAAATAGATTGAATTATTAAATCGAATAATGATTAACTTCTTTCAATTAATATGACTATTTAATTGATTGAAATTTGTAAATATAGAATAAAAAACCTTCATAATAATATATAATATTAATATAATATATAATTATTTAACTATACTAGATAAAAAAGAAAATAATGATTTCTTTAATTAACAAGATCTTTAGTATAATATTAATAGCCTTTGTAATCGTGGCTTCATGCCACGATCCTTACAGCATAAGAAACAGAGGTGAATACCATAAGTATGGAGATTCCATCAAATTGGGGAATAATTTCCCCAAAATCCCTTCATGATAGGCCCTGGTGGACCAATATCTTATCAAGTTCCCTATCCTGGTCCCTACCCTGGTCCTATCATTTATGGCCCCCTTGGTGCTCCTGGTCAATACCAAGTGCCCTATCCTAGTTTATATCCTGAACAAGAACCTGAACCAACCCTCGTCCTAGGAGCCCAACCACCAACAAGGTAAGGTCACCAGGAGCACCCAACTACGAATACTTGGGTTGTTTGGTTTCGTTTTATTATTACAATACAAAGTCTGGAATTTGGAAGATTAATAAATAAATTGATTGTTTGGTTGATTGATTGATTGATTGAGCTTAGACAGTGAGTAGTGGATTACATGTTGTACATAATGGACTCTTATTCTCTGTTGTATACTCCTTCAGTCCAATGTTGTTCCTGCACTTGGTACACTTTGATTGATTGATTGAACGAATGAATGAGATATGAGCGAGAGGACTGGGAGCAGGATGATGAATGGACTTACGTTGAAACACTTTGTGTGATATGATTGACCAGCTGCGTATACACTTGAAGCACCAAGGATACCTTGTCTGCATTCTCCACATCGATCAACACGTCCAGTTTCAAGACAATCGATGCAACAAAAGCTGGACAATGTTGATGATATCACCTCCCTGCTGTAAATATCTCCAACAATTGCACGTTTACATGATGAACACTTGAAGCAATTAGTATGATATCTCTCCTTGTCAATGGCAATTACATCTGATCATTGATTGATTGATTGAGTGTGAGTGTGATTGGAATAGTTCCATCAGTGATTGATTGAGTTAGTGAGTGTGATTGAGTGATTGGACCATCCCTGGGGATGAATGAATGATGGACTTACCCTCAGTTCCATTGAATCTATTGTAGCATTTACTGCAGAATCCATTCTCTTGACGAACTCTCTTGTTTTGATCATTGACCAACACTTGACATGGTACACAGAGGTAGTTGCCAGGTTGTTGCTTGTCCTCAATATATCCATTGACCAACTGTCCATTGCAATTTGAACAAGTGAAGCAGTTTGGATGGAACTTGTCACCCCTGGCATTGACAATAGTCGAGCCCCAAATCTGTTGTTGACAATTAGCACAATTGAAGTTATAACTCATTCTTTATCTGTTTGTTTATCTGTTATGTGTATGTATATATCTTAAGGTGTCAAAGTATTGAATGATCATACTAGTTGTTGTTGACTGGTTGTTTAAACAAACACACCCATCAATCAAACATATCTAGTGGAATCTGATCACTGCCCCTCAAAACACACACAAACAAACAATCATTTTGTTTGAATTGATCAAAAAAAATATCTGGCTTCGGGACTCACCCCCAATGAGGCCTTGAATGGGGCTGGGTCCCTAACTGCCATCGATGAAAGGTGGAGGTGGATTGGCCCATTGTTAGTGGATACCCGTGGGTAATGCCATCACATCAATCATGATAAATATAACTTGGTACCAAATGTTTGATTGATTGAGTGAAGTACATGAGTGATTGTGATCCCACAAACACTCGCTTTAATCGTCCAAGATGAAGATGATTGATCATTGATGATGAAGACTGACTTAGACCAAGATAAAGGATAGTAATAGTTCACCACTGCCTTTGGGCTCCAATGGAAGAGAATGGGTGGTTGGGGAGTAGTTGTTGAGTGAGAGACTGGAGAAGGCAAGCTCTGCAGTGCCAATCACTGAAGGGGCGGTCGATTCGCCACCTGCAACACCATTGGCAATGTTGTTTGTGTTGGTGGTGCTGTTGGTGTCCAGTGAGCTGTAGACCTTGAGATACAGCTTCTTCTTGTCCTTGATGTTGACAGTCTGTCGGTAGTTCCAATTGGGATAGGGGCCTGGTATTGTTGGCGTCCTATAAGTGTGTCCAATGAATGTATTCGTTTCCTCTGGCTGCTTATCAACATCATAAACGCAATAAGACACTATATCCCACATTGACTTTGCACCTTGTTTGATATCCTTTCCCTCCACAACCGTTATCTCCAACATCTGTTTCCTCTTATTTACATCCTCCAACGTCACCTTCTTGTGTACCAACTCTAAAGTTGATTGATTGAATGTTAGCTCGCGACACAAGTCAGAGTTGTTGGCGAAGAACATACTGTTTGTAAAGACTGGGTTTGTTGGATCAAGGAAACGAGCTAGATCGGTTGATCGTCTGACTGATGCTGTTGGACATGTAATAAGATGTTGTAGGAACTCCTGCAATGACTTTCTTCTCGACTCCACCAATGTAGCATTCAACTTATTCAACTTCTTTGGTGGGAATGGATATTTAATCTGGAAGTTGTGGACCATCTGTTGTATATGTTTGATTGATTGAGCTGAGTCAGTGTCATTGACTTCATCATGGTCATAATCATCTTGTATTGATCCAATACTAATACTAACCAGTTGATTCAATGCTAGAAACTCAGAGAACCTCCTTGCAATGCTATATTCCTCTCCATTGTCAACGACAATATCTACTATATACTCCTATGATGGTTGTGAATGAATGAGTTAGTGAGTGGATATCAATCAATCAGTCAACCAACAGTGATAGACATACTGTAAACTTCTTTCCATTCTTCTCTCTTGTCTCTGTCTTTGAGATTGCTGCTGATCTCTTATCCAAGTTTACGTATGATTCTGCCATTTCTTTGTTGTAATAAATAGATATATATGTATATGTTATTAAGTAGGGGATAGGAGTAATGAATGAATTGATTGATGTGTGTGAGATAGTTATTGGTTGGATCAATCCATGTTTGAAAAAGCATTGGATTCGTCAACACGCAATCAAGACAACAATGGGGTGAGTGGGTTGATGTCGACATCATCCCTTTCGGATCAATCAGTCGCACAAACTGTAACACCATGCGGTAATATATAAGTAGTAATTACTACTAGTTTATTGTCATACAGATAGAGATAATATATATATTATCTCTGGATAAGAAGGGAGATAGCTATTTGAATGATTGTGATTGATGGATTGGTTATACTTGTTGTTCAGTTACATTATACTGTTGCTTCTTTAGAGTGCTAAGACCCTTGCGAGCAAACTCCAACTCCTTCTCCAGACGGAGAATGGCCATTTGTTGCTCCATCTCCTTGACCTTGTATCCGGTGACGGTCATCTTGCCAAAGTCAACCTCCTCGTCGCCAACCATCATGGACACGGCCTTGGCCGCGGCCACCAACAGATTGGTGGCATTCTGCACACTCTTGGCACAGTTGCTGAGCTTGTGTTGCGATGGTGAGTTGATGTCTGACTTGGACTTGCATGCAGAGACCAACTGTGATGTGGCCGCTGTCACCTGCTTGGAAGAGGCAATGAGTGCCTCCTCCGTGCCTCCTGCAATATCTTGTCCATTTGCTGCCTTGTTGGCGGTCTCCACCAGTTGTTTGGTGGCTGCAGCTACACTCTTGGCGGCCGAGATCAGTCCCTCGGCCCAGGTTGGGTCCTTTCTGTACAATGGTCCGTCGTGACCGGCTCTGCCCTTCTCGACACGCTCCTTCTGGGCAGTTGTTGCTGCGCCGACCAGAGTGCTCGTGGCAGATGTAATGGCCATGGCGGCCTCAATGATGGCCTCTGCAACATCTGGCATGTCGCCCTCCTTCTTTGGTGGACGTCTGCTCTTGGCAGCCAGAAGGGACTTGGCGGCGTCCTCAATGGTCTTGGCGGCGGCCATCAGCTCACGCTCAGCCAAGTCATCGAGGTCGAAACCATTCTCGTCGACGTATGGTCTCTCCTCGGTGGCCTGCGACAGAGCATGTCTGGCAATGTGCTCCAATGATGCTGTGCCCTGCTGCAGCTCCTTGATGTTGGAGGCGATTCTCTTGCGGTCCTCCTCGTCCTGGCATTGGCCGCCCTGATGTCTGACAGAGTCAAACAAGTTCTGTGTGAGTGCTCCAATCTTGCGCGCTGCGTCAAGGAAGCGGCTCTGATCGCCCTGGTTGTTGATAAGTCTAGATACTCCCTTGGCGTCAAAGAAGAGGTTCTTGAGTGAGTCGCTCACGCCACCCACGGCGCCAAAGATGCTCATCTCTGGGATCTCGCCCTCCATGTAGCACATGTTCATCAGGTTGGTGGCCTGGCCCATGTGGTGGATCAGGTCGGTGATGAGCATCTGCTCGGTGGCCTCCTGGTTGCCCAGGTTGTTGGGGTTGTCCAGCGCCGACAGGCACAGGGCAATGTCCTTCCTGGCCTTGTTGAAGTCGGCCTCCATGCGCTCGACACGCTGCTTCTCGTAGTAGTCTCGCAGCTGGGTGAATTGCTCGCGCAGCTGATCGTTCTGCTTGACCACCTCGGCCGTGTACTTGTCGTTGCTCTCAGAGATCTCTGCAACACGCTTCCTGGCGTTTGTAACTTCCTGGATCATTGCCTCGCGCTCCGACAGCTTCATCTGCAGCTGTCTGTTCTTGTCCTGCTCCTCGGCCAGCAGACGCTCGAGCTCCTCAATGCGTGCGCGCAGAGCGTTCAGCTCGGCTGTGTTGCTGACGGTCTTGGTGATGATCTTGGTGATGACACGTGTCTTCTCGGCACCACCTGATGTGGCGGTCGAGGGCACTGGCGATGTGTTCTTGTCCAGCGATGCTGTCTTCTCGACGGGGACGGGTGTGCTGTTTGAGCGCTGTCTGTTGGCCTCCTCGTCGAATGTTACCCATTGTGACGATGGGGGAGGTGGAAGTGGCGTGGGGTCGTGCATGATTGGAGGAGGTGGCTGAGGCATGGGCATAGGTGCGGGCATTGGGTTGTACATGGGAGCACCAGCGCCAGCGTTGTTGTACTGTCCCCATGTTGTGTTGTCCTGTTGCTGCATGAATGGGTTGCCGTAGACCACTGGAACAGTCTGGCGGATGAACACGGGCGTGGGCACGGGCACGGGGATCTGTGTGATCTCTGGCTGTGGGGGTGGAGGAGCCTTGACGGGTGGTGGCGACGGCTGTGGCATGACTCTCTGCTTTGGTGTCTCTCTGCGTCTTCTGACAAACTTGGGAGGGTCTGGTGGCAAGTTTGGTACGGCAATAACACTAGACACACTGTTCACAGCGTTGGCATTGATGTAGAAGTTCCTCAAAGTCTGATACTGTACGTAGAACCTTTGAATGGCAAAGTCAATAACTTCCATGTTGTCAGTTACTGTTTGGTTGAATCATTGTTCGATTGTTAGTATGAGTATGCGAGGGCTAGAAGGTGATTGATTGAGATACTCACTGTCTACGAGACTTGTAAGGAATTGGACAACGAGTAGGTAGATGGCGTATGACTCCATGACAAGGGGAATGAATGATGCTGTCTTGCAATCGTTGTAGGGAGCAGCATCGACAACGGCATTCTGCATGCGGAACACGGCGTCCAGCATGTCCATGAGATGGCTGACGGTCTGCAGACCGCGATCAATCTCGACGTCCTCAAACTTGTGGTTCTTTTGGTAGCCGTCCATTGTGAGACCGCCATCAAACTCGGGATGTGCCTGATGGAAGCGGATCTTGTCGATCATAAAGGTGCAGTACTCTCCGACAAGGTTGGCAAAGCCTGCCTTGTCGTGATGTCGTCGCCAGTGCTGTCTGAGATTCTCAAACCACGAGATCTTGTGCGATACGTCGCTCAGCACGTTCTTTGGTCCCTCCTGCACGACCTTGTGAATTGTAATTATAGCCTTGTAGCATACGACCTCATTCGTGTCCAAAGGACGTTTATAAAGTTCATGTAAGAATGATCTAGCGCTGTTCTCATTGTGACATTCTAATACAATGGCTATATTCATTCATTCATTCAATTATTAGTATTCAATCAATCAATCAATCAACTCAAACAGTTACATACATCTAACATGCTTTCTCTTTGGTGCAGTGACCTTTGAGTTTGTGGCCTTGTGCACAATGATTTCTAGCACCGACATGTTGGTGGATTTATCCCAATGATCTATGAATATTTACAAATCTGTATTATTATGATTGATTGATTGATTGATTGATGGTATGTATATGATATATGATTGATTGATTGAAGAGATATATGAATAATAATAATAATAATGTTAATGAAGTTGATGTAGAAGTGTCAGAGTCACCTGGTTGTTGATGTGTTTCATTCATTCACATCATCACTCTACCCTATCCTACATCGAGGTGGTGTGCGATGTCAGTTATGTGAATTAACTCATTTCAAACGGTGATGTTCCAAAAACATTTAATTAAATTTAATAATAAATTAATTAAACCCACACACTTTTTGTTCATTGAACTGTTCTTCATCACAAAGAATGATCATTCACTACTTCTTCTTTCGTTAATGTCTACATGTTACTTACGCTTACACACAAATAAGTCCAATCAATGTTTACTTTTTTCCTTGACTCAACGTCAAATGTTGACAACGACCAAGTTGGACTGCCTAGAATGATCAGATATCTCTGAACTTCGTAATGAAGCAAACTGATCCAAATACACTCCCCCCTCACCATGATCATCGATGGAACAACCACCACAAGATTGGATCAATCAATCAATCATGGATCATGATCATAACATTTGGAATGTGCCATTGGTTGATTCCAACCGTTGGAAGTTATGAATGATGGCTGTACATTGGTTACGATGATTTACGTGTCGCATCGAAAGATTTAGGGATTTGACACGGAGAATGACTGAATGGATGAGTGTTGATGACTGGTGTATCGCGAATGTCAATGGTATGATGACATACTTTACTTGCTGGGTGACACAAGGAACATATCAAAACGATACTATACGATGTCTCTATCTATTTCAATCGTCATGATCTTTTGGAACATCATATATAAATAGACTGGGACGTCTTCGTCCTTGAGGGCAATTCGCGAGTTCAGTACGTGATCGTTTCGTCGATGGGTGGGCAAAGGGTCTTTTTGTTTGATGGAACCTTCCACACGGCCACATGTTTTTTCGGCGGGTCCACACCACACACTTCCATGGAAGAGAACACATCCAACCACACTTGCGGTCCATTGGTATGTGTTGGAACTCATCACACACGACGCCGAGTTGGGTGAACAACCTTGACACTCATAGAGTGCACTCTACTTTGGATATTTAATAATAGAAAGTCGACTTTCATACCTGAACTCTACACCTCTTCTCTTGGTTTGTTAACTTGTCCATCCACAATCTATAAATGCTTGGAGGTGTGTCCACATCAATCAATCAACAACTTCAAGTTATACACCTACACACATACTTCAATCAAACAAATATAATAATATGATAATGACTGTCCCAGCTTACTCCAAGACTCTTCAGGTTGCCGTCATCGGATCATCCACTGTTGGACAAGTGCTCGCCAGAGCCTTTGCCACTGAGGGCTTTGCCACTATGATTGGAACACGTGATGTGTCCAAGCCAGACTTTGTCAAGTACATCCAAGAGAACCCAAGCATCAAGACCGGCTCATTCGCCGACTGCTCCAAGTTTGGCCAGGTCATCGTGCTCGCCGTCGGCGGTCAATACGCCGTCGAGGCCATCCAGCTCGCCGGAGGCAACGCCGCCCTCGAGGGACGCATCATCATCGACGCCACCAACCCAATCAAGGGTGTGGAGGCCGGCAAGGTCATGTACTTCACCCAGCAGAACGAGTCGCTCATGGAGATCCTCCAGCGTGAGGCCCCATCTGCCCACTTTGTCAAGTCGTTCAACAGCATTGGCAACAACGTCATGTACCGTCCCAAGTACGAGAACGGCCAGCGTGGTTCCATGTTCATCTGTGGCAACAACGACGCCGCCAAGGCCACCGTGTCCACCATCCTCTCTGAGAACTTTGGCCATGATGCCGTCGACTGTGGTACCGTCGCTGCTGCCAGCGGTATCGAAGCCCTCTGCCCACTCTGGGTTGGTCTTGCCATCAAGCAAGGTTACTTCAACTGGGGTTTCAGACAGATCTGTGTTCCAAAATAAACTGTTAATACTCCAAAATGTGAGTGATTAACTGATTCATTATCCTGTAAACATCATGTTGTGGACTATAGTTTTTGATTGATTGGCGTAGTTCCAGTGATTGATTTAATATGTTTGAGTGATGGCGCTTGATCAACCCGGGAAAGATATACATACATTAAATTGTGTTTACCACGAGCAATCATACTCCCGGGACAAACGATTGTGATGGTGTTGTCCAGCACTCAACTCTTGATGCCATCATCAACAATCAGTTCAAATAAACACGTCCAAGTCGTCAGTCAGAGGCAGTGATTGTGACCTTATCCTTCTTTTCAAACAATGTCATACATAGTCTTTCTCTTCCCTCAAATACACACACACACTCTTGTGATCAAAATTTGATGAGCTTGTTCAGGTAAATGTTTGAATGGGTTCAACTGTTCAAATAAAAAAATATTGAATTATTAAATTTGAATTAAAAATGAACAACATCACTTCATCCTTTTATGAATGATCAGTGGGTGAAACACACACTCATCCCATCAAGCCTTGTCTCTCCCGCACTAACTAACTCAACTAAACTTTATTTCAAACAAAATACACATCCATCACATTGTAATTTAATAATAATAATACAAATAATAATTAGATATATATATATATTATATAAATATGACAGACTTAAATAAGGAATGGGAGAAGGTACAAGAGATGGCCTTCACATCATGGGTCAACTCTGTGTTGGATAAGCGCGGTGTACCAAAGATTGCCGATGTCTCAACTGACCTCAGCGATGGTGTCAAGCTCATCTACTTCTTGGAGACTGTCTCTGGAAAGAAGTTCCACAAGAAGTTTGACAAGGAGCCAAAGACCCGTATCCTCAGGATCCAGAACCTTCATTTGGCCATGATCTTTGTCGACTCTGACCTCGGTGTCAAGGTACAAGGTGTTGCTGCTGAGGGTAAGTGTGTTAGAATGGAGGGGAACAGGACGCACAAGGGACAGCATCAACTCACTCACTCATTCATTCAATCATTCAATCAATCAATTAATCAACCTTTATAGAGTTTGTCGATAGCAACAAGAAGATGATTCTTGGTTTCCTTTGGACTCTTTACCGTAAATATCGTATTGCAGTCATTAGTGAGGGAGACAAGAGCTCAGAGGAGGGTCTGTTGGCATGGGTAAAGAAGACTACAGATGGATACGACGGAGTCAACATTACAAACTTCAAGAACAGTTTCAAGGACGGCAATGCCTACTTGGCCCTGGCTCACAAGTTCGACCCATCAGTGTTCAGCTATGGCGAGTACCACGGCAAGGAGCTGATCGACCGTCTCAACTCTGCCTTTGAGTTTGCAGAGAAGGGTCTGGGCATCCCCAAGTTGTTGGACGCCGAGTCGCTGTCCAAGGGCAACGTCGACGAGCGTTCCATCGTCCTGTACACCTCTCTGTTCTTCCACGCCTACCGTGCCAAGGAGGAGCGTGAGGCTCTTGAGGCCAGCCAAAACTCGCTCGCCAACAAGCTCGCCTCGCTCGAGCAGTCCCTGGAGGGTGAGAAGCTCTCCCACGACGAGCTCACCAAGCAGAAGAAGGAGCTCGAGGACGCCCTCAACCAGATTCGCAGCCAGAACGAGGCCAGAAACCAACGTATTGCCGACCTGCAGTCAAAGATCGACGACGCCCTCCGTGGCATCGATGATGAGCGCATGGCCAAGCTCGACCTCGAGTCGCGCATCTCCAAGACCGAGAAGGACAAGGCCATCCTGGAGCTCAAGCTGGCAGAGACCCTCGACGAGAACGAGCGTCTGCGCAACAAGCTCGAGGAGGACAAGAGACGTGCCGCCGCCGAAAAGGAGGGTCTCGGTCTCCTGCGCACTCACATCTCCCACCAGATCAACGACATTGCCAAGTGGCAGTCGTTCCTCGACAACCCCGAGGCCATTCCATACACCAAGCAGCCAGTGAACCTCGACACCGAGATGGGTTCGCTCGCCTTTGAGGAGCAGGCCAAGCGTCTCGGTTCCAAGGTTGAGAATGAGAACGTTTCACTGGAGAAGTATTTGAAGCAGAAGGAGGACGATGTCAAGAATGCCGGTGCTCCAAAGAAGAGAACCAAGTAATCAATCATACATCAACACTCTATAGCACTACCACATTCATTCATTCACATCACATCCTACCAACCTACCTACCTTACAACGAGATTGACCTGGCGTCAACCATGTACCTAAGCCCTTCCCAAACAACAACATACCATACATTACATACAATTACTACAACTACAACAATGAATTACAACAAGTTATACAACAACACATTGTTGGTGAAGAGGCAATAATAATAATAAATTGTACACTCCACTCCATATCCTCACTCATTCATTCATCTTGTATTACTACAAATATATATATTTAATCTTGTAATTCTATCATGTCATTGGATCTGGATACTAGATTTGGTTTTATGTGGTATCTTGGGCGTCGTTTGATGTTCACTCCCACACTATCTGTACCCCATCCTCTTTAGCCTATGCATCCATTTCCAACAAGTATCCAGATGAATGAACACATTAATTCCATCTCTTCTTCACTGTCACTCAAACAGTTCAATTTGAACAACAACTAATATAATCAACAAGAGATAATATCATACAAATAATTCAATAGTAGTAATATTAATAATTATTACAACAAATATTAATAACCAGTAAAAAATGATGAAAGCTGTACAGTATGCTAATAAGGGAGAGGATTTGAAGTTAGTGGAAGTACCTATTCCAAAGCCTGGAAAGGATCAGGTTAGGATTAAGATTGTTGCTTGTGGAATTTGTCATTCGGACACATTCGGAAAGTATGGTATCCCGGGTATTACATACCCGAGGACTCCAGGACACGAGGTCGGTGGTGTTATCGACCAGTTGGGAGAGGGTGTCACTGGCTTTAAGGTCGGAGACAAGGTTGGAGTTGGTTGGTTCGGAGGTCATTGTGGACATTGCAAGGCTTGTCGTGAAGATGACTGGGTTTGCTGTACAGAAGGAAAGGTAAGAATGACAATATATCCAACAATCTAACAATTTTATGTCATTGACTAACATTAATCATCATCAAGGTATGTGGAATCCATTATGATGGAGGATTCGCAGAGTATATGGTCGCCCCATTGGATGCCCTTGCTAGGATACCAGATAATCTGCCATTTGAGCAGGCTGGACCACTTATGTGCGCTGGAATCACGGTGTTCAACTCTATTCGACATCAACATATCAAGGTGGGATCTGTTGTGTGTATTCTTGGTATTGGAGGACTGGGACATCTTGCCATCCAGTTTGCAAGAAGGATGGGTTACGAGGTTGTTGCTCACAGCTCCGGTGCTGACAAGGAGAAGTTGGCCAGAGACCTTGGTGCGCATCACTACATTGATGGATCGCAACCAGATGCCATTCAAAAGTTGACCGCCTTTTCACCAAAGATGATTGTGGCAACCACTCCACATGCCAAGACCATCGAGTCTGTCATTCCAACCCTAGCTGTTGGTGGCAAGTTGTTGGTCCTTGCCGCTGCTCAAGAGCCATTGAGTGTTTCCTGTCTTCAACTGATTGGAAAGAAACAATCTATTGGTGTAAGTACTCATGTTGTGGCTTGATCGTTGTAGTTGGGGCGAGGAATGGAGCAATCCTAACATTCATAATGAACAATAGGGATGGCCAAGTGGAGACTCCAGAGACTCTGAGGAGACCATGAGGTTTGCGCAGATCAATGATGTCACACCAATGATTGAGACATTCCCTCTTGAGAAAGCACCTGAGGCCCTTGCCAAGGCATTGAACAACAAGGTCAGATTCAGATCAGTCCTTGTTATGAAGCATTGATGAAAGAGTGGCGTGTAGATAGAGAGAGAGAGAGAGTAAGGATAAGTTGATTAAACATTCAAATGAATGACCTGGTCACGTGATGTCAATCATTCGTCTAGGCTTCGACAATCAGTGTGTGTTTTTTGTTTGCCTCTTTGTACTCTAATCGATCTATTTGATTGTAGATAGATAGATAGGTTGTGGCCCACCAAACACAATACCAATCATCCAATCAGAGTGGTCACTACACTCCATCTACTCAATCACTCACCACTAATCACTAACACATCAATCAATCACATGACCACAGCCCCCACTCACACTCACCCCCTACTCAGTGATGTAAGATGTAACACTCTCTGATTATCTTATCTCTTATACGCGCAACAGTGTGTCCCTTTAGATATTCATCATTATTACAACAGTCAACCAACCAACAACAGTGTTGTTGTTGTGTGTTGAGATAGATGGTGTTGGTTCATTGGTTGGAAAGTGTATGTGTATGTTCGTTCAATCATTCATTCCTTCCTGGTCCTCCTACCTACTACCTATCACCTCAGTCTGGCATCAAGCTTAGCCGGCTTCTATTTGATCACTTTATGAATATGATGATGATGTGAAATAGTAAGTGGACAAAGGTGATCGCGATAATCATCACTCACCCAATACAATCAATCAAACATATACATACAACATACATACATCACATAATTAAATAATATAAATAATAATAATTAATTTAAAGGGAGACTGGAGAGATAGATAAATATAGAACCAACTCGAAATAGCAAGCCAGCACAACAACAACATCAACCCTTAATCACGTTGTTAATGGTACGGTAAGAAATGTGTGAGTGGTGATGATAGCCGGCCGGCAGGCTTGACTGGCAGGCCAGGTTGGATGGTGATCACCGATGAACGGACATATTGTCGGAGGATAGTGAGTAATGGAGTTCAGCTGATCATCCATCCTACCATCCATCCATCCAGCCATCCAACTAGTTGTTATAGTAACAAGCATAACATAACATAGACTAACTAAATACAGGTACACTCATTCATTCATTCATAGAGAATAGAATAGTGCACATCAATCAATCAATCAATCAAATATCAAGCCCAATTCCAATTATAACAACAATTATTCAATCAATCAATCAAATAATTTAATCCAGAGTTGAAGGAGCAGTCGAAACAGGAAGACATCATCCAGACATTGAGGAGTTGATAACATTTCACACCAACAAACAAGAACAGAAGACAGCACTATACCCTTGAGGAGCATCATAATGATACTGCCCTGCAAGCAGCTGGATAGTCTGGAAGACGAATTGTAGAGCGCTGCCACACACAAACATATACACACTCCATTTGGACCAAATACAGATACAGATACAGATACATAGCAACAACCAGAGGTTACTCAACAATAATAATAGATTAAGAGTCTAATTATTCAATCCACAACACTTCAACCTCATCATCATCATCATTAATCAACAACATCATACATACAGGAACAACAACAAAAAACAATATTCCATCATCATCAACCTAAGCAACAACAATATGATGGAAAGGCTAAAGAGCAGTGCAGAGAAGCTATCTTCGTCAGATGCTTCGATCCAGGAGAACTGTCTGCGATACCTCATCAATGGATCAGCCGACAGTATGTTATGATCATCGAAGATTGGAATTGATCAGTGACTGGTTGACTGACCTAACCCTGACGAATGCGATTGATCAATCACCCACCCCCATCCAGGCTCGATCCAGGTATTACTATTCTCCATGGTGGGACCTAAACAACTCAAACAACTGATACACTCTAGCAACGAAGTAATACAGATGCTATCCACATGGTTACTCAGTCATTTATGTCTAAATAGTAAACGTCCACATTACATCCATCCACTTCACATCCATCCATCATTCAATCAATCAATCAATCAATCACAATCAGCCAAACATCCTATTATGAATATATTTCGAAGACATCAAGAGAGACAGAGACTAACATATATTATTGACAAACTCAATCGATCAGGTGATAATTGTGCCAAGGTATTCAAGTCGGATTTATTACAGAGTGTTATGGAGTTGTTATCATCAGAGAATCAGGATATTGCTGAGAAGGCATTATGGGTGCTGACCAATCTGTCATTATGTCCAGAGCACACCAGTCTACTGGCGGAGCATGGTGTTGTCGAGACATTAATATCATTCATCAAGCGAAACAATCATACATTGATCATACTATCAGCAGTTCCACTGAGGAACCTATTACACAAGGACACATGCAATGACTATCTTGACCATCAAAAGGCTGTATGTCACAGTGGTGCCATCCAAAACATAACCTCAATACTCAGTTGCCAATACTCTGCTCTCCCAAAAGAGTTGATACAGTCACTTATCTCCATCATCCATGTACTCTCAATATATCATCGTAAGTTCACCCATCATCTCCCTGGCTCACTCACCCAATCACTAACTTGTACCCAATCAAACAGCACTCATTCGGAGGATTATAGCTATTTCTGGAGTTCTTGGACATTTGACATCATTCCTCTCATCACCTACAACACCTTTGACGATCAAGGAACAGGTTGTATCAATTCTTATCAACCTATCTTTGACAGAGGAGACTGAACGACCTATTTTGGACTCTGGCGCAATCACACCTTTGATTGAGTGTGCAGTTTCAATGAGCTCACCAATCAGTATCAAGGCACTGAGTATCAGTTGTTTGGCCAACTTGTCCTCCAATCCTGAGATAAGGACTGTTCTACATTCCAAACTACTAGTCGAGGGTCTTTGCGAGTTGCTCAAGGAAGATGAAATCAGGACCAATCCTCAGTTCATCATTGCCATCTCATTATTGACCGCCAACATGTGTATAGATGGTATGTTTCCCATCAACCTCAATCAATCAAATACCAAACTAACAATATACACCCTCCAACACTTCAGAAACATGTCGATATTTGTTATCATTAACATCATGCCATGATATGTTCACAGAGCTACTGGTGGATTATCCAGATCATCAGGTCAGGGAGTCATTGTTAAAGGCATTGGAGAATATGAACATTCCAGTTTCACTGCCACATCACATGTTGGAACCAACAGAGCTCAGTATCAAGGAGGATATATCAGATTTCTGTCCGACAGACAGTATGGGACCATCAATGTCATTGTCACCATCGCCAATCAATCAGACCAGTGTACTGAGTGAGAGGTCAGAGTACTCTGAGTGTGTGACACCACAACTGCGCGACTCCATCACAAGTGAGGACACCGCAGTAGTTCCTCAGATGCTGGAAGATGAGAACACAAGTTTCCGACGTGGCAAGATCATCAAGGAGATTATCGACACAGAGCAAGCATTCATATATTCAATCAATGTTTGCATTAGAGTATGTTTTAATAATTCCGGAGAATGTTCCATTACACATACTCACTCAACATTCAATCATGATTCAGGTATATTATAATCCATTAGTTGTTGCCCCATCAAGTCCACCAATATTACACAAGGATCTTGTGGATAATATATTTACAAACATTGACAAGGTGTTTAGAGTCAACTGTGAATTCCTAAAGAAGTTGAGATCAATACCAGAAGGCGACGTGATGGAGGTTGCCAGTTCCTTCCAATGGCTATGGGATCAACACGCAACCATTCCAGAGTATCGACACTACATCAATGGATTCAATAGGGCAATGGACCTGATACACGAGAACAGGGCAAAGATTCCAAGATTCAAAGAGTTCCTTGATGTAAGTTAACTCAAATGGAGTCTCCATTTGGAAATTCAGCAGTTTTTTAACCTAGTTTGCACCATACATCATGAATAGAAATGTCAATTCTCTGATCAATGCAAGAGCGAGACATTGGAATCATATTTAATTAGACCTATACAGAGAATACCAAGATATATATTATTGTTGACCGACCTTTTATCACATACCTCAGATCCAATGGAGCGTAGTGCAATCAATGATTCACTGAGGAGGACCAAGACAGTGGTGGACCTACTGAATGAATCAAAGAGGAGTGCAGAGAACTTGGCCAAAGCACATCAACTACAGGATAAAGTTATGGGATTGCAAGATGGATTCCAACTACACAATGGAGCTCGACAGTTACTCCGCGAGGGATTGATGATGGAGTTCAACAAGAACAAAAAGGTGTCACAATATCGATACATCCTGCTCTTCAACGACTATCTCTACATCACCAAACAAAAGAAGAGGAAGTACTATGTCAAGAAGACCGTTCCACTTCTCGAGGTCAAGGTTGTAGATGTACCAGGTATGTTCATTCATTCATTCTTTCAATCAATCAATCATTCAGTACAACTTACATTTATACAATCAATTAGACATTGAGAACTCATTTAGAATATTCTGGAGCAATAGAGAGATGGATAGGAATGAGAATGGAGCAGTGCTGTGTAGTTCCAAACCAGAGGAGAAGGAGGAGTGGATAAAGGAAATAAGGGAAGCCAGCAATGAGATGAAGAGAGCAAACCTCCAGAAGATGTTGCATCGATCACAGTCACCAAAGACAACAAGGTCATCAAAGGGCAAGCTACATAGTTGAGCCCTGGGACGGTCACTCAGTGTTGTGATAACAATATTTACAATATATATATATTTATATTTTAATATTTGCGCTTTAAATTTAATTATAATGATTGATCAACCAATCACTAGCTCACTTCTTTGATTTGTAGATTGTGTCTGCGATTAACATTGTGTCCTTGATCTCGGATACATCATGGATTCTGATGATGTGGACTCCCCATCCGGCACTGACACAACAGCATGCTGCTGTGCCCCAGAGTCGTCGTGAACTCTTGGCATCTGGAACAATCTTGCTGTTCTCACACTTGGCGATTGTGGCACCAATGAATCCTTTACGCGATGGTCCAATCAGTAGTGGGAAGCCACGCTTAACTAGCTCGCCACCACGACGAATTAGATCGATAGACTGATCGTAGGTCTTTGAGAATCCAAGACCTGGGTCCAGGATAATCTGCCACAGATGTAGGCCTGATGCCAACAGACTCTGTACGCGCTCAGTGAAGAATGAATCGACAATCTCAATAATGTCTGGTGATGAGTCGATTGTGGAGAAGTCTGGCTCCACTCCATTGGCCTCAGCCTGCTGCTTAATGTGCTGTTGCTGCAAGAACTGTTGAGTTGGACGATCGTGGTTGATGATGATTGGCACTCTCTCCTTCCTGGCCACATCAATGATGGCGGGGTCTCTAATGCCTCCTGTGACGTCATTGATGATGTTGCATCCTGCTTCAATGGCCTTGCTGGCGACGATGGCATGATAAGTGTCGATGGACAGGGGGATGTCGGGATGCTCCTGGCGTATCCTCTTGATGATGGGGATGACACGGTCGAGCTCCTCCTGTGGTGTGATCTGCTTGGCGCCAGGATATGTCGACTGTCCGCCGATATCAATGATGTGTGCGCCGTCCTTTATCAATTTGTTTGCTTGGTTCAATGCAGTGTCCACGCCAGAAAACAGTCCACCATCAGAGAAACTGTCTGGAGTTACGTTCAAAATACCCATAATGAATGTCTTTGTGTTCCATTGCCAGAGTGACTTATTGACGCGCATAACCTTTCTGATTGTTGTTGGTGAGCTCAAGTTGATCTTCATCTGATTGGTAGTGATATGCATTGATGGATGAATGTAGTTTGGTGCGATGCTAGAGAGAGCAAAGGTATGATTGTAAGTGTGTGATCAAGTGATTGAAGGAGTGACTGGAACATACTCTGCAAGGGGAACAAGTACAAAGTCACGCTCCCACATGAGCTTGTGAGGTATCTCCAAGGTCTCTGACTTGAGAACGATGTTGTTGTAGTATATGATGTCGAGGTCGATTGGACGAGGGCCATTTCTAAAGGTCTCTTGTCTGCCCATTGCCACCTCGATCTCTTTGAGCTTGCCCAGTAGCTCGTGTGGATTGAGCGACGTGGAGATGCGACAGCAGCAATTGAGGAAGCAGTCCTGGTCGACAAAGTAGGCCGGGTCCGACTCATACATGAACGACGTGGTCTGCACGTGCGAGAACTTGGACAGCGCGTCCAATGCGTCGATCACATTCTTGAAGCGGTCGCCCATGTTTGAGCCGAGTGCGAGGTAGGCAATGTTGTGTCCACTCATGTTGCCCTTAGTCTGCTCGACGGTCGATGGTATCTCCAGACTGACGTGATCCTTGAAGTATTGTAATGTTCTCTCGATGCGCACACCAGGCCACTTGGCCAGCTTGACGGCGCCAGGCTTCTCGACCAGAACCTTGACGCGCTCCACACCGAATCCCAGACAACAGGTGCGAGCCACACCCGTTGCCAGAGCTTCTAATGTATAATGATGTGATGATTCGACGTATGCCACAACAGACTTTGACAGAGTACTATATGATATAGTCTCGCTGACCAAGTCTGATTGACCACATGATGACAAGTCCTTATACAACTTCAACGTCATCACTATATTCTGTTTAATATTCCTCTCATTGGCATTCACGCCAATCACTGCTTGAACATGTAAGTTCTTTACAATTATACTATCTAACATATCTTTATCTTTATCTGTATGAATGTATAGTAATAAATGAGATAGTGAATGTGTTGGAGATGAAGTGAAGTGAAGTAGGAGTGGGTTCCGAATAAAATTGGTGCTCCGATGATCGCTCGTCCCAAAGGGGTTGATGTTCAAGATAAAATTTAATGCGGCCAATGTGATGGTAACGGAGTTTCCGCGCCATAAGCTCAATGGTGGGGGTCAATTTATTATCTATCTATCTGGTGAACTGTTACCAATACCATTACCATGACGTAATGATAATACATTAGATTGAGCATTGACAAGTTGTTTGAATCTACTATCTGGTTGGAGATTGAGTAGGTTGTTTGGACTATCATACTCAACAACTTGTCCACGATCTACGACTACTATTAGGTCACTGTCAATGATGGTATCCAATCTATGTGCTATAGTCAATACAGTTCGATCTTTGAAGTTGGTCTCAATCACTCGTTTGATCAAAGCATCGGTAGCATAGTCCAAAGAGGCAGTGGCCTCATCCATCAAGATAACAGGTGACTTGTTCAAGAGTGCGCGAACAAGACATAGTAGTTGTTTCTGGCCTACAGAGAAGCCATCACCTCCTTCCTCCAATGTACCATCCAACTTCATTGGCATTGACTCGACAACATGCTTCATATTGACTTTCTCCAATGCCTGCCAGAGATCCAAGTCTGTGTGCTCATTGAATGGATCGATGTTCATGCGAACTGTACCCGAGAAGATGAATGGGTCTTGGGGGATGACACATAGTTTGCCTCGCAAATCGTCCAGTCCAATCTTTGTGATGTCCACGCCATCGATGTATATCGCTCCCTTGCAAGGCTCCACGAGGCGGAAGAGTGTGAGACCAATCGTGCTCTTGCCAGCGCCAGTGCGACCGACAATGCCAATCTTATTGCCGGCTCCAATCGACAGGTTGATGTCTCGTAAGCTGGGCTCCAGGTTGGGACGATATCGCACCTCAATGTTCTTGAACTCAATCTCACCTCTGTTCGGCCATCCCTCGTCTGGTCGGTTGTCCGCGACCACTCTTGCACCCTCACGAGGAAGCTGGACATACTCGAGGATGCGCTCCACCGAGTTCATCCTCACCTCCAACTCTGAGTATTGGCGAATGGCGATATTGAGCATTCCAGTGATGCCAATGGCTGAGGTTACCACGATTCCCGCGACACTGGGAGAGTAGCTGGCGGTGAGCATGGCGATAATTGATGCGGAGAGTACCATGAGACCTGTCATCAGTTCCAGGTTCATGCCCAGCCATCGGTTGACCGAGTAGGCATGGTAGAATATGCGCAGGTTCAGATCGACATGTTGATCAAAGGTGTCAACAAAGCGTTGTTGTTGTCCAAACACTCGGATGGATGACAGACCATTGAATGATTCGCTGACATGGCCAAAGATGGGACTTCTCGAGATTGAGTCCATTCTTTTGAGTTCACGACTTGAGTGGCGGTAGAACTTTTGTATCTGGTAGTAATACAAAGAGAGGAGGCAGACGGGGATTAGGATGTAGGGCGTGAGGTATGCCATCAATGCCAGGGCGATGAGGAATGATGTGCCACAGGACACCACGTCATTGATTGATTCGAGTAGGGCATAGTCAAGGTCGCCAATATCCTTGGAGAATCGATTAAGTATGCGGCCAGATGGGTTACTATCAAAGAATGTCGTTGGTGAATTGAATACACTATGCATCATGGTATGATGTAGCTTCTTGGATGCATTCCATGTCATGTATGATATCGATGTCATCTTGACGCAGACCAATATTCCAAATATGGCGATGATCAATCCATAGATCATAAGATAATGTTTGGATTCACCATTATTACTCGTCCAAATTAGTAACCAATAGTCTGCTGATTGACTGGCGAGTTGGGCACAGAGATAGGCTAGGAACACAAAGATGTAAAGTATTGTAGGTCCACCTGATTTGAAGTATGGGATGTATGTTGACTTGCCAATCTCTCCCTTGTTCCTCTCCTCAACTGTGATCAACTTGGCTCTTAGTTCATTGACTGGATCATGTATAATTGATTGGTCAATCACAACACAATCATTGATGTCAATATGTTTGACCTGGTCCACTGAATTGGTGAGAGGGTCACTGGTAGCAGGAGGATGGGATGGTTCCACACCCAAACCTACACCACCACCAAATTTGGTATTCATAATCTCCTCAAAGTCAATGCCTTTGGACTGGAGTTGATCGTAGGTACCTTGAATGAGACGTCCTTGTTCAATGACTACAATGTGATCGGCAGATGAGATGAATTGGATCTGATGGGTGACAAGGATCCGTGTGCGTCCACTCATCATTCCTTGAATGCATTCTTCAAAGAGGTGTTTGCCAACCTCTGCATCAACAGCCGAGAGTGGTTCATCCATCACAATGACATCGGTATTAGCATAGAGACATCGTGCTAGAGATATTCGTTGTTTCTGGCCACCTGATAGACTGATACCCTTCTCTCCTATCTCTGACAAGTCTTTCATTGGGAAGTCGACCAAATCAACTTTCAAACAACATGCCTCCAAGACATCCTTGTATCTCTTCCAGTCCAAAGGTCTACCAAACAGGATATTATCTCTAACTGTTCCACTTAATATCCAAGGTACTTGAGGTGTATATCCAACTGACTCCGGTCTAGCCACGCTTCCAGCAACCATCTTGATCTCTCCCAATATTGCCGAGACCAAACTTGACTTGCCCTCACCAACCCTTCCAACAATGACCGTCAACTTGCCCTTTGGGGGTTCAAAGTTGATACCTTTTAGAACTGAGTTTGAATGTGAGTGGGATGATTCCATGCTCAACAAGCTTGAGCTATCCTTGTCTTGGAAATCATTGATGGATTGATCATTCCATGTGAACTCGCTATCTTTGATCGAAACACCATCTGATGAATCTGATGGTGACGAGGTGGCTGCTACTTCGGGTGCTTGAAGGAACTCCTCGATACGCTTGGTACTGGCCATCATCTGTAACATCTTTTGGAGAACAAATGTCCACATGTAGAGTGGTGTTCTTAGTCCGTATAGTATGGTGAGTGCAGGGAATGCAGTCTGAGCAGTGAGTGTGTTGCCAACACCAATGTATGTTCCAAATGTAGCCAACAATACTACGAGATTGGACATGCTTGCAAATGTTTGATCGATCACATAATACATCAACTGGGTCCTACTCGAATCGAGTTGTTTGTTACGCTCGACATCACATCGATCAAAGAAGTATCGCTCCCAGTTGTACAACTTTAGGAATCTGATGCCACATATGAACTCGCTGATTATCTTGATTCTCTTGTCAGAGTGACCCATTGTTTGAGTAAAGTATCGATTCTTTCTCGTGTTGAAGAATGTTGTTAGAGGTAGGAATATGCCTAATGTCGCGAATCCAACCAAGCCAGATGGTCCAATGATATAACATAGTAGGAGTAGTAGCAAAATGATATGAAGTGGATGTATGAGTACATCACAATATGATGTCCAGAAGTATTCGCCAACATTTCCAGCATCCATAGTTATAAGATTGATTATCTTGCCAGTATACTTTGTCCTAGATGTATGATTCAATCTTAACATCTTCCTATACATTGTCCCGATCAATGAACCACGCACCTCAATTGACAACTTTGTTCCAAACCAATAAGCATGGTGTAAACTCATTGTTTGGCAACAAGTTGATATAAATATTCCGAAGCACAGCAGCCATCCATAATAACTTGGCCATCCATGTACACCATTGATGAAGTCGATGTAACTATTTGAGTTGATTGAGTGGGTGTGAGTGATGATGGGGGTGGAATAGATCCAGCCACTCAAAAATGATCATACCTTCGGAGGAGTAATGGTGTTGCGATTGAGGCGAGGACATGGATGAGTTTGATTATTGGTATCTTCTTGGAACGATTGGTAAAGTTGGAATAAATCTGTCTGAGTAAGGGTTGGCTTGGTTTGAAGTCAATGTTATTCATATGTTTGTGTGAGTTCTTGACATGAATAACAGGATCCAAATCAGGTATATCATTAAGTTCAAGTGTATGATGATATCCACGGAACAATGTCTGATGTACCCATCTAAATGTCAACTATAATGTAATGGAGTAAGTGATTGCCGATTGATCGAAGTGTGAATCATCATACTCTTGATAACCAATTTGATTCCAACTCTGGAGTGGGATCATTGAATCTACTTCGATCATAGTATTCATTATAAGTTGAGTATGAATGTGAATGATCAGTGTCTTGTGGTACATCTTGAGGTGATATCGTATCTAATTGTACACTATCCTCAACATCATCTTCATCATCTAGTGTTTTATAGTCTGTCATTATAAATATATATATAAGTGTTTACTGATTGATTTATTGATTGCTTGATTGATTGATTGATAAAGAGTGATGCGATCGTGACACCTTTTATCTTAAACTAGTCCTTAGATATTTAAGGGTTCCATAAGATCAAAACAAACAAACAACCCCCTTTTGTTAATTGGGGCGCAGACCAGGGAATAACATTGATGTCCAAGTGACACAATACAGATACAAACTTGATATTCTAAGATAATAATACATATATTTATTACTTCTTTACAACCAGGTTGATGATGTAAAAAGTATAAATACAAAACTAATCAATAAATTAAAATAAATTTAGATAAAAATCTTTGAAAGAGGCGATATTATGGCGTCGTTTCATCACCCAATCAATCAAAATACACAACATTGTACAACATAGTCAAATTGAATCAGAGATTTTTATTATTATCACATGCATAATATATTATAACTATTAAAATAATACAATGTTTGACACTATAAATATTAATAAATGATTAAAGAAAGAATATTATTTATTCAAACAATGTTTTACAATCATTTAATATTATTATTTTTATTTATTATCTCTTTGGACATAGTTGTCCAAGGACAGGATCATCAAGTTGAAGCTGTGTTTGCATTCCCCGCCAACACTACTTTGAGTTCATTCAAAACAAGGTATAATGGCTCAATTGACCCTTGGGACTACTATAGCACGGCATACCGTTGGGGAAGTGAAGTGTCTTTCAGTGGCTCATCACACTTCTACTACCTTACAATGATGATGGAGAAGAAGGGACCATCATTCATTATCTCCTCCGCTGACCTCCAAGGTCGAGTACAATTATTCGGTACAAACTGTCAATCTTCGACAACTCAAGGTTATTGTCTAACTTCATCTTGGACATGGACCCCAGAGTTCTCAATCGAGTTTACAGTGACACGAGTACAAGGACCATCAGACCCCAATCCCTACTTCTATTTATCAGTTACCAATCTTTATAATATGGTCTCAATCAATATTGGATCATTCACAGTCTTGGACTCAGAGATGAACACTTACAGGATACTGCCAGCCAGGACTTGGACAATATATCCAAGATGTCTTGATGAGTACCCTATGTCCAAGTCATACTTCTTTGCACCATCAGCCACGGATATGAATGGGAATGTACTACAATCAATGACACAGAGTGTGACACTCAAGTGGCCAGGTCCATTTCCAAACTGGAATGGACAAATACCATTCAGAATGTCTGTGTCCTCCGACAGATCTCACGCCGTCCACAGTGTAGGTCGTGTCTACACCATTCTCGGACCATTATACAACAGGTACAACATGTGTCTATCTGTTGGCAACACAACACCAACACAACTCAAGTTTGCCAATGTTACAAACACATGCGCATCCACTTCCACAAAAGCTGTGATGTACTCCTATCCAAATGGGCTGGGCGCAGACTTTGTCGCCATCAAAGATCTGAACACTGGATATTGTTTGACAACAAACAATGTGACATCATACTTTAGTCCATGCACGGCGGTAGTGGCACCCAGCTTCAAATGGCGACTTGATGAAAGGCAGCTCATATCTGGAATCAATGGCCAATGTGTACCCTATAACAACACTGCTGTTGTTGATCTACAAACTTGTGCATGGGATGTCTCCAATCAGAAATGGTCACTCACTCCACCCACGACCACTCCATCAATCTGTGTCCATCTTCTACCCACGTCTCCACCATCCTGCACTCCCTGTATCTCGCCAGGCTTCATGTGAACTATTGATTGACTGAATGATCCATTCATGATCCAAATAAAGCTAGACGTACTTCTAACTTCACTCAAAAACATGTTTACTTGCTCATGAGTTTGTTGAATATCCACACTTGGTCCGCGACGGACACGTGCGTGACGGTCGAGTTGGCGATGATAGTACGGATGATGATGCCATTGACCTTCTCCTCGAGTGCCTTCTTCTGATGCTCGCGATTCTTGGGATTGAGACGACATTGAGAACATTGATTGGTCAGACTGTCCAACACAAAGATATGTGAGTTGCCCATTGGCGCTCGTTGGGGGTGCGCATGTCGGCCTGGACAGTCGGGAGGACACTTCTTCTTGCTGCTGCTGTGTGGGTCGCAGCTAACGCGGTCCTTGCCTCTGCGTCGTGCCAAGGCATCCTTGCTGTTGCTGTGGAGCAATGATACCAAGTCTGTAAGATCGGTTGACTTGAGTCCAATCGATTGCACAAGCAATGGCATGAGATGTGGCAGCAGGATGGATGTGCGCAGACCTTGTTGTCCCAACACGCACAACACAAACTGGAGGTCACAGTCGGCGTCGAAGGATGCGCTGGCTACCACTATCTGTGCCAATATCTCCACGCCAACAATCGTCTTTGAGATGCTCAATGATGCCAGGATGTCCTTGATCACGGGCACCAACGGTGTTTTGACCAGCGCGTTGACCAGAATGTTTGGAAGCAGTTGGAAGACCACCGCCTGCTTCTCAAGGTCGACCACGGAGAAGCACCACGACTTGATCCTGTGGAACTCATTGGTGTTGGCTCGCTGCTGCAGGGCAGAGAGAACATATACATTCCTGAACTCCTTAGAGAACTTCTCCATCTGCTTGTCAGAGTGCATAGGGAATGTGATGTGTTGAGTGATCGTTTGGAGGGGGATGGCGGCCAGTGTGTCGATCGCAGTGTCCAAGACACAAAGGTTATCCTTGTTCAACATCAATGCTTCGTGGTCCATTGTGAAGGGTGCTGGGAGTGTGTCAAACAACTCAAAGATCAGTTTGGTGACCTGTTCCTTCACTGTGGCCGATCGGTTACATTCTGCTAGCACTCGCCAGACTATCTGTGCATCGTTGGTGAGAGAGTCACTGATTGTAAGTGTGCGACGCGCAATGCCACCGAGTAGCTCATTGAGCGTGCTCTCGATCCTTGTCGCAGAGAGATGTGGGAGTATCGCTGGGATGGACTGGATCAGCTTGCGCTTGACAAGCGATGAGTTGGTTCGGAACTGCGCCAAGTTGGTCCATTCGGCAAGATTGATTGAGCATGTTGACAACTCGATGTTCTTGGATGAGAACTCGATGCAGTTGGCGCGAATGTCTTCGTTCTGGCTCGATGCAAACAGTCGCTTCAGGACTGAGCCCCAGTTGACGATGGGCAGGCGGGTGCCATCGACCTTGGTCAGCACGGAGAGCGCGGTGCCGACCTGGGTGTCTGTGCTCGTTGGTGAACGAACGAGGTTGAACAACATCTTGACCAAAGTGTCATCGCCCAAGTGGTCCAAGTTCTCTGGGGTGTCAGACATTGATGACGATGCCGATTGATTGCCGGAGGGTGGGAGCGAGAGTGTGCCCAAGCACAGGGCGGCATAACGAATAACCTTGCTGTCTTGATCGTTGCTGAAAATGTTGTTGACCAGCACGATGATTTGCTGGATTGATTGTTGGCACTCTTTGCGACGTGCTGGATAGGAGTTGACGAGTTGCAACGTGCCTCCGTAGAGTGCGCCACAAGCAAAGTCCTTGTCCTGGGCGAGCAGTGGGGAGCCAATGAGTATGGACACACCGACCAATGCAGAGATGCGCTCTGTCATCGAGTCTGAGCACAGTCCATCCTTTGATTGATATTCGCGCAACAGTTGCTCGACAACTTCCACATCAATATTGTAGAATTGGCACGCCAGGTATTGAACAAAGAGTGAGTGGGCGGCCGTGCTAAAGATCGAGAGATGTTTGTGTGATCGATATGTGTTGCGCAGGGTGTTCAAGCGGTCGAGCATCGTCTCGATCCTGTCTACATTGATCAAGTTCACCTTGACACATGTGCGCAATGTCGATGCAATGGTCAACAGGACGACACCGAAGAGCTGTGGCGTCTGTTTGGCGATTGTGGCCTCATTGTCCATCAGAGTCTGAAGGGTGTCCAACACGATCTTAAGGCTCGCAAAGTCGCCCATGGCCTCAAACGCACCAACTGAGTATCCAAGTGCGAGGACTAAGCCGATCTGCTCCTGTGCTTCATCGTCCTCCTTGAAAGCGTCCACCTTGAGTGTCTTGAGCTGCGACATTTGATACTCAATCAATTGCTTGACGTTGTCCTTCTTGTGAATGGAACTTGAGAATGATGCGGAGGAGGACAGTGTCAGTGCGGCTATTCCAATGGCGAGTTGCTTGGTGTAGCGCGCCACAGTGTCGGAGGCGGCCGGTGTGTAGCTTAACAAGGTGTCGACGGATCGGACGAGTAATGCGCTGTCGTCAAGCAATGATGAAGTGAGCATTGCCATGCCCAGATAGATTGGTGACTTGAATCGTTGGTCAACCAGCTTGTCATTGATACATTGGAATAGATGTGACATTGTGTTCTCCACTTGAATGTAGGCGGTCTGTGGCATGGACTGTGCGAGTCCCACCATTGCCAACACACAGTTCTCCATCACCTGAAGCGAGGATGCCTTGGACATTGCCTGGACCAACACTTGTTGTAGCTGATTGTACACTGTCTCGATCAATTGTTTGGAAACACTCGAGGTATCCGTCGAGTCCTTGGTCGACTCCTTGGATGCCAGTGACACCTTGGTGGACTCATACTTTTGGAATGCCACGAAGCACTCGCCCATGAAGCGTCGCCACGCGCCCATTGAGAGCAGTCGGCCAAAGAAGTCGTTGCCACGCGCACTGCTGCCATTGTCCACGCATTCCACTAGCTCGGGCAAGAGAGTCGCGAATGCCTTGTATCGAAGAGCAATCATCTTCTTGGTCTCCTTCTTCTGTGGTCCCAAGTCCTGGCCCAACGACACTGCGTTGTTGAACGACCAGAGCAGTCCTGAGATAACGCCTTGCCTGATGCCCACCCTGGACTCCTTCTGGAACTCCTGGTACAGCTGATCGGCTACGCCGCCCAACGACTCGGCGATTCGGATCGACTTTGTGCTGCGCAGATTGGTGTGTGCACTCTTCAGCGTGCGTCTCTCATTCAGCTCGGACTCGAGCGAGCACTTGAGCATCAGATCAATGTTACGTACACCGATCTGTTGATTGATCAGTAGGTTGCCAAGAGTGGGTATGTCTGCCTGTGGTATGATGATTGTGTTGTCAATCTCGGCGTACGCCGCCAACACTTGATAGGCTGTTGAGGCGACCTCGGCGTTGGCGTGTCTGGACAGGTGCCACACTCGTCTAACAATGTCCCTGATCGTATCTGCTTTCTTCTCATCCATTGTGGCCAGGGGTGTGTCTTTGAGACCGTGCACTCCATTTTGGAAGAAGTTGGCCAGACGCTGCAGCACCAGGGGATGGCGCTTGCCCTGCTCAAAACCTTCCTCCGCGCCTAGATTCTTCTTGATCACATTCCATGCGCTGGTGAAAGAGAGCACCTCTGCACTACACAGGGCGATCAGGGCCTCCAACGCCAAAGATATCACTGAGGGATGTTCGTCGCGACAGAGGAAGCCTGAGAGGGGCTGGATCAGCTCCTGTCCTGCGTCCTCATCATGTTCGCAAACGTCTCTGATTGTGGCCGCAGCGGCCACACGCTCTTCAACGCTCGATTGCTCGGGCTTGATGTTGATCAACAACTCTTGAAGCTTGGGCATGACCTTGTCATTGATCAACCACACCTTGGCGAGTAATCTGAGTGCGATGGGCATGGTTGCCTTTCTCGTTGCGAGATCAGAGAGCGCCTTGACCACAACTGGATAGCACACTCTGTGTCTAGCGAGCTCGGGTAATGCGCGGTACAACTCCATAACGACCTGGCCTGACTCCTCATGTTGGAGACGATTCATAAACAGGGGCAACAGGCGAATCGCATGAATAGTATCGATTGATGGGAGGATTGCCAGTGCGCGGATGGCCCTTCGTCTCGTCTCGCTGCTGGTGCCATGATGTGCCAATGGAGCCAAAGAGAAGATGAGCAGGTCGAGATCACCTGTGGGCTGATCAGCTGGTCTGTCCTGGCGCGCTTCCAACTTGCGCTCCAATGAGTCAAAGAATGAGTCCAAGGATGACGATGATGTTTTGTTGATCAATTGACTGTACCAATCAAATGATACATTCAACATTGAAGTTGAATGTGATGTAGCTGCACCAATACTCTGTAACGTGGAAGGGACTGAGCCAACTACCACCTGTAGCTTGGCAATACGCACCTCAATGTCCGTGCGCAGATCCTTGGCCAACTTATCCAAAGTATCAAACAATGATGTAGTCGATTGGAGGATCAAGAGAGGATAGATGAGCATGTGGAGGGTCGCGTGTGATGGATCTGTTGAAGCCTTGGACAGAGCAGTCTGAATGATTCTCAAAAGAGTGGCCTGATCACTGCGCAGTGGGAGACGCGGGAGCATATAGGCCAGGGTGACGATCAGAGGACAGTTGAGTACTGTTGAAGTAGGCGATGTGGTTGCGTGCCAGAGCAGCTGCCAGGCGTTCTTGGACGTATCCGTGGCAAGGGTATCCTGGAGCAGTTGCAAGAGACTGTTGTGCAGACCTGTGCTCGTGACGAGAGATTGTGCCAGGAACACGGCCAGACGAAGACGTGGCACCTCCAGGTCGATCGTCATGCCCTGAGGCGGGTAGCGAAGCAGGTCGATCAGGTCGTACAACATCGGGAGCGAGGCGGGCGTCAGCGACGACGCGCCATTGTCACCATAATACTGCAACAGTGTCAAGCTGTTGATGATGTGCGGGTAGAGAGTGGCCGAGTTGTGAGCTATGCGCACCAGTGTGTTGTGGAGATGTTGCGAGACATCGCGACTAACACCACCGATGAGGATGGACGCGATACATGGCAGCATGACGGCCCACCGCTTGTCAAGTATTGAGGGCAGGGCACGCGCGTCATCATCCAATAATGATCGCTCGATATTGTTGACCAAAGATGCCAACACCTCTTGATTCTTGATGAGTGAGAGTAGAGGGTTGTACACTGTACTGGTTGTTGTCTGTTGCTGCGAGTTCAACAGACCCTCCATGTAGTCGACCTGTAGAACTTGTCTCAATATATGTTGGATGGCCAACTCTACACCATCGACTCCAACATTAGTCCTTATGGCCATAATGTTGTCCACGAGTCTATTAACAAGTCTAACGCGATCATACCTGCCAGGTGTCAGTGTGATGACAGCGTTCGACAACTAGTTGATTGATTGATTGAGTGAGTGAGTATGCTCGAGCGAGGGAGTGCAACATAGATGTAGATACATACTGTTTGAAGAGTTGCCTCCAACACTTGTAGTGAGGTGTTCTTGAGAAGTAGGTTCTCGAGTAGTTGCAATAGATGATCGATACGAACGGTGTTTGTTGTGTTGGTCTTGTCAAACAACAATGATGCTATCTTATATATAGCATCCCTTTGGATGTCACCATTGGACACCTCCAATCTAGACTGTAATGACTTGAGCTTTGAAGTGAACTGACTATCCATTCATTTATTCAATCACAAACATATAACATATAACAATTACAAATACATCAAATATAACTCATGCGTCTCTCTTTTGATCTTCATTCATTCATTCGCTCATTCATTGTTTGGTGGATGCTCATCGAACAGGGGTACGTTGACTTGGACTACATGACGTTTAGAAGATGAAGGCAGATCTTCTGATGGACAACACATTGGACATGAGGTGACCATTGGTCGGAGTCTGTTCCTGTCCAGATTGTTGACGTATTCGATACTCTCGGCGAGCTCAGCAGGGGCTTGGTCCTTTAGGTGCGAGAAACTACCAGGCTTCATTTCACTTGTTGTAAGAATATCCCTTGAAGTAAGTAAGTAAGTAGAAAGAGATAATGAATCTAGCTCATTGATGATAGCTATTTAACAATGTTCATCTGCATTACAGATGACAAAGTCACTTTGTAAATGTTAACAGATTAGATGTACATAATATTATTGATTGTAACCGGTAATTGGTTATTTGTTATTTGTTTGTTGTTGCTATTGCCCCATTACTTTATTATAAGTATAACTTATAAGTAAGTAGTAATATATCATTGTGTGTGTGTGTGTGTGTGATGTCGCAATTAGATCAGACCATCAGTGTTCGGACAACAACAAGATGAATGAATGAATGGGTTGGCAAACCATGTACCAAACCAATCTATGAGGGTCTATGAACCTGAATTGACGGGAAGCTGGTGTTGACGACATCCCTGAAGGGTGGAGCATAAAAAATGAATGTTTGCACCATACTGTTCAAATAAAGCATACACAGAATGCCCTAGGGCATTCTTTTGGAATTGGTGACCACCTCTGCAGTCTATAACACCAACCCCATCACATTTACAATTGACATATTCTCTCTCTCTCAATCATTTATACATATACATACATAATACATATACATACAATAACAATGTTCAAGTTAGCATTCTCAACATTGATTGTGTTGGCACTCTTGGCAAATGTCTCATTTGGTAGGGATCACAAACAAACAAACATTCGTTCGAAAAGAATGAATGATTGAACGAATGAATGAATGAAGAGAACAAGTCAAACTTATACAAAATACACACATTGTTCGAACAATACAACAGGAGGTGCCGCAATCAACATTAAGAGCACAAATTGCACTATTGTAATCAATGATTACACAACTTATCAATCATGTGGAAACCCACCTGTTGACCCCCCTGGACTTAGATACGCTGGTGCCAAGCGCAGCTTGATGGCCACACCTCCAGCCAATTGGGTCCCATTCTCTTGCAGAATCAACGGTGACTCGATGATGGGCTACGGAGCTGTCCAGGTCACATACCCAGGCCCCAGCGCCACCGTCAACACCACTGTGTGTCAGTCTATCGGCTGCACATCCATCCTGGACAAGGGCACCGTCACCAAATGGTTGGGCAATTACAAAGAGAACACCACTATGGCATGCTTCTACAACGTCGACAACCCCAACTCTGTATTCTTTGAGCGTGCTGGTTTCTGTGGCTACCGCGGTATCTTTGACACCACAAACTCAAGCTGTGCATGTCAAGAGGGATGGGCTGGTGATGGATGCGAGAGTATGTTATCATCAATTAATCAACTCAATAGTCATTAATACTAATCAATCAAACAATCAACTCAATCAATCATCTCAGGATCAAATGTCGAACCAACCACTGGATCATCAACCATTCTCATTATTCCAATTACCATTATCTTGGTCATTGCAGCATTCCTTGGTCTATCATTGTAATCAACAACCCATCATCCATTGATTAATCAATCCAAACATTATGTATTAAAATCATTATTATGTATTATCTCATTCATTCATTCATCATCAACATCAACATCAATATAATTATTGGAACCAATCCCCGATACAAGGTCGTAATGTCTTCATTCATTCATTCATTCATTCATTCATTCATTCATACATTCATTGTTAGTTATATAACTAATAATAATAAAGTGAATGTGTTTGTGCGTGTATGTATGAGGTCATTGTTATAAGGGTATGAGTGAGTACTCCTTTGGGTAGTGTGTTAGGTCATCCTGGGGTTGTTTAGAGATCCAGCTCACACTCACACACTCACAAACAGATAACCACTAATCTCGATAACGCGAACGAACCAACACAAAGACAGATACTCTGCAAGTCTGTTCATGTATTGTATTGTAAAATAGTGTGTGTTTATCTCAGCAACACCACTTCATACCAACATTACACAACTCTGGTCAACAATTATTATTTAATAAGAACTAAGAATTGTACACATAACATTGGATTAGATTATTAGGTGGACTCGGCTCATACCTCTGCTAGTTAGCACCTTCTTAAGATACATCATCATCATCAAAATCAATCGATCATAAGGTGTGAATCGCTTGGCCTGACAGGACAAGATTACCCAATCGGTGTACAAAAAAAAAGATCACAAATCAAGGTTTGAACATTCAGAAGTATAACAGATAAACAGAGAGAAGAGATTTATATCATCTACTAAACAATGGAGCTCAATCCTGTCAACGTGGAGTCCATGGTATGTACATCTTGCATGCTCAGTTGAGTTGTATGAATGAATCAATGAATGAATGAATGATTGGGACTAATCAATCAATCAATCATGTGATAGGTGGAGAACCAAAACTTCAATATCAACAGCTTCAGGAAACCTCTTGTCGTGGACTGCACTGGATATGGTAGGTAGTTCAGACCAACAGTTGGTCTTGACATGACTTGACCCGACAAGTTGGTGTAACACCCGCTCCCCCATTAACCACTCACTCACACATCGTTCCTTTGATCATTCATTCACCACCATTAGACGAATCACACAAGATCAAGTCATTCCATGGACTGGATCACTTGGTGATGGGCATTGAGGTCAACCAAATCACCTCCAAGTGTTTGGCAAAGATCAGGAAGTTCTCATTCAACATGCATAGACATCACTTTGTCTGTCACAACAAGAGAGGTAGGTGCCATGCCATGATTGATTGATTGAATGATTGAATGATTGACACGAAGCATCCAAATATATATATAGTACCATTCTCCCAGATTGATGAGATTAGGATTGGACAAAAGACCAACAGGTTCAACAATTTCCAAACCAAGTGCCTTCCAGAGCACTCGCGTGACTATGCCGATGTAAAATCATTCTCGGTCATATACATTGGCCAAAGACATACGGTCAAGTCTTTGGACTTTATCTGTGAGACAGAGGCCGAGCGCAAGGTACTCGTGTCAGCACTCTATTACACGGTAACCAATGCCAAGGCCACAGACAATGAGATGGGCTTTGTCAAGAGCGAGTTTGACAAGTTTGGCAAGGAGTCGCTTAACCTCAATGAGACCAAGAAGCTGTTGGAGATGCTCAACTACAGCACCAACTCAGAGTTCCTCAATCAGATGATCAGCATGGTCGATCGCAATGATGACCAGAACCTCGACTTTATCGAGTTCTCTGACCTCCTCCATTATCTGCGCGCACGTCCCGAGCTCAAGCTACTCATGGAGAGATACAGCCAGCCAGACCAACCAACCACAATCACAGTTCAAAAGCTCATTGAGTTCTTTAGGAATGAGCAACATGAAGAATGGTCTGAGGCTCAGGTCCACGAACTCACCTCCAAGTACAATGCAGCGGATCCAAACTCAATATCATTTGATCATTTCGAGAACTACCTTACCAGTGATGAGAACTTGGCCGTCCATCCAAAGGTTAGACAGTATGTATCCTATCCAAAGACATCTGGCGCCAGCGAGTCAGTCAGGCCAGTTCTAACACTCAATCACTCAATCAAACAAACATTAGGATGTACCAAGACACCAATCACCCAATCTCTCACTATTGGATCAACTCATCACATAACACCTATCTCTCTGGACATCAACTCAAGGGTCATTCATCCAGTGAGATGTACTTGCAGACATTGAAGTCAGGTTGTCGCTGTGTAGAACGTAAGTCTCTTTGGACATCACCTGGGACAAGCATGTCACTGACACTTAATCAATCAATCATTTTTAGTTGATGTCTGGGATGCACCTGATGGAGAACCAATGATATTCCATGGCAATACATTGACATCACAGATCAAGTTCTCACATGTTCTTGAGACTATCAAGTCAAGTGCTTTTGCTACATCACCATATCCAGTCATCCTGAGTTTGGAAGTGCATTGCTCGGAGGAGCAACAAAAGGTGATGGCACATCACTTGGTCACAATCCTTGGCGAAATGTTGCCACCAGTGTTGGACGACAATGCCAAGGTATTCCCAACTTTGGAGCAATTGAAGTACAAGTTCTTGCTCAAGTTCAAGAGGATATCATCCAACCCACATGACCAGGACGTCACAGACGAGAGCGATGAATACGACGAGGAGAACCCACCCTCGTTCGAGGAGACCGACGCTCACCCTGAGGAGGAGCACAAGAAACACTCGATCCGCGGTGTCCTCAGGTCGGGCTTCTCCAAGATCAAGAGTCTCAAGGACAGACATAAGGACAAGGACAGCGCCAAGGAGGCGGCCAAGAAGAAGGAGAAGGGCAAGATCGCCGTGGAGCTCTCCAACCTCATCTACTTGAGCTCGTCCAACTTCACATCGACTGATGAGACCATCGCGCGCTCTCCCGCCTACATGCACTCGTTCTCCGAGAGCAAGGTCAAGGAGTTCTACTCGGGCAACTTTGACACTTGCAGCGGCATCCACATGTCGCAGACTCACATGATCCGTGTGTACCCGCGCGGCACCAGGTTCGGCAGCTCCAACTACGATCCGTTGCCATCGTGGGTTGCCGGTTTCCAACTGGTCGCCCTCAATCATCAGACCAGCGCCGAGCCCATGTGGCTCAACGAGGGTATGTTTGAGGACAATGGTTGCAGTGGCTACGTGTTGAAGCCCACCTCACTCCTGCCATCTTGGAGCTCGGATCATGGCTATCCATATGACCCCAGCGTTGCCATGAGATACCCAGGCTCCAAGTTCACCTCGGTCATCATCGAGATCCTAAGCGCACGTCAATTGCCCAAGTACTCCAAGACCACCAAAGGAGAGGTGATTGATCCATTCGTCACAATTTCCATCCATGGACAACCTGGTGACCAAGCCGACTACAAGACCAAAGTGATTGGTATGTCAATCATTCATTCCATCATTCAATCCATCAATCAATCATACTAACATTCATATTTTCAAACAAAACAGATAACAATGGATTCAATCCTTATTGGGGAGAGACATGCAACTTCCCACTGTATAATAGTCAAGTTGGCTTGTTGTTGATTAGAGTTGATGATAAGGACTCGTTGGGCAGACATAATAGGATTGGACATTACGCCACCAGGCTGGAGAATCTTAGACAAGGCTACAGAGTCATTCGTCTACGCAATGACCTAGGCAACGTCATTCCGCTTTGCACACTTCTTGTCAAGATCACATTGATCGACGAAGAGAATACATACAGATCAACACCATTGGTACAGTGAACCTAGAGTCACTCGTCCATGGTTTAATACGTTGATCAATCCTTCTTTCCAACCCTTGCCATTACCCTTGCCCTCGTCTTCAATTTGAAAATTTCATTTATGGGATAACTATGACAACAATCCCATAACATAACATTGTATTTGAACTTAGTCGTTGTATACAAAGATAGATATATATTTTGAAGAGGAGTCATGATGGACTATGATAATGATAGTGATGGAGAGGATCTTGTGTTACCAACGCCAACAACAACACCTTTGATCAATGTCAGACAGTTTCAAATCGACTTCTCCAACGCACTAAATGCACTAATTCCTCGCGATGACCTAGAGGAGCAAGTTAACCTTGTCAAACTAGGTGTCGATGATATCAGACCAAAGACTCGCTTTGAACAAGTTGAGGCAGAGATAAAACATATAGTATGTATAAGGAAATGGACTTGGTCTACCACTTACTGACACTCAATGCGCGACCATTCACTCACTCGCCCATTCAACTCATCAGCGTACTGAATCACCCTTAACAACATCACCTCGCCATGGTAGTCAACAACAGCAACAACAGCAACAACAACCACAAACACCAAGGAGTGATGACAACAACAATCAACAAATAGTTAGCTTGGCAGCTACAGACCAAGCAATGATTTTAGTTGATGATGATGATGAAGAAAAGGTATCAATGGATGATGTCTTGGTGACAGTGTCATTCTATCATCCTTGCAAGAATCACAAGCAACAAGAGATAGTTGTGTTGGGTTCACAAAAGTTGACAGAACTGAAGGACAAACTATATTGCATGGTAAGTAAGAATGTGGATGTGGCGCGCCAGTGTGTGGCATTGCGTGGCGAGGCGAGGATACTAACTTGATTGATCATACACAGAGAGATCAGATTCTGGATGGCAAAACAAGGAAGTCATCATACTTCTTCATCAATGGTGTATTCTACGATGATATGCGTGATCCATCCAATTTACGATATAGCCAGTAAGTTGGATTATCATGATTGATTGATTGATGTATGCTAACATTGAATGAATGAATATTATAACAGGACTATAATAGAATGGCTGGATAAAAAGGGCAAGAACAATGGATATGTATCAAAGAATATGGAGGACTATACATTCTTTGATCTGTCCATATCATTGGGCGAACGATACCTCTATTGCAATCAAGGCAATTGTGAACACTTCCTTATATTCCACAAGATACGACTGGTCAAACCTACTGATTGCATTCGCATCTCAACCTATCCAATTATCGTCGATCAGCTCAAGAGCAGGAGGAGGAGATGTAGGATATGCGAAATATATCCATCAAAGTATGTGTACCATCTTGGTCCAATGACGATGGACCGGTCACTAATACTCACTCAATCAACCAATCAATCAATCACAATGCACTAGACACGTGACAATCGCTGACAAACTGATGGACGAGAGTCCATACTTCTTCTGTGATGAGTGCTATCGAACGTTGCACTATTCCAAGGAAGGACGACTACTTTACAACGACTTCCAGGTGTATCCATACTTCCATGAATAGTAAAGAAAGCAAGATTCAAATGTAGATATAGTATACTCCCGATTGTTTATTATCGATTCACTTTAGGAGAAGAATGATCCCATGGCATCCCACATCATCTTGGATGGTGTTGGCTGAGAGGATGATGTGACGTAGTCGAGTGCCCACACACTGACACCTCGCAGACCCATCTTCTTGGCCATGGCCACCTTGATTGAAAGGGACTCGGGGTTGTCGTACCAGACCTGGTACAACTGTCCGTCGCCGATAAAGTTGAAGAAGGGCGAGGAGAACTCTGCGCTCCACAGCTCGCCAGTCTGCACGATCGATTCGTTGGACTGCAGCTCGATGATTTGGTTGAAGCCGTACTGTCTTCCGGCGGCATCGCTGCAGTTCACGCCCCGGAATGGCACCAGAGGGATGGGACAGATCAAGTTCTCAATGTTGAGCGAGTCGCCCAAGCATGGATAGAAGTAGCCGTACCATGGCACGCCCATCACAAGCTTGTCGACGGGCACGCCCACGTTGGTGAAGTTGATCATTCCTTGCATGACAAGATCAAGTGGCGAGTTGGCTGAGGCTGTGCACTGATCGGTGATCACCTGGCTGCGCAGATCGTAGTCCATCACGACGAGGAAGTCGGTGGCCTGCGACATGCCAAAGTAGTCGTAGCAGCGGCCGTCAATGCAGTTGGGTGACCAGGCTACGTCGGCTGTCACCTGGTAGTTGGGGTTGGCCGCCTTGAACACATAGTTGGTCTGGGCGATCAGAGCCGTGAGCAGGGCGCTGGTCAGTGGCTGGTCGGGCCAGATGGGTTCCTCGACATCAAAGTTGATGCCATCGTAGAAGTTGTTCTGGACCATCTCCAGCTGCTGCTGGATCCAAATGTCTTGTGCTGTGACGTTGCCCAGCTGGTCGATGGGGTAGCCGACACCGACCACCAAGCGCACATCATGGCTATGGGCGACACATACCAGTTGAGGAGGATTGTCGCCAAACAGTGCAACGGTCGTCAGGATACTCCAGTCAAATTGTTCATATTCAGCATTCATCGTGAAGCCAAAGAACTCTGGACGCGGTGGCGTCGTGAGTGGTGTGCACAGCGATGTGTCTGAGCAAGGGCAAGCAGGTGCACTCATCACAGCATTGCTGCAAACCAATACCAATGTTAACAATACGTATCTGTTCATTGTATATGTTATGTATGTGTTGTTGATATGTTGAAAGTGTGTGATTGAGTGATACATTGATTATGATGAAGTGTGTGTGTGAATGATTGATTGAATGCGCAAATCAGATATTTTGGCCCAAGATGGAAAGCAAAGTTAAATCTTTCCATTCGTCACAATGCACCCATCCCTTGAATACCATCTTCAATAGTTGTATGTATGTTCCAAATGTTGTTGSCCTCCTTGGTATTATCTAATGTCCCTTCTCATCAATATCTATATTCCTTGAGGAAGAACTTCCCTTGCAACTTCTTTCTTACCATTATAACTATCTAAATTACATCAAAGTAAGACAACGACTAGATCCCTTACAATGAAAGTAGACTTGAGTTTGTATACAAGATGTGTTGAGACTGTAACAAGACTTGAAAAGCTGCAAGTCTAGACTAACATAGACTATCACATTTTGGTAACCAGTTACACCAATCTCGGGGAATGACTTTGAAAGTTGACTGTCCACTCCATTAGTTACATCACTCTGAACTGGGGTGAATCAAGTTATGTCCTCCTACCCTTAAGGGGTTGAGGGCAAGATGATACCCGAATACATACGCTCTATCGCTAACAAACAAACAAACAAACATACTCACTCTTTAGTTTGGTAGGTTGGTTGGAGAGGTAGCCACCCTCAACACATTGGCTTTTGTTAACCAACTTGTGCATAATCTGAATGAATGTCGCAATAACAACTCTGAATAAGAAATCATGAAGTTACTGGATTCATAGAGTGAAAGTACGTATCATTTATCAACCATCCCAGAGGGTTGACTGTCAACAACAACAACAAAGTTACATGTGGGATGTGGCCAACATTGCAGATCATAGGATGAAAGCGCCAATTATACTATTCTGTCGACTGTAGGACATCATGAATGCCCCCATAACAAAGGGGTTCAGGTACGGGCGATTAACAATCCATCCTTTTGGACTGGGCTGCCGATCATGAAAGGGTTTCACGACTAGTTGGCCTGAAGGGTCTTCTTTTCGTGTTCATGGAAAAAACTCTCGTTTTGATCACATTTTTCATACTGATCACCACTGGTCCACACCATCAGGAAAACAAATTATTAGTCTTCACAGAAAAATGAAGGCGTTTAGACATGTCCATTGATCGAATGGCCAAAGCTGCATTTGCAGAGTGAGTGCGTTTGGTGAATGTGCCCCCCAGTAATAATAGATCATGCTGATCAACAATGCCCCTGCATGTGTCGCCAACGCATCATTTGGATAATTGACGAGGCGCCTCGTTTCTTTGGCCGCGTGGCGGTATGCATCCTTGATCAATCACCACCAGTGGTCATTCCGATTATCAAATAACCTTTAACTACGATTCTTTGATTCTTTAATATCATGTGTGTTAATGAATGCATTCATTGGCCTAGCTCTGGATGCGATGCTCAGTCAGGGAGGGCGGTATTCCTCTCTTTGAAACTGATGAATTACCTTTGAAGGCCACAACCGTCATGTTTTGTCAACGATCGTTTCCAGGACCATCCGGCCATTCCTTATTTATTCATTCTACATTGAGTGACACATCTTTAATCATTCAAATATTTATCCAATCATATACTTATACACAGATACTTGACAACAAACAATGACAAGTCCCGCTGATCTACCCTGGCTTCCAAGATGGAAGAGACCACTTACAAGTATGTAATCAAACAAACAATCAATAAATTTTAATAATCATTGTTGTGTCAAGGTCTCTAACACCCATCACTTCCAAATATGGTAATCACTTCAATCAATCAATTCCATCCATAATAATAATATAGGCAATCTTGATATTATTACACTTACTGAACAGGAGAAGAAGGAGATCGCACCTTTGGAGGGCCAGATGGCCAAGTATATGATATGGAGAAAGTGGATGTTGTACTACTCCATGATCCCAGCCCTGGCCGTTATTATCCTCCAGGCTGTCGTCTCATTCCAGACTGGCAAATGGACCAGACCACCCGGAGCAGCACTCAAGAATGGTCTCAACAAGCTTACGACCACCGGCGCCGCATCAATCGTTGAACTGGACACTGACTACATTGGCGGCAATGGTGCTGCTCGTGTCACACTCGACTACCAAGTGGACACCATGTCATCGTGGGAGAAGCTCGAGGGCAACTACTACGGCATGTCCTTGGCCAACACTACCAACAACACCAACACCAACACCAGCGACTCCTTCTGTGACCACTGTGATGACTGCAACAACTGTCCAGACTGTGACTGGTGCAACTGTGATGCCTGTGGTGACTGCTACGATTGTCCTGACTGTGAAGGCTGCGAGGAGATATGTGACGAGTGCACGGACTGCTATGACTGCCCCAACTGTGACAAGTGTCTGATCTGCCAGGACTGTGTCGACGCTGATGAGAATAACAGTACCACCTCCCTCAACGGCACCGTATGTCCAGAGCAATGCACGCAAGAGACCTACACCAATGACGAGATCTTCTCGCAGAACTTTGCCGTGAACCAGATTGCCAAGTTTGACAAGAAGCAGTTGACCAAGAAGTTCTTGCTCGCCACCAACATCACCTACATTTGTATCCTTGGCCTGTCGTTCATCTTCTACGTCCTGGCTCTGATCTACTGGAAGTCCTTTGGCAAGTCGTCGCAGATGCTGTTGATCGCATGGGGTGTTGCCTTCCTCGTGCCATTCGTCATCCATTTGTTGCCAATCTCTTCGATCATCTTCCGTGACATGCCAGTGCTCAAGGACGGCCCCAACAAGGCGGACTTCAAGTACATTGGTGGTGTGATGTCCGCTCGTGTCATGTTCGCCATTGAGTCCCACATGAAGCTGACACCCGCCTCGCTCGCCATCATCCCTGCGCTGATCAAGTCCACCGCCTGTATGAAGATGTTGCTGCCACAGTCGCCCATCCTCGGTTTCCTCATCAAGGGAATGCGTATCATGCGTATCCCCATCTTCTTGGCCGGTGCCATCTTTGTCTACCAACTGGCCTGTGACTACTTCTTCTGTGCCTGTGTCATCTGTCTGGCGCTCTCGCAGCTGATCTACGTGCTGCCCATCCCCGGCCGTGGCATCACCAAGCCATTCGCCTCGGGCAATGAGATTGCCATCAGAATGCGTCTGGTCACACGTATCGCCCTGCTGTTCACCCTGCTCGCGCTCGTCTTTTTGATCCTGTTCTTCCTGAACCTGGCCAAGCCACTGGTGGGATTTGGCCGTCTGGACCGTATCAAGTGGGACAACGTCGCCAACTTCATCCCAATCCCCAACCCCGTGTCGATCGCCCTGATCTTCTCCAACTTCTTCCTGAAGTACTTCATCGCCACACTCACCTTCTGTGACCTGATGATGTGGATCGTGCGCAAGATCTACGTGTACACTCGCGACTACCCCGAGCTGATCGCCTCCTACAACCAAGAGATGGAGAAGACCCTCTGGAAGGTGCTCACCAAGAAGGAGAAGAGGAATCAACAGCATGAGATTGAGCTCAATGCTCGTTAAGCATATGTTATTCATTCATTCATACATTCATACATACATATACATCTTAAACACATAGAGGACATCGATCTACAATGTGTATTCGCGCGAGATAGCCAACCAAACATATATAACTTAATGGAAGTCCTCTGCTTGTACAATCAATCAATCAACTAAACAATCCAATAAATCAAACATTATTACTTTATATTGTTATTCCACATTGATTGATTGATTGAATGAATGATGGAACTATCCCTAACGCAAAACACACACAAAGGAAGGGTCTTTGCTCCTCAAGTAAAATATCTCCTTTGGAAAAGTTTAGAGTTTTGTCAAAGAGAAAGCCGTCAACTTAGTCCAATTGTTTGTAGTTCTCGTGTTTATGCTCTCATTCGCACTTATTCACACTCTCTCTACACTACAGTAATAATAATAATAACCTTTATATATATTTATCTTATTATCATCAAGTTTATTCAATCTATCAATCACTGCAGCATCACTAAAGTATGTCATCATCCATCGATGGATCACGTGAAACTAAAGAGTCAAGTTGTGGAGCAACAGCGGCTACAACACACACACACACATACTACCATCCACGCACCTGTTCTCCTTCCCGCTCTCTCTCAAACACACACATCACCCCCGAACAACGCAAAGCAATCCAACATGCTAGCACATTCTATTCATTCAATCAATCAAACAATCACTCTACATACACACATAACTCAAATAATCAATCAACCTTTCAATCCAATCAATTACATACTCCATCTTCGTAAATCCATCAATCAGTCATATAGTCAGTCAGTCATACAGCCAAAGATTCAGACATAGAGATACAAATACATACACACAACACATTGTCCCGCCCAGCTTGCTCGCAAGTTCATTAATAAGTCGTTAATTAATGTTATAATATATACATTTGTGTGTATCTGTTGTTGTTGTTTGTTGGTGATGTTGCACCTGACCATTGAAGTGTCATTGGTTGATGAACATATAGGCTCTCTCTCAATCATTAATATACTTACTAACTAAAACTTAATTTAATAACTTAATCCAGCAGATATTGATTGATCGATCGAGTAGATAGTTGGATAAATAGTTATTTATTATTTATATATATATCATACAGCATTCAATATACAATTGATGAATAGGACATTGTTCATTGTCACAGTTGTTACCTTGCTGCTGCTGGTATCATCTATCAAGAGTGTCGATGCTGAAAGAATCAATATTATACAGGACGATGTATCTGAGGCATCAGCAGCAGTAGTCTCATCATCATCTTCAATAGATTATGAGACAAGAAATAATACAGGTACAACAGATAGCAGCAGCAGCAGCAGCAGCAGCAGCAGCAGCAGCAGCAGCAGAAGTAGTAGTAGTAGTAATACACAATCAAACTCAATCAATGATGATGGGCTCATAACCGAACCAACAACACAACCTCCATTACCAACACCATCGATAATACCAACATTCATACCAACGACACCTCCCAACCCACCTTGCCAGGCTTGCTTCCCTGGCACCTATCACAACAACAATACAGAGGTCGCAAACTGCTCTCTGTGCGACGATGGCTACTGCAGCTACGCTAGTGCATGCACTTCCTGTCCCGCTGGTAGCTTTGCCAGTGAGAATGCATCAACCACATGTGAGACCTGTCATCCAGGCTTCATATCCAAGCAAGAGGGACAGGCTCAATGTGATCCATGTCCACAAGGAACGACTAGTGATGACACACATACCATCTGTGTCAACTGTCCAGCAGGCACTGCATCATACCAGTATGTCTCTGCATCACCACTCCGTCCCCATCACAATCATTATACTCACACTCCACTCTCATACTCTATAGACAAGGCGATGAATGTCTACCATGCCTCCCAGGCTACTATAGTGGCGTTCGTGCAGAGTTCTGTAATCAATGTGAGCCAGGAACGTACAATGAGTTCCTGGGTCAATCCCAATGCACAGACTGTGGCGTTGGAAAGTACAACCCAATGATGGGTCAAAAGGCTGCGACAGCATGTAAGTCTTGTCCCAGTGGCAAGTACTGCCCTGAGCAGGCCACTCAACAACCAATCGATTGTCCATCTGGTCACTACTGTCCACCAGAGTCAGCGGCACCACTGCCATGCCATTCTCTGTTCCAGTCGAGTACCAATTCATCGCGATGCTCACCCGACAAATGGTTCTACTTCATTGTGGTTGGAGTTGCAATGGTGATATTGATAACGTCGGTGGCCATATGGAGGTACAATCGATACAAGAAACAGAAGAAGATGGACATTGCAAAGGAGGTCGAACGATTGATCCCCAAGCCAATGGATGGTCCAGAGTATGGAGGATTCTAATCGTAGATGATCAATCCTTCCAGACTCCATTTCCCACCAACCATTCTACTCCCCTCCCTCCCAACAACAATACATTGTACACTATACACAGTATATATATTCATTCAGCTCGCCTTGGCCTCAATCATTGATTATACATACTAGATTGATGATTGATTGATTGATTAATCATACAGACAGCGATTTGGTTTGTAATATTGATTGATTGATTGTCTTTATTATTAAATGAGATGTTGACTTGGCTGTTGTAGGCTTTGTTGAAACGATGGTTCTACGGATTGACTGTCTTGGGAACCATTCCTGCACGGACAATAAATGGATCGGGTGAGTTTCTCTCAAGGAAGAAACAGTATTCACCATTGCTGTTGATCTGCGAGTCTGTGGTCGTGGGACCTTTAGGACCTGGGACATAGGTTCCAGAAGGGTCAGAGACTTCAACACAGTAGTATCCAAGTTGTTGGGGTCTTGAGAACTGGTTGTCCCTTGCTCCATTGGCATCAGTTGTCCATTTCTGGAGTTCTGTGTTATACTCCATCAACCTCACGGTTATGCCACCTAGCAAAGTCTCGGTATCATCGATACCGTTCGCGTTGGCGTCCAAGAAGACCTCACCCTGGATGGTCTTTTTTGTGGGTGGCTTGTTGACTGCCAGATTCACGATGATGTTGCCATCAGGATAGGTGGCCTTGTCGGCTGTGAAACAATACTTGGCAGTGTTGTCGAAATTGTTTCCAGTAGTAGTCTTTGGTGAGATGTCCCAAACGTCACCATAGGCTGGCTGTGGGAAGGTGATTTGGACACAGTAGTCACCAGAGCTGGATAGAGGGTCGACATCATTTCCAACTGGGTCAGTATCGATGGCTCCGACAGTAGCACCATCTGACACTCTGGTTATAGATCCACGGAAAGATGGAAGACCTGGTTCTGATGTATCTTTGATACCGTCTCTATTGACATCATTGTAAACATTGAATAGTACCTGGTATTGAATTTTAACCTAAATGTTCATTTTCCAATATATCAGGTTAGTCTGGCCTTGTTTTGTTTCAATCGTTGCTGTAATGTTCAACTTACAAAGCCCACAGTGATTGGTACTGGACTGGTATCAGTTGCCTTGATTGTGAAGCAGTATAGTCCTGTGGCCGGATCGAATTTGCTGTCTGGTCCTGTTGGTCCAACCTTATATTCATTCGATGTAGTGGAGGCGGTCATGCAATAGTCACCAGGGGTCAGAGGGTACTCGTATTGCTTCAAACGAGCGTCTTGGTTGCTGGTAGTCCAGGACTTCAAGTCTGCTCCTGTTGATGGATTGTTTCTCAAAGTGATCAAAGCGCCACCGAGCATACTATCTGTCGCAGGCTGGTCAGTTCCATCCCCTGCCACATCAATAAAGGCATGTCCAGCGATGTTGATCGTTGGCACATAGATACCAATTGGTGCATTGACAACTGGTGCAGCTCTGGTGAGTGTGACGCATTGCTTGCCAGTGGCGTCGTACTTGTTGTCGTTGGCGATTGGTGAGATAAGGTACATGTTCTTCTGCTCTGGGGTGAGGTTGAACTGGATGCAGTATGTGCCCTCCTTGAACTTGGTGGTTCCAAAGTCGAAGCCAGTGACCTCGTCCGAGGAGACAGTGCCAACCTGAGAGTTGGTGGCTTGGTCAATGACAACACCATTGAGAATATCAGTCTTGGCCTCGGTTGCTAAATAGTTGCCATCCTGATAATTATTGAGGGAGTAAGTGAGTTAGGTATTGATTGATTGATTATGGGGGACTGGGAAGTACATACCTTATCGGTATCAATCCATTCAAATCCAGAGATTTTATAGATTGGGTCCTGTTTGGTGTAGTTGTGTTAGCCAAATATCTACCAAGCGATCGCCACCCAATCAAGTTGATTGATCAACACTTACCATTCCTGCAAGAACAACGATTGGATCGGTGTCGGTTGCCTTGATGGTGAAACAGTAGTTACCATCCTTGTTAAAGACGTTGGAAGTTCCCTTGGTGCCAATTTCATGCTTTCCAGCTGGGTCAGTAACATTGAGACAGTAGCTGCCAGTCTTGAGATTAGGGAATTGGAATTGCTCAGTTCTTGCAGCGGCGGCATTAGTCGTGATAGTATTAATAACGGTATTGGTGGCAGTGTCGGTCAACTTGACGGCGATACTTCCAAGCAATGGATCAGTGCCTGGGTCATTTCCATCCTGTTTGATTGATGGTTGTAAGTAAAGATGTGCAATATTGATTGATCGAACGAATGAATAAATGATTGATTACTTACATTTCCTAAGTCATCAAAGACATGTCCCTTGACAGTGAAGGTTGGCTCATAGACACCAAGTGGTGCGGCGAAAACTGGTGCAGCTCTGGTGAGTGTGACACATTGCTTGCCGGTGGCGTCATACTTGTTGTCGGTGGCGATTGGTGATACTCTGTACTTGGCCAACTGATCTTGGGAGAGGTTGAACTGGATGCAGTACTGGCCCTCCTTGAATTGAAGGGTTCCAAAGTCGAAGCCATCGACCTTGTCGGACTTGACAGTGCCAACCTTGGCTCCAGTCGAGTCAGTGACGTCACCAGTGAAAATATCAAGCTTGTCTTCGGTGGGAGCGAAGTTTCCATTCTTGTCCTTGTCGTCAAACTCGAAACCAGTGATACGGTAGATGGGGTCGAATCCAGCAGCGACATTGATTGGGTTGGTGTCGGTGGCCTTGACGATGAAACAGTAGTTTCCATCTTGCTCAAAGAGGTTGGAGGTGCCCTTGGTGCCAATGTGGTACTTGTTGGCTGGGTCGGTGGCGTTGAGGCAGTAGCTGCCTGGTGCCAGATCAGGGTACACGAACTGTTTGGTTCGGTCAGCTGCGGCGGCAAGAGTGGTCCATTGCTTCAACACAGTGTTGGTAGAGTCTCTCAAAGTGACTACAATGTCTCCGAGTAATGGGTCAGTGCCTGGGTCAACACCATCCTAGTTGATTGATTGATTGATCGATTGATTAATTAATAGGGTCAGTTTTTGTGTTCACCTTGATGCTGGAACTTAGATATACGTACATTGCCCAAGTCATCAAAGACATGACCTTGAAGGATGTAGGTTGGAATGTAAATGCCGACGGGTGCAGCGGCAACTGGTGCAGCTCTGGTGAGGGAGACACATTGCTTGCCGGAAATGTCATACTTGCTGTCGACTCCAGATGTTGGCGAGAAGATGTACTTGTCCATCTGCTCAGGTGAGAGGTTGAACTTGATGCAATAAATGCCCTCTTTGAACTTGGTGGAACCAAAATTGAAGCCGTTGACCTTGTCCGATGTGACAGTTCCGACCTGACTGCCGGTAGCCTTGTCAGTGACAACACCATTGAGAATATCAATCTTTTCGTCAGTTGGATCAAATTTGCCATCCTTGTTCTTGTCCTCAAACTCGAAACCAGTGATACTGTAGATTGGATCCTGATTGATTGATTGAATGAGCGAGTGAGTGAGCGTGTGAGCGAGTGACGTTGATTATTGATGGAAGTTGATACTTACGAATCCAACCAAGGCAACGATTGGATCGGTGTCTGTGGCCTTGACTTCGAAGCAGTACTTGCCATCCTTTCCAAAGACGTTGGAGGTGCCTGGGTTGCCAATCTCGCGCTTTCCAGTTGGGTCAGAGGCAGTGAGACAGTACTTGCCAGTCGGGATATCCTGGTACTTGAACTGTTGTTGTCTTGGGGATGTGGAAACGGTAGTAACTGGGGAACCAACATCAGTGTTGGTATCCATGTTGGTCAACTTGATCAGAATGCCATCGAGCAATGGATCGGTGCCAGGGTCGACTCCGTCCTATATATTTGATTGAATGATTGAATGAGTTAGTAGATGTGAGTGATGGAAATGAATGTAACACTTACACTTGCTAGATCATCAAAGGCATGACCTTGGACAGTAAAGGTTGGTTCATATATACCAATGGGGGCGGCATTAACTGGTGCATCTCTTGTGAGTGTGACACATTGCTTGCCGGTGGGGTCGTACTTGTTGTCGGTGGCGATTGGTGAGACCTTGTACTTCTTCAACTGATCTGGGGAGAGGTTGAACTGGATGCAGTATTGGCCGGCCTTGAACACGGTGGTACCAAAGTCGAAGCCCTTTACCTTGTCAGAGGTGACTGTTCCAACCTTTGCTCCAGTTGAATCGGTTAGGTCTCCAGTGAGAATATCAGTCTTGGTCTCCGAGTTGACATAGTTTCCATTCTGATTATGATTGATTAACTAAAGTTAGTGATATGGCCTGAATGGCTGGATTGATTGAAGGATGTGTGAAGTGACTTACCTTGTCGGTATCAATCCATTCAAATCCAGTAATGCCATAGATTGGATCCTGTTGTTGATTGATTGGTTTATATATGAGTGTGAGTGAGTGGCCAGAATATTGAGTGATGAGGTTAACTTACGAATCCAGCATGAACTGTGATTGGATCGGTGTCGGTGGCCTTGACGATGAAACAGTAGTTGCCATCCTTGTCAAAGACGTTGGAAGTGCCCTTGGTGCCAATGACACGCTTTCCAGTGGTGTCGGTGGCGTTGAGGCAGTAGCTGCCTGGGACAAAACCTGGATACTCAAACTGCTTATCTCTGGTGCCAGAGGCATCAGTGGTCCATGTCTTCAACACAGTGTTGGCAGAGTCTCTTAATGTGAACAAAATGCCACTAAGCAATGGATCGGTACCTGGATCAATTCCATCCTATATTGATTGATTGATCGAGTGGATATGAGTATGTGTGATGTTGATTGAATGATTGAGTGTATAAGATACTTACATCTCCCAAGTCATCAAAGGCATGACCTTGGACGGTGAAGGTTGGAACGTAGATACCAAGTGGTGCGGCGGCAACTGGTGCAGCTCTGGTGAGTATGACACATTGCTTGCCGGTGGGGTCGTACTTGTTATCATTGGCGATGGGGGAGATCTTGTACTGGTCCTTCTGGGTTGAGTCGAGAGTGAACTGGATGCAGTACTGGCCAGCCTTGAATCTGATTGCGCTCAAGTCGAAGCCAGTGACCTTGTCCGATGTGAAGGTGCCCACTGGCTGTCCAGTGGAGTCTGAGATGACACCTTGGAGGATATCAGTCTTGACCTCCTCGGGTACGTAGTTTCCATTCTAATTTGATTGATTTAGTGTGAGTGATAGATCGATTGATCGATTGATCGATTGAATGAATGATTGTTTGAATACATACACCATCCTTGTCAATCCAAATGAAACCGGTGATGCCGTAGTAGGGATCCATTCCGGCAAGGACTGTGACTGGCGAGGAGTCGGTTGGCTTGATAGGGAAACAGTAGTTGCCATCTGGGCCAAACTGGTTGGATACACCCTTGGTTCCAATGTGGTACTTGTTGGTTGGGTCGGTGACATTGAGACAGTAGTCGCCAGCCTCGAGATCGGGCATCTCAAACTGCTTGTTTCTTGGGTCAGAGGCAACAGTGGTCCATGACTTCAACACAGCGTTCTTGGAGTCTCTCAAAGTGACTACCATACCGCCAAGTAGTGGATCAGTACCCTTGTCATCTCCATCCTTTAGATTGATTGATTTATCCAGTTAGTGAATGATTGATTGAGTGATCTGGGATGATTGGATGGATACATACATCTCCTACATCATCAAAGACATGACCTTGGATGGTGAACTTTGGTGCGTAGACACCGAGTGGTACGGTGGCGGTTGGTGTAGCTCTTGCTAGTGTGACACATTGCTTGCCAGTGGCGTCATACTTGTTGTCAGTGCCAACTGGCGAGACAACGTACTTGTTTGGTACAACTGGTTGTGGTAACTTGAACTGAATACAGTAGTCACCACCCTTGAGCTTGTCCAACTTGAAGCCAGAGGTGCTAGTTGAAGTGAAGGTATCGAGAACATTTCCTGATGTCTTATCAGTGAGAGTGCCCTCGAATGAATCGAGCTTGTTCTCAGTTGAAAGGTAGTTTCCATTCTATGTTTGATTATAAGTGATTAGAATGGTTCCATGAATGATTGATTGGATGATTGATCAACTTACATTGTCCAAATCATTCCAGACAAATCCGGAAATGCTGAAGCTGGGTACGAATCCAGCAAGGACAGTGAGTGGGTTGGGATCGGATGCGCGGACAGTGAAGCAGTAGGTTCCATCGAGGGCAAAGTGGTTGTCTTTGCCCATTGGTCCAATGTAGTATATCTTGGCGGGGTCGGTGTTGGGTGTGCTGGCGTTCATGCAGTACTTGCCTGGGGTGAGTGGATACTCGAAACCCTTGTTTGGACCAGCGGCAGGGTCGGTCGTCCAAGTCTTCAGGACAGTACCGGCGGCATCCTGTAGTACGATGCTGGCAGCGAGCAATGATTCACCGGTGGTGAATTCACCGTCCTCATTGACATCGTCAAAGGCATGGCCCTGCAAATTGATGGTTGGTACGTAGATACCAATTGGAATGTTGACCTCTGGGGCGGCTCTGGTGAGGGAGACACAGTGGGAGGCATCTTTGTCGAACAGGTTGTCGCCAGAGACTGGAGACACCAAGTATCTGTCCTTCTGCTCAGGAGTGAGGTTGAACTTGATGCAGTAATCGCCTGCCTTCAACTTGGTGCTTGGGTCAAACTTGTAACCGTTGACTACGTCAGAGGTGACAGTTCCAATTGTTGCGCCAGTGGTCTTATCAGTGAGGGTACCTGTTAGAATATCCAACTTGTCCTCTCCAGCGTCAAAGTTACCGTTCTGGTTCTTGTCATCCCAAATGTATCCGTTGATCATGTAAACTGGATCCTGTTGTTTGATTGATTGATTGAGGGTGGGTGTCAGTCAATCATTCAATCAATCAATCAATTGATTAACTTACGAATCCAGCGTCAATGATGAGTGGATCTGCGTCGCCAGCCTTGACCTTGAAGCAGTACTTTCCAGTATCATCAAAGGGGTTGGTGGTACCCTTGGTTCCAATGACCTTCCTTCCCTTTGGATCGACGGCGTAGAGGCAGTAGTCACCAGGGGAGATTGGGTAGGTGTACTGTTCATTGCGAGCAGCCTTGTCATCAGTGACCCAGGACTTGATCTCAGAGTCGTTAGCGGCAAACTTCAAGGTGATGGTGATGTTGCCCAGCAATGGATCAGTTCCCTGGTCATTGCCATCCTCATTGAGATCGTCAAAGGCATGACCCTTGAGGGTGATAACTGGTGAGTAGAGACCGATTGATGCTTCGGTGACTGGGTTGACGATTGGATTCTGCTCTGCAATGTTAAAGCATCGCTTGCCATCCTTGTCGAACTTGCTGTCAGTGCCTTCCTTGGAGATGAGGAAGGTGTCCTTCTGCTCTTGAGTGAGGTCGAGCTGGATGCAGTAGTCACCTGGTCCAAGGTTGTCAACGGTGTACTCTCCAGTAGCAGAGGTGACAAAGTTACCAACGACCTCTCCGTTCTTATCAAGCACACGACCAGCGATACCAGAGATCTTTGCATCAGTGCTGGTCATGTCACCATTCTAAATTGATTGATTGAGTGAAGCAAGGAGTGAGTTAATGAGTGAATGAGTGAGTGATGAAGATAGGTTGCAACATACGTTGTCAGTGTCTGAGAAGGCGAATCCATGGATGCTGTATGGCTTGACAAATCCAACATCGATCACCAATGATCCCTCAGTGGTGGAGAGAGTGAAACAGTAGTCACCAGTTGAGTTGAACTTGTTTGAGATGCCAATTGGACCAATGAGGCCGCCTCCAGATGGGTCGACAGCCTTGAGACAGTAGTCGCCTGGTGAGAGATCAGTGAACTTGTAGTTCTCACCACGTGGCAATGTCTTGTCGGTAGTGACAGTCTTGACGAGGGCGCCAGCCGAGTCGTACAAAGACATCTGGATACCATTGTACAATGGGTCGGTACCGTCGTCATGACCATTCTTGCCAGTGTCAAGGAATGCATGACCACGGATCTCAAAGAGTGGCGCGTATAGACCGATGGAGGCGTTCAAGACGTGTCTGGTGGTGGTGGAGGGTGAGAGAGTGAAGCAGTACTTGCCATCCTTGTCAAACAGGTTGTCAGTGGCAACTGGTGATACAAGGAGCTTCTTGAGTTGATCGGGGGTGAACTTGAACTGGAGACAGTAGTCACCACCGCCAATCCTGGCAATCTTGTATCCCTCAGTGGCGTCAGTGTTGAATGAGAAGACAACAGTGCCGTCGGCTTGCACGAGATCGGCGGCGTAGCCACCAATCTTGGTGTCGGGATCGGCAAAGATACCGTCGTTGTTGGTGTCGTTGAAGGAGAAACCTTGGACGGTGTACAAGCTGGTGAGACCCTCGTCAAGAACGAGCTCGTGGGCATCGGAGGTAGAGGGGATGTTCAAGACGAAGCAGTAGTGTCCGTTCTCGTCGAATGGGTTGTTGGGACCCTTGACAGAAACGATCCAGTTCTCAAGGTTGTCCTTGAGATCGAGACAGTAGTTGCCACCAATGAGGTTCTTGATGATGTAACCATCGACGTCGTCGGTGACGAATGGGAAAGTTAAGCCAGTATCGCTGTTGGTGAGCAAACCATTAATGCCTCCGATGTACTCCTCTGCATTGATCATACGGAGGAATCTGCGCTTAAGATTAAGAGCACCATCCTATTGTTGTATGAACGTATGTGTATATGTAAGTATTGAGTCAATAAATTGATTGACCGAATGATTGAATGGGCATGCAGTTTTAACTTTGATGCGAGACTTACCATGTTGACATCGTTGTAGGTATGGCCGCGAATAGTGAACACTGGGATCTAATTAATATGTTGAATACAAATATGATTGATTAGCAAATACTGATCATTAGGTGTAAGCTAGTGATTACTTACCATTCCTCCATAGATATCGAATGGACCTGCTGGGGTGTCCTTGTTCAAGGTGAAACAGTACTTTCCAGCGCCGTTCAACTTGTTGGAGGTACCCTTTGGACCTGGGGCATAGAGACCGTTTGGATCGGTAACAGTGATACAGTAGCTACCCTCTGCCAAGTCGTGGGCTGACAACTGGTCCTCTGCTGAGCCTGAAGCATCAGTGATGAACTCCTTGACAATGTTACCATCCTTGGTCAACACTACCTTGATACCACCGAGCAGTGGCTCACCCTCATTGCTTCCATCGCCGTTGGTATCATTGAAGATGCTTCCACGAAGATTGAAAGTTCTTGGGGGCTCTGAGGATGATGATGACTGTTGTGAAGATGAAGAGGTAGTTGGAGTAGAGGTCGTCGGAGTAGACGTGGTCAACTCAGAAGTGGTGATCTGGGAAGTGAGCTCCGAAGTAGTAATCTGGGAAGTGAGCTCAGATGTAGTGATCTGGGAGGTGATCTCCGACGTCGTCAACTCTGATGTTGTGATCTGGGATGTGATATCAGAAGTTATCTCCGATGTTGTCAACTCAGAGGTAGTTATATCCGATGTAGTGATCGCCGAAGTAGTGATCTCAGATGTTGTTATTGGTGGAGTTGATGTGGTTGGGAATGATGATGTTACTGGAGGTGCTGAGGTAGTTACACCTGTAGTACTCGCTGGTCCAGTGGACACACTGGTAGTGGTAACTGGGGATGTTCCAGATGGAAGTCCACATCTTGGTTGACCCTGTGGATTGGTGTAACATTGCAATCCGTTGCCACATCGCAAGAATCTGCATACATCGATACAAGTAGGTTGTACACTTAAACTAGGCTGGCAACAAACTTGACCAAAGGGACATTGAAGATTACAATGTTTCTCCGAAGCTATTTAACATATAAAAAATATTATTTTAAAATTAAATTTCAATATTGTAATAATTATTTCCAATCCTACCTTGTATAGCATCCAAAGTGCAAAGGAATACCATCAATGCAAGTAATAAGCTTGCATATTTTGGATTCATGATGGTCCTGTTTTTGATCACTTCAGTTGAAGATGATTGCTGGGGTGTTGTGGTTGTTATTGAAGAATAAGTTTGTAACTATTAGTATTAATTATATATAAATATATTATTTCTTATCTTATAATATTTGATCTATGAATAATAAGTGTATAAGATGTAATTGCGGATTATATTTATTAAACTTCGAAGTGTACACTTTAGAGGCGAGAGAGCCACCTACCACCACACCGCCTCAATCGCTCACTCACCTCTTAATTTCCCCACATTGTTGCTTCAATCCATCCACCAATACTATTGATCAATCATACAAGAGTGATGATGTAGAGTAAATTATGATCGATCAGGTATTTAGTACCTTTGGCACACACTTAATACAATGTCTTGGCAACCTTTGAATTTAATCTTTTGATCATATGAATGTGCTGCTGTAGTAAAAGTATGAGATGGACTCATAGGGATCAATAATGTGAATGGCTACCTAATCGTATAATGTGTCACATGTACATGCAACTAATTACTGAGACCACTTGACCCAAACACCTGTATCTGATTCCTGAGAACATCTAAAATGTGTATTGTTGTAATGGATTGATGCCCCCACATCCGATGTTGGAGTTGGCAAAGCACATCAGAGTTTGTGTGTGTGGTGGGTGAAACCTAAGATGTAATTGATTGATTGATCATTCAAACATAGAAATGTTAAAAGTAAGAAGGGATAAATAGATAAAGACTAAAGTGACAGAGTCTCACTTTGGAAGATTGTTTGATTGATTGGTCTTTTGAGGCATTCAGGATTATCCCTAATTGGAAAGTTAGAACTTCATAAGGAATCAATCAACTATTTTATTATTAATAATGAAGTTATATACATAGATAACATTGAATTGACGAATACTTTTTGTTTGAAATAATAACCTTATTTCCCCCAGGGAGTCATTTTGGTCAGGACCTGAGACCTGAGATCTAGAGCAATTTAGGTCCTGCAAACCTTCAAGGACACATCGATGGGGGTTGTTTTGTTGTTCAAACAAACAAACAACAACAAAACAAATAACTTGTGTGTACTAATTCTATCTCTCTATTTCTCTCATTCATACATTCATTCATTCTTTCAAATGATTTAGAGTTTATAAATATATAAATAATACATTACAAATATCACTCATCACCATCTTAATATTGATTCATTAAGAAAGTACTACTTTAAAAGAAGCAAGACAGAATGTTCAAGGTTGCCACATCAGCAGTTGGTTCAAAGGTAGGCGGCTCTATGCTGTCCAACTTTCTACCTAAATCAGAGATTATGCTAAAGGCAGGCAAATATGGAGGGATTGCCACAGGAGCTTGTACGTATCGGACATGTTGGATTGACTTGATTGATCGGATCAATCAACGAATGACTAATCTTATCAACAACAATAATATACAGTATTACTTGGATTAGGTATACTCATTATATTCTTTAGTCATTGGATCGTTGGTCCTATATGCATGTAGGTTAGGATACAGAGATAGTAGAGCAGCATTAGACGGCTGAGCAGCATACTTACAGATAACAAACAAACAAAACAGAGCACTAGGAGCATTCATGTTGTTGCTGGAGATTGGTCTGCCACTGTTGGCAAGACTGCCAATATTGGTGGTGGTGTTTGATTACAAGATCAGAGGACTTATGTACATAGCCTTTTGTGTTCCTCCATTCTTTACAGTATTCACTATTGCACCGGCGTTTGGTTGCATATTCACTGGCGGCTGCTATGCTCTGTTGGGCTGGGTCAAGAACGAGTCTGCTCAATTCCCTCAGAACGTGCCGCAGCGCGATGCCGAAGAGGCTCGCAACACCAAGAAGAGTCCGCTGTCCGGGCTTGGCGAGGCTCCAGGACAGTCGAAATAAAGACATCATCATCTTTGTTGATGTCTAGCGTTCAAAAAAAGTGAAGGAACTTCAACAACAACAAGTTGAGTGAAGACGATATTTCAAAATTAAATTGAATGACACTTATTCATTGATTGATGACTTGTCTTTGAAGATAGATACATACATACATATACAATATATATATATATATTAAAACATTTACATTCATACATACATACTACATATATATATGGTTGCAGGGAATGAGTGAACCAACAAACATAAACAACAACAACAACAACAACAACAATAATAATATATCACCTCGAACAACTTCATCGTCATTTGATGGTGATCAACAACAACAGGGTCAACAGACATTGGCCGCATCATTACAGAATAGATTGAATCTAGCTGGTACTTCACCGTTGAGGACATTGATCAGAGCATCATCTCTACAGAATCTACCTAGTCACAGTAGTGCAAAGGAGCAACAGGTCGCACCTGTATTGGTCAGTCCCACAGCGGCAGTGGTCGCGACGACCAAGGACAAGATGGACCTGATCACATCGGACCTCATACATCCAGGTCCCAGCTCCAAGTACGACTTTGTCAAGGTGAAGGTGCGTCTAGAGGACCACTACTACGTGCTCTCGCGTTTCCTCATTTCAAGAGTGCTCAATGTCACCAAGGTGGATGCGGCCGACTCTGTCAAGATCTCGTTGGAGCTCAAGAAGCGTCTGGTCGATCAAGGTCGTCTCACTCTGTCCCAGGCCGAGCTTGAGAGTGAGCTGTTCTCCATCCTTCTCACCTACGGATATGGCGCAGAGTATATAGATAGATATAGAATGACTACACAGTATGTTGATGATGTCGCGGGCGGGGACAATAACGCAGACAACTTACACTCATACTTCAAACAGGTTCCATCATCAAAGAGTACCTTTGATCATTTTGATATCAGGTCCCAAGTGTACAGGCAAGGTATGTAGAACTACAACGACCATGCCTACCTCCCGCCAGTCAATCTAACTCCATCACTCATACATACATACACATAGTCTTGGTTGGCAACACAGTTGGCAGAGAGACTGAACTTGTCTACAGTGCTCCAGACGACATTGGTACAGGATCTGATGGATACGATCATAAGGGAGTTCAATCCGACCACTGGATCGGATCTTTTTGGTATGCCTTCAGACCCACCAATCGTCTTTAAGAACTACAGTACAAAGGAGGAGTTGTTAACAGACTTTAAGAAGGAGTGCTATATGATACGCCACGGTGTCGACACTGACATTGAGAAATGCTTTGAAGAGGGCAAGGCCATCATCATTGAGGGTCCACACATTGATCCAAACCTCTTCAAGGAGTTGCTTGAGGAGAGGACCATGAAGGCACCATCACCAATCCAAACATCCTCAGATGATTGTAATTATAACAACAACAACAGTAGTAATATAGGTAACAGCAGTAATAGTATAGAGCAGGCACAGCAGCAAGCACAATCAGATCAAACAAACAATGTACAAACAACAACATCATCTTCAACAACATCGACAACAGCACCGGCAGCACCAGCAGCACCACCAGTATCACTGGCACAGAAGCTGAAGCCAAAGGTCAAGGGCATAATCATACCATTCGTGCTGGCCTTGAACAAGAATGATCACACGTTGTTGGTGGAGAACTGGCTGTCATGTAGCGAAACAAACTCGGCCTATGCCAAGAAGTCGTTTGGAGACGACCCAGAGGTACAGACCAAGCGTGTTGTCGAGAACCTACAGACGATACAGGAGTACCTGTGTCAGGGTGTACCTCCCTTTGTGAGAGTGGATGTCAATGCCTACAACTTCCTGGAGACTCTGGACGTTATGCACAGCGCCGTCCTTCACAGGATCAACAGTGTCTACTCTGGCCACGTCAAAGGATTCGAGTACGAAACATAATAACATCCTGATATACTTTCCACCTACACAGCGTCACCATCCATCTATAATCCATCAACTCATTCATTCAATCAATCAATCAATGATGTTATATTAACATTGATCCATGAGCAACAACGGTCATTCGAAGTACCTACCCTTTAAAGCTTATGATACCCTACGCTCATCAACTTTAAACAATGAGCCTGGACCTGGCCTCACTGCGACCCATTACCCAGCATCCCCACACTCATTCACACACTGAATTAGTGATCATCAATCAATCAACAATAGGATTCTAGTCGAGGGACCCACCACACACACAAACCCCTTCGCCTCACTATGCCCACCCATGATGATTGGATTGGGGTACCTACACTGAGGAGACAGCTATTCAAGAGTTATATTACATTAACTATAACAACAACAACAACAGAGTTTATTACGATGAATTGTCCTGTCAAGTCCGACAGTGGCCGACCGATTTGTTAATGAAAGGTTACTACTTCTAATTTGTTTAACAACAAGAATGATCGTTCCTGTTTATTGATTGATGTTGTTATTGTTGTGAGGGAAGCCCTTGGGTATGGATGTATATAGAAGGTTGGTTATTAATAGAGTGTATCAATAAATATTAATAAATAATAATTATTAAAGATACCTATATTATTCATCCAAATGATCAATCAATTACTTCCATAATAAGAATGATGAACATATTATCGCCAGATTATAGAAATACATTAGATTATATATTAAATAATAATAACATTATTATTGATTATCAACTTCCACTACAACAACAACACCATAAATCACAAGATACATTTGTACAATCGTTAAAGATATCAACTACCAGGACATTACGTCCACCAATAGCTATACCATATAACAAAGTTGGAAAACCAACTCAAACAATCAATAGTAGATTATGGTCTAATCAAGAGATTGATTATCTACAATATACTATAACTCCTACAATACTAGAGAATCTGTCATCTACAGAGAAGGAGTTGTTATGGCAGACTGTAGCCGATCAACTTGATCGTACTGTAATAGCAATCCAGAAGAAGTATTACAAGTTGATACAAATGCATAGTATACATCTTGAGGATAACAATATCCATCACAATAGTTATGCCCTGCCGATCATAAAGAAAAGGCATAGAGCATCTTCAGCAGAGTCCATATACACCTTGTACCCACTGGAGTGACTCAGTGGATTCCATCTTATCCTTAATAGTTCAATAATTAATGTTCAATAAATTATGGATAATGTCACGTGACCAAGGTATGATCACGTGACAATATATCCAGTCAGCTGTCCAAACTTGAATCAATCAGCTGATCACATTTCCAAACAAAAAAGTAGTAGTTACCTCTAGAGTGTACATTGTTAATTAGTTGTAGGAATGGATGTTGTGATACAGGACTGGGACACCTATTCTGCACAAGGCATCGTTGTGTTCACTCTCAACAGACCACAACATCGCAATGCTCTCAACAGGGTAGCCGCTGAGAAGTTGTCAACATGCTTTAGACAGTTCGATAATGATGATCGTTACAAGGTAGGTGATGCCCCATCAATCAATCACGATCACCATCATTCATCCCAATCAACTAACACACATTGATACAAGGTCGCCATACTATATGGCGGTACTAATGTGTTCTGCTCAGGTGCTGACTTGAAAGCAGTTGCATCGGGCGATGAGAAACAGATGAATCGATTGGAACCTGATGGTGATAGTCCGATGGGTGTGGCGAGAATGATGCTATCAAAGCCCGTCATTGCAGCTATCTGTGGATATTGCGTAGCAGGTGGTTTGGAGTTAGCACTCTGGTGTGATCTACGTGTTGCAGACGAGGAAACTGTGTTTGGAGTGTTCTGTCGAAGGTGGGGCGTGCCCCTTATCGATGGAGGCTCAGTCCGTTTGCCTCGTCTAATAGGTCAATCACGCGCGATGGACCTCATACTCACTGGACGTCCAGTCTCTGCCAAGGAAGCATATGAGATGTAAGTTAGTTTACTTGTCTGAGTGTGATCATATGATTGACCTTGCCCTGTCTCTCTCTCTCTCACTTAAAGTGGACTTGTAAATAGATTAGCGCCTTTGGGCAAGGCTTTGGATGTAGCAGTCGAGTTGGCAACCTTGATCTCATCATTCCCACAAGAGTGTATGAGATCAGATCGAAAGTCAATGTATGAACAGCATGGTCTATCATTGAACGATGCTTTGAAGAATGAGTTTGGACTTGGAGTTGGCTCATTGAGACGAGAGGGTGTGTCAGGAGCCAAACGATTCGAATCGGGCTCTGGAAGGCATGGCCAAGCGGCAACACTTACTGCCAAGTTGTAGAAGATAAATATGTACATGATTCCAAGTTTATTGCCTGTCTGCCTGACACGTCTGTCTGTCATCTTGCTTGCTTGCTTCAAGTTGGATTGTTGTTGTTTGCCGACCTTTGCGTGTAGGGTGATTGCTCGCCTGCCCATTGTATCATAAAGTCATAGTACTGCGTCTGGTTCTTAGTCAGTCGCGTCTGTTCCAACATCATCAACTCCTTATACAACTCTCGCTCCCTCGTTGTCAGTCCTGATAGAGTGGGTAGCTAATTGAATGGAAGGTGTAAGCATGGAGACCAAGACGAATGTATGAATGTACTTACGTTTATCTGGAAGTTGACAATCATGTCGCCTACGACATTGTGTCCATCGGGGTCTTTGAATCCTTGCCTATGTACAATGATGCCATATTGTGATTGATTGTCATAGTTTGGTACAGTGATGTTGACATTCCTGCCGTATATAGTTGGCACATCAATGCTGCATCCAAACAATGCCTGTGTTGAAGCCAGTGGCACTGTGATGATCACATTACTACCATCTCTAACAAAGAACTGATGTCGCTCCACCGTGAACTTGATATGTAATTCATGCTCATCAAAGCTTGCCGACTTTGGTCTCTTGATCCTAAACACTGCCACTTGACTGTGATTGGATTGAGTGATTGATTGGGTAAGTGAATGAATGATGAGTGCGCGAGAGAATGATTGATCATACCTTGAGCCACTGGCTATACCCGCTGGAATGATTACAGAGTCATCGTAATCTTGTTTGACTATGCCCTCGCCAAGACAGAAGTTGCAAGTGTTCTTGAGTGCGACACCATTGCCATTGCACATGTCGCATTGGAAGGCTAAGAGGAAGCTTGTTATGCGTCCATTGCCATTGCATCGCTGACAGGTTATGAATTCACGTTGCTTGGTCGATGAGCCAGTGCCCTGGCAATGTCCACACTCGACCTTGACCTTGAATGAGACTGGCTTCTCTGCGCCATGCACTGATTCCTTGAATGAGAGGTGTAATGTTGTGTTGTGTACGACCTTCCTTGGAGGTGTCGGTTGAGGTTGAGGTTGAGGTTGAGGTATTGGTTGAGGTTGAGGTTGAGGTTGTTGTTGTTGCTGCTGTTGATGAAACTGTTGATGTTGTTGGCCAATGTCATCTTCATCAAGATTGCTGAAATTGACATTGGATCGTTGATAGTTGTGGATATTGCTGTTGTGATTATGATTATGAGCACGACTGTGAGCTTGGAATGGTGACCTACTTGCTGAGGCAGCTCCCATGAAGAAGGGATCATTGAACATTGGATGAGCAAAGGGGTCGGGAGCGGATGAGTGGAACGAGGACATGTTGTGACCAAACGACCTGCTGAAGAAGCTGTTGAACATGCCGAACACTTCGTCATGGTCCATGTGATGTCGATTGAAACGACCTGTCGATATATTGATATTACCAAAGCCATTGGCAAATGGCTGTTCCTTACTCGCTCTCAATTCATAATCATAATCTCTCCTCTTCGCAGCGTCTGACAACACAACATATGCCTCTGATATCAACTTGAATCTCTCTTCTGAATCCTTCTCACCCTGTCCTCTATTCCTATCAGGGTGATACTTCAATGCCTATAAATGATTGATTGATTGAATGATTGAATGAGTGATTGAATGAGTGATTGAGTGAGTGAGTGAGATGAGGTCATTTGATGTTGTGCAACATACCATCTTCTTGTAAGCACGCTTGAGGGCCTCTGGGTCAACATCTTGTTCAACCTCAAGTATCTTATAGTAGTCGGGCAGTCTTGCCGCAGCCATTGTTGTTGAGTTGTGCTGTGTCAGATAAGATTGGACTGTGTCTTGTATGTCCTTGTATGATCAGTTTATGTAATATAGATATATATATCTATGTATATGTAAATATCAATGTTATAATGATGTAATATAGTTGTGTTGTTTACATCATCATTGTGGGGTTATCTTTGATAACATCTTTGAAGTTGGAAGTTCGTCATTTCCTCTTTGATTAAATTTTATGGGACTATACTGAAGATGGATTTGAATTCAAATTTTTACAAGAAGTTGGCGCCAACAGTTACAAACTATCATTCGTTTGTGAAAGACTCAGATTCATTACTCAACATAAATACATACATATACAAACATACAGATATATATATTAGATTAGATGGCTATTCTAAGTGATACAAAAGGCCTTTCACCAGGCTCACATTCAAAGGTACTCGTCCGTTGTGATGTCAATGCATCGGAGAAGTGTCGTGGAAACTATGAGATGCTATATAAGGATACAGTGCGTTGCCGTGTCAATAATGAAGGAAAGATTGTGTGTCTTTACTGTGACACAACCAACAACAACAACATTGACAATATCTTGACATCGATCGACTCTGAAGCCAAGGCCTACCTCCTCGGCTGGATCGCCAGCAATGCCTCCACTCTTCAAACTGGATCAATCACAATCACAATGGACAAGAATGATCAGTGCACATTGGAGATGTTGCGTGATATCGTCTGTCCAGAGATTGTCATCGCATCCGATGTAATGAGCGTCACTTTCGAGTCTGCTCAGATGACCGCGGACGTCACTCGTCACCTCCAGCTTGGCGCAGAGTGTGCCTCCAAGAATGCCACCGCCAAGCTACCCCAGCTCACATCAACCCGCTTGACACTGGCATTTGCTCGTGGCTACTTTGATGCCGTTGGTACGGTCAACTTTGGCGCCAATATCACACCCCGCGTATCGATCGTGTCCAACTCACACTCGTTGCTCGAGGCCATTGGCAAGAGCGTGGACGTCCCCTTTGTCGGCCCCCTGGTGGAGGACTCGACCTCGATCGAGTGGTCGGGAGTCAACGCTCTGGACTTCCTCGGCAAGATCTACGACGGCAGCACATGCCATCTCGCCCGCAAGTTCAATCAATACATGGACCTTTGTGTCTGGAATCCCGCCACCGCCCAAACCCAAGACGCAGTCGAGAGAGTCGATCCAACATTCGTTGTGATGAGGACCTCAAAGGACGCAGTCATCCCTTCAAAGTCACGCGCCAGCGACAGTGGCTACGATCTTACCATCATCAAGGAGGTGAAGCCATTCGGACCCCTGACAATGCTGTACGACACATGCATCAAGGTGCGCCCACCAGAGGGATTCTACATGGACGTTGTGCCACGCTCCTCGCTGAGCAAGTCGGGCTACATGCTGGCCAACAGTGTCGGTGTGATTGATCGCGCCTACGTCGGCTCAATCATGATCGCCTTGATCAAGGTGGATCCAGCGGCACCAGACATCAAGCTTCCATTCTGCGGCTTCCAGATGATCCCCAGACGCATCAATCACTTCCAAGTCGTCGAGGTCACCGAGGACATGTTTGAGGACACTGGTCGCGGCGCTGGTGGCTTTGGTTCCACTGAGGAGAATGCCCTCAAGAAGCAGCGTCTGGAAATCAAGACCCCAGACAATGGCAAACAATAAACTGATGAGCTGTGTAACATTGGCTATATCATAATTCAATCAATCAATCACTCAGTTTGTTGCATATGATGTAAGATGTATTGGAAGTTTGAATATATATACGTTGATTGATTGAATGAATGAATGGCATTGAGTGGCGGGTTGGTCTAAGCTCTGGCAAAGGCTGGAAGATAGAGGAAGATTAAACCTCCTGCAAGGAGGATGGTCAGAGCAATAAGACTGATGTACCTTGCACTCTCTTTGGGATGGAAGATTGAGTAGGCCACAATCATTCCAGTGATGAATCCACCAAGGTGAGCAGTCCAATCAATCCAAGGTGCGAGGGAGATGATGATGTTGATTGTAAGGATGATCAAAAGACTCTTCAACATATTCTTCCTGCCAGCCGAGTCCAATTGATCACTGTTGAGGATCAAACGGGTAGTGAATGCTCCTAGGATACCAAATAGAGCACCAGAGGCACCGACAGAGATGGACCAATAGTTGAATATACATCCAAATAATATTCCACCAAAGCCTGATGTGATGTAGATTGCTGCCATGGGACCAGTTCCCCACTTCATCTCAGCTGGTAGTCCAATAAACACCTGGGACAGCAAGTTGCAAAGCAGATGAACGACACCAGTATGGAGGATAATTGGAGTGAAGTGGCGCCACAACTCCAGGTTATCCACCATCATAGGTGCAAACTTGGCTCCAAGAGTCATCTATTATTGAATAAAGTTAGACATATTTGATTGATTGAATGATTGAATAAATGATGGTACTTACAAGTGATCTCGAAGGTGGTCCAAGCATTGGGTTGACGGATGGCGTCGCGAATCCATGGAGACAGAGTGAGGCTATGAAGTAGAATACTTGGATCACGGAGATTACAAAGATGAAGGTCTTGATCCATGGATAGCGTTGAACTAACTGTCTGCAGGAACATTTCTTGAGTGATGGTGTCTGTCGATCATCAGTATCAACGTCCATCGACTCCATCGATTTCCAATTGACTTTCTTCAAGTCATCTTCTGGCAGTTGTTGTGATAGTCGTTGTTGTCTCTCCAAGAAGTAGGCAACACGAGGTGGATGAGTTGTATTTGTAGTATTGGTTGATGAGGTAGTTGTCTTTGAAGTAGCTGGCTTCCATTCATCGCTCTCCTTTGTTAAACTGATCTTATCACCATCATCAATATCAATTGCTTCATTGAGTATTACACCATCAACACAACTACCATTGACTAGTTCATGATTTATATTGTCGTCTTGATTATTATTGTTATTGTTGTTGGACATTATTAATTATATTAATAATATATAATACTGTAACAAACTAAACAATAAAAGATCATTAACTTAGACTATCGTTAATGATTGATTGATTGATTGATTGATTCAGTGATAAATATATATCATACTCCCTACTACCCTATCATACCCTACCCTTCTCCACTTACAACTAATATAAATACAAATAAAAATACAAATACAAACATACATACACACATTAAGAACACAACAAATACACACAACCAAACATACTTATGTGCGGGCACTTCCACGTGTCTTTGGACCCAAATGAATGAACACAGCACACTCTTTCACACACACTTAGTGATCAATTGCCAACCCGACCTCCTCACCTGAGGTGTTTACATTTATGTATCTCTTTTACACATCAGTGTTTCATCGGGTGTGGACAGTGATCCATCAGTGAACTTACTCCTGATTATTATTATTATTATTAATATTATTACTTACACGCTAAGTGACTCCCAATTGGTATTCTGCTCGAATCAAAAGGTTGCACTTTGGTGATGACAGGTCTACAGAGTCTCTAAAGCATTCGTACCTCAAACAGGTATTCTCTCTTCTGTCTGACCCTCCCTCTTATTGGGTCACAAGATCACTCCTTAATGGGCTAATGATTGGTTATTGCTAGCTCGGTAAGTTCATTGACTTGTTCAATTAGATAGGTAGATATCTATATGTTGTATTAGATAAGCCACTAGGGAGAGAGTATCTATCTATCTTGAATAACTTCTAGACTTCCAGTTGGAGGACCAGGGTCTGTCTTGGAGAGACCCCCCAACATATGTTTGAAGACGGGCCTCGGCAAACAAACAAACCTGGGCCAATGTACCACACTGATCACCCACACATGACTGATCAAATCTGATTCAGCTGCCGAGTTCTGCAAAGATTCGACAAATGTTGCGATCTTGATCCCAAGTCACACTACACAACTATGGCCCGCAAAGACTACGTACAACTTCTCAAGAGTTGCCAACTTTCCAAAGGACATTTCCTCACTCACTCTGATCACTCTCTAATCATCATCACTCATTCTTTATTCCACTACTCTCTACACAACTTCAACAACAAATAACAATGATGACCACCAACAACAAGTTATTCATACTGTTGGTGACCATTTTGGTCTCCATCATGGCCACTACAGCTGAGGTCACACCTGTCTATGTAAACATTGGATTCACCGCCCAACAGGACGAGATGCGTGTATCATGGTACACGGTGAACAACTCCACCGCTGGAGTGGTCCGTTACTCCAATCAATCAATGGAGTTGGACTTGGCCGCCGGCGCCACCGCCAGTGCCTCGTCAAGCAGCACAGAGTATGGCGAATTCCCAGGCTGGTTCGGATTCGTCAACACCGCTGTCATGAGTGGATTGGCACCACTCACTCAATACTTTTACCAGGTTGGCGATGCTTCGGCCGATGTCTGGAGTCCAGTGTTCAACTTCACCACTGGTGCCGGAGCCACCGTCTTCAAACCCTTTGCCTTCTCAGTCTATGGTGACATGGGAGGTGGAAACTACATGCTAAACGTCGACAGTCTAATTACCAACTCTGATCGTTTTGATTGGATCCTCCATGTTGGTGACATTGGTATGTCAAAATCGTCCATCTATCACTGGAATCATTCCACGAGATCAATCACTAACATGTAATTATTCCTCCTACCCTCCCCACTCACTCAATCAATCAATCAACAATATATAGCATACGCTGATTACTCGAATAGCAGCAGCAACAAGGGCATTAGAAGTGGAATGCTTGGTAATATGACAGTTTGGAATGATTTCATGACATCGATCACACCATTCAGTGCACATCAATCTTATATGACATGTATCGGTAATCATGATGCCTTTTTGAACAAGTCAGCATACACCACAACATGGATAATGCCATCCGAGTCACCTTTAATCACATGGTACGCATTCGATTATAATGGTGTACACTTTGTATCCATGTCGACTGAGAATGACTATGCACCTGGCTCGGAACAATACGTCTGGTTGGAGAACCATCTCCAACAGTTCCGTGCATCCAACCCCAACACCTGGCTCATTGTCTACGGACATCGTCCATTCTACTGCACCACAGTCATCAGTATGTCTCCCATCACTCAATCACCGAAACTATTCCAATCACTCGATCACCTAATTATTCGATCTCTGGAATCAATCCAATTACTCAATCACCAATCATTCAATCTCCCATCACTCAATCATTCGATCAATCACTTTAATCACTCAATCACTAACATGTCTTCACTCACACAATTAGACTGGTGCATGGGTACCAACAACTTGGCATTGTACGAGGCCATGGACCCATTGATGATGAAGTACAATGTCGATATATTCATCGCTGGACATACTCATGCTTATGAACGATCATTCCCTGTGTATGACAAGGTGGTGGCCGGAACATTTGCCGAGCCAAAGGCAACCGTGTACATTTCCGTTGGTGTCGGTGGTAACTGGGAGGGATTGGACCCCTTGTTCAACGTGGACAAGCCACACTGGGCCGACTATCGCAAGACCGAACTAGGCTATGGTATCCTGAACGTCGTCAACGAGACCACCATCCACTGGCAATTCATTCAACAATCCGACGACACTGCTGTTATGGATCAATTCACACTCATTAAAGGTACATTCTAATTGTGTTCGTCATAATAATGAACTGAACTAGTGATGATCATTTTTGGAGTTTGCAAACTTTGTGAACTGTTGTTGACACATCGTAAACTTGCAAACTCGTAAGGCCAAAGACTACTTAACTGATGAAGATGAACACTTCATCTTCCTCTTGTCATTTATTATTTCTTTCTTTAACACTTCTAAGTATAATATTATAATCTTTAATACCCTACCCTTACCCTACCCTAGCCCTTGCCCTTACCATCATACTCTAACTTGGCAAAACACGTTAACATTAGATGGGAGCTAACAGTTCTTCTTTAAAATTTAAGATCACTACGTACAGTGATTATGTCTTTAGAGTCTATCTTGAGGACAGTTTCTTCTACTACTCTATCCATCCTGATAACACCTTCTTGAGGGAGATAGAAAGAATTGGAGCATTCAACGACCTTCCCAACATCATAGTCTATGAGGTTCCAAACTGTACAGTTGACAACCTCCGCCAGCACCTCCAGTATGCATTTGATCTTGGACTAACCGGTAGTCAGTTTATCACCTACTTGCAAGAGGAGGAAGGAGCCTCTGAGAAGAAGACTTGGATAGAAAGCATGCAAGAAATATTTTCAAAGCTTGGCATTATCTTTACTGGTGCTGCTGCAGCTCTTGCCCTTACTCAGGGTGGTAGATAAGTACTACTATAATAAATGGACCATACCCTTACCCTCACCCTTACCCTTGCCCTTGCCCTTGCCCTAACCCTCACCCTTTGACTTCAAATTCAAATTTGAGCTTCACTTAACAATTATCTCTATCTCAATCAATCATATTAATCTGTATCTCTTAGTTGCAAACAACTATAGTTTGATGTAATGTTTGGAAAGAGGAGTCCCAGCAGTGACGTGGATGAAGAAGACCATTATCATCATCATGTAATTAGTCCAAATAATAGTGATGATTATGATGATGTTAATGATGATAATGATGTGTTGGATCAATATGCCGACGATGATGATGAAGATATAGTACCAAATCATATATTAGCAGAAGATTATACAACTCAAGAGTTAGAAGACAATGATGATATATTGAAGGACATTAGAGTTGAAGATCTGCGGCTTCTACAACACAAGGATGGCACACCCTACACATCATTGGAAGAGCTCATCAAAGATGTACATGAGGACCCTCATCACACACTAAAGATCTCAATCGGTATCGACAAAGAGTTACAATCTCTACCTCTTGGCGTCATCAGTACATGTATGTTATGTTATGTATACTCATACTTTGGCGCGGCGTGATCATCATACTCATACTCATTCATTCACGCGACACAGACCTTGGCCAAGCTGAACAGTTGGTCCACCTACACAGAGTGATCACAGAGAATGATCGTATATTGGCAGAGATAGGTGATGTGTTCAAGCAGTTTGACGATGAACTGCAAGCATTGCTCAAGGACATGCCAGATAATCACATCACCTCACTTCAGATAGGCCAAGCACTTGAGAATAGAATGATCGTTCGCGAGTCTATCTCAAAACTTGTAAAGAAGATAGTCATACCTCCAGACTTGATCAAGTATGTCATCACTCATTCAATCACATCAATCACATGATCACTCACTCACTCCAATCAACCAATCACATGATCACACTCGAATCAGTGGACTGTTTGATGACGAGATGAATGAAGAATATGTACAGAACATAGAACACCTGGAACGAATCATTCAGAACTTGGATGAGTATATGTCAAGCAGTGCGATGTTTGCTCAGGACATGGCATTCGAGATTGACTTGCTCAAGAAGAAGGCATCACGATCGGTTCGTGACTTTATGATGAAGTTGGTCATCAGTCTAAGGAAGCCAAGGACAAATGTACAAATCCTCCAACACTCCAAGCTATTCAAATACTCCATACTCAATCAGTTCATCTATAAGTATGCTCCAACCTTTGCCAAAGAGATCAAGAACACCTATGTATGTCCATCCATGTCTCCATTCATTCATTCAAACAGTTCACTGACCATCGCGATCACATAGGTTGAGACAGTCTCAAGGATATTCACATCATACTTCAAGAACTATCTTACATCATTGTCCAAAGTATTTGTAAGTTTGATTGAATGAGTGGAATAGTTCCATGTTTGATGGCTGACCAATCAACAACCTGCCTTCCAATCAAATAGTATCCAATTGGTTCAAAGTCTGATGTAGTTGGATATTATGATAATATTGTGAAGGGATACTTTGGATCGACTTCAACAAAGCAAGTGGACACGAATAAGCCATCTGCATTCAATCTCAATATATCAAACTTGCCCAATGACATTTGGACCTCAATCAGAAGCGAAGTGATCAATGAGATCCCCGAGAAGATCAATCAAAACCTACTTCGTCGATCACACATCATCATTCGTGCCACTGATGCTCCACTGATCATTCCCCATGTTGCTCTCAAGGTATTGTCATCCTCGTGGGCTCATTCCCCGACCCTCACACTGACTCACTCAATCCATCATACTCCATGTATAGCACAACAACAAGAGATATCCATTTGAACAGATATTCAGATCAATGAATATACTATTGTTGGACACTGTTTGTTCAGAGTACATCTTTGATCAACAATGGTTCGCCAAACCATTGGTCAACAATAGCGAGTCATCTGGCATCATCAAACCAATATTCGAGAGGATATTCAATGCCTTCTATGTATGTTATGTTGCATTAACGCAACGCCAATATGTGTTGCTAACTGCGCCACACATTCACACACAACAGGAGAACATTGGATACTATGTAACGAATAGTTTCGATTGTCTTGGAGTGTTGATATCGATCAAGTTGAATCAGATGTTCATCAACATGGTGGCTGAACGAAGATTGGATATACCTTGTCTCAAGTCATACTTTTATCAAGTGGATACCATTCTCTGGGACAAGTTCAGCGAGTTGTTCAAGAGGAATATCGACAGTCTCAAGGCTGCACTAACAAACAACAATGGAACCATTGACCTTCGTCCACACATAGTATGTATCATTAATGAATGAATGGATGTGAGTCCCAGGACTAATCAATCAATTATAGTACACAAGAAGGTTCTCAGAGTTCTATGCTAGCGTATCAGAGGTTGTTGGATTGGACACCAGTGATTCGAGGGTCACTGCTTGGATGGCAGTTCTCAGATCATCAATGGAGCGTGTGTTGGAGCATCTAGCCAACAACTTCCCAAACAACAAGACCAAGTCAATGTTCCTAATCAACAACTATGATGTTGTATTGACTGTTTTGTCCGTATGTAGCTACTCCATGTTCCCTCGATCAATCAATCACTCACTCACTTATACCATTCAATCAATCAACTTAGGAGAACAACATATCACACAAGGAAGAAGGATATGCCAAGTTCAGGTCACTGCTGGATGAGCAGGTGATGGTATTCATTGAGGAGCAATTGTACTCTTATCTCAAACCACTGATATCCTTTATCAAGGATACGGAATCCAAGCTACTCAATCCAACCGCCAACAACCAACCATTCATCATTGACAAGGATGTATTGTCCAATCTGATCACAGACTTTGGTCAACGCTGGAGGGATGTTCTACAGAAGATCCAGATGGACATCATGACCAACTTCTCCAACTTTAATCAGGGCTCTGACATCACAAGGAAGTTGATCACTCAATTCCTAATATATTACAAACGATTCGAAGAGATTCACAAGAAGTCCAAGCATCAACAGTCATCATCCACACAGCAGCCACCGCCATCATCCAATGCCAAGCCAGTGGCAACATTCATACCAATCTCAACCATCACCTATGAGATATCAAAGAGCTACGCGTCATTCAGCTAGATTGGTCAATCATTAAAACAAACACTTTATTCCTTTGGTCATCCATCCATCTATCCAACCAATCAATCACACATTTTATAAGAGTGGATTAAACCATTGCTTGTACCTTAAATAATATGTTTGGATTGAATCAAAGGTTAGATGGGAGGCTGAATGGAGTAGACCTGCACGCATTAGAACGGTTGGCTGAAAGTATGATACACTCGGACCAACTTCCAATCGGTAGAACAATCGATAGATTGAGAACAAGCTTGATGGCACAAAGTATGACATTCCAGTTGATATCATCGATGCTGAACCCCAAGCCAACTCTCCATAGCACGTCTTACTTCTAATCTCTCCATTCTCTTCTTCATTCCAATGAGGACGCTCTTTGATTTGAGCCTGATGATACTCATTCCTAGCAAGGATTGAGCGATAATGAGTATAGTCGGCAAGTGTTGTGAAAAGGTAATTGGTCATTGTATATCCAATTCGGAACCCGGTAAGTCCAAGTACCATCATCACGTCAGAGCTGAAGAATGTACGGAAGTAGTTCATGAATAACCATGAGTTGCTCTTGTAAAGATTCCTGAACATCTTGTACGCCATCACTTCAAATGGTCCGGAAATAATAGTGGACATTATCTCTACGATCAACTCTCTTGTGAATGGAGATCTCCATGACCATGACCATAACCATGCTTTACCACCGGTGTCATTCAGGTTCTTTGCCTGCTCCTCCTCCAAAGGCAGATACTTATCAACAAGCTGGGTAATGAAATAAGTTGCCCAAGTATGTGCATAAGAGAATCCAGTTAGATCAGAGAAGCCCAAGTCTTCAATCTAAAGGATATATTATTATTAGGTATTAAGTTGTCTAACTTGACTCATCCAAGGATACTATACCGGCTCAGTTGTTGGAAGTCCAATTGATGAAGCCATCGTGCGTGCCTTGAAGTTGAATAGACGATCAAGTACACTGAATAAGAAGGATGGTACATAATCATTTAGATGTTTTGTTAATGGATAGTATTCTCTGAGTAGATCAAGGTATTCAACATCATTGATTTCACTAACGTCATATAATCTACGTCTAATAGGGTCCGATAATATATAATAACCTTTGTTCAATCTTAGGAAGTCATTAACATCACCTCCCTTGTCTGGATGGGCCAGTCTTGACATCCTCCTATAAGCCTCTGATATCCTACTGAATGATGCATCACTTGGTACACCAAGTAGTTCATATAAATCGTCAAATATATATATATTATTCATTGATTGATTGATTGATTATTATCTGTATCTCTATCTATTTCTTGCTTATAAGTTGGTGATGTGAATGAATGAATGAATCAATGAGTGATGAGAGGGCCAGGGTTTAACCCTCACTCACTCAATCACCTGACCTCACACTCACTCAATCAATCAATCACTAACCCATTACTTTGGTCCAAACAACTCTGCACCCTTCTGATAGGAGGAGATGATGGCGTCGAGGGTAAAGCTGGAAATTGATTGGAGTAGACCGGCTCGCACAAGGATGGTGGGCGAGAAGTATGACTTTCCAGAGCCAGCCTCCAATCTGTAGAACAATCGATAGATTGAAAACATGGTAGAGGGCACAAAGTATGACATCGCAGTTGATAGCACCGATGCCACACCCCAAGCCAACTCGCCAAGGCTCTGCTTCCTCAAGTCTCTCATCAAATCCGGTTGTTCATCCTCGTCCTCATCCACTTTTTGTTGTCCTTGTCCATTGGCTTGTCCATTGGCTTGTGCTACTTGATCAGCTTGTTCCTTCTTCTTTTGTTGATGCTCAATCTTTGCGACCAGTGATCGATGATGACAATAGTCGGCCAGTGATGTGAAGAAGTAACTGGTCAATGTGTAACCAATGCGGAATGTGATGAGTCCAAGCACCAGTCTCAGGTCCGAGCTAAAGAATGTGCGGAAGTAGAGCAGGACATTGTGTAGCAGACGCTTGTACAGTGCTGCGCTGGGGTCGGCGCCCAGTGTAAAGTAGTCCAACAGCGCCGAGCCTCCCTTGTAATGATATCTAAAGGCCTTGAATGCGGCCACCTCGAATGGTGCTGCGATCAAAGTCGACAATACCTCCACCATCAGCTGTCTCATAAATGGGAAAGAAGATTCTGGCTTGTTGTTGGGGCCATCAGTTCCATCCTTCCTTGGCATGTACTTATCGACCAACTTGGATATGAAGTAATCGGACCACATATGTACATAAGAGAACGCTGCAATATGAGCAAAGTCCATGTCCTCAATCTATGTGCGCGCGAGTACAAGGTCAGTCGATAATGTCGCTCAAACATGTTTGATTGATCGATTGATTGAATGATTGAATGATACTATACCGGTGCATCGGTGGCCAGTCCGATTGAGGATGCCATTGTACGCGCTTTAAAGTTGAATAGACGATCGAGGACGTTGTGTAGGAAGTAGGGTACGTAGTCAGAGACTTTGGTGGCGAATGGAGTGAATCGTTTGAGTTGATCGAGTACACGTATGTCTGTGACACCGGTTGTATCATAGTAACGTCTTCTTATGGGGTCGGACAAGATGTCATAGGCCTTTCTCAGTCTGAGAAAGTCATTTGTATGGCCTCCTTTGTCTGGATGACACAATCTTGATTGTGTCCTATAAGCCTCTGATAACTGTCTGAATGATGCATCCTTTGGTACATCCAATATCTTATATAAATCATCATATATCTCTATATTATTCATTCCTACTTCTTCTTCTTTATCTTTATCTCTTATCACTCATTCAATCATTCAATCATTCAATCATTCAAGAACACATCCCATGGTGACCATTTTTGAAGTCATCACACTTTGTTGTTCATTCACTCAACTCATTCATTCATTCACTTCACATCGCAAGCTGACTTTACTCTTAGTCATCACATCTATCATCTATTGTTGTTGTAGTCCCTATTATCTTTATGCTCTACACAACAGACAACAACAACAACAACTCGACTCCACTAAATCATCAAAGTTAGCAACATCTCATACTTAACTTTAAGGACAACGACAATGATTAATTCGTCGGCACATGATTGGATGTAGGCTTGGACATTTGGACAACTTACAAAGACAACGATATCATATCGATAGATGTATTGGTTTAGCCCAACAACGACAACACGTTCATGCCAAAGATGGCCCAATTTATTGAGTCTCACCAGAGCTCAACAGCAACCTTGAACATGTCAACCTTTAGAGTCGCCCAATCAAACTGACTTGCATTATTCAAAATTGAACCACACACCTTGTATCAGTCAGCTCAGTATCACTCACACCTCTCCTAAAGCATCATACACACACTTAAGCAGTGCCTACGCCAATGTTCAAAGGACCTGCCAACACACACACACACAGATGATGATGAGGTTGGCTTAGTGATTGATAGAGTGTTGGTGTGTGTGATCTGTGATATGATACAGTGGAAGGGTGTGATGATGCTTACCTACCTTTAATGGTCACCCGGTGTTAAGGAGATTAAACCCCAGCCAACCCTAGCTAGCTATGCTGGATTCTTCCAACTTGGAGTGTTCCATTGTTCCTTCCAACATCAATCCATGGCTGACTGACTGACTGACCAACTATATCACTTATCAATCTTCCTACCTCTCTCTAATTATCTCTATCTTGTACATATATATATTACACTCAAATATTCCATTCAATCAATCAATCAATCAATCAACCTCAAAGAGATGGATGTATCGAATTTGAACACAATTGTATCGTCGAGTGCAAAGCACTACTCACGTAATATGACCGTGAATGACTTGACACATTATTCAAAGACTTATGGAAGCCAGTCGGATAATGAGATCCTGAGCTCAGGAATATTTAGACGCTTCTTTGCCTTGCCAGTGCCCGCCGATCCCAAGGTGCGCCACTTCTCACTGTTTGTCGATCAGGACCTCGAGAACTCGGATCGTCTGATCAAGCAGATGTACGCACTGACCACCCTGTCACAGCTGCTCTGTCTGGCCATCGACAAGATCTCCTCGCCCAATGTGCACCCCCTCCTGGTCAAATACTCGCTGGCTGTTGCCATCAACCACGCGCCACAGTTCCAGTGTCTCAAGCCTCAGGTGCCGCAGGCGTTGGTCATCGCACCTGCCCACGTCTTTGTCGACAAGAATGTGCCCAAGCGATGGAAGAACCCCGACTCACTGCTCAAGTGGTGGCGCGAAGACCCCATGCTCAACTCTCATCACTGGAACTGGCACACGGCCTACCCTTCATTCGGTGTGACTCTGGACGGCGCCAGCCCCGCCCGCCTAAAGGATCGCCAGGGTGAGCTGTTCGTCTTTATGCATCGCCAGATGATCGCCAGGTACGACTGTGAGAGGACCGCGCTTGGCCTACAGCCCATCGACCCATTCGGATCAAACTCATACCGCGAGTCCCTGGGCGACTCGTTCGACCCACTCATCTCGATGTTTGTTGCGCGCCCTGCCGACGCCAAGATGCGCGACCTCGTCCAGTGCACACCGCCATTCGACTCAATCTCTGTCGTGGACCTCGAGATCTGGCGCGACCGTCTCTACGAAGCCATCCAGAACAGGACATTCAGGAAGCTGGTCCAGAACGCAGACGGTTCCAGCTCAACCGTTGAGATACCCATGACCATCAACGATCTTGGATCATCGCTTGAGGCCACCATGGGCAGTCCCAACAAGTCCTACTACGGCAACCTCAACAAACAGGCACACAACCTGATGTCACGTGTGTTTGACACGCAAGGCGAGGAGCAGAACTCGATTGGCATCATGGGCGACATCATTGGCGCATTCCGTGATCCAATCTTCTGGCGCTGGCACAATCATCTCGATGAGTTCTTCCATCGCTTCGAGATGTCCATGCCCGCCTACAAGCTGGCCGACTACGCCCCATCCAATGTCCGAGTGAACAGCACCACCGTGCACCCACTCTACAACACATACACGTTCTTCAACCCCGACATCGAGGCCCTTGACGTGGCCCTGCAACCATCATCAGGCAACCAACAGATGCAGGAGAACCAGCTGTTCACCTACATGAAGACACAGATCGTTGGCATCAAGGAGGATGGAACAGTGGTCAACGCCTCCAAGAAGAGCCAGCCAGACGGCTTCCTCAACACTTATGAGACTCACAGACTCTACCACGTGCCATTCGAGTACAACATCTCGGTGACCAACGATGACGAGCAGTTCAAGAAGGTCACCGTTCGTGTGTTCATCGTCGCAGCCGACGACTATGGCGACCGTCGCAAGTGGATCTCTCTCGACCAGTTCTACACCTCTTTGCCAGCAGGCCAGCGCGAGTACACAATCACTCGCACATCATCAGAGTCAAGCATCTTGCAGCAAGCCTGCACAGAGGAGTGGCCCGGCAACTGGGAGGGACTGCAGGACAATGCTCGCCCATACGTCACAGACACATACTGCAAGTGTGGTCTGCCACGCAACCTATTGCTGCCTCGTGGCACCAAGGAGGGCATGCCATTCCGTCTGGCGGTCATCGTCTCCGACTCCAAGTTCGACGTTATCCAGTATGGCGACGGTCAGTCAACATGCTGTGATGGCAACATCTACTGTGGCACCTACAACAAGCCCTATCCATACAAGATGGACATGGGCTTCCCCTTCAACCGTGCCATCCAGACCCAAGGCGACAACCTCGATGAGAAGATGGACGTCTTCCTCAACGCCCCCAACGTCTCCAAGTCCACCGTCACCATCAAGTGGGATACACCAAGAGGAATGGCAGCCTAAAGCATCGGGCTACCATCCCAATCATTCACTCAATCAATCAATCACACTCAATCAAACAATCGATCAATAAAGGTTACTACTACTTGGACATGTTTATTGGTATACATCTTAGAAGACTGGATGAGAGAAGGTGTTGGCGGCCAACATGAAGTTCTCCTCTTGTTGGGTGAACTGGACTGAGATCTGGCCGAGATGACGCTCGTCCTCCTTTAGACGCTCCTTGGTGACGGACACCTCGAACAGCTCCTCCAGCATCACGTCGGACAGGATGGTGATGCGGCCCTGCACCTCTCCCCACAGGTCCGACTGCATGGGGATCAGGAAGTAGTTGAAGCACTTCAACATGATGTTCTTGGTGATGCGCGCCTTGGTGTCGCGGAACAGCTTGGCGGCCAGCTTGTTGACGACGCGCTGTGTGTCGTCCTTGGTCTTGGCGGCGGCGCCTGCCTCGCTCAGCGCCTTGAGCTCGTCGTTGTTCTGCAGCTCCCAGTAGATGAGGCGTGTCGTGTAGAACTCGTCGATGCACTTGCTCTTGCAGGTCTGGACGATCTGGTCGATGAATTTGAAGTACATCTCCTTGATGGCGTACGTGAAGTAGGGGTGGTCGTCAATGTTGACCAGCGCCGAGGTCATGGCGCCGGATGCGCCCGAGACAGAGCCGCCTGGACCCACGTTCGAGCCCGAGCGCAGGCCGCCTAGTGACATGGGTGCCGACTCGAATGATGGCGAGCCACCAACCCTACGGATCTGTGCACGTCTCTTGTTCTCAATCATGCGATCGACAATGTCTACGAGGCGACGCAGGATGTAGACTGCACGACGGAAGAGTTGGTCGATAAGGGGACGCAAGGCCTCCTTGGACTTGCGCTGTGCAATGTCGCTGGCCGCCCACGCCAGCACCGATACGTTGCTTGGGCGGTTCGAGCCCAGGGCTGTGGCAATCTCGTCCGAAGAAAGTTCGGCCAGCTCGGCAGCCTCGCTGATCGCCTTGAACTCTGAAAGCAGACGCTCAAACTGCTGGCCACCATAGACCTTGGACTCGTGGAATGGCACATTCATTGTCTTGGCGTCGAAGAGGATGGCGCGATGGTTGTGATCGACCCACTCGCCAGTCTCGTCCTGTGACTTCTCCTCGGCCAGGGTCTGGCCGTTGAGTGTGGGGTTACCCTCGAGCGTGCCAACCACCAACTTCTCAATCGACTGCAAGAACTCCATGACGTAGTTGCTAGCGATGATGCGCAGTTTGCCGGCGTTCATGTTCTCGAGCTGGATCTTGAGCTTGGCGAGCTGTTCCTCCGAGCTCTTGCGGAAGGCGCGCAGACGCTTCAGCACCTCGGGGATGGCCTCCTGGTACTGGCGCCATGTGATCTCCGAGACGGCGTGGCGGAAGGCCGAGTAGCCGATGTTTCGCTCGAATCGGCGATCAAATTGCAGCTGCTCCAACAGCTCCATGTCCTGCTTCTGTAGCTCGTCGAGTGCCGCGGCCAGCAGCTCCTTGTTTCCGGCGCCCGCACGCGCGTCGGCGTTGGGCAATGTGAGGAAGAAGGTCTGTGCGTCGTTGTTCACGATGCTCAGGTATCGATTGAGGTCGCGAGCGTTGCTGAATGTCTTGAGGTGGTCGTGGAATTTGGTGAAGACAAAGATGCTGCGGTCCAGCTTTGGATCGAAGCGCTTGGCCGCGTCGGCGTAGCCGGCCTCGCCAGCGGCTGTCGCCGCGTTCACAAACACCAACATGCGGTTGGTGGGTCGCGCAAAAGTCTGCACCAGGTCGTCGTCGGCGGTGGCCGGAAGCTCGATGAACTGCATGTTGAGCACGTGGCGGTACTCAAACTGCACCTTGATGGGGATGCTGCTCTTGACATTGCGTGCGCCAATCTCCTTGGCCAGGTCCTGCAGGTCGACGACCTTGTCCACCTCGAGGTTGGGCAGGAAGCGATCGCGCTTGAATACAATGCGTGGTCGCTCGTACTGTGGGTTGTTGACCAAGTTGATGAGCAGTGGGCGCTGGGTGGCGCCGGCGTCGCCCATTGGGAAGCCGACAAACGATTCGATCAGGGCGCTTTTGCCCGTTCCATCCTTGCCCACGACCACAAACTCTGGAACATCGATCTGAGTGTTCAAGTCACGTGCCAGAATCATAATCTTATTGTACGATTTGTACATCTCTGTGAACTTCTGGTTGTCAAAGTTCAATGGAAACGGTATTACCGTTGAGATTGGTTTACTATGTTTGGTTGATTGATTGGAATAGTTCCCAGTGTTGATTGATTGATTGATTGATTGAGTAGTGTTTGAATAGTTCCAAAGTAGAGAGTGTGATGTCAGTCTCCTATCCTGTGGTATCCATTGTGTTCCTACATGTCCTGTCCTGTAACACCCACAACATCCATCACTAACTTACACAACAGATTGTCTATCCATGTCTTGATCTGAACTAAAACTACTATTTTACAAGATGAATAAGGTGAATGAATGATTGATTGATAACAATAATATTACAATTACAATTACAATTAAAAGTTATAGATATAGATAGATAAAAAAAGTGATTGTCTCAATGTCAGATGAAGTTGATCATTGATCAATCTTCACACCCCTTGTTGTGAGTGGTCAAAGTGATGGGATCAAGGTCATTCATGAGAGCTCCCCCACCCATCAGAAACCCACCTCTGATCAAAAATCATCCAAGCGGGTGGCGCCATAATCTGATGTTTCACCAAAGGATAAAGATAATAATAACATCATTGTATTTGTTATTTTATTATTATTATTACAACAACACATGTACGTACTTTACCATTGATGAGTGTCTTAGTAAAAGAGAGAGCGAGACCACTCCAACTCCATTCCACTTCACTTCACTTCAAGTTGTTGAGTATGAAACACATTCGCACACAGAGTGTTCCTTCCCACACACCACCTCGCGAGGTCCCTGCTTAAGCTCACACATTGATCACTTGTTATACTCACATGGTGAAGGCAGTACCAGGTACTGAGGCGCAACTGTGACAATGGAATCACAATAATACTACTACATGAAATGGAGGTGTTGATGTCACGTACAGACGTCGCACTAGGACCCTCACTTCATTATCACCATCATCAACATCATTCATGGCTTACTGGAATAGAGATTGGATTGTTTTCTTGTGATGCATATAGACTGTGGCTGGATAGCCAGCGGGCAGCTGGATTGCTGGCGAGGAAAGATTGATTGATTGATGACGGCCAACCACAATCCTTGTCACAACAACATCAACAACAACATCAACAACAACAACAACAAGTAGTTGCAACAGCCACAAAATCATTCAATCAAACATCAACCATCAATCATTTTATTGTGGATATTATAATATTATATTATTTTCCATTTGGATAATTTATTAATTCTCAATCATGGGCACAACAACTGTCCCATTAATATTATTATTATTATTTAGTCTTCTTGTTACCTTTGGTGAGTATCATTGAAAGAGAAGTGGAGTTACTTGGCTATCTCTAACTCCCAACTTCCAATATCCAACTTCCAATATCCAACACAATAGACAATGTACAAGGATCAAAGGGTGGTGGCAAGGATGTTAGTGACCTGTGCGATACAATAGATTGTAGATATGATATGAAGTGCATTGTACTCAATGGATATCCAAAGTGTGTGTTTGTTACCAGTCCAAACGTGACAGACTCTTGTGCAACAAAGCTGTGTCCCTACGACTCAGTATGTGTGTTGGTGAATGGCGTTGGAACCTGTGTTCCCAAAAGTGGTGGAAGTAGCTCAACAACCGGCATTCCCAGCCCGGTCTGCACACCGACCACCTGTCCCGCGGGCCAGCACTGTGTGTTGGTCAATCTCACACCAACCTGCTTTGGCGAGACGCCATCATCATGTCTCGACATGGGCTGTCCAAATGGCACGTTCTGTGTTGTAGACAAGTTTGAGCAACAGTCCTGTGTGCGTGGCTCATGCTCACTCAAGTGTCCAGCCGGCCAACAATGCATCGTCATCCAAGAGAAGATCAAGTGTAGCCCACTCAACACCAACCCATCATACGACATCTGTCAGTGCGCATACAAGGAGTGCGCCAAGGGCTCACACTGCGTCCTAGTCAATGGCCGCGCAACATGTATCGAGACCAAGATCGCCCCCGTATCCAAGGCCATCCAGGACTCGTGTCCACCCAACTATTGTACTTCAGGTTATCGTTGTGTGATGGTCAATGGTCGAGCAATGTGCGTTAGTGATGCCAACTCGTGCGCGACGACATTGTGTCCCGATGGCACCAAGTGCGTGGTGCTCGCAGGCGTTGCCAGCTGCGTTGACATCAGATCATGCGCAGCCACGAGATGCCCAGATGGAAAGAAGTGCGTTATGCTCAACTACCAGCCAACATGTGTCAAGGTGTCTCAGACCGACCCCTGTCTCTCGGTCAGGTGTCCCGCCGGCAACATCTGTCTGAATGACAATGGTGCGGCAACATGTATGTTGCCACGTAGCAAGTGTGATCGCGTGATCTGCCCCGGCAACTTCCATTGTATTGTGCTGGGCGACCAAGCCACATGCATTGCCAACGCCAGCCGAGACTGCACTTCCAAATGTTTGAATGGCTACGTGTGCCAGATCATTGGCGGCGAGCAGACCTGTGTGCCACCACCACCCGCCACTTGCAATGGCAAGATATGTCCACAGTCATTCCACTGCGTGCTTGCCAACAACGTGCCAACATGCGTCAAGGACACGCCACCAAGACTGCCATGCCAGGACCGTATATGCCCTGACGCCTTCTTCTGTCTCGCTGTCAATGGCTATCCAACATGTGTGAGGAACCAGTCGATCAACGCGTGTGACGGCCAGACCTGTCCACAGGGCATGCACTGCATCGAGGACAATGGCACGCCCAAGTGCATCGTGACTAAGGGTCCACCATCGCCCTCGCCCCTCGACTTTTGCTACTGCGCCAACCATGCCTGTCCGAGCGGCCAGCACTGTGTGTTGGTCAACTACCGTCCAACATGCATTGTGGACACGCCACCCAGCAACTTGTGCGAGGACATATCGTCAGTGTCGGACTGTTTGCAACAGAGTGAGTGCACGTGGCAGACTCTGGAAGGCTGCTGCGGCGACTACAAGGGCGTCTGCGTTCGCAACCCAGGCCAGTGCATCAACGACTTTAGCTGTCTGACCGAGGAGGCGACCAAGCGCACATACGTCTCGCGCTCAACCTGCAAGCCATCGATGGGCTGGACGACCAGACCCAGCCAGTGCTCCGAGCTCGGCTGTGAGGCGCTCGGTCTGACCTGCGTGTACGCACGTCCCGTCACCTGCAGCAACACCGAGTGCTGCAATCTGATGCCCATGTGCTCGCGTGGCGACACGCCCGTGGCACCAGTGCGCAAGGTCGTCGACGGATCCCATCCGGACGTGTGCCAGGCCGTATTTGAGCAGCACCACGTCTCGCCCAACAGCCTGGACGACAACGAGGACTATGCCGAGATGAAGTTGGTCGTCTGCAACAATGGCACAGCACCCATCACCTCGTTCTCATTCCGTCTGCACTCTGAAGTCGAGTTGCTCTACTTTATCGGATTGGACTTCATCGCGGACAACCTTTACAAACTACCAAACATCGTAATGCCCCTTGCACCAGGTAAATGCTACGAGAAGGGTATCTACGTATCCAAAGATCACAAGCCTCAACTTTACAATTCAAACTACGATTGTCAATAAACAGACAACAACATTTGTCATGACATTCGTGGCAAAGAGATATATCAATTACATGGTCTGGTCCATGACCAACAAGTACATGGATATGAATGAATGAATGAATGAATAGTTGAGTGTGTATGTGACCCAGGACAGACAAGCAAAGTTGTACTTCTCCCCCCCTTCTTCAACTTGCTTCCGAGACTTGCACAACAAAACACACACAAAGAGGCCAAACCCTTCAAAAAAATGAATTTTAATAAGTTAAACCACTCAACTCTATCATTTAATGCAGCTCACTCACTCACACTTCAAACACTTAACACACACACACATACACAAACACACATAACTATTACAATCAAAGACATACACACACACACACACACACTAACACAGACACAATCTCAACTCACTCACCTCTCTAACCTCACTCACTCACTAGCGACAACAACAATCATCATTCACTCAATCAATTCTATCATCCAATCAATCAATCACTCACTTACTCTCTCCACTCCATTCATTCACTGACAGCCAACACACATAAGCTCTCTCTCCCTCATACACACAAACACACAATAATTTAAGCAAGGGCAAAAGCATTACAGCAGCAGTGTTGTTGACAGCCATCATCTAGCTCCTCATAATATATTATTATTATTATTATTATTAATTATCAATGCAAAGATAAAGAGAGACAGAGACATAGACAAAGACAGAGACAGAGACAGAGACATAGACATAGACATAGTCAAAGACAGAGAGAAAGAGAAGTGAACTCAATCAATCAATCATACAAACAAACCGATTATACTTAGTTAGAGCCTTGTAGAGACGTCATCTACCTCTACTTTGATAGATAGATAGATTAGTTAAAATATATATATATATAAGAAGACATGGACACTTCAATGAAAGATCCAAGTCTTAAAAGAGGTAAGGTTATACAATCATCTTCATCATGTTCATACATTCTAACGTCATGTTAATAATAATAGAATTAGATTATGATGATCCTATAATTGATGATTATAATGGTGATAATGATGTCGAGAGATCAATCATCAAACGTTTAAGACTTAATAACTATGGTCAAATCAACAGCAACAACAACAGCAATAGTAACAACAATAATAGTAATAGTAACAACGATGTTCTAAGCTCATTCGAAAGTTTATCAGTAGAGATAATGGTCAATATATTCAGTTACTGCGATCCTTTCAGTACGCCACTGATACATATCTGTCGACATTGGTATCATGTCATTGGCTCGAACCAATTGTCCATTTGGCGTCACCTGCTCATTACCATCAATGACAATCGGCCACTCACATGCAAGCCACTACCCTATCGCATACTATCCTATCTAAACAATGGCTTTGGTCGAGGCCTGCATCGATTCTCACTCACAACATCACTATCACCAACAACAAAGTCAAACAACAACAACAACAACAACATCAACATCAACAACATTGTAAATAGTAATAATAATGTACAACTACGAAGTAGACAACAACAACAACAGAATAATAACAATAATAGTAACATGTCAATTGAGAACATGGACACATGCAAGTCTACATTCGAGAACATTGGTATGGTCGACTTTACACGTAGCTTGGGCCACAGCCTTGCCACAACATGCCACAACCTGCGTCAGCTGGAGATATCACTGCCGTTGGACTCTGATCAACTGCACTCAATCACATCCAACTGTCCCGATCTCTCAATGTTGAGTATCAACTCCATTCTGATATCGGACAGAGAGTTTGAGCGTGCCCTGGCACCACTGAAGCGCGTCGAGCATCTCTCGTTGCTGTCACTGAGCCATCAGGCCAACCTGGTGTTCATGAAGCAACAGGGCAAGACTTGGACGCCAAGGTCGACGCTCTCCCCCATGGCCCTTTGCACAATATCCAAGCTGCAACATCTAAAGTCGCTCAAGTTCTCACTACTACCTCACTATGGTCACAAGATACTGATTGAGAATGGCATCGTCTCAGAGTCAGCCGAGTCCAATGATCAACAGACTCAATCAGACCTTGATCAATCGATCAGGACACTTATAAAGTATGTTATGTCCAAGTGATTGATTGATGTATCATCAACCTCATTAACTAACCAATCAATCAATCTTATTAGTTGTAAACAATTGGAGAATCTAGAGTTGATGAACTGCAATGTCAATGAGAGTGCACTGCAGATGTTACAGAACAGTTTGAAGCTCAATAGATTGATAATCTATCGCAACAGCTCATTGGCGTCCTATACCATTGGCAGTCTCTCGACCATCACTCATCTCAGTCTATCATGTCTGCCAATGTTGCGATCGATCAGGATTGACTCCAATGTTATCGAAGAACTCTTTGTCGAAGGGTAAGATAGTTTGATGTTCCATATCCACTCAATACAAGAACTAATACATACTCCAATCATTCATTCAAACAGTTGTGACTCTTTACAAACGACAGAGTTGTTAACACCTTTGTTGAAGACGTTGTCTTTGGAGGGATGCACTGGCAAGATTAGGGTGATCAACGGTTACAATGTTAGGACATTGTCATTGTTTGAATGTCCTGATATGACCCAGAAGGAGTTGGAGAGGACGTTGGACTCGATGATCAATCTCGAGGAGCTGTATATATATCTTCATCAAATCGGTCATCTGCGCATATGCTCCAACACATTGCGTCGCCTGGATATTGAGGCGTGGCCATCGATCAACACTTGCTTGCTGGACTGTCCCAGTCTGGAGGAGTTCAAGGCCAATGAGTCCAGTCTGGAGACACTCTATCTCAAGGCCGAGCATGTGACCTCGATCGAGTTGGACTTTTGTGACAATCTAAGGAATGGCATCATCGATGTCATCTCTTGTCGCTTGTTCTCATTCACTCAGAACCATCCAGCTCCATCCACTCACTATGGCATCGACCTGAGCACCTTCAAGATCGATCCGATGTCCGTCGACAATGAAGACAACAACAGCAACAACAACAGCAGCGGCAGTGGTAGATACCTGTCACCCACCTCGCTCTTCCTGCAGGCGCACTACTTTATCAAGGACTGCACGATATTGAGTGGCAACCTGTTGGGCAAGCTGTCGACGCGCATTGTTGGCCAGCTTTCTGTCGAGCAAAAGTCGTTCAGCACCTTTGTATTCGACGTGGACAAGATCTGCAAGCTCAACACCTACCACGAGAGCCGCGGTGACATGTCCACAGGCGCACGCTCACCCCGCTTCATCCCCATTGACATGAAGAGTAGTGCCACTTCATTCTCCTCAATGTCATCGTCATCAACATCATTGTACAATCCATCCTCATCAACATTATTGCCGATGCCACCTCAATGGAGGGGTGGCAGTGGCAGTCCTGTAAGCTCGAACAGTGGCATCGACAGTCCAAGTAGTAGTCCAAGCAGCGGCCGAAGCCTATCACCTTTATTTGACTTTGCCGAGCTGGCCAGTATCAACACGCCAACCTCATCATCGTCAAGTCCACCATCAACATCCAACTTGCAACAGCCTGTTTCGCCGCCACTGTCCTACACCGACAGATTGAGCATGCGTTACAGTCCAAAGCAATCATGATCAAGGATGGATGGACACAACATCTCTATTATATACATACATATACAATCATAGACTATATCATTAACAATGTACTTGTGGCTTCATTTCATCATCAAGGCATTGGACTGGCTGGACGTTCAATCAAAGGCACCTCTTTCTTAATCACACATGTTATCCAACTCTCAACATCAATCAATCATCAATCTATCTCGCATTGGAAATTTACAATCCAATAAAGTATGTCGTTCGATTATCACTCTATATCAATCATCTTGGCAATCAAGGAGTAATCAATCCAATGTGATGCGCGTCGAACCCCTGCTTTGACCTTCACATCACATTACAATAATGATGAACCCATCAATCTCAAGACGGACCATATGGAGTGGATCATTCATTCATTCATTCATCTGTTCAATCATTAATGAATGACTTGACTGACGTTGGACCTGGTCCAAAGTGTAATTTACAATAATGTAAAAAGGTAATGGTTCACCATCATCAAAACAGGATGTTTATTAACCAGTTGACGGATAGATAACCCCCTACTAATGGGCAGTTGAAGATGATGGTGATGATGATCTGATCAGATCATCATTGTAAGTATCTAAATTAAGACTATTTGTGGGTTGGGTGGACTCGGCATCGATCTCCATTGGCCCAACTAGTTATGAGTTGAGGACCCTTTATTCGATAACTCGGGGTGGGTAGAAATTGGTTGGTCTTGTAGACCCAAGCCTATCCCCCACCCACAAGTCAGTGTCAATCGTCAGAGCCAGACGTTTTTCCTTATTGGTTGACGATTCACCCACTTTGTTGTTGGATTGCCACAATACCAGTTCTCGTTGGCACTGACCTCATTCTATTAACAATGAAGGGCTAATAAGAGATAGATTAATTTTTGTCATGTGACAAGATAAAGAGTTTGTATTGTTGTTGATGTGGTGTGGATGTGATTCATCTATCGCCCATTTTTGGTTTGACGATGCGATGGTCCAAAGACGACAATCCAATGTCGTTGGTTGGTTGGATAATTTTGATTAGTGTGTGTGTGTGTGTGTGAGTGGGTAGGTAGGTGGCACCCGGTCAATCGATTGATAGGTGGGTCTCAGATGTAAGTGTGGACCCATGTTCATTCGCCAACTCTGGCGTCTAGACTTCGATGTCGAACATCTAATGTCCACCACAGCACTTCCCATTCACTTAATACACTCGGCCAGAACATCCATTAATAAGTACTTTACAGGTTAAGAAGTTAACAAACGATTAAAATTATTATTTATTAATATTTATTTAGGGAGTTGTAGGTCTAAGATCAATAATTAGACCTTCAGGCTTAGAAACAGGTGCCTTCAGACAAAGGGATACCTCAACTATATATAAACGACAATCATTATACGGAAGACTCAATCAATCAAACAATCAGAGTAATATTTAATTAATTATTTTATTACATATTCAATCAATCATTCAAACAATTAATATTCTGTAAAATTACCCTACAATATAATATTATTATACATTCATTAAATATACAATGAATACTAAATTAATTGGAACCATCTTGTTGGTCCTTACCTTATTCCAAAGTTATAATGGTATGATTCCTGCCCTCATCCTCGCCCTCGCCCTCGCCGTCCTCCACAAATTCTAACATACCATTCAATCAAATAGCTTATACAATTGACTACTGTGACACATTAAAGTATGCCTTGATGTTCTACAAATATAATAGAGCTGGAAAGCTACCTGATAATGATGTACCTTGGCGTGGTGACTCGGTGTCAGTCGATGGAAAGTTGGCCGGTGGATATTTTGACGCTGGTGACGGAGTCAAGTTTGCCCTGCCAATGGCCTACTCAATGACAATGCTCGGATGGGCATTCATCCAATATGAGCAAAACATCGCCTCTTGTGGCCTGACGGACCTGTTCCTCGAGGACATTAAGTACGGAACTGACTGGCTGATAGCCGCTCACACATCGACCAATGAGTTTGTTGGACAAGTTGGAGATGGTAACCTTGATCACTCGTTCTGGGGCCCACCCGAAATGATGACCATGGCCCGTCCATGGTACACACTTTCCCCCTCGTGCCCAGGTACTGAGGTGGCCATGGAGGCTGCCGCCGCACTGTCCGCCGCATCGATCATCTGGAAGAACCGTGACCCAACTTACTCGTCAAACTGTCTGACACACGCCAAGCAGTTGCACAACTTTGGTGACACTTACCGTGGAGTGTACTCTGATTGCATCAAGAACGCCGCCAACTTCTACAACTCATTCTCTGGCTACCAGGACGAGATTGTCTGGGGCACTCTCTGGCTCTACAAGGCAACTGGTGACGCCGCTCTCTTGACCAAGGCCAAGTCTGACTATGCTACTTTCGGTATCGGTGGCAAGGCCCAGGGTAACTCTCACGATTGGGACCTTAAGGCTCCAGGTGCCGTACTTCTGATGGCTCAGATCACTGGTGACTCCAAGTACAAGCAGGACTTCCAAGGTTGGTTGACATACTGGCAGCCAGGAGGCCGTATCTCCTACACTCCAGGCGGTATGGCTTGGTTGCGCCAATGGGGCCCAGCACGTTACACCGCCACAGCTGCCTTCCTCTCTGCCGTCTATGGTGGTGACACCAATGTCGGATTCTGCCGCAGCCAAATCAACTACCTGCTCGGAAACAACCCCAAGCAACAATCGTTCGTCGTTGGCATTGGACCCAACCATCCAATCAACCCACATCATCGTGCCGCCCATCACTCGACCACCAACGATATCAACAATCCAAAGAACAACGTCTACCTGCTCAAGGGAGCACTTGTTGGCGGTCCAGGATTGGATGACAGCTACGTCGATGACCGTGGTGACTACATCAAGAATGAGGTTGCCACTGACTACAATGCCGGATTCGTTGGAGCACTTGCCGCTCTCATCCCTGCAGGAGGCGGCTCAACCACTAGCAAACCAACCACTGGCCAAGCAACCACTGGTCAAGCAACCACTGGTCAAGCGACAACTGGTCAAGCGACAACCGGCAAGCCGACCACATCGACTACCAGCACGACCTCGACCACCAGCTCTACCACTGCCAAGCCTACCACCTCGACCACTAGCTCTACCACTGGCAAGCCAACAACTACCGGCCAGTCAACTACCGGTCAGTCGACAACCACCGGCACACCAACGACCTCTCCATCCGCTTGCAATGTCGACTTTGCCTACAACACTGTGAACCAGTGGGACAACGCCGGCACCAAGTTCACATTGATCGAGTGCACCATCTCCAACAAGGGCAATGCCAAGGTCAAGTCGGTCAAGTTCAACGTCGACAACCTCGACAGCATCTGGGGTGCCGACAAGGTGGACGGTGGCTACGTGTTCCCCAAGTACCAGGAGGGTCTGTCGCAGGGCAACTCCTACAAGTTTGGCTACATCACCAAGGGTGCACCACAGCAAAAGGTTACCAATCCAGTTGTCGCCTGCTAGTGATGCGCGCGTTATACTTGATCAGTTTGATGGTGATGCTCCGATTTGCGACCCAATAAACCGGACTGGATGGTCCACATACTTTGTTAATTACATTATGACTTTGATGATCATGTCTGTCTGTCGTTTACTTCTTCTTTCTTTGTCCAAGAGTCAGTCAGTGAGACTATCCACGAGTCGGGTAATTCGTAGTCATTCATATGATCATGTCGCTACTTGACTGTGTGTTTGAAGCGTCGATCAATCGATCAATCAGTCGAGTTGAGTGAACAAATGAGTGAGCGATGTTGATGCTAATGGTACCCAACAAGTGCGTTGGGGAGAGTGAACATGTCGATCGATCCATGTGTGAGCTATCGTCTTATCTCTTCATAACAATGTTCTTCTTGTCCTTGACTGCAGGTGATGGTCCACAGGGTTGTATCATTTTCTAATAGATGATTCAGAGAGATGATGTGAGTGATCATGTGATTGATTGAATGAATGATTGAATGATCTAACATACCTGTAATAAGTTGTACTCTATTCTACCTCTTGATTCATTCTCTGCTATTGCAAACAAAGAGTTGAGTGAGTTATGTCCAATATATGATGCGTAGCTGTCTCTATGTTGATTGGTAAGCCATTCGCTACACATATTGTTGTTAGTATTGATTGACTAGCGAGTCATTGCAAAGTTGATTGAATGAATGGGTGAGTACTTACTACTTTGATATATCAGAGTGACCTGTACCAACATATCTCATCTGGAGATGCTCCAACTGACTGTTTAATGACTCTCTCTCTGACATCTTATATCTATCTATCTATATATCTCTAACTGTATCTCTTTGATGAACTAGAATGAATAATGTTCTTTGTGTGGACCATCCAAAGTTTGGAGACAATCCCATAAATTGAACATATATCAATTGAACAATGTTCGTTCAATAGAGATAGAGATAGAGATAGTATTTGTTTAAGATGGCTATGAGTAGGGAGGACTTTAAACAGATATATGAAGAGTTGACTGATAAAGATGTAATACCATTCTTGGTAGCACGTTATCTAAAGTATCCTTACTCTACATTCATCAGTATCTATTCACAAAAGAAGATGAAGGATCATATGAAGTGGTGCAAGGTTAACATACCAAACATTGGCGCTCATTATCAAAGGTATGCTCAATCATTCAATCATTCAATCAATCACTTTACTCACTCAATCATTCAATCAATCAATCTATGTATTAGTTACAAGAATGGTAGATCATTGGTTGAGATATCAGCTTCGATTGATAGGTCACCATCTATATTGGCGAATCAAGTTATTGTATATCTATTGGATAATGATTTGAAGACATTATGTGGAGTGGATACAGTGATCAACAACAACACTGACATTGGTAAACTAATGGCAGAGGTCAAGGATAAGAGGACCATCGCAAAGAAGATATATAAGCATCCAGATATGATACAGAATGAAAGGCTGCGGTTTAACATACAACAGACTCATTATGGCGATGGCAATGTATCACCTCTAATCAATTATATTCGATCGTATGTATTGTTTACCTTTGCCCTTGCCCTGGTCCATCATCCTAACCCTTGCCCTAACCCTTGGGTACATCCAGGTCTACTGGAGCAGAGTATGAGTTCCTGCTACAAGAGAAGCTATATCAGTTGAGTATACCTTACAAGACTGAGGACCAACTACGCAAGATTGGTTACCCCAAGACACCTGACATCAAGTTGGATATCCCCTTTGGTATGATCGAGTGGAATAATCCCATTGTTTCCATGTGACATGACTGACACTCATTCATTCAATCAATCAATCAGCATACAAAGGACATATTGTAAATTGGATAGAGAGCAAGGCATCATTCTGTGATGATAATAACTATTGTAAAGTTAAGGAACAGATTGTTGGATACAAGAATCGTTATGGACCAGGAATTGTTATATTCTGGTTTGGATACATTGATGATCTGAACAATCTAACAAACGATGGTATACTCATATCAAACATATTTCCAGATATTGCCGACATCGAACTTATCTCAGACTTTAAACAACATCTATCATCAACATCATCAACAACTCAGACAGCAACAACAACATCATGATTGATTGATTGATTGATTGATTGAGCGAATAATATAACGATAACAATTAAAGCAGGTTGGTTGACTGGTGTACCTTTGGAAGGCGCCAGGCCAACTATGCATGGTTGGCGAGGTCATCCTTGATGTCCAAACCTTCAATGTCATCCCCTGGGGCATGGCTGGACCAGGATTCGAATCAAAAAGACGCGCGTCAGTGTCCAAAACGCGATGACTTTTGAACTTTGCAAGTCTTATTCGTGTCATTCATTCATTCATCTTGACTGCGCAACTACACATACATATACAATCATATACATATACATATATATAGATATAGATAAGAATGGTAAAGATATTAGATGTCTATCTTAGATTTGAAGCGTTGTTATATACATTGTTGTCTATAACAGGCTTTATAATGCCAATGTCAATGGTGGAATCATTCAATCTGAATGCTTTGCTGACAGGTGCCGACAGTGGTGTGATAATAGCAGAGGGTGCACAGGTGGACCCAACTACATTGTTGCCACTGGCCTATCATAATCTATTAGTATCAATTGTTCAATTATATGTATACGTATCGTCGATATTATGCGCATTCCAGGCGATCTCCATGTTCATTGCGGCATTCACGTCAAACACGTCACTGCGCTCGGCACTGGTCAAGCTCAACCTGTTCCTCAGTCTGTGTCTGCTGGTGTTCAATGGCTGGATCATCCACAGCAAGCAGAGCATCTACACATCGGACGGTCTCTACATGTTCTGGGCATCGTTCATCTTCTACGTCATCGACTTCTTCATCCTATCATTCCTCTCTGAAGTGTTGCCATTTATCACTGGACGCGCGACCACCAACGAGAAGACATCATCAACAGGTTCAAACAAGAAGAAGAATAAGTAAACGAATGAATGAATGAATCGAATAAAGGATTGTTACAATAATGGATGGCGACGCATGTGATCGCGATCAGATCTTTAATATACAACGTCGATCGATCAATCAATCAACTTAACGAGACGACTGCAACAACTTGATACATTGGGCGCGACCATGCTTGACGAGATACTCCTGGAATGTGATGAATCCTCCGCCAACACGAACGACCAGCTTGCCAGAGAGTATGGTCGTATTGATCGTGATCGTTCCAAACTGATACTGTCCTTCCGAGATTCTTTTGAAGTTGGTAGGCATTAGCCAACTGGTTGTTGTTGTGGCCTCAGACTCTGATGGTGTGGACGAACCAAGACTACGTATGACGCTCGCGACCATCACATCAAGATGATCATCATCCTCATTGGTGGCTATGTAGTTGAATGGTGTGGATTGTAGTTCTCGCAGACGAACAAGTAGTTGAGCGCCACTCTTTAGACTGAGAAGCCTGGAGACCATCTTTTGAAGTGCGTGGTATTGGATGGTCTTGGTCTCGCCTTGTGTGGCCACATCATTCTTGAACTTCTCAATCTTGTCCTGCTCCTTGCTAATCGTATCAAGGAAGTCGCTCACCTCATCAATCACATTCTGTGCGCTATTGTGATATTCTGTCGCCTTGATCATACGGTCGTGCATGGCCTGTGTGCTGGACACGAGGTCATTGCTAAGCTCATCGATCGTCTCTTGCAACAACTCATCATTGTCTTCTCCAATGTGGTCATCGCCATCATCGTGATCCGCAAGGTATGGCTCAATTATATCGAGCAGTGCCTCGAGACGTATCTCGAGTGGGTCGTTCACATCGCAGTGGGTAGGCAGCTGTTGCAGGGACTCTGTCTGCATGTCCTTGAGTGTGGCCATGCATTGTCCAACCATGTGGGTGCCTCGTGCGAACAGCTCTCTCCACAGACCAAACTGATACTGATCATTCATGTCAGATTGATCGACCTGTGTTTGTTGTCCATCACTTGCCAATTGATCCAACATTTGTTTGAATCGCTCAATGTTAACATCCTCCACCTCTTCGTCCCAGATGTGCTGTCCACCACCAACAAAGCCATTGAGCAGCTCATCATTGCTTGATGAAGTGATGAGTCGACCGCTGATGTTTAGGCCATTGTCAACAATGATTGATCTCTGCAATGACATGATCTCTTCCAACATCTTTGGATGAATTAGTTTGACCAGTTCATGTTTCCTCCAGCACTCACTATACACCTTTTCAAACTGATTGATAACATCCTGGAAATGATCCAACTGTCTAATCTCCAGCCTTCCATCATCACCAACTCTATCATCCAGCGTCCTTCTCATTCTGCCATTCTCTAACAAGTACATGCTCTTCTTCTTGGTATACCTATGATGATGAATGGGAGGTTAGATGTCAGTCTGGGATCGTTCCAATCATCGATGATTGAATGACACTCACTGGATGTTGAGCCTTTGAACTTTGAGCAACTTCATGGACCAGTTGGAGTTGTCCTTCGGGTCTGATTGAGTTTGGTCTGGCTTGCCAGGTGTGTCGGTGTTGAATACGAGTCTAACACGATCCATTGCTTGCTTGCTGCCCTGCTCCAACTCTTTGGTCATCTGAAGAAGATCGGTCGAGAAGCTCATCTCCATCAACTTCTTCTCGTGTACGGTCTTCTTGCGGCACTGTCTCTCTTCGGCAAGGTCGCGAGACAGTGCCTCCATCTTTGCCTGTAAGGCATCATTCTCGCGCTCCAACTGCTCGATATTGAACAAACAGTTGTCAACAATATGCATCTTACTCGACAATGCCTTGTTCTCCTGATGCAGCTCACTCCTCTCTGCCTCCAACTCCTTTGAGTACTTCTCATAAGCTGCGCGCTCCTCTCTCAACTTGCCAATGATGTGATCCTTTGTCTCGAGATCACGTTCCATTCTTAAGTGAGGGTCTAATGTTGATTGTGACGCTGATGTAGATGGCAAGGAGTTGGTCGATCTTGAGTATCCAGATAATGACACATCAGATAGTTCATCATCACTATTATTGTTGGCATCATGCAAGATGTTTGTGGTATTGGATGATGTGGCCGCCACTTGTATCATCAATTGCTTGGCTTGATTGAGAGTGAGAGTGCCACCTGAACCAACCTTGCCCACGAACATCTGAAGTTGATCATCCTCCATTCTCTTCTTCCTTGCAGCAATGCCCTCCATCCAATATATCCTCTCCTCCTCTGACACTGCATAAAGTATATATACTCTTCCAGGTGCTTCATTCATTGCATTTGTTAGCATCAATCATGTGATTGATTGAATGAATGATCATCTATTATAACATACTTGTTAACTCGAATCCCCATGTTGTACCTTGATTAAAGGTGTCAGTCTTTGAGATACGGGTGTGTAGGATGTCTGCTATCTTGATTGATCCTTGTGGCTTGGTGTCAACTCTGGACACATAATAATATATGATACTTTCATTCTCTGGAATGATACACCATCTCTTCTTATACAGTTTGATCAGGCCACGCTCTCCAAGCTTATGTAAATATCCTTGTATCACTGTGGCCGTAGTGATGTTGGTCGTGGTGGACATACTTGATTGATTGATTGATTGAATTATCTGTATTACCGTCAAACAAATGATTGATTTTCAAACAAATGAATAATCAGCTGATCGAGCAGGAAGTGTGGTCAACCACAACCGTCGACGCCGTGATGTCTTTACTGTAATGCCCACCAAAGACTATGATCTATTGGAGGCACCTGTGGAGAATGGCAAAATGCTTCCAAAGAGGAAATGCTGGATAATTGGAACTTTGGTCATGACCTCAGCGTAGAACTTCTTCATCATGCCCTGGTGTATCTTGGCCCAGCTGGCAGCGCCAGTTATGTTATACAAGTCTGGTGAGTGCTCATGGAATGGTCCCTTCTTTACCTGCACGATGTATGAATGAATGAGTTAATGATTGAGTGAATGAGCGAGCGAGTGAGAGTTGGACCTTACAGTATTGATGAACTTAATACAAGCCAGATACATGTAGTTGTTGTAGTTCTGATCGACTACGCCAGCTTTCAGTATGTCAACGGGCTTGATGCTTGGGTTGTCGGTCAGTTGAGCGGCGCCCCAGATGAATGGTATGAATTGGTAGTCGTCCAAACTCCACACTCCATGGGTGCCAGCCGGCTCAAGTCCATAGACAGTCTGTAACTTGCGAGCCAATGACGATAGGTAGCGAGGGAAGACACGCAGCACCAACGCCTTCTCGTCGTCTTGGTTGACAAAGCCGATGGCGCGCAGACAGTACATCCATACGACAAAGTGCAGTTCGTGACCTGTGCCATAGTCCAGTCGTGTTGCGTTGCCCATCGCATCAATGATATAAGGGCATAGTTCTACAATTGCGTGATGTAGATTCTGTGGCAGCATCTGTTGATGTAATGTTGCAATGTTGTCCACCATTCTCTGATGCCAAGTACGATATGCTTTGTTTCCGTATCTCATTGGCTGTGCTAGAGGTGGTATCTCATCGATCCATCCCGACATTATATCCAACATATTCAATATTGACTCTGTTGCCTTCGTTTGATTGATTGAGTGAGTGAGGCTGTACTACTACGTTGTGTGTGTATATACCTACCTGTGATACTGTACATGGTGCATCGTTGGCAAGACCTACGACACCATCACCCATTCGTTGAATGAATGACAATAATGAACGAGCTGTATCAGTTGCCAAGAACTGATTTAGTTCATTCTGATTTGTTATAACCTTTGTCGGCAAGACATAGGTATGATCTAATGGTAATACTGTAGTCATATCTCTATCTGTATCTCTGTGTCTCTATCTCTATCTCTGTATCTGTACACAAATGAACTTAATGTTCACTATTTCATTGAACTTGGGGTACTTGTCGCCACACTCGTGGTCAACAAACACGCCACTCACTTCAATCAATCAATAAAGATAGATCTAATCAGTATATGTTTATGTTATACAACATCATCATCATTTGGACTCTTGGCTAGAATGTTGTTGTACCTTATCGGGATGCTTGGTCAATGATTTGAGGAATGGATCGATGTAGGACAATGCTCTCCAGTAATCAGTCTTGATGTGTACGATTGTTGAATCAGCATGGATGGTGAACAACAACAACATGTGATGTTGTGGTGGTAGGAATACAAGTATCTTCATCATCTTGGCCACTGATGGAATCGCTGCCACCTTGTTGGTCTCACTAGATGATGAAGCTGCATCGGCTTCTGCCAAGTCCTCCATCTTCTTCATCTCAGGCTCTTGCTCCTGGACTTGGACTTGATCCTGGTCCTGGTCTTGGTCCTGGTCCTCAATCAAGTATAGACCTAGATTGGCACGAACGGATGCAACAATCACATCCTTGGCAACATTGATATACTTTACAGAGTGCATGTACTGTGGACTGTTTGTTGTTTGAATGAAGGATACAGGTTAGCAACGATCAATCAATCAATCCAATCAATCAAACATACTTCTTCTGCTCCACATTGAGCTCATCGACCATTAGTTTCCAGAGTTTGTCGAATAGTGTTGATCTGAACTGAGGCACGGACTTGACAAAGGAGGGCACGGGAACCTGCATGAAGATGTCCTGGAATTGAACAGAGATGGTGGACGCACTGGCCTTGCATGTCTTACCCTCGTCGTTGTTGAACACCATCTTCACCTTGATGTTGCTGGGCATGGGATGATGTGGATGGAATGTGATGTCCACATTGAAGCAATAGGGGAACTCCAATGCCTTGTCCTCGGACTCGGGGTAGCACAGGTAGGGTATCCTGATTGGGTTGATTGGCGCGTACAACGGGGTCGCCTGCTTGAACTGGATCAGCAAGGCATAGACCTTGGGCGGGAAATTTACAGGTGGCTGGTTGGGCTTGTAGCGGATGCGGTACGGGATGACGATCTTGGCGCTCAGGTGGCTGAACTCCTTGATCATGCGGTGGTACTCCTGGAACATCTGGTCTGCATCGTCGCCCAGCATGACCGCGTTGTCAAACGAGGGGTCGATCGTGTAGTGATGCGCGATCGGCTTGTCATTGGTCGGGGTGATCGAGATGTAGTTGTTTGGGGACTTGATGATCTTCATCGTGGACAGCGACGACATGGACATGCCGCTGATGTTGGAGTCGTCGGCCGTGGTGCCCTGCGTCGTCAACAGTGACTTGATCTTGTCATCGGGCAGATGTGTCAGCATGCGATCGTAGAAGCGTGCTCTGTCTCTGATTTCCAGGTTGGAGAAGTGTGCGCTCAGTGTCGACAGGATCAGACGAAGTGGCTTGAACAGCGTCTGAGTGTTGTGATGTATGAGTGAGCGACGACAGATCGAGATGATGGTGTTGCCAGTGACCCAGTCGCCTGTGGCGCAGATCGAGCGACGACGCACGAGGTCGTGCACCTTGTTGAGCAGTGCCGTCGGGTTGATGTGATCCTCCAGTATGATGCGCTCGACGATCGATAGGTAATGCAGGAACTTGTTGGGTTTGAGTGCCACGATCACCTTGGACAGTGACAAGAACAGGTTGATGCGTGTCTTGCGGTCTGGTATACCATTGAGCAATGATATAATGTTGTTCAGCAAGTGACTATAGTCGACCAGTAGCTCAGACAAGAACCTAAATTGGGGCGAGGGCGAGGGTTAGGGCGAGGGTTAGGGCGAGGGTAGGGCAAAGGGTACTCGCGAGACATACGACTCGATGTTCTTGAAGACAGCCGCTGGGAATGATATTAGGTATTGTAGCAGGATAGAGAAGACTATTCTGGTTGGAGGTGCATTGTCATTCTTGTGATATCTAAACTCATCGAGACAGATCAATGATTTGAGTAGATCGCTTGGTGGCTGTGGCTTGGTGCCGGTGCCACCCTGTGCGCTATCCATTATACACTTGCACATGGCATACAGCTTCACCTCCTTCAAATAGAGCGTGTCGAATGATGACGGATAGAACTGTGTGTAGAACCTTGAAATCGACACTGCCAGTGGCGGACTCCTTGCCGAGTCATTGCTCCTCAGCTTACTTGGCATCTTCAACAACCAATCAATCGCAATGATTCTTGCCTCGAGTGACCTGAATGTGATTGATTGATTGAATGGTGAGTGAGTGATTGGTCGAGTGATTGAGTGAGCAGGGACTACACCTACACTGATACATCATTGATAATGTTGATGAGCCTGTTGAAGAAGGTGTCGATGTCCTCTTGGGAGTAGATCTCGGGGAACTTGAGCGCGAGGAAGAGAAGTAGATGGAATTGTAGTGGATTCTTGATGAAGAATAGCTTGTAGAGATGGGGATGGCGGAAGACATTGGGAGAGATGGTGGCAATGTCGACAAGGGGCACGAGCTGTTGGATGATCGATACCAGTCCCCATTGATTGAGTTGCGGCGATTGATCCACCACGACGCTTATGCACTTTAGCAGTTCCTTGCCCACGGACTCGGGCAGCTTGGCGCCCGTCAGGTTCTGCGGCACCGTCATGGGCGCGTACTTGATGTTGTGTGGGATGGCAAAGGCCGTGTGCGCCGCTGGCTCGGCAAACAGGCTGGGCACCTGCAGGTTGGTCGTGGACGGTATCCTTGAGAGTGATCGCTTGTAATTCAAAGAGCTTTGATTGGATGGCTGTTGCTGTGTCTGTGTCTGTGTCGAGTTTGGCGAGACCACCGATCCACCACCTGAAGGCTTAAACGAAGAGTTCGATCCAGATGATGAAGACGAGTATATCGGAGACACTGGTTGTTGTTGTGCAATGTGTGCTTGATCTTCATACTCCTATTAGTATTGATTGATTGATTGATTGAGTGATTGAGTGAGTTAGTGGGTCGTGGTCCTGATTGAGGCCTCAAGGCCTAACCCTCGGGCGCGAGCATTAACATACACTGATCATGGTATGTTGGAGAATGGTTGTGAACAGTTGAGTGTAGGACTGGATGAGATGAGTGTTCTCATTCTGGACATGCTGGAGTAGTGTTGGCAGGAAGGATGAGAGCAGGCGAGGGTAGGTGAGCTCCAGCTCCATCAAACATAGACATGCCGATCCTCTTAGTAGTCGATCAGGACTGTTGTTGATCTTGTTGATAATGTCAAAGAGCAAGTCGACAAAGCTCTCCACAAGTCTAGGATGAGTCTTTATGATTGACTCGCATATCAATATCGTGGTCATTGTTGACAACACCTGACTCTTGACCGGATAACTGTCCGTCTGTGAGTTGACCAATGATTGAAGTATGTTGAACACTCGCTCAAACCTAAGATCAATCGATCACAATGTTAGTATTACTCGCTCATTCATTCTTTCATTCATTCAACGACCCTACCTCTTGGTATCCTCTTCGAGCAATAGTGTTGAGTTCTCTTGGAGGAACAATAGGATGTTGATGCGAAGGATGTCATCCTTTTCAAACTTGAGCGACTTGAGAAGGATCTCGACGATGACGTATGAGGGCGTGGCCAAGATGTTGCTCTCGGACAATATCGATGCAAAGCTAGATAGTGATGAATGAGATGACAGTGCACCGATCTGAGCCTGTGTGAATGATGAACTTGTTTGTTGTTGTAGTTGTTGTTGCTGCTGCTGTGTATCCTGTTGTTGTGGTTGTGAGATCTTGTCGGTAGTGATCAGATCTGATTGATCGGTTGATGTAGATGAGCTTGAGCTTGATTGTTGCTGTTGTTGCTGTTGTTGCTGTTGTGATGATGACACTGTTGTACTTGTGCCACTGGTAGATGACACAGTGCCTGCAGATGGTATGACGGCATTTGCTGATGATGACACTATTGGCTTACTGATGCGCCATGCCTGGATTGTCGCGTACCACTCTGACGCCGTCCAGTTCTGTGCTGTGTCCATCATCACCTTGTTTGTTTATGTGTCGTTTAAATGTGAAGTTGAAGTTATAACTTTACACCAATGTTAATATATTAAAAATTACTACAACAATCATACATCTCCAATTACAATCATGTTTTGTGGATATTTTGACAAAAGTCAAATGACCTTTCAAAATTAAGGATATTTTCCTATCATGGTTAGGACCTTGTGTCTCTGGCTCCAATAAATTAAACTCGTTTCAACGAGTACAAAGTCTTTGTATCTCTACCTTTACCTAGATTAATTTATTTGTGCCAGAGACACAGTGATTGATTTATTGAAGTGGGGATGGGGTGTTGTATATCTACAACTTGTAGATAGTTTAATATTTATATTTTTAAAACAATAAATGATTATTTATTAATAATTAAACAATAAATAATTTCAATGCTGTACAAATACTACAAAAATTAAAAACAATAAACAAAATTAATATATATAGTGTGAGACAGTCTACTTCAACCTCCCAACCTACCTCTTTGGGTTTGTAACTGAGGAAAGCAGAAGTGGTAAGCCGCCATTGGGTGCCCAAACTCCGAAACTATTTATTAGACATCGGTCCAGGCTCAAAACAAACAAAAAAATAAATATAAAAATAATATATCAAAATGATTAAAAACAATTTATATCTATCTATTATTATAATAATCATAATTACAATATTTACCAATCGATCAATATCTCAAATTTTGGAATTGGGAAATCAATATCAAAACTATTATGATATATCTCATCGAAGACCATCAATAACAATGGAAACAATGAGTCCTGTTGACAAGGGAGGTATATTACACCTCTGACCCTCAATTTTACTTTGGAAATCAATATGGTATTAGTATCAAACCTCAGAAAAGAATTGAATTGCCAGGTGATATCATATCTTATTGGTTTTGATATTTATTCTGTCAATTCAATTCTTTTCTGAGGTTTGATCAATTCTAAAAAAAACCAAAACACACCTTGTTTGTTTTCTCAAGTTTATTTGGTACATCTTAATCTTATATATAACATATAATTGCGATCATTATTTATTTGTTTAGTTAGTAAGTATGTGAAGTTGATTGTGTTGTGCACATGGAGTATCAACTCGATCAAACATTAGACTAACACCTCAATCAACTTAACTCAACTCAACCCAATCAACTCAATCAATCAATATGACACACAGCACAATACAATGAGACTAACAACAAGTTTGATTATTACATTGATTTGTATTATTGGTTGTGTTGCAGTATTGGATGCTCAATCTGTACTCACACCAAAGAACTTGGCAGGCCCTCCATCAGAGTTTGAAGGCTTCGCATTGCCTGATAGCAAACAGGTGGCACACAGATCAAACTCGGCACTGTCACCAATCACATTCACAAAGAGCAGGACATCTGGAAAGATTGAATGGATCGCGAACATCCCCGTCGACACTGATCACGACTTCACCCTGAGCATCATCTCCAACTTCACGTCCGAGTTGACGCTGATTGCCACCCCGCCCAAGAAGGGCTGCCCACGAACATCCCTCCATCACAACAAGCCTATCGTCTCATCTGGCACCTTTGGAATCGATGGCAACACCATCCCATCGACCTCATACCTCTGGGAGAAGGCAGTCGTGGGCGAGTGGACGGTCAAGGTCACCGCACCACACTCACTCCTCGAGAATGAGCACTTCACGCGCCAACTCTCTGCCAACTCTCCATCGGCATTCTTGCTCGCTCTGAACCCAAGCGAGTTTGAGATCTACACCTACTTGGAGTCATACACCAACCTGTTTGTTGGTCAGCAGGTGCCTGTGCTCGCAATGCTCACCAGCAACCAGGAGGAGTTGCCAGTCGGCGCTCGTCCAATTGGCTACACACCATCCCCTCTACTGGCTACCAACGTATCGGCTTCAATGATTGTGATCACGCCACAAGGCCAAGAGACCAACGTGCCAATGTTTGATGATGGTCTACATGCTGATGGTCAAGCCAACGATGGCCTCTACGGCGCATTCCTGCAGCCCACAACACAGGGCAACTACGTGACCTCTGTAGTCTTTATCGGCACATCACCACAGGGCAACGGATTGTTTAGAACGACTCAACACCTCATCCCCATCACCACTCAGTACGTCACACTCAGTGGCAACGTCCAGGCAACTCAAACATCCGACGAGCTTGTACTCAACTTTGAGGTGGCCTCTGCCGAGCAGAATGCGCCCGCCGTTCGTCTCTACTCTGAGGTGCACGGCACCAACGCAGCCGGCCAGCAGGTGCCCATTGCCTGGGTGCAGGGCGTCACCCCAGTACAAAAGTCTGTCGATCAGCTCGTGATCCAAGCCCTGCTCAACAACAGATGGATCGCTGCAGCCAATGCCACTGCGCCATTCTTTGTATCCAACGTCATTGTCTCGGACATGTCCACCTTTGTCCCATTGAGCGAGAGTGGCACCACGCAATCAGCCGTTAAGATGGCCGCCAACTACATCGATGTGCGTGCTCTCCAATACGATCCACCCCTCAACATCATCACCAAGGAGATGCGCGATGGCAAGATGCCAAAGGAGTTGGCCGATCGCTATGGCAAGTCCAGTACGGCCACAGGCAACGGCAAGCTCATCCTGGTACACGGCTACTGTGCCAAGCTCGACCCATTCACTCTGGGCGACTTTGAGAACTACGCCAGCTTCCGCGACTTTAGCCAGAACCGTCCAACCGACACGTTCGCCAAGATGATCGCCGACTTTGCCGCCAACCTCACCGACGGCTTCTCCTTGGTGAGTCACTCGCAGGGTGGCCTGGCCTCCCTCCACCTGGCCACATTCTACCACAGCTACCTCGACCTCTCGCTGGCCTACGAAGGACGTCTCATTCAGTCGATGGGCTCGCCATACCAGGGCACGGCGTTGGCTGGCTCTCTGGCAACGATTGGTGGCGCCATCGGCATTGGATGCTCATCGAGCAGCGACATGACCCTGGACGGCGCAGCACTCTGGCTCAACTCGATACCAGCAGACAAGCGTGCATTGGTCTACTTCACGACCACACAGTATGGCACCGGTGCATTGGTAAACTATTGTAACCTTGCTGCCAACAGTGTACTTAGTTGGCCAAATGACGGTGTCACCGACTCTGATCACAACTTCCTTCCCGGAGCCACCTTTGCCAATCACTTCAAGGGATGGTGTCACTCGCCCGACCTCCACTTCCCAGCACAATGTACCTACAAACAGAACAACGATGAGTTCAACTCCAACTCCATCTGGTAAGCCATTCCTTTATTCATTCATTCATTCTTTGTACTATCATTATCATCCATGTATACATACATTGATTCGATCAATCAATAAATCCAATAATTTATCTCCAACTTCTCGGTTTGAATGATCGAGTGCATTTGTTTGAAATGGCGCCAAATTTCAAATTCGAACATACCTTGTGCTCAAGTTGATTCAATAAAAGACATTCATAACAACTACAACAACAGATAGATACAGATACATATAGATACAGATCAACTATGGCTACAACTGCAACATCATCAAAGACATTGAATATATCACATGATAGTAGAGAATGTAGTACAAGTAGGAATGATGAAGAGATGATGAGGATGTTGATGAGTGAGGAGGATGGCCAGAGAATGACAAAGATGCGTCTATTCTTTGATCTTGTAATAGAAAAGTCTTTATCAGAGTTCACATACCAAAGATTCATAGATTGTTATAACAACACAATAAACAACAACAGCAACAATAATAATGATAATAATACAACTGGATCAGACAACAATGACAACATCATAGACATGAATGCACATAAGCCATTGTTGACAATAATACACTCTACAATCTGTAAAACTATAGCCGATAATGTAAAGGTAATATATAGATCAATCAATCAATCAATCATCATCTGTACTCTTACTAATGTCGCAGACGACAATTACAACAGAGGGAGTTTGCAGAGATTTGTAAAGAGAGACAAGTGGCTCCATCACTTTCACAACTTGAACAACTGATTAGAGAGCAACCAATACTGCCAAATGGAAAGCGATGGTAAGATAGTTATAACATAGTTCATGGATAGTCCAACTGACACTCACACAATCAATCAAACAGTCCATTGGGAAGTTACACGACTCCAGAAGAAAGGACTCTGTCACAGACCAACCATCTGAAGCAGGTGGAACTGGAGAAACTGAGAGCCGCCTACCAAAAGGTAAGGAAGACCTCTTGCACATGGCCAAATGTGCGCCCATCACTAACATCACCATCACAATAGCTGTCAACTGAAAATGAGCAGATTAATCAAGACATTGCAACACTTGAGAAACAAAAGGATGAGACATTGACACGACTGGAAGGCAAGGCCAAGGCACTCTCACTCCTGATCAAGTCGTCCACATCATTGGATCAGAAGTAAAGAAGAAGAATAAAGTTAGCCAATCATGTACATATTATATAGTATACACTCCCTCATCATCCATTGGATTGAATGACTCTGAATGAATGAATGATTGGGGATGATTATTGGATTACCATCATATCGGGTGGATGTGATCTTTATTATAAACTACTCAACAGAAGATGATTTAGTTCTCCTCCTCCTCGGCTGGGGCGTTCTTGGATCTGGCGACCTTCTTGGCACGACGACCTGGCTTGCCACCGGCGTATGGCGAGTTGGGGTTCATTCTGATGTGCTTCTGTGAGTCGACACGGACCAAGAATGAGGCAACGTCGACCAATTGCTTTCCAACACTGTATATGTATAAATCAAGTTCGCAATAGTTGATTGATTGATAGATTGTTTAATTGATTGATCGAATGTTGTCCAAAGTGATTGATGAATGATGAGTTAGTGAGTGATTAATGACATGCATGATTGATTGATGTTTAAAACATACCAGATGTGTCTACCCTTGATGAGGACACGAGCATGATGGATGGACTTGGCCAAACCAAGCTTGAAGACCATAGTCTGAAGACGACGCTCCATGAAGTCCTGGGTCTTGAGGTTCAGAACGTAATCGAGCTTGTTCTTGGACTCATCCATGACACCGAGTCTGTGGAGACGACGGAGAAGGGCAGATCCATCGAACATACGCTTTGGATCCTTCTCGTCGAGCACAAGAAGCTCTCTGGCGGACTTACGGATCTTGGCAAGGGCGAGCTGGACTCTCCAGACCTCACTCTTGTTCTTCAGACCGTACTCTCCGACGATCTTGAGCTCGTTATCCAGACGCTCCTTCTCGAAAGGACGACGTGGGGTGGAGTTGGTTTTGCTGTCTGTTTCATTGTTGTTGATAGTTGATATCCTATGTTAGTCATCCTGTATCCATCATCATACATTCATTCAATCTCTTGTTTCATTCATTCATTCATTCAAACGTTCGATCGATACATCCTGTAATCGTTCCTGCTGTCACATCATCATCTGTTCGCTAATGAATGAATGAATGGCTGTCGTTGACACTTGATTGGATTGATACACTACAGTTACGGAGGGACATTGTGTATGATGTCTGTGTAAGTGGGCTACAGAGAGGACTTGGTAAAAGGAGGATATATTATGCGCGAGGGCACCATCTATCCCTGACGACACTCACACTCTCGCTCAGCTGCAACATTGTGTTGATTGCAAAAAAAGAAAATAAAAATTAATCAAAATATTTGACACACCTCTTTCTAAACGAACTTCCATTGTTCACACTTTGGGTCTCTATTTGGAAACCAAGTTTAGATGACAACATTGAGTTGAGTTGGCATTGTAATTTGTTCCAAATACATGGCCTGTTATGAAGGGCATGTATGTCAATCAATCAAACAACGATGATGGATGTTGGTTCGACAAATGGACTGACGCGCTGAACTGGCCAACTTGATGATCAATCGGGTTGGTCGAGCTCGAACGAATAAACAATCCTATACTTTATTCAATTGCTTGGTTAGCCTCTCGTTGTTTTGTTGTAGTAGGAACCTCTTCCTTTCTCGAACAAAGTAGAGTGAGACTAGGAGTACGGTTAGGACACCGACCTCAAAGAAGAGGATGGTGGACGTGACTCGGCCACTGTCCGTGCAAGAGTGGTGGATGATCTGTGCGCGGTCCGACTCCTTGATCATGCACTTCAACGAGTTCCTATATCCTGTCTTCCTGCAATAGTTCTCGCCCATCTCGCTGTCGGAGCACTTTGAACATCCTTCGAAAATTGCACAAGATGTCAATGTCGTTGTGTCGACGCCATCCGTCTCGCTCCTCCTCCTGTTGGCAGACAACTGTTTAAGTTCTCCTTCATTGTTCACATCCTTTGCAGCTGTTTCTGTAATATCATTGTTGTTGCTGCTGCTGCTGGATGAAGATGATGTACTGCTGCTACTGACACTACTGCTACTTGTACTTGGACTGGTACCTCCTGCATTCTTATCTGTGACACCGATACGAGGTTGTGTGTGTTTGTTGTTATTGTTATTATTGTTAAAGCTACTTGGATTCGGTAAGGGTATGAATGAGGTCGATGATTCAACTCCAATGATCTTCAAAGGGTTGGATGATGGTGGTGAGCTAGTATAGTTGGTACAATAAATGTTAGTATTGTGGCCCTTGGTGAGGAGTGTAGGTATGTCGGTGGGCAAGGCACCTACTTTTCAATTGACAGCCTATTGATGTTAAGGTTATTATTATTATTATTCAGGTTATTATGATTATTATTATTATTATTGTTGTTGTTGACAGTATCTAAAGCCAACACTAATATACATGTATTATCATTCAATGACCTTATATTGAATGATGCAATATTAAATATAAGTAATATATATATTATATAAATATGTGAATGTTGTCTCATCATTCTATCTATCTCTATTTATCAACGTCTACACCTTCTACTTCTTCTTCTTCTTCTCTATATATAATGTATTCTATCTGTCTATATATCTATCTGTTTGTTTGTTTGTCTGTCTCTATTGGTGATGCTTCAAGTCTTATTCTGAGTTTGAATTGAACTTGAATTGAATTGAATAAGAATGAATGAATATTATCTGTTTGATTTATGAATGAATGAATGAATGAACGAATATACACAACTCGTGTGTATCTCTTTGGATATATATATATATATATAATAATAATAATAATAATATAATACAACAAACAGTACAACAGAGATTACCTTGTTTGTATTAATAGGTATACATAATCACACACACTCTCTCTTAACACATAAACACAAACAAGCACAGCACACAACGCTTTAGAATTAGGGTAGGGGTTGTGGTGTGACCCTGAGAGAGTTTTGACACAAGAAGTTAAGTGTTTTTTTGACTTTGTTCCTTTATGATTGAAATTTCCATCACGACAACATGGTGTAGACTCAAAGCGATTGTTGACCTTTCCGTTGACTCTTTGGGAAATCGATAAAGAATAGTCCCCCATACAAAAAAATATTATTTGTTTATTTATTATTTATTATTTGTTTAAATAAATATCAATATCAAGTTATACTTATACTTATTTTTAGATGATAATACATGTGATAGTTGATTATCTGTTAGTGTTTACTGTTCGTCATAATTGCATCGATCGATTAACAACCGATCAATGTTCCCCTGGGAGTACAGCGCCTTTCAAAGTTTGTCGTGGTTTGTTATTGGGGCTAATTCTGAAACAGTTGTGCTTGCCCCTCTTGAGTTTGAGAAGTGAACAACCAAACAAATAAAAGATGATGACTGTGAATGAATGATGAATAGTACACAACAACAAAACATCAATAATAATGAGTATCATCATAGGTAGCTTAAGTAATAATAATAGTATTGGTAGGGTCACAAATGTGATTGCTCCACTTCTCGTCGGTCATTTATACAGGTACACTACTTCTAAACGTCACTATGTTACGTGTAACAACAACAACAGCAGCAGTAGTAGTGGCAACATTATCAACCTGTTGCATCATAGACCATTAACTCAAACATCTACATCGTTTGAGACAAGTCGGCAACAATACAAACGAACAACATCAACATCATCATACCTGACAAGAATAGACACAGACAACACTGGACAAAGACGACACTTCCTATCATCACTACTATCTTCACCAACTCCTGTTAGGAAGCAAATTACAAGAGTACTCAAGTATGTATAACCATCACAATCATTCAATCAATCAATCATTGGAACTATCCCAATCAATCACTCGATCACTCACTCACTCGATCACTCACTCATTCAATCTCTATCGAACAATCAATAGCTTCACACCTGAACAAGTGTTCAACATCGTATCGAACGTTCAATCGTATAGGGAGTTCTTGCCATTCTGCTTGGACTCGCGTATTACACGAGTTGTAAACCCTGCTTCATGCTTTGAAGCACAGTTGACAGTGGGCAGTGGCAACATCAAGGAGGCATACACGTCACGCGTCGAGTTTATGAATCCAAGCTTCATACAGGCGTCGGCCGTCAACTCTGAACTGTTCATGCATCTGGTGTCGCAGTGGCGGTTCAGGGCCGGCCCCACGCCCAACACCTGCACGGCCGAGTGCTCCCTCGACTACCAATTCAAGTCCAGCTTCTACGCCGCCTTCATGGATCAATTCTTTGCCTCATCACTTGACACCATGGTCGACGCCTTTGAGCGAAGGTGTACACAAGTCTACAAACATGGCAACAGGCCGACCCTCTACTGATTGATCAGTAGGCATCAGATGACCGTATTAATACAAGGTTGTTTAAGGGTTTATATCCAAGATTGATTGATGATCGCTCCAATGTCGTCTGTGTCTTCTTCGTCTGAATGCATGAATGAACGATGTATGACTACTTGTCGATCTTGAGGATGGGCAACTGATCGAGATCCTCCATGTCCTTGAGCACCTTGGAGGTGTTGTAACGCAGCTTGTGGAATGTGTCAATGTCGACTTCGAATGTCCTCGTCACACCCTTGCTATCAGTCATCTCCATCAATATGATTGGATTCAACACTCTTGATGTGAAGCTGCTGCTAATCACTACATCCACACGCCACTTAAAGCCAGCCATCTGAGGGAACAGAATCTTGTCGCTTAACACCTTCTCAATGAGGTCCTTACGTCTAGACGTCTTGGTTAGTGCGTGCAACTCACTTAATCAATCAATCGATCAATCAAACATTCTAATACATACAGCTTGTTGTAGACCTTTTGAAGATCATCGATGAATGTAGTGGGCAGCTTGATCTCTGTTAGGTCCGAGACAAAGTACTCGACGCTGACTTTGGTCTTGATGGCCAGCTTGAGTATGTAGTAGATGCCAGTGAAGACGATTGAGGAGATGTTGGCGTCGGTGGCCGAGGCGGCCGTGTTTGAGGTAACGGCGCTGGCCTCGCTCGTCGTGTTGATCTGACTGAGCTGATCGTATATATCCTTGGCAACCTTGTTGAACATGCCATACTCTTGTTGATTGGCGTCGATCTTCTTTGCCTTTAAATAGTTGGCCACCAACGATACGATCTTTCTACAGAATGCCTGTTCCAGCTTTGGTACCAACGGCAGGATATTCCTAATCTCTGTTGGTGTTGTATATCCCAAGAATGATATCCTATCCATTATTGTTATTATATGTTATATGTATATGTTATATGTATATGTATATTGTTATATTTATTTGATTGATTGTATCAAAAAGTTTGGGACTTGATCATTCATTCATTCTTCATTCACAGATTTTTTCAAAAGTTGTGTGATTTGAAGAGTCTTTGACTCTTTCGTGGTCGTCACTCCACCATTCACTCTCACTTTCAATCATACATGTGTTGTAATCAATATTCGATGTTCATTGTTATAAGATTGATTTGTTGATGGATGGGTCACCTTATTATTATTATTATTATTTGTATCAATTAGAAGAGCAAACTCAAGGTCATGAAGTGGAACAAAGACAAACACAACAGACAAGTTAGTTTGTAATATCTTTACATGACTTTAGTTGATAATGATTGAAGTGAATGGAGTAATCGAACATACCAAAAATGAAGGAGATATCAATTGTTATGGATGTATTCACTCAATGTGTATCTTATTCAAACGATTAGATATTGAAATTGAAGTGGGAGATGGGTGAAATTTGAAAGACCCATGCACAGAGGAACAGTTGTACCTGTTTTCGGGCATAGGAATCGCAAAAAGGTCCATCCGAAAAACAACAAAACGCAACTCACAATAGACATGCACGCCAGTGCAAAGTTCTCTGTTTCCTTCATTCACATAACCTTCATTAGTTGGGTTGGCTCTAACAGTTAGTTTATTATTAAACATTGTTGTTGTTCTAGTAGTAGTAGTAATAATAATAGCTAGTCAATAGATAATCATATTAATACATACAACATAACACATTAATAAGTGTTTTAAACAGATATACATAGTTTTAGACATTTGCATGCCTCACCACTATTGTGTGATTAATTGATCGATTGATTGATTGGTCCAAGATAGTCAGTCATAAGTGTGTGTGTGGTGTGTTAGTGTTAGAGTGTTGACAGACACACAACCCCCAACAACTCAAAGCAATCAATCAGAGAGCAGGGATACCACAGTCCAGCAGTCAGTCATTCATTCAATCAATCAATCAATCACACTGTGTCCTAATCTCCACTGCCGTACCATCACCAACCACACCCCCATCATCACACCCCTTATTACTACAGCCCATTGACACCTCTATACTCTATCTCTATCTCTACCAGCACAATCATTCATCATTGTCATCATCATCGACCAACTACCATTGTCATCCATCACATCACATCACAATTCATAAATAACCTTGTCAACCATCCATCCATCCATCCACCAAAGTTATACATCTTAGCTCTTCAAGCCCAGCCCACATCCAGCCAGCCAGCAAGCCCACTCACTATATCCATCTATAACTATAAAGCACACACTATCAAGCAAGGCTCATTCAATCATCTCTATTCAATCATCCATTCAACCATTCATTCAATCAGATATACATATACAGTCAGACAGGGACAAGGACAAGGACAAAGAAATGAACATATTCTCATCATTGATGAAACCAAAGAACAAGTTCTCTTTGGAGAATTTGAAGTACCTTTACACGACATTGGTCAAGAATCCCGTTATTACACCAAGTAACTCTGGTGTAATTGTCGAGACATTGAGACAGATTGCAGAGGTACTGATATGGGGCGATCAGAATAACAACTCATTGTTTGAGTATGTATTATATCCCATTCATGTGACCATGCAATGGCAATGGATGCCACTCATTCACATATTGACTCTTCGCCACTCTACAGATTCTTTCAAGAAAGAAACTTACTTGGCTTCTTTGTGTCGATTCTCGATCAAAAGACATCATCCTCAGTGACCATTCAATTGCTACAGACATTAAGTATCCTTGTGGAGAATCTACGAACTCAATATTCAATATGTATGTTTCCACGTGTGGCGTGGCTCGCCACCCTCGCCACTCACTCGCCACTCACTTTGCCACACACTCACTAACTCACTGGCCACACAACAACTCCACACATCTAGATTACTTGCTATCTAATAACTATATTAATGAGATCATTGTACACAAGTATGACTTCTCATGTGAGGAGGTGTTGGAGTTCTATATATCATTCCTAAAGGCATTGTCACTAAAGTTGGACAAGAATACAATCAACTTCTTCTTTAATGATGCTGATAAGGACTTCCCTCTCTACACCGAGGCAATCAAGTTTGTCAATCATAAAGAGACAATGATCCGCATTGCCGTAAGAACCCTAACACTCAATGTATTCAAAGGTATGTTTGTTTCCACTCGCGAGTGTGTTTGCCACGTGTTTCCAACATAACTTTGGACTAACAAACAAACAATATATATAGTGCAAGACGAACCAATGCGATCATATATTATCAAGTCTACAGCAGTACCATACTTTTCAAACATTGTTTGGTTCATTAGGAAGGAGTGCGCCAATCTGAATAGGGTGCTACTGCGCACGACATTCGATCGCGTGGCACATTTGAACTATTGCTACGAGGAACTGACCGATCAGTTCTACTACTTGCACGATATATTCAACTTGGGCTTCGAGTCAATCAACATGGTGTTGGCCGAGCAATTCATTCAATACCTCATCTTCCCTCTGCTCATTGGCAGCGTGATTGATTCGGGTCCGGGCTTGGGCTCCGGCTCGGTCTCCGGTGTCCTCACGCTGGAGGACCGCCTCGAGCCATCACTGGCACTCTTCCTGCTGACACAGGTGTTCCACATCTTCACGTATGAGCCCCTGCTGGACACGGTGGCGTCAGCGATCGCCGCGTCGAGCGCATCGCCCTCGTTGCTCATGTCGGCGTCGCTCTCTGCGCCACCCCCACTCTCCATGCTCAGCAGTCAGCGACGACGCTACGACAGTTTCAAACGATTCTCATCCTTCCCCAACCTGGGCAATCTACTCAACAATCAACCGCCAGTCTCCCCGAGCAAGAGGAAGAGCTTCTCTCTGCGCAAGAGTCTGAGCACGCTCACTCTCGAGAAGTTTGGCATCAATCAGATGCATCAATCCCAACAACTCCTTCCCTCGCCACCCATGGTGGATACCACCGATGCCGAACAGGCCCAGGACAAGACCTTGGTGTCTCCAGACTCATCATCACCCGCACAAACGACTACGACAGCCCCCGCTACACCGCCAGAGCCGGCATCAGCGCCAAAAGAACCATGGACATTGATGGATGATGGTGGCGAAGATGAGTTGGACTCAAGCCTATCGACGCCAAGGGGCGAGGCACTGGTTGGCATGAGCAACGACTTTGCTCAACGACTGAGGTGTGAGTTATCCAGCTCGATCGACAGCGAGTCCACGATAATGAGTGGCGACAACAACAGCAGCAAGTATGACAGTTTGAAGAAGTATGGCAGCAATAAGAATGAGTTCAAGGAGACGCTGATCGACCTGATACGCAATGACAACGAGACGTACACCGTCATCTGCATGTTGTACTCGCTGCTCAAGAACAACAAGGTCGACAGGAAGATCTTGCAGTCAGGCGGACTGCTGCCCTACCACCTCGCCAAGGCCAAGAAGCTACTCGAGGGCTTGCTATCACCTGACACCCTCTCAACCACGGCCGCCAAGGCAGCAATGTCCAAGTCACTGCCCAACATCTCATCTCACTATCGATCGCGATCAGAGTCACACACGCGTCTCGTCAGCATGTTCAATGACGACGATGCACCAGCAACGCAACAGGAAGAAGCCAACAATCGCGAGGAGATCTTGTCAGTGTTGGCACTGCTCAAGAGGCAACACCAACAGATGAATGGCGGGGCGATGGACCAGCCCTTCATCTCGACCACCATCTTCAAGTCGCGCGTCAACAACAATGATGACAGCAGTAGCAACGGCGGCGACGACCAGTTCGTGCCCGTGCCCGACTCAAGCCAGACCGACTTCACTAGGAACCTGATCGACATGCTATTCCTCGTGTTGGTCAACAGCAATCAGTACCGTGTTGTCACGCTCCAGATGACCCTGCTGCTTCTCAAGGAGCTGGTGTACTCGCCCGAGTCGCCGTCCAAGCTGACTGAGAACCAGCACGCCCTACTCGAGGAGGCATATCGCATGACCACCAATAACCTCAAGGACTGTCTTTCGCTGGGCAACATCGCCTCGGTGTTCCTCGAGTTGTTTGAGGACGAACTGCGCACGTACCGCCAGATCGACTTTGATGCGCTGATGAACGACATTGACCTGCTGCTGCCAGTTCCCGACACGCCCGTGCCACGACTTCCACTCTCGCGTCGCCTGCCATCCGGTGACCAAGAGAGGACACAGCGTGCCATACAGCAGTTCTTGGTGTTGCGTGAGCTCAAGTATACTCTGCTCAGACGCAAGGACTCGATGCTGCCGTTGAAGCAGCCTCAGGTACCAATGGTGCGCGAGAAGGACCTGTTCAATCTAAACACCGAGCTGTTTGACATCATCCACTACTACCAGGTGGTGCCACAGCAGTCTGTGGGCCAGCAGCCATCGTCCGCCAAGACCAAGGTGCGCAAGTGCGCCGTGCTCTTCCATCACATGCTGCTAGATGTCGATCCCAACAACGTGGTGACACCACCCAACAAGCGATCGGGCGTCTACGGTGTGATCACACATATCGCACCACTCCAGCGCTTGGAGATTGAGACATCGCATCTGGACCCGACGATCCTGCGAGTGTTCAGCCACCCGACGCGATGGAACGTCGACATGGGATTCGATGATGAGACCAAGTGTCAGCAGGTCAAGTCGCTGCTGACCACGGCCAGGGACGACATCCGTTCGATCAAAATGCGACAGATCTATTCACTGCTTGGCGAGCGTGATCCATACGACGACGATGGTGATCAGCAAGAACAAGAGGCCACAGCCACAAATCGTGTGATTGTTCCAATCGACGCGTCCAACTCACATCCACTGGCATTCCTCGGCAATCAAGACAACACAAACAATGAGGACGAGGGATCGGTTGGCGGTGATGATGGTCACCTCGAACCCAACCTGCTCACAGAGAGGAAGGCAGGTCCCAACTTTACATCATTCTTGAATGATGATACGGGCGACGACGAGCTACTGCAAAAGTACCGAGAGCTGAGTCGTATCTCGGACGACACATTACTTTCAAACAGAGGAGTCGATGGCAACACGTTACTACACACATTGATACCAACAGGAATAGCATGCAAAGCCAGCGAGGACCTTGTTGTGAACAGCAACCTTAAGGAGAATCTGATCATTATCAAGAAGGAGGAGTTGTACAGCATTGGACTAAGCAGTGGAGGTGGTGTCGACCATGGACGACATTCCTGAGCTTTCACATGCGCTGATAGTCCTTCTCCAGCTCACTCAAGTACGACATACACATACACTGGAAGTCCTGGTGTTTCCTTCTTCTTCTTCCTCTTATAAGCATGGTAATCATGTATAGTAATAAACAGCCAAGCCCAAGGGATAGGATAAGATAAAACATATGAATGGATAAGATTAGGCCTCCATTAGGCCCACTTTATGTTGACAAAAGGGTGGGGGTGATCTATCCATTTATGGTAACTTCCTTATTTGGTCTTTATATTTATATCGATGATTAATATAATATAATGTATTAATTAATTGAATTGTAGTATTGTTAATAATAATATATAATATAATTTACAAATATTTGTGTATATATTTAGGAGCCGAGTCCATGATCACTCACTTAATCAATCAACTCAAATAACGAATAATGGATAATATTACTTTATTACAACAAATAGAGATAAATATTAAGGCTAATCCAGATGCCAAAGCTCTAGTTTATCCATCACATGATAAATCATATACATGGACAGAGTTGTTGGAGACATTGGATGTTCTAAGCCTAGGGCTGAGAGCCAAAGGTTTGAACAAAGGCGACTTCATTGCAATTTATTGTAGACAATTCACAATTGAGAAGTTATTACTTGGATTGGCACTTGTTAGAATTGGTGCAGTACTGTTGGAGATACATCCAGATTACAACTATCAAGATATTCATCAAATCCTACTCAAGTATCGTGTGTCTACATTATTCATTGGACGATCAATACCTGGACTGTCCAGACAACAATTGCCAAACCTCAGAAACATCATATATATTGGTGACGACCATGATCAAGGTATCCAAGTGTTCAACCATATGATGGAGCTTGGTAGGCGATCGAGAGGCTTGTTCGACTTGAGGTCAATGGACGAGTTGATCAGTGCCAGAGATGTATCCTATGTGGTATTCAAGGGTCCACCATGTCTAAAGGGTGTTCAATTCTCGCAATCATTCATCATTACACTTGGTCATAGTCTGTCAACAGAGAAAAAGATCACATGCAGTGACAAGGTGTGTATTGACACTGCATTGTATCACTCCATTCCATTCATGACTGCCATATACGAGTGTTTGGCTGTTGGTGCCACTATGGTGTTTCCAACTGAGTCCACACGACGAGAGACATTGGATACACTATCATCAGAGAACTGTACCATTCTAAATAGTACCAAAGAAGGGTTCAGTGGCATTGTGGCGCATCCAGCATTTGATAAATCACATCTACAGTATGTAAATCAATCAGTCTTTCATTCCTTTGAAATCATTTGATCAATCAAACATACTTACCAAACTATACTTTAGAGTAAACTTACTCCAGGTTCCACCAAGTTAGTTTGTCCCATTCCAGGCAATCTCGAGACTAGTGATGGTGACCCAGCCAGGATGATCAGACCAATAAACAGTCCTTTTTCCAACAATTTTTGTATACGCGTCGACCTCAAGTGGAGGTTTTATCCTTCATCATGTCCTTGAGCAACTTCTTGTAAGCCTCATAAAAGGCAAATGATAATCCAGCTGATGGAATAACATGTACCAGTCTTGTTCCAATGCCCCTGGATAGAGTTGCGCGGTGCCGTGTTAGTCATCATTTGTGAGGGGACTAGTGATCGATTGATGTTGGACAGGACATACTTTGTCAAACCGGCTGGACCTTCAGTCGCCATAATACCCTTCAAAGCATTCCAGACACCACGGAAGCGGTCAACTGACTTTGGTAGAGTGTCTTGAGTTTGTAGTTTGGTCTTGACAACATCGATTGGTATGGTGATGATCGTTCCGATGGTGCCAGCGATAGCACCAGAGAGTATATGATTCCAATGATTCAACTTTCTTCCACCATGTTTAGCCATCCAACTCTTTTGCCAATTCTTTGATATCTCGTACGATGTGAAGTAGATTGCTGAGAATGGTAGGTCACGCATCACCGTCACATAGCTATACTTGAACAATCCACGATATCCCTGTTTCTTGATTATCGAGTTCATCTGATCGATTGATGATCGGTGCCGCAGCGACTCCTTCTTCATGTTGCCAGAGACTTGCATCCGCATCTTTACAATGTCGAATGGGGTGCGGATGATTGAGCCAGAGAGTCGGGCCACGGTCATTCCCAGAACAGGTATCACCAGACCTGTCATTGTCGAGCCGTCTTGGCCAACTGGTCGCTTGAAGTACTTGGCGATGGCTTCATAGCAGACGAATGAGATGGCTGATGCAGGGATGACGTAGAGGAGGTGTGGGGAGAAGCCCCGATACAATCCTTTGATACCCTCAGAATGTGCGGTGGATGTGAGTGACTTGAGCACACTCATTGATCGATAACTTAATCTTGTTGAACCCAATGTATTGGCGTCTTGGAACTGTACCCTTGTCTTTAATGTGTCCAATGGGAACATGATGGCTGACTCGGACAAACGCGACAATGAACCAGCTATCATATGTGTCAATGCATTTGACGAGTTGTTATTGTTGTTGGGCTGTATTATTGGTAAGTCATCCAAGGGAGGTGGACTTGGTGAAGTCATTATATGATTGATTGAGAATATATGTGTGATCATCTGATGATCGTTTGATCAGTGTGATCATTCCCACCATCACAGTGTTAACTTCACAGCACTCAACCCTGAGGGTCATGTGTCAATTTAATACATTCAATGAAGTATGTTCTATCTCTCTCTCGAGACGATGATGATGTTGATGATGACGACGATTAGAAGGTGATTCCAAAATCAGCTGGCGAGGCAGCAATCTTGAGGCTTGGATTAAACTTCTTGCTCTTCTTACTAACTAGTCCCGCATGGATGTTTGAAGCGACACCAGCAGATGGGAATGTCACATGCTCACAAAGACTATTTAACTCTGCATCATTGGAGACGGCAAAGAATATGTGCTGTGATGTGATGGTCTGTTGATTGGATTGGTTTGGAATGGTGCGTGTGTGTGAGTATGGAGTTACATGTCGATTGAGCGAAGGAGGCAAGTGATACGTACAGTCTTTCCACAGCTCTGGGCATTGTTTGAGGATAGCTCCAACACTTCGGAGAGGACATACTCGAGCACGGCAGCAAAGTAGACAGAGGCCATCTTTGCCACGCGACCGAATCCAGCAATCTTGAGTTGTTTGCGAACATAGCTTGGCTTGACAATGAGACCAGCATTCTTGGCTGGTGGCTTAAACTCAGCATCGCCGGCGTTGTAGCTAGGGTTAGCCTTGGCTAGAGTAGTCATACCTTGCACGATCGCATGCTTGGCGAGTTCGCCTCTTAATTCGATCCTGACGGCCATCTGGATGTCACGCGCCTGGAGTGTTGCCTTGCCCGACCTGATCAACAGGTCTCTTGATAGATCGATGATTCTACGGGCAATATCACGAATGAATGATACCAGTGCCTCTTTGGCCATTGCATCAATCCTAAGACTTTTCGTGACTACGCCGGTGCCTGACAAAGTTCTTAAAATGTCCTTAATGTACTTGTACTCTCTCTTTGTGTTGTAGCTCAACTTATACATTGAGGCTGTTGTCTTTGGAGGACCTCTTCCTCTGTATCCCATGTCTTTGTCTTATCTCTCTCTATCTCTTCGAATAACAATTTACTTTTCTCACTTGTCTATGTCTCTATCTTCCAAATTGTCTACAACTAGTATTTAGTGGACTTTGTAGAAATATTAAAAACTGTTTCTCCTAAATTAAGATTTTTTGTTTTCAAACAAGGTATTGATGATGAGCTGTCAATCTTATTGTTGTTCTCCAGGAGGATGAATGCATTGTAACTTCATTTATGTTTATTTGTATCATTGTTATTGTTGTTGGTTTGTATCATTGGCGGCGCCTAATTGATTGGATGGGAGTTGGAGTTGGGAAGTTGGTAGGTAGGAATGCTAGAGAGTCTAGATCAACATGGGAGTCTAGATCAACATGGGAGTCAGCAACAGGTCAATATCTTTCTTGATTTTGGCAATGGTTGCATCATGTTGGGATGTGTTGGTTCCTCTCTGGATGCAACTCTTCCTGTTGCGTTTGGAAGTACCTAGCTGCTTCTTGAGCTTCTTGTATTGACGATGGGGCCATTTGGGATGGTCTTTAGGATTCAAACCAATGTCCTTTAAAGCTTGTTGACGAAGCCTACAGAGGAAGGAGCCAGAGATTTGTCCCAGTTTAAAGGCAGCATCTTTTTGTTTCATCTTGAGAAGCCCCCTGGAGAGGTACCTTCTCTCAACATTTGCCTTTAAGGGAAGCGGGGAGAGTGGAGCAACCTCAAGGTTACTATCACTCGAGAAACTATCAGAGGTGAGCTCGGACGAGTCAGAAGGAGAAGGGGAGGCGCACGCATCAGGATATTGGCTGTAGGTGCCCAGTTGTTGCTGCAGGGGCGGATGTTGATCGACAACACCCTCAGGTGACAGGTTGGGATGACCAAGTTGGGCAAAGGGATTGACGGTGGCTGGGGCATTGTAGAAGGAGTTTGGTTGTTGTGGTGGCGGCGACGCCAACGATGATTGAATGCGCAAGAGCATATTATATTGCTCAAGCGGAATTGAGATGTGTGGTTGAAGTTGTTGTACAAGGGGGCACGACGGATGTTGTGGCACATGGCAGGACAGGGGAGTAGTTGGTACTCGCACCAGGTGGCACTGATGTGTCCACGGCTGTTGGCACATTTGTGGTGGCTGTTGATTCAATGGCTGTTGAGGCAGTTGGAGCGGCGTCGTAAGCTGTTGACTATGTTGATTAGTCAATGGCTGCGACAGTGGCGACAAGGGCGACAATGAAGATGGTTGAGTCATTTGCGACGGCAAATGTGCCAATGGCCGTGGACACATCAGTGCCACCAGGTGCGAGTTAGGCTCCTGGGTTGATGTGTGCGACGGCATCATTGGTTGTTGATGCATATGGGTCTGATGTTGAGGTATAAAGCTTATACCTGTCTCGGGCTGAGACTGATAGTAGTTGTACTGGTACTGCTGTTGGGGCGGGTCTGGAGTCTGAGGAGGCTGGGGAGGCTGCTGAGGGGTATAGCAGGACTGCGGCGTCTCAGGCGGCGAATGGACTGGGATGTTCTCAGGAGGTTGATATGACACACTTTGTTCCTGGTTGTTAACGGTGTGATTCACTGAATGCCAATCACCGGTAGTAGAGTAGAATTGGCTAACATCATCTCCAGCATGGTATCCGTTGGAATGTGACGGGTAGGTTTGATTATCAACATGTTGGTGCAGGTTTGAGTTGACATCCTCTTCAACAACATGTTGTTGTTGTTGTTGTTGTGGATCAAACATGTAGGAGTTGATAAAGATGTCTTCTTCACCAGGGAACAGTTGTTGCTGCTGCGTACTTTGTTGTTGGTCGTACGATCCAACTGAGGACGAGGACAGAATAGGCAGTTGGGACATCATCTTAATTGGGTAGTGATGACGATGGGATGGGACAGGGACGTAGTAATTATTATTATTATTATTTGTTTGATGCTTATTAAGTTTTTGAAAGAATAGAATATGCAAAGCAATCACGTGACTCTTGAATAGTGTTGCGTGATGTAACGCACCCATTTCCAATGCGATACTTTACAAAAGAATTTAATCCGCCCTGGATATTGAAGAAAGGAATCACATCGGAACATCCATTTGAAGGTGAGCAAACCCAGGGTGTCATCTTTGGAAAGACCTAGATCAAAAGAATTTTAATTAATATTAATATTAAGTAATACCATAATGGCAAGTTATAATAATATATAACTCATTATGGGTAGGTTGGTAGGTGGAAGACTAGTCGTCAATGTCCTCCTCTCCAACTCATTCATTCATTTATCTGGTTCCCTCCCAAATTCAAACATTTTGGATCTTCAATTTCATGTGACTCACCCTTTTGTTGAGGTTCCAGAGATTGATTGTTGTTAACTTCGTTGTCCAAGAGTAAGAGTGAGATAGAGATAGATAGACAGAGACAGAGACGTTGTGACAATTGTAGTGATAGTGATAGAGAGTGTATATAGATAAATAGAAAGAGCTGCTTAACAACAAACAATGAAGACTGATATCAAGATTGTATTGGTGGGTGATGGTATTGTATCATTCATTCAATCATTCATTCAACCATTGACAGACTCTAACAAACATTATTATCATCTTAGATGGTGTTGGTAAGACAACAATCATATCATCTCTGGTCAGTGATGGATTCGTTGAGCAGGTGCAACGTGTCGTACCGGATGTTACAAAGCCTGCCGATATACAGGGACTCACATGTGCGACGAGGATAATCGATACATGCAACGACGTTGATCATATTAGAGGATTGAATCAGATGAAGTTGGAAGTGAAGCATGCCGACGCCATCCTGCTGGTCTATTCATACGAGCGTCTCGACTCCTTCTTTAGCATCCGAACAAAGTGGATCCCAATGATCCAGCAGATCCAGGCACAACATCACACTCAGCCCGTGCCCATCATCATCGTTGGCAACAAGTTGGACATGGTCGATGAGTCCGAGGCCGAGAGGAATCAAACCCAATTCGGTGAGACCATTCAATACATCACTGATATATATCAAGTATGTCTGGCTCACCTTGCATCATCATCAAACATACTAACGATCATTCATTCAATCAATCATTCAAACAAAAGGGAACTGTAAGATGGATGCAATGTAGCACAAGGAGCATGTTCAATATACATGAGCTGTTGGATACGGCTCAGAGTTTGGTGTTGTTCCCAGAGGAGACATTGTACAATCGCCAGGAGAATAGTTTGACACCATTGTGCGAGCGCGCCCTGCGCAGGATCTTCTTGATATGCGACCTGGACAACGACGGCTCACTGAACGATCGCGAGATCAATTACCTGCAGCAGCGCTGCTCGCACCAGCCACTTTCCAACGAGGAGATTGCCAACCTCAAGAAGCTGCTGCGCAACAAGGTGGCCAACGGCGTCGACGACAATGGCTTCACGATCGAGGGCTTCCTCTTTATGAACCTGATATTCCTGTCGAAGGGCCAGCACCTCACCTGGGGCTCCATCCGCTCATTCAAATACGACGACAATCTACAGCTGTCCAACGACTACCTGCACCCACAGCTGACCGTTCCCAACGGTTGTCGCGTTGAGCTCAGCGCCGACGGCCTGGAGTGGCTCAAGACACTGTTCAACCGCTTCGACGCGAATGGCGACGGACTTCTCAGCAGCACCGACCTGGCGCGTCTTTTCGCCACGGCCCCCGCGCCCGCCTTTGGCACCGACCAGCTGCACTCGGTCGAGACCAGTCCAAGTGGTGAGTTGACGCTTGGCGGCTTCCTCTCGCTCTGGGAGATGCTGGCACAGAAGGATCATCGCATGGCACTCGAGTACTTTGCCTACTTTGGCTACGAAAGCATTATGAAGGCCAGCACAACCCATCTCGTCAGTGTCCAAAAGAAGAACCGCAACCTATTCAACTGCTATCTGATGTCAACCAAAGGTTGTGGCAAGTCCACACTCATCAACACCCTTCTTGGCAAGCCATCAACCAAGCCAGTGCCATCCTCGGTCTGTGTACCTCTGTCCCTATCTCAATATTTAGTTGTATGTTCATCGATCAATCAACCTCATGGCCATGACACTAACACGTCATCACATCGTGATACATAGATACATGAGATTGATAACGTGGACAAGGTTATCCAGGATCAAACAAGGATGAATGAATGCGACACTGTCTGTCTGCTTTGGGACGAGACTGTAAATGGATCTCTCGAGTTTGCTACCCGACTATACCAATCACTCAAGAGTAGCAATCCACATTTGGAGGTTGTGTACCTTCGAGCTCAACAACATGTCCAGCCACAGCAACAGCAATCACCCAAACCACCAGTTGCCAACAACAACAACAATACTTCTTCTTCACCAACGACAATAGACTTTAGAAGGAATGAACCCACGAGGGAGTTGGCCAAGGCCGTGTGGACTGCTGCCCGCAACAACTGCAACAGTGATGCTGGAAAGGATGGAAAGAGTGGAAGCAAGTCTGGAGAGGCAGGACCATTGTCCATCTTCACACTAGTGTCCAGCAGTGCCCTGGTGGCAGCCGGTCTTGTTTACCTCTACAAGCAGCTAGGAAAGCGCTGAACCATCCATCATCGATAGAAGGACGGACCAAGCAAACACTCAGATCTTGAATCAAAACACAGCAAAAATAATCAAAAAACATTTCCAACCATCTTTTTGTGGGCCAGGACCCCCTATCACCACGATCACCATCTTGACTTTTGATCAGATCGATGATGAGGACCTAATTTTGACATCTACAACTACTTGTCACCTGATAATCAGGCACTTGTCCAACTTGCAACGCTACAACTAACTACCTCTCAATGAATGACGAGTGTGTCATTCAATCAATATTCATTCATTCATTAATTAATTATCTGTCTCCTTATTCATTGTTATAACAACATTATTTTGATATCTGATTGTATCTTTTAATATGGATACATTAGATAACAATGCTCTCACATCTATTTTGGATAGGATTAGGTGTCTTGAAGAGGAATTGGCAAAGACAAAGGCACACAATGTAATCTTGGAAGACAAACTGGCCAAACTCAGTGACAAGGTGGACACACACGATTTGCTACTCATCAATAATGGAAGTCCAAAAGGTTAGTTAGTGACACCATCCAAACAGAGTGATCAATGGATGGAAGTTATACTTACATAATCAATCATGATTACCATAGTCATCCAATCAGAATCATCACCATCTCCAATGTTGATCACTGGTCAAAAGAACAATGCTGCATCATCACAACAACCATCATATACTCCTGCTTCACCTCCTCCTTTAGTCGTTTCCAAACTGCCCCAGCAGCAGCAACAACAACAACAATCATTTGTACATCAAACTCAGTTCCAGGCCAACACGAATGCCACAGAGGCACACCCAACATCGCCAAGCCCAAGGATATCTCCACTATCACCACTACCATCGGAGAGTCAGAATGCAACACCAGAGTCACAATCACCGGTACTGGCCCCACAACAGAGTCACACACCACCCGAACCATCATCACCAACAATCAAGGAGTCAGCTGCTCAGAACTTGTTCAAACGTATCATCCCTGCACTCCGTGCCAAGAAGGAGCCGTCAATGGATAATATGGGACTATATGCACCACCCTCCACACCAAAGTTGTCCAAGCGCTCATCAAACAACTATGACGAAGAGGTCAAAGGAGCTGGCAACGACATCACACATTCTCAGATACTCAAGTTCCAAATGCCAGACCTGCCAGAGAACTGTGAGTGGGCCGTCGTTTGGGAATACAGTGGTGGCGATGATGAGTGGACAAGAGGCGTGGTCGCAGTGCAAATGGAACCAAAGGCATTCGCCTCGGGCGCACTGAGGAATGCACATAAGCTGCACATTCGCAAGAACCCAGTCATTTATTCACAAGGATTCAACAGGATGCAACACATCAAGTACGAGGAGAACAAGAGAATGAACAATATGAAGTTGCCACGACTGTTTGGACCAGCCAACTCTGCTTATGTTGCCAAGATATCAAAGACTGAGGTGTCGGCCGAGAGATACTTTGAGGACGTCAAGATGCAGATGATCTGCAAAGACTTTAGCCAACGCTATAATGAGAACAATCCACCAAAGAACATTGACTTCTTGTCGGCATGGGTCATCGAGATACAGAAGGCCAATGGCGATACACTACTCTGCGGCCTCGAGATGTTCATGGCTGGCGAGTTCAAGAAACAGAACTCAAACTTTGGCTCGGTCTTTGGAGACAGGAACACTCCACAGGCATTCAGCCACTTCACACACGAGGCCTCTGCACACCAATTGATCGTCATTGACATCCAAGGTGTGGACGATCACTACACTGATCCACAGATTCATACAAAGGACGGCGTGGGCTATGGCGCCGGCAACCTTGGCGAGAAGGGCATCGAGAAGTTCCTCAAGTCACACAAGTGCAATCCTATATGTATTCAATTGGACCTGCCGCCAATTGGAGTTGACCTCGCAGATAGCAGGAACATCACAAGAGTCATCAGAGGTACCATGGCCCTACCAGACCTCATTCCAGACTTGGACCAGTCTGGCCATGTTACCCTAGCCGCACCCAATAACGTGACATCGAGCGAGATGGTAACTTTGGGCAACCTAGCTGGACACACTGAGAGAATCACATCATTGGTGGTGACCAATGATGGCACAAGGCAGTTGTTCTCTGGTGCTGCAGATGGAACAATGAAGATTTGGAACCTGGACACACTTCAATGTCTGGACACTATCAAAGCACATCGAAAGGCCATCACGGCTATCTGCTACAATCAGGACAATATATTCACATCGTCACTGGATCAGACCATCAGAGTATGGGATCGTAAGACCAATGATAATAAGGCCAAGCTGGAAGAGCATACCGGTGAGGTCAACTACATATGTATATCGAACGAGAGGAATCAATTATATAGCTGTTCATTCGACAAGTCAATTAGAGTAAGTTGGATAAATCATTCTATCAATCAATCACACTCATACTAATCATCCAACAATTATTCAATCAATTAAGATATGGGACTTGGCAACACTCAAGTGTGTCAAGGTGCTCACGGCTCACTCCAAGAGCGTCAAGTCATTGGTGATCTCTGGAAAGTATATGTTTAGTGCGTCAAATGATGAGACGATCAAGGTCTGGGACTTGGACATGTTGGTGTGTATATATGGTGTTAGCGATGCTCATGAAGGCTGGATCACATCCCTTGCCCTACACAATGGCCTGGGTGCCATGATATCGGGCAGTCGCGACGGTACCCTCAAGCTCTGGTCACTGTCAACACTGATCGCACAGTCCACACATGAGGACAACCATGAAGTGATCTGTGACATACTTGTTACCGATCGTTATGTAATAGTTGCATCAGAGGACACGACAATCAAGATATGGGACACTGTTGATGTTGCCAGTGGTGGAACACTCAAGTGCGTGTACAGCATAAAGGCACATCGTTCAGCAACATGTGCACTGGCAACCGATGGCACACGACTATTCAGTGGCGGTGGCGACAACAGCATCAAGTATTGGAGCTGGAAAGATAAATAAACGAACAAACAAACAAGCAAACGAATGTTTGAAGGACATTGTAATTAACTTTGTGTATTTAGTATGCTTTATACAGGAATGTACAATGAATGGATGGGGATGATGATGCCTGGTACTCTCATTCTTGCTCTTGAGTCTCGACTCCACTGTGTGCCAGGCACTCAATCCATTCACATAATAGGGACTGGAAATGAGATGTGGCAATAATTATTATTTACAACAATCCAAGTACCACCGTTCAACTCGGACTCGTCTGGCTGTCTTGCTAGCCTCTAACCGGCATGAGGCCACTACTTCTCCTCCTCATTCTTCTTGTTCTTCTTTTGTCTCACTTGTTCTTTTCTTCTTTTCTTCAACGTTGTTAAATAGATGGGATTGATATCGAATGGTATCTTGACTTGTTTGATTGATTGACTGATGGTAGGGTGTAAGTCTGTGGACTTAATCAAACTTCTCAATATCCTTTGGCACCATCTTCTTGATCTTCTTGTTGGCCTTGTGGATGTTTGTCTGTTGATCACCTGGCGTGGTGGCAACACGTTGCTCTGCATCAAACATCTTCTGGTGCTCTGCGTTTCTAATGATCTCATTCACTTGCTCATCGGAAAGATCATTCTTCTTTTGTCCGGCCATCTCCTCAGTGGTTCTATAGAATCCTCCACTTGGAAAGGTCCTTCGATATGAAGAACCTAGTTGTATCGTCCTTCTAGTGATGTACCTTGACCACTATTAATTGATTGATATGTTAGTATATCATGGACACTCACTCAATCATTCATGGATGGATGGTACTATACCATTTTGTATTATCTGTTGTCTTTTAGTGGGGGTCTTTGACGGGGATATGTAATCAATGAAGTAATGAAGCTAGTTGAAGGGGTGTGAGAGGTAGATGTAGTAGACGATTATTGTTGTTTATCGAATGTGATTGAATTGAAATTATTATTAAACTTGATTAATTATAAATAATAATATACTAATATGGATAATGCGACTTGACCACTACCAAATAAGTAACAAATGTGTGTGTTTATATATATATATATTTAAATATAACTATGCCTACTACTAGTAATGTATGAAAGAAGAAGCTTTGGGGTGACTGAGTATGGATGGATGGATCGATGAAGATGAGCTGCACGATAGGATGGGATGAATGAATGAATGAATGAAGAGATGACATGTGAAGACTAGCCTCACCACACACATACAACAAACAAACACACACAGTCCGCAATGCTTGGACCAATAAGGATTGAAGCTTCGTGACCAGCCCTCCCCCCTCCGTCGGACTATTGAATGAACCTAGGTGGATGAACAGGTGGTAGTGGTGTTTATTTGTTAGTGTGAATGAATGAAGATACACACTTTACGGGCAACACTCACACACCAGTGTAATCCATAACAGGGTAACGATGGGGGGTATCCATTAAATAATCATTCATTGCCCATAAAAGGTATTTCATAGTTATAAAATCTACATGAATTGAGTTTGGTGTGTGTGTGAATCGGTATCGTGGATCGGAGAAGGACGGGTTGTTGTTCACCATTACAATTGTGAATTGTTGACAATGGGGTTATAATGAAGATACTTTGTTTTGTTATTGTATTCATTGATTGGTGTCTTCTTTTGGATTACTAATTGGAGTAGTAGGTGTAGTGCTGCCCTCTGCGGTCTTTGTTGACTCGCTGTTGTCGATATTGTTGTTGGCGACGATGGTCGTGTTGGTTGTGGTGTCGCTTGGGCTTGAGCCAACATCATTGTCTGAAACAATCGTCTCTATTGTTGATGTTGTAGCATCTACTACCGTCGTCTCTGTTGATGAAGTTGTTGTTGTTGATGTTGTTGTTGTAGTTTGTTCATCATAGTTCTACAGTTTAATCAATCAATCAATCAATATCAATCATACAAGTATTGTGTGTTAGCAGAGAGTTAGATTATGTAATCACACCAAAAAGAGTTATAACAACCGATACACATACCCAAACGATGTCTTCAGAGTCTGGTACACGCTCCAAGAAGGTCTGTCCTGGACAGATCTTCTCGAATAGTGCCTTGGCTTCGTTGATTTGCTGGTCATAGTCGATGGAGACAGAGACTGGAGAGTCCGAGGTGAGCATCACATTCTTGGGCAACGCCTGGCCATAGGCACCAAACGAGCTGGTCACGTGATCAAGTGAAAGGTTGAAATAGGCACACCACTGAATGGTTGGCAACTCGCTATTGCCGCCAGACAACTGTACGAATGTCTCGACCACTGCCTTCAAATCCTCTTCGGCGTTGGCACCTGATTGAATGGTCGTGAAGTGAATCAAGACGTATCCACGTGCTGTGCACAATGATTCCATCTGATACACATTGACTGTGCTCTTGTTTCCAGCAATCGAGTTGGGTGGGATAGTGATGTAAGAGCAGTCCATTGAGTTTATGATTCGCTTGTCAGTGATACAGATACATCTTGAGCTATGGTGGCATTGTTAGACATCATTCAAGGTCATCCACCAATAACATCAATACAAGTACTTACTATGAAGTTGTCTCAAACTCCTTCTTGATATCATTTGATTGAGTTGGCATTAGGCTCGAGAGATACTTGGGCGAAGTTATAAAGTAGGTGGACTTGATGGGTTGGTCCTCAGAGCATACGATGCCGGTGTACTGATTGTCGGCGTCGACGTTGAGCTGCTTGACATTGCGATCCAACACATAGATGCCACCAAAGACTGCGCAGAGACGACAGAATGCCTGGGGAATGTCTCCATAGCCATAGTATGGGATCAAGAATGGTAGCTGTCCGTAGACCAGTAGTGATGTAATGTACAGAAGCACCGACTTGATGCCCTCGGCCAGTGAGACGTCGGCCATGTTGGGTGGGTGCACCAGCGAGATGCCATAGAGTATGAAGGCTTCGACCTGCGCCGACATGTTGAAGCTCTTGACAAACTGGAGGAAGCTGCCACCGTGCTGCTTGGACAGCTCTTCGATGCGCTGTGCCTGGTCAACGCCCTCCTCTGTCAAAGACTTAACGGCGTCGATGAACTTCATAATGATGCGCTTGTCCTTCAGTGAGAATGTGCTGTCCTTGAAGATCGAGCCCTTTGTCGAGGGTATTGGCTGAAGAGTATTGTTGATGTACATGTAGTTCTGATCGAGACACTTGAAGTCGAGATACTTTGATGTTGCCGATGAGATCAACAACTGAACTAGTGGGCCCTTAGAGTATAGGAGTGATGGTAGCAAGTCAATGATGAACTGTCTACCAACTCCAAACAATGAAGTATCAACCTTCTTCTTCTTTGGTGCTGCTGGTGTTGGAGTTGGGGTTGGTGTTGGAGTTGGTACAGTCTGCTCCTCATTCGATTGATTGGTCGCATCAGCTGTGACCTCTTGTGTGGTCACTGTCACTGTCTCTGTCTCTGTTGTGGTCTCAGATGTTGTCGAAGGTACTGGTGTGGCCTCCTTTGGCGATGTTTGAGATGATGCTGGCTCCACAGGAGTAGTTGGTCGTACCTGAGGAACCTCCTCCTCCACTGGAACTGCAGGGGGAGGTGGTGGCTGATACACCTTTGCAAATGTAAAGATGCTCTCCTCTCCATTTGACGCCTTGACCAACATGTCATTCAATTGATTGAGTGAGAACGAGCTGCAATTCGTTCCATAATAAGTGTTCTTATCAAGATGTAACACTGCCTTTCCAACTCTTGACAATGCACTGCATTGTAATCAAAGAAGTAACAAGTCAGTAAGTACTTTGATCAATCAATCAAAATGACAAACTATCAAACTGATATACATACCCTGCAAGTACAGACTCAACGAATCCTGTACCAAGTACGACAACATCAAAGTTGTCCTTCTCTAACCAGCTATGTCTACTATTATCAACTGCTTTATCTCCTTCCATTATTACTACTATTATTATATGTTTGTTTTAATACAACTAGTTGAGTGAATGAATGAATAAATGATTTCAAAAGATTGATCAATGTTGGTCACACAGACGTCACATGCTCAAATCTTTGAATTTGCTTCGTGGTCATCAAATGAGAAGATAGTTCTCATTAGGGAGATAAACATGAATGGACACAATTGGAGAGTTATATACATTTAGGTCGTTTATTGAATGAACTTGGCTTTCCTTTAGTTGTACGAAAGGAATGATGAAGAATAGGGGACCATAAATAGGCACTATTGCTAGTGTTTTCCACCATAGTGCTTGTGAGACAGGATGAGGTACAAGGCATGGATAACACCTATAAAAGTTGTAAAAATGGAGTAGAGTATAGAATAGAATAGAGAATTGATTAATATTAATATTGATGTTTGATAATGAGCCGATAATTAATACTGACCTGGAATCCAACCAAGGATTGTCAACAAAATGTTGAGCCAGAAGTGGCCTGAGCAACCAACTGCAATCAAAGCAGCCAGTGGAGGGAAGATAATCGCAACGATTATCAGTCCAATCTTACTACATCCAGAAGGCATCTTAAAAATATTATCTATATAATTTCTATCTCTATATATATGTATGTACAACACAACTAACTATCTCTATCTCTATCTATATCTCTATTTAAAATGATAAACATTGGACATCCATCTTCAAGTTATACCTCTGTGTTTGGTGAACTTGGCATGTCTGTGTGTGTGGGAGAGTGCAACCTCGGAAGCTTGGAACCTTAGATTGGTCGTGGCTAGTCATGAAATGTGGCGGCACTTTAGCTGAGAGACAGACCTGAATGTCTACGAGGTACGAGTATATAAGGTGTAGTGAAAGTGTGTGTGTTTGTTGTTGTAAAGACAGACACAATCTGGATACAAACATGTCCTCTTCTTGCCATTTGAGGGAAAACCAGATGTCCATAAGAAACAATCTTTGGGTCCTATTTTAGTTAACAAAGATGTTGTTGTTCACTATCATTTGAATGAGACTGACCAACACACTACACAACAACCCTTAAGATGTGTGTGTGTCAATCTTGTCTATAAGTGTGTGTGTGTGTGTGTGTGTAGTAGTCAGAGCAATACGTTCATCTGTCTGACACTCGCTCTCAAAGGATGCATCGGATACTTTCGAAAGGATTGCATTTCAGTTGAATTGCTCATTTCTTGTTAATGGTCCAAGCCTGGCTACATGAACGTTCACATGTGATTAATGATATGTTTGATTTATTGATTAATTGATTGATTGAATGATTGTATTTGAATGAATGAATAAATAATTTATATTAATTGTTCACAAATAATATATAATTAAGTATGGATGTAGTAGGAGAATTTGAAGGAATGATAGAGTAACAATGTAAGTTGAATTGGCTTCCTGATCGCCATCACCAACTGATTTTAATATTCGATGAGTATATGGGAAGGGCACATTGGTAACCTCTTTAATATTCTTAATCAGTTTGTTCCCTCTGAATGGGACCCTTCCATACCATACCCTACCATTCCACATCATGCCAGAGAATACCATACCATACTATACCTTTCCGTTCATTAATATTAGAAGGAGATTAAGAGTAAGTAGTTGTAGTGTGTTGGAAGTGGATATGATTATTATTACCATACCCACTCTGGAGGAGAGAGGAGAGAATCCAGACACCATTATATGCTACCTCCTGACCTCTGACCTCTCCTGATCGAGTGAGGTTTAAGTCATATTCACCACCCAACCTACATTGCCTAATCATTCTTAAGACTTCATCTTTGTAGTAGGATTAGACCCCCCTTCTAATGGCAAATAGTGAAGCGATCCGAATAAATAATATTATAATTATAAATCCAATCAATTTGAGTGGTACCACTAACTAACATTATTGTTATGATCATCCACTTTTGAAAATGGAAGGATGGAGGAAATCATTATCAAAAGAATGCAAACTGATGCAATTCAATCAGTTTCGTGCGAGATTTTTGTTGTGTATTAAAAATGTAGATTATGAAGCACAACATTATAGAGTTTGTCAGTCAATGACTTTGTTATACGTATAATTAATCCAATCAATAACACATCATCTTAATCATCACTAAAGGGTGGAATCGGAGAATCAATATCCTCTCCTCAATCAATCCCAGCGCACTTCCTTCCTCCTGCCTTTTGACTTTCAAACTGAACCATTCCACCACCCCTATGTGTATTCACCACAGTGATCCAATCAAAATAGGATCATTCATTCAATCAATCAATCAATCTAGTGGCAACTCCATCAAAGTTGATGATTAATTCCTGGACCATTTATCAGGATGTTGTCGTTGTTATTATATATAATCAAGTACAATATTGGCAACAATTTTGACAAATATATACCATCCACCAATAACAATAGATTAGGTGGTCTTGTCAAACCTGAACGAATGAATGAATATGTATGCATAGGAATAGAGATATTAGCTCTTACGAGATAATTATCCATGGATGATGCAATTTACCCATTAAGTGGTGTTGTGTGTGTATCTCTTCGCAGCAGTGGAAGTGAAATTGAGTTGGAATGATCCTAAAGAGAGGAACACAACTCGATATTTACAAAACTTTTTTGGTGGTCCCCGAACGTCTTAGGCCTAGATCAAGGACTCACCACTTCTTCCTTCAACCCCCCAGTGCCTGCCCAAAGAGCAAAACCAGCAAAGAATCTTATTTGCTTTAGGGGTGATCGGTCCCATCTATCTACTTGTATTGAAGGTAGTGATAGAGAGGTGGTACTTGGACTCACCAATTTTCTTCTTGTGGAACCTAATTATGTGTGACCCAGGAGTGGGAGTGTGGTTGGCTGTCACACGCAAATCATGTATCCGATCAGCCGCAATCATAATGACCACACACATTAAAGTTGAACAACTATCTATCAATCTCGTTGTTACCCTCCCTTTATCACTTTTATTGTATTTAATCTAGTAGTTGTAGTTGTAGTTGTACAGATAGTCATTGCATTTCATTCATTGCATTCATTCATTCATTGGTATGTAATAACATATTTATATTTGTATTGACATTGGTGACACTCGCCATCAGTCTAGATTTGGAAATTTCCTCTTTTTGAAATTGACACGCACACACTCTTTGCATCATTATGTTATGATGGTATGGTTGTTGGTTCCCAATGGTGCACCTCACTCGCGGTTGTGCATTATGTTGTTCTGTTGTTGCAATGAAGCAATATTGCGTATGCTACACATTTGTTTGTTCGTTGCCTCTAGAAGCTATGTTCATCTAAGATCCGTTCGGTTCCATCACATATGTATATTGTTGTATCTTGTTGTGGTTGCTGTGTTTGGATAGGTCCATGGTCGTCTCTGACATCAAACTAGTATCTATCTATCATACTTCATCGCAACACACAAAAGGCAGAGTTATCATGTCATAGTGATAAAACAACAACAACAACAACATAATCCAAATTGATCACTTCGTTTGGTACTTCGCAACAAGCACATCAATCAAACATCCGTCCATTCGTTCCATCTCCTACACACTCATTCACACTCAAACCGACCACACACAACACACTTCAACACACACACTCTTACACACTTCATTCCATTTGTGTGAGGGTTGATCAACCCCTCCATCATCACCTCTTCCTTCTCTCTCTTCAGTATTTAACTACTTTTCCATGCCTGTTACACCTACCTACATCATTCTTGGGTCTAAACACCAACAACAACATCAACAACAACAATAATACATTGATCCTTCCTATCTTACATACACCTTACTAATAATTATCCATTATCTCTATCATATCATATCCTACTACTATTACTATTACTACTATTTATATATATATATTATGAGTATAGTACTGTAAATAATAACAACAAATAATAATAATAATAAATAAGCAGCAACAGCAGCAACAACAAAAACAACAATAGAATGGTTCAACAACATCAGATGATGATGTTGGTTGTTGCACTGACAATCACAGTGGCCAACATCGGACTAGTGCTGCAAAGCAATCAAGTAGATGCTTGTGGAATGACCACTCACAATGAAGTAGGCAGAAGGGCCTACAATTTCTCCAGTTTCCAAGGTAAGCTCGCACCACACACTCACCCCCATCTCACACATTGTCCGATCAACTTGGTGATTTTGATTTGGATTTGATCATCACGAATCACAAAGTTGAGTGTGCATATGGCTAACCCCCTTTGCCCCCACCAATCCATTCCCTATTTCCAAAGAGTATCCTCAATACTCGCAGATGATCCTGAATAACTTGGCCTCATTCCAAGCTGGCACTGCCTTCCCGGACTGGGGATACAACTGTGGAGGCTTTGGCGACGAGTCTGAAGCAGCTCATTGGGTAAGTAGTCCGGAAAGTCAACGACACCTTTTCAAGATATTAATACATCTGACGTGTTCGTCTCTACCCAACATAGCCACCCTTCTTGAGAAATGCCACAGAGTACTTGTTGAAGAAGTATGAGAAGCCATGGAATGAGGATGGACAGCGTTTGGCTGTGTTTATGCTTGGTGTGATGTCACATCAGGTGGCTGATATATCATGGCACTCGATCCAGGGTATTAAGAATGGCCTGATCGCATCGATGGCCGGTCAGGACTTCAATGGAACCTACGACGTGGCACACTCCAACGCCGACGCAGGCGGTGAGTTTGTGCTGGCCTACAACTACAACTTGGACTTCTTGAGAGACGAGTGGTACGTGCCCGTCGCCGACGTCAAGGAGATCTACTTCCAGATGAACTACACCAAGGTGACCGAGACCGCACTCGTCGTCAAATGTAACTCGGAGCTGTTTGCCGGTGCCATGGGTGTGAAGACCGGAGGCAAGTTCCTCTACCCCGAGATCGCAGGCAAGTCGCCCTTCCTCGTGGACCACTACCAGGACTACTTCAACGGTGGTCTCGACGACATGGCCGTGTGGACCAGCTACTGCTGGCCCGTGCTCATGGGCTGGATGGAGGGCAACACCATTGGTAACTTCTGTCTGATCGACCCCGCCCCCATCAACGGCTCCATCTCGCCAAACGTTGTCCACGACTTTGAGCACTTGGAGGAACTGGCACAGGCTCAGAAGCTGAACCAGATCGTCGCCGACAAGCTGACCATGGCCGCCATGGACCACGTCAGCATCGATGAGAACGGCAACGGTGGCTACACCTTCAAGTTCCAAAACGCTAAGGAGCTCCAGCAGGAGCTAGGTCTCGAAGACAACTTCCAGTTCCACACTGTGGACCGTGCCCACGAGGTCGAGGCCAACTTCTCCATCATCTTTAGCAACACCCCCTACTCATACTTTGGTCGCGAGCTCGTTGCCGTCGACTTGAACGGTGATGGTGCCGACGATATTGTTGTCTCTGCACCAGGCGACGGAGCCCCTGGCGCCATGCAGACTGGTTGTGTCTACTACATCATCCTCGGCGAGAAGAACAGCACACAGTTTGTCAACTCTGGTGAGTTTGAGATCAGCAAGGTCGCCAACGGAATGGTCTGCGGCACAGAGATACACGCCCGCTTCGGCTGGAGCACCGTAGTTGTCGACTTCAACCTTGATGGCGTTCTGGACCTCGTGGTCGGCGCGCCATCCAGTGGAAACGCCGAGCTCAACTACCAGGGCAAGGTGTACATCTACCTCGGTGAGCTCTCTGGCGAGACCTACCATCTTGCCGCCACCCCACTCATCATCTCTGGCGACGACTTCCAGGACCAGGCCGGTCAGATGCTCTTCACCGGTGACTGCAACGGCGACGGCCACGACGACCTCATCCTCGGCATGCCCACCGCCGCCGGCGGCGGAGACCAGCGCGGCAAGGTCGCCGTGTTCTACTCGTCCGACGCTCGCTCCAACCAGTGGGCCATGACCGTCGAGCAGAACAGCGACTACATCGTCAACGGTACCAACGACTTTGAGTGGTTCGGCTACCACGTCGCCGTCACCAACAGCACCAACGGCAACAGCATGTTGCTGGTTGGAAGCCCAACATTCCACTTCCCCAGCGGCACCGACATGGACATGGGTAAGATTACCGGTTTCACATCTGGAGCCAACAACGAGTTTGCTGTCGTGCCCAAGTTCACGCTGACTGGTCACTACAAGTACGACAAGCTCGGCTACAACTTTGATGTTGTGGACGGCGCCTTCCTCGGCATGCAGGAGCCCCTCCTCGTCGTGGCACTCCCCACACGTGGCACCGAAACCGAGCCCCAAGTCGGCCAGGTCGTCGTAATCGAGTTCACCACACTCTCGGGCGCCGTCAGCATGGCCGACGTGTCCTCGCTGCTGGACATTGGCGGAGACACCATGTTCTCCCGCTTTGGCGCCAGCTTCCTCTTTGACTTTAGCGGCCCCAAGGGCCCATTGTCGCCCTCACTCTACATTGGCGCGCCACTGTGGACCGACAACCTGGACACGGGATCGGGCGCAGTGTACACGTACCAGCTCAGCACATCGATGCACACCAGTCCCAAGGACGGCTCCTCCCGCTTGGTCTCCACTGTCGACGGTGGTTCATACTTTAACAACAAGCAGAAGGACAGCCGATTCGGATTCAAGATGGTCATGGCCGACATCAACAGCGATGGCAAGAAAGATCTAATCGTTGGTGCCGACAGAGATTCATCAATGGGACTGCAATGTGGTTCACTCAACATCTTCTTCTCCTTGTAATCATTCATCAATATCACTCTCACTCTAATCATTCATTAATTACGATCGATAAAGATAATACTATATATATCTCTCTTTGTCTTCTCCACCTCTTTGTTGGAGAATGATGTCATCTTGTTTTGCGTGCATCTCATTCAAACCCCAGACTATTTTCAAACAAAGATTGGAGCCAGCTCATGTTCCAAAAATCGTTTCAAAGTGAGAATCTCCTTTGTGCTATGAGTTATTGTTATAATTAGATTGATTATTATTATTATATATGTGTACATAGAGATAGATAGAATAGAAAGAAATATAGATAGATATACAACAAAGAAGAACAACACAGCACAGAGACGACAAGAGGACAAACATTCAAACAAACAACAACCTTGTTAACATGAGTAGCAACAGTGGCAGTAGCAACAGCAACACTATCAAAGGCACAAGTAATATAATAAACTCATCACATCCACAACAACAACAACAACAGCCACAACTACAGCCACAACTACAGCCTCAACAACAACAACAACATCAACATATACATACACATGGCAAGGGTCATATAAGGAAGAAGAGTGAGCAGAACAAGTCAAAGTCATACTTTGCTGAGGACAGACATAAAGATAATGCAACACCAGATCAACATCGTACAACCCTTGTTGCCAAATGGCGTATGAGGGAAAGAGTAGGTCATCATGATCGATCAATCAATCAATGAAAGAACGAAACGATACTGACTGACAACCAATAGATGAAGACTGTCAGTGTTGCATTGGTACTTTGTTTGAACATTGGTGTCGACCCCACCTGATGTGATAAAGACATATCCATGCGCGCGACTTGAGTGCTGGATCGATCCAGCCAGCTCACAACCACCTCAAAAGGCACTGGATCTCATTGGTAAGACTCTGCAGGAGCAGTACGAGAAATGGCAGCCCAAGGCGAGATACAAGCAGTGTCTCGACCCAACGATCGAGGATGTCAAGAAGCTGTGCCAATCATTGCGCAGGAATGCCAAGGACGAGCGTGTGCTCTTCCACTTCAACGGACACGGCGTTCCGCGTCCCACAAACAACGGCGAGCTCTGGGTGTTCAATCGCAACTACACTCAATACATCCCGCTGTCCATTTACGAGCTGCAGTCGTGGATGGGAACGCCGTCCATCTATGTATTTGATTGTAACGCTGCAGGACTTGTCATCAATTGGTTCAAACAGTTTGCAGAGCAGCGCGAGAAGGAGATGGAGCGTTTCATCAACGCCAACGCCAATGCCAACGGCAGCACATCACCGTCATCCTCTGGCGCGCCACCCCTTCAGCAGCAGCAACAGCAACCACCTCAACAACCACCAGCATTCTCACACCTTAAGGACAGCATACTGCTGGCTGCATGCTCGGCCAACGAGATACTGCCCACCAATGCCGAGTTCCCGGCCGACATGTTCACGGCATGCCTGACAACGCCCATTCAGATGGCGCTGCGGTGGTTCTGCTCACACTCAATACTGCTGGGCATCACGCACGAACTGGTGGACAAGTTGCCTGGCAATCTGAACAGTCGTCGCACGCCTCTCGGAGAACTGAATTGGATCTTCACGGCCGTGACCGACACGATTGCCTGGAGCGTCTTGCCGCGATCACTCTTTCAGAAGCTGTTCAGACAGGACATGATGGTGGCGTCACTCTTCAGGAACTACTTGCTGGCCGAACGAATCATGCGTGCGTCCAACTGCACGCCACTGTCCTACCCCAAGCTGCCACCAACATATCAGCACCCGATGTGGCAGTCATGGGACCTGGCCGTCGAGCTTATAGTCTCGCAGCTGCCCAAGCTCTTGGCCAATCCCAACGCCGAGTACCAGCCCAGCCCATTCTTCTCAGAGCACCTCACATCGTTCGAGGTGTGGCTAGAGAGCGGCAATGAGTTCAAGGATCCACCCGAGCAGCTGCCCATCGTTCTGCAGGTTCTGCTGAGCCAGACGCACAGGCTTCGACCCCTGATGCTGCTGGGCAAGTTCCTGGACCTAGGCACATGGGCCGTCAACCTTGCGCTGAGTGTTGGCGTGTTCCCCTATGTCCTAAAGCTGCTGCAGTCGCCCTCGGCTGAGTTGCGATACATATTGGTGTTCATCTGGGCCAAGATCCTGGCGCTGGACAAGTCATGTCAGCTGGATCTCATCAAAGAGAATGGACACACATACTTCATCTCGGTGATGCTCTCGACTAATGTGCCGGCGGACCAGCGAACAATGTCCGCTTTCATCCTGTCGACCATATGCAACAACTGCCGACCTGGACAGAACGCATGCCTAATTGGCAATCTGCTGCCACTCTGTCTCAATCAGATCAATGACCCCGATCCGATGGTGAGGCGCTGGATGGTGCTCTGTCTCGCCAAGATGTGGGAGAACTTTGAGGAGGCCAAGAACGCGGCCATCAAGGAGAATGCGCATGAGCGTCTGTGCTTGCTGCTGTGCGACATATGTCCCGAGGTGCGCGCGGCCGTGGTGTACGCGATCGGCGAGTTCATTGGCGGCGCAGAGGGCAACGAACAGCGCACAAACATTGAGCTCAACTTGGGTCTGACACTCATTGTCATCACATCAGACTGCTCGCCCATGGTACGCAAGGAGCTCATTGTTGCATTCTCACGCATTGTCAGCTGCTACGAATCAAACTTCCTGTTTGTGGCGCAAGAGTTTGCGCAGGAAGAGCGAACCAGACAGCAACAGGAGGCCAGACGACTGGAGGAGGTCAAGAGGAGCAAGCGAAGAGTGCCGTCAAAGATGGTTGACTCACTATCCTCACCAAGTCTAGACGAGGACAACAACACGTTGTCTTCGTCAACATCACAGACACCTCAAAGCTCGGTCTACGCGTGCATCTGGAAAGGAGTGCTGGGCCTGTGCCAAGACCCCTTTGAGCAAGTGTCTCAGCGAGCACTCTCTGTTGTAAAAAGAATTCAGGCATCGATGCCGCAGGAGGACCAGCCAGCTATCTCGCTCAGCTTCCCTAGCCTCAGCAAGTCTGCCTCGTCAATCAAGAACACGTTTGCCAACATCATAAACTCACCACTGAAGCCAAAGCCCAACAACAATGGACAGCCACAACGAGTCACATCGCCTGTCCTCTCACATTCAATGTCGGGAACATTGCCCACCAATCTCTCATCGATCAGTTTGAACTCGAGCACGTCGCAGGCTAACGACGGCGGCTCAGCAGCGAACAATGCTGGAGCGAGTGGAAACACTTCGCCGCAGACTACCGACTTTAGTCTGCCATTTGATGACGACGAGCTGTACTCGGGCTACTACGCATGGAGCTCATCATACTTTACCAAGCGCATCATGCACAACACATACGAGTCAGAGTCGAGCGAGCGACGATGGAGACACAAACGCAACCAGTACATTGTGCAGGAGGCTCATGACTCGGTGCAGAATGTCATCAAGAACCCTTCAAAGAACTTCCCGCAGATCAGCGTGTGCCAGGAGCGCGAGAGCAATGGCCAGCCAGTGTCACTGCTGGCCTTCCACCCATTCGAGAACCTGCTCATCAGCACCGACGGCCAGGAGACCATAAGCGTGTGGAACTGGGAGGACTCGACGCGTGTCAACGCCTTTGCCAATGGCAACGCATCCGGCACCAGCATCACCTCACTCAAGCTTATGAACGACTTTGAGAACGGAATGCTGATGACCGCCGCCAACGATGGCGTGGTGCGCGTCTGGCGATCGTACGACTACAACTCCAAGATGGTCAGCGCGTGGCGCGCATTCCCCGAGTACGTGACGTCTGGTTCCGATGCCATTGGTCGTCTGGTGCTCGATTGGAAGCCCGACAGTGGACTGGCCATGGTCAGTGTCGAGTCGTTCGACTCCAAGATACGAGTGTGGGACGTGGAGCGCGAGCTTGGCATCATGGACATCAATGCTCACTCGACACGCGGCACCAATGTCACGGCGCTCACCAACGAGAAGGGTGGGCCTCTGATGGCGGCCGGCTTTGACGACGGCTGCGTCAAGCTGTTTGACCTGCGAGTCCAAAGCAAGCAGTGCTGCGTGTCCACATTCAGCGAGCACAAGTCATGGATCGTCAACGTGGCCATGCCCTCGAGTCACGAGCGAACTGTCATCTCTGGCGCAGCGAGTGGCGAGATCAAGTTTTGGCAACAAGGACACGAGTCCTCGTCCAACACTATACTCAACACCGACTTTGGCTTCATCTCGTCGCTGGCGGTGCACGATGCCGCGCCGCTCATTGCCTGTGGCTCGCTGTCCCAAAAGATACGAATCTTTAACTTTGCCGGCGATGAGATCAATACCATCAGGTATCATGAAGGATTCCTTGGCCAGCGCATTGGTCCTGTCACCAGTCTCGAGTTCCATCCATACAGTGTCATCCTTGGTGCTGGTGCACAAGACTCAATCATCAGTATTTACTCAAGTGATGCAGCTAGCAGTGGTGGTGGCAGTGTGATTGGCGCGTCTAGGTCCAAGACAGACCAATGATCGATGTTCATTCAATTCATTCCACCCATGTTGTTGTAATTCAAAATAAAACGAATCGTTCGTGTACAAGTCCCTTCGTTCACATGACTTTGGTTCATTCACTTTTACATTAGCTTTACAACTATACAGTTACTATCACTACTATATATATTACCATTACTACTTATTCTGATATTTGTACAACGAGTACGAAGACCAATAGCTTTACAAGATGGGAATTAGTGGACTGAACACATTCATCAACTCTAACTTTGGTAATAGGATCACGGTTAATCAGAGATTCAAGTACAATGTTGTCTTGATTGATCTGAACAACATACTTCATGTCTGTGGAAGAAACATATCAAATGCACAACGTAAGTCATAAATAATCAATCATTCAATCATTCAATCAATCTCTCTAACAACCTCATTCATTCTTCGACAACGACAACAATAGAGATGATAGAGAAGATGAACAAGAAGCTAAGGGAGATTGTATATATTACAAAGCCAACAGAGTTATACATTGCAATTGATGGACCAGGTCCAAGGGCAAAGATTCTAGAACAGAGAAGGAGAAGAATGGGCGTATGTCATTGATCAGATAGTTGAGTCAACGAACTCAACATGACCATTAACCCTTTGAATCAACAACCATTATAGTCATCATTAAAGATTGCAAAAGAGAAGCATCTCAAGGAGTTCCATGGATCTAAGGAGAAGGATGACAATACAACAACGACAACAACAGCGACGAAAAAGAAGTCAAAGATGGGCATTGATCCATCACTCATCACACCAGGCTCACCCTTGATGGAGGATATCAAGAACAGTCTACGTGATTTCACCAAGGAGCTAATGGACAACCCAAGGTTAGCAGTTGTGAGTGTCTAGTCTAGTCTAGTCTGCTCCTGAGTCTACATCTCAAACATACTCACTCGATGTCATACCATACTTTAGAACAAGGTTGTCATATCACCAGCCGACTCCCAAGGAGAGGGAGAATGGAAGATGTTCCAATACATCAACACTCTACCAGATGATGCACAGCATCGTAACATTGCCGTGGTGTCAACAGACTCTGACCTGATACTCTATGGTACACTATCAATTTGATGCACTGAAGATATGCCAACATGCTCAGTGCTGATCCCTCCCTAACATAATGGATCGATCGATCAATCAATCATTCAATCAATCATAGCTTTGTCATCTAGCAAACAAATTCACCTGATCATAGAGGTCAGGACTAGGAAGGCGATGGACTGCGACATACTCAAGACAGAGCTGGCCAAGACAGCTCCAAGACGTTCAATGGGTAGGACAACACATTCATTCATTACTCACTCATTCATTTCAAGACTCTGACACTCTACCTCATCTACCTCTCAACAACTTGGTCTCTGTCTTGGACAATCATTCAATCAATTAGAACACGTGGTTGGTGACTTTGTCTTTCTCAACCTATTCAATGGCACTGATTACCTGCCTAAGCTCAGTGGATTCCACTTTGAGAGTGTATGGAACGTGTACTGCAAGGACCAAAGCACAACTCCATTGCTAGACAAGCAGACCAATATTGTGGATTGGTCATTCCTCCAGCGATTGAAGCCAAGTTCATCGAGATCATTGTATAGATATGAGAAATCAACCTACAAGCCAAAGGTGGACATTATCAACATTGTTCACACCGTAATGTCAATGGCATATGGCTGTACCAAGATCAACTTGGTACCAATCTACGAGGAGGAGGAGATAGCAGTTGGCGACAAGATCACATACACAATCAAGATGTACGTCAATGAGGAGTTGATCGGAGAGGGCTCAGGCGAGAAACGACACAAGGTTAAGCAGATGCTGTGCGAGCCTCTGCTAGATCTCCAGCATCCAGTGTGGCTCAAGTACTTGCCGATGATATCACCGGATCATTTGAAGAGGATCCAGATAAGGCTGGAGCAAAGGGAGAGCTCAAGCAAGAAGCCTGGTACTGATAGCGAGACTGCACAGCGTTTCTTGGAGGGTGTCCTATGGCACCAAGCCTACCTTTCCACGAGTGTCCAGAACTACTCCTACTACTACCCTTACGGCAGAGCGCCATCCTTTGCCTCTGCTGCAATGCCCAAGGTCACAAACGTCTTTTTGAGTAACGACCAGCCCTTGTTCCCTCTGTTATTCAACATTGCACTGTCCAACGATGTGGTATGTGTGTTAAGATGAAGTAGACAGTGCAAGAGATCAATTGACTAACTTATTGTATCCATTTATAACAGACAAGGAACATACCTAAGGTCTTCCATAGTATCTATGAGAATCTGCCTCACTTTGATCCAGAGCAGGAGGGCATCTGGTACGCAGACGGCTGCATGGAGTCACTGGAGAAGTTTGTGTTGGAGCTTGTTGAGGCGAATCGAAAGGATCTCACACCATTCCAGCTGTCCCAACTGGAGTTCCATCCATGCATAACCATTGAGAGGACTGGAGTCCAATCACAGTCGAACAATCATTACGACAACAGAGAGCCGAGGTCACAGTCGCATCATGCTCGTTTCAAACCAACTCAAAATGCGTTCCCCAGTCCTCCACATCCCTCTCAACTACCCCTGCCCAGTTTCAATCAGCCACAGCAACAACAACCCATCATCCCTTTGGTGCAAGGATCACAAGACACACAGATGTATGAACAGGACAATCAGTCAGCCACCCAGGACAGACAGCACTACAGCCACAAGAGGCATCATCCAGCGCAAACTGAATACAACAACAACAAACATCCAAGGCAATATGTCAATCAACAGGGTCCATCACGTCAGCCTTATTATCAGCAACAGCAACAGCCCCAACAGCCATATTATCAGCAACAGCCTCAACAGCCATATAATGAACAGCAACAGCAGGATCATAGGCCTTTCAACAGAGGATACAAGAAGCCATATCAGCAGCAACAGGAGCAACAGCCTTATGATCATCAACAAAAGCCCTACAACAACAACAAGGGATACAGGAAACCTTATCCACCGCAACAGCAGCAACAGCAACCCGATGTGGCAGGTGAGCAGCCGCAGCAACAGCAGCCAATCGCTGGAAAACAGCAACGACCTCATTATAAGAAATTCTCTAGAGGCCCCAATGACCCTAACTACAGGAAGGCTGATCCAAAGCCTGATGCCCCACAATAAAGAACTTGTCTTCATCTTCGCGAACACCATGCATTCTTGTATTCGTATGAGGTGATAAATTATAGTACTACAACAATATTGCCAAACATCTAGATGATGTAACAGCTTACTCGGTGGGTGGACGTGGTCTTCTAGTTGGAGGCTTTCTCTTGTGAGCCACTTGTGGTCTGCCCTTGGTAAGGTGAGTCAGCTGATCAGAGTCGGTGTCTGGAACAGCCGATAACTCACCATCGGCGCCACCCTTCTTGACTGCCATCGATGCTCTGGTTGGTGCAGGTGGCTTAGTCTTGGGTGGTGCAGAGGAGGATGTGGTGGGTGCTGGCTCTGGAGTTGGCTCTGGTGCGGCAGGCTTCCTGATGGGTGGAGGACCACCGCCACCAATGTTTCTGGCAATGGCAGCTGCCAAGGCCGGGTTAGCATTGACCTTGATACCAGGTTTGAAAGTAGGTCCAGTTGGATTGCTTGGAGTTGTTGTGCTTGTCGCAGATGATGGAGCTGGATCCGATGACAGATTCGTTGGTTTGTTGGCTTGTGGAGGTGGTTGTGGCTTGACACCGACAGGTGGCTTTGATGTGATGGGTGGAGGCTTCTGTGCTGCTGACGTCGGGACAGCTGGAGCTGGTGTTGAAGGTGGTTTGGATGTTGTGGTGGTGGGAATAGCTGGAGCTGGTGTTGATGGCGGCTTAGACACGGTTGGTATTGCTGGGGCTGGGGTAGATGGTGGCTTTGATACTGCCGCCTGGCTTGTGACTGGTGTAGCAGCAGGTGTTGGTGTAGTGGTAGCGACTGGGGACACAGTGGCTGGTGCAGCTGGTGTAACTGGTGTATTATTGACAGGTGCAGCAACAGGTGTGATAGCAGCGGCAGGGGTAACAACTGCAGGTGTAGTGGCAGGAGCAGCGGCTGGAGCCGGGGCAGAAGTAGATGCGACTGCTGGGGCGGCAGGGGTAGCAGAAGGGGTTGCGATGGAAGCAGGAGCAGCGGCAGGGGTAACTGAAGGGGTAGCAGCCGGGGTAACAGCTGGAGTAGCGGCCGGGGTAGCAGTTGCTTGTGCAGCGGGGGCGGGAGTAACCACTGGAGCGGAAACTGTGGCAGGAGTAGCTGCCGGGGCTGAAGGTGTGACAGCAACAGATGCTGTTGGGACTACAGCTGGCGTTGCGGCAGGTGTGACAGCCACTGTTGTTGGAGCTGATGCAGTAACAGGAACCGTGGTAGCCGCTGGTACCGCCTTCTGAGTAGATGATGTGTCTGGGATGGACTCAGGGGCTTGAGATGGCTTGGGAGCTGTAACAGTTGACGGGGCTGATACAGAGGAGTCAGGGACGGCTGGAGTCTGGACTGGTTTCACAGATACTTCCTCAACTGGTTTTGCTGGAACAACCACACTTGGAACGGCTACTGGTGCAGGTGTGGAGGCAGGAGGGATTGATGGGGTAGTTGTTTGTTCCTTTCCAGTTGATGGAGATCTCTCTACCTTGGTGGGAGTTGGTGGTTTCTCGACGACTGGCTCGGGGACTACTACTGGTACAGCTGCTGCTGCTGGTGCAGTCACGGCGACTGCTACTGGTGCGGCTGGAGTAGGAACTGGGGTTGGTGCCACTACGACAGGTGTTGCTATTGGTATCTTCTCTGGGGTAGGTGTGGGTGTTGGTGTTGGTGTCGCCACAGCGGCCAAAGGAGAGGATGTTGTTGGTGTGGACGAGATTGGTGTTTTCTCTGGTGTCGCAAACTGTGGAGTTGTCTTGGTTGGTGTTTCGGGCATTGCGTCCGAAGGTCTTCGTTCATTCATTCCGATGCTTATCTCATCGTCGCGGATGATGTCTTGGTATGCATCTTCGAGACCATTGCCAATCTTCTCATAGGTGTAGTCCGATGCAATCTCAAGCGCAGAGATGAAACACTCGTGCACCCTGTTGCTCATCTCAGCACCGGCACCCTTGACCAGTGTCTCTTCGATGTTGGTCTCGTCAAAGTCCTTGGCGCCATACTGTATTCCAGTGGCAAGTCGCTTATACGTCTGCTGATCGAATGATTTGAATGTGCCTTGCATGGTCTGCACAATCTGTTGCAACATCTCTTCTCTCTTCTGATTGATCACATCGGCCACGACGTCGACAAACTCTTTCAACTTCTTGTTGAGCTCGAGCTCTAGACTGGCGTGCACAGACTCCTTGACAAGGTGCAGGCCTCCAACAACTTTCTCGGTGTTCTCGGCATCCTTGATCACTACAAGATGATGTGGATCGGTGGACTTCTTTCCAACAGACTTGATCTTGTTGAGCAACTTCTCAATGTTTTGCTGCTGTCCACTCGCTAAGAATGCCAAATTGGTAGAGCCAATTGACGTTCCGCCCTGGTTGGTGTCATGGAATTGACGTAATGGACTCTGATTGCGGTTGATATAGTGATCAATGTCTTTGAGCAGGTTGGATAATCTGACTGGGCTCTCACTGTATGCCTTCATGATGTCCAGGAGTGGCTTGGGCATGTTCTTCAAAGTGAGGTTACGCTCAAGTCCAGTGGTGAAACCAATGAATCCAACGACGCCAGTGGCGTTCTCATCCCAGACCAGAGTCTGGAGGGCTTTGTTCGTCTGCAGGGCCTTGCCAAGTGCGATGGCACCCTTGTTGCCCATCAGATGTCCAGTGATGTCGAGTTCGACCAGTGTGTCATTGGTCGCGAGAGCATATATCAATGGCAGCAAGTCATTCTTGAGATGATACTTGCCTGAGCCATTGGTCATGTGTAGGGCTTCAAGTGGCGTGGATGCTTCGAGCAGACCAATAACAGACTCGACTGTGGCAGCTCTGGACTTAGTCTTTGATACCTTAAAGTTACCATTCAATATCAACTTCCTCACTGAAGTGTTCTGGATGAATCCCTCACATATCACAGCAACACCTTCATCGCAAAAGTCATTCTCCGACACATCCAATGTATGAATGTTTGGTATCTTATCAGCCAGCGATGCAAACAGACGTGCTCCTCCAATGCCCAACTCATTGACCTGTTTGATTGATTGAGTGAGCGATTGAGTGATCGAGTGAGTGGATGGTTGAGTGGACATACCTTGCAATCAAAGACAATATCTTGGAGATAGAGGTTTGATGAGATTGATACGACGATCTCCTTGAGATGTTCGATGGGTATCTTTGTGTTACTGATGTTGATGTACTTGAGTGTGGACGATGAGCCAAAGAATCGCACCAGGTGAGGGATGTCCTTCTTGGCGAGACGATTGTCAGAGATATCCAGATGACGGAGTTCTAGACATCCACGCACCAAAGCGCCAACAATAGTCTCCATTGTTGGCAGTGTGTTGGCAATGCACAGGGAGCGCAAGGCGTTGGGGCTGGCGAGGAAGGCCGACAGCGAGGCACTACCGTCGGCGTCCATCTTGTTGTTTGAAAGGTCGAGATGGGTGAGAGTAAGCGGCATCTTGATGTTCTTCTTGAGTGCCGTCGTTAAATAGGTGATGCCAGACTTGCCCATGGCACAGTTGGCAAAGTTCATCGAGGCAATGCCTCGATTGGACGCCGCAATATAGTTGGCAAACACCTGCATGCCCTTGTCCTCGATCGGGTTGTTTGACAAATCGATCGAGGTCACCGCCACATTCTTGTTATTCTGCAATGTCATTGCAAGGACTGGCAATGTCTCTGCCTTGATTCCTGCATTGCCCAACGAAAGGTCCTCGATCGTTGAGTTTGATTTCATTGCATCGGCCAAAGATGTGAGCTGATCCTTTCCAAGTTGATTGCTGTGAGGTGGAGTATGAGTGATTGATTGATTGAGTTATCGAGGTTGATTTGATTCCAAACACATACCCTGTGAAGACAATGGACTTGAAATAGGTGTTCCATTTGAGAGCACTAAGTAGTGCCTTGACATCGCCTGGGGAGATGGGCTGCTCAATCTCATTGATGTTGAAGGTCTTGATATTGCGCTGTGAGACGATGTTGGCCATGTCCCAACAGATGTCCTCACGCACCGGTATTCCAAAGTAGTTGCACAGTGAGCTGTAGGTCTCGACAAAGCCGCCACACGGCACGTCTTTGGTGGGCAGCTCGGCCAGACGCGAGGTGGGCTTCACCTCGATCCTGAAGCGGGCGTCATCGGGACAGCCTGGGAATGTCTGGAAGAAGGTGGTGCGGAGCGCGTTGACAATGTCGTCGGCCTTGGGGCTGATCAGGCCGTAGGTGAAGCTGCGCGTGATGAATATCGCCTCCTGTGGTGTAGCACTTCTAAACTCAAAGATATCCAGAAAGTGAGTCTCCTTCTTCACCTTTGACTGTCCAGGCTTCAAAAATATCACTCTATGCTTTGTTATCAATATAATTCTCTTACTAGGCTTCTTATTCTTCTTCTTACTAATCTTATCACCTACTCCCAAGTATATACTCTCTTGATTCTTTTGATATAGTAGAGTGTTGACAACCTCTGATTGATTGATTGATCGACCGATCATAGTTCATGTCAGTTCGTCATTCAATGTTCATGTTCATGTTCAAGTAAATATCTTACTTCTGTCATTTGGAGTGATGTCATCCGCCATCTTTTGATTGATAATGAATGATTGATCGGTAATATCAACTTGTTTGTTTGATTGATTGAATGAATGAAAGATATTAAGTAGTAATAAAGTATCTGTGTATGAATAGAAGTAGTAGTAATAGGAGATAAGAGATAGAATGAAGATGTGGATGATGTGGGATTGGTGGACGGGGTTGGTAGTTGAGTTGCTCACACTCACATTAATTAAGGATTGAATGGAAGTGTCTAAGGACACACCATCTATCAATCAACACCAACCCTTCATCTCCGCCCCATTCCATTCAACAAAACAATATTATTATAAGTGTGTCTGTTCATGGTCGACCCAACATACATGACCCACATCGAATCCCATCACATTCACACTCACTCCCTCAAAGACACACAAATACTGTGTACACATATTCGTGACAATGTTAGATGGATTGATTGCCTGACTGATATATACTTGGTCATTTATTTGACTAACTAGTTCTACACTTTCAAACATATAGATCGATCAATCAATTATTGAGTTGATCTGGAATCTGATTGAAGATCTTCCTCACCCCAGTCATCTCCGACACTTGCACCATCCTTCTTGATTTGGTCCATGGTCACTCGGAGACGGATCTTGAGTGGATCTTCCCAGTCGTAGCCACTGATGGCATTGCATCGCTTTAGGTACTCGAGTGTCTGCTCGTGATTCTTGCGATGGAAGTGGCTCTCACTCATCTCGTACAGACAGTAGGGATAGTAGAACTTCTCAATCGCGTGTGGATGTAGCTTGACCACCTCCTCAAAGCAGGTCAGCGCCTCGTCGATCCTGTCCATGCTCTTGAGCGTGGCGCCACGCATCATCATGTAGGCAATACGATCGTTCAGCATCTCGCTTGTGCTTCCACATGTGCTGAGCGTGGCCTCGCTGCCCTTCTTGGACTGGCCAAACGACCATGCCTTGCTAAAGAAGCTGTTGCCACTGCTGCTGGCAGTGGTGGGGATTGGTATCGGGTTGAGGACGCTCAACTTGGACGCCGTCTGCTGTAGGGCTTCTAGCACCCGCTCTGCATTGCCTTTCTCCATCTTGGCGAGGTCTCGACGTATGTACATGATCTCAAAGGCTGAGAAGTAGCCGCCATTCTGGGCATAGCGTGCGGCTTGACGCACACATATTGGCTCGACGCTGCTCGACCTCTTGGCAAAGGATTTCACTTTGGACAGTGCTTCCTCGCCCTTGCTACGTAGGCCGCAGGCAAAGTAGCAACTGGCCAGTTGCAGGCCACAGAGCGCACGGATCTGGAATGACTCCTCCTTGACAAGGCGCTCAAACACCTCGATGGCCTTGGGCCAATCCAGCATGATGACGTAGCAGTTGGCCAACTCATATGAGTAGATCAATGGCGGACGCTGGAAGGTGGCGCAGTTGTCCAAGGCCTTGACCATGCATGCCAGCCCCTCCTCGATACGGCATTGTTTGCGGTAACAGTGGCTGGCCATCACCTGGAACAATGATCCCTCGGGATATCGCTTCATGTTATCCTGGATCACGAGCTCGGCTTCGCGAAGATGCTTGGTAGGATTGTAGAGGCCACGAGGCAACAGTAGGTTGTTGAACAATAGGACCATGTTGGCAAACGGTGCTCGGATGCCTCCATTTGTACCACAATGTTTGATGTATTGCATGCCTTGCTCGCGGTCCGCTTTGAATCCAACAAACTCAACCAGACGCAAGAACTTCTGCGGTATGATTGACATTGCATAGAGGAAGAAGCCGACGCCAAAGTGTAGACACTCCAACAACTGCTCATTATACTTATGGCCATCCTTCACCTGTGACAAGGCATCCTCAAACGTCTTCCAACTCCTCCTCATATTGAAGCAACCCTTGAACTTGTAGTCCCTGGTCAATTGGAGGACGGCAATCATGTATAACGAGTCTCCAAGTACCTGGTATTACATAATCGTTAGTTTGGAAACAGGTGGATACTCAACCTGGACAATACATACGATCTTGCAATCCAGGAGACTATTCTTGAAGTCCTCTTTGGACTTTAGTATGAGGTTGCTGGATGGTGGAAGTTTGTTGGAGTCCAGGTATTTGATATAGGTCTCGGCCATCTCTCTTGTATCCTTTAATCTGGCCAATGCCTGTTCAGTGTCGTTGACATCGGCCGTAATGAATGATCGCAAGAATATAGTCTCAGCATGATGTAATGAATATCTTGGATGACTTGATGCCTTCTTCTTCAAAGTTGATTCCGCCAGCTCGAACTTATTGTTCCAGAGCATACTTATGGCATCAATAATTTCTGTGTCAATCATTCTTTATCTCCAACACAACAATAGTATTATTATTAATATTAATATGATATTCAAACAATAAGTATGAATGAATGATTGATTGAATGAATGAATGAATGAATGATTGTACCCAACTACATCGACAGTGTGTATTCTTTAAGAGCCAACCAACCATCGTCATCATCATCCCATCCATTCAATTCAATTCAATCAATCAATCAATCAATCAATCAATCAATCAATCAATCTTTTCTAACCATGTACATCAATCCATTCGTATACATTTAATTAAGTACTTGTTAGAGTGTGTGTTTTATATTCGTTAGTAGTAGAAAGGAAGTAATCGATCACTCCTCACTCACTCACTGGTCGGTCAGTCGAAATGATCACTGATCGAAAGTTAAGTGATCACAGGACACCACCCTCATTCCAATCCTACAACATCATCCTTCACCTCAAACACACCCATTCACATTCATTCACACACTAACTAACATAGACATTGACATCCACAACCGGAGATATATCTCACATTCGATAGATAGACCAAAGTTATGTGAGGTAAGTGTGTTTGGTCTTCATGTACCCCACCTCTGTCTGTATGTATCTCTAGCTCTCATTCATTCACGCAACCACACTACGCACCACACTGTCTGTTCTTGTTCTTGTTGTTGTTGTAGACATCTAAACACAACATACTATTTATGTGGTGAAGTGTGATATACTTAGAGTGTAGTCTAGGTTTATGTAATTCATTTAATCTTAGTATATTTCATTAGTGTCTTATATGTATACATATAAGGTTAGTTAAGATATGTTTAAACGTATTAACTAATATGGTTTGTTTAGATTCAATTGAATTAGAACTAAATGAATGAATGAATGAATGACATGTCAGAGTTGACATGACAAGGATATGTCCATCCATTGACAATGACCATCTGCCCCGTCCATGGATGGATGGATGGATGAGCCCTGGAAGGATACTGGTCCGCCAACATTGACTTTGGTCAATGAGTAGGGGTCATGACTTATCTTTAGTCAAACATACAAAGATATACAAATCAAACAAAGAAAGAAAAGAATAATGGCAAACTCTGTCTCTTCGGAGGTGGCGAACAGGAGACTCTTTGGAGTCATCTCAGGACTGTTTATGTTCTTGGGATTCTTCTTGGCAATTCTAGCTATTACAGTGCCAGTGTACAGGATTCATTATCACTATCATTCAGGACCAGAGGGTCATAAACAGGTGGTGTCCGTTGTAAAGGACTTTTATGCATTCTCCTATCAAGAGCATCGTTCAATTGGTGGCAATGAATCAGTTCATTTGGAGCGCCACTCAACATACACCAAGGTGGACAGCCTTCTGTCCACCAATGGTATCATTGGAGCAATATTGGAAGGAGGCTTCATTGTTCTGTTGTTCAACTTGGTCTGTGCCAACATGACACATGGTCGTACCCACAAGATCATCAACCTTGTCTTTTTGACAATCCTAACTGCATTGGCATTCGTGGCCATTGTTACCTTTGGAAGCCTGCCCTACAACTTTAGACACTATGACTCTGGCAACGAGAACTACTGTGTAGAGAATAACAGATATGTTCACCAATGTTACTCACTCTCTGGAAAGACAATTGGTGGAAAGGTAACAATTGACATTCCATTACTTTGAAATCAATGATTGATTGACTGATCACTAACCATCCCTCACTCCCTCACCTCCTCCGTCCCTGACTCAATCGACCATTAGTTCATTCATTATAAGTGGGCTCCATACGCCGGTTATTGGTTCTTTATTCTCGATTTGTTCGTCCTCATCGCTCTGTTCCCTTTAACACTGTCATACTTTAGGAGACTGCATTTGGAAGCTCAGGATATTATCTCGGCAACACCGGCCACAGCTGAAGACAGTGTACCGTCTGGAAAGTCTGTGTCACCAAGCATCACCTCCTCTAGTTCACAAGCAGCTGCTGACGACACCAAAGAGATAATTTACACCATTGACTCCTAAGACAATATTCATTCCGCTTTCCACTCTCCTCGCACATCAGTCTGTCTGTCAGTCAGTAAGTCAGCCAGTCAGTCCAACTTGCACACAGAACAATGTCGTTGATGTAGCAATGTATATAGAGAATCACATAAACTACAGCTATTTATTATATATTCACACACACCCAATCAGACATCAGTCGACTCGAATGATTGGAACACACACCAAATCACTTGATTGATTGATTGATTGACACTCCAGCTCACACACATATACACACCTGAATAATCGAAGGATTGATACAAAGAGTGATCAAACTTGATTGGTCATGGAAGTGTCATGGTGTGAATATGTTTGATCGAGAGAGAGGGGATGGTTGCAGGGTTGACCATGTGATTGTTTGATTGCCAGACACCTGGTGTCTTCAAAGTTGGATCATATATCTCACATCCATATTCCTATCTTAATAATATATATCAAACCTAGGACAATAGACATGGAACTCGTTAATAAGTGTAGTCCATGGATAAAGAAAGAGTTTGTGTCCGTGGCAATAATAGCTATTGCTGGATTGGTACTGTTATCAACGTTCACAGTCCAATATGAACTGCAATATGATGAGATACAATGGTCGTCCGACAAGAATGTCACAGTGGAGGTGAACCACGACGAACGATTTTATTACTACGGCATGGTGGTCAATGAACTGAGGAGCGATGGCAACAACACAGATTGGTTCAAGATCTACAAAGACTACTGGCCAAAGGGTTTCAGTCTGATGACGTCCATCCTGTCGCTCAAGATCATTGCCATTGGCTTCCTGGCCGCATCGTTCATATTCGCGCTGATCTATCTCGATGGCCACAGGACGACCAATCACAATGCGCCAATCATCTTCATCACGCTGTACCATATATCGCTACTGTTTGTATTCGTGTCGGTCGTCACCATATGCAACCTCACCAAGGCGTTCAGGTCCAATCCATACCATTCCTGCATCGATGAGCAAGGTGAATACGTCAGACATTGCCAGACATTGACTGGAAGTTACTCTGATCAAAGAGTGAGTATTATTATCCAACTGATTGATCGTTTGATTGATCGATTGATTCACTGACTGACTGGCACACATAGTATATAAGCTACGAATGGGGTTTCCAATATGGATGGTACATTGGACTTGGATCGTTGCTGGCATATTTAGTGGTCGAGATCCCAGTGATGTTGTTGTATAGGAGTTCAAGGATGCCAAAGACCAACTCGAGAACCAATCTGTTGTTTGAGAGGAAGATGACCTCATCCATGGAGATGAAGGCACGTGTCGAGCCAGCGGCCGTAGCAACACCAGTGGTAACAGTGACAGCGCCAAAGCAATAAAGAAAGCCCAGTGAGTTAGCTGATGCTTGTATAAATAGTGATATTGATTGATAGAACAATCTATGATGTCATTGAGGAGGACGGTGACATTGAGCTGCGATTGCTGCTGCCCGAGTGCTTGTCAAACTCACGGATGAGTTGTCTTTGTTGTTGATTGATTGTACGGGGTATCACCACAACGACCTTGATGTAGAAGTCACCCTTCCTTTGTGTGGCCATGTCGACAAAGCCTTGATCCTTTATCTTGAGCACCTGATTTGGTTGTGTACCTGGATGTATATCAATGTCCATCGTTCCATAGAGGAATGACACTGTGATCCTATCACCAAGCACAGCCTGGACCATTGATATCGATACATCGCTCCAAACATCATTGCCAACTCGTCTACACGTGTGATCACAAAGGGTAAGCGACTTGATCACATCATTTGTTCACATCTTCGTCAATCACTTACTTGTAGTTTGTATTTTCGTCCACTTGGAAGTCGACGATGAGGTCACCTGCTGATGTGCCATTGTCTCCCTCGTCACCAAGACCAGAGAGCACTTCTCTGTGTCCGTTTGTGACTCCGGCTGGCACATTGACCTTGATTGAGTGTTGGCATTGTATCCTCTTAGTGCCACCGCAGTAAGTACATTCGACTGTGGACACCGATGATGTCTTGCAATGCGGACAATTGATGATTGGCGTGTAGAGTAGCGTCTTGATACAGCCCTCTATGCTCTCCTCGAAGCTTACACGTACTATAGTGTTAACCGACTGTCCTTGTCGTCTTGGTGAGTGTGAGCCAAAGATGTTGCTGCTTGTGCTGCTGCCGCCAGGTGTTGGTACCTGTGCTGGTTGATCAGCTGTCAGGTGATCGAGTGTCTTTGAATCAGATACAAAGAGAGTGGAGGTTGTTGAAGAGTTGATCTGATTGCCTTTGTCGAGTGACTGCGTTGTTGTTGTGGTCACTGTTGTAGTCGACTGATACTGTGTCGACGATGTGAATGGTACGCGATGAGTTGATGATGACAACTTGGTGAATGGATTGTTGTTGGTGTTGGCCTGTTGGGGAGGTTGTTGCTGAGGTTGTTGAGGTTGCGGTGGTGAAGATGGTGGCGATCTATCCTTCTGATGAGATGAGACTGTTGTAGTCGTTGTCGTTGTGGTAGTTGATTCATTCCTTGGCGAGTGGACGACATGATGATGCTGCCTCAGTGCATTGTTGATGTGATCGTTCAACTGAACTGACTTGTCATAGTTCTGTCGCAACTCGGGATTGGACAGTATCTCATAAGCTTCGCGAATATCGTTGAACTGCTTCTGGTTGGCCACTGGGTCCAATGAGTTCTTATCAGGATGATACTTGAGTGCCATGTTCTTATAAGCCTTCTTTATTGACACTGTGTCGGACAGTTGCGGGTCCAGACCAAGTACCTCATAGAAGTTACGTTTCATCCTCGTCGTCGTCGGTGTCGATGCTGTAGGTGGTCGTTCCATCTATATATATGTTGTATGTATTGTATCACAGTGTCAAGTTGACATTGAGTGAGTGAGCACTAGACCATCGTTGTTGACATTATAACTTGGTCACCTGGAGACCGACTTCCCAATGGTTGTTGTGTTGATCCAATCGAACAAACATGAAACGAAATTTCAATGTGAATCGAATGAAATTTCATCGAACTCTACCACCACTTTGTATCACCGGAAGTTCTAGTTTGGATTGAATGATGAATAGTCTTTATTGTTCGGTCACGACGAATGATGTTGGATGTAGATGGAGGGCATTGAACCCTGTTCGGGCGGGAGCCACCCATAAAGGGGAGGCTATCATGGTAACATTGGCAACCAATGAGAACTGAGTTGCTGTCGCTCAATCACTTGAATGATGAGTCTTGAATGATTCGATCGGATCACGATCACACGAATGAAGTGTATGTGCACCATAACATCGTTGCATTGACGCATTGGGGTGCGTAGCCATAGTAGAGAGTGAGACCTGTTGTTGTCAACATAGTGGAGCGATGAGGCACACACCATGTTAAGTATAGTTGAATGACAGGCCACGTGCTGCCCGAGTTACTGTTCCTCCTCGCCTGGCTCTTGAGTATCATCGAATGCTCTCTTGGCCTTCTTCAGCTCCTCGTTCATGCGTAGTAGCTCAATGACACGATGGTACTTCTTGGCATCCTTTCGCACAAGGAACACCAGGTCCTCGGTCTGAAAGCGACCACGACGCGAAGACACTTGACCAGCCTTTGACGTCATCTCCTGGATGTACTCTGTAACAATGTCCTCCATCAAGTCCACTGAATCGGGCAGGGGCTCGCGCACATCTCCAAAGCCATACATCATCTGTTTGATCTCTCTTGCAAATATCCTCTTTCTCTTATTCGATGATGATGGTGCTGTCGTCACCATTGCTGCTTGTGCGAATGCAGGCAACAATGTATGTGATTGTGGTTGTAGTGATGATAATACTGATGTTGGAGTGTTGGCTGATGATTCTAAATATGGCTTATGAGTATTTGTTGTTGTTGATGTTGATGATGATGGAGACAATACATCATCACTAGTATTATCCTTTGATTTGGATGATGTTGGTGAGGTTGTGGCTTGAGGTGACTTTGGAGACCATAATGAAGGTGTTCCCAAGGGTTCAGACCCTTTAGACTTTGTTGTAGATGACATAGTATATACTACAACTCTACCTATATCTCTATCTATCTGTATGATCTTCAAACTTGAATGATTGAATTAATGAATGTTTCGCCAACACTTCACGAAACTTGTCCAAAAATTAATACGAGGGTATGTCTGTGAGGGTATGAACGCGAGGGTATGTCTGCGAGGGTATGAACCATCTCGAGATGGTGATAAGGTAAACTATAGTTTATTTCAACAACACTTCTTCTTCTCCTTCTCCTTTGATCTGGCAACAGAGACGACATGATCATCCTTGCCTGTCGGTTCATTGCTAGGTGGAGGTATTTTCTCGGCTGTAATTGGTTGGATTGATTGATCGAATGGTGGAATGATTGAATGATGGAATGGAATGATTAGTTGGATGATTGATGGATGGAGGTTGATGAATGGATTGAATGATTGATACATACCCAATATTTGAAATATATTATTTACATTGGTGTTGTCCTTTGCCGACGCTTCAAAGTAAATCATGTCTTCTTCGCGTGCATATTGCTCTGCCACATCCACCGGTATGGCTCGGTCGAGATCACACTTATTGCCAACCAGCACCATAATGGCCTGCTCTGTAGAATGTGATTTGAACTCTCTGGTCCATGATTTAGCCTTGTTAAATGATTCCTGTATTGTTGTTGTCCAAAGAATATGGAATGAGTATATGATGTTCACTGTGGCCAGATGATGATGATAATGCTTACGATGTTGGATATATCAAAAACGACCACAGCTATCTTTGCACCTCTAAAGTACATTGGCGCCAATGAATGGAACTTCTCCTGTCCAGCTGTATCCCAAAGCTCAAACTTGATGACATATTTATCAAAGTTGAAGAACTTGTTCAAGAACATAGCTGATTGTTTGTTTGTTTGATTGATTGTATTAGTGCTCCTGATCATTCTGCTAACCTGTCCCATCCACCATCATCATATGATCCATACCACCAACAGTTGCTGCTTGTTCATTATGGAATGTATCTTTGACTAATCTTACAACTAAACTGGTCTGTTTGTTTGATTGATTGTTTGATGTCAGTCCATCTATTCATCCATCAATCGGGTCGGGTCATCCATGGTTGCCTAGTCAGGTCGCCAAACAGCCAAACATACCTTGCCAGCGAATGAAGGACCGATCATAACACATTTAACCGGTATGATCTGTTGAGGCTTGCTTGCACCAGTGGCATTTGATGTCATTCTCTCTACTTAGATTTATAAGTATATAAGTATAAGATGTATCTGTATCTCTAAGTTATATAAGTTGTGGGGGGTGTTGTGAGAGAAGGAAGAGATATAATTGGTCTGGGGGTGGATGGTTGAAACGCTGTCTTTGTCTTCTTTGCAATCTTGCAATAAAATGGTGGTGCTTTTGATCAAAAAAGGTGTGTGGGGTCCTCTTGTGATCGACTTTGTTTGGTGTAGAATGAAGAATCGGCTGTTGTGTGAGTCTATCTATTTGTTTGATTGACAATGATGTTGAGTACTTTAGTAACAATACCTACAATAAAACCGAGAATATATATCTATTTATTACAAGTAGTAATAAAGTATCAAACAAACCGAATGTGCGTCATTTGATTATGATGATGGTGTGAGTTATTGATTGATTTTTCACCACAAAGAAGATATTTGTAAGTTTGTGTGTCGGCTTTCGTTCATTCACAAAGGTCCAGACCCAAAAGTGTTGTCGCCAATGTCTTGCCCCATCCCATCAGTTCCGACACGCCTGGCCTGGTACCAGGTTGTGACTGGTCCAAAGAGATACTAAAAAGTATACATCTGACCATGTGATTGATTGATTGATTTGATTGACCAACCAAAGATTTATTGAGTGCCATTCATTCATTGGTATGAGAGAATGATTGATCAAACAAAGATTTAAAGACTTGAACCATGATTGAGGACGATAGCCTTCACAGAGCAATACTCCTGGAGGGCGTAGTCACTGAGGTCTCTACCAAATCCACTCTGCTTGTATCCTCCAAATGGAATGATGAAGTTGGTGTAGTTGTAATCATTGATCCAAACAGTCTATGTTGTTGACGAGCGAATGAGTGAGTGAACTTGATCGATCCATTGATTGAATGTTAAAACTTACACCAGCCTTTAACTTCTTCTCAACCTTGTGAGCCTTGGAGATGTCTTGAGTCCAGAGACCAGCGGCCAAACCGTAGATGGTGTTATTGGCACGCTCAATGACCTCCTCAACAGTCTTAAACTTGAATATACAGACGACTGGACCAAAGATCTCCTCCTTTGAGATACACATGTCATCCTTCAGGTTGGTAAAGATGGTTGGCTGAACAAAGTATCCCTTGTTGCCATAACGCTCACCGCCTAGGAGCACGGTGGCACCCTCCTTCTTGCCCTTCTGGATGTAGTCCAACACACGGTCAAAGTGCTCCTTGCTGGCCAGTGGACCCTGGTCGACGGCGCCCATGGGATCGCCCACTTTGAGTGTCTTGGCCTTCTCCACGAAGCGCTTGACAAACTCGTCGTAGATGCCCTCCTGCACAAACATACGGGAGCCGGCGCAACAGCACTGGCCCATGTTGGGGTAGATGGCGTCGATCGAGCCTGGCACAGCGCGCTCGAGATCAGCGTCGTCAAAGATGATGTTGGGGCTCTTGCCACCAAGCTCAAGGGTCACCTTCTTGAGGTTGCTGTGACCACTGGCCTCCATGACGATGCGACCAACACGTGTGGAACCGGTGAAGGAGATCTTGTCGATGCCAGCATGCGAGGAGATGGCAGCGCCAACAGAGTGGCCTTGTCCACTGATCAAGTTGAAGACACCAGGTGGGAAACCAGCCTGGATCATCAGGTCGCACAGAGCCAGCGAGGAGAGGGGAGTGACCTCACTCTGCTTGGCAACGACGGTGCAGCCGGCGGCCAAAGCTGGTCCAAGCTTCCAGCACATGATCATGAAGGGGTAGTTCCATGGTGTGATCAGACCGGCCACGCCAACTGGCTCGTGACGAGTGTATACTGTGAGATGGGTGGCGGCGCCCTGAATCACCTTGCCCTGGATCTTGTCGGCACATCCGGCAAAGTATCTGATGGTCTCGGCAGACTCTACAATGTCCATGTCTCTGGCAACGGCCAATGGCTTGCCCACATCAACAGTCTCCAACAGACCCAACCACTCCTTGTTGGCTTCGATCAAGTCAGCCAACTTGAGCATCAAATGACCTCTCTTTGTTGCAGTCATCTTTGACCATTCTCCATTCTCAAATGCCTCTCTGGCAGCCTTGACAGCCTGTTGGACATTAGATTGATTGATTGATTGAGTTGTCAGTTAGTCAATCAATATATAGAATGAATGAATGAATGTATTGATTGAGTACATACGATATCGACATCCTTTGCCGAACCCTCTGAGACCTCACAGATGACCTCCTCAGTAGCAGGGTTGTAGGTCTTGAAAGTCTTTGGCTCGACTGGGTCGACCCACTTGTTGTTAATGAACAACTTGGTGTTTGGGAGTTTCAATGCAGACATTATATATCTTATTATTTGTTTGTTTGTTTGTTTGTGAGATAGATAGATATGATAAAGACTTGATATGAATGATTGAATGAATGAGTGATTTAATGAGTGAGTGAGTGAAGATGATAGGTTGAATTTGGATTCAATTTGGAAGTAATGGGGGTGAGATGTTTAGCCGGTCCTCTTGTTGTCCAACCAGAGTTGGATTTGTCTTCAAAAGAGTGGACACATGTCACTGTCAGTCTCCACAAACCAAATACTATACACGTTTAATGTTTATACCTTAGAATAGTATATCCTGAAGAAGGTCAATAACAATTAAATATACTTCATTCGAATGATTGTTAAGTAATATTCAACCTTTCATCGATACTTAGAATACCTATTAGATTGATTAATCAATCATATGAATGACATGACATGTAAGGTAGGTCATTGTCTTTATCTCTACTCCTATCTCAACCTTAGTAAATTGATTTGTTATGATTATGGTGCGTGCCAACTTCCTTCACAATTTTTTCAAGTGATGATGTTCACACTTGCGCGTAATTGAAGGTGGTGATCATCAATCAAAGTTATTTAACATTAATCCATACAAATAAAACAATACACATAATAATAATATACATATATAATATAAAACATAGAAAATGGTATGATTGACGTATAATGTAGCACAGGGCAGAGATCAACAAGCGATATATGATGCTGTAGCAGTAATGAATGTCATCAAGATATATTAACACTCACTCCTACTCCTCCTTCACATATATATATATCAACTGCGATGTCTACAAATACTATTACTCTGACGACGATGATGATGATGATAACAGTCATACAGTGTAGCACAACCAAACTTGTCACTCCCAGATCAGTTGACAAACGAGAACCTGTCACATAGATTCGCTCATCCAGTCGAGAGCATTCAATTGAATGTATGATCGTAGTTGACACTCAATCAATCATGTGATTGATCCCTTTGCTCACTCTCCCTCTCTCCCTCACTCCCTCACTCCCTCTCACTCCCTCTCACTCATTCACTCTGACAGGCCCATAAAGTTGAACAAAGACTAAAGAACTACGCTCTGACCAATGTATTTGGACAACACATGCCAGTTAACTGCGAGATCGAGAGACAGATATACTCACAGTTCCACAGATTGCCAACTCTGCCAAGTTCAATGGTGGCTTTGGAGACAGTGCTCGGACTGGACGAAGACTTTGAATTCGAGGACTACTTGAACGATCCAATAATGTCAGAGAAGCAGCTTCCAAACCTTCACGAGGCAATGGAGATCAAGCTTGGTCTCCAGCACCCAAAGAACCTCAAGCTCTAAGTCATAGATTCTTGCCTGGATGGATTGTCAGTCTGATCTAACGGTCGATTGATTGATTGGATGATTGGATGCGCTATACTCCTCCCCTTACATCTTCAAACTTGCCTCCAATAAAGCTTGTTTGGAGATGTTTACTTGTCTTCAATGTAATGTAAAACTTCCCATTATCACCATCACATGGATTGATTGAGTGAGTGAGTGATCACACCTGGACATGTCGACGTATACCAATCATACCAATCAAGAACAAATAGGTCAATCATTGGCTCCAATGAAGAGACATTAATACCTTACACCTATGATATGACTTATGACCTAGTTATCACTTAAGAATATGGTTGTACCAGAGGCTGTCTGTGGGGCAGTATGTAAGATGGTAGCCCACAACACATCCACCCATCCCCGCTCCACTAGTAGGTCACGATCTAAGGTGGACCATCATTATTAGGACCAAGTTGATATTTTAGACCGACAAGATATTATTTGAAGCCATCTGATTCTAACAAAAACCCATCCATCTTATAAAATATCTAGTTCTTTTGAAACCCACCTCCCCATTTGGGTCCCGAGACTCGACGAATGTTGAGGGCCTTCATTCATTCAAGTCGACATTTAGTAGATATTCATCTCAATTGACATCATCTTTATATATTATTATTATCTACTTATATAAGAATGAAACAAATAATATTTATTACTTTATTTATTGTTATTCTAACATATGTTGCCTCGGCAACAGTGACTGGAGGCTCAAACTATGTTTCTTACAAGGTTGACTCAAATTGTTACCGTGAGGGATATGGTGTTGTGAACAAGTATCACTTGGCCACATCAACTATTCAATCACAACTCCGTGCAATGTATAATGCTGGCCAGCGTCGTCTTCGTATCCCCATCTTCCATCACCATGGCGCCGACACTGGTACCGTCATGGACTCGTCCTCAGGCAACCTCTCCACTCAAAACCGTCAGAACCTCGCCAATCTCCTCGCGGCCATCAAGGTTGCCGGCTTCCAAGAGGTTGAGATCGGATTCTTCCCCATGGATGACAACAGTCCCATGAGCTGGGATGCCTGGAACGAGGACAGATACCAAGAGAACTGGAACTTCATCTGGAACCTCCGTCCATTGATCGCCGCCGCCAACATCCCCTACCGCATAGACCTGTCCAACGAGGCCATGCCCATGTCCACCGACTCGCAGCCCCTCAAGGACTACTGCAAGAAGCTCTGGAGCGACTACACCTGGAACTTTGGCAAGAATGACACTGTCGGCTTCTCAATGACCGTGTGGATCGCCGACCGTGTCTCCCAAGTGCCCGTGGTCTACAGTGGCAACCCACCAAACACATTCGAGTTCCATCTCTACCGTGACAGCTGGAATGGAAATGAGTACAAATGGTTGGTGGATGGCTTCAACAAGATGAAGTCAATGGGACTCAATCAGCCAATCATCATTGGAGAGACCTTCTACAATGATGCCACTGCCGCTGGAAACATTCGTCGTGCCATCACCGACACTGGAGTCAACATCACACATGTCACTCAATGGGCATTGACCTCATCCAAGAAGTGTGGCGACATTGATGTTGCTCCACCATCAGCCTACAACAACTTTATCGCCAAAGGTTTCTAATTAATCAATTATTATATATATATTTATTTATTTATTTATTATTTTCAATAAACATTAGTATTATTATTACAAAGAATAAGATCAGAAAAAAAATGATCTGATCGATCAAGATCACTCACACACTTCGTGATCAAAATAATAAAAAAAATGATTTGAAACGATATTCTGGCAAAAGCAACAACATCAAAAATACAACGGGTTTTTTGACCAAGCCATGTCACAACAAAAGCCATATCAATCAATCAAACAGATAGATCAAACAGATAATCAAACAAACATATACAGATAATAATAATAATATAATGATCAGTTTTTTAAAGAAACAAACAAATAGTATTAAGAAAGGAGGTGTAAAGCCTGGATCAAAGAAGAAGCAACCACAGGGAACAGCTAGATATACACTTAGAAAGAGTTGGAAGAGCGCTCTGATGGGTGGCACAATGATCAAAGACAGTGTCAAGTGTCCACCAGGAGAGGACGAGAATGATTGGATCGCCATCCACACCATCGAAATATACAACACAATGAATCATTGCTATTCCCTAGTTCAGGACTTCTGCACAGAGGAGGCATGTCCCAAGATGACTGGTCCAAAGTATGTTTGATCGTTTGATCAATCGATTGATCGTTTGATTGACCACACTCACACATCATGATGACTAACACGTGATCGATCACTAATAACAGAGCGACATTCTTATGGAAGAGTGATGAGAAGGACAAGCCACATGACCTCCCAGCCAAAAAGGTAAGTGGAGCGAGGTCGATCAATCACATGACATTTGACAACTTACTCACTCACTTAATCAATCAATCAATCAATCAATCACGATCAATCAAACATTATAGTACATTGATAACTTGACCAATTGGGTGGCGGACCAGATTGACAATCCAGATATCTTCCCACAGGATGATACATCACCATATAGCAAGAGCTTTAGACCAACGATAAAGAAGATATTGAGTAGGATACTAAGAGTATACTCACATATCTATCATCAACATTGGAGTCATGTCAAGTCTGTCGATGCAGACAAGCATATCAACACATCTTTAAAGGTATTTAGATAGACGATGGATAGGATGGGATGGACACATTTGGACACTCACTCATTAACTATTTGACACCAATCTCTCTTTAGCACTTCCATTGCTTCGTTGTCGAGTTTAAGCTGGTGGATGATATGGATCTTAGCCTGATGAAGGAGGTGTTTGAGCAACTCTAAGAACAATCAAGCGGAAGAACATTACAATAACATAACATTACAATTATTCAATCAATCAATCATTCAATCATTCAATCAATCAAAAGCGTCAACATGTAAATAGTATCACATTAGCTTGGACAAAGAGAGAGACTACTCTCTCTTGAACTCTTGTAACACTCACATTACCAACATAATACTTTGCTGGATCGACTTGAATCGAGCCTGGAACAAACATACCCAAGCCAAGTCACCCAACCAACCATTTACACAACTATAATAAAGGTTCATTCAAATCCAATCCTCTATCCAGAAAATGTCGTTTAACGACTATGGCGCCGCCAGATCTGCAACAGCAACATTACAAACAACAACTGGTCATAGTCATTCAGTCGAGCTCCACCTCCAACCAATCCGATCACATCTCACCCACGCCATTCCATCCTCTGCAGAATCATCGTCAAAGTGTGTGCTCGTGAGTCGCCGCTCACATCAATCAACAGCCACAAACACCAAATTCAAATTCAAACATTGTGCGCACTCTTGAATCAAACGGTCACAAAAGTACCTCCTCATTAGTTATAATTTGAATGTTCATGTGGACATCAATTCAATCAAACTGACAAACTATATGAGTGACTCCAACTTCATTGTTGTTATAGTGTAAGGGAAGAATAAGGTTGTTGTAGTTGTTGTAGTTGTGTGTGAGAGTGTTGGTGTATAATATATATAATAATAGTAATAATAGTATAATAGAATAGATGTCACAAAGTATTAGTAGTAGTAACAACGAAGAAGTTGCAATAATAGATACAAAGATGACTAGATCGACAAAGGAGTTGTCTAATCCATTCATTGGACCACGATCAGACAGTTTCCTCAACTTTCCAGAGTTTCCCACATGGACCATTGCCGCCACACATCACCGCATAAAGAAGAGAAGTGCAGCTGCGAAGCCAAACAGTCGAAGGACTTCCACCAACTCCTCAATCAACACAACATCCATCCCAGCAGCACCAGTCACCCCATCATCATCCTCCTCAACATCACATCACGAACCAAACCGAAAGAATATATTCAACTTTACAAGATTGGAACAACAACAACAACAAGCGACCCAGCAACAGAGTATATTCAACTTTACCCCTTCTACCGCCGCCGCCACTGCCACACCATGCTGGAGCACCAACCAGCAACAACAGCAATGCAAACCCCCAGCCAATAGCATGTTTGAATGGTCCATTGACACGCTCGCCACTGTACTCCCTGTAAATATAACGATCGATGACGATGCCGAGGACTTTGACGACGACTCCTTCTATCTGGACACCAGCCACGATGACTCTACAAACCTATTCCTCCAACGCTGGAAGCAAGACGACGAGTTCAAGTCCAACCAGTTCTTTGAGAAGGCTTCAATCTTTGAGGGATCAGTCGTAAGTATCCATGTCGCGGACGGACTGGCAACACCCCAATGAAGTTAAACTAACATATATGATTGATGGATGACACATAGTGCCAGAAAAGGAAGCATGATAGTTCGGTCAATGGAAGTTCAAGTATGTCCTTTGATGGATTCTCCTCGTATGACTCTGACTATGACTCGGGCATCTCCACTATATTGGAAGAGGACTCACCGGACAACTGCTCATCACTCACCAGTCTAATGTCTGCCAACACATTGAATGGCAGCAATAACACCACCAACAATAGTAGTAGATGTCGCATGTCAATATCTTCATCATTATCATCATCATCTAGACCACAACCATATATCAACAACAACTACAACAATATGACCAACAACACCACCTTTGATCTTGAGGATCACCTCTTCCTCACACCGATTGTACCAAACAAGCGCATCACACATTATGGCTCTACCTCTACTTCATCATCTGCATCGTCCAGCGTCACGAGTTCACCTTGTTTGACACCGGCATCATGCACCGAGACACCCATTACCAAGGCCTTCAAGTATAGACCACCCGTGCCAGTGTTCCCTTACAACTTGCCAGAGATATCTCCAATCAAATGCAAGCAAGCGCCAGAGTCCCGATGCATGGAGTCGCCACCCACCTCTCCAATGAAGTGCTGGAACTCGCCCAATATATAGAATAGCGTATCTGTATAATACATATCTATTTCATTAGAGATATATAAACAAACAGATAAATCAAAGTATATACATATAGCCTCAGGCCATCAATGGCTGGTCTTCGTCGTCTTCTCCTTGTTCAAACTCCACTTGCTCATCCTTGATGGAGGCCGTGGGCAGGCCCCAACAAGCCACCGAGCATATGATTGTGAACAGTCCACCATAGGCAATGGCGTAGGCAGAGTCTTGATGGAATGCTCCTTCCACTTGTCCAGACGTCATGATTGATATGGTCTGTGACACCACCGCAGCAGAGTTCAGTACTCCCATATACAGTCCGGCTTCACGCTTTGGACAATGACTAGACATTAATGAATAAGGTATCGAGTTGAAGGTAGTGAAGCTCGGTCCGACCAATGACGTGAGTAAGATTGCAAGCCAAACTAGAAGTGAGAGTGGTGTTAGCGACGGGACTAAATCAATCAAAGGGGATGTACATACCAGCTGGTTTGTCAAAGACAAGGAAGAGGATAAAGGCAACACCTGCTAGTTGATGAGTGAACATGTAGACGAATCGCTCGCCAGTGTACTTGACAATGAGTGGAACGAGGAAGGAGAATATCAGACTGGAAGCGGAGAGACAGGCATTCGCATAGAATCCAAGTTGGACACCCTGTTGGTAGTTGTTTGGCGATACGTTCTCACCAAAGTAGTTGGTCATTGACACCATGAATGGTGAGTAACCAAACCATGAAAGGAAGAACACCGAACATATCCAAATCATCTGTCCATTCATCGATCTGAATCCACCGACAATCTTCTTGAACACAACGAATGGGGAACTTATCCTATCCACATCCAAAGCCTGTTCCTCCTTCGCCGCTATCAAAGTTGGTATCACCATCACACCAGTGAACACAGTACCAATGGCTAGATCATCATCAATGTTAGTGCCTTATAATGGACATGGGAGAGAATGATACATACTAAACAAGTCGCGGTATGAGTGCTCTTCGGTTGAGTAGCGTGCACCAATGAGACTGGCAGCCACACTTGCCAGACCCATGGTGATCACAGCAAAGGCATTTCCAAGTGTTTGTTTATCCTCTGGTATGATATCAGATATGAGTGAACGACATGGACCTTGCATTGTGTTGACAGCCAGATTCATAATCCAGAATCCTGTGATGGCAATTGCAATTCCAGCTTTATAATCTGATGGTGCCACTCCATTCTCATTGTCTCCCAACAATTGTCCAAGTACTGGGGAGTAGGCAATAAGCATTTGTCCAATCACTATTGATTAGTTAGGTTTGAGTAAGTAAATGATCATTTTCATTGGAAATGGTCTTGGTAGTTATCCATACTGCAACATAAAGCACCAATAATAATATATGGTCTTCTTCTTCCTAAACGGAATGTTGAGTTATCACTGTAGACACCAATGATTGGCTGGACAAGGAATCCACTGATTGGACCGCATGTTGATTGAATCAATGTAATGGTTGATGGTGTAAGTTTGAACTTTTGTTTAAACAATGGAGTACCCAAAGCAAACTGGATGGAATCTAGTATCTTCCAATGTTAGTAATCCATCAATCTATCAGTCGTCTATCATTAGAACATACAGACGAATTGAACGGAGGCCAATGCTGAACAGACCATTAGTACCCATAACATGTAACATGGTGTTGTTCTCTCAGGGTTTGAGTCCTTCTTCTTCTTATAGCCATCCTCGAGTGAATCATCAGAGTGTATAAGCATCAAGTCATTGACACTACGTTGATTGGAAAGATGTTGATATTCATCAACTAGTATGATGTCTCTTTCTGGACCGTCTTGTATCATCATCCTCAAATCTAAAACTATGTTATAAGTATTTTATCCAATACTTGCTACCTACTAAGTATACAAATGAATGAATGATAGAAGTACACTCCATTCCATCATTCAATGCTAAGCAATACTCTTGGCTCTTACTCATTCATTCATTCACACACACATAACACTCCTTCAGTCTATCTGACTATTGATGTGTGTGTATGAATGATTGATTGATTGATTGGAAGGAATAGATGTGGTTGTGGGTGGTGGGGGTGTGAATGATTGATTGACTGGAAGGCCTGATCAGGCCTAGGGGTGCGCCTGTCGTCCAATCATAATGTGGGTGATTCTACTATTATTATTTATTAATAGGATACATAGACACAATAGGGTGTAATTGATTGGCAGCAACAACAACAACAATTCACTTCCTTTGCTTGAAGTAGCTGTCGATGATGTTGCAAGCCTTGTCAATGTCCTTGGTCTCAACGGTCAATGGTGGACAGAGACGAAGGGTGTTGTCTCCAGCAGAGATGAACAGAGTGTGGTGAGGCGCACCAAGTGCATAGCTGATGAGCTCCTTGACTGGATGATCCAACTCCACTCCAACAAAGAGACCACCAACGGTACGGATCTCCTTGATGTAGGGCTTGCCAGAGCCCGCCTGAATCTGTTGAAGACGCTTGAGGAGGTGCTGGCCCTTCTGACGGACCTCGCCGAGGAACTGGTCGTTGGCAATGCGCTCAAAGACGTGGGATCCGACAGCGGTCACGAGTGGACTGCCTCCAAATGTGGTGCCGTGGTCACCTGGTTGGATGACGCCGGCCACCTTGTCGGTGACGAGAATGGCACCGATGGCCAGACCGCCAGCCAGTGGCTTGGCCAACGTCATGATGTCGGGACGCACGCCGAGACGCTCGTGAGCCCAGAGCTCACCGGTCCTACCAATACCACATTGAACCTCGTCGGCAATGAGCAAGGCGTTGTTGGCGCGGCACAGACGCTCCAGCTCCTTCATGAACTCGGGAGTGGCGGCCTCGAGACCACCCTCGCCCTGAACTGGCTCGACGATCACACCACAGGTGTTTGGTCCGATGGCGTTGCGGATCGACTCGATGTCGTTGTAGGTGGCGAACTTGACGCCTGGCACGAGTGGTCCGTAGATCTCACGGTACTTGCTCTTGTGAGTGCAAGAGAGCGCACCCATCGAACGACCTGAGAAGCCGTGAGTGAAGGCGACGATCTCGTACTTGTCTGGAGAGGTGGCCATACCGTGCTTCCTGGCAAACTTGAGTGCGCCCTCGTTGGCCTCTGTGCCCGTGTTGGCAAAGAACACCTTGTCAAAGTTGGAGTTGCCGACCAGCAGCTGTGCAAGACGGATGGCGGGTGCGTTGAAGTAGAGGTTGGAGGTGTGCGACAGAAGACCAGCCTGCTTGGTTACGGCAGCCAGCCACTGCGCGTCGGTGTGGCCCAGCGCATTGACGGCGATGCCCGAGCCAAAGTCGAGGTACTCGGTGCCGCGCATGTCCCAAACGGCGGCGTTCTTGCCGTGCGACAGGACGATGCCGGGTGTGCGACCGTACGTGTTCATCACGACGCGGTCATGCAGGGCAATCAGCTTGTCAGTGTCGTTGCCTGGCTGAATGCTCAGGATGTCCTGCTTCTTTGTCGCGTATGACACGCGGCTGCCAAGTGCTACTGCTGCTGTTGCTGGGCATCGCACAACTGTCGACGAGACGACCTTCAAAGTTGATTTCAACATCATTCCTGTTGTTGTTTCCTTGCTGCTGCTACCTTTCGCGAATGACTTATATTATCACTCTTTCTCTTTCTTCTTTCTTTACTATGATCACTCTATGTATCTCTATCTCACTCCTCCTGTGTTGTGCAACAAACAAACAACTGATGTTTGGATTCCAAATTCATACATTCACTCACTCAACTCATTATGCGTGCATTGGAAGGGAGATAAACGACCAGGGAATGGTTGTGGGGTGTGAAGTTGATCACACACATTATTAACGATGGTTGATGGTCAGGACAGCACACTGTTTATATCTCTAGACGAAGATATAAATAATGATCAGTTTCTGCTTTGACTCTTTCATCATTCACCATCACTATCAACCAACAATCTTGTATCATTATTAATAATTTCTATTTTATTAATATAACTAACTATTAATACCTAACACATTTCTAGAACCTTTACAAAAGATTAAAGATTGGAATGGTCTCCAGAAGATTTTGGGAACATTCTCTGCCCATGGTGCATCATAATGATGTTATGGACTCAACCTTAGAGTCTAATGCTGTCTTTGCATCCTTTAAGGTATTAGATGATGTCATTTACGGGTTCCAATCAAAGTCACACAACTCTAGCCACAATTAGAACTCACTGACATGTTTCATTAATCAAGGGATTACAATCAAGATTCAAATGAATTATGAATTATGAATATCCCTATGTTCTGCATTACATCATCATAATACATGATCACGTATGTTGAGGTCAAACCACCGCGTCCAGTCTAGACTACATCAACAACAACAATGACAAAAACATCAGTCATGGTGGGAGCCAAGACCTCATGTCCTCGAAACGGTTCGGCTTCAATGTTTTTGATCAGAGTGGACCTCTTGTGTGACAGTCTCATGCCCCATGCTTGCGGCCCCGACAAACACAGGTCTAGGGAGATTGTTGGGGCTAAACAATCGTTTTTGATCCATCAATCACGCGGTGGGGTGTGATTCAGCGAGCCCCATACGTGTAGTGACCTCCCAGAGGTACTACCAAGTATCTATCTTGAAAGTCGTCATTGCTATGCTATCTATCACAAACTAGTATTATCGTTTCAAATAGACTCAGACTACCAATCAACAACATACTATCCAGTCAGGGAGTAAGTCAATCAGGTCAGGTCAACTCAGTCAACGACCCATCCCATCCACAAGATTCACTCCTCTGAGCTTTGAGCTCAGTGCGAACCGACCCTTGAAGGGAATCCCCTCAGTACTGTCCACCTTAACGTGGCCAATCATAGTTGTTGGCTGCAGCTCAAGGCCACCTAGAACAGATACTATACATTACAAGGACAATGTTGAGACTGAATCATCTGCTGCTGCAGAGGATTATCTCGTACTTGGATGACAATATTGACAGAATAAGCTTGGTGTTGGCTTGCCAACATTGGTTCAAGGATATTGAAAGATTCCTCTTGTTCAACGTGGACAACATGTATCAATCAATAGAGTACTACAAGAGCATCAACACCAGTACCAGCACATTCAACATGCAGCACAGCACCATCAGCCTCAACACCTTTCGCTCGCGAATATCCACCTCTCTGTCGCTCCTAAACAATCGACGAGATACACACGATAGTATGTGTATCACGATGGCCAACCAAGCCAGCCACTCACTAACCATCTCAATCTAGAGGTCAACACTTTAGAGGATCTTGAAAGGATACCTAGTCAATTACAACATCTTCACTTTGGCAATATATTCAATGCCAAGTTGCCTGTTGGAAGTATTCCGGCATCGGTCAATCATATCCATTTTGGCAGTTTGTTCAATCAAACATTACAATGTGGTGCACTACCTGCTCGTCTCACTCACTTGTCGTTCGGAAATACGTTCAATCAGGTATTGGAACCTGGCAGCCTGCCCGCCACCCTCACCTCGCTTCGTTTTGGCGACTCATACAATCAACCGATCGCCAAACATTCACTTCCAGACTCCATAACCATTCTTCATTTGGGCTTCCAGTTCAATCAGAGTATAGCCCCGCGCACACTTCCACTTGGACTGACTCACTTGCAGTTTGGCTTCCATTTCAATCGATCGTTGGACGGCTTGGACGTGCTGCCACCATGGTTGACTCATCTCATATTTGGCGAGTGCTTTGACCAAGACATTTTACCGGGAGTCCTATCTAGCTCCCTTGTTCACCTTCGATTCGGAGAACACTTTAACCAACCGATTGCTGTCGGTTCACTTCCTTCATCGCTTACATACCTCCGCTTTTCCTATGACTTTAATCATGCATTCCTCCCTGAAGCCTTGCCTCAAGGACTACGGCGTCTTGAGCTCGGATCGCAGTTCAATTATCCGCTGCAGCCAAACATACTCCCATCTTCACTCACTCACTTGTCCTTTGGCTGGGAGTTCAGACAGCCCCTAGGTCCTGGAGTCCTGCCCGAGTCACTGACCCATCTTTCACTTGGACATCAGCTCAATCACACCCAGCTTCATCTGCCTCAATCAATCACCTACCTTTATTTTGGAGAGGAGTTCAACTGCGACATCCGCCCAGGCATGTTGCCTGGCTCACTCATCCATCTCAGGTTTGGAAATGGTTTCAATCGACCAGTGGTCCCTGGAATGCTTCCACCATCTCTCTCGCACGTTGACTTTGGAGCGCGATACTCGAAAGGGCTGAGTCCAGGAACACTCCCGAGCTCTGTCGTCCAGCTCACAGTTGGCCACCCATTCTTTGTTAGCAACACCTTTGACTCGTTGCCATGTCACGTCAAGAACATCAAGATCATACTCAATCAGGACTCACTTCGCATTCGTCTACTCGATGAACATAAGGCCCTGGCCCTGACCGAGCGCCTGGAGGGTGGTTTCCTGTCCAGGCAGGCGTTGCAGCGTCTGTCAGCCGGTGGTGGTTCATCACTATACAAGTTCTTGGAGGATCGTGGCAATCTCGAGGAGCAACTCGACGAAGATTTTGACGGAGACAACACCATGGAGTCTGGTGATGAGGAGCGCATGGAATATCGGCGACGAATCAAAAGATTGAAGCGAGAACAGCGACAAAGTGGTACCAAGTTGTCGACCATCACTGATGACGAAGAAGAGGACCCCACCTATGACTATGAAGATGAGACACACTCACACTCATTCGATGACGATGAAGAGTACTCTGATCTAGCCTAGCTGCCAGGCAGCCGGACTATCAATAAAGGGTGTGACAATCACACACCCATTCTTTATTCCACCATGATCAATCAATCAGGATGAGGCGTTGGATGGCGCACTGCCACCTGCACCACCACCAATGTTTGATATGATGTTCTTGAGCTCGTCAAAGACGATGATCTTCTCCAGGATCTTGCCCTTCTCCTTGCCTCGCTTGATCTCCTCGTCCTCGATCTTCTTCCAGTCCTCAAACGTGATCAGGTTGATGTCCTTGGACTTGAGCAGGTCCACGACGCCCTGATAGCCCGAGACGGCATTGGTGTAGGCGTCGCGATCAAAGTCCTCCTTGATTGTGTGTGCGGTCTCCTCGGCGTTGACCGACACGTTGACGATGGCGCCCGATGGGCCCGACTTGATCCAGCCACTCACATACAGGCCCGGGATGACCACATCGCTGTCAGTGTCCTGAAGAACTCGGCCCATGACATTGGGTATCTTGACGCGTTTAAAGTCAAAGGGCACCTCGCTAAACTTGGTTCCAGTGTATCCAATACTCCTAAATACTATTCCAGCCTTGATCGATTCGCGCTCCTCTGTCGGCACGGCTACAATTGAGCCCTTGGCATCCTCGACCAGATTGTTCTTGACCAATGTGACACCCTCCAACTGCTCGCGGCCAACCATCTCGACAGGTGATCGCTTGAAATGGAATATAATATTCTTCTTGCCCTCCTCCTCCTTGAACTCTGAGTATGGCTTCAGATGTGTCTTGAACAAGTCTACAATCTTCTTTTGAGCTCTTTCCAGCTTGATGGCTATATGGGGAGAGGGGAGGTAAGTGTGTGATCGGGGGCCAGGGATCATTCCAGCGAGTACAAGTTGATCGTTACCTTCTTCCTCTGGCATGTTTAGACATTCTGGATCATTGATGTATGTGTTGACATTGGGCAACTTGAGGATCTCGCGAACCTCTTTGGTTGTGAAGGATACTTGGGCAGGGCCACGGCGGCCTACGATGTGGACGTTGCGTACCTTGCTGTTGGAGAGCAAGTCGGTAGCAGTTGATGTAATGTCGGTGGAAGCAATGTCGGAAACTGGTTTGACCAGCATACGTGCGACGTCCAGCGCCACATTGCCCTGGCCAACAATGACAACATCCTCGCTGTCAAGTGAAAACTGTTTCTTTTGGAACTCTGGATGGCCGTTCAGCCAGCTGACAAAGTCGCGTGCGGCATACACTCGTTGCAGAGTAGCCTCGCCTGGTATGCCCAGTTTCTTCTCGCCCTCAATGCCACACGCCAGCACCACAGCATGGAATCGACGTTGAATATCCGCGAATGTGATGTCCTGTTCAATGTTGACGTTGCCCACGAATCTACAAGTCGATGAATGTTCCAACAAAGTCTTCTCCAATGTATTCTTAACCTTCTTCTCATTCTGATGATCCGGTGAGATACCATAACGAATAAGTCCGAATGGGTAAGGTAGCCTAGGGTTGCGGTCGGGTCAGCTAACAGCGCCACATGGGGTGGTGGACCTGTGATGTACACTTACTTCTCGATGATGGTGACATTGCTGTCGGGGAGTAGCTTGTATATGCGATTGGCTGTGTAGAGTCCGGCAGGACCACTTCCAATGATACATAGATGGAAGGGGTTGTGTGGGCTGGATGTTGTAGTGGCACCTGTAGCTGTACCTGTAGCCGTTGTAACATTGGCATTGCAGTATGATCTATATTGTGTATTGGTGACAGTTGATGATATGCCAAGTCTACTGACACAGTTGACTAGATTGCTGATGCCACTGCCACCACTACCAATGTTGGTATTGATGCAGCGACATTGTGTCAATGACCTGCTGATAGATGATGACAACATATTCTGTATTTGATTGTTTGTTCGATTGATACCAATCAATTGATTATGAGATAGTGTTTGTTATGACTTTTAACAATCGACCGAAACATTGAGTGTTCTGAAACCGAGTCCCAGAGGGGGGCTACTCATCAGAGATAAAATGTTGTCGGGGGTTCCAATCAAACAGAGATACATCATTGTTAGGTGTACTATTTGAATTACAATGTCCAGTATCCGATCGTATCATTAATCATCATAATCAAGGAATCGATCAATCAATTAAAAGAAATTATATTCTGAAGTTGTTCATTTACTCTTAGTTATAGAGTTAGAGAATAAACAAATCATTCAATTTATAGATAAATAAGTTATATACCCTCAATAAGTAGTATATAATTCATAAATCGGTTCAATAAACAATGAACAACTTTGAGACAAGTGGACTCCACTTCCGAATAGAATCAACAAACCTCATGATGAATGAAGGAATGAAGTGAAAGTGTGGGAGTGTTCCCCACACTCATAGAGCCAAGGGTTGTCCTGAATGATTAGTTTGTCCTTTCATTCATTCGCTTTCTATCTATTTATCTATCTATATCATCGATCTATTCATCATCACAGACAGACTGACAGACATACTCAACAACAATAATAACATCATTATCATATGTAGTGTGTTATACATTCATACATACATCATTCATATATTGTACATAATCAATCATTCAATCAATAATTTAAAATAGTAAACATGGACAGTGTAAATCTACATCACCATCAACAACAACAACTTCATCATCAACAACAACAACAGTTATATCATTACAACCTTTATCAACAACAACAACAACAACAACAACAACATATTCAACTTCAACAACAACAACAATTGAATGCATATTATAATAATAACAATACAGGTCCTGTTGTTGTTGGTGTAGGTCCTACCACTGGATACCTTTCACCTTCGAACCTGACATACGCAGGCATAACACCACCGAAATACAACAACAACAATAGTACCAGCAACGGCAACAGCAATAACAATGGAAACAGACGTATGTGACAAATACAACTAACTACACACAACATAAACATACTGCCTCAGCCAGTCAGTCAGGACAGTCAGGTCAGTCGGGTCAGTCAGTCGACAGTAGAAGAGACCGAGACTTAGACTAAGACTGTGGAGGAGCAGTGTGTGAGTGTGTGTGGGAAAACGACAAGTCGACTGATCAGTGGTCCACTAACACACCCAACCCTTCCTTTTTTGAATAACACTGCAAACATCACTTGGTTACCACTCACTCACACCCAATCAATCAAACAATCAAACAAACACTGGCTGATCATAATCACAACACAACACCCACGCACTCAATCTTGATCATGATCATTCAATTTCCCAACAATAACTGGATCCTCATCATCATCATCTTTATACATTTCTATCATTCAATCAATCAATCAAATCATTCAATCAATCAATCATTCAATCATACTTACACACATATTATATAATGTATTATTATGATCAAACAGTGAAACCAAGAGCAAATACGCATACAAGTGCAAGCAGCTCATATAGTTATCCTTACCAGAACTACTCGACGGCAGCTGACACTTCAGCGATGGTCGCTGGCGACATGCTTGGCTCCTCACCTCAGCCCCTGCCTATTGTCAACAGCGGCAATAGCAATGGCAGCTCGATGCACAACCAACCTCGCGTGCCTCGTAAGCGATCAACCAGCGAGAGTGGCTCCACCCCCAACTCTTCATCACCGGCATCCTTCAACAAAAGATATGGCGGCGGTGGCGGCGGTGCACCGCCAATGTATCACAAACCACATGGCGGCGCAGATTACAATGTGATGGGACTTCCACCTCATCACCATCCTCACCAACAACAACAACAACAACACATGCCCTACCAATACCAGTACAGCCACAACAACAATGGTCATGCCGACGAGACTGAGCCGGCCTTCTTCACGGAGCTGGAGAAGGAGCTGCCCAAGCTGATGGAGAAGTATCTGGGCGAGAACGACTCGGTCTTTAGCGAAAACCGCAATCAGCGATCAGCCATCTATCCCATACTCAAGGAGTACCTAAAGGACTTTAACTATCACACCGAAGAACGAAGGCGGCATCCAGACTCTACACAAAAGACTCGATGGCAGGAGATTGCCGAGAAACTGTTTTCCATCACATTGGTATGTTATCTAGTCACTTGACACCGTGGATGGATCGATGTGTCCATTGATTGATTGATTGACTAACAACCCAATTGTAGTGGAGTTGGAATGAATATAGAGACAATGTGTTCGATCCTTCAAAGCCACAGCATATTGAGGAGTTGACTAAACTCCGCGAAAAGTCAAGACAGCGCGAAGAGAAGGAACTGGAAGATATCATTACAAACTATTTGTCCATCAGGTAGCAGCAGGTAGTAGTAGTTAGTAGTTCCCACACTCGCGGGATTGATGATGATGCTTCTCAATGCAGTGACTGGTGCCGACAAAGCAACAGTGCACTGTTGTACACATTCAATAACAACAACTTTATATTTATCAATCAGTCAATCATGGCCAGCCCACCTCTTGGATGACACATTGCCCTTCTTGTGGAGTTCAAAGAAGTAGAATTGGTAGACTGCGTGGCGCGGCGAGACATGTCAGAACATATTTCCTCGGGCGTCCAGTTGCAATAATCCTCTGTCGACCAACATGTTTGGTGGATAATAGATAAAGCCTTCTAATGAGTCTGGGAAGAGACTGATGAAGGAATCTGAGAAACTGAGATGTTCAGGTCCTTCTTCGACTTGGCTCCAGCAATCTTCGAGAATTTCCAGATAGTATGCCTTCCTTTCGATTGCATACTCCTTTGGGTAGGCATGTGGATGCTTCTCTGACCATTGCTTGAGCAACTTCAGCTCTCTAGGGCCACCGGTGACACTATGCACATTGAGTTCCATCCGATCACAACACTTCAGTGCATCAGGGTCTTGATTGATCAAAGTTGGGTGGGCATACATAATGAAGGGATGTGCTTTGAATGGCTTGATGTTGGTATACATGCTCCCACTTATATGAAAGTTGATCTCCATTGCATCCTGATATTAGCAGATTGATTCGTTGTCCTGGCACTCGTTTGAGTGGCGTTGATCAAGTAGAATTAGCCTGTGTGAAAGTTGTCTATGATGGTGTTAGTTCCAACAATCACTGGATATGTAATTAAGTTCATTGAACTTTACCTGGTGTCTATGTCGAATGTTTGATTGCGTTGTTGTTGGCTCAAGTTTCAATGAGTTGCATTCCAGATTGCGTTGAATAGAAGGATGTTGTTTCAACCAAAGAATCTTTGGTTGAAAACCCATCTTGAAAGCCAACTTCCCTAAGTTAAAGGTAATCGCGGTATAAAGTTGGAATGAATATGGCTGACATTGTCATTAGCACAAAGACAACATGATAATAAACAAAGTGACTTACAGTGTCCGTCAACGTATACTCACCTGATGGAAATGGGAAATGCTCCACTGCATGGTACTCCTCACCCATCTTTAGTGAGCCTCTACTAATTCCAAATGACATTGCGACGGTGGACCAGTCAACACCACTGCGAAAGACCTTGGCTGGTAGAGTATCTGTATCTTTGTAGAATACCCTGACAAAGCCGGCATCTTCATCAAGGACTATTCCACTTGATGGTCAGAATGTTAGTAATGAACGATGATCTCACAATGGCAACACCTATGCCTCAGGGTGCACGAGGGCATATAACATTCTTCTGGTCCGTGGGGTGATCGTCGGGAAGTCTGTAGCAATATCATCTAGGGTACTAGTGGTCCGTAAATATGGACCATCGATGAGGCCATTCATGATTGCAATCCTGTCTGGGTGACCATTGGGCAGACGGAGGTGATCAGCTATAGCTTGGGAGGTGGTGTCATTGTTTATATTCAGTGACATGTTGTTGTAGAATGTAGGCTTTGTAGTTATTTGAAATGATAATGAAGTGCAATTGCCACAATGAAGGGTGTAAGAGATGAGCATCTCCACACCAAGCCGAAGTACCACCAGAGACAGCAGAACACTTCAAACACAACATATATTAACAATTTATCTCTCACAGATATAACATGTCGGACGAGAACTCGGAGAGCGTCACATACATCAAACAAAAGGTAAGATGTGAATGCGGCTTCGAAGTTGGTCGCACCAATCTCAATCGACACAAGCAAGGCTACATCCACAAGCAGTTGATGGCCAACAAATAGGTTCAAAGTGATATAAATTAACATCTCAGTGTATATTAATATATAAAATGAGTAGATCAACAAAAGACCATTGGCGGAAGAAGACGGGCGTGACCGAGATCAAGGTGACAGGCAAATACACAGAGCAGAGATCGAGCGAATCGCACAGCGAGACAGCAACACGCTCCAGCGTTACGGTTCCAATGCGAGGATAGAGGTCGTGAATATGGCAATCATCAGTATCGCTCGGGCAAGTTCACCAAGGTAGGCGAGCCAATCATCATGTTTGATCCTCACGAGTACTGCGCGCCAATGCCTGACACATTCAAATCGGTCTACATCTACATCCATCAAGCAAAGGTCAAGGCAGGCGGCTGCAATGGCGAATGGAACAACTGCCTCTACGACAGCAGCTGCAGGAAGTTTGGCTCCGATCTGTTCGGCAAGTATATCGATCAGGTCTTCGGCTGGATAGATGCATGTGGGCCCAAATCTAGATTAGAGCCCTACTCCTTTGCAAGTGTTTCTATCAACGTCTCTGGGGTGCTCCAAGCGCAACAAGACCAAGCAGTGCGTCAACATGGAGCGCTATGAGGAGGTCATCAAGACCAGCGATGGACTGAGAACGATCGCATCACTCCAACAGCCAATGGGGCGCGATGATCAAATCAGCCTGCAACACGCCATTCGCTCGCATCATGCCATTCATCATTTCTCGTGGTCGCAAGATCATGCGCATGCACACCGATGGATTCGTCTCGACCAAGCCATGGACTGAAAAGACAGGAAAGAGATCACTCGATTATCCCAAGTTAGGCAGGGTGTGTGGCGACCTGCGATATGAGGGCTACCTTCCCGATGCAATCCTCAAGAATTGTAGATGTACCACAGTTGGTCAATCAGGATCACAAAAGTGTTGGATTGCAGGTTTGATTAATCGACTGATTAATTGGCTTCTTTTATTAATTCGATCGCCAAATACATATTCCCATACACCTATCATTCAATCACATCTTCCTGTAGGACTTGTGCTTAATGGGAATATCAAAGAAGTAGAAGTGGTACATGGCATGGCGCGCGGCGAGACATGATGGGACATAGTTGCCTTTGTCATCCTGAACCACCAATCCTCGATTGACCATAAAGGATGGTGTTTCAGTTACGGGGAAGTTCTTCAATGAGTCTGGATTGAGGCAGCGATGAAGGAATGTGTATAACTGAAATGCATAAATTCTGTAGACAAGGTCATCCCCCTTCAAATCGACCCAGTACTCATTGAGTATGTCAAGATAGTATGCCTTCCTGTGGATTGCATACTCCTGTGGGCTGGCGGCTGGACATCTCTCGGACCATTTCTGGAGCAGCTTCAGTTCGCCAGGGTTGCCCCCGCTGACAGTATGCAAAGTGGCTTCCAGCTGGTTACTATACTTTAAGTACGTCTCATAGTCGTAAACAAAGAATGGGCTGGAAAGTGTACTGGGATTTCCTTTGAATGGCTCCATGAAGGTGTAAAGGTGTGCCAACCTATCTGACAGTTGACGCCCATTGCATCCAGATATCAACAGACTGACTCGATTACCTGGTACTCGTTTGATCTTGAAGTGATCGAACAAGCGTCCATTGCCTGCAATATCATATCCAAGATGTCTCATGTTGTCTTTCTTAGTCTCCACTTTATCCATTGATTCGTAGTCATCGATAGCCAATATGATTGGTACACTGGTGACATGATTAAGCTCGATCATTATTACGTCTATCGATATGTATGTCGGAGCCTTTCCCTTGAGCAACTCCAAGAGGTTGGATGGGTTGCCCTCTAATCTCTTGATCCAAGGAGTGACCACAGGTATCTCGGCGGCCAGTCCAGAGTTGAACTTGATCAAAGAATCAATAAAGTGACCACATCTATCTTTTTCACTTGTTTTAATCCAGTCCTTTGCACTCCTCTACATTGATTGATTGATTGATTGAATGATTGATTGAAAGTTAGATCTCAAGATCTCAGTGAGGGTCAAGAATGAATTTGAACTTACAAAATAGACGAAACAACCATTCACATAGGCAATGGAGAGTAGAAGGTAGAGTGTGAACGATTTGCCAGAGCCAGGTATTCCATTCATGATCGAGGTCATATCGGCTTTGACATCCTTCTCTCCCATCTTGATGTTGTTCCAGAATTTGGCTATGATCTCATATCGATCTTTGGTGAGGACACAATCCTTCAGATCACTTGGATCAATACCCTTTGGCAAGTACTCCTTTGGGAACATTGGTAACTCAATGTTGGTAACCCGCCAAAATTCAACCTCACGGTCAGCCAACTTCTTTAGACTCTCCAATGATTTGAGATGGTCCCACTTTGGGTCAAGTCTGTCTGGGAAATCATCACCATCATTCTTGCTAGTTGTTGTTAATGATGATGAAGTTGATGATGCTGTTGTGAATGAATGACTAGATGTGTGATCATTGATCGGTTGTGACAATCGGTTGTAGGAGTAGTTGATGTTGTTGTTGTTTTTGATGTTGTTGAGGTATCCACTTTGGTTGTATGGTGGTTGCACTGGACTACTTGTCAATGAAGTTGACAACATGGCAACTCGATTGCCAAGACCAGACAATGTCTTTGGATTATAGATAGTGGTCGTTAACCTGGACATCATAATTATATCTCAAACAAAATGGATTGATAATACTTCTTAAATGATCATGGTCAAATATGTTGTAACATGTGAACAGTACCATTTCCAAGAAACAACTCACTAGACCTATATGGATGTAATCAACTCGCCAATTGCGCGATGACTAAGTGGCACAATCTTGGTACTTCCTCATAGGGTACCTCTTGTTCTTGATCAAGATTGTGAGATTAGGTATTCTACATCACCATGGGATAGTTTGATTGATTGACTGATTAATTGGCTTCTTTTATTAATTCGATCGCCAAATACATATTCCCATACACCTATCATTCAATCACTTCTTCTTGTAGGACTTGTGCTTCGTGGGGAGATCAAAGAAGTAGAAGTGGTACATGGCATGGCGCGCGGCGAGACATGATGGGACATAGTTGCCTTTGTCATCCTGAACCACCAATCCTCGATTGACCATCATGGGAGGTGGTCCATTTGAGGGAATGTTTTCCAATGAGTCTGGGATGAAGAGGCGATGAAGGTATGTGAATAACAGAAATTGAAAGTATATGTAGGATAGGTCATCCCCCTTCAATTCGATCCAGTACTCATTCAGTAAGTTAAGATAGTATCCCTTCCTTTCCATTGCATACTCCTTTGGGTTTCCGGCTGGATGTCTCTCGGACCATTTCTGGAGCAGCTTCAGTTCGCCAGGGTTGCCGCCGGTGACACAATGCAAAGTGGCTTCCAGCTTGGTACTAAACTTCAAGTACGTCTCATTGTCGAACGCATGGTTTGGGTGGGATATCAATAAGGTGGGATGTACTTTGAATGGCTCCATGAAGTTGTACAGGTGATACAACCTTCCTGACATTTGACGTCCATTGCATCCGGATATCAACAGATTGACTCGATGACCTGGCACTCGTTTGATCTTGAAGTAATCGAAGAAGTAGCCACTTTCTTCAATTTCATATTCTTGAGGTCTCTTGTTGTTGTTGTATGGTTCTTTCTTAATGTCCACCTTGTCCATTGAATCGTAGTCATCGATAGCCAGTATGATTGGTACGCTGGTAACTTGATTAATCTCCCTCATTATTTTGTCCATCGACCTGTATGACGGATCCACGCATCCGAACAACTCCATGAGGTTGGATGGGTTGCCCTCTAAACTCTTGATCCAAGGAGTGACCAAAGGTATCTCTGCAGCCAGTCCAGAATTGAACTTGACCAATTTATCAATAAAGTGATTACATCTATCTTCTTCACTTGTTTTAATAAAGTCCTTGGCACTACTCTACATTGATTGATTGGTTGATTGATTGAAAGTTAGATCTAGAGATCATATTGATCGATGGATCAAGAAAGAATTTGAACTTACAAAATAGACGAAACAACCATTCACATAGGCAATGGAGAGTAGAAGGTAGAGTGTGAACGATTTGCCAGAGCCAGGTCCACCATTCATGATCGAGGTCATGTCGGCTTTGACATCCTTCTCTCCCATCTTGATGTTGTTCCAGAATTTGGCTATGATCTCATATCTTTCTTTTGTGAGGACACAATCTTTCAGATCACTCGGATCAATACCATAGGGCAAGTACTCCTTTGGGAACACTGGTAACTCAATGTTGTTAACCGACCCAAATATAACCTCACGGTCAGCCAACTCCTTTAGACTCTCCAATGATCTGAGATGGTCCCACTTTGGGTCAAGTCTGTCTGGGAAATCATCACCATCATTCTTGCTAGTTGTTATTGATGTTGATGTTGTTGATGTAGTTGTTGTTGATGTTGATGAAGTTGTGTATGAACGACTTGATATGTGGACAATACTGGTAGGTTGTGTTAAGTGGTTGTTGTAGTTGTTGTTGTTGATGTTGAGGTATCCACTTTGGTTGTGTCGTGATTGCACTGGACTAGTTGTCATCAATGAAGTTGACAACTTGGCAACTCGATTGGTCACGCTTGACAAAGTCTTTGCATTAGTTGTTAACCTAGACAACATAATTATATCTTAAACTATTGGTAAAATAATAATAATATGATCGAACTAGTTGGTTGATGTGATCTTTTATGACAACGAACAGTTCCATTTCCACGAAACTACACCATGGTCAACGTAATCATCACGTGATCTTCACTGCCTGTCGTTGGGTTTTCAATCAAAACTCCACTTTTATTTCCCAAGTTTTGATCAAGTTTCACCTTCAATTACGAGCCCACTCGCCTCTTGAGAGATGACGACTTGGCACCGTCACTCTTGTCCTTCATGTGTAAATCAAAGAAGTAGAATTGGTACATTGCATGACGTGCCGCAAGACATGCTGGAACATAATTGCCGCGACTGTCACGTTGCACCAATCCTCTGTCGACCAACATGTTTGGTGGACCATGGATGAAGCCCTCCAATGAGTCTGGGAAGAAGAGGCAATGAAGGAATCTGACAAACTCGGCGGCATAGTATATGTGGCTATCTTTGACTTGATCCCAGCAATCATTGAGAATGTCCATATAGTATTCCTTCCTTTCAACTGCGTACTCCTTTGGGTTGGAGTGAGGATGCTTCGCTGACCATTGTTTGAGCAGCTTCAGTTCGCCAGGGTTGCCACCGGTGATACAATGCACATTGAGTTCCAGTCGATCACTATACTTTAGTGCATCAGGATCGCGACATATCGATGATTGATCAGTAATCAGTCTGTTGGAGTTCGCTTTGAATGGCTTCATGTTGGTATACATGTGTGACCACTTGAATGATAGTTGATCACCATGGCATCCTGATACCAGCAGACTGACGCGTTTTCCTGGCACTCGTTTGACCTTGAAGAAATCGAATAGGTAGTCATAGTCTTCCATCTCCTCATCTGAACTCTTGAATAAATCATTGGCCTCATCTATCTTGATCAATCCTTCGTAGTCATCGATTGCCAGAATGATTGGTACGCTCGTGACATGATTGAGTTCATGCATTACAATGTCGATCCATGAGTATGTTGGAGTGATGCCCTTGAACAACTCCAATATGTTGGTTGGATTGCCCCTTGCTTGTTTCTTGATCCAACCATTGACCATAGGTATCTCCGCTGCCAGTCCAGAATTGAACTTGATGAACGTGTCAATAAAGTGTTGACATCTATCTTCTTCCTTTGTTCTAATCCAGTCCTTGGCACTCCTCTACATTGATTGATTGATTTATTAATTGAATGGTTGAGTGTGTCAGTTCATCAATCAACATGATCGATCAAGAATGAATATGTACTTACAAGATAGACGATGATACAATCATTGACATAGGCAATTGAGAGTAGAAGGTAGAGAGTGAACGACTTGCCAGATCCAGGTGGACCATTCATGATGGAGGTCATTTCAGCTAACTTTACATCCTTCTCACCAATCTTGATGTTGTTCCAGAATTTGGTTATGATGTCATAGCGATCTTGAGTGAGGACACAATCCTTCAGATCATTTGGATCAATACCATATGGTAAGTACTCCTCTGGGAACACTGGCAACTCAATGTTACGGTTAACCATCTTCTTTAGATTGTCCAATGATCTGAGATGGTCCCACTTTGGGTCATGTCTGTCAGGGAGCTCATCATCAATGTCAGGATGACTAGAAGGAGAAGTTGAAGTTGAAGATGAAGTTGATAATGTTGTGAATGAATGACTGATGTGGTCATTGATTTGTTTAGATGTGAGGTAGTTGATGTTGTTGTTGAGGTATCCACTTTGTTTGTAATGTAGTTGTATTGAACGAGAAGTCACAAAGGGTGTCATCATGGCAACTCTTTTGGCAAGTCCAGTCAATACCTTGACATTATTGATACTTAGTCTGGAAAGCATATTTGATCACTCATCTACAACAATTTTTATATCTATCTATGATCAAAGTAAATGATTAAGTTACTTGTACGACATATTTTCTTGTTGAAGCGAGTTTGAGGGATCATTACATAATCATTCCTAATCAGGTCATCAAAAAATATCGTTGAGGGGGTTATTGTTGTGAATGTGTGTCATCAACTTCATTCATTACCTCAATCGCAAACTTCACACATACATATATAGACACACAACACAACAGGAAGCAATGAAGGAGGAGGTACTGTTCAAACAGATAATCAATAACAAATGGCTTTGGATGAAAATTGCAAAGTGTATTAGATGGATACATCATGATAGATTACAATGTCAAACAATGACATGGTTACAAGTGGTCAATGAATGGCTTGTATTGATAAGGTATCAACCATTCAATAGATATAAACTAAGGTATCACTTTAAAGTTGCTACCAATACTACAATTGTGTCAAACATCTCCAATCATGACAATCAATCATTCATATCATTTGGTGGACATGCAGATATTATACGTTATCTTTATACTCAACATCAAGATATATTCAAATGTATGACTGCTATTGATGCTATGTCTGCAATCGGTCGACTTGATCTAGTGCGACAACTTCATGAAAGAGGATCGAGTGCCACTGCTATGGCCATGAACTACGCTGCCACATTGGAGATCACTCAGTATCTACATGACAATCGCACGGAGGGATGCTCGGAAATGGCGATGAACTATGCCGCGTCACAGGGCAGGCTGGACATTGTCCAGTTCCTTCATGAGAACCGCACGGAGGGCTGCTCAGCCGACGCAATGGACAGAGCTTGCGAGAACAATCATCTGGACATTGTCAAGTACCTCCAACAACATCGCACCGAAGGCTGCACTACCAATGCAATGGCCGACGCATCATACAATGGACATCTCGACATGGTCAAGTACCTCCATCAACATCGAACTGAGGGTTGTACTGAGGAGGCAATGGACATGGCGGCCGAGGTGGGCCAACTGCCCGTCATTGAGTTCCTGCATAACAATCGAACGGAGGGGTGCACCAGTCGTGCGATGCACTGGGCCGCCTCGGATGGACACCTGGCCACCGTACAGTTCCTGCACCTCAATAGACAGGAGGGTTGCTCACACAACTCGATGGACTGGGCGGCCTCGCACGGTCACCTGTCGACCATCGAATATCTGCACCATAATCGTACGGAAGGTTGCTCTTCCGATGCCATGGACTGGGCCGCATCCAATGGACACTTGGATGTGTTTCTGTTCTTGAGGCATCATCGTACTGAGGGCAACACGGTCGCTGCGATGGATTATGCGGCCGCGGCTGGACACCTTGACATGGTCATGTATCTACACAATACAAATCAAGGATGTACGGAGGAGGCAATGGACAAGGCGGCGCAGTATGGATACATGGAGGTGCTACAACTGCTTCACGAGAGACGAACAGAGGGCTGCACAACAAACGCGATGGACTATGCTGCTCAGAATGGACATCTCAACGTCGTGGAATACCTTCACAAGACACGAACAGAGGGTTGCACAGTGCAGGCAATGGACTTGTCAGCGATGGAGGGCGACATTGACATGGTGCGGTTCCTTCATCAATATCGCACAGAAGGCTGCACGACAAAGGCGATCAACTGGCTGGCACGACGAGGCAATCTTCATCTCCTCGAGTTCCTTCATCGTAATCGCAAAGAGGGATTCACCGATGACGCGATAGAGCTTGCGGCGGGCCTTGGCAAGTTGGACATTGTCAAGTACCTTCGCGACAATCAATCAACGAGCCAGGAGGTCACGTTCAGGGCCATCCAGTGCGCAGCATCTGGCGGACAACTTGAGATATTCCAGTATCTACAGCGACCATTGACAGAGCGCATCATAACTGATCACTTGTTGATGATGAAGCACTTGATCACTCACATGCCCGACGTTATACATCCCAACACGATAGATATGGCGGCCAAATCTGGCAATGTTGGTTTGATCCAATACCTTCACCATCACATTCCTCAACTAGGCTGCACAACAAAGGCATTGGATTGGGCTGCTGAAGGCGGTCACCTTAGCACCGTTCAATATCTCCACCAACACAGGACTGAGGGATGCACGACTGAAGCCATGGACAATGCCGCGAGACGTGGACATCTTGCAGTTCTCCAATATCTTCACAACAATCGGACTGAGGGCTGTACAAAAGACGCAATGGATTCAATCCACTCAGCTGAACACCTATCAATCATTCAATTCCTACATTATAATCGAACGGAGGGATGCAATGTCTCTGCAATGGACACGGCGGCCGAGAATGGACTTCTGACCACGGTACAATTCCTTCATAACAATCGCACGGAAGGTTGTACTGTTCATGCAATGGATGGTGCTGCAGGTCAGGGTCATCTCACAGTCGTTCAATTCTTACATCACAATCGCACTGAAGGATGTACGGAACAGGCATTGGAGAACGCAGCACGTCGAGGTGATCTAACAATGGTCAAGTTCCTTTGTGAGAACCGTACCGAAGGAACTATATCCATGGCTTTGGCCGCTACCAACGTCCAAGAGGTTATAAATTACCTAAACAAAGGGAAACAACTACAACAACATCAAGAATAGTAATAAATGTTTGGTGATTGATCGTAGTTCGGTTTTTTGATCAAAAGTGATTCAAGCAAAACCCCACACTTTGCATCTGATCGAACAGTTGTTCAAATAAATTGACTGAGCCATCCATCTTGGTCATCCATCTTGGTCTTTTAATTTACATCAGCTTCAACTTCAATAATCAATCATTCAATCCAACACCTTTGTGTTCATTTCAAACTGTTTGGTATACAGATATTAAATAATAGAGATAATATTATTAACTTTAAAGGGATATTGAAGTGATGGCATCAAACTTGACAAAAGAATTGGCTTTGATAAAGAAGGAGCTTGAGGACATTAGGAAGGAGGCTCAGAGATTGAAGGAGGAGGTTGCAAGATCAAAGAGTACAAAGACGACTACTGCGACTACAACAACTCCAACAGCAACCCCAGCTTCAAAGCCAGCCGCCGCTGCTCCAAAGGCTGCTCCAGTGGCTGCTGCCAAGCCCACATTCACCCAAGTAGCTGCTAAACCAGCTACCATTCCAAGTGCTATTGCACCATCCAAGCCAGTGGCATCAACACCAACACCAGTATCAACATCAGTATCCAGTCCAGCCAAGACCACTTCACCACCAACAGGCTCACCATCATCAAAGCCTGCACTAAGTCCACAGATTGTATGTTCCCTCCCTCACAAACACTTTTGGTCTCAGTGATGTTGGACTTACCATCTAACTGTAATGGATTCATTCCAAACTACACACATATTATAGAAACAGATAGTTGATGGACTAAAGGATCGATCAAAGGTTGACAAATCGGTCGACAAGTCAAAGTTGGAGGTATGTTCAGGAATTGAATGATTGATTGAATGAATGAATGTTGGGGATTAGTTTGTGGAATGAATGGAACTGCTACTAATATTCCAAAAACGAATAATATAATATCTCAACGACAACTACGATGACTACGACTACTACTACCCACGACCTCTACCACGACGATGACATTGACAATAACCATAACTATAACAACAACGACTATTCGGCATTGATTTACACATTCACATTCACATACTCCAATCCAATCAATCATATACACCAGGTATATTTAGATGACAAGCAGTTCACCACTGTGTTCTCCATGTCCAAAGATGAGTTCAACAAACAACCAAAATGGAAACAAGACGCCAAGAAGAAGGAAGTGGGTCTCTATTAATTGACTCCCCACTACTCCACAGTCCACACTGTCCACATCCATGACATTCAAGTCATTCAGTCAGTCAGTCAAGTCAGTCAATATGGAATGGTGGAGAATGCAAGGGTCCAACATCACCCATCATCAACAAACAACAAGTGTACAATATATTAACATATTATATTATATATTATATTTATACATCCACTTAATCAATCACTCACTCACTCACTCGCTTTCCGGCATGTTGTTGCGATGCGATAAACAATCACATCCATCTCCATCATTCCAATCACACTCATTCATTCACATACACACACATTCATATGACAATCAGTTGACGGCTGACCCATTTTAGAGATAGAGACATGTTGATGATATTCCATAATCATATATAATATATTTATATACATGCCAACACCCTCAATCATATGTGGCGTGTTTGTCCAGACAGTCAGGTGATTGATGGAAGTGATGGGTACACTCACACACTCCCTTACTCAATCACCCCTCACTCATCACTAACACATCACGCACACAGACACTCGATCAGGTGCTGTTGCTCTCACTCCAGGACAATCAATCAATCAATCCAATCCAATCAAATCACATAGACACCCGCCACAGCCGGGACATTCTACATAGATTTGAGGTGGGATGGACTGTAGATCGTCTCCAGAGTGATCTGTTCTGCTTTTACCCTCACGCGAGTTGCGCCGGCCACCCTACATCGGTGCTGTGTTCCGCGGACGGATGGGGAAGCGTAGGGTGGGTACAGACATACACACTCACACTCTCTCACACACCGCATCTGCATAACGCTCGTCAACAATCCAGCATTGGCTGTAGCTTGGGGTATTGGTTTGGTGGGTGTGTCGGTCGTGGTCGTCGTGTTTAGTGAGTGATTGATGTATATCACGTGATTAATTGATTGTATGTTTGTTTATAGTGTGTGATTGAGTGAGTGATTGATTGATGGAGTGAATGAATGAATGAATGAATGGACGACCGTTAGGCAGACACTCCAATCATTATTCGTTCACATCCATCAAAGACAATGGACATTGTTTCGACAGGATATTCAATTTACATACTATAGAATCCAGATAAATCCTAGACATTCAATTAATCAATCAATTTAATCCAACATTCCAATCAACCAATCAATCATACAATACAGTGTGATTGGTACAAAGACATTATTATTTAATTTATTATTATTTATATATTCTCCACAAGTACAACCAACAATGTCAACTACACCATCACCATCACCATCACCCTCACCAGCTACAGCAGCAGCAACAGCAGCATCAGAGGATAGTAAACAAACATTGACTTTCCAAGTCGGTGGAAGTGGAAGTGAGGCCACATTAGAAGTGGCAACAGGATTCCAAAAGGGTCTTGGACAGATACAGGCACGTGGCATATGGGTGCTCCTCGCATTCTGGGCCATTATGATGCTCATCTCAATCACAAAGACTATATTCACCATTCGACAAGAACGTAGTCTCAAGAAGCTAAGGTTGGTAACAGGTCTAATGGTCACATTCAGTTCAATATGTATGTATTCATTGATTGATTGATTGATTGCCACGCCAGTCCATGTTACTGACTTGTCCATCCATACTACCATAGGCTTCTTCTTGTTATTCTTCTTGAGGATCAATGGATCACAATATGTCCTGTTGCCATTGGACAAACTTGGATTCTTGTTTATATTATATACTTATTTGCTGATATTGTTCTTCTGGATCAACTCGCTGTTGGTGGGCGATCCTAGACTACGGGTAGTCAAGTATCCAAAGTTCTTTATCATTGCTGTCGTGGTGCTGTTCCTCGTCGAGATGGTGGACTGCATGTTCCAATCCGTTGCAGCCTATGATCCAAGAAGATTCAGTGCCATGTCCTACTTCAAGGAGTCCCTCTTCTACAGCTCCTACAAGTCCATGATCACCTTCACCCTATGCTGTTCCTTCAGTTCAGTAGGATACCTAATCTATGAGAAGGCCAAGAAGTTGTCGGCCAAGAATGTATATAGAGTATGTTGTTTGATTGATCGAGGGCGAGGGCAAGGCCAAGGCAGGGACATCATACTAACATTTCACTTACTTCAGTTTAAGAGAGTTGGCTTCACTATTGGAACATCATTCTTGTTTGTTGATGGTGTTCAATATCACGTATGACATGACAATGACCTATGATACACTGTATGAGTACAGTGTGTCGGTGGGCATTATGTGCATGATGTACTTGGTGTACGGCACACTGATCATTCTGATACTGTTTGTGATCTTCTCGAACCGCGACGACAGCGACTCGCACCGCTCGTCGGGCGCCGAGAGCAAGTGTCGCTCAGAGATTAGTCTGTCATCGATTGATCGCAGCAGTGTAATGTCACAATGGACGCGAACCAGTTCAAGTGGTAGCAGTGGATGTGATAGTCTCTCCTGTCCCATGGCCACCACCGTTGTACCACCAACCAATCATTGTACGGCAGCTGCAGCACAGTTCTCATCATATAATGGTGCTTCATTACAAGAACCATAATATTATAGTTATATTATTATTATTATTATATTATATTTATATATGCTGGCGAGTCTTCGATCGGGCCGTCCGTACTCCTACTCCTACTCCTACTCTCTATCTTTTAGTTCACTTACAATCAAACTTATAATAAACATGTATTGTAACTAACAAATAATAACTTTACAAAGAATAACGAAGTCAATGAAGTTGGGTGAGGGCAAGGGTTTGGAAAGTTGAAAATCGAACAAAGGGGTCAAAGCGAACTTGCATTCATCTTCAAAGTTAGACCTCTCTATTCGTGCATTCATTGACCTTGTATCACCTCATTCATCAACAATCAATCAAAGTATCCAATAGCTGTATATATATATAATCCTGTACAAACCAACACATAAACAACAGCAACAATGAAGTTAGTCAGGTATGTTTGTTCATGAACTTCATAAACTGGCGACCGATTAGATATGGAGAATCTGAAGAATGATTGAATGAATCATGAACTAACATATAATCAATACAATACAATACAATACATATAGGTTTTTAATGAAGCTGCATAATGAGACAGTTACTATAGAGTTAAAGAATGGAACGATTGTACATGGAACGATATCAGGTGTAGATGTTAGCATGAACACACATTTGAAGACAGTGAAGCTGACACTGAAGGGCAAGAACCCTATCAATTTGGATACTCTGAGCATCAGAGGCAACAATATTCGTTACTACATATTACCAGAGTCACTCAACTTGGGAACATTGCTCGTCGACGACGGTCCCAAGAAGCCAAAGAAGAGACCAGCTGCTCCAGGTAAAGTGTTACAGCGACAATGACTGCATCATTGACAACAACAATGATGTTGATGATAACGAGGATTTTGAGAACGAGGATGACCATACTAACAAACACACACTCAATCAATCAATCAATCATTCAATCAATTAATTAATTAATCTATCAATCGATATAAACAGAGAAACCAAAGGCAGTCATTGGAGGAAGAGGTGGACGTGGTGGAAGAGGTGGAGGCAGGGGTGGCAGAGGAGGCAGGGGTCGTGGAATGTAATCAAACAGTCGATCAATATCACAATAAAATCAAACGATTGAACCATATCCATACCTTGGTTAGCAGAATCAGTGAGGAACAGCAACGACATCAACAAAATGCTCTTATTGGCGACAATGGCAACAACTTCATTGGCAACGACATAAATACAAACACAATGGCAACATCTAGTATGATACAGATCCACCATCCTTTCAAGGCGATGAAGATCAAACCACCACTTTGTGGGCTAGCTGGCAGGCTACGATTGCAATTTAAATCGGACAGGGCGTTTGGCGAGGGCGAGGGAGGGCGATTGATGGTCGACCCAAATATTGATCGGTTCACCAAATATTAGACCAGAGACTTAACGAGGAAATTGAATTGCAAATCATATGATTGGAGTGCACTTCACTCATTTTAGAAGTCACATCAATTTCCAAAGTTATAAGTGAATGAGTTAATGAACTAACTTTGTCACGTGATTGGAATGTTTGGATTGGACAACCAAGAACATTGGTCGCCAGACAAACAGACCACCATAACATCATTCCTTGGATTTTAATTCCAGACTTTCAATTAATTAAAGGATGGATTGATGCATGGATTGATGAATCTGATGGTTTAGGTCCTGTGAGTGTATATATGTGAAGTTACTCAGATGATGTCCACTAAACAGGATGTGGGGTGGTGGTGTTACGCCTCATGACTAATGTCTCTCTACCACAAGAGTTTGGTAATATGATAGACGGTTGGTAGTCCATTTGCATGTCCCATGTCCTTTGGGATGGTGGGGGTTGGTGCAATTGGGGAGGACCACACTTAAGCCCAGTGTGGGCCTGTGGGGGCGCCTCAAGTGTCAGGGCCAAGTGGTCCTCAAGTCCAAGTGTGTGGTGGTCCTCAAGTCCAAGTGTGTGTCTTATTCTTTCAAACAAACAAAACCTTTACTACTGCATTCAATTAATAAAGAGTATGAAGAAGAATAGCAGTTCTACTGGTTCGTTGTTGTCACCCTCTACTCTACACCTTCCCAATCGAGCGTTCACCACCAATTATACAATACGAAAGACAATGTCATTGCACAGTTGATTTTATTAAAGTTTCCTTTAAAGGTCGCCCCATGGGGGCCAAGGTTCCAGTTTTCCTTTCGCGGCGATGAACTTGCAGGCCCAGCGGTCCCACACCGATGTCTTGGATGTCGGGCTGGTCCTTTGACAAGGCTTGTTGTCTTACCAAAGGTGTGCTGGCTGTTTGCTAGCCAGGGTTTATTTAAAGACCATGGACACCTTTTTCTGGCATGGGACGCATCATCATTTCATTGAGGAACTGATGGACCCTAGGGCTAGCCCTTTTTAAAGGAACGGTGAGGCCTTGAGCTTTGGTCGAGACGCCTTCACTGCGAGGCCCTCCCCTCGTTCACACATCAAAGTGCAAGCGGACACTCTAGTGGCTCCACCACACCACATCCCAAGGGAGGAGGTTGATGTCTTGGCAAACCTTGGACCGTTCTACTTTCATGCTCAGTGTTGGCGACTAGATGAGCTCATTGTCACTCTTTAAAGCTTATGCAATCATAACTATATCCTCAGATAAACATCTGCTCGCTCGATTTGGTATTGACAGTCATTCAGTCAGTGAGTCTGTTGACCTCTAAGTAATTTATCATTCTTATAATACGTTATTGATCTATTAGATAATTTTATTAGTTAATACATTTGTTTGATAGACACAGTGAGTGACTCTACTAGTAAACATCCAGCAACAATATTGAAGTGACACTCCAACTTACTTCAATTCAATCATCATCATCGTTCATCAGACACGTGACGACTTGGATTTGACCTCAATCACACAATCATTCATCGTCAAGCCAACAACATAACAACATCAACATACAACTACTATTACTTATTATTATTCAATACTCTGTACTTATATCTGTACATTATTATTATCACTTAGTTAACTACTAATTAATACATTATCCATTATCCATTATCTTTGTCGACACCAAGATTGCAATTCAAAAATAACAAGAAATGAAGGACAAGTACACAACATCATCCGCCACATCCCCTTCGTGGTCATCACACAACAAACAACCAATTATAAAGTCACATAAGCATGATGACGACTGTGACGAGGACAACCCTGACAGGGTATCGTCATATCTGCTCGCCCAAGAGACATCATCCTTTGGCAGACCACAACAACAACAACATCTTCTGCCAACACCGACACCATCATCAACACAATCATCAAACACATCGTCATCATTACTCGACTGCCCATCTGAACGCGACTTTGTACCAGTCGAGAACATCTATCTGCCCGAGGACGATAGATTCACATACTATCATAAGCGTCCGTATGGTCATGCCTCGATAAGCAACTCTGACATCACCCGTCATGTTGGTCCAACACCATCCCATTCTACATCTACTCCTACTGCTGCACCAGCATCTGCACCAACAACAACACCAACATCATCATCGGCATCATCACTCCCCTTTGTAACCGAACACAACATCAGTGGCAACAACTCTCATCAATCAGACGAAGACTATAACTTGGTAGTTGGGGAGAGCTCTGAACCGGACACATTGCTACCATTCTCATTGTCGCCAATCATTGGCAATGAACGCGACAACCTGTACAACATCGACAACATTGACATTATCAGCGACCTGAGCAGCTCGTCGTCCAAAGCGCCGCTCAAGGTGTGGCAGGAGAAGTTCCGGCGCAAGTCACTCTTTGAGCCGCTGGCCGACTATCCCACTCAATCAACATTGTTGGATTCACTCTCACTCATGACCATGCCTCCAATCGTCAGCAACTTTATCCGAGAGGATGGCGAGGGCTTTGCCGGCATCAACCCGCACACCACTGCGCAGACCGACAAGCTGCTGGAGAAGATGAGGATGGAGCGCTCCTTCCTCGAGTCCAAGTGCCACTGTGTGCGCTGCCACAAGTGCAACCAACAGTTCCCCGACATGATGAACCAACGTGCTCTATTCGAGCTCAAGCATGCTTTGAAGACCTTCCGCGTAAGTATCTTCATCATATGATCGATCAATCAAGTGAGACATGCATGCCCTAACTCTCAATCAATCACTCATTCACACAATATAGGATGGCGACTTCTCAATCAGACTGACATCAAATGGATGCTCTGGCATTGGAAAGGAGATCATTGAGATGTTCAACGACACTGTGACACTGTGCGACCTCATGTCCAAAGAGTTCACACGTGTCGGTAACCAAGTCGGAAAGGAGGGAAACACAATGGACCGTGCCGTGTTGCCTGACGCCAAAGGCAGCTGGAAGTTCTGCATCGATCTTGTAAATACACTCATTGGTGACATGGTCCAGCCGACCGAGGAGGTGGTCCGTGTCATTGGCTCGGTCGCCAAGGGTGACCTGTCGCAGACCATCAAGATGGAGTACGGTTCGGGCAAGCAACTTCGTGGAGAGTTCCTCAGGATCGCCAAGGTCGTCAACACGATGGTCTCCCAGCTCAAGAGTTTCAGTTCAGAGGTGACTCGTGTGGCTCGCGAGGTCGGTACAGAGGGCAAGCTTGGCGGCCAGGCCGTCGTGCCAGGCGTCGACGGCATCTGGAAGGACCTGACCGACAATGTCAACACCATGGCGTCCAATCTGACCGACCAAGTGCGTGCCATTGCCGACGTGACCACAGCCGTGGCCGGTGGTGACCTGTCCAGGAAGATCTCGCTCGATGTCAAGGGTGAGATTCTCGAGCTCAAGGTCACAATCAACACAATGGTCGATCAGCTAAACTCCTTTGCCAGTGAGGTGACGCGTGTGGCGCGTGAAGTCGGAACCGAGGGCAAGCTGGGCGGCCAGGCCGAGGTGACGGGCGTGGACGGTGTCTGGAAGGACCTGACCGAGAATGTCAACACCATGGCGCAGAACCTCACCAGTCAGGTGCGTGCCATTGCCGATGTGACCACAGCTGTCGCTCGAGGAGACCTCTCCAAGAAGATCACGATCGATGTCCGAGGCGAGATCCTTCAACTAAAAGGGACAATCAACACAATGGTGGACCAACTGAATTCCTTTGCGAGTGAAGTGACTAGAGTGGCCCTTGAGGTATGTACAATCAATGACTGCCATTGAGTCGAACCACGTTCAGACACTAACATGCATCAATCAATCAATCAGGTCGGTACAGAAGGTATACTTGGTGGACAAGCAGAGGTCGAAGGCGTGGATGGAGTTTGGAAAGCCCTGACCGAGAATGTAAATATAATGGCAGCCAACCTTACGAGCCAGGTGAGGGAGATTGCGCTGGTGACCACGGCGGTGGCCACCGGCGACCTGTCCAGGAAGATAACACTGGATGTACGCGGCGAGATCCTCCAACTCAAGAACACTATCAATACAATGGTCGACCAACTCAACTCATTCGCGAGTGAGGTGACTCGTGTGTCCAGGGAGGTGGGCACAGAAGGCAAGCTCGGTGGCCAGGCCGAGGTGGAAGGCGTCGGAGGTGTCTGGAAGGATCTGACGTACAATGTAAACACAATGGCAGCCAACCTGACGGGACAAGTACGTGCCATTGCCGAGGTTACCACGTCCGTGGCTTGTGGTGATCTCTCCAAGAAGATCACAGTCGATGTCAATGGCGAGATCAGACAACTCAAGGAGACCATCAACACAATGGTGGACCAACTGAATGCCTTTGCCGCTGAGGTAACTCGTGTGGCACTTGAAGTCGGTACCGAGGGCAAGCTTGGCGGCCAGGCCCAAGTCAAGGGCGTTGGTGGCGTGTGGAAGGACCTGACAGACAATGTAAACACAATGGCAGCCAATCTGACGGGCCAGGTGCGTGCCATCGCCGAGGTGACCACTGCCGTGGCAAGTGGCGACCTCTCCAAGAAGATCTACCTGGATGTCCGTGGCGAGATCCTTGAGCTCAAGGAGACCATCAACACAATGGTGGACCAACTGAGTACGTTCGCCGCAGAGGTAACTCGTGTTGCCGGAGAAGTCGGTACCGAGGGTATCCTTGGAGGCCAGGCTCAAGTCAAGGGCGTCGGCGGAGTGTGGAAGGACCTGACAGACAACGTAAACACAATGGCAGCCAATCTGACGGGCCAGGTGCGAGCCATTGCCGAAGTAGCCAAGTCCGTGACTAAGGGCGACTTCACTCGAGTGATCTCTGTCGAGGCCAAGGGTGAGGTAAACATCCTCAAGCAGATTATCAACGAGATGATCCACAATCTCAAGGAGACCACAATCAAGAACACACTGGCTAAGGAGGCTGCCGAGGCTGCGTCGAGGGCCAAGTCCGACTTCATGGCCAACATGTCTCACGAGATCCGTACACCAATGAACGGTATCATAGGTATGACTGACCTGACACTAGACACCGAGCTGAGTGCCGAGCAGAGGGAGTACCTCACAATGGTGCAGTCCTCAGCTGGCTCACTCCTGACGATCATCAATGACATTCTGGACTTCTCCAAGGTATGTATATTCAATCATCAAACATACACACCTCTCACATTCAATCACTCACTCATACTCAATCAATCAACTCAAACAATCTAGATTGAAGCCGGAAGACTGGAATTAGACCAATCAGAGTTCTCACTAAGAACTATCCTGTATGATACACTCAAGACATTGGCTTGGAGATCACATCAGAAGGGACTGGAGATCATCTGTGACATCTTCCCAGAGGTACCGGACCATTTGATTGGTGACCCGGGCAGATTGAGACAGATCGTCACCAACCTTGTTGGCAATGCAATCAAGTTCACGGCCGAGGGCGAGGTGTCGCTCGTAGTCAAGCGTGATGAAACATCAACCGACAAGGAGGCTCTCATCTCATTCTCTGTCATTGACACTGGCATTGGCATCCCGGCTGAGAAGCTCCATCTGATCTTCGAAGCATTCTCCCAAGCAGACGGCTCAATCACTAGAAAGTATGGAGGCACTGGTCTAGGTCTCACCATCTCCACGCGTCTCGTCGAGTTGATGGGTGGCAAGCTCAAGGCCGAGTCCACCCCAGGCCAGGGCAGCCGCTTCGACTTTGTCGCCAAGTTCCCACTGGGCCAGCCATCGATCGACAACACCAAGGTCGTGCTCAAGAGTGTCAACACCCTGATCATCGATGATAATCCATCGACCAGACGAGTGCTCCACCAGATGCTCTCAGAGTACGGTGTCAACGCTGACACTGCCGAGTCGCCCGACTCTGCCTTCCAGCTGCTTCGCGCGGCCTCAATGAAGAAGGAGCCCTACGAGTTCATCTTCATGGACGCGCAGCTGAATGGCAAGGATGGATTCCTTGTGGCCGAGGCCATCAAGCAGGACCCAACGATCAGTCGCACATCAATCATCATGCTGATATGTGGTAGTGGCCAGAGAGGCGACCCAGAGAACCGCAGCAGTGTGATCACTGGCTACCTGACCAAGCCCGTGTCGCCATCCGAGATGCTCGAGGCACTTCAAGGCTCCAACACTGACAATGCCAAGCCACGCTTTACCGAGAAGAGCATCGTCCAGGCCGAGACCGCATCCGAGATTCTGCTCGCAGAGGACAACGTAGTCAACCAGCGTCTGGCCATCCGTCTTTTGGAAAGATTCGGTCACAAGGTGACTCTGGCAGAGAACGGCCTTCAAGCTGTTGCCGCCTCCGAGATGAAGGACTTTGACCTAATCCTTATGGATGTGCAGATGCCCCACATGGGTGGCTTCGAGGCCACCAGCACGATCCGTTTGCGTGAGAAGTCAATCAACAAGCACACACCAATCATTGCCATGACGGCACACGCGCTGCAAAAGGACAAGGAGAAGTGTCTGGAGGCCGGCATGGACGACTACCTGTCCAAGCCAATCAACCCCGACCAGCTGAGGATGGTGATCGAGAAGTACCTGGGCAACACGCAGGTGCTCCAGCAGATGACGCCCATCCAGAACGACTCCAACCTCAACATCAAGGCCCAGCAGTTCCTCACCGACTACCAGAGCATCATGGATGAGATCAACCGAGCGATCAATGGCAACAACCCCGACAAGCTATGCAGTGAGGCTCGTAAGCTACGCCAATACGTCTCACACTTTAGCACGGACATTGAGCGCGTGATCAAAGAGCTAGAGACCATCTCTCGCGACTACCGTGACCTTGAGAACGCACGTTCCATACGCAAGAGGATCGAGGCTGAGATCAACCGTCTGATTCCAATCATCATGGATCTTGCCAAGTCCAAGTAGAAGGCTTGGTCCTGGTCCTAGTCCAACAACATCCCCTCCCATCATTGTTAAAGTAAAAGAGTTAAACATGCCTATCTCTCTAAGTTTGGCATTCATCCATTCAATACTTCCTTGTTTGTTTGATTGAGTGATTAATTGAGTGGGATAGATCCACGATTGGATTTGCCAACATTAATAATAGGGGTTGGGGGATTGGGTTGTTGCGCACCGCCACGGTGATGGAACAAAGGCATATCTGATCCGGATAACCGGATGTACCTTGGTTGTTACAGGGAGCCTACTAAGCACACACTGTTTGGATGTTGTTTGGTTGTGTCACAGTTATTATCCTTTCGATTGTGAACACTTCACACTGACAGACCAGTATTCATCATACATCTGTATTACTGGCGAAGTAGTCCACCATGGACTACTCCTTCACCGCGGCGGTCTCTTTAAATTAACTATGACTGTACCTATTGCGTAAATTTCAAAGTATGGCGATTACCTTTGTGCACCCAATTGACCCGAACATATCTATTCAATCACTATTATTATTAACTTAGATATCAATTACAATACAATCAATTATGGGTACATACATATATGTGATTGATTGATTGGTGAATATCCAAATGAGGGATTAATAACTTCATCTTGAAAGTTCGATAACTCAAGTTTGTGGTGGCGGGTGATTGAAATTTGAATTCAAATTTATTGATGACCGTTAAACACTCTCTGGTGATCAAAGTGCACTCGCACACGTTCCCATCTGTAACTGTGTCATACTATCAAACCTTATCTTCTTAATTACACTACAGTACACAGTACACAGTACACAACATAACTATTATTAATTAATAATATGATGGATCTTGAAGATTCATCAAAGATGGATGAGATAGAATCACCTACAAAGCGATCAGCTAAACTAGATCAACATGGATTCGTTATTGTCGATGATAGTGATGACATTGAACAACATCAGCAACAGCAACAGAATGATGATAATGACTCAAAGTATGATGATGATCACATATGGAAGTCCATTATGAATGTAATACCACAAGAACTAGAGGCTGTATGTACATTCTTCCCATCTTTCATGAATCAATGACACCTGACACCTTTTAAGCAACGAGCATTACTTGCCAAGGGCATACCTATGCATCTGCGGCCTGTTGTATGGCCAAGGATGCTCAACATTGATCAACACAGGGATAAACATGGTGCCAACTACTTTAGCGAGCTGTGTAAACGAGGCAAGAATGAACACACAGAACAGATCCTATTAGATGTACCCAGGACATTCCCAAACAACAAGAGATACTTTACCAAGAGAGGGTATGTTGATCCATGTACCGTCTGGGATCATCCCATCACTCACTCACCCAAATCAATCACAACTTAGCAAACAAGACTTATTGGATGTACTTCAATCATACTCGTACCATAATGCAAATGTTGGATACTGCCAAGGAATGTCGTATATTGTTGGAGTGTTCTTGATGTACTTGACAAAGGAGGAGGCATTCTGGATGCTTGTCGCATTGCTCGAGCGAGACAATGCCATGGGATTCTACATCTCTGGCATGCCCAAGCTACTACACGATGCCAAGCTGTTCCTCCACGTACTTGAGATTGAGAACAATGAATTGGCACAGCATCTAAAGAAGAATGGAATCGATCCCCTACTCTACGTCACACCATGGTGGATGTGCTTCTTCACCACGTTGGCCAAATGGGATGTTATACTCCGCATATGGGACCTAGTTCTACTTGATGGCGTACCATCACTGTTCCGCATATCTCTGGCCATATTATGTTCAGCAGAGACACAGTTGCTGAGTAGGAAGGGTGCCGAGGGTCTACTTCCCTTCCTCCTACATCCACCCCTCGATGAGATTGGAGGCATCGAGACGATCCTTTCCAAGGCCATCGCATACCCAATCGCTGATCTAATGGTCAATGGTGAGAAGAAACTGGGTAGGTATTCATTTGTCAGACTGAGATCAGCGGCAATATATACAGGTTGTTCTAACATACGTTCATTGCCATTACTACAGCAGAGGAGACATCAAGAAACAATGCAATAATGTCGGCCAAGAAGAAGAGACCATTGGCAAACTCGAGCTCTGGTACCAACTCTTCATCATCTGCTACCAGCTCACCATCATTGACATCATCGAGTAGTGAGTCTTTGTTTGGTCGCATACTCAATACCTTCTCGTTCGACTTGGACACGCCAATCATGAGCACCGGCAACACCAACAACAATAGCTACAGTGGCAATGGTAATGGTGGAGGCTACACATTGATCAAGAAGAATAGCTCTGATGATGGTGATGTTGAGATGAAGGGCATCTCCTCACCCAGAGGCCCCAAGCAGCCTACGCCAGCCAACCACCAACAGATTGTCCAGACAGATGATTCAGCCAAGTCACTCACCAACAGGGTCAAGGAGTTCTCAATGCGACTCAAGGACAGGTTCATCAATAGAGGCTACCAACCTTGTCGCGTCATTCATGAGCAGCCCAGGTCGGTGCATGGCAGGAAGTCCACTGCACGTCCATCCACAGCCAGGAAGTCGGTTGCCAACCGTGGCGCACCCATCACCCCAAGGAAGTCCATTGTCAATGGTACCGCCGGCCATCTCGGCAGACCTTCCACCATGTCCACCAACAATATCAACAATCCAAGAAGATCCGTCGCACATAAGAGGTCGATGGCTCCAAGGCAACACGTTGATCATAACATGGATGGTTCAACATCGACTACAACAACAACCACATCGACTTCAATAACTTGGTCCAACAACTCTGATTCATTGTTTGATAACATGCCACCTCCTCAACATCAACAACAACAAGAGTTGGTTGGAGTTCCATCGACCCCTCGCCAACAGAAGTCATTCACACAGTCCAAGCCACCACTATATCAGGGCGCCAACAGAACTACCACGGTTACAGTTGGAAGGAAGTCAATCCGACCAATGGGCGGAGCCCCTTCTATGGCCAAGTCCAAGATAATCCATACACAGCAGCAACAAACTCAACATCTACACACTCAATCACAATCACTATCACCATTACCTTCACCATCAAAGTCAACAACAACAACAACACCAATCACATCATCATCCAATGTTACTACTACTACTACACCTATATCCTCGGCAAAAGCCCCATCTCCACTCAAGTCAACATCCACCTCCACCTCAACAACAACCTCTAGACTATCAACCAGCACACCTTACTCGCCACACTCAATCAAGATTGGACCACCACCACCACCATCCACGCCAATCCTCAAGGCACTTGCTCCATGTACAAACAACAACAGTAGCAACAATCTATTGAATATCCTCAACAACAGTAATACACCAGTAAGCAGTGGCTGTGGCACAATCAACTCCAATGCCACCGATGATATAGTAGTGCCAGTCTCACCATTCAAGAGACTGCGAACAAATGACATGCCCACCACCAGCACCAGCCATCACATGGACTTGGAGAATGCGACTGTTTGGCAGTCGGCCGCCACATCCGTGTCGATCAGTCCAATGACAACACCAACCAAGTCAATGTCCATTGACAGGAAGCCACTGACTCCCACCTCTGCAACGAATAAGCCACTCTCTGGCAATAAGAAGATGTTTCCAGTGTCTCCACTCAAGTCGCCAGCCTCGCCCTCTATCATGATGGCCAAACCAATGATCAACAAGAAGACAAGACCACAGGCAAGTTTCTGGTTCACTCCAATGGGCATCTAAGGAAGGAAGCTACGTTCATGCATTCAATCAAACAATATATTTATAAGTTAAGTTAATCATGTGTCCAGTTTAGAATACATTTGGTATCATGATGTTAGCTTGCTTGCCATCGAGTATCTCCTCGAGCAACTTCTCCAATCTGGACTTTAGCTGTCTGGTATCCTTTGTAAGCTGTTCCAGCTTCTTTCGAGAGTCTAACAAAGTATGATTGGCTTCCTGTCGTTTGGTGTCCAGATCAACAATCAATTGAGTGTTCTTGGCGATATTGAATTGTTTCTGGGAGAACTGGAGTACCAGTCTGTCGATGTACCTGTGCAAGTTAAGTTGGTGATTGAATTAGCTAGCTGGCTCATCACGTCTGTCTCAGTGACCATCTACTTACTTCTTGCTTGACTTGATCTCAAGTACATGCTTGATCTTGTGATTGGTGAGTGCTGCGATGATGGAGGTGATTGTCTTGAGGTATGTTTTGCATTGCTCCAGGTTGGTCGACTCGATGGACAACTGATCAATGCCAAACACATGCTCGGGTGCCTGCATCTCAGCAGTACGATGCTTAAGGAACATCTCCAACTCGTACAGTTCGTCCAGGAACAGGTTACGCAGCTGTCTATCACCAAGTATTGATTCGTTCGGGTTCTCATTGGCCTTCTTGCGCGACTCTGATACCGGGGCACCATTGTCTGCACTCAAATCAGCAACGACGGCGACAGGCTCGCTTGAGCTGACAAGTGCGGGAGACTGTGATTCGTCGACGATCTCTATCGCTTCCATCATTGAGAAGTCATCCAATATCTGGTCAGTCGTGTTTGATGTATCGATCACAGAGAAGTCCTCGTCCCACTTGATCTCCTGAACGGCGACATCCACCGGGGTCTCATCAACTAGGTCAATGTCCCAGTTGATACCGCCACCGGTGCCGGTGCTGGCATCAGTTGACGTCTGTTGCTGTGAGTTTGATTGTGCTGATGCTGGTGGTCTATATGCTGGGTCCAATATCGCCTCCCTCTCAGCCAATGTGATGTTTCCATTCTTAACCAACATGTTTGTCAATGGTAGTATCTCATCCTTTAGTTCCTGTTATATGTTCGATTGAATGAATGAATGAGTATGATTGAATGAGTGCGAATGAATGAATGAGGTGTAGACTAGTTTACATACAACACTTGTTGCTTTGATGACCTCTTGATAGAATGATATGATCTTGATCATATCGCCGTTGTTGAGCTGCTTGATGACCTCGCCAAACATTGTTTCAAGACTCTTTGGCAACACGATGATCTCATCTCTGATACTATCACCCTGTATACCAAGGTCTTGACAAGCCTTCTTCAACATATTCTGTGATGCAGTCTTGCTCTTATTAAGTTCCTGTTCTCTCTTGTTATAATCATCAAGTGACTTTAATGACTTCTCAATAGTCTTCTTCAAGTTGGGTCTGTGATTGAGTGTCAGCGATATGACACGGAGGGAGTGAGTTGAGACAGTCTACTTACACATCATAGTTGATAGCTTGTGTGAATTGCTGACATAGGTCACCAATGTGAAGTGAATCCTTCTGGTAGGCCTTGATGATATCGCTCCACTTTTGAGTGGCAGGGTTCGAGTAACTACCAAACAGTGTCTTGCTTGAACCGTTGGGTGCAGACAAGTAGTCTTGTAAGATATCTTGACAGATCAAATAGTTTAGATCATCGGCTGTTAGTGATTGATGTTGTTGTTTAATAGGTGGTGCAACCTTGATAGCATCATCTATTAGCTTGCGAACTGCTGGTGAGTTCCTCTTCCAATGTTGTGGCAACTTCTTTCTATCCAACAACCATTCAAGTATCTTTGAACCTTGTAAATCTATTATCAAGTCCTCTTGTTGTTGCTATTGTTGTTGTTGTTGATGTAGTTGTCATTGATTGATTGATTGAATGAGTCGAGTGAGTGATTGATCGAGCGAATGAGTACATGATTGATTGATTAATTGATGATTCTTACCCTCTTTGTTGATGCCATAGTATGTATGTATATGTATGTATGTGTAGACTCAAGCAATATAATTATTAATCAAGAGAAGGTCACTCTTTCACTTTCCCTCGCCACATTCCCTAGCACACTTGCCCTCGCAGACATACCCTCGCACAAATACTATTGAATGATTAGATGGTTCAATAAAATGTTATATTAAGTAAATATATAAGTATATTAAACGAGATTGTTCATTCTGAACTAACTAACAAACAAACAAACAAACACCTTGTAATAGGATATTTGAATTACTTGTGGTCAACATTGTTGTTGGTTGGAAGTGGAGTCTGGGATGGAGCAGTCTGGGGTGGAGCAATCACTTGTGGCTGTGGCAATGGAGCAACTTGTTGCATCATCAATGGTGGATTGGAGTATGCCTGATAGGGACCGGACTGCATTGGGTACATATGTTGGTATGGTTGTTGCATTGGTTGCATTGGTGACATTGACTGCATAGGTGGCATGTAAGTCATTTGTGGGCTAGTCTGTACTTGTTGACCATTCATGTATGGTTGTTGAGGTTGGACATAATATCCATTATTGTTGTTGTTGTGATATGGAAGTGTATTTGGGGTTGAAGTGTTGTTGTTTGACTTCTTGGTGATATTCTTAACCTTGTCAACCAATGGACTGATCACATTGAGAATTGGGTTGGACACTGAGTAGCTGCCAATCAATGGGGTGGACTCGTTGGTTGTGACACTTCCCTCGGCTGGTGGACCGACCAACTTAGCTGGAAGCTTCTCAATGGTGTAGGTTGTTCTTCTAAAGTATAGGAATAATACCAACAAGTACACTGAGAATGGGATCAAAGCCCAGAATGAGATCAATGATCCAAGGAGATACACAAAGGACACCAAGGCAATTCTTTGCCACATTGGTGTAATAGAGTACTGCTTTCCATTCAACACATTGATCTGATCCATATACAACTGAGAGTTGAATCCAAGGAATGGCAACTCATGTCCAGGGCAAATGTAAAATACATGATCCTCAAAGACAAACCTAAAATAAATTAATTAATATCTTGTCGAAAAGTATTAATAATTATTATTTAAACTTACTCGAGTCTTAGGAAACTCTTGTTGAGAACACAAGTGACATCGAGATCATTGATCAACACAGTCTTGTGATCCACTGATTGAATGATAACCTCTTTGTCCTTTAAATTCAACTTCCAAGTATTGTTGATTGAAAAGAATCGCTTTAAGGTGGCCATGATAATAATATTCTTTGGATTAATATAAATATATTTGATTGCTTGATTGATGGATTATTTAATAATTTTGTTGTGACACAAATTATAAATAGTTATTGGGAACAACATCTTGGACTTAATAAATAATAATCCATAATTTATTGTATTGATTTGTGTCAATGAAGTCGTTGGTATCTTTCACTTTAGAGAAAGAACTTGGTCAACATAGTTGATTGAGTGATTGTGCACAGTTGGTCGTCATCAAGTCTCAAACAATCAGGGTCAAACTTGTTTTCTCTCAAAAATGGGAGATAACCCCTAAAAACTCCAAAATTGGTCTTTTTCAGACCAGTTGAGCTGGAAATTCATTTGGTCAATTAATATCTATTATTATTATTTATTTATATATAAATATTAAACTAAGTTTTTCCAAATTAGTTCATATATTTTAATATGAATACATGTGTGGAAGGTACTTCATAACTTTTTGGAACAAAGTAGTGTTTGGAAATACAAAGTAGGAGGTTGTGATTGAGCCTTCGGATGCTAGATTGGGCAATGCCACATTTCAACTCGTATCCAGCAATGTTTGGTGTGAACCTGGCTATTCGCTTTAGCGTACTGAGTAATGTTTCACATCTATATGGTATATCGTCTGATACTGATGGCTTGATCTCTAAGCTCAATGAATTGAATGGTAGTATAGACGCGACTTGTATCACATTATAATCAAATTGATAATAAGTTTGGAGCTGATCCCCATAAATTGGATTGATGGCGATGACATCTGGCGTGGAGACACTTGATGCAACATACTTGATCTGTTGTAGCTGGTACATACGCAATGTCCTAAGGTTGGGAGGCAAGTTGAGTGGCTTGTCGTAACACCCTCCAATTGTTAACTCCCTCAATGTGTCTGGGAGTGTGATGACCAGATTGAAGTTGTGGCCAAAGTTGACAGATATGAGCGAGGATGGTAGGGTATTTGGGGAAATTGTTTGATTGAACATGTCTCCAAACTTGATCTTGGTGATTGATTGTGGCAGCACTGTTTTGATTGGATAGTTAAAGTGTCGACCCAAAGTCAACTCGGTGAGGGTATCTGGTAAATGATCATTTGATGTGAGCACATTGTTGAAGCCACCTCCAAGTGTGAGCCCAGTGATCCCAGATGGGAGTGACATGGGAGCGATCACTTTGTCCAAGTATACTACATTTCCTGCAGAGTGGGGTCCGACTCTCTCTCCCAACATCAAGTTTCCATCGCCAAGCTTTAACAACTTGAGTGTCTGTGGCAACACCCCTACATCTATGCGTTGTTTGAATAGGTAGTCCTCCTCGATGATCAGCGTCTTGAGGTTGGGCGGCAGTACACCACGATGTAATGGTTTGGCAAACCTTGCTCCAAGATTGAGTAACAACAATGATGTTGGGAGCACACCTGGGAGTAGTTCCTGATTGAAGTTTAGAATGAAGAGGAGTTCGGTGAGTGAGTCGGGGAGTGAACCATGCTGTAAAGGTTGGTTGTAATCAAAGAACACGGCGAGTGTGAGTGACGGGGGCAGCACTCCAGGCATGATAGGACTGTCGCATTGGTAGACGCTCAGTGATTCAAGCATGGTAGGTAGCACACCTGGTGTGAGTTGAGGAACTAAATTGCCGCCCAAGCCCAAGCTCAGCCGTTTGACTGTTTGTGGCAGAGTGGACAGTGAGTTGAACGTGTACTGGAACGTGAGGTCGGTGAGAGATGCTGGGTAGGCGTCGAGTGGGAAGGGTCGACTGTATGCGGCAACAAATGTTAGCTGAGTGATGGAGGCGGGTAGGACACCGACCTCGATCGGTTGGTTGAACGATTCGCCAAGTTGTAGGATGGTCAGTGATTCGGGGAGATAGCCAGGCGCGTTGATAGGACAGTTGAAGCAGCTTCCAAACTCGAGATGTGTGAGTGAGCGTGGTAGCTTGGGGATGCGACACTTGTTAGGGGCTTGGCGTCGGCGACTTGAATATATAAAGTTGTTGTAAAAGATGAGCTTGAGGAGCGACCTGGGCAGCGCGCCACTCTCAATCAAGTTGTTGTAATATGTGTCAATGTATAGTGATGTGAGCGATGGAGGCAATGTGTCGACAATGATGTCTTGATTGAAATCAAAGCCAAGTATCAATGTTGTGATCGTGTCGGGAAGACAACATTCACCGATCGGTGAATTAAATGCTGGACCAAATGTAAATGTCTTGATCTTGTTCTTGATGTCTGCGTCTACACTTCGTTCTATATCATTTGGAGCGATTGGAACATTGCCGCGAAGTGACCAGATCATCTCGTCACGAGTACTTCTAAACAGAGTGGATTCACCTTTCAACATAGAATACATTCGTTTAGAGGTCACTGCCAGAAATGCAATAGCAATGTGATCATTCAAATGTACGATAAACTCTCTAAGAACAGTCAATGGTAGTGTCTCCATTGTGTATATGTTGTTGTTGTTGTAGTTGTATTGTGTGTGTTGGATGAGACAACAAGTTAGTTGATGTTGAAAATAAAGTTAGATGTTCATAAGTCCACTCATATGTGAACAACTTGGAAGATAGTGATAATGTAGTAGAGATAATATATATATATAATAATAAGACAATTGATAGAAAGAGCAGACAATACTTGATAACCATGGTTATTGAAGTTCACTGAACTAATAAATATAGCAGGTTCAGTCAATCAACACTCAACTGTACTTCTGATCAACACAATACCATTTGAAGAAGATGATGTAGTTGGTATTGATCAAAAGTAAGACATGATCCTACGCTTATAATACAACATCGGTTGGTTGTACTGGAAGAGGACCGCTCGAGTGTTTGAGTGATGGGGACAGCCCCACCAGGCATGATAGGACGGTCATGATTCAAGCATGGTTGGTAGCATGGTAAGGTGACCAAGCAATGAAGGCAGGCAGACAGGTAGGCAGGCAGGCAGGCAGGCAGTCGACGATCGATAGGTTTAACCGCGTTAAATTAAGCAATTGAGGGGGTAACTCCCCCCTCTTCCTGTTATTAACAGGAAGTCAATGTTGTTGTACCCAAGGACCTTGAGAGATACACATGCTCAACACAACTACAACAATTACAATTACAACTACAACTACAACTACAACTACATTGACAGGGATGGAAAACATATCTCAATTCTCTAGTCTGCTACTACAGTTGATTCTGTCACACCTCGATGATAATATTGATAGAGTGTGCTTCAGCTTGGTCTGCAGATCGCTGTTTAGGAACAGAGATAGGTATCTCTTCTTCAATCCCAACATCGAGCCAGTGGTCAGAGACGACATATACGATGAGCGTGATGACTACACAGACCTTCAAAACGAGAAGGAGGCCCAGGAAACTTTGGAGCATGAATATGTAATCCTGTTCAGCTCGATCAAGCTCTATCGACCATCCCATTACCAGCGCCAGTTCATCCGTTGCCATTCGCCAATGAGGCTTGTCTATGACTGTTATAGCTCAACATACAGCATTCCTCAATGCTTCGAGACTTGTGTTGTCGACAACGGGGCCATCTTCATCCCAAACTCAATCACAACACTGTTCTTCAAGTCGTTGCCACGGGATTTCACCATCTGCTATGGACTAATCCCTCAAACAGTGACAACGCTAATCATTGGAAAGCTTTGCCACAACCTCACTATTGAGTCGGGTGCGATCCCATAATCTGTGACCAAACTGACGTTTGTTTCTGAATTCCAACTGGAACGACCATTGCCCATTGGGTGTATTCCTCCATCAGTCCTGACACTGGAGTATGGATGCGTGGGTTGGGATTTTCGTAACAATGGCGTGTTCCTTCCGCCATTGCCACCATCACTTACACATCTGCAGGTATCTCATTGCGTCATTGAACCGCTCAGTGTTGGACAGCTTCCAACAACAATCACCTATTTGAATATGACTTATGGGCATGATTTGCCCCCTGGAGTGCTACCTGGATCAATCAAAACACTCCTCTTGAGTGGGATTGGCGATCCACTCCAACTTGGCTCACTGCCCAACTCGATCACCTCTTTGTATCTAGACTACTTCGATGATCTCACACGCAAAGATCTTGAATATTCACTTGCACCAGGAGTCATCCCTTCATCGGTCACCACCCTCACCCTTGGACAAAACCTTTACCGATGCACCATCTTCCAGGGATCAATTCCAGGATCAGTGACGACGCTTCACACCTTCTCTGAAGTGATGCCAGGCTCTCTGCCACCAACGCTCTCTTTCCTAAAGTTGGAAAAATTGGGAGAGTTCCCACCTGGTGTATTGCCAACGTCTCTGAGAACATTGGAGTTTAAAGATGAATATTTTGAATACCTTGAACCAGGAACAATACCAGAAGGGGTGACAACATTGGTCATCGAGAACGTTAATCAAGTCCTAGCACCTGGGGTGATTCCGTCGACCGTGACCAAGTTAACATTCGGTTACTTGTTCTCTCAACCTATGACGTTAGGATTGCTGCCCGACTCTCTAACCACTCTGGTCTTTGGAGAGCGCTTCAATGACCGCCTATCGCTGCCTGTCTCGATCACAAGTCTGAAGTTTGGCAAGTACTTCAACCAGATGTTGAGCCCAGATGATCTGCCGAAATCTCTATTGTACCTTGAGTTTGGAAAGCACTTTAATCATCCTCTATCCGTTGGTGTACTCCCGCCATCGTCAACTACAATCAGGATGGGAAAAAGATTCAGTCATCGACTTTCGTCTGAATGCATTCCAGCGTCAGTGACATCACTCTCCATCCCCGGTCTGGACAACCTTTCTATAGATTGCGGCATGTCTCTGCCGTCATCTCTTTGCCTCAATATTCAAAAGCCAAGATCCGTTTACAAAGCCAAATCATACTCCAAGGGCACTTACTTCAAAGTTCTAAAGAGCATCAACAACATTACATTCTCCCAATACGGGTCTTTCAATTTGATTCATGGGAGGAAGCTGGACGACAAATATGCTTTGCTATACAACGACTTTATGTATATAGAATTTATTCGATATGACCAAGAGGATATAGACCCCAAGGGCAAGCGACGTCTCATTTAATAATATTCCTCCTTCAAGTGGATTATTCCCCAACAAACCTCGACCTTTATAAATGATTCTATCAATCAATAACTCAATGATGTAGTTGGAAGAGATCTAAAATAAGGCAAGATCCTACACTAAGTATACACATCATCGGTCTTTCAACTCCAACACAACTACACAACACACAAACCAAGTTTATTAATTGTAGTTGTATTGTACATGTTACAACAAGTATTGACCTAGGTCATATATATTTATAGTTTGTCGTTGTTGGATATAACTGTAAATATGGAACAATAACAATTTACATTGGTGCACCATCTCTAATCAATAAACACCATTACCATTGTTGATCAATATAATACCATCATTTCTTATTCTTTGTAATAAGTGATCAACCTTGATTATCTTCTGCCGCTGGTTGGTTGTAACAATCATCCAGTTGAGTGATGTGGACATGATGTAGCATGTTGGGTGATTGATTGATTGATTGATGAGATCACACCCCACCCTCACTCACCCCACCACCACACTCCACCCGAACCACTCTGTCTTAAATTAGATATCCCGGGATATCCCGAATGAAAGTGATTGATTGATCACACACTACCCCTAGCACCACCACTCTCACTGATACATTCATTTGATTAACATACACCAAGATTAACGTGACATGTCACAAGGTACTCAAGTCATAATGTATTGAACAATCAATCATGTTTGAGATGGGGAAATAATGATGAGATGTCATTAATGAGTGGAGTGGAGGTGATCAATGATGATTGATTGTGATGGTTGAGATTGATGATGGGTTCTCACTGTTCATAAGTGGGTGCCATCTACAATTCTGTCCCCAAGGAAGCCCACGCACACCAGTCGTCTCCAAGACAACGACAAGCATATAATCAATCGATGATCATCTTGCTGATGTATTGTCCATTCGACGACAACAACAATAACCAATCAATCATCAATCAACAATAACAATAATAACAACAACAATCATTCATTGATTTCAAAATATTATCCAACAAACAAACAATCATTCATTCAATCATACATCTCATCACATCATAACTTATCACATCCATATCGTATCGAATCATTAACATCATTATCACCTGATCAAGGATGAAAGTAATATTATCAATAATACTAATTATTTGTTTGATAACTATATATACACTGCCAACAGTGTCGTCCGAACGTTGTGTTGGTCCAGAGTCATTCCGAATATACGATGACAAACTGGATGTCTACGTCGATGATTTCTCATGGTCCACCACCCGTTTCTTCAACAACTCCAAGTATGCCTATTCCGGAAAATACTCATTCGGTTACGTAGCCAAAAACTACGATGGAATGTACCTCGACCTAAAGACTGGTATTGATCCATCAAGAGTATGTTGATCAATCATGCAATCAATCAACTCCCTCTTTCCATCACTCACTCTATCTCACACTTATTCATTAACTAGGATTCGGTAATTCAATTCATGGTCAATGGTGGAAAGACTGGACATCAGAAGGTGTATATCAGACTGTCCAACGCCAATCATACTTATGATTTCTATCTTTGGGGTTCAGACTCAGCATTGGTGACAAAGGGCGACATCCAGCCGAATGAGTGGTTGCCAGTCCAGATCGACTTGGGCCTGATGGAGCCAGGAATATACCACGACCTCAAGATCTTGGTCGAGGGCCCAGAGGATCACGGACTCGTCTACTTTGACGACATGACTGTGCTGACACGTTGTCCCGATGACAAGTACATAAAGGGCTTGGAGAAGAAGGTGTGCTCACAGACCGACTGTGTCCAGGTGTCCACCAAGGAGGAGAACATGCAGATCCTCGTCGCGGGAACACTCTACCGTCAGTACTCAGTCACCTTCCGCAATGTTGGCGCCAAGACCTTGTTCGGCCTGCAGTTCGAGCCCGTCTACTTTGAGCCGCGTCCAGGCAAGCTGGACATCTGGGCGTGTGTCAATGGTGATGGCGGACGCTACAAGCCACCCAACGGGTTGAATGCCAAGGGTCTCGTGCCAGAGGCTGAGTTCACGATTGGTGTCATCTCCAAGAAGGGACCTGTCACTTTCAAGGTTGTCGACTTTGCCTACAAGCCACCCGCTGTCAAGAAATAAATCACTATTATTAATTGTTGTATTTATTACTTACATGCCTTTGCCTCGGCCTAGCCTAACCTTGCGTGACCAGGCTGTTGCTGTTGTTGTATCTTTTGATTGAATTGCAATTTCATCTTATATGCTTCAATCTGTTCCACTGCCTCTTCATACCGGCCAAAGAGGTTCTCGTTGTCCTTGACATACTGATTGTACTCCTCCTTGAGATTGATCACCTCTTGTTGACACTTGGTCACTTCCTGTTTGGCCTTGGTCAGCGACTCGCGGTCCATCTCGCATTGTTGGTGAGCATACTGATCGCCTTCAAACTGCTTCCTGTAGTTCTCCAACTGTCTCCACATGTCATCGGACTTCTTCTGCCACTTCATCGACTCGATTGATTGCAATGCCATCTCTAGGCCCACGCCATGATGACCGAGCAGTCGTTGCACAGGGTCTTCGTTGACACGCTCTTTGCTCTGTTTGTTGTAGGATGCCTTGCAAAAGAGTGAGATCATTCTATTGCCCATCACATCCATGTTGAACAGCTTATCGATTCGGCTGCGACAGTTGGCCGCCATGCGTTTCAGCTTTGATGGGTTGGTGATCAGTCCCTCGAGGGCCTGGCTGTACTGGTCAATCTCTTGGCGTGCGTGATGTAGCTTGGAGCGATCAATCAGGATGCCTTCCTCAGGTGTCACCAGCTCGCTCTGACCACCCACGTTGGCGCCCACAGGCACGACTCCTGATGACATGGCCTCGTAGAAGAGCATAGATATGCCCTCCATCTTGCTAGGGAGGAAGACAATGTCGCTGGCCGAGATCAATGAGGGCATGTCGGACACGGGGACATTACCCAGCATCTTGACCACCTCCACCATACCATTGCGGTGTAGGTACTCCTCGACATCGCTGCGCATCGGTCCATCGCCACTGACCAACGCGGAGAAGGTCACATTCTTGAGCATGAGGTCCTTGAACACCTCAAGCGCGACCATTGGCTGCTTCTGTGGCGTTAGTCGTGCGGCAAACAAAAGCACTACATCTTTGGGTGCAATTGAGTATCGTGAACGGATTGTCGCGCGATCAGCTTCATCCATTGTAAAGTCGAATGTGTCTACATTGACGTAGGACACATCAATGTGCTCGCTCAATATCTTGGAGTACTGTTCATGTTGACGCTCCTTCTGTCTGTTCTCAGCCATTGAGTTGCCACTCTGATGATGATGATTGTGGAATCGTTGGGCAGCCTTCTTGATCATCCACTCTTTCAAATGATCGGATGTGACGATGGACAGGTCGAGTTGTGACTGCATCGATAGTGAGTACCTGGCAAAGCCACCGTTCTTCCAGTCCTCTTCCTCCATATGAACGTAGTCCACAACAGTGGAGTATGGACAACGTTCATTAAGATATGGCATGAACAGGTAACCGACCTCACTATTTGTTACCAACGTTATATCAATGCGTCGGGACTCTACCAAGTAGCAAAGGAACCTTGGGAAGTCATACATTGACAGGAAGTTGTTCAGTACAAATATATCCGTTGTGTGTCTGATGATGATTGTTTGTTAGTGTATGCATTTGCCCTGCACCAAGGTGCTACTTACTGTTTGAATTGGTCCAGCCATGGATTCTCAGAGGCCACTGTTGAGACGATGGTCACTTCCCATCCCTTTTCAATCAACTGACTGACAAGGTTCAGGTTGAACTTGTCTGCACCACCAGTATTGAACCAAGGTACGATGATCAGTATCCTAGGCTTAACCTTCTTGATTTGATTGTTAAAGTTCAGATTGGAGTCCATGTGATACTCCTTCTCGGTCTTCTCAATCTGATTGATTGAATGGGTTAGTTACTTCGTCATTGAGATCTAACATGTACTTGGATAATACCTTGGGGATGGAGTTGGCATGGATGATGGGATACTTCAACTTGAATTCATTCTTGAGCTCATCACGCTTCTCTTTGTTAAAGTTGGACCATGCGTTGACTGATCCATTGTGATCTTTACGTCGATACCAGTCGAGGTACTCGGGCACGGTCTCACCCCAAAGGCCACGCTCGGCACACTTGAGCAGGAAGTCCCAATCCTCCATTCCACCAGTGATACGTTCATCAAAGCCAAAGAATGTAGGTGTCATTGATGAGCCCGACATCTGATTGATTGATAACGATCTTGATTGGAGACTGAACACATCCTTGCGGTACATGATGGTGGCGGTAACCTGGTTCTCGGTAATGAACGCATCGCCTTGCTCAAAGCCCTTGTCCCATGTGTACTGCATCTGTCCAAAACCAATGGTGTAGCCCTTGGCAAAGCTGATGTGTGGCGAAGTCTCGAGCTTCCAGGCAAGCTTCTCCAGTGTGGTTGGCTCAATCATATCATCACCGTCCAGGAAGAAGATGTATGAGGCCTTGGAGTACTTGACACCAGTGTTACGCGCTGCGCTTAGTCCTCTGTTGGTGCTATGTGCTCGCACAGAAACACGACCATCGCGTTCCTTCCATCGCTGGATGAACTTCTTGAGCGCCAGATCGGACGAGCCATCATCAACGACAATGACCTCGAATGCTTGAAGTGATTGGCGCTCCAAGGACACAACGGTCTCTTGCAGGAGCTCGGTGTCTGTGTTATAAACTGGAATGATCACTGTGACTACGGGGCTGGAGCATGTGAACGGGTCGGCTGTTGGGGCAATGGCGCCAGGCTCCAGCTCCAACTCGTAATGATAGCTCTGTGCGCGATGTGGTGAGGCGGGCGTGCAGTCATAGCCATTGGTCTCGCCAGCCTGGAACACACATCCGACCGGCGGTGCCATGGCCTGCAGTTGGCTACGCGACTTTAGCATGGAGAAGCGACAGTAGGAGTTGAGTACGCGATCCTCGTAGTTGTCCTCCGTCTGTGTGTAGGAGGATGGTATACGCATCAACAGCGACACCACCAACAAGATAGACACACCAAGTAACAGACTGGTACCAAGCAAGATAGTGAAGCGTCTCGGTCTGCGGATACAGGCTTGTCCAATCCAGTGCATCCAAGTAGCGCATACGCCCCTACTACCGCTGCTACTTGAGTGTTTACCTTTGCGTCGACGACTATCTCGTTCTTTATGTGATAATGATGTCTCGTCACTTGCATCATCATCCTCATCTGATGAACTGTTATGTAATGATCCACCATTGCTACTACCTCCATTATTATTGATTGTCAATGAAGTGGCATTGTTCTGCAATCTATTGTGAGTTGTTGCTAGGCCATTGAATCCAACCAGTCTATCTCTTGATACCCTCCTCGTACTTGACAAATGAGTATTATCATCATAATGTATTGTTGTAATTGTTGCTGGATGATCATTATTATTATTAATATTATTAATATGATTAATGTTGTTCAATAACAATGTTGTTGAAGGTGTTTGTTGATAGTAATCATTATTATTGTCATTATTATTTGATACATCTCCTTCAATCATCCTTCCTTTCTTTCTTCTGGATATTGTAATACTATAATATTGTAATACTATGATATGTTACAAGTGTACTAAGTTGTAGAGGTTGTCAAAGGCAAGGCATGCTAGGCAGAGAAGTCAGCCTGACTGATGTGTAGCGCAGCCAGCCATCCACTACCATTCATTCACTCACTAAGTCAGCTACCATGACCACTCACCTCATGCTTGCTTCCTTTGAACCCACCTGCCTTTGTGTGTTTGATTAAAGTGTAGAAGGTGTTGGTGGATGGGAATAATGAATGTGTTTGGCCCACCCACTACATGTTACTTCAAAGTCAAACTAACGTTACCTTTATTCAATCATTCATTCAATCGATGATGACAAGTACAAGTAGTTGTAATTATAACAATAATAATAATAGTAGTAGTGATACTTCGAAATTCACGATGATAAGAGATATAAATTTATATGTATAGATTGTAATAAGTTGATATGTTCATTATGTGTTGCAACATTACATAAGAGACATGACATTGAGAATGTTGATAATGTAAAGAAGTTATCAAAGAGACAACAATATAATGAGACTTCAATTAATAGATTGAATTTATTATGGAGTACACTTAAACAGTTGTCAACACAATATACTACATTGACAAAGACCAAGAATGATGTTACAGAGAGATGTAGAGAACTACATGAATTGCTAGTAATCGAGGAGCACAGAGTCAACACAAGAATCAATGATCGAGTCCACCAGGCATCATCGGCCATCAACGACATAATCAATGAGATACAGTGTATCAACAATGTATTCAAATCAACAAGGTGCAAAAGATCAATGATGATCTGGACCTGGACGACATCGTTCAATCAATCACATCGTCAAAGTCATTCGATCAGTTCATCGATCAATCATTCACTGGTATGGTCCTCGAGGACAAGCGATCAATGAACATAGATATTGATATCAATGACATTGAGTTGATGAGGTTGGTGCAGGTGAGCCTAAAACACATGATCAGTGCAGAGTATCAACATATTCCTAATTGCCTTGTAAATGTGGATCACGACATGACTAGTAGCATCAAGGATCAACTGAGCTCATGCTTCGAGATTATTGATGAGGCGGCATTGTGCAATCACAACAAAGGACGGATCATTAGTGTAGGTCCTGAGTCGACCATGATCTATACTCCATCAAACAATGTTTGGTCGATCATCGATGAGACTAAATTGATTCTCTTAGAGGCCCTGAATTCCACGTACGCTCGTGGCAACATCTACTCATTTGGAGGCCCAGGGGATGGTCCGTCCACGTTCATCAGGTTCTCATTGGCTGATGGTAAATGGCATGGCGATAAACAACAAGATATACTACGTTACACAGGCAGGCTTATCGACATGGTATGATGGCGACCATCTCATCTACTTGGTCAATGGCGTGGGTCAAATAAGCCGTGTGCATACCTTCAACATTGAGACACATCAGTTCAATTATCTGGGCAACCTGTCAAGGTATCTAGTCTCTATGTATTTATATATCTACAGAAAACAACTTATATGTGTCGATGGATACAGGGCCAACGACGAGGAGAGTTGTCCCATCGATCGCTTCAACTTGGCCACATTGGAATTCGAAGAGAGTACAAAGCTCTCGTGGACGGTGCCCTCATGTTGTTTTGACGGTAAGAACCTGTTATACTTGTTATCGACCGGTGGTATGTTCCGTAGTGTATCGTTGGCCACCAGACGAGAGACTGAGCTGGCATCGGTACCAATTGAAAAGGTGCTCACCAACAATCTGTGCTATGGACCACAACATCAAACCATCTACCTATTCCAAGGAAGGAAACAAAACTACCGAAACTCAATCAAACATAATGTTTGGACCAAGTTGGATGACAAAGATCCAATTAAATCACGTAATCATCATGGCATTGGTGTTGTGTTGGATGATCAAATTTAAAGTGATCAAATACGCCCACTTTGTCAATGTCGTTCGGTCATTCAACAACTACAACAACAGATATATATATATAAATATATAAGTAAAGAATGTTTACAACAGTACCATTKGACTCAATATTGTAGTAGAGGTATCATTAGTGTGTCACCATCAACAACAACAATGAGACTTGGTGTTGGTGTTGGTGTTGTCAAATGCCTGCATCATCGTTCAAAGATGACCAACATCTGCCCCATGAACAACCAAACTAGGAGTATAACAACAATGTCTGTATCAGATATAAATGAAAACCTCTTCAGAAGACGTACAACTACACCAGGTATGTAAGCTTGTCAACACAAGTATCTTCAGTCAGACCTACAGACACGCGCCACATCCAAATCGGGATTGGACCAGGGCCATCCTACTTCAAGGACTCAACCCCAGACTCACACTTTATTTCAAATTGAACAAATGAACATCCTCACTTCAAGTCATTCATAGTTATACAACAAATCAATACATAACAGATAATAGATATTATAGTAATAATAACAACAACTACAAGAAGAAGATGACGACTAACAACAACAAGGCATCAGTTACAATCTTCCCAGACTTGGAGACAGCAACTGCTCAGATATTGATTGTCGATGAGTCAACTAAGCAGTGCGCAATCCTTGATTCGGTGCTCAACTATACTGTCGCATCAGGCCGCACAAGCACTACGTCAATCGACAAGTTGTTGGCAGTCATCGAGGAGAAGGGCTACAAAGTGCAATGGGTGCTCGAGTCACACATCCACGCCGACCATCTATCGGCCGCACACTACATCAAGTCCAAGTACCCCGATGCACGCAGCGCAATCGGAGAGGGCGCCAAGAAGGTTCAGCAGACCTTCAAGCACATCTACAATCTGGGCCACGACTTCCCCGTCGACGGCAGCCAATTCGACCAACTGTGGAAGGATGGCGAGACATTCCAGATCGGCAGTCTCAACGTGCGCGTGATCCACACGCCCGGCCACACGCCCGCCTGCGTCTCCTACTACATCGTCGACGACTGTCTGTTTGTCGGCGACACCATGTTCATGCCCGACGTGGGCACTGCCCGCTGCGACTTCCCCGACGGAAGCGCTGTCACCCTTTACGAGTCGATGCAGAAGCTTCTCGCACTGCCCGAGTCCACAGACGTCTACGTTTGCCACGACTATCCACCCGCCGGCCGCGAGATCGGCTTCAAGACGACCATTGGCGAGCAGCGCAAATTGAACAAGCACATCAAGGATGGCATCACCCGTGAGGAGTTTATCGAGATGCGTACGACTCGTGACGCAACACTCAAGGCACCCAACCTCCTGTTGCCATCGATCCAGGTCAATGTCCGTGCTGGCGAGCTGCCCAAGGCTGAGGACAATGGCATCTCCTACCTCAAGATCCCCCTGAACTTCCTCAAGCAGTAAGTAATAGACTGTATCTTGTCTGTAACATATATAGAGCAAATAAATAGGAGTTGGGACTCGGTCCCTTCATTCAATCAATCAAACTTGCGCTTCGTAGGGCCACTAGCCACTCTTCCATGGACTTGGCTGACTCGCAACATAGATGCCACACTCGTTTTGGTGTATGAATGACGACGTTGAAGCTTCCTTGGTCTGCAACAGCATTCGGCACATCTTTGGATGGGGATGATGGTAATCCTGCATTCTTGTTGTCGTTGGCGACGCTGGACTTTGGAGCTACAAGGGCAACGCGATGCAGATCAATCACGCCCTTATACTTAAGTTGATCCATTGATGGGTTGTTGGTGTTGTAGTTGGCGTTGGATGCTGCACCATCGACAATGTTTGGGGAAGCCGCATCAATGTCATCAAGTTCAAACATTGTTGGTTGAGTTGAGAGATTGTTGATGACGGCAGTAGTGCTTGTGTTGTTGGCATGTTGAGGAGAGACATGATAATAGAATAACATATGCTTCCTTGTATCCAGGATGAAGTAACGCCTCTTCCATGTCTTGATGTTGTTGCCACGTTTGCGCATCCAACCTTGTTTGGATACGGCACTATTGGTCGATCCTCTTGTGATGGTCTCGAGTAACAAGTTGGTAGCAGCTGTTCGTGGACTCTGACATATGTTGGCTGCTGTTGTTGATGTTGACAGTTGAAGTCCATCACTATTGCTTAGTGATCCTGTAATAGGTTGTCCGCCACCTGCATTCTTTGGAGTTGCCTTTTGCCATCCAACCGAGACCACACGATCAGGTGCTATCTGTTGTTGACCTGCTCCTCTTTGTGTAGGGGAACCTACCAAGATTGTTGGATGTTGGAGAAGTGATTGAGTTGGCAATGAGTTTGGTTGAAGATGAAAGGCTGATTGAATGAGTGATTGGCCTGAGGACACGAGATTGAGTGAGGCTGAGAGGGTTGATATGGGAGGTTGAGGAGGACTTGTTGAAAGAGGTGATGTTGATGTTGTTACAGGAGGTGATGTAGTTTGTACAGTTGGTAGTTGAGGTGTTTGTTGTTGCGCTGATGTTGATGTAGTAGTAGTTGTTTGTGTTGTTGTAGACTCGGTGTCGGACGTCGATTCGTCAGGTAATGGACTCTCTGCCCTTGGTGGCGTGAACGCCATTGGTGACCCAGCCGAGTCCTCTGCCCCAGGCTGACTCTCCTTGTTCCTGATCTTAACTGGCGATGATATATAAGTATTGAGCAACTGGTCGTAGATGTTGACGCGCTTCACCTTCCTGTCCTCGTTGATTATCTTTTGAGAGTTTGCCATTATGATCCTCCACTCTACTACGCTGTATGCCAAGTTGGAGATTGTTGATTGATAGTAAAAGTCACGCTCGGCCATGTCGTACTTGGCCAATACATTGTTGAACTCCTTCCAGAGCAGTGCTATGGGTCCCATGTAGGCGGCCAATGCTCCATCCAACGACTTGGGATTATACCTTGCCATTGTAATACGACATGTCTCCAACTGTTGTTTATGTGGCGGTTTGCCACCAATGTCCGTAATGGCCTTCTCCAGGAGCGCAATCTCATTATCAATGAATGAGGTGAATGAGCTGATGTGTGTCTCGATGAGTGCGCGACGATCCTGTTCGGAGCTGGTGGTATCGGCCAAAGCACGCTCCAATGCACACTTCATCGATTGGAACTGGCGATCAATTGTCAATATTGCCTCGGCTATTGGTAGATGATGGATTGAGTCCTTTTTCAAATCCAACTCTAATGTTGACAAGTCATAAAAGTTATTCTCCACATTGAACGTCTGTTTAACACTTGGCAAGAATGCGATGGACATCCATTCATCAGCATAAGCCGTGTGCAATGTGGCAAATGTGAGTGAGTCCATCAATGTTGATTGGATTGGAATATGTTATGTATATATATCTGTTTGAATATTTGATTGATTAAAAGTGAGAATAGAGGAATAAGTGTTGTTTGATCATAGTGATGTGTGTGAATCTAGATTCCTAGATCAATCAATCAATCCTACATTCAATCAATCAATCCCAATTTATGTGATGGGGTAGGTGGTAGTGGTGATTGGCTCCCAATCCAGAATGGGAAGGAGGTGGCTTGCGTCTTGTGTAGCTATGAAGCCTTCAAAGACCCCCAATCTTGAAAAATGAGCCCACCTTGATTCACACACTGACCAATCATCGGTCATTTTGTCGGTTACACACGTCAACTAAACATCGATGAACAATGGGTGAATTGAATGGAAGTGATTGATGAGATGGCACTCTATTATTATTATTTCTATTTACATGTTAACAATTGTTGGAAGTGGATGATGGTTTAGGAAAGCAAAGATTGTTTGTGGAAGAAGAATGTAGGAACAGCCAATCAGAACTTGTTCAACTTCTACCTACTGCTCACTCACTGGTCCTCTTCAGAGATGACTGTTGCCACTCTACACTCAAACTGTGATACGCATGTGTACATCCTATGTGGCATCATTTGAGAACTGCGGAATGGTCTTGGAGCATAGCTTCTGGTGATGTACTCCTTGACGTTTGGCTTGACAGTCGAGGCATCGTCATACTCTCCGAATATCAACTCCGATACCAAAGCAAACTCATTTTCCTTGATGTCACTGTATCCTCTTTCGTACAGATTGCCAATGATCCTATCCAGGTTCTTAAACTGTTGATGTGGAAAAGGTTGAGTGAGTCAGTGATTGAGCGAGCGAGGTGGACTCGAGTCGTTCATTCATACCTTTGATTTCAACGAAGTGTACTTGGATGTGCTGTTCTCGACCTCCTGGATCGCCTTGAACAGTGGATCAAAGTCTGTTCTCTTCCTGCATGTTGGTGAATGATGGTGAAATGTGTCAGAGATGTATACCGCATCATGCTCAACAGAGTATGTAACTTACATCTCGGAGAAGGCTCCTTGGTGGTTGGGCCAAATCTTGATCAAAGTGTCATAGTAGTCATCGACACTCTTCTTGGTCTGCTTGGAGATCATTCCAAGACACAGCTCATTGGGCACTGATGAGCCAGAGGACTTCTCATTCAAGAACAATGGAGCTATCGATGTTAGTATTACAGACATCATCCTGGAGGTGGAATGTAGGGTTAGCACAGTGTATCAAGGGCAAGACTACCATCAGGTCGACAACATACTGATACAATAGGTCATTTGGGTTAATGTTTCTCAAGTATTGGATCGCATTCTCAGCCTGCTTGACATGATCAAAGAGTGGTTCTTGTTCGTCGATTGACTGTGCCTTTGCCTCTCTCCATGTCTTGCGCCAGATGTTCTTCCTGGTCATACGTGAGCTGAGATGACCATCACGACCAAAGCCCTTGCCACGTGTCCTGCCTTGAGACTCGTCGTCCTCTATCTCGCCACCCTCGATGATGCCAAACTCGTCAACATCCAGTGACGCGTCCATTGCTGGCGATGGCTGTTCCGGTGTCTGTATGCTACCGTCCTCCTTGTGTAGTACCCAGTCACGTCTTGAATGCCATCTAATAAAGTCTTCAAACACACATCCCTTGTTGGCATATTTGAATGACTCCATATCCGAGAGCAATGAGGGTGTCTGCTTCTTCAATCTCATCTCATTAGCCTCCTCCGAGTCACCAAGTTTCATCATCTCCTCCAACTGCTCCATTATCTGATCGTCAGTCATTGGTCCAAACTCTTGTGTCTCTGGTATTCTATATGAATGATTGATTGAGTGAGGTTAGTCGTCTCTCGACGAGTACAACAAAGGTAGGTAGTATGTTTTCATACACAATCTCTCTATCATGGTACAATAGGTATTGACCCTTCAGGATCTCAGGCGATGTGTCTCCGCCTCCTGATGGTGGGCTATCTGTATCTACGGGCATGTCATCAAGTCCCTCCAGTTCATCATCGTTCCAACCATCGGACTGAGTCTTTACCTGGGCACCCTTGGTCAAGTCATCCTGTGTCTTTGATGAGGTCCTTGATCGTCTCTCCTTCACCTTTCTAGAGATACAATAATTGATCTACATGTATCACTGATTAGTCATTCATTCATTCATTCATTCATGAGTCCAGTCCAAACTTACCATTTGCATCTTCTGGAATATCAGACAGTTGTTCATGTTGATCTTGTCGCTGCCAAGTGTTCGTGGGATGGGCAGGGAGTGCTCCCAATGCCATTTGATCTCCTCGACAAACTCTGACCAGAACACGAGTATGCCAATCAAGCTCTGTACATTCAAACATACAAAGCTGAAGGAGAAGAACAAAGAATCGACAGGTGCTCTCTTGATCACTGTGCTCTGTATATGATTATGGGTGATTAGTATGGTTGGTCGTGCCCTCTCTGACTCGTGAGCACGCATGTACACAGCATACCTTTGTTGGATGTGGCTGTGAATTGAGGATGTCCTCGTGGATGTTGTTGAAATGTGTTGGATCGTTGCTGTCCTTCTTGTCAAAGAAGAGATCGCGTAGTACAAAGTCAATCTCGTGGTCACTGGGGATGAGGGGCGCGGCCAGGGATGATGCCAGAGACTTCTTGAATGAGCCGACCGTCTTGATCAAACTTGGGTTGTCGCTTTGATTGCCCTTGCGCATGTCTGGAGAGTTTGTCTGGTTCTGATGTTGCTGTTGTTGCTGCATCTGCTCATTCTTCTGTTGATAGGAAAGAGTGTACCTGTTCTTTATGTTGTAGTCGGACAGTGATTGATAGATTGATTGAGTCTTGTTAGAGTCCAACAATGCATTGAATACATTGACGATGCCCAGTGTCATTTGGAAGAGTGAGCTGTGTGGCTTGCGATAGATTGACTTGATGAACCAGCTCTTTGTTTGAATCGCGTCAAAGTCACCATCCAATATATGAGCGCTCTTCAAAGGTGGATACATGACACAAAAGTGAAGCTCTGTTGTTGATTCAATCAATCAGGTCAGTGAGATGTGGAGGGATGTTGACGATGGATGTGATTGAACATACGTTCGATTGGGTCCATTGGATATCCCCATCTAAACAACTCTGTGCTCTCCATAACTGATGTTGACATTGTCTCGTCTTCATCTACCTCCTGTGGAGGTTGTTGTTGCTGTTGCTGTTGTTGTTGATGTTGAGTATATTGTTGTTGCTGATGCTGTTGGGGATGGGGAGATGTTGGCTTGGTGTCTGTATACCTCCAAACACTCTCACCAAAGTCATTCTTGATGTATGTGTACTTTGAAGAGATGGTCGTCAATGAAAGGAAGTTATCCCAGTTGCGATCATCAGGGTCGTGTGACTAAGGTAGGGTACATGTGAACAAGTGAGTGAGTGAGCAACTCTTTGTAACATAATATACCTACAAGCTTGGCATAGAGTATCCTTAACTGCTTCTCGATAGACTCTGCGATGTTCTGATGTGCATTGAGGGATGGGATGGAGATGGACTCGGTTGCAAGCTTCATCTCGAAGCAATGATCGCTGTTACGCTTGATCGGCATGTACATATATCCCAAGAAGTTCTCTAATCTCTTCTCATCGAATCCAACAAAGGTTGGTATATGGCTGTGCGGTGGCGATCATGATTGATGAATGATGAGTTAATGTGTATGCCCTGGATACGAGATAATAATGATGATGATGATATGTACCAGTTCTCATTGTGAAGTGCCACGGTGACTGCAGACATGATGGTTGACAGCTCTGATAACTCGGGACCAGTGTCGCGAAGTGCAAGTATCAGGAAGTACTCTTGAACGCCAAACCAGTCTGAGAAGTTCTCTTGCTCATGACGTCTAGCATTAGCAGGATCAGTAGTTGGGAACATTGCAAAGTCATTCTTTGGATTCATAAAGTCTGTATGATGATGGTGCATTAGATCAATCACTCACTTCAATATATGATGAATGTAATAACATACTGTTTGGCTGTACAGTTGATGGTGTTGATGATCCACTGCCGGCTGAGGTGGCAGCGGTGACGGGATGTGTAGATGCAAGTGGAGTGACATAGATGAATTGATATGATTGATGTCTAAAGTTGATTGTCACATCCGATATTGACTGTCTACTCTTCAAGCATTTCTTTACAATGTTCTCCAGTTTTGATACCAATGTCTCCCATTCTGAAGCAATTGTAAAGTCTATTATCTCAAACCTATCATCATGTCCATCATGATGTTGTTGCTGTAAATGATGATCCTATAATAATATCATAACAGTTAACTGTCAGTCGACATATTCATTCATTCATTCATTCATTCATTCATTCATTCATTCATTCATCTGTGTTGTATCCAAGCCTACCTTCTTTGTCTTTGCCATGGCAATAAACTACCTCTACTACTATTACTAATACTACTATGACTACTACTATTACTAATACTTGAATGAATGATCTTTATCTCTGTACAGTCAACGTTCTTGAAATTTGAAGTGATAGTTCATCATTCACACAATCTCACACTTCCGCAACCAATTCACACAACCCTTACCCTAACCCTTGCCCTCATCCAAATTTTCAATTTATGGGACTAATTCAATCAAAACCGAGTCTTTCGTTTCCTTCTGCTTCATTGTTTACAGGTAGTTATTATCTCATTGATTATAATAATAATGTTGTCAAGATATATACCAAGTGTGTCATCATTATATAGGATTGCACATTCATCATCTAATGCAATCACTCGACTCTCAACAACACCAACATCAACAACAAAGTTAATCACAAGACTAGCATCATATAGTACATTGAATCAATCAGAATCAGAGAATGATAATAACAGAATTAGCAACATCAGTAACACTAATGTTGGCTCAGCAATGACAACTACAGATACAACAACACCTCCACCTTTATCACCAATACAACAAAGATTCAAGGATTCATTGATGCCTGATCAGAGCAAGATACAGAGATTGAATATGCGATCGCCTCGAGTCGGTCGTTTCATCAATCAAGCGTACGAAGAGGCACATGAAGCATTGGAAGCTGGACAATATGAGAAGGCATTACAAAAGTATTATTGGATCATCAACAAACTGCCCTATGACTCCACCGCCTATCTCCAACGTTCAGTAGTCTATGAAGAGATTGGAATGTTAGATGAAGCCATCCAAGACACTGAAGTTGTACTAAAGATGTCAAACAGTTCGGATGATCTTGCAGAGTAAGTCATTCATTCAATCATTCTCAGTCTGGCACGATCGCGTCACTCACTCATTCAATCAATCAATCAGAGCAAACATGGTCAAGGGAGTATGTTTGATGAAGAAGTTAAAGTTCAATGAGGCAATAGAACACTTTGATGTTAGTTTGAGACTGGTCGAGAATGACACTGTGTATAACTTGAAGAAGAAGGCTGAGGCTATGGCCAATCCAGACAAGATCATTGTGCCAAGATATGATGATGTAAGGCAACTTGTGGAATGAATGACCAAATCATTCATAACTGACGATCAATCAATCAATCTATTATAGGACTACCAATATTATAACTTTATTACAAAGGATATGATTGATGCTGTCCAAATCAAGATGTCTGGTGTACATGGACGTGGATTGTTTGCCACACGCGACATTGGAGCTGAGGAGTTGGTGTTCGAGACCTTCTCAATAGCCACCTCCAACATGGACAACATAAGAGAAGACGTAAGTCCCTCAATCATTCAATCAATCAGACCATGGATGCTGACCTGACATCTTCCATCATCATCAATCAATCAATTCATCACGAATAGAATGATCATTGCCATAACTGCCACATTGCATTTAAACCAATAAGCTTTGAGAATGAGGAGGAGATTGTAAAGAGTAGAGAGTATAAGAGATTGGCACATACTATTACAAAGATGACGAGATTGCCAACGGGTAGGATCATCCCCGAAGACTGCCCATCATGCCACGAGGCACTGTACTGCTCGCCCGAGTGCAAGAGTGACGCGAATCTCAAGCACTCGCCAATCTGCACAAACAATGACCATCTGAGATCACTGATCAATCAGTACGAGAAACAGATCAGCTCACTCACCGAGTTTGAGAGGACTGGCTACATGCTGCTGCTCAAGATGCTGGCGGCGCAGCACTCCAATGGCGACAAGAACTCACCTCTGCGCCCATTCACACTGGACGATCATACAAAGCGCCTGGTCTACGCCATGCCAGACAACTCGCAATTCCTGTTGTCGCGCAAGGAGTCCAAGCTGTACGCGCTCATCAAGGACATCTTCCACGATCGCCGCGGCCTCACACCCGAGCTGTTCTACAGGTTCAAGTCGATGATCACTTTGAACCAGCTGTCGATGTACACCAGCACCATCCATGTGCACTGCACAAAGGATGCGCTGGACGAGCTGGGCTTCAACTTTGACTTTGAGGACCGCGTCGGCAAGTTCTTTGTCGGCATCCCCCTGCACACAAGCTTCATCAACCATTCATGCGAGCCAAACATCTTCATTGCAGCGCCAATCATCAATGATAAGCAACTACGTGTTGTCACCAAACGCCCTATCAAGAAGGGTGAGGAACTGTTTGTTACCTACCTTGATGGCCACAACCTTTCCACCGATCGTCGACGCGAGATGCTTCTGGACAGCTATGGATTCGAATGCAAATGTCCACAATGTCTAGCCAACAAGACCATACCATTGCTTCAGAGGATACAATAACAAACCTTATTATCATATATACAAGTCGATCAACCAACGTGTTGTCGCGGATGTTGGATACAGGATTAGTATACTTTGGAGAGTGCATTAGACAAGGAGTGGCAGAGGACTAGGTCATGTGGCCTGGCCTCAACCATCACTTGAGTGTTTATTCACAATGGGTACCATCCCTGCCCGGCGACAGAGTCTTCTGGGCTGGAGGGATGTCCAAAAAAAGCTAAAGCATATACTTGGTTGGTTGATGTTGTTGCTGCAATGCTTGTGGAATAGGTTTACAAAGGGTATCTATATCTATATAATATGTTTGTATGAGTTGAGTGTTCGTTTGCCTCGCTGTTGTTGTTGTTGGATGTTTCGCTGGCGACCCGCCAGCCAGCCACACATTTGTTACATTCTTCCGCGCCACACACACCAGACAATCAACTATTGAATGATCTCAATCTGAGTGTACTTGTTTAGTGCACTGACAAGGAGGAACAGTTCATCCTCGATCTCACTGTCGTCCCAGACCTTGGAGAAGAACTCGACCGAGCCCAAGAAGGTGAAGGTCGTGCGCATCTTTTGTAGGTTGTGTGGACGCAGGTAGGGCGAGAACAGCGCCACCGACTCTGTCTCGGCGATCTTGAACGATGTGGACACCTTGGTGAACAGGGGCACGAGGTCGGCAGACTTGCGCACACCGTAGAAGCGGAATGCGCGGTCCAGGTTGTCAAAGGCGTCACGCAGCGCGCGGTCCACCTTGGCCAAATCCTGCATCTGCACGGCCTTGTTGTCGATCTGGAAGAACACCTTGACGAGGATCTTGATGATGTTCTTCTCGATCTCGTTGGCCTTCTCCTCGCTGGAGACACGCTTGATGATCTTGCGAATGGCTGAGATGAGCTCGCGGCCCTCCTCAGGAATCATCTTCTTGATGCCGCTCTTGCCGACGCCCGAGCTAACAATCTTTCCCGAGATGTTCTTCTTGGCTCTGAACAGCACGTCTGTTCTTCCCTCTCTCTTTACCGATGCATCATGCTGTACCAATGGTATACCTGCGTTCTTCTTTCCAGAGCAACTCTTTATCATTTCAATCCACTTGTCAAACTCTGATGTTCGAGTGTTAGTTTGTGTTTCCGCATGTGTGGCGATGTGTTTCCGTGTGTGTTTCCGCGAGTGTGGCGAAGTGTTTCCGCCCGTGTGGCGGTGTGCCACGACTCGCGCGATTCGAAACTTGACACATACCTTGTTGAGTGTTTGTAGAGAAGAAGGTGACCTTGTTTGAGCTGTTCCTCACGGAGAATGTGTAGGGTCTTGTGTTGTTCTGGGGACTGGCATCCAACATGGCAAACTCAATCTCGATGCATTTGAATGTGTCGTCCTGGTCCGTCAGGTATATATACAAGCCGCCTGGTACCAGACGAACGTAGTTGGACTTGAACTTTGTTCCATGCAATGTTGTCTTCTTTGCAACGTCCAAAATGCCCTCATGAGTGGCTGTTATATGTGGTTCCATCATCAAGTCTAATTATAATATCTGATTGATTGATTGATTGATTGATTATTATTATTACACTGTTTGTTTGATTATAAAAGTATATAAGTAAGTAAGAGTGGAGAGATGGAATTGGAGAAGTGGAAGTTGATGAATGAATGAGTGATTGGAGTGATTGATTGATTGAGTGAGTGATACAGCTCAGCAAGAACAGACTTGTAAGATTATGTTTTTGAATTGTTAGAACAGGTGTAAGTAAGATAGAGTAAGAGGACGGAGAGACACCAGGGTGATTCTCCATCCATCCACATTGTTTGATGATATGAACATGTGACTGAGACTGATTGATTGATTGGGGGTGATTGTGGTTTGTGTGGTTGAGTGTGTGTGAGGCACACTCGCGTGTGTGATTGATTGAAAGACGTGATGTGATTGGTGATTGACACAAGATGAAAGTGAAGGGCCAATCTAAATCTGAATAATACTACTCACTCATCACTCAATCAATCAATCAATCGACACATTCAATAGAGGAGAAGGAGAAAGTAAGAGTGTCCGTGCCCATGGGCAAGGACAAGACATGTATATTACATTATGTTTGTGACTTCCAACCTAGGTTCTGATTGATGATGCTGTTGTTGTTATACTCAAAGTCCTTTTATATATCTTTATATGTTTGTTTTGTTTATGTGTTTGTTTGATTGAGTGTTTGCTGGATGAAAGTAAAGATTCACAACAACAAATCTTGATGGACAGGTCAGTCACAACCTTTTGATTAAATTAAGAAACCTGATCGGATTCAAGCACGACTGGATATTTTTTTGCTCTGGAAAGCTTGGAAAAAACCAAAATGATCACCGATCGCCTTCCTAAAGAGGGAGCCAAGTCCTGATTTTATTTGGATGGCCCCGACCAAAATCATGTAGGACCATGCCCACCCATAAACCTAGGGATTGTCCTACTTGGTGGATGGTTTATTATTATTATTTATACTTGTACTTCATTGTTTAGATCAAACGATCACACATGTTGATGATGTTCAAACATCCATTGACAAAGGCATGATGGCGAACTGTTCTGAGCAGCTTGGTAATGTTCATCTGGTCTACCTTTGCTCGAACATAAGGTGAGAGTGATGATCCAGATCCATCATGGGTACTATCACCTTCAAACATATAAGTGATCAATTTGTGATGGTTGTTGATGACAGCATTCTGGATGCTGGACATTGAAGGCAGATGTCTCTGGAGTTGTGATGCTGTCACACATCGTTGATGTATCATGCGGAGAATGTCCACGTCGCCTTCAACACAGACCTTGTTGACAATGATTGGCAATGCACTGGACTTGACATTATCGACACTCATGTATCCTTTGTCCAAGAGATATGTCAACACTGTTGTGTTGTTGATCTCGTCCAATGAGATGATGTCTTGTATCCTTTGTTGATCCCAGCCATACACTGCGTCTGTTCTCTTACAAACACCAATTGCCAGATCGATCAAATAGTCAATGGCTTGGACATCGCATCTCTTGGCACATCGATCAATCGTGTATTGGAAGTCCGAGCAAGTAAGCCTATCAACTGATTCATTGTATTGGGCTGATGTGAAGTGAGTGATGACCCACTGGATCATTGACAAGGACTTGGTGGCAGCACCCAACATCATGTCGCGAAGTGTTGATCCTACACTATCTTTAAGTTTGAGGTAAAACTCTGAGATGGTGTCTTCAGTCGCCTGGCTACCAGGTGTCCCAATACTCTTGATCAATTCAGGGACGTACGTTAAGTGGTGTGATTTGTCCAATGCCACGTGCGGATACATGTCCAACAATGTCCTGGCCATGGACACATAGCCAACGGTCATTGCTCGATCCAAAGCATGCTTGCTAATTCTATAACTATTGAGTTTGATGGTGTATGGTCCACATGATTTCAACCTCTCAATCAACTCAATTGATATGATGTTGTCACTGATGCTATCGACCTCAATGATCATTGATTTGTTGGCCATTGCTGTTTTTACACGTCGGGGTTGTGGTCGTTGATATTCCAATGAGATGAGGTAATCGAATATATCCAAGTGTCCATGATTCAATGCAAATGGGATGGCCTCAAAAATCTTGTTGGCGATACGGCCTGGATTAGTTAATCCAATGTCATGGACCAGACGCCTCACAATGTCCAAGTGTCCACCGGACACCGCCTCGATCAAAAACACTCCTCTGGTGATTATATCATTGAATGGCAATGCAAGGAATATGTCCAGATGGTTGGCACGTCCAAACTTGCAACAATGATCCAACAGTCCTCGCTTCAAATCAATCCAAGCATCCAATTGTTGAAACTCTGGATTGATGCTGATGATGTGGCCAAAGACATCCAGGACGTTATGTTCGATCGCCCTGTACAACAAGCCTTTCTGAAACGACTTTTCTAGAAGTGAGTGATCATGCAAGAACTGTACGGTTTCCAATGCCCACGGTTTGGTGAACCAACTATTGGCCAACCGATCGTAAATGATTTTGTAGTCGTCGGTTCGATCGAGACTGAAGCCCATCTGAATGAGCTTTTGAAGGAATGCAACATGGTGTACCGAAAGGAAGAAGTCCTCGGTCATCACAAATGGAGTGTCAGTCGGCCAGACGATCTTTAGGTATTGTTCAAATATCCACTCCCAATAAGGAGGTGGGCATCTGGATATGCCTCGGAGGATGTTCTCCAATGCCACACGATCCGTAGGAAGGGACATGTTGGGGTTGTCAAGCAGTGCAACCAATGCACGTGTGTTACAATTGGCAAATGCCTCTGATAACAATGTTGTGTTGTGAGGGTATTGATATTGATCTTTGATGGTGTAGTATGATTTGATGAAGTATTCAGTGGCACCAAACCTGATGTAATGAAGAAGATTGTTGTTGGCCAATAATGTTGATCCTTTGATCAATCTGTCCAAATCAATGCCCAATGATGAGTGAATCATTCCAATCTGTCGCATGATCATTGTTGCTAACCTGGCATCACCAATCACCAAGTGGAACGCTTGATCCAACTCTGGAACTGGATGGCTACGAGTGAATGACATTGTTAGTCATTGATTGATGGAGGTTGCTTGATACCGGGATCGATACATACTCACAGTCCTCATCATCATTGTCATCATCATCATCATATTCTGCATCTTCTTCTTCATAATCTTCCTCGTCACCTTCATTACTTTCATCCGGTTGATTGAGTGAGTCGATGTGATTGATGCACAGTTTCATCAATCGAGTTGATCCAACTTGATATGCTTTGTTGAGGATGCTGTGGAGTGTTCTCAATTGATGTTTGTTTGTTTGTTTGTTGAATGCTGTTGAGTTGAAGTGGAATTCCAGTGATGAATAGTGATTGTCAGAGACTATGCTCTCAAGTGTCTCAAGACTTAGCCCAATATAGAGATCATGTTGGACCCCAAAGTGACGTTGAAGTGATTGAATGTGTTGAGGATTGCCATATATCATAGCAAACTCCACAATATCCTGTAGATTGGTCTTCAACTCATCCATTGTGAACAGATTGATGATGTACTCAAACACCTCTGATGATTGATTAAGTACGGCCCACTCACAGATCACAGGATCCGTCATAATTTTGGAGTCCAGGAGTTTGGACACAAAGCGTACATCATCCATCGATGCCTTCTCAAAGAACTTGAATGCGTCTAGCTTGACCAATTTGAGCTTGTTCTTTGTTCCGTATTCTATAGTCTCGCGACACCTGCTCGCCAATGCCTTGGCCATGAACAGGCCTTCATCATAAAAGTCATTGAGCAGCCTGTATATCCTTGCCATCAAAGCGGCAGAGAAGCCTGCCGCCTCCTCCAACGCAGACTTCTTGGCAATCCATACCTTGAATTCGTCATGTTCGTTGAATGTGCAGTGATCGATGAACTTGCATGCCAAGTCAACGGTGATGTTGCTGCCAGGCTTGTTAATGGCCAACACCATGTTTGAGAGTGATTGACCATCAAACACCGGTGCGGGCGATCGCTGGCTGGTGATCAGCATCGCTATCGAGGTGGACATGCTCCGACACATCTTGAGATCGAGCGAATTGATGCTGGACAGCATTGCATCAATATACATAAGGTCATCGTTGAGAATGGCTGCCAGTGGTGTGATGCGAAGACGCTTGGCATGTGGAGGGCCCTCCAAATAGGGAGCGAAGGCACTCTCGGGCATCGGGTACACACCCCTGACAATGCACAGGTCGTAGAGCTGAAGGACCAATGCCTCTTGCCCATACTCTGCGGCCATCTTGATGATGATGTCTTTGACGTTGCTCGCCCTGAAATACGCATCGCAGTGATGGCACTCAGTGAACATGCGAAAGAGCTCAACGTTGCCGGCCTTGGCAACCTGTTTCATGAATGGGCCAAAGTAGTAGGGATGAACATTCTTCATTCTCTGCCCGAGGTTGCTCAAGATGTATTGGACACTGTCGACCATGTCGAACTTGGCTGAGCGAGCGAGGACATCGCTCCATATGTTGCCAAACACGAACAGGCAGCTGAACTCCTCGTTAAGCACACGGAGCACATCAATGCTGATACCATGACACTTGAACTTGTACTTATTGAGACGTTTAATCGCTTCGTCGTACCTCTCATTATCAGAGTTATCTCCTTCACTGATTTCAGTATTGTCTCGAGGAACACTACCTCGCACTGAGAGGCGTTGGAGCAACAGACGAACAAAGTGTTCGTTGCCATTGTCGATTGCAAGAGGAATGCATTCAACAAAGTCTATGCAGTGTGTTGAGTAACATGATGTGGCATCGATGTATGATTGAAGAATGTCAATGTTGCCATGTTGACAGACATGTTCCAACTTGAACACGGTCTGATCGATGATGATGTTTGGATGTTTGATCAGATGATTGAATGCTCTGGTGTTGTTGTATTGGGCGGCACACTTCTTCAACAATGTTGTGTTGTAAGGGTAGTTGTTGGCAACACTGTCGAATGATTCAATGAACATCGATATGGCATTGAACTTGAGCATCATCATCAGATCACCACTGGAGTGCAACACTCCTCCTTTGATCGTTGACTTGTTCAACCGACTATATATGCCACTGACATGTTGGAGAATGTATCGGCACAACAACTGATTGTGGAACACTTGATTGATCATGTGTCTTTTGTCATTATCTTTCATTTGTTGTCGTTATATATTTGGTCAACATGTAGATGAATGAATGATAATTTGTTTGATTATCAAAAACAAGAATGATGTCAGACGATCAAACTCAAGATATAATAATGGATACCTCTTTTAACCAATCAATCAGTCAAACAAACAATGTTGAAGTTGGAGTTGATGTTGGTGTTGGTGTTGGACATGCTTGCACTCTTAAGCTTTGCATTGCCCAAACCAAACCATAGTGCTGCCCTCTGCTACTACACGATCAGTAGCAGTGCACTTTAATGACATGATCAGTTCGTCTGTTGGTCCTCTGTATCAAGCCAAGGAATTGAAGAATGTCCAATGACGAAGCGAACCTTGCCTGTAGCTCTGGAGAATGCTCTCCAGTTCCATTGAATAACATGCAGAATGATGTGAGCCAATCGTGTAGATTGATGAATCTACCAAACTCAGAGTATAATGAGAACCTGTGGATGAATGGATGGATGGATTGATGGATGGTAGGTCAGTAGTGTTGGTGAGATATCCAATCAATCATCAATACTTACATGATGGTGATATCCTCGTTGGTGGCTGATTGTTGATTGTTTTGTTTGAGACCACAGCATTGTTGGTCGACACATTTGAGTATCTCTGATGAGCGCAACATCTCTCGTCTAATGTCCATCGTGAATCTGATGTTGTACTTCTGATGTACCATATCTCCTTCATTGCAATAGAATATCTCGTTGATTGGAAGCTTGGCCATATCGAATGCGATAAAGTCACTACGAGCCAATGATTGGTGAGAGTGAGTCAGTGTGGCCTTGACACTCAATCAATACAATACAATACAATACATACAACATGAACTTATCCAACAGGTCAAGTAGCAATATCTGCGCTCCATCATATGGATTCTTCTTTTGTCTCGCTCTCTTCAAGTCCTCCCTGTAGTTTGTTGACGTGTGAATGAGTCGAAGAGATTGGTTGAGTGATTGATCGTAATAACCTACATCATTTGTTTAGACTTGTTTGAATGTTTGATCCTGGCAGCAGACTCCTCATCGTCCGAACCTGGGTTCTTGAATTTATGGATGATGTCGCGACATGTCTTTAAGTAGGTGTTGATCTTGGCATGAGGCTTAGACTTCTGGTTGGCTGGAATGTGATCATCCAGACGACGGAATCGTTGTGGATAGTTTGACAAGTCTGTCAACAATGTAAGTCTCTCTATCCAACCCTGTACAACATTTACAATTCCATTGATCATATCCTCCCTGATTGTTTGATTGATTGATTGATTGAACGATGATGGTGAGTTAGTGATTGATTGATTGAAATGGAATGGGAGTGGAAGAGAGTACTTACTTCTTCAACTCTTGCTTGAGGTATGCAAACTGGTTGTAATCCTCGATGGCCACTTTGTAGAGTATCTCGCTGAATTGGATGCTGGGGAAGACCAGCTGGAGGATGGCGTGATAGGAACGTAGGATTGTTGAGCGGATGAACCGGAATCCAAAGAAGTTGTACATCATTGAGAGTATAACATCACGCATGTGAATGTTGTTGTCCAGCCACGCCCTTTCCTTCTTTGGCACCATGGTCGCAATAAAGTTCTGCACGGACGCAACGTTCTTGATGGCGACGATGTGATCGGTCTGCAGATTGTCCAACCGGTAGTCGCTGGCGGGTACCTCGTGATCGCTTATTGGTGGTCGCATGGCCTCAGTGACGGTCAGGCGGTCGTAGAAGCTGATGCTTAGATTGAACTGATCGTCGTCCTCTGACTCTGTTCCATCTGAGTTGAGTGATGCGTCGGTGTCATCGCTGGACACATAGCTCGAATTTTTGAGGATCTCTGCGTTCTCCCAGTCTGGACTCGCCTCGGAACACTTGTCCTCGACTTCGCTGAGCTCCTCGTCCACATTGTCATTGTCAATGTCCTTCGATATGAATGGGCTGGGCTTGCCAACTATCTTTACATCTGGCATGTCGCCCTCGCTAATGGCACCGCCGTACACCAAGTTGGCTCTGCGATGGCTATTGAGAATGTAGGAGCCAAACTCGTGGTCGGCCAGCTGCAGGTTGTCCGTGCAGAGGAAGCTGAGGTTGTTGTAGAAGAAGTGCAGTTTGATGGCGTACCGGAACTGGCGCTGTAGCACCTCCATGGACAGGTGACTGTTCTTGAAGCTCTCATAGAGCGTGCGGTACACCTTGGGTCCAAACGATATCAGTCCGTCCTCCACAAACGTGTCGTGGACAAATCGTTCAAACAAGTAGTTCTGTGAGTGTAGCGCGATCGATCTGATCGAGAGCAGAGAAGTGATCGAATGAGTGAGCATCGTGTGAACTGTATCCGATGTGGTTGACACTGACAATATGACTGCGAATGGTACAGTGCTTCTATATGAGCTGTGTCGTGTGCGTGATTGATTGATTGTTAGTTAGCCAGCCGCAGACACGTGAATGAACAACATACTGTAGTAAGTATAATAGATCTTGAATGATTGATGCGTCCCATGCTTCAAAGTTCTCGATGATGACCATGGGCGTCACCCTGGACACGGTCAGGCTGTCGAGCTTGTCAGTGGTCAGCTCGCCTGGTGGTGTCTTCTTGACGAACGCATCGATCGTTCGCTGCATCAATGGGAGGTGATGTGTGTGCATGTACCACCTCTCAATCTCTGCGATGCTGGTGGTTCGAGTACCCTTTGGTGCCGCCTTGCCTCCGCCCGTCGTCTGGGTTGGCTGCGTGTTCTGTGTGCCCTCGACACTCTGGTCAATGACGTCAGACTCCTCCAGTTGTGATTCACTCTGTAGTACGCTGTCCTGTGCCGAGCTGGCGTCCAGATCGCGAGCGTACTTGGTCGACGACTGAATGTACTGTTGGCAAATGGCTGTGATCGCCGATCGCAATGAGGAACAGTGCTCGCTGCTCAATGTGGCGATGGGTGGCAGCGAGTAGCTTGGGTCCAGCGGCAGCAAAGTCTGCATGCTGTTCTCTTTGCGCCCGGCCAGCCCCAGGCCGACCAATTGGAACATGTGGACGATGTTTGGGATAGACGTGCCAGTGTACAGGAGCACGGTGGGCATGCTGGGCTGCATCGTCTGCAGATTGATTGGTGTCCGCTTCGCCAGGTGCATGCGCGTCTCCAGCACGGTCTGGGGCGGATAGGCCTTTTCGATAAAGTTGACAATCTCCTTCATCTTGGGCATGTTTGAGTTGACCGTGTAGTTGTCCAGTGCCTTCAACGACTCGGACTCTGTGTACTGAATGAATGCGTGATATCGAGACCTTATCACCTGCTCGCTACTCTCTTTGTCCAAGCCGATAAACTGGTTCAAGTGCTCAAATGTTGGGTCCCCATCCTGTCGTTTGGCTGGGTATGTCGGCGATAGTTTCTGTTGTAGACAAGGAGTGGCGTAGCGTTAGAGTAGCCGTGCACGTGCGTAGGTGGTGTAATCAAACAAACAAACATACAGTTGCCATTGCATATGTGAAGTCTGACTCGGTGAGATAGGTGTCAACGGGGTCGTCTGAGGAGCGCGGGATGTAGTCCCCATCCTCCTTGCCAGGCTGGCGATAGATGGGCCTGCCGTCGTCGTCGTCGTCGTCATCAAAGCCTGGGGGCTTCTCAACGAGCTTGGTCTTGAGCCTTGCCTCCAGTGACTTCTTGGAGCTGATGGTCAACTCTCGGAGCTGGCGACTGAGCGAGCCCTTCTCGGCGAGGTTCTTCAAGCGCTGACAGTGCGAACAGAAGAACGATTTGGAGGCTCTGTCTCTCGAGCCACACCGTTGAATGTGGCACCATCTCTGGCAGTTCTCGCAACGTACCAATGGGTTATCCTTCAACTTTATAGAATGTTGACTATCATATTCAGTCAAGCACTTGCAACATATTAGCCTCTCCTTTGTTGCTGCTTCTGCTGCCGCTGCTTTTGCCTCTGCTGCTGCCGATGATAATAATGATTGCCTCTTCTTCTTTGGGGTTGTCTGTGTCTGTGTTTGTTTATAAGTTTATGTCGTCACTGTTGTTGCCTGTTGCTTGCTTGCTTGCTTTGGTCGACCTACCTTCTTCTTGGTGGTGGCGATGGCCATCTCAGTGAGTCTAATGGTGATGTCCTGTGTAGGAGGAGGAGGTTCCTCTGTTCTTTTCTTCTTTCTTGGAGCTATTGACAATATACTATTACTATTATTATTATTATTACTATTATTTACCTCCTTTGTACCTTTCATTATGTCAATAATCGTTCAATCAATGAACTATCACATGAATCTAATTCAACTTTGAATATTTCGCGCCCTTTGTTTGAGTGATCAAAATAATTTGAATTTATGGGTTTATCTAGGTTTGTCATCAATGTTGGAATAAGACAATAATAATGAAGTAATTAATATTTAAATTATAAATAAATATTACTTGTGATTATCTAGATGTAATTGTTAATTATTGTTGATTCCATAATTGAAGTTCCAAAGATTATTATTATCCATTAGGAGGGGGGTGTGGATGATGGGTGACTGTTCATACTTCTCGTGTGTGAGTGTTGATTGGAACCCACACAACAACAACCCAACATTATCTTTTAGTTAGTTGTTAGTCTCTCCTTTGCTAATTATACATAGATAGATAGATAGATACATATAATACATAGACTCAGATACATAGATAGACCTGATCATCATTCCATTCAATAACACATCATCAATCATTCAATCAATCATCAGTCTATATATATCAATCCTATTCATGAGGAATCTGATCAGATTCAATCAGTCAATCAATCAAACAATCAATCTATAATTCCACCATCCTTTATCTCAAACCATATTGATATTGTCACAAGTAAGTACTTACTTGAAGTTGTCATGTCATACCTTCCTAGGAGGAGCAAGACAAAGACAACAAGGCCAGGACAGACAGAGCATTACCATGCAGACAAAGCATACGCATACATACACATAAATTCAAACACACACAAAACTCCTCATCGTCAGAGAGAGACACCCACCACACCCCGCCCATTTCACCCCCACCACTAATAATGTTAGACGCGTGGTTAGTGTGGGTGGGGGTAGAACAAACAATTATCATAGCAAAGGCTCAGCTCGGTTCTGGTCAGCCACACACCTCATCATCATCATAATGCTTACTGCACTCACACACACCACTCTACCATTTACACTAACACACCGATCGACACAACTCAATTCATCATTCACCCCTCTTATACATTCACACACATCCTACACACCACACCCGTATAACATAACTAACTTGTGACAGAGAGAGATAGGGTGATAGTGATAGTGATAGTGATAGATAAAGTGAGTGAGCCAAACATTCATTGACACTCCTACTACTTCACATTCTTCAAACAACATAGAATAGTAGTATCATTGACTCAATCAATCAATCATTCCGTAGTCATTCATCCAAACGAATAAACAATCAATCAATTAGACATCAAAGGGAAATACTACGACAGAGTCGCCAACAAAACACACAACATGTCAAACAGCGGCGCAGGTGTCAACGTCAACAACAATAACAACAACAATAATGGGAATGTCGATCATCTGGCAGTGATCACACAGAAGTTCAGAGAGCAGAATGAATTGGTGTGGACACAGCTGGGCTCGGTGGCCGAGGTGCTGGGCGACCAGGAAAAGGCCATCTTCTCGTACGAGAACGCCCTCAAGCACAACCCATACTCTATCAAGGCGCTGTCACAGATCGCTTCGATCTTTCGCGCCAAGGAGCAGTTCCAAAAGGCCTCGGACTACTTCCAGCGCGTCGTCACCATCGACAACAAGAACGGCGAGGCCTGGGGCCATCTGGGCCACTGCTATCTGATGATGGACGATCTGCACAAGGCCTACACGGCCTACCAGCACGCACTCTATCACCTGCCCAACCCCAAGGACCCCAAGCTCTGGTACGGCATTGGCATTCTGTACGACCGCTACGGCTCGTACGAGCACGCCGAGGAGGCCTTCACCGCCGTGCTCAAGATGAGCAGCAACTTTGAGAAGAACAACGAGATCTACTTCCGTCTGGGCGTGCTCTACAAGCACCAGGGCAAGTACGAACAGAGTCTCGAGTGCTTCAACAGCCTTCTCAAGAACCCTCCCAAGCCCCTCACCGCCTCTGACATTTGGTTCCAGATAGGACACGTATATGAGTTGCAGAAGGATGTATGTAGATCAATCAACCGCCACGACAACCAGGCTGGCAGCTGACTAACCAACAACAACAACAACAAACAGTATACTTTAGCAAAGGAGGCATACGAGACAGTGTTGAAGGAGAACCCAACACATGCTAAGGTGTTACAACAGCTCGGCTGGCTCTATCACCACGACCCAACCTTCTCCAATCAGGAGAAGGCCATCAACTTTTTGATCCAGTCCATCGACTCGGACCCATCAGACGCTCAGACCTGGTATCTACTCGGTCGATGCTACATGATTCAACAAAAGTACAAGAAGGCCTACGACGCCTATCAGCAGGCGGTCTACCGCGATGGTCGCAACCCATCGTTCTGGTGCTCCATCGGTGTTCTCTATTATCAAATCAATCAGTATCGCGATGCATTGGATGCATACACAAGAGCAATCAGGATCAATCCATACCTGAGCGAGGTGTGGTACGACCTTGGCACACTGTACGAGAGCTGCAACCAGTACTCTGACTCTTTGGATGCCTACATCAGAGCAGCAGAGTTGGATCCACAGAACAAGCATATTCAATCAAGACTAGCCACCCTTAAATCACAGATTAGGTAAGGACCAAAGTGCACACGATGATGATGATCGTTGTCTAACTAACTCTCTTCCACCTCCACTTAAACCAAATAGCAACAAACAAAAGAAGAAGGATGGAGAGAAGGAGGAGTTCATTGATAACAAGTCGGCCCCAATGACAATCGAACCAAACTCACCAGGCGGCATGATGGAGAACAGGGGCCCTGGCGGTCGCAGCAACAGTGGCAACATTGGCGGACAAAACAATGGCGGAGGAAACAACAATGGAGGAAGCATCGCCAGCATGACAGGAGGCAACAGCATTGGAGGCATTGGAGTTGGCAGCGGCGGCCTCGCTAACATGAGAGAGGCTGGCAGTGGCGGCGGCAGCATGGGACCAGGTGGCCTCGCAAGCATGAGAGATGTTGGTAGTGGCAACGGCACTTCGAACAACAGCGGCGGAAACAACAACAGCAGCAGCAGTGGCAGCATTCCCAACCTGCCCGAGATCCTGCACGACGAGAGGAACCACAGCCTGCCTTCGTCGAACGAGCTGAACATCTCACTGACCGACAAGAGCACGCAGAGGAACAAGGGCAAGGATCTGAACACAGCCTCGTCACCCGAGTCCCGACACATGGAGGAGCGAGGACTGCTGATGGGTCTCAACGGCAGACCTGACGCAGGTGGTCTGTTCCAGTTCAGAGATATCCAGGACAGAGCCAGAGAGAGGGAGCCAGCCCGCAACAATGAGGACGCCATCATGAGAGAGTCTGAGCCAGACTCTAGAGAGCGAATTGCTCTTCCTGCATTCAACAGGGAGGCCTCACCAGTAATGGACATTGAAAGGAGCAACAGCATGGACAAGGGTAGTGGTAGACATTCACTCGAGAGGATGGCCGATATCGAGATGAAGCACGGCAGCAGCAGGGACAACAGAGTCAGCGAGAGAGAGAATGGATCAGACAGGGAGATGGTGGAGAGAACCAAGAAGGACATTATCGAAAAGGAAAGCCACGAGGACAAGCATCATCACACCTCCTCAGCATTCTTGAGTGCGATTGCTGATGCCGCTGCATCCAAGGAGAAGGAGACAGAGACAGAGACCGACAACGAGGAGAAGGAGAAGGAGAGCGTGAAAGAGAAGGAGAAGGAGCCAGAGATTGTGAAGGAGAAGGAGACAGAGAAGGAGAAAGAGAAGGAACAACCAAAAACCAATGTCGTCGAGATGGATGAGCCAAAGGAGTCAAGCAAAGAGACAACGACAGAGAGCACTCCAGCCACCACCACCACCAAGTCACCTCCAACAACCGAGAAGGAGCCAGACGCTAAAGATACCGCCACAACATCAACTACTGACGAACAATCAATGCAGATCGATGATGACAGCTCCAACAACAACAAGAACATCAAGATCACTGCAACTGCCACACCACCTCGCTCACCACGTCCAGACAATGTCGAGAAGGCTGGTCAGGAGCAGGAAGAAGCCAACAAGCGAAAGCACACAGAGATTGACACTGAGAATGGCTCCAGCACAGAGTCACTCAAGCGATCCAAGTCATCAGTGGACAGCCCCACAGAACCACTGACGCAGGCTGTCGATGTCAAAGAGAAGGAGAAGGAGAAGGAGAAAGAGAAAGAGATTGTTAAGGAGAATGACGACAAGGAGATGAAGATGGATAAGGAGAATGAGAAGGAGAAGGAGAAAGAACAGCCAGCACCACCAAAGATCGACTCAATAATGGCAGAAGGCTCAAAGGACAACAACACCAATAGCAACAACAATCACAATCACGAGAGTGACACCGCCAGCACTAGCACTAGCACTAGTAGCAGCACCAGTACCAGCACTAGCAATGATGACAAGGTGAAGGAGACGACTGACAAGAACCAGGACCAAGACAAAGAGAAAAAAGACATAGACAAGAAGAAGGAGACACTGAAGATATTTAAACCTAGCAGCAGCAGTCGTGGTACGACCAAGCCAAACTAAACAACAACAACATTGCAGTAGTTACTACAGCCAGACACCAATCCCAAGCCCAACCAAATCCAACAATCCCCAACAACAATCATTGACAGACAGACAGATAGACAGATAGATATACAGACAACTCGGCGTAAAACATTCCATCCATTCATTGACTCTCATTAAACGACTGACTGTCTTCAACAATGTTGTCACCAGACTCCTCACGCAGATGTCTTCTAAAGGGTAGGGCAGGGTAGGAAGCAAACTAGACAAGACTTGGACATAGCCAAGGTCTATGATTGTTTAATGTTCTGTACATAAATAGGGGAGGGTGGGGAAGGGGAGGTTGGTTGGGATGTGGAAGGCGAGCCTAGGTCTTGAGGAGGAGCGAGAACTGTTCAATCAGTCGCTCTTTGGCCACTGACTTCCACTCATAGAGCTTCAAGAGGTACTTCTTGAACTTGTAGTGGTGCCTTTGGCGTTCGTAGAGGTATGGGCGACGCTCTGATACAGACGGCAGCACCTCAAGTTGTACCAGACTGGAGTTGCGCTGCAATACTTGGCGGAGCGCCTTGTCAATCTGAACCAGTTCGTCGGGCGTCGCTGCCTGGTTGGCCAGGTTGACTTCAGCCAGATGTGTGTTTGTGGTCAGTGCGCCCAACAATGTGAGTAGTCCATCAGCTTGTAGACCTGCCGTATTGAGATTGAGTGAGCGAAGTGTAGTGTTCACTTGTAGTGCACCTTTGAGAGCGATTGCACCTTCGTTGCGGATGTAGTTGCCGGCCAGACTAAGGGATACCAACGACCTGTTGGATCTTAATGCAGCCGCCAGCAGACTAACAGACTCGTGTCCAAGACGATTGAAGTTGAGTCTTAGTGAGTGAAGTGATGTGTTGCGCGCCATTGCGTCAGAGAGCCTTGACACGGCCTCCAGGCCAAGGGTCTCGTTGATCGAGCAGTTGGACGAGAGGTCGAGGTCGCGCAACGTGCTATTTGCAGCGAGTCCCTCGGATATAGCAATGATACCACTGGCGCCCAATCGATTGTCATTGAGGTAGAGGCTCTGAAGATGTTTGTTGGCCGACAGACTTGGACCAAACAATGCCCCTGCTTCTGCACCAATGCCACAGTAACCGAGGTCCAAGTAAACTAAAAGCTCATTGACGGCCAGTGATTCAATGAGAGTCTTGGCACCTGTGATGTCGATGCTGTTGTAGCGTAGATCCAGTCTAGTGATTGATCTGCTGCGAGCAACAGCCTGTGCCAGCTTTGAACCGGCCAGTGAAGTAGCCACACATGCAGCCATCGCAAACTGGCGGAGCGTGGTGTTCTCTCGCAGTGCCGTATCGAGTGCTAGTGTCTCCTCGTGACCCATCACGACCAGTGACATCTTGAGTGATGTGAGTGAGGCGTTGGTGCGCAGCGCCTCAGCCATGAGTATCAGTGTCTCGCATGTGAGGTTGTTGTTGGCAAGGTTGAGTTCGCGCAGATTGGAGTTTGTCTGAAGGTAGCGACAGAAGAGCACACCTCCAAGGTCATTGAGTTTGTTGTGTGAGAGCTGGATGGAGAATGGCTCGATTCCAGAGCGCATGGCCTCTAGCAGTGGCTTGATTGGCGCCGATGTAACTTGGTTATGCGACAAGTTGATCCTTGATGGCACGCCATAGCTCTTGATCAGTTTGGCAAGGCCCAGCACCGACTCGTTGGAGAGGTTGTTGTGTGACAAGTTCAAGCTGTGCAGGTGGATGACCTTGAGCGAAGAGAAGGCCAGCAGGATCAACTTCATAGTTCCATCATTCAGCTTGTTGCCGCTAAGATTGAGCTCAGCTAGAGGCCACGCCAGCAATGATAAAGAGAGGCATGCACCATAGTGTGACTCCCAAGAGTCATGAGTGAAGCGCAGTGACTGCACGGCGAGGCCACTCTTTAGCAATCGTTCAAAGTGCTCCCTTCTTAACTCGTGCTCATCATTCGGCAGCAGAGACTTGAAGAAGCTTTTGATCTTCTTGCCTGGGTTGGGGTTGGCCTCCTTGCCATTGCCATTGACAGAGTCTGAGCCAGCAGTGTCAGTGCCATTGCCAGTGCGAGTGTCTCCATCAACATGGGCCGCCAACAGCGAGGGGTATGTGGAGAATACATGGTTCATGGAGCAGTTGTTGTAAGCCAACATTGATGATGTTGGATTAGTGATCATGGTTGGCGTCGAATTGACTGATGGCGTCCAGTAGCGTGAGTATGGCTCGGAGGTGGCTGGCGTAAGACTACGCAATTGCTCCGACACAACAAAGTTCAACGTTGTCATCTGAGGCAGACGGTTGATTCGATTGATGAACGATAACAACAACTTTAGTCCACTGGCATTAGTGATTGAGAATGAATGAATTGGAATGAGTCCAACCACTGCATCCTTCCAACCACGACACACCAACGAGTATCTAATCAATGACCTATATGCAGAGTCATTCTTATCAAAGCATATAACATCTTTGGTTGTCATTGTCATTGTTGAGGGATTTGGTTGTTGTTGGACTCCACCAGGGGTGTTGTTGGCTGTGATGGTGAATGATGCTGGACCAACACATACTTGGGCTTTGGGACCATCACGACCACACTTGAACTGATTACTTAGATCAAGATAAAGGATGTTGGCTATTAACTGTGGAGGTAGAGTATCCATCATCTTGTCATGACAATGTATCGTGAGTATGTATAAGTATGATTGATGATATGCTTAGAATAGAACATTCCCTCGAGGATTAATGATTGATTGGTTTTAGTTGACCAAAAAATCAAATGGGGAGTCTTTGAAAAAAAAAAACAAACAAATAATTATCCCTTTTTGGTTGGCTTTTGTGTTTGTGCCAAAGATTGGAGGCCTAATCAAAAAAGTTAGGTTGGATGAGAGGGACGTGTTTGTTTGTTTGTTTGTATTATGACAAGTTATTATTATTATTAATATTATTAATATATATATATTGAGTTAATTGTATGTTTGATTATTTCTTGACAATCTTCCATATAATGACGAATATAATGGCCAGGACGATTAGCAGTACCAGACCCATGATAAGCTTGTCTGTGGCCATCTTTCTGGCAAAGGCTCTCATCTGTCTCTGTGCCAACTTGAGATTGCCATCAATCTCATCCATGCTCTTGTTGATCTGTTTCATCTTCTCCTCCTGTATGGCCATCTCTTCAAGTGTTGCTTGACCGACCTAAACATTGGTTTGAAGTTGATTGATTGAGAGTTAGTCACTTGCGCTCATCTCCATCATCATTTATTAAGTTTGCTATGTCTACCCACTTGATTGATTGTTACGACTTGACTGGCAATTCTGCCGGTGGCATCAATGTCCTCAGCTTGTATCCTCTTGGCCTGCACCATTGTCTGTTGATAGTCGTCCTGTGGCGAGCTTTGAGCACCTGCGGCACCGAGTCCACCGTTCTCACTCTGCTTGCACGCCCATTCCAGTTCGTTCTTTAGTGTCTTGAGCGTCTCTTCAAACTGTGTGGCCTTGGTTGCGTATGGTCCCTGATCCTTCTTCTCCAGCTCTCTGTAGTCCGCTCTGAAGCTCTTTAGAACGGCATTCGCACGCTTTAGTCTACCCTCCAACATCTCGGCCTTTGCTCTAACGTCAAACTGTTGTTTCTTTCCAGATGCTCTAGTTATCTCCTTAATACCTCTATCGATCTCCTCCAACAGAGATCTAATCTCATTCTCATATTCATCTAAATCTGACATCTTTTGTATATATATTTATCGTGTTGGCTGCTAGTACTGAGTGCTACTGTTGCTGTTGCTGTTGTTGTTGTTGTAGTTGTTGCTGTTGTTGCTAATACTACTGCTGCTGCTGCTGCTGCTGCTGTTGTTGTTACTACTTTAGACTAATGATACAAGTAAGTGTAACTTAAATGATTGATTGTGATTAAATGAATGAATGATGAAGTACACTCAATAATTGATGTGTATGTGTGTAATAAAGATATATATTGGTATGTTACAACTAAATTATTAATGTAATGATTGATTGAACTAAATATGATATAGATAGATATATATTATATGTATGTGTATGTGTAATGATATGTTTGAATGAATGAATGAATGTAAATGATTACAATTTGAAATCAAATTACAACACCACCCAGGTTCTTGCAAAGGTTCGTTGTTTGTTTGTTTGTCTTTGAAGGAATGAAGCCCTCACCCACACGACGACTATGATGCAGTTAACGGTCTTTGAATGAAAAATAAATAAATATTTTTTAAATTAAACACTTTGTGTGTCTGTCCTATCCTATGTAAGTAATATATACTAATGATTGATTGATTGATTGTATATATCCTAATTTCTATACCTTTATATATATATATATATTTGTGATTTGAAAGATAATAGTTTGAAAATGATAGAAGCATGCTCTTACCATTAATACACCGATCCTTTTGTTGTAGACTTGATCTGTGACCAGGGCAGCCAGCAACGCCGTCTTTGATTCAACGAACAATTTTGTGGTGGTGACCGGCAAATGAATCGTGCGGGAGTGTGTGGTTTTGAATTCGAATTGAGTCGACATTCGATGGTTTGTTCGTGTGGTACATTAGTGTAGATTGCAGGTTGACCACACAATTCCAGTCACATGTTCATTCGTTCATTCATTTATTAACTATTTTCTATCTAATTGACATACTTGATGCATGTAGAATAGTACTATTGTTACTTAAATAAGAATGGATGTATCATTAGATGACTTTATAAAGGAGAAGAGGGCTGCTGCCAAAGCATCAAAGCTATCCTTATCCTCTTCATCATCATCAATATCATCATCCATAATAAAGAAGAAGACAACAACTGAAATGATAGGTCAAAGCTTAGATGAAGTAATAAGAGCAAAGAGAGCAAAGAGGAGTGATCATCATCATCGCAATAACAACATCAACATCAATATCAATAACAAAAGTAACATAAGTAAACATACAAAGTACGATGATAATAGTAAAGGATATCATGTCAAGAAGTCATATACAGGCTTCAAGAACTTGAAGAATGTATGTGTCATTGCCACTCATCACTCACTCACTCACCTCTGACACTAACTAACTTGAGATCAATGATCAATCATCAATCACATTAGACAACTATAACAACAACAATAACAAAGACACATTCATCTGGAGCACGCCAGGTTGAGTTGGATGGGTCATTGTATATAACAATCAACAATGAGCAAGCATATGACAGACCACAGTTGTCACGACTGAGGGTGCGTCGTGGAAGTAATGATGGTGTGATGGGCAGCATCACGACGAATAGCCGAGGTGTCAGAGTGTATAATGGTGCAAGTGGAAGTGGAAGTGGAAGCAATGGCAACAGAGGTAGTGGTAGTAGGACATATCACAACAAGTCAACATCATCATCTTCATCATCATTATTATCATCAAGACGTCAAAGGCATATCAATATCAATATCAATGGCAGGGGCAGAAGGTCCAACGACAGGGACGAGAAAGTAGACCATGGAAGAGGACCGCACAAGAACAATATCGGTCTCATCAAGAAGAAGAGACTGCTGTCGAGCCAGATTGATCACTCTCTGTTTGACCCACGTGGCATTCGTGACTATGGAAGCGCGAGCAAGAACGCCAATGTGAATGGCGAGTTGGACGACGAGGACGACGACGACTCGTGGGCAATCCTGCGACTCAAGAACCTGCCCGACGATGTTGTGCAGAGTGACATTGGCCGACTGTTCACCAACTTTGGACCGCTGAAGGACTTTGAGCTGCTGGACTACGCGCGACCAAAGGAGGCCATCGTCACATTCCGTCGTCGTCTCGATGCAATGATGGCCAAGGAGCGATTCAACAATACATGGATAGGTGACAACAAACTGGAAATAGAACTCATTATGGATGATGATGATGAGGACTATGATGATCATCATGAACAGGATAATGATGACCAGGATCAAGATAGAATGAATGGCAACTAAACTATATCATTACATGTATATCTAACACTCAATCATTCAATCATTCAATCACTCCTTCTTTCCTTCTGCATTCATTCATTCCTTCCTTCCTTGGATGTGACACTTTGACAACTTGCCTTTCTACCTGTCTGGCCATCCTGTCATTGACCGGATACTTTGGATGTGACCGGGATCGATCCAAGCGATCATGTAGGGCAGTAGTAACAACAGGGATGGATCATAATGGATGTCCATGTACAATGAGTGAAAAAAGAGTCGGTTGTGTATCTTGAAAAAAAAACTAAAATCGCAATTTAGTTGTGTGTGAAAGCACTTCATTTCATTCATTAACTTTATTCGTGTTTGTGGTCGTTGTCATAATTCAAACAGATATATATATATATATATATATAGATAGAAGTAGTAATAGTAATAGTATTAGTTAGTTGTTTGTAATTAAAGATTCATAAGATGAGCGACAATATTGCACTCTCGTTGGATCAGTTCATTACGAATAAGAAGGCAGAGAGGAAGAAGAAGGCTGCACCACCCGCTGCCCCAAAGGCTGCACTATCAAAGAACAAGGTAATGAGTGAATGATTGAATGATTGAATGAATGAATGGATGAATGAGTTGAGCGCGAGATAACTGACACACTCACTCAATCAATCAATCAAACACAATCAGTTGGCCAAGACAAAGTCAAAGGCAAAGCCTGTAAAGACACCAGCAAAGCCTGTCAAGCAAACAAATACTTCAGCAAAGACAACAACAACGACAACAAAGAACAATGGTAGAGATGAGGCATCAAGCAGCAAGGATTCATCATCGACAGTGCCAAATCTAAAGATAACGATCGAGAATACAACGGCCAAACCAAAGGCTGCTGCGACCAAGCTGATAGGAAAGGTTCATCCCAAGGAGCTCAAGATCACAACAGAGAACGACTTTTACAAGCCAAGCTTGACATTGCCAACGAGGCCAGTGTCATCGTTGCGAGATGGACGCGCCCCGCTCAGGGGCTCATCGTTGCTCAGCCGATTGAGGACTAGACGTGACGACCTGGACATGAGTCCGATCAGAACCACCACTCGCTACGATCGCGACGACTATATTGACGATCGCTACGAACAAGATGACGACATCATGGACGATAACATTGTCGACGACGACGACTACAGATACAGCAGTGGCAGAGGCGGTGGCAGAGGCAGTGGCAGTGGCAGAGGCAGCACGATCATTGGTGGTGGCGGCAGTCCTATCAGAGTTGGTAGCGGCCTCAGAGGAATCAGAGGCAGTGGCATCAGAGGCAGACAAACCCTATCACTTCGCAGCAGTGGCGGTGGCATGCCTCGCGGACACATGTCGTCGCATCGCGATGACTACGTCGACGAGGAGGGCCACAGCTCTCTACTGAGAAGTCGCAATCCACATCACGATATCAATCGAATCAGAACTGGTACACACGAGACTGGACGCAACCTTAAACTCTTCACAGGCACCCGATTGAGGGTATACAACCTCCACTTTAACATATCAGAGGATGACCTAAAGGTAATATTTGATTGATTGAATGAATGGATGACTTGGATTGATTGATTAACCAAAGACAACTTGACAACGACAGGCTATATTCGTCAGAGCAGGTGAAATCAAGTCAGTTAGGATCAATTTCGATAACAGTGGACGATCAAATGGAACAGCCTACGTGATATTCTACAACAAGGGCGATGCAGACATTGCTGTCAAGACCTTTAACAATGCACAGTTGGATGGTAAAATGCTCAAGGTTGAGTACGACAATGACAATCGTGATATGTAGATAGATGGTCAATGATAATGTTGATGCATCATTGAGTTGGCACGATAACTCTCTCGAATAATCCATCTCTCATTCAATCCATTCGTTTCCTCGGCCTCAAGGAGGACATCCGAAGACCTACCATCCGCGGCACACTACCAATCACAACCTTACAACAACAACAACTTCATCATCCATCAAGTCAAGAGTCAATAGCGCACCTACCTACCTACCTACCTACCTGATGTGGATACACACAAGCGCAATACATGTATTAAATATATACTCCATCCATCCATCAATGAACCAACCTTCAAAGAACTTCCTCCTTCTTTCCTTAGAATTTATTGTCTCTCTCTACAAGTTGTCAACTATCAAGGAATTAAAGATATAGGTCGTTAAGATTGATTGTATCTCAACCTGTCTATCTATCATGTGATACTCTTTCCTATTCGCAATTATCTGAGGTTTGCATGTTTGTGATATTTTACCCAAGGTTGTTTTGTTTGAGAATGGGTCGTCACGCACCATGGCATGCCTCTGTTGCTCAATCACAAGCAATTCTTTCACTCACTCACACCCTTTACACAATAAATAATATCTTTTGAGTTAAACAAGGACTTGTAAACATTATTATTTAAACAATCATACATACACACATAGACAAGTAAGTTATTATCTGTACCTGAAATATAAGATAAATATTCACTCAATCACTCAATCAATCAATCAATCAATCAATCATTCCATCACTATTTAGTATATAGCCACAGATATACAAAATGAAACACATTCATACAATGACGGCCATTCTGGCCATAGTGTTCTCTGGTGCCATCATTGGCCTAAACATCTACTCTATGTTGGGAAGTACTTCATGGTATGAGTTGGGCAACTCTCATTTAACTTGGTCTCTTAACAGAGGTCAATTCAACGGTGAGTACAGCTCAAAGACACGTCAAACAATGTACGTCTCCTTTGGCTTCACCCTTGTCTCTTGTTTCTTTGTAAGTATTAGTCAGTCCATCATCCCTCCCGCTCTCCCTCTGACACTTCCCCTCGCTCACTCACTCACCTCACACTCACTCACTCATTACTAGGCTTTCATTGTTCTCATCCTCACTCTCCTTGGCATGGTCAAGCACATAAGCAAGCATGCTAGAAAGTTCATTCTGACCTTCTCTGTCCTCGTGTTCATTGCTGACATGTTCTCGACATTGTTGTTCTTGATGTAGGTGTCATGTCAAGTCATGTGAATGGTACCATCATTCACTCAATCATACTCACTCACTCATTCACGCAATCAATCAATCAATCAATCAATGATAGGATCAACAACTCTATCTGTGACGACCTTTCGGATGGAATGTTTATCTTCTGGGACTCATTCAAGAACACCAAGCTGTGCAATGACTTTAGAGGTCATGCCCACTTCCCAGGCGTCACTCTCTACTGGAAGCCATCTGACGGATGGATCTGCCAGATGGTTGCCACCATCATCAGTTTCTTCTTGTTGCTCGTCGCCTCCAAGATTGTACATGCCAAGCGACATGGATACCATGTCATCCACTAGATTTAGATCATCATCGTTATCATCATCATCTTCTACTTCTTCATCCGTCATATTTGGATGATCCTAGGTTCATCCTATCCCCCTTCCCTCATAGTATGGTCAAATCAACGCATCCGTCCAAATCTCTTATATGTCCAACAACAATAAACAGGTTTATAGTTGTAGTTAGTCATTGTCATTCAATCAATCAATCAGTCACTCATTCATTCATTCATTCGTTCTCAATGCATCAATCAATCAATCAATCAATCATTAATTGGATCGGCAATAATCATTGCTCATTTCCACTCATGGTGTCGACATGGCAGATGTAAGGTTTGACTTTTTGTTTTTTTTCGCTTGTCCTGGTTGTCAAAGAAAGGTCCACACACTTGGACCTCATGGTCCCCACTCACCACCTCAACACAACAAACAATGGCGCAACGCACATTGTTGGTTGAGATAACAACAACAACAAAAAAAAACTAAATCGTTGAATATTGGGTGGAGTTGAGGTGAACACACATTGTTTTTTTTTGTATTTATCTGTCAAACTTACTCTCTCACTCTCTCCCAACCACATTCTCACTCACTCACCAACCCACTCTCCCTCACTCACTAACTCAGACGCAAGAGACAAGGTAAAGCGAACTTTGCTCCTCCTTGTTCAACAAATAACTCATTCATTCAAATACACAAACACTCATCTCATTCATTCATTCTTATTCATTCAATCACACACATATTAATATTTATATATATATATCCCATCCCAATCAAACACATACGTAGCTTTCTCAATCAAACTATCTAATCTAATCTACAATCTTTGTAAAAGATCAATAGCTACGTCGAAGAACTCAACTCAATTCAATTCAATTCAATTCAATTCAATTCAATTCAATATATATATATATACATATATAAATACATACACACAACTGACAGATGAATAACAACAACAAGATCTTCCAGTTCAAGCTTGTATTGCTTGGAGAGGCTGCTGTCGGCAAGTCATCACTTGTGCTGCGATTCGTACGTGGACACTTTTTAGAATATCAAGAGAGTACTATAGGAGGTATGCATACGAAGGATGCTAAGGCTTGATTTTCATCACAATCATTACACTCACTTGATGATAATGATGATGATGCATGACCAACAAACAGTTCACTAACATAACAATACTATACAATAATCGACAGCTGCATTCTTGGCACAGACAGTATGTTTAAATGACACTACAGTGAAGTTTGAGATCTGGGATACTGCCGGACAGGAGAGATATCACACTCTTGCACCTATGTACTATCGTGGTGCTCAGGCTGCCATTGTTGTTTATGATATCAGAAGCCAGGACTCATTCGAGAGGGCGATCAAGTGGGTGAAGGAGCTACAGAGACAGGGCAGTCCAAACATCGTTATTGCTCTATGTGGTAACAAGCTGGACTTGGCAGCCAAGCGTAAAGTTGAAACAGCCGTATGTAATCATTCATTCATTCAATCACCTTCTTCATCAACGTATGAGTTTGGAACATATAACACTAACATTATCCATCCATCATTGTAGGAGGCACAACAATATGCAGAGGAGAACGGACTCTTGTTTATGGAAACATCAGCCAAGACTGCTCAAAACGTTAATGAACTCTTTGTAGAAATAGGTACGTGATTGATCGGATCAGATCGAATAGGATCGGATTGATTGATAGACTTGATGTAAGTACTGACCATTCTCTCTTTATACATCTATACAGCCAAGAAACTCCCTAAAACGCCAAACCCAAGACCTGGCTCGGGAAGACTTCCAATAGCCCCAATCGACAATAACAACCCAAAGAAGAAGCCATGCTGCAACTGATCAGTCACCGAACAAAGATAGTTATATTCTCATCTCTCTCTCACATACCATTCATCAATCAACCAATCAGCCAGCCAGCACGCCGCAGCTTCTATAATGAATACAAACTAGCTTGTTTACTTTTGTTGTCCATCCATCCATCCCATCAATCCCAGCCAGCCATCCATCCAGCCAGCCAACTCCACACCTCACATATATTCATCCAGCCGATGTTCCATTAATGATTGAGAGGTTATCAACGACCCTTTCATTCATTCATTCATTCATTCATTCAACCATTCACCAACCACCGCCTGTCCACCGGACGAGGGAAGCGAGAGCAAGGTAGTAGAGCAGAGCATGGAGCGACATACCCAGCAGCACAATCCATCCATCTATCCACCAACAATCCAACAAACCACTCTTCTATCCATCAACCATCCACCATCCACCACCAACAACGGTATGTACAATAAACATGACTGGCTATAGCAATACATAAAGGGTAATAATATATAATAGAAGGCTTTATTGCTTACTTCTTGGTCTGCAAAGGGTTGGCAAGAGGAGAGAAGAAGGACATGTCATGTTAGTGAACCTGATGCTGTGAACACTAGTGGACACTAATGCTACTTACTTGATTGGAAACATAGGAGGAAGAGGACTTTGCCCCCGATCGCATGGAGGTCGTGGTCTTCTTCTTGGGATTACTCTGCAATGGCTGCTCGTTGAGGTTGGAGAACATTGGCTGGTTGGAAGATTGTGGTGGATAGTGTTGTGGGAGTTGGGGAGGCTGCTGGGCCGTTTGCATGTGCATTGGCGTCGGTGTGAAGTCGTAGGGCGCGGTGAACTGCTGGTGTGGATGCAGCTGGTGATGATGGTGCTGGTGGTGATGCGACTGTTTGCTCGTCTTCTTTGGCTGGTCCCTCAGCTTGGACTGCGACATTGGGTGCGAGGCCAAGTTTCTCTGATGGGTCATTTGCTGTTGTTGCTGGTGTTGCTCGTGGCTGCCGCCCGCTGGGAAGACGGTTGTGGGCGAGGTGGCACGGACAGTGCCTCCATCGGGTATCCATCCAATCACCTTCATAAAGACAATGGGGTCGGCGTCTAGCAGCTCGCCCTTCTTCTGTTTGGATGGTGTCTCCATCGATGACGAAGAGGAGGAGGTCGGATTGGCTGTGGGTGGGACATGCGTTGTCGTCTCCTTTAGCTTCTTCTTTTCCTTATTTCTCCTTCTGTTGAGATTGGACAGCTGGAAGATCTCCTCCATACTCTTGGGAACTGAGAGATGGCATTGGTTAGTACATGAGAGAGAGAGTGGATGCGACTCTGGTGAATACTTACTCTCTTCCTCGCCAGAGTCGGACAGGTATGACTCAATTAGTTCGTTCTCATCCATGTCGTTTGACTTGGTGGACTTGTTGTCAACGTCGTCGTCGTCATCATCGTCATCCTCAAGAGATTCCACATCCAGTATCGGTTGGTTGGGCGCTTGGCTCTTGAGGTTATCCATTATTGGTTTGTACAAGTTTGGTGGTATGGCCGCAGTTTCGCCAGTCGTTGTCTTGGCTACAGCAGACTGCTGCTGTTGCAGTGGTTGCACAGATTGTTGTGGTTGTTGCGTTTGAGTGATTGGCTGTTGGTGATGCTGCTGCTGTTGTTGCTGCTTCTTATTATGCTTTTGTTGTTGTTCAGCCTTGTTGTCCACTGCAGCCACTGACTCTTGCTTGGTGGGCTCTGTTGTTGTGTGTGGGGCTGTTGGTTGAGGTAGCTGACTGGCGCCCAGGGAGCCCTTTCTTGGCGCAGGGTTCATCAATGGCTGGAAGGGGATTGGTTCCTGGTTGGACTCGAGCCAGCCTGCTGTCTTGTACAGCTCATGCGTCGATAGGACTGGGCTCTGTGAATGGGATGGTGGGTAGACTACATTGGGCGAGGTAATCGATGTGAAGACCTGTTGCTGCTGCTGGCCATTCTCAACAGAGGGTTTGCTCTGTGGCAGCTGTGGAAGCTGTGGTAGCTGTTGTTGTTGGAGTGGTTGTTGAAGTTGTGGCTGTTGAAGTTGTTGTTGTTGATGGATTTGTTGTTGTGGCTGTGGTAGTTGTGGCTGTTGAAGTTGCTGTTGTTGCTGGTACTGTGACTGGACACCAGAGGAGCCAGGCGCCTGCTGGTTGTGATGTTGTAGCTGCTGAAGATGTTGCAGTTGTTGGAGCTGGATTTGTTGTTGAAGGTGCTGGAGCTGGAGTTGTTGGTAGACAATCTGTTGCTGCTGTAATTGATGCTGTTGTAGCAGATGTTGTTGCTGTAGCTGTTGCTGCTGGGTCTGGATTGGCTGACCAATGGGCTGGCCAGCAATGCCTCGTGCGCCCATACCATTCATCAAGCCCGTGTTGTACTGCTTGTTGGCTGGATCACTTGCGCTGCTGCCTGGTCCAGAGGCGCCACCATCCACTCCCATTGTCTTGGACTTGTGGATCTCTTGTATCAGCTCATGGCAATGACTCTTGATGTGCTGGGGAGGCACTGGGGAGCAGCACGCCAGCAACTCCTGAACCGAGGTGGGCTGTTGATCGACGATCTCCATCAGGATGGTGTTTGGCAGGATGTATCGCAGACTCTCGTCCTCTTCACGTGCAATCCTCTCGCGCCAATTGTGCAGTATCTTGAATATCCTCATCTGTGGCGCGGCATAGTTAAGTCCAACGCGCTTGGCATACTCCAAGTATGTTGTGTTCTCGTCAAACACCTCCTTCTCGTACTTCATCAGACATAGCTCCTTGCTGCGTCGGAGCACCTCCAGCAGGTTGTTGACGGCGGACGAGGTGCCGGGCGCCTTGGACGTGAGCAGCTGGTTCCTCAGACGGTCGTAGATGTAGAGCAGGTAGTGAGTGTCCTCGCGGGCGTACTTGATCAGCTCCTCGGGCAGCGGTCGGATGCGCCAGTCCGCCAGCTGGAACTGCTTGTTGGCGTCGACGCTGCAGTACAGACGCAGGAGGAAGGCCAGCGAGAACGAGTTGAAGTCCAGCAGACGGGAGGCCTGGCCCGTATCAAACATGTTGACAATGTAGATGCCAAAGTCGCGCTGCAGCCACTTGATGTCGTTCTCACTGCCGTGCAGCACCTTGACGATGCGTGGGTTGGTGAAGGGCACATTGAGGCGATGCATGTGCGATCGCAGTATGATTGTGTCGATGATAAAGTCCTCGGTTCGCGTCGATATCTGCATCAGACAGACAAAGCCTTGGTAGGAGCGGAAGTTGTGCGCCTCGAGGTCGACGGCAAACTCCTCGACGGAGTTCAGCTTGTCACAGAGTGCCGCCAACTGGTCAACGCGGTCGATCCATGTGTAGGCCGTCTCGTCCAGGCCTTTGGACACCTGCTCCTTGCACGCCACTTGTTGCTTGGGCAGATAGGTGAGATGGTTGAGCTCGTACTCGTAGGGATGCGGGAAGATCAGCTTCTCCTGCTCCTTGGTGCGCACGAAGGTGCCATTGACAAAGTTGAGGCGGGCCTTGTCAAACATGGGGTCGAGTGGTACCATGGCGTTGGGCTTCTCGCGTATCTTTGGCAAGAATGGATAGTTTGTGTTGTCCACCGGGTCCTCAAACATCAACTGAGGCTTCTGCATATTAATACCATGTGCTGCCATTGAGTACATGTAATCATTTGGTACATTCATTCCCATCTATTGTGTGATTGATCGGGTGTTAGTATGGGATGTTGGCGTGGTCGGTAGACTCAACCGGGGCCAACTTACCATCTGTGGACCACCAACGTTTAAGTATGGATGTTGAAGTTGTCGGTGTTGTTGCTGTTGCTGTTGCTGTTGTTGTTGTTGTTGTTGCATCATCATCTGATATAGTTGGTATTCATTTGGTGCTCTATCCATGTAAGGATCCTGGAGGCCATGGTGTGATCACATGATGTTTGTTAGCTTCTGTTTCCGTGTAGATCTAGTAACCAGTGAATGATTGCTTACCTCCATTATAGTCGATGAGAACCTATCAGAGAGGTCATCGATCACATCGTCAGGGTCGTAGTCCACCATGTTGTTACGTGGTTGTGAGTGCATCGGGATATTGCCCCCAATGACACCGTTTGGTGCGTTCATTCGCTTCCCAAAGTCATGATTCATTTTTGATTGATTGATTTGATTGCTTGATTGATTGGTTGGATGATCTAATATATATGATCGATGTCGTGTATGTTGGTATTGTCGCTTCGTTTGGTCGATCCTGTGTTCTTAATATTATTATATTATTAATTAAATATGTATCGAATATCTTGTAGTCGTTAAGTAAGGTTGAGTCGTCAATATGTCTGTTGGTTACTTGTTGTCGTACTGGATAATGGTTGATTGATTGAATGAATGATCGACGAGGTTGTTATTATACTCTAGAGTCGTCGTAGTAGTAGTAGTAAGGTTAGAAATATGTAGTTACAACAACAACAACAACAGTAATAATATATATATATTGATTGATGTATAATAATAAATGGGATATATACACTCACCCTCACTCTATGTCTATGTCTATCTCTATCTATCTCTCTATCTCTATCTCACTATACATTGTATCACTCACACCAAACCACCTTGTCCATGTGGTTGTTACACTCTCTCAATTCAAACATCTTGTGGTGTGAACTCTCTTCTCAAATACCTCCAAATTTTGAAATTAATTTAACCGTTAAACTGGGGTTCTTTAATTTGGAACTTCGAAACGACACATTAATGTCATCAGTTGGAACTTTCAATAAAATACTGTTTAAGTTACATAATCAATCTTATTATTAAATTAAACAAATAATGAACAACAATGAGTGACAAACAGATGATAAATCAAGTGTTCCACAATCAGTTGTTGTGCCGAAACATACTCGGACATATCAGTGACGTCCACAATCGATTGAACAAGTCAACGATCAAAGGAGGAGTGTTGCACTCCAGTGGTGATCTGATGATGATGCTCAAGTTCAATGCCACATCGATGTTCATTGAATCATTCGACAGTGTTGACAACTACCCTTACAACACATCATTGTTGAAGTGTGCCGCGCAGTACAACAACACCAGAGCATTCAATCATCTGATCAAACATCCAAACATCATCATCGATCAGACCGTGTTCAAGTTGGAACATGTCTGTCAACATGGCAACATTGACATTCTTCGATCATACATCGATGCCACACAATGCCACTCAACATCGATCATGGACTTTGTTGAATGTCTCCCGCTCATCGACAGAGGCAACGAACACTTTGTCCGTCTGTTGCTCCAACACATCAAGTCACGTGGCATCATTCCAACCTCGGATGACATCAAGAGACATGCTATTGATATGGAATATGGGGCCAACGAGAGTTTGCTTGAGGGGATTGCTCAACTCGACGAGTACACACTTCAAAGACAAGGCATCAGTGTTGGTGTGCTCCGCGTACTTCACGAAGAGTATGGACTGCTGTTTACTTTCAAAAGACTGTGGATCTGTGCACTGGAAAACGCAGCCATATTCAACATGATTGACAGTTCCCGATATATCCTTGACAACCTGACAATGGACATGGCAAACAACAGCCATTATTCATTGGCACACTTCCTGAGTGCCTGTGCCAGAGATGGTAACATCGAACTCATTAGTATCGTCGGCGAGTATGAAGTTGGTATCATGCTCCTCAAACGGAGCTCTTTATATGGACTGATCAATGTGGCGGTGGAGAATGGTCGCGAGGCATTCATCAGACATCTATACAAACATCACACATGGATGCGTTTCGAGATCCTTCGACTTTTGGATACACAATCACAACCAACTTGCGATGACGTATCAATGTCCTCGGACATGCCCAAGCTACCCCCCACACCAATGGCAGCAATATACACTGACGACCTTATCAATGCCGAGCACTTGATCACCCAGTTCATAATAATTGATCAAAAGTATTGGCGAACCATGTCTGAATCGATGGCGAGGCTCATCAGCAGTCCACGATCACCCCCACTGGAGTTCCATGACGGGACACTCTTGAACATGGTGACGGTCATGAGCCAACCTGGCAGCAACATCACGTCAGACATTGTGTGCATGTTCATTGACAACTGTGAGATCGATGTGGGCAGGTACATCAACTTCGTGATGGAGGTGGCGGCAGGATGCTCAGCGGCAGTGATGACAAGGATACATACCAAATACGATCAGCCATATGAGACATCTGAATGTTTGGCCAAAGCACTCACAAGCAGGTGTCGCGAGACATTGGAGCTGATGCAGGACTGCTTCGACATGGAGATCGAGGGAGTGTCTGCTGATGACATTGTTCATGATCCATTTAAAGTGCATCACAAGTTCATTTCAAAGGCATCGATTGATGAGATCAGATTGATGTTCAAGCACTCTGTCAAAGTCAAGAGTGATCCAAAGATATGCGAATGGGCAGCACGCAATCACTCATCCGAGGTGTTTGATTACATCATCAGTCTGTTCAGGTTGGGTCAATTGGTGGGCATATTGCCGGAAATTGTACATTATGCACTCGTCAAAGACAATCCTCAACACATCCATTCACTTCAACGTCACTTTGGAGATGTGGCCATCGATGAGATCACATCGAGTACTGTTGAGCATATGGCCAACAAGAATGCCCATCACTCATTGTCATACTATCTCAACACGACATCATTCAACAAACAATCCACGACTCACCGACTGAGAACAATCAACAACATCCTCAACACTGCCTACCAGATTGGAGCAACTCGATTGATCAAACTGTGCATCAATCACATCGACTCACTCAATCAACTGATGAACAATGAGTATGTATCAATCAATCAATCATCCATTCAATTAATCACTAAAATTTGGAATGATCGATCACAGTCATCTTGCTCCACACACTCAACAACAATCAATGAATGTGTCCACATGTCCAGGATTGGACCAAGCATTCCACTTGGTTTTTTGTGATGGCAAGCTTGCCACAATGATCATGCGACAGATTGGACTGATCCACTCATCATTGGGCATTGATTTGGACAGAGTGATCAAAGGATCAACATTGTTGGACAACAATCTTCTTCAATTCATCAAGTTTGGTGCCACTGAATACTTCATCAAATCATACTCCACCATCAACAATCAATACCAATACCCTCACAACACAACATTGTTGTCAGAGGCATTTGCCAAGTGTGACTCACTTGCATTGGAAGTGCTGCTGGCCAATCCCAACATGATGATGACATACGATCACTATGGACATCTGGATGATGACACATTATGGAACATCTCATCATGCTCACATCCACATTGGGAGTGGATACTTGATCAATACTTCAAGATGTTCACATCCGCCACCCCAGTCTTCATCAACGAGATCCTATTCCTGCTGGCTAGACATCCATCATTCCATCGCAAACTCATTCAGATGGGTGTCAAACTGGAATCGATCAATGAGGATAATGATTACTACTTTGTTTTGAGAAAAGGATGGCTCACCAAGCCATGGGCACTCGAGATGGTGCAGTTCCTGCGCCAACAATCACTGATGCCTCACCGCCAATGTCTTCAAAACATACTGGAGATAGCATTGTCTGACGGTTTGCCATCATCAGTGTTTGGATACATTGTCAGAGAATGTGAGGAGGATGTTGTTCAACTCGACACGTGGTCGCTGATCGAAAGCTGTTGCGAATATGGTCGCCCCGAGCATTTGGACATCATGTTGACAATGCCTGGGATTGATCTTAGTGAATCAAGATTGGTTGAATTGTTCGATACAGGTTCGAGGAGTGGATGCTTGGCAGTCGTCAAGCGCATTCACCAACTGATCAAGGGCAGTGGACATAGGCAACATGTGATCAACTCCATTCAATATGCTTTGGAAGATGGACATGTCGACCTGGTAAACTACCTCATTGATCAATGTGTGATGATGATGATGATGACCTCTTATCAGACCATCCAAATGGTTGGCATTCGAAGGATTCATCAGAGCATCGTATCAATCGAGTTGATTGAGCGATTGATGGCACATCCAAACATATTTGATCTCACTCATTATGATTACCATCATGGTCTGATCGATGCGTTTGAGCTGTGTGACCAAGCTTTGATTGAATACATCGAGATGAAGAATCCACCTTTGAAGCAACACTCGTCAGACCTCTTCAGAGCATCGATGAAAGTTGGCAATGTCCAAATGGCCAAGAAGTTATTGATGGACAAGGACCGAGGATTGACATGTTCTGCCAGTGACGTCGCCTCTTTGATCGATTGCATTGGTTTGCCTGGCAAAGGCATCGACGTGACCGAGGACAAAGTGGCCGAGTTTGTCGCATTGATGCCTCGCTCAGACTGTGCCAATGATGCGATAGTGGCTGCTTCATCCAAGTCATTGTCGCTGATCAAGTTGGTGATCACGCCATTTATCTATGAGATCAGTGCGGCTGACTTGGTGGCCTCTTGTAATTTTAATCGATGGATTGATAACTGTGCCAAGAGATGTGATGTCCAAGCCATTGACTACCTGATCAACCTGGCCATCAGAGTGCGCCATCGAGTCACCTCAAAACATGGATATGGTTGGGATCAACAAAGGATTCAAGACATGATCACATTGAATGTGTTCAATGATAGCAACGCATCAGTGTTGTCATATCTCATGGACAAAGGATACTTGAGTGTCGAAAATGTCAAGTCCAGTGCATTGGCCATCATTGTCAACAACGCCTGTGTTGATGGCAACGTGGAAACACTCCGCATGATACATCAACGATGTGTGACAGCATCACAACTCCAGAGACATCTGCCATCAATGTCCAGCATCCAGGAGGCTGTCATCAACAACCATCACAGATTGATCACTTATATGTTTGAAGGTGTGAGTGATGGATCATCACCTTATGTTCGAGCAAAAGTGGACCAGATGAACATTACCAAGCTGCTCAACACAGTTCGCCATCATGCCTTTGTCAATGGATGTTTGAACATCATCAACATGTGTGATCGGTTGATCTCTGCCCACATTCCATCAATCTAGTCTGTCTGAATCAGTTGTCCAGCCCAAGTTCCGATTCTTAATCATCCGGTATTCAAACAACCAATCAATCAACCAATCCATCAGTCGAGAGTGTTCGAGGTGTGATCGAAGCGTGTCGTTGTAACCATTCGATCACATTTGCACCCCCACCCATAACTCATATCCTGTTTTTGGATCACAATACAAGAGATCCAATTCAGATATTGATAACTTGACAAACCAATAAAAAGCCATCATTGCCCTGACAATGGGTTCTTGGACATCTTACCCCGACATTCTCAAATATCTAGTACTCGGATCACATTCTAACACATCACCATCAATCTAGAGATATGATCGAGAATGATGATCCAGTCAAGAATATGCATTTGCTTTTTAAATAGTACCCGCCTCTTTATTTACTTATTAAATTCAATCAATCAATCAATTAAATATGTATAGACAAGTAATTGTATTACTTTATTTATTAGTGATATCATCCACAACTGAGTCAGCTGTCACACCAACAGTGGCACTGGGTGAGGATTGGTCTCTCCCAGCAGGTGTAACTGTAGTACCAAACTCTGGATTCTACTCTGAAGCGGCCACACCAGCAGTTAACATCAATGTAAAGTCATTCGATGTTGCTTGGAAGCAAGTCAATCCAAGCAAGGATGTTTATGCAACCAACATTGCAGCCACCATCAAAGAGATGCCCTTTGGAACATTCGCATCACAGAACTCTACAACATCTCCATTTTGGTTGCGTATCTGGAACTCTGGTTCAACTGTATGTACATACAATATGAATGACATATCTAATCCTTTTTATCCTAATAATTGAATATACTTCTCCATATTAAGTGGGCACCATCATGGATTCAATCATATTGCCAAGTGACTGCAAGTGTCCAGGACTATGATAATGAGTATCATCTTCCAATCTGGAATCCATGTGTTTGGGGTGAACTCAAGAAGATGTATCGCCATGTATGTGAAGCAATTCAAAGATGTTATTCATTCCTTGAGTCATACATAACTAACCAATCACAAAACATAGTTCTTTGTTACAATGAACATGAGAGCCGACCCTAGGATGAAGTTTGTAAGTGCTAGTAAGGTTATCCATCATATCAATCAAACTAATATTAGTTGGATTGATACTTAGGTACAAGTTCCAGGTGCATTCAACTGGTGTGAGTTTGACTTTGACGTTGTTGGAAAGTACATTGCCAAGGGATTGACCTATCAGGTGTTTGATACTTGGTTCCGTACAATGGTCGATGATCTTGTGTACATGTTCAATGGTGAGAACAATGATCCATCAGATGACTTTGCTTACAAGTTGATCTATACTGGTGAGGATTATCCGTATGTGATTGTCATTATTAATATCATTGCCATCCACTTATACTAACTAACTCTGGAAATATAGTTTCGACATTGATCAGTGGCCAGCTTCAAAGAACCTATGGGCAACTTATGCTGTGTCCAAGGGAATGGGTATTCGCACTGGTATCACAGAGATATCCAACTTCCATTTATCTCACATTCCAGCTTATGGAGTCAAAGTTGATGCCAATGGATACATGGTTTTGAACAAGACTTGGCCATTGCAGGCAAATCCAAAGAGGGTGATTGCTACAGAGAATGAGTGCTTCAATGCTTGTGGCTACACAACTGCCTCCAATGTATTGGCCTATGCTGTCAAGATGTCCAATCTCAAGGCTTTGCAGATGGGTGTCAACTGGCTATACTTGGTCGACAATGATTCATACATCCGCACCTATCCTGACCTGTACAACTGGGTACGATTCAACCTTGGACGCTGGCCAAACAATTCATTTGAGGCATGGGCTGCTCTGAGACAAGCCCAAGACAACTTTGATTATGGCTTCTCATGGAAGGGTGCCCCCTACATCAAGAATTATGAGCGTTTCCTAACTCAACGTGATGTTGCTGGTGCCATCACACAACGTGGAACGACCAAGTACACCAATGTAGTCAAGGAGGAGGGTGGAAGCAACAATGGTATTGCATATGAAGGTCTTCAAACTAATGTAGCCAATGGAAACACATCAATTGTCTTCTATCTTGATGATGAGTTCATCACCCCCGTGACTCCATCTGGACCTGTCAAGATCAAAGTTGTATTCCTAGACAATCGCGCAACTTCATGGGTGCTGTCCTACGTCAACTCTGCGGGTGCCACTGTTCTCACTGATCCTGTGGTCCAAGCTGGCTCATCTGGCAATCTAACCACCGCCACCTTCACCATCCCCGACGCACACTTCAAGAACACCGTCCAACCTGGCAACGCTGACTTCAAGTTGGTGGTCACAGGTACCAACAACGTCGAGATCTGGTTCATCCGTGTCATCAAACAATAAAGAATTGATGCCCACCTGTTCATTGATTGATTGATTTGTTGATTGAGTCGCGCTTTATTATTACAAGGTAAGAAGACTAATGACCATGAGGATACAAATGACCACCATGCCCGGAATGAGGCGATCAGTGCTGGACGTTGTTTTTTCTGTTGTGGTCGAGTCTGATGGCGAGGTTGTGCTGCCAGTGGTAGTGCCAGTGGTTGTTCCCGTAGTTAATCCAGTTGTTGTGCCATCGGCTGTTGTTGAGGTGGTCATTGTGCCATCGGCTGTTGTCGATGTGCCAATAGTTGGGTTTGCTCCTGTTGTTGACACTGGTGGCACTGGATGACTCAACACCAGATAATGCTTCTTGATCGATGATCCTACAAACTTGCCCGATGGCAATGAGAAGGTGACCGTCGAGTAGTTGGTCGCCTTGTCAAACACACAGAAGTCACCCTTGAGCTCCAGGTATTGGAACACAACAATGTTGGATGCCAACAATTGTGTTGGATCACTCACTGTGATGTCGTAGTTGGTCTCATTGATCATGAGCACTTGGATCAAGATTGGGAACTGCGAGGTCACCTTGAAGCCATAGGGTGTGGTCACGGTCTGTTGAGGCTTCCAGAAGACCATCTGAAGATTGTTGAGTGTCCTATGTGCGACGGCCTGCACAGAGTCATCATTACGAATGACTGTGATCAACTTGGCCAGCGTATCCAGTTGCGAGGTGAAGGTGTTGTACATCATGTTGGGGAACATTATGTATTGGTACTGGTTCTGGACTGCGCCACCAGCAGTGTGGCTGAGGTAGACGCTGTAGATGTCTCCATTGGTGCCCTTGGAGTCGGTGCCGACGTACTGCCACGATGCGCCCTTGCCCTGTGTGCCCACGTTGACGGTAACTGGGGCCGCATTGGTCTTGTTGTAGACGTCTGGGAAGAGGATGCCTACCTGGCCATGGTGGACCCAAGACACATTGGTGAACGTGTTGATGCCGCCCTTTGGCAATGGACTGGCCGAGTTATTGCTTGTGAATATGTTGTTGCCTCCATCGAACTTCTGCTCGATCGAAGTGAGCAATGTGGCCGTGTTGAGTGTGTTGGTGATGTTGGTGCCGAGGAACACGATCTGGTCGTCAAACATGAACCAAGCCTTCTTGCCGCGCACGGTGGAGTAGGTGGGTGCAAGGTCCATGGCGGCAATGCCATAATCTCCATCAGAGAGTGAGCCGTCAAACTTGGTGGTGCCGACAGCACGCACAGCGCTACAGGCGACCTGGGTGTCGTTGACCTCGGAGGTGATGCCCGGAATCCTCTGCCAGTCCCACAAGGGATAGATGTTGAAGTACTCGCTGCCATCGACAATTAGCAGGAACGAGCCATCGGCGATCTTCTGGGTGGTGTAGCCGTTGCCCAACTGACACTGGGAGTTGATTGTGCGCTTTGATGTGAATCGCAAGCTGGCCATGTAGTTCTGGCGAGCATGCACGACAAGGTCACTGTACCAGAACTGACGGTTGCCACTTGGGAGCAGGGTGTTGGTGCCGTTGATACGGCTGCCCCACACTTGGAACTCAGAGTTCTTCAAGGGTGACTGCCAGAAGAGGTTGGGGTCGATGCCACTGAACAGGGTGCCATCTGGGATGCCCAAGGCAAAGCTCACCACCTGTGAATGCCAGAACGTGCCACCATTGAGAGAGTATGACATCCACTGCGAGCCCTGAAGGGCCATGGTAGCGAATACCTCCTGGCCAGCATTACCGGCAACAAAAGAAGTATTATCCGTCAACACGATCATTGTGAGAACATCATTCAAGTATGAAGCGCCATGGTATCCATTGACTACCAACTATGTTTGATTGATTGATTGAGTGAGCGAATTAGTGATCGTGTGGATGGTTCCAGAATAGGTTGGGGTACTTACTGGATCACCTTGGAAGAAGCTACCATCAATCTTGATGCCATCGGTATTGCCGGCGGTGTAGGTGAGGGTGCTCCAGGCTACTACAAAGGCGGCAGAGGTGACTGATTCGTCTTGGATGATGAATGACTTGAGCACATTGATCTTGGCAACGAGCACTTTGATTGCACCTTGGAATGTTCCATTGCCCAATGCAGCCTTGTTTAGGATTGGCAACAAAAGGTCGCGACGGGTCTCATTCAAATGTGTTTGGTTGGCCAGCAGGAAACATCCGGCACTGAGGGGCACGGAGGGCGAGAGCTCCGTGTGGATCCAGTTGGACGAGGAGAAGCCGGTGGAGTTGGCCAGCCAAAAGTCGAGGGCCAGCAGGGTCTTGTTGAGCAGGTCGTCGCTCTGATGCAGGTTGTTGCCGGGGTGGTCGGCCGAGTAGACGGCGGCCATCGACAGGAAGTTGTTGACGTGTACCAATGGCTGCCACTGGATGGCGTTGGTGTCTTGGTAGTTGACATTGGACCAGCTTCCATCGGCCTGAATGTTGGACATCAACTGTTGCACTTGGGACACAGTTGAAGAGTTGACTTGGGCAACATAATAATCAAAGTATCTTTGTTGCAATGTATAAAAGTTATCGGATTGTGCCGTGGCTGTCGCCATCATCATCATCAATGTGATGGACAATAAATATAATATATTCATATTTGTTTGTTTGATCGAGTAATAAGTATACAATTAATAATAGATATATATAATACTATATTTGATTTGGAATGTAAATTAATATAATGATTGATTGGGACTGATTGATTGATTGATTGATGGATGGTCCATCTGGCGGCAAGCGGCTAAGGGTGTGTGTGTGTGCCATGCCGTGCCCTCCCTATCCATCACTCCACCAACTTTGACAATAATAATAATGTCTTGTTCCAGTTGGAATGGCGGGAGGTGTTAATTAAACGAACAAACTTAATTATTAAGTTGTTATAATTGATGGATCACAGATACACCGCCCACACACACACACACTCATGTGCCAGGCCCTACAAGATGTATGAATGTCGTTGTAGTTGTAGTTGTTGTTTAGTTGAATTGGGCCTAGCCGATCCGTTGCAAAAGGCCAAAGGTCTGATGATTGATGTTTATAACAATCATCCATTATTGGATGTATGTTCATTTATGTGTGTATGACATTTGGTATGTCATTGCTCGTGTTAGGGGTATGTGTGTTGGTTGACAGTGTTTATGTCACTTGATGGCACAATGGTGGTATGTGTGTGTGTGTGTGTATGTGTGTGTTTATTTGTGATCGTGATTGTGTGTGATTGATTGATTGATTGACAGATCAGGTGTGTGTGAGTTTATTGTCAAGTTGGTTGAATGGTTTGCCTGTCTTGTACACAGTGGTCTAGTCGGGTCCTATTCAATGGCATTGTTAACCACACACCTACCCTTTTGTTCATTACCAAAGTAGTTCGATACTTGAACTTGAGGTGAAGTCCACCTCAGGTCGACCCTAAGTGAACATATGATGATGACATTGTTGAGATATATAAATATGTTTAAATCATATGATCATAGTTATAAATGTTGAATCTCATGTTTGGTGAAATGACGACTGATCATATTGTGTGTGAGACTTGAACTTGAACTCATTTTTGATTGATCCACAATCATTCGTCATTCGTCTATTCACTACAGCAAAAGATAACGAATCATCATGTTGACTGGATGCAGAAGGTTACTGACACCTCAGTCGAGGTCTGTCCTAGCCACAGCACTATCACACTCAGCCCAAGACTTTAACAAAAGCATTCTTGTTGTAGTTGGTCAAGGATCATTGTCATCATCAAACATCTACAACTTAAACACATACCGTAACTACTCCTCAAAGGGCAACAACAACAACAACTACAAAGGCAAGGCCCCAAAGACAACACCACCACCACCACAACAACCACAACAGCCACAACAGCCACAACAGCCACAACAGCCACAACAAACAAAGGACACAACATCAACTTCAAATGACAACAAGGACATTGGAGAGGATGCTGATAAACAAAAGGAACAACTTACAATTGAGAATAGGAGAACTCTACTGGAACAGTTGTCACGACAGACTCAACGACAGAAGCAAGACTACAACGAGACTGGACAAGAACATGAACCTGGTCAAGATCATCAACATCAACAACAACAACAACAGCAACAGAAGGCGTCACCATTCAGACAGATGCTCACAAGGAATGCCATATCATTTGGAGTATGGGGTGTTGTAGCCTTGGGCATGGCTGGTATGTATCGCACTCATTCATTCAACTCATTCAATCATTCATTCAACTCACTCTATCAATCAACTTAATCAATCAATGTTAGTATTCCTATCGACCAATGATGACACTGAATACTACTTAAAGTATGCTGATCAGATCGTTGGAGAACTGAGTACCATCACAGAGTTGTCAATAATGGAGACAAAGCTCAAGACTTTATCAGAGTGCTCAAGCAACAATGAATCAATCAAGAAGGTATTGGCTTCAGCAAAGAACATCAATCACCTATTGGATGTGATTGAGGACTACTCCAACATTGACCTCAATGTCTACGCTGTCAAGACCATCGAGAATGCATCACTCTACAGTATATATCTCTCATTCAACTCATTCATTTCAATCAATCAATCAATCAATGATACTAACTATCCTGATCAATCAATATAGTCACTGACTACTCTGTGATCCCAAGGATCGTTAGACTGTCAACTACACATTACTTACCGGCATATGTGAGGAAGTCACTTGGTGTCACAATGTCGAGGATGGCGTCGCATGAGGACGCCCGCCTGCCACTTGCTAATGCTGGCGCGATCACTGCACTGGAGGAATTGAATGAATATCAGGTGATGAGGAAACAAGCCTTCCACACTGCACTCTTGGTGATCTCGCACACCTGTATAAACAATCATCAAGCGGCGTCCGAGCTCAAGGTCACGCCAGAGGAGCGACTGTCGATGGAAACATACTCGCGCGAGGAGAGTCTGATCGAGGCCAGCTCGCTGCAGAGCGCCAAGCGACAGCTAGTCGAGTCGGGCTGGCTGCTCTATCTGCACACGAGTGCTGGTGGCTTTGTCTGGGGCTGCATCGAGAGCGCCAGGAACAAGCTGCCGATGCGCGCCATCCTTCGCAACGGCTTCCGCACATCGATCATCACGGCGGCCATACCAATATTCTTTGTGGGCGCCATGACCACGCTGTACAACGATCAGAGGAAGAAGCTGGACACGACCAAGGAGAAGTTCTACTTCTACCTGGCGGGCATCTACTCTTTGTATCCATGGTACTATATTCTGCCCAAGATCGAACGCTATGCACCCTATTGGATTGGTGGACATGTGCTTGGTTTCATATCATTCTTCTCCTGGCTCGTCTACACCAAGAATGAGATATTCAACTCTGATTCGCTACTCATCCAGAAGGACAAGGCTGCACCATCTCGCGAGAGATTGATCAAGTTGTTGGAGGAGAAGAAGCAACAACAACAACCTGGAAAGTAAATTATAACTAATAATCATTCATTTATTTTTTTTGATTGATTGATCAATCAGGGAATAATTCCACTTTGAGGGAATAAGGATTGACTAAGGAGGTGACATTACATGGCGAGTCTGGGAATGTTGATGATCAGATTCATTTACAATTTGGACACTGGACTTTTCTTGTGTTGTTACATGTACTACAATCTTTGCGTTTGTCTTGGCAAATGTCCCCAGAGCAGTATGCACATTGTACATATCCTACACCATTACATCTTCTACATTCATACATTATTCAATATATTTTATTTATCAAATTAGAATTATACTATTATTATTTGATCAGCATCATTTTGGCAACTTATAATAATATGATAACCAGTTGAACTTATAATTCCAGTTTGGATTGTTTGATTGGATACCCAAAGATGGAATGAGATTAGTATGTTGTCAACCAGGAATTCATAATTGACCATGATTGGACAAACAATCACATTAAACCCAAAATTCCAGGCTTTGAGGGATGTCTGACTTACATTATTATCATTTATTTAAATAGCCAAGTTGACTGGTTGCTGTTGGTTGGGTATTGGTTGGTTGGGTTGGTTGGTTGGTGTATATGTATTGGCGGTTGCTATTATCTCCTTTGGGGTGACGTGATCAAAACGAGATATTGAGTTGGAGTTGGTTGAGTTCTAAGAGTATGGGACACTGCGCTGCGAGTTGGATACACGAGACCAGCATCGGGCTGCTGACAACTGCGTTGCGTACAACACAACGACAGACACAGACAAGAGGATGGAAGGATGGAGGGTAGAATGGTAGGAAGGTAGGTAGGATGGTAGGAGCAAGTTTAGAAGAAGAACTTGGATGAGGTCTCGGTTGGGGCGATTGGCACTCCAGTGGAGGTGACGGGCTGGATCTCCACGAGTTGGAACGTTGGCTTGCCCTTGCCCTTACGCATCGACACCGTGCCGATGGGCTTGGTGTTCCTGTAGGATATCTCCTTCTTGAGCTTGGGCACCACAATGACGTCCCAGTCGCCCTCGCCACAGCACTCATCGACAACATCGCGAAGGAAATGATTCTTGCTCTTGTTGACGATGTGCGTGATCTCTATACACAGTGAGAGGATGTGTCCGACGTTTTGGTACAGTTTCTTTGGTTTGGCCACCTCCTCCACTGCCAGCTGTTGCTGCTGCTCGCTGCTACTATTATCTACATTATTACTACAACTACTGCTGCTGTTGTTGTTGCTGCTGTCGTTGCCATTATTGTTACAATTATCCGTTGTGGTTGTACTGGTGAAATCGTGTTGTTGTTGCTCGTGCTGTTGCTGCGCCTCCTGTTGCTCGTGTGACTGGTCGACCGGCACAAGTGTTGACAGTGAATCCAAGATCTCGCCTCCCTCAATGCCAAAGTCGTTCAGAGAGAGCTTTGACACCTCGGGGAAGAGCACCTCCTCCTCCTCGGCATTGCCCTCGCTGATGAATGAGTCGAGCGAGGTGGCCCAAGCTGGCAGGTTCGATGGCTGGGTCGTGTCGGTGGTCATCTCGCCACTGACCTCAACGCTGAGCGTAGTCTCCACACCCTTGACATCATCATTTCCAGAGGCAGTATTGTCTACGGATGAGTTGTTGGTGTCCTTCTTGCTGCTGCTGCTGCTGTGTCGCTCCTTCCTGCTGCTGCTGCTGCCGCTGTGGCTGCTCCTATGCTTCTTCTTCTTCTTTTTCTCGTCGCCCTCGCCCTCCTCCTTGGACTCGGTCAAGGCCTCACCGTTGGCCTCCTTCTGAGCCCTGCGGGTCCTCCTCTCCTCACGTCTCTTCCTTCGCTCCTCCTTCTCCTTCTTCCTGAGGGCCTTGAGCTCCTTCTCCTGCTCGGGTGTCAGTGGCTCGCCATTTGGATTGACGAGTCCATTCTCAGCGGCGAGCTCCTCCAAAGATTTCTTGGACTTCTTCTTGGACTCTTTGCTCTCGCGCAAATCCTTGCTCTCACGGTGCTCTCTATGCTCCCTGTGTTTCCTGTGCTCCCTGCTCTCAGAGTCCTCCCTGTGCTTCTTGCGTCTCTCCTTCTTGTCCTCTGAGGCGACTGAGTCGTTTGTGGCGGCGGCAGATGGTGGTGCGGCAGCAGATGATGTAGGGATGGAACCACTCGACGATGTGATGTCTGAACCAACTGACACGTCAGAGCCAGTGGATGAGGTGTCGCTTGTGGTGTCGGCGGCATTGTTGGGCGTCTCAACGACGACCTCTTCGGCGGGTGGGGCTGGTGGTGGTCTGAAGAACAACGACTCCAAAGCACTCTTTGGCTTCTCCTCCTCGGGCTCCTCAGCAAACGACACCTTTCTCCTGAGCCTAGGCTTCTTCTGGGGCTCAGCGGGAGTGTCTGCTGATGTGCCATTGGACACCACTGGCTCGCTGTCTGCAAAGCGGACCGATCTGGATGAGGTGTTGACGGGTGCCGCTGCTGGCTCCTCGACCGGTGCCACTGCAACGGCAACGGGTTGCTGTGCTGTGATCTGGGCCTGGACGGCTTGCTGCAGCAAGGTCTTGTTGTTTGAGTTGTTGTTGATATTCTTTGTATCGCCCAAGATGAACACTGAGCGGCTGACAAACTCGCAGTCCTTGAGCAGGTGATACATAAACTCCTCGTCCTCTGAGCCCAGACTGCGCTGGATGAGCGGAGTCAGCAGCGTCTCGACGGAGCAGTGGATGATGTTGTTGGACTCAAACTCAAAGAACATATCGACACACTTTCGCAGAATGCCACACTCCCAGATGGCCTTGTCCAGCTTGGGTACGTTGGCCTTGACCAGCGAATGAACCAGATTGATGCACTTGAGGCGAATGAGTCCGAGCGATTGGTTGAAGTCGGGCACGGAGAGGATTTCGTTGATTGCCTCGATGGCGGTCATCTCGCGGCCGTCGCTGAGCACCACCAGCGGCTTGAACATCAAATTGATGATTGGTGCCAGGTCCTGTGATTGTGGATTGACTGTGATCGAGCTGAACTCGATCATCGTTGACACCAGCTGTATGATTGAGCAGGATGGCGTGAACGAGGTCAAGTCGTTCTCGAGCACGACGCGGAATGCGTTGGTGAGCAATGCGTTTGAGAATGATTGGCCGCAGAAGTGATGCGCAACCTTGGACTTGGAGTACCTCTTGACGATCTCGACAATAAGGCGTGTAATATTCTCGATCTCTGTCTCGAGATTCTCGCTCAGCTGCTCTGGATTGAAGATTTCGTTCAGCTTGAGAATGATGTAGACTGTGAGGTCGTTTGTCCATGATGGCTTCTCCTTGGACGCCGCGGCTGGCGTCGCCGACGATGACGAGAACGCGCCAAAGAAGTTGGTTGAGCCTCCGGTCGTCGACAACTGCATCTCGACCTCGACCATCTTGAGCAGCAGGTCGATGATCTCCATGGAGCCAATATGCAGCATCAACGACTGCAGGATAGTGTCGCTGTGCTCGCAGATATAGACGAGCACCTCGGGCTTGCGCGACAGCAGTGACATTGCCAGCTCTGTGAATGAGTGCAGGTTGGACACGGGCAGAGGTGGCTGGTACTGGATGACCTCAAACAGCGCGTCGAGAATATATGAGTTGCCGGGGTCGGCCACCGTGCGTGGAACCGAAGACAGTGCGCCCTTCAATATCTCAAAGGAGGCAGTGAGGCGTGCAAGACCATTCCTGAGCTCGGGCGAGGCTGTGTCGGCCACAAACTCGGGTTTGGCGTCGTAGACGATGGAGCCAAGCTCGACGTCGACGACGATCTGCATCATCGAGAGCATGGTCTCGGGCAGCGATAGGTAGTCGGTGAGCGGCTTGAAGCCGCTTTGAATCAGGTCCATGATGTCGTCCTTGAGATCGTCTGTGAACAGCATGGCGACGACAGACTCGCCGGCATTGGTCAATTGGCTGTTTTCAGCGCTGACGCTCTGCACTATGGTTTCGACTGTCTGCTTGGCGCTGAGTCTCTTCTTCTTGATGGAGAGCACGTTGTCGATCTGGGAGTCGGCGTCGCTGCCGCTGCTGCTGTCCTCGTCGAGCTCCTTCTGAATCTTGCGCTTGGCCTCCTCGATCTCGCGCTGTTTGATGCGACGCTTCTCCTCGTCCTCCTCCTTGCGCTTCCTGTCGCGTTCTTCGCGCTCCTTGCGTCTGCGCTCCTCTTCCTCGGCCAGACGAGCTTCCTCCTCCAAACGGCGCTTCTCGCGCTCGTCGCGCCTTGCCTTTCTCTCCTCCTCGGCCTTCTTCATGTATTCCTCCAGCTCTTGCTTCTGCTTCTCCTCGCGGTCCTTTCTCTCGCGATCGCGTTGTTCTCTTCTGGCCTTGCGCTCCTCATCCTTTTTTAGTCTCTCCTCCTCTTGACGTCGTTCTTCCTCCTCCTCGCGTAATCTTCTTTCCTCACGCAATCTACGACGTTCCTTAAGCTTCTCGTCTTCGTCCATTATAATTCTTAATGATACAATAGCTATTGTTGTTGTTGTTGTTGTTGATGTTGATGATGAGATGTCAGTCACTCATTCATTCATTCAATCAATCATCTGATCATACATACCTTATGTGTCTGTGTGTATATATATATATATATGTGTATTACAATCTCAATCAATCTACTCTAAAGGATGTTTGAGTTAATGATGATGTAGAGAGAGGGTCTACTACATGTATATGTTAGTTATTACACCTGTTCAATCAATCATTTGATAATAGTATGATACATACATACTGATGGATGTTATTACAACAACACTATCAATATAGTAGAGTATAAGTATAAAGTATAGTTGCTGCTGTCTATAGGATAGAGACAATTGGACAGCAGCAATGACCGATGATTGACTAATATAGAGTGATCAACCAGCAATCAATAAGTCCGATGTTTTTATGAGATGCTGTGCGTGCGTTGGGCGATTGATAAGATCTCTCTGTCTTGTTGTTTGAAACTGAATCGAATGAATGAACTATGTTATTAACAATGATAATTGTTGATAATGATACAGTTATTAATCTTGAAAATGTATATATATAAAGATAGATAAAGATTGATATATATATATATATATATATAAGTATATGATGTCACAGATGTTTGTTTGTTTGTTTGTAATTGGATAGAGTGCAGATGGATGGGGCGGTGTTGAGTGAGTGCGTGAGTGGTCAGTTGGGCATCAAAGTTTTGGACAAGTCAACAAACACCAACCTCCATCACTTTCTTTAACAATCATCACTTATAAAAAAAAATCTCATAATAAGTTTGAGTTGGTGTGTGTGTTTGTTTGCATTCAATGGATGAGCGATCGGCTAGCACAATCACCTCACCAACAACAAGGTCTGGGACGCGCCTGTTCAAATAACATCGACTTTGTTTGTCATTGTATGTATCGGAAGTACAACAACAACAACTAATGGAAGTACGAGTTTAAACATTGAAGTCACCATTCATCCATCCATCACCAGGCGAGTGAAAGAGGAGGGAATGAGGAAAGATTGAATGAATAATTGATTGAATGATGAATGAATAATGTAATAATAATAATAATAATAATAATAATAATAGAACAATTTGAGTAAATTGACAACAATTACTGGATGACACTTTATACATGTCAGGTTGGAGATGGTGTCATACTATTATAATCGATGATTATAATCACAGCATGGTCGACATTCATGACATTCTGTTCCATTCCATCGCCCTGACACATTAATGACTGGACTTGTCCACAATGCATTCACGAGACAACACACACATAACACACAAACTTAAACATTGACGATGGTAATGCGTGATTATCTGAATGGGACTTTGTGTGTTGTTGTGATTACAATCAAATAAAGTGCCATGAAGACCATGGTCTTTCATTATTACAGTACCTTAGCAGCAGCATGTGTAGAGACTGCATAAATCCACAAAACATAACATACTAGGTAGATATTTATAATTCTTTTTTTTCATTTGATGTTGACGATGTTTTGATCATTGAGAATAGTGGGGTTGGATAGAGAGCAAGCGTGCCACAAAATGGCGGTCCATCAGATGGCGTTATATCTTAATGACTCAAAAAAAATCTTTGATGGATCCTGATAATGCCTTCTTTCGCTCGAGGGGCAAGATAGTCCTGAATACCTACTCAAATCAATCACCTCATTCACCTCTGTTGTGTGTGAATTGATGATTTGATTTGATTGATTGACATCTAAATCATTCTAAAACAGCTCATAATAATAGCAAAAGATAACAAATACAAAAAAGGTAATTGATCAATACATATATTATATATTGTCTATCTATTAGTCAGTCATAGTCATATCAACTTGTATGGATGCCCAAGATTGACAAGATAGGACTGGACGTCTATGGTCGTCTCAGTCAGAGACCTATCAATCAAACAAACTACACCTCATTCATCTATTCCCATTCACCTAAAAATCAACCTCATTTGTTTGCTGTGCGGACCAAAACCAACTTGTATCTGTTCCCTCCCTTCTCTTTTCTTTGACGTACACAGTCAGTCAATCAATCAATCAATCAGTCCAGACAGATCATCATTGGACCTGTCTCTAAAAGGGTAGGGGTAGGCGCAACCCATTTCCAAACAACACCCTAATGTCAATCTAATCAAACAAACAAACATACATATATATCCACAAACACCAAACACACTCATTCCATCTCCATTATCTATAATATTCATACATTCATTCCATTCCATTCATTGCCAATACCAATACCATGACGTTAATTAATGGGTGTGTACCTACTTATTATTAATAATACATGAAATGGCATCAGCACCACGCAACCCTTAATTAGTGATGGGTGATATCATCAATCAATCATGCTTGTTCATTGGCCTTTACAAGCCTTCTTTAGTGTAAGTGTGTATTATTTATTTATTTATTTATAATTATTATTATTATTATTTGTTGTTTAAGTGTATGTTTATGTGTGTAAGGTGGTGATGGTGTGAATACACAGACTCATTCAACCACCAACCAAAGAGTTGATCAAATCAGTCAGTCAGCTGAGACTGCCTGCCTGATCAAGGGCCTGGCATGCCAGCATGTTGCACCTCCTCTACCCTCAATAACACCAGGTATTCATCCCTGATGTACCCCCATCCGATCCACCATCTCGATTGGTCAATGTGTTAGAGGGAGAGAAGTGGGGTGTGAGTTATTTTTGTGTGTGTGCCTTCTTTGGACCTCATCATCATGCCAAAGAGCAACAACAGCAACGACGATGGCATTCCATCAATCATTTGACACATACATTTTCATACATCATCAATCATATATACATCATACATACATAAAATTGTTCAGTAGTTAGTTAGTTAGTTAGTTAGTTTACAAAGATCAACGCGCGACATTACAGCATCAAAAATCAACAACAGGTACCATTGATCAATCAACCAATCAATCAATCAATCAATCAATCGATCAACATCAAGTATGTCCTTCAGCTGACATCATCTGTTGTATTGTTGTTGTTTGTTGTCAAGATCTCCTTTGTCGACAATGTACTTGGCATCCACTTCCGGAAGGACCTTGTTTGCTTCGGCATTGCCTTCCAACGACTTACTTTGACCTTTCCTCACTTGTGGCGATACATACACACATGCACTCACACACAACACATCTACGAGGTTTTGACCAACAGATCGAAACAAAGACCTCATTTTTGGTGACCACGTCGGCTTGTGTGTTTTTTCATATTTTTTTTTGTTTGCAAAACGTCCCCAACAAACACTTCGAAACATTGAGGCAACAACAAGATGTATTGCCCCACAATGCACCAGAGTCTCTGGTGGCGCCACAACAACTGTTGGCTGACAGTTGCTGGAAGGAAGGGTCTCTAGCTCTCTGCCTCTCTCGACATTCAGAGAGTCCTCTTTACCCAAGGGTTATAAAGAACACCTTCCTGCACCGTCACTCCACCAAACCCAACAACAACAACAACAATTACTTTTTTTTAAATCATTGTTTGACCAAACAAACATTCATTTATTCATACATATACAGATCATCAAAGGATTACGTAAAGTGCGATCTCACCAATCAACCTATCTATCTATCCTCAAATCTGTTACACACACACAACAGCCAACAACAACAACAACAACAACTACAGCAGCAGCAAGTCTCAAAAGACAAACAACCACACAAGAGTACTTATTACTTCTAAATTTGTCCACAACTATATTGTGTTTCTTGTCCAAGCAATCACATTCCCACCATCACACGCATCCGCACATCACCCTATGTGTGTCAACGAAGAATGAACAACAAACCTAACCACAACACTTTGCCGACCCGACGGGGTTGGCGGTTGATCAACAAGTATTTGTGTGTGTGTATGTGTGTCAGAGAGAGTGAGTGTTGTTTTGAATGTGTTGTGATGATACAGCCGCGCGCGGGCACCAAGTCTGTGTTGTGTGTTGTGCTTGTTGTGTACCTAACGCCAACTGTAGAAGTATTGTTGGCGCGCCTGCTTACCTGAGTGACTCAATGTATAAATATATATATGTTATACGTTAGAGTTACATTGTTTCGCGATGGGCTGGCGGGCGGGCATCCTATCCATTCAAGTGTTAATTTGTTAGAAGTAAGAGTTGTTATGTTTACACTTTCATCATTATCTTCACTCTCTTACATTTGGTCACATTGATCAACACATTCACATATTATCATCATTATCATCACCAATCAATCATTATTAGTATCTTCATTAGTCGTCCGTCAGTCTGATTGATTGATGATTTTTAAATTAATAACATTGGCAGTGGATAGCATTTAGCATCATTCATTAATATCAACATCAACATTAACATCAATAACATTAATACTAATATATAATATCAATCAATCAATTAAGATATGGAGTCCAAGTGGTTCTTTATTGTATTAGTAGCACTCATTATAGTGCTCCCCAACATCGCGAGTCCTAGCCGAAAGAGCATTGCGATCACAAATGAGGAGCCAAAGATAGATATTTACCATCTCAAGGATAGAAATATAATGTCCGACGAGAAGGTTAATATAGCGTCAATTCTATCACAGTCACACTCAAGCATTCTTTCACATTCGAGCAGTTCCTCATCATCATCATCTTCATCATCATCCTCATCCTCATCATCCTCATCTTCATCATCCTCCTCTTCCAGCTCAAGCTCATCATCTAGCAGCAGCAGCAGCAGCTCGTCTTCCAGCTCCAGTTCATCATCCAGCTCATCCAGCAGCAGCTCGTCCTCAAGCAGCTCATCGTCGAGCTCTTCATCGTCGAGCTCGTCATCGTCGAGCAGCTCATCGTCGAGCAGCTCATCGTCGAGCAGCTCATCGTCGTCAAGCTCATCTAGCAGCTCGTCGTCGTCATCATCGAGCTCATCAAGCAGCTCATCGTCGAGCAGCTCTTCATCAAGCAGCAGCAGCTCGTCGTCATCATCGAGCTCATCAAGCAGCAGTTCTTCATCAAGCTCATCATCCAGCTCATCTTCAAGCAGCTCTTCATCCAGCTCATCATCCAGCTCATCAAGCAGCAGCAGCTCTTCATCCAGCTCATCGAGCAGCTCATCATCAAGCAGCAGCTCGTCAAGCAGCTCATCTAGCTCATCAAGCAGCAGCTCGTCTAGCTCTTCCAGCAGCTCGTCAAGCAGCTCATCTAGCTCATCATCATCATCATCATCATCCAGCTCTTCATCGTCAAGCAGCTCATCGTCGAGCTCATCGAGCAGCTCCTCCTCCTCCTCCTCCTCATCATCATCCTCAAGTAGCTCGAGCTCATCATCCTCCAGTTCAAGTGGGTGTTAAGAGGAACTATTTAATAAATATATATATAATAATACTTACATAACATACTTACCAACATACACACATGTTTTGTTATTGTTGGTGTGTAGATGTCGACCTTGGGCGGTAAAGTCATCGGCCTGTGAATACTCCGACTTTGATAATGTCGTTTATAGAGATTCCTGGTTTGATCATTCGTTTTAAATGATTTACTTAGTTTAGTTGGAATGAATGATTGGAGAATCTGAAAGTTATTATTCTAATCACTGATAGATATTTAACAAAACTTTTAGAAGGGAATTATTTATTCTAATCCTCCTGTTTCATTAATTTGGTCTATTCCTTAATGCCATATGATTGATAGAGTGTGATATCTCAATTCATAGTGAAACAATAGTTTCCATTATTGTCAAATTGATTGTAAGCTCCCTTCCTGTTAGAATACTGGTATCCAAACCTACCCCTGGAGTTTTGAATACAATATCTGCCTCCTGGGACGATTTGGAATACGTTGTTTCCATGCCTACGACTCTCTGTCTTCCGACCTCAGCTCCTGTGTCTTGATTTGTGAGGACTGAAACCGCACCTACAGCAGTACCATCTCTACCTTCATCATAGACATGGTTTAAATTATTGTCACTGTACAATATCACTGTAATTGTACCTCCTACGGATTGTTTCTTGAATCCAGCATTGACAGTCCTGTCTGCATTGAGAATGAAGCAGAAGTTGTTGGTGTTGTCGAATGAGTTGTCATTGTTGGTGACAGTCAGACGGTTGTAACCAGTGGGAACCGAGGCAGACATGCAGTAGTCACCTGCTGCCAGATTGTTGAAAGTGTATCCTGGATTGTTGGCGGTGGAGGTCTGAGTCCCAACATTTGCACCGGCCTTGGTCTTGAGTGTGATGACGGAGCCTGCTAAGAATGGATCATCGTTATTTCTAATGTTGTCATTGTTGGTGTCCTGGAATGAGAATCCATTGATCTTGTAAGTCGGCTTCCTGAATCCAGCATTCACCATGCGGTCAGCATTGAGGGTGAAACAAAAGTTGTTGTCTGGGTGATGGTGGAGCCAGGACCAGTTGTAGTGACAGTTGTTGATGCAGTTGTCGAGGTTGGTCTCAGAGTAGTAGATGTCAAAGTAGTGGACGCAGTGGTGCTTGCCACAGTTGACTGTGATGACACCGTTGTTGTTGCAACAGTGGATGTTGGTCTGTTGGTGGTGCTGGCAACAGTGCTCATTGTGGTCGACTGGGTCGATACAGTGGTAGTAGCCACAGTGGAGGTAATTTGACCAGTTGGTGGCGAGGTGGCAGTGGCAGTGGCCGAGGCGGACCCAGTTGTGGTAACTGTGGTGGTTGCGGTGATTGTCGATGCTTGTCCCGTTGTGGTTTGAGTTGTTGATTGAGTTGTCGATCCGGTAGAAAGAGTGGCTGKGGKGGTCTGGGTGATTGTGGAACCTGGACCAGTGGTTGTGACTGTGGTAGAGGCAACCGTGGATGTTGGTCTCAACGTGGTTGAAGCCGTGGTGCTTGCCACAGTTGATTGTGTAGACACAGTTGTTGTTGCAAACAGTGGATGTTGGTCTGTTGGTAGTGCTAGCAATGGTGCTCCACAACCGTAACAACAACTGGTGCAGGCTCTACCATTACCCAAACAACTTCCGCCACTACCACGGTCACCACCACTGCCAGACCAACCTCCACAGTAGCTTCTACAACAGTTTCCACTCAATCGACTGTTGCCAGCACTGCTTCCTCGACTGTTGCTCAGGTACCGTCAAATGTGGCTTCAACAACAGTTTCTACTCAATCTACTACTGCCTCAACTACTGCTACATCTGGCGGTGAACACAACCACTGGTGCTGGCTCTACGATCACTCAAACAACATCGGCAACGACCACTGTGACAACAACTGCCACATCAACAGCAACGACAACGGTGACAACCACTGTTTCCACTAAGTCAACTGTTGCCAGTACTGTTGCATCGACCACGGCCACGGCATCAACTCAATCAACTGTTGCGAGCACCTGTGGAGCCTCTACAGTTGCCACGACAACAGTTTCAACCAACTGGGTCCGTTGAGAAGGTTGTAGATGTGGGAGCAGGACCCGAGGTGACAGTGGTACTGACAGATGTGCTAGCTGTTGATACAGTTGTTGTTGCAACAGTTGATTGAGTGGACACACTAGTTGAGGCTACTGTACTCGCAACTGTCGACACAGTTGTTGATTGAGTGGACACACTTGTTGAAGCAACAGTCCTAGCAATGGTAGACAAAGATGTTGAACCTCCGGTGCTCGCAACTGTCGAGACAGTTGTTGATTGAGTAGACACGGAGGTCGAGGCAACAGTGGAGGCGCTAGCTTGGGACACCGTTGATGCAACTGTCGAAGCAGTTGTTGATTGAGTGGACACCGTAGTAGTGAATGTCGTTGAGCTGCTGGCTGACACAGTTGACGCGGTGGTAGTGGCCACAGTTGATTGAGTGGAAACTGTAGTGGAGGCAGAGGTAGACACTTGGGATGTTGGATCATAACAATGAGGCTTTCCATCTTGACCAACCGAACATAACTGTCCCAATTGGCATTTGAAGAATGTAGATTTGTTTATGCATTTTGCAGGTAAAGTTGGTAATGGCTGGCAGCATACCTGGTCAAAGGGGCACGCAATACTACAATGTGCCTCCAAAGCTTTATTTATTCAAAAAACAAACAATTAATTATTAATAACAAAATATTTAATTAATTTCTATAATCAAATATTAATATTTACCTTTGGTTTCCAACGATAAGCTAGAAAATACCAGGACAAATACCAGCACTGTTGGAAACAAGAACTTGAACATTGTTGGAATCTTTCCGGTGTTGTAGTTGTTATTGTTTTTTTATATTAAATTATATAGTTTTTTTTTTGGGAATTATTTCTAATATTTATAATTATACGATATTTAAGGATGGGATTGATAGGTATTTTAGTTCTATTCAAGTAGCGAATATATACTTTCCGCTTCATCATTAAAATTAAGCGCATCTAATTACCTTTTTATCAATTACAATGATGAGTACCCCACCCAGATATGTAAACCCAAAGATGATCCTCATGTCCATTAACCTACTACCTTTCTATGGACTGATGGGAGGTACCCTCTTTAGAGGCATTGTTAAATTCCCCCTCTAACCTTAAGGCCCTACACCACAGATCATATATCCAAAAGTTAAGTACGAACTCTAAACACTCTTACTCATGGATGATCATTGTGTTCTGAATCATTGTGTTTGGCTCCACATCTTAACCCCTACCACTCTGACATTACATCGGTACTCTTCATTGTTTGATCATTGGCTTATGATCACTTTATTTACAAAAACCCCATTGTTGACCGGTCATTCTTGTTGGTGTTGTTAATACAATAAGGGCCATACCCTCAGTTCAATCTTGATTATTAATTAATAAGAGAAGAAAAAGAAGTAGAGAGAATGGATAAGAACGTTATGGATCACGTGCTACAAATTATATTAGTCTTGGCGCACTCTCCTCTTCCCCATCACTCCAGACCTTCTGGTGCCCTAGTGAGTTCCTGAATGATACCAACTCCTACTCCAGTTCACCCTGCTGAAGTCCTCTATCTTTCCTCTCAACAATTCAATCAATCAATAGACTCCTATTCCTCAAAACTTGCTCATTGCTGATTTCCTATTGACTTGACATGATCTTCAATGGCTGATTATTAGCCATCAACTTATAACCTAGTGTCTTATTTATTCCTGTTTAAATATAATCGAATGTCGTCTTGAAGTCATTGGCCTGGTAGAGATACTTTTCGGAAACTCTAAAAACATGTTCATATTTGGCAGTTGTTGGGTTCTAACTATGAAAGGGAAAAGTCATAATCTTTTTCTCGATGGTATCAATCTCTCACACACATTACAACAACAGCAACAAGAACAACAACTTACTTGAACACCATCGAATGTCCCGGCCCCTGGTAACCCCCCAAAACAAAGCATACAATGCGACTCCCATTGTTGATGTTGTTGTTTGATGACAAAGGAAGCGATTCATTTCTGCATTGGGTCCAACAACATCAAAAACAACAACATCACCATCATCAAAACAGATAATTTAACTTGTTTTGTTTGTGTGTTGCAAAAATTGAAATAAATTATTATTAGCGAGATTTTTTATAAAACAGACCAAATCAAGCAATTTAGTTCATTCTTTCATTCATTCATTCATTCATTATATGCAGTGCAAGAGACAAGAACACGACGATTGATAGCATACATAACCATCCATCTCACTCATTCATTCATTCACATACTCACTCACTCATACAATCCAACCAACCCCACCACAGATTCAGATTCATACAACATACACACTTCGTCCAAAGCCTCTTATCTCTTTCTTTCACCCCACATACCTACCTACCCACCCACTCACTCACCCACCCACATACCCAACGTCTATCTCTTTTATGCTGCTGTGAAAAGAAAGGAAGCAAGCGCAACAACATCTAGAGGTGTCTCGTGTCCCGCTCAAGGCTAAACATGTCCACGTCCATGTCTACATCCACGGACAATAACAATAACAACAACAACAACAATAACATCAACAACAACAATAACTACAGTTTGTCATCATCGCCTCCATCGACTTCATTAGAAGTCACAACTATACTGCAACAACAACAACAACAACAACAACAACAACAACATCAACAAACTGTAGATGATACACAACAGCAACAACAACAGAAGTTCTCAAGATCATCACCAACTCTGTCAATACAACGAAGAACATTCTCAATGTCCGGTAGTAACAGTGCAACTGTAGCAGGAGTAACACAACAACAAGGAGTCGATAACAAAGTAATATTTGATAAGGACGACCCATTCATGTCAAAGACTTATATTGGCTCTGTTCTCGAAAGTGTCACGCCAACACAATCATTCATTGAGCCTCAGCTTCCGACATCACCAGACACATCCACTCAGAACTCGCCCACAGCCTCAACCACACCCACATCCGATACTACAACGACAACACCAACAAAGATAACTATTGTTGCAGAGACAGGAACAGGTACTGTTGGTACAGGTACTACTGGTACTACGTCATCAATCACAACAGACTCACTGTTGGAGTCTATATTGAGCTTCCCAGAGATACCTTCAAAGGGCAGCCCTGGCTCATCACCTTGGAGCAAGGCACAGCAACAACAACAACAACAACAACAGTCACAGCCAAATCCACAACAGATTACGACACCTGCACTCAATATACCATCAACATCATCATCGTCATCATCGGACCCACCACGCACGCCATCTCCAACGATACCATTGTCACCCTCTTGGAGCTTCGCCTCACACAAGAGAGTTGCAAGCGAGTCGACAACCACCGCCTCGCCACCAACCTCAGCATCAGCATCATCATCATTCATATCATTCAATCAACGATCCAGTATGAATGTCACATCGCTGTCCGCTTCGGCCTCCTCCCTGGAGGACGCCAGACCAAAATCAATGATCATTCAGGACATGTCAACACTGGCCCGGTCAGAGACAGTGCAACAACAGCAACAACAGCAACCTACAACAACCACTACAACATGCAGTCTGGCCGCAGAGCTTGACGATGCCGAATCACTGAATGGCGTGACGCCAAGACTGCCACCCAAGCCAATGTACTATGACGATGATGAGAGCAGCAGCTCTGAGGAAGAGTACGACGAGGACTCAAGTGACAGCGATGAGATGATGCTTAGCAACACATCATTGAGTGTTGCAATCGACGAACATTCAGCCACCACTGTCACATTCAATCTGCACGATCTTACAGACACGGTCATTGTACACGTGCTCAGCTTCATGGTCGCCGAAGACCTGCTGACGATCAGTAGGGTCGGCAAGCGATTGAACACACTCGTCAACCAGACCCAGTCGCTCTGGAAGGACCTGACGGTGCACTACCTCAAGGTGTTTGAGGAGCCGTGCGATGTCAACCTGTGGGACGAGGAGTTGCTGCAACAAAGCCACTCACATCAACAACAGCAACAACAGGCCGCCGCCGCAATGGCTTCGAGCAAGTCTCTGAGTACTAAGGACAAGAGAAGCGTCACGTTGTCCTCCAAGGACCAGCGCAAGTCTGTGATTGACGTTGGAAAGAAGGGCAAGGGCGGAAGCACCTTGTCTCTGGCCACTGGCGCATCAATGGCGACGGCCGTCTCATCACAGGCCAACTCCACAGTGATGGCACTCAACTTTACACTGCGCAAGCTCACGCCACTCACGAGCGTGCCATCCACCGATGAGGTCAACGAGTTTATCAATCACTGCCATACGTTCCCCGCCACAATGCTACTGCGCAAACTTATCCAGCGATACCTGGTGCCAAGGGAGTTCTGCTATGCGGCCAATGTGGATCAATGGAGGAGGATGGTCGAGGTGCCCATTCAACTTCGTGTGGCCAAGCTATTGCGCAAGGTTGTTGATCACAAGCCACTCAAGCTGGGCTATCCATCTTTGCTGATCCTCAAGTCCTTTGTCAGGGGTTACCTTGTGTCAACATCCGATATGGCCAGAGGGATCAATCTAAGCATCCAGAGAAGAGTATGTATAGCATAATCTGCCACCCAATCAATCAATCAATCAATCAATCAATCTATCAATCATTCTAATATACTCTCGCGTGTCATCTATTAGTTAACAATGAGTTCAGCAATCAAACGTGTTGATATGGCTAAGATGTCTGAGAACTCATCGATACTCACCAGGATATTCATGACATTGGACTTGAATTCAATATGCAGCTGTCTATTGGTATGCAAGCGATGGAACCATGCTGTATCCAATGGAAACATTTGGGAGCATCTCTATCTCCAATATAAGAAGCGATTGTATAATGGTATGTATAGTCTTTGGCTTTGCTCTGGACCTAGATACCATCTCTAACACATTATATAGACGAGGAGGATATAAGCATATGGGATGAGGTCAATCCTGTCAAGTACTACATCGAGATCAACGCGGCACTTAGTATATCTACACCACCGATGTTGTCACCTGGTGCACTATCACCTCTGGCATTCGCAGGACTCAGCAATATATCTGGAAGCAGTAGCAACAACAACGCAAACAATAGCATTACATCATCACCTTTGACATTGGGCTCAAGTGGATCGGGATTGGTCCAGCCTTCCAAGTTGTCCATCGAAGAGAATACAATGGATGACACTGTAAGCTCGACCACAACCACCGCCACGGCGACACCAATCACAACTTCAGTCACAGCGACGCCACTGGCCACTGCAGCCACACCAAGCACAGCCGTCGACGAGATCGATGCCTTGTCCACATCATCACCAGCTCTGGCATCATCCGTGGCACCTACACCAACACCCGTCACGCCAGGTGATACAACGCCCAAGTTGTATTTGATGACACTCAATCAATTGGTTGAGAAGCTGACATCAATCATCACAATCATTGGTAAATACATTGCCAGCGAGCTCATGGACCAGGCCTGTCGTAGCAATCAATCGCTAACTCACTAACTCACTCAATCCAGATATATCAGAGCTCAATGCATGTTTGACAACATACAGGACGTTCACGACAACACCAAAGCTTATATACAAGTTGTTACAACGATTCCATGTACCGCGACCAATCGAGGCCACTCCTATCTCGCCGGTGGAGTGGAAAAAGAGGATAGTCAGCCCTATACAACACAACGTCTGCAAGGTGCTAAAGAAGCTGATCGATGAACAGTCGGCCGACTTTAACCAAGACGTCATTGATGTGCTCAAGATCTTCCTGCAGCACATCCTCGTCGACAAGACATCGTTGACCAACTATCTGAAGCGATCATTCATCATCAAGGTGCTCAAGTTTGACATTGGTCTGCAGCCTGGAGGAATCGGACACCCTCAATCCAATGCCAACAAGCGAGCGACAAAGGTTGGCCTGAGGATGATGTCATGGAAGCCCTCTCAGGTGTTCTCCGAGGTGCTCTCGTTGCCAGCCGAGGAGATTGCCAGACAGCTGACGATGATAGAGTTTGAGATCTACTCCAAGATACACTCGGACGAGTTCCTGAACCAAGCTTGGGCCAAGGAGAAGACCAAGCATCTGGCGCCCAACATCAGGTCCGCCATCGACCGATTCAACCTCATCACCAAGTGGGTGTGCACCGTCATTCTGAAAGAGGAGAAGATACGAGGTCGTGTCAAATGTATCAGTAAGCTACTAAAGGTTGCCAAGGTCCTACGCTCACATGCCAACTACCATTCGCTGATGGCCATCCTATCTGGATTGAATGAAGCTCCAATCCATCGACTGAAGTTTACATTTGCAGAGCTAAAGCCAAAGATCCAAAAGGTAAGAAGTTTGTTTGTTGTGATCAACATGTTAGTGAACATCCTACTGACAATCTCCCTCTTTCCCCATCAACAGTTATGTTCAGAACTACAAGCATTGATGACTGTCGAAGGTAATCATGAGACATACAGGACTGAGCTAAACTCGATTTATGGAAAGCAACCATGTATACCATATCTGTAAGTTGAAATCATTCAATCAATCAATTTAGTCTGCAGGACAAGACAACTGACACTCATAAATCAAATGCAGAGGTGTATTTTTAAAGGATATTACCTTCTACCAAGAAGGATCCGCCGGACAGAGCGCAGACGGAATCAATCTGAAGCAGAGCAAGAATGTTTACAGTGTTCTCAGAAGCATTAGGAGTTGCCAAAAGAATCCTTACACATTCGAACAGAATCCAAGACTGTACGAATTCTTAGTCAATCTCATGGTGTCCAATGAGGACGAGCTTTACTCACTATCGTTGCTCCGTGAGCCCAGGAACTGCAAGAGGTCCGACCTAATCTAAACGCCAACAGCAAACGCGTAGTTTGTCCTGTTGTTGTTGTCCAAAAGTTACCTCTCACTGGCCGTTGTTGTACAATAAAATATATCTATTCACATACAATCATCATGATTGATTCTATCTGTGTCAATGAACAAGTGGTTTTAATAAATACATGTTGGCTGGCTGGATGGCTGGCTAGCTGGATGGTTGACTGTTGGTGTAGGTAATGGACCATTAGTCTGTCGAACAAACACACCTTAGATGTTTGTTGGTCATGTTGGTAGTCGGGAATGTTTGGGAGTATGGGATGGATTGTTTCAAATGATGATGATGCGCATTCATCCATGTCATGTAGATACTGGATGTGAATGCACATAAGCTTATGAGCCTTCTTCAAGTGAGGAAAAAGGAGGTGTAAGCGGTCCACGGAATGCTTCGATTGATGAGTTCAACGAGGAACGCAATAGACTTTGTTTCTTGATGGGGATGGGCGCTGATGAATTGGAGATGCGCAGTTTGACCGAGGAACCATTGTTGGACAATGTGATTGCTCTTGGTGTAGTCTGGGTCGAGGAGGTGGGTGTGGATTGGATGAATGGAGAGGGCATCGGCGAGGAATCGGTCTGCGTGATCCAACGGTGAGCCATCGCAGTCTTGACTGTGAAGCGCTTCGAGGGGTCGTGTTCCAGCAGTCCCCTGATCATGTCCTTGACGTCATCGCTGACCTCACTCGAGTTCTTTGGGAATGTCCATCGTCCTTGTGACACGAGATCATATATCTTTTGTTCGTCGTTGTCATAGAATGGTGGCTTGCCAAACAAGATGAAGTACAGGATACATCCACAGCTCCACATGTCCACACCCTTCCTGTAGACCTGGTTGTTGTTGATCTCTGGTGCGCTGTATGCCGGTGTGCCGCATGCCGACTCCATTCCAACAGCCTCTTCATAATATTTTGAAAGACCAAAGTCTGCTAGCTTTACGCCACCAGAGCCAACCAATATGTTCTCGGGTTTCAAGTCGCGGTGGACCAATGAGCGGTCGTGTAAATACTCCACAGCGGAGAATATCGACATCATCGTTTGCCGTGATTCCTCCTCTGTGAAAACTCCTTCTTTAACTATTCTATCAAATAGATCTCCATTTGGAACCCTATAAGTCCAAGTGATGATGACGAGAGGTGTTAGTAATGTGGACAAGTATTAATAGTGCAGGTGCTCGTGTACAACACATACCATTCGAGTACCAAACAAATGTCCTCGTCGGACTCAAAGACCTCGTAAAACTCAACAATGTTGGGATGGTTACACCTTCGTAGGATTGATATCTCCCAATCAACCATCTCTCTTCGTTGACTGTTGTTTATACATGCTTTATCTATGATCTATATGATTGATTGATTGAGTTAGTTAGTCGTTGGGTTCAATGATTCTTGCTAAGGAGGTGCGTGACATACCTTGATCGCATATTTCTCTTTTGTTCTCTTGTGAGTTGCTAGTGTAACAGATGAGAATGTACCTCTAGAGTTGTGTTGTGAGTGTAGGGTGTCAGCTATCCACTGGTAGACCAAGTGCACATGTTATATTTTACTTACTCTCCTATTATATCAGTGATATCATAGTCATCATACACTGATGCCTTGTTATTAGGCATGTCTGATATCATTTAAAGTATGTGTGTATGATCGTAAAAATATATATATATATATTTATATAAATAATATGTACTCTGTTGCTGCGATGTCTATCTATCTGTATGTATGCCTGCTGTTTGTTGTATACCTCACCAACTCAGATGGTGATACTTTGTACTCTATAAGTATATAATATCGTATTCTAGAATATATTTATATATAATTTATAGTTATTGTATATTATATATATATATATGTAAATAATCGATTAATTAATTAGTAATACAGTAATTAGCAATGTTGTAGTAGTGGGTAGGCAGTGATGTTGATGATGATGTTGTTGTATTATATTGATCAATAATCGATTACAGCAAACAATGCAATCAATCGCAATCGCATCAACAGAGAGTTCTAATTATATAGGGTAAATTACAAAAAGATAATGAGAAGAGAGAGAGTGAATAAGAACGTGTTATCTGTTTGTTTATGTGTGTGAATTTGTGTGTGTGCATAAAAGTGGGAATGTCACTTTGTTGGTTGTTGTTGACGTGTTTGTTGTTGGATGGTTGGTGTGAGAACACAAACCAAGGAAAGGGTGAGTTTCTGGAAAAGAACTTGAATGGCACCATGGTTGAGAATGTGTGTATGTGTGAGTGAAACGCGCCTTTTCAGATCCATTCGATTCAAATCTTCAAACAGTTCTATTTGGGTCATTGCCAAAAGTTAACTTAGATATTTGTTGTTGAGATATAGATAATAGATAGTTATAATTATTATATTATATTAATACACTTATAAAAGTGTGATTTATTTATATATCTTATATTGATCAATAAGGGATAGAAAAGTGAGATATGTATGTATATGTATCGGGTCGGTTGATTTATAACTTATTAAGCTTGGTTATGTGAGTCTGGCTTGTCATCCATGCGAACACCCTTCTCCTTCTGCTCCAACTCGAGGATGTGTACGTATGGGTTGGACTTGGCTCCACGGAACAGGAATGTGAGGATGAAGAAGAAGATGCCATCGATGGCAAGGTTGAAGATGACGACGACCTTTTGGCGCACCCAGCTGTTGAGGAAGTGTGCAACAACGACACTGATGGGCAGCAGGAGGAACCAGGCGGTGAAGATCAGGCCAAAGTACATGAAGAACTTCTTCTTGATCACATCGGTCTGCTTGACGTATGAGGCGAACGACAGCACGATGAACCAGATCATGATGGCCAGGAAAAAGGCGAGCAGTGCGTAGCCAGCTGGGGTGTCGTAGAAGAAGACGTAGGTCTTGGATGGCATGAAGGTGACGCTTGGGACGAGGTAGACGACGATCGACATGATGAGGATAACAAAGAACATTACTGTGGTGATGATCTTGTTGTTGCGATTGCCATAGAATGGTGAGATGGCCCAGCCCTGTGCGACGAGCAACAGAAGGAGCATGAAGAAGGCATGCGAGACGAGGTCCAGAGTGATGCCACCCAACCAGAGACCGTTGGTGGCGTAGTCGTCGCGGAAGAACACACCCCAGTAGACGAGACAGACAAAGAGTCCGAGCACCTTGAACACCAACACGACGATGAACATCTTCATGACCTTGGTCTCGAGGTTGCGGTTCCACAGGAAGACGATGTTGACGACCGAGGCCACCAGCAAGAGGAAGAAGAAGACAATGAAGAACATCTGTGCCTGGGGGATGCCCTGGACATCGGCCGAGATACGTGCGTCAAACGAGTCGCCATCGTTGACAAACTCCAACTCGTACGAGGGGATGTCGATCTGGTAGCCGGTGAGACTGGGCTGGTCGCAGTTGGCAAAGGCAAAGTACCACCATCTGGCGCGACGCTGGTCGACCGAGATCGTCTGGCCGTTGAGGTTGTTCATCATGGAGATCTGAGCGCTGGAGGCCATCACACGCTCAGAGCATGACAGTCCGAGGTTCTGGACTCTGCCCCACTGCGTGTCAAGATCAGAGTAGAGCAACAGAGTGACGTTGGGTGTCTTTGAGAAGTCGATTCTTGTGGTCAATGTTGGTGAGTTGCTGGTAAAACAGAACTTGCCCACCAGGTACCATTCGTCATTAGTCTGAAGTGTGCCGCCAAATGTCTCACTCTTGACCAATGTCATTGTACAGACAATGGTCATCAACAATATTAATATTAATTTTGTCATTATAATAATAATTATTGTTTTAAAATTAAAAAATTATTAGGTTTGTGATTGGAGTTTGGAAATTGGAAAATGATGGAATGTAAAGTGATTGATAATTAATAATATATATATAATATAAATAAACTAATCTGTTGGATAAAGATATATAAAATATATTTCAGGTATATATTTGTATTTGTAAAGATATAAATAAATAATTAATTCTGTTCGATTCAATTTGATGATGATTGAGTGTCCAGTTGACTTATTTAAATATATGTTGGCACCTCCATTGAAAATATTATAGTAGGTATGTAGGTAGACTGGAGATCAGTAGTGATCTCCCCATTAGCTGTTAAATTAAACAGGTATACCTGTTTAAACACTTTAGCCTTATGCGGGCTGGGCTGGCTGGTCTCAAGCTCAAGTGTCATTCTACCTCCACACTCTCACACGCCCAAACAAACTGTCATAAGCACTTAGCCGTCAACATAGTATAGCGACCGATCGTATTATCATGGAGTGTTTGTTTGTGTGTGTGAGTCTATATGTGTGTGAGAGGATGTAGTTATATATCTATATATAATAAGTACGTGAGTTGAGTTGTGTGTTTGATTGATTGATTAATAAGTGTAGTGGGTCTACGCCTCTACATGATTAAGCATATGAGGGAGTCGAGTCTGACTTGGGGGTGGACCCATCAGTCAATGCCACTTTGAATCAAGAGTTGGAAACAGTGTGTGTGTGTTTGATTAAGTGTCTGTATGTGTGTGATTGAATGATTGATCACACACTTTGATTGTGTGTGTTGTCGATTGATGGAATGTGGTAGGGGTGAGTGGGCATCAATGACACTCTAACCATAGCCCCCAGCCAAGTCAATGAATACTGGAACAGGTATAAGTTATATATATGTTTGGAATTATTATTACCTGTATAAAGGTATAATCAATTTAATTATTATAATCAATCAATCAAATGATGATCAATGAATGAGTCTTTGTATGTATGTGATGCTACATGCACACACTCGAAATACGACTCTTCCATCATCATGAATATATGTATATGTAACTAGTTACCTCAGTGCTTGGTGAGGATCTTGGGAGTGGTACCAGATGGCTTGATAAAGACATTGAGGAGCACTGGCATGGTGAGTGTGTTGTTCTTGATCTTGGCCAATGTGGATGAGACTGTGGATTGTAACTCGCTAATAGTGGACACGCCATGACCTTCTCCGCCAAATGCATGTATGATCGTCTCGTAATGGGTCTTGGGCGAGAGTGCGGTGGGTGGCATGGTCTTGGGACAGAAGCCCTCGTCTGGCGTCGACTCCAATCCCTCATAGATACCATTGTTGTTGATGATGATGAACAGGATTGGCATGCGGAAGCGACACGCCAACTCTATCTCCATGCCACTGAATCCAAATGCACTGTCGCCCTGTATACAGATGATTGGTCGCTCGCCCTGGTACACACCGTGTGCCGCAATAGCATAGCCAATGCCCACACCCATTGTGGCGAGTGTGCCAGAGTCTAGACGACTCCTTGGCTCGTTGTGGTTTATGCACACGCGACCAATGTCCATTGTGTTGGCACCCTCGTTGACCACGACGGCGTTGTGTGGCAGGTGATCGCGGATCACATTGAACACCTGATGGTAGGTCAGGTACTCGCCTGGTGTCTGTGGCTGGGCGAGCTGGGCTTGGAGGCTCTTTGAGTTCTCAGCGATCTTGACGCGAAGCTCACTCCACCAAGCATCGATATGTGTGTTTCGGGCACTCAGTAGCGCGGGTTGGGCCACGAGGAGCTCGTTCATCTCGGTGAGCACCTGGTTGGCATCGCCAACGAGGCCGACCAAGTTGGCTGGGTCGATGTTCTTGCCGACCTGTTCGGCATCGACGTCGATCACAATGAACTTGACGTGTTCGTTGAATGTTGGTGCCTGGCCGAATGAAAACATCCAGTTGAGTCTCGCGCCAATCACCAAAACAACATCGGCCTTCTTGAGGGCGATGGAGCGGGCGGACGAAACGACATGCTCGTCATTGTCTGGAACCAATCCCTTGCCCATTGGAGAGGGCAGGAATGGAATGTTGGCGGTGGTGATGAACTTTCTCAGCTGGTCCTCGCAGCGTGCGTACGCTGCTCCCTTGCCACCAACGACCAATGGGTTGCTGGCACCAAGTAGCAAGCTGAGAGCCGATGTGATCTTGTTGCGTGGCGCTGTTGTGATGGTTCCTGCGCCCACCTCGAACTCGGCCAGCGGGGTCAGCTGCTTGATGGCGCAAGTCGAGTTTGATGTCATGACGTTGGATGGGATCTGGATGTAGACTGGGCCGGGACGGCCACTGATGCTCTCCTTGACGGCGCTGAGCAAGATCGATGGGAATGCCTCGATCGAGTTGACAGTGTAGCAGCGCTTGCAGTAGAGCTGGGCGGCTTCGAGCTGGGGTGTCTCTTGGAAGCCGCCACGCTCCACGTCGTTGATGCCGGTGGATGAAGACATGAGGATCATTGGCCAGCAGTTGGCCATGGCGTTCATTGGACCAGAGATAGCGTGGATCATGCCTGGGCCACTGACAGTGAAGCAGATTGCGGGGCGGCGAGTCAGGTAGCCGACCACACTGGCGGCGTAGCCGGATGCCTGTTCATTCCTGAATCCGTAGAATGGCATTCCCAGTCTCTGCATCTCCACCACCACATTAGTGATTGGTACACCAACGATACCAAACACATGTTCAATACCAATCTCCTTGCATGCTCTTGCGATGATCAATGTACCATTCTCTCCTCCATTCTCACCTTGTGATTGTGAATGTGATTGTGTTGTTGACGTTGGGGGTGATTTGCAACTCATACTTCTTTATCTTTATCTTTATCTCTATCTTATACTTATATGATCAACGTTGTTGGGAACAATGAACACTTCATTCATCTTCATATGCCCCTTTGTTGGACCTGGGGACCAGTGGGGTGAAAGACTGAGACCCAGATATTATTTTTAGTAATATAATTTGACAAAACAGGACAACCCCTTCGGGACCAGAGTCCTTTATTGGGGCTTCCAGAGAAAGAGAATGTCTTGAATCGGATATCCATCGAAGCATACAATCATATATTTAGACCTGTAGTTATACACAGCTGACATTGATGATTGGAGTGTGGGAGGGGTAGGCAAGGCCACAAGCCACAACTTTACTTTAACTTGATGACATTGTTATAGGTGGTCAAACCAAGTGAGATTACACTTACTACTAGGATGAATATATAGACAGCATTATGGGAGAATGCAGACTTGTATGGATTGGTCACACCAAGTTCAGTCAATCTCCTGTTGGAGAAGTAGGATAGACCAACTGGCATCAAGAACATAATACCCAGACCTGCATAAGATCCAGTGATGTTCACCAACATACCAACATTCCTCGTACAGAATGCAATCAATATTGGAACCAATGATGACAGCAGTGAGAAGAATATGCTCCTCAACTTTGGATTGAATACCTCGGCTACATGTTGGAGTGAGTTAGTCATGGACATTGTGTGGTTGTGTCATAAGTATGCTTACCTCTCCAGGTTACTAGGTTCATAAGGTTGTTACGCAAGGTGATTGAGATCAGAACATAGTTTGTGGATAGAGTGAAGACTGGGAACAAGCCAAGGAAGATGGCAAAGAACTTGATGTCTGTATGAGGTGACGGATGGAAGTTGGTTGGTTGGTTAGTGTCCAGAGTGTGAGTGGCCAAGGGTTGATACTTACTGTATGATGTAAAGTTATAGATGTAGAGTGATTGGATTGTGCAAGGGATGAAGGTGTCGGTGGTGGCAGGTGTACATGTTGGATTGGTGACATCGCCAAATGCAAAGACGGCAGTGATGCAGAGTAGGACGTAGGCGACAAAGATAGAGGAGAAGTCAGCAAGCATCATTAAACTAGTACGGTTCTTCTTCTTGATTGGTGTGATGATCGATGGCAATGAGTGATGACACATGAATGCATAGATTGACACTCCAAACATCTGTGGCAGCTTTGATATCTCAAACATTGGCAATGTACCAGCCTTGGCTCCTTGTCCACTGGCAATGAATATAATCGATAATATGATCATCAACTATGATTGAGTTACAGTTAGTGATTGATTGAGTGAGTGATGTGGACTGGACTGGATGGACATACGAAGAAGGCAAGGTTCCTGGTTGCAAGGGTGGCAAGTTGGAGATACTTGGTCTTTTGGAAGTTGAAGTTTGATAGGATACCAACGAAGCATCCAAAGATCGTCAGATAGAAGTAATAGACGTTATGTTCAGAGAGCACCAAACTACCAATTGTGAATCCTCCTGTGACCTTTGCCAATGATGTTGGTACTGTTGCAGCATAGATTGCCAAGTCTCCATAAAGATATATCTAAATGTTGATTGATATGATTGAGTGAATGAGTGGATGAGTGAATGATCGAACATGATTGATGCCTTGGATCGAGGATGATCATACCACTAAGACAACGTAGAATATCTTGCAACCGATGTTACCCATGAACTGCTTGGTCATGGCACCAACCTCTGTTCTCTTGACGATTTCGAACTGACTGTTAATACCAGGTGTGTGGAATGGTGATACGGGACTATCTTCATTGTCACTGCTTGATGATTGAGCCTCATCTTCACCATTGATCAGTACAGATTGTTCATTGGGTCCTGCATCCTCTGTTGCCAACAGATAGTTGGCAGCTGATTGTGCTTCAATGATGAATGTCGTCGTTATATAGGCCAGTGTACCAGAGAATGCCAAGAACAATGTTCCCAGCACTATACCAGCCTGTTGAAAACCAGCAGGCAATGCCAATGCTCCTATACCAACCACCAAGTTGAATATATATGCCATTGCTAATCATCACCATCATCATTATATAGTGTAAGTCAGTCATTCATTCAGCATGTCACCTCATTCATTGATGTCATTCATTTGTTCGTTCGTTCGTTCGTTCATTGAATGTCTCACTCAATCACTCGCTCACTCACCTGTCTTCTTATTATATGTTGAGCCATCATCTGCTACACCACCCATGGTTGTTGTTCTTGTTGTTGTATATGTATCTAAAGATACAAGTTATAAGTTATAAGTTATGTGTTTATATATGTTTGAAATTTCAGAGTGTGTATTTGTTTGATTTTGAAACAACAACGAGATGTGTGTCTGTTTGAAAGTTTGAACCTTCAAACCCATCACTCTTGATCAATCATGATGTACCGAGATATTTATTTATTCGTTTTAATTGAATTGTTTTCGTTCGATCTTGACCAAAATATCTTGGTAACATATGTCGTACTTCCTGACGAACTCATAATCATCAATGATGTCCAACTCATCAATAATGTTCAATAATTATTAGTTTAGTTTATAGTTCATGCTTGTTACGATCCATTTGATGAAGCTTGTGTGATATTCTCATCTTCTCCCTGTTGTAGACTGCTCTTCTTTGGATGAAGATGGCACTGCCAACGATGACGGATAGTCCAACCAATCCGGCGAATACAGCAATGACTGCAATCTTCCATGTACTCAATGCCTTGTCGTCACCACCTCCTTTGGTGACACATCCATCAGCAACACTGTTGTCAACAGCTGTGAGAACCGTGAAGTCTGGATCGATCCAGCACTGCTTGCAAATGGGCATCGCGGTGCCAATGTAAGTGGTCTCGTTGTTGTTGGTGGTGTTGATCACTTGATTGAGTGAGTAGCTGGGGCGACCATCCACAGAGGCGTATGGCAAGAACCTGCCATAGTACGATGCGTTCCTGTAGACGATCTTGAGGAACTGGAGGTTGGCCAGCGGGTCGACCTGTTGCTCAACACTCGAGCCCCTGCATTGTCCATCGCCGTCCTTGACCTGAAGGTCACTCTTGTAGACCACACGCAACATGTTGAGATTGGACTCGAATGACCATCCAGTGATGTTCAGTGTCATCTTGATAGCATTTGGAGTGTAGCTCACAGTATGTCCGGCAAATTGGACTTGTCTGGCCAAGGGTGATTGAGAGAACTGTACCATCACATTGAGATCGGACCATGTATCATCAGACTGATCAATGTCCAGTTTGTAATTGAACATCTTCAATTGATCGACTGTGTTCTCATTGTATGTCCAACGATCAGTGATCATCTCCTTGACGAGTCCCATAGTCCCATTCAACTCTTGAATGGCCACAACATTGAATTGGAATTGTGATGATGGTGTGATGATGTCCACTGATGGTGAAGTATTGTTTGGAAGTATGATCACACCAGGATTGAGCTGTCCCTCGCAATAATATCCAGCATAACCATCATTACATTGACATGCTCCATTGATACATAGACCATTGCCAGTGCAATTTGTTACTGATCCAGGTGCAAGACAATTGTTAATCGTTGGTTGATTGTTTCCCTCTATATGATTGAATGATCAAATTGAGTAAGTATGTTTGATTGATTTATGAAACACTCAAGTTAACATACCAATCTTTAGGACAAGGAATGATGTGAATGGCTTGGTGTTGATTAGAACTGTGAGGTTGGCCATTCCTGGTTGAAGGGGACCAGGGACATTGCATACGAACTGACCAGCTCCACCATTTTGAATGGTATCAGTGATGTCACATTCTACATTATTGATCACAACTCTAGTGGTTACGATCTCAACACCAATGTATCCCGTCAAAGTAGTCTTTCCACCTTCAGTAGTCAAGGGTGTTGCATCCCAAATGTTTGGCCAGTCTAATAAATGAATGATTGTTAGATACGTGATCACTTAGTTTCCTACACTTGGAGGTGGGTAACTTACAATGTGGATTAATTGGTAAGTCGTTCATTGATGTAATTGTAGTGCCAATAGATGCAAGGTTGTTCAACTTTGGTTGTGTCAGGTTGGCATAGCAAGTATATCTTGAAGTTGTTTGGTAATTGAGTTCACAATCATTGCCATAGATCTTGACTATATAAGGGAATTTATCCATGAATATACCAATAAAGGTAACATACATCTCCTTTCCATTGATCTCACCTATTACCTGGGAAACATTGGTTGGGGCTACATGATTGGTGGGTCATTGATTAATTGTCAGTTATTCAATATTGATTGATTGATTGATTGATCAATCACATACTCTCTGGAGACCATTTTATCATCTTGCTGACCTGGTTCATCTTTGAGAATACCAATGTCATATTGCCACTTGTGGAATTGATCTGGACACTAATATTTTTTGATGGAAGTTAGTATTCATCAATCAATCAATCAATCATTCCAAGGGATATTCTTACGTATATAGAGTGTTTGCGTATATCTTTGTCAATGATGGTGGAGAGAAATCATTAATCTGATTATAGCCAAAGTTCTTTCCAGTCAATGTCAATGTATGTGGCATTGGTGTACCCTTTGGAATTATAAAGTACTCAGTGTCCAAGATTACATCTATATTAATCAATCAATGTTGTGTGAGTGATTGCTATGTTGAATGATGTTTGAATATCACTTACTGCAAACAAAGCCTGAGGGAATGGTGACGGTGGAGGGCAATTTGATCCTATTGGTGAAGTTACTGGCGTAGCACATGAAGCATGATGGTACTGATGTGACTGAGGTGCCAGTGAGATCAACATTCTCAATTGAACATGCATATTCTGGTACCTCTCCATTGACCTTCACACTGGATCCACTTGAATTGGCGATATACAAAGAGTACAAATGACTTTGTGCCAATTGAGGTGGCAATGGTCCAGATAAATTTGAATCCTGTATAGTTCTAATGAATGTATTATTAAAATAATATTAGTAGGATGATCATTATAAATAATTGAATTATTGATCAACTTACAGAGTACCTCCAGTGGTCTTGAAATAGCTTGATTGAGGGAATTGAGTGAACAACGGTCCTTTAATTTGCCTATATCAATCAATCAATCAAATAATTAGTATATTACTTTAGGAATTGAGTATTTGATCATCTCCATGGATCCACTTACAAAGCAGTCAGGTTCTTTACATTGGTTATATCATTGGTGTAGCTTAGATATCTAGTGTTTGATTTAACATATTAGTGTTGGAGTGTGATGACATCATCATCAACAACTGACTGGATGACAGATCAGTTTACTTACAAATGAGTAAGATTTAAATGAGTCAATGAGAGAGGTAGGATCCTACAGTTTGCTACTCCCCTATTTGATTGATTGATACGTTAGTTAATGGTAATTTTAGGTATTTGATTGATTGAATGAATGGATGATATTTACAAACTTATTAATGCTGGGGCAACATTAACATTAACGAATGAATTGTTGGGAGTGACTGTGTTGAATGATGACTGCCAAGACTTTAGTTTGGATGAGTTGATGGTAACGTTGTGATCAAAGGGATTATATAATTGACTTGTTTGGATTATTATTTTGATTGTTAGTTAGTTAATCCTACTGGCTCGAGAGTTAGAACCATTAAACATACATTGAATTAATAATTGGAAAATGATCATCATCAATTATATAGTTGTTAAATAATGGATGGTTGGGATGATTAATTATCCTATTTGATTGAATTGATAGTGTGAGTATAATACAAAAGAATAAAGATATTATATTAATACTTACAAGGTGGAAAGGGCATTATAGGTCTTGAGTGGATCAAAGAATAATGTTCTAGTTGGATTATCGAATGAGATGAAATTCAATGTCATTGATACTAGCGAAACAGAAGAGAATAATGATTGAGGTATCGATGAGGTGAAGAGTGTTGATGTTGCTGAGCTATATATATCATCATAGTTATTAATAATGAGTGTTAAATAAGTACAATCCATAATAATAAAACTTAACTTACAAAAATGTAACGGGCAAGAACTCTGGGAAAAAGGCAGGGACCTCAATTCCATCAGCTGTACACTGTGTCATTCTAAATTGTGATGGTTATCAAAACAAGGTTGGTCAGTGATTGATTGAAGGAAGGAAGGAAGTTGATATATAGTAAGAGTATACACACTGAATACTACCAATCGATTGACTATTGCCAGAGTTGTCAAGCAATGAAAATAAGTTAAATGATGTATTCTGTCGAACTGCACCAATCATATTCAGCTCCATCATCTTTGGAAAGTATAATTTGGTCATCGATGGGTCTGGCATACCTGGTGGTTCACCCTTTGGTGCACGGATAATCCTTTAATAATTATTAGTCAGTGATTGATTGATTGATTGATTGATTGAATTGGAAAACATACATTTTTGTTACAGTATCCTCACCAGTTTGCATGTTATTTCCACAGATCAAATCTAAATTTGAGATATCTGTACATGTTGTTCCAGACATATTCCATCCTGTATTGTACTGATACGAGATCCATTTGACTGATGCCACTATATACGTGTATATGTGTATGAGTGATCAATCAATGTGTGCGAGAATCATCAATGAATCTTACATTCAACACTATTCAATACTGCTGATGAGACAAAGGGTACAAAGCCAAATAATGATAATGACACCAACAAGATTATTATAACTAGTTGATATGATGATGCTGATGACACCATTGTATAGTTATTCGAATAAAGTTATAACTTTGATTACTTAATGAATGTTTTGATTGGTTGGTTGATTGATGACAACTGAAAGGTATCTTAGAGTAGAAGAGTATCCTATGTCAAGGTGTCACACAAGTCATCCCTACACGATGGTCGGACAGGTCGTTTACAACATATCCAGATCTTTGTACCTAAAAATGGGTCCATCTTCCACCTTTATAACCCAAAATTGTGTTTTGCGAGCTGTTTTTGATCGACTGGTTTTTCCATTTTTGTGCAATTCCTGAACTTTCGTGGGTCATCCATCACCTTTATCAAACAAACACCACAATATCTGATCAAATAATTTATTATTTATTTATTAAATACTATATAATATGTTATGATATATTAATATATATGATTATATCTCTTGTAGATAATGAAGTTTCTTTGTCATTAACTTCTTCTCTTTGATCTTGTGACTCTTTCTCTTGAAGAAGAGAATGACTCCGACGAATAGTGATATTCCAACCACTCCAGAGAACACTGCGATCAATGATATCTTCCATGTGGACAAGCCACTGGAGCATGTGACAACGCCATCATCGACGGCGGTGATCACTGTGAAGTCGGGATCAATCCAACACTTCTTGCATATTGGTAATACAGTGCCAACGAATGTCGTCTCATTGTTGTGCGTAGAGTTGATCAGTTGATTGAGTGAGTATGCCACGCGACCATCCAGATAGGCGTATGGCAAGAATCGACCATAGTACACTGCATCCCTGTGGATGATCTTGAGATACTGGAGGTTGTCCAACTGCTGGTCCACTTGGGACTCGACCTTTGATCGTCGGCACTGGACCTCGGGGCCCTTCAGATCACTCCTGTATACGACTCGCAGCATGTTGACGTTGGAGTGGAAGTTCCATCCAGTGATGTTCAGTGTCATCTTGATGGTGTTGGGCGAGTAGCTCACATTGTGGCCGGCAAACTGGACCTGTCTGACCTGGGGTGATTGAGAGAACTGAACAGCCACAGCAAGACCAGTCCATTCAGCATCAGTTTGATTGATATCCAATGTGTAGTCAAAGATATTGAGTTGTCCAACTTTTGACTCATTGTATGACCATTGATCAGTGAGCAGCTCCTTGACAATGTTCCTTTCTTGGTCCAGCTCTTGTAGTGCCACGATGTTGAATTGGAATTGAGATGATCGTGTAACGAGGTCAACTGATGGGTCTGTTGCATTAGGAAGTATGATCACACTTGGAGTCAAGTGACCATCACAATATGATCCACCATAACCATCTTGGCACTGACATGTTCCATTGACACAAACTCCATTTCCAGAGCATTCAGTAAAGTTGTTTGGTGCAATACATGTGTTGATTGTCATATTGTAGTTGTCTAATATTTGATTGAATGTTAGTATATGATTGATTGAGTTATTGAGTGATGGATGGATTGATGATGACTTACATATCCTAAGGACGAGGACTGATGTGAATGGCATTTGATTGACAATGACTGTGAGGTTGGCCATTCCAGGCTTCAAAGGTCCAGTGATGTTGCAAGTTACAATACTGTCTTCACCATTTCCAATCACATTAGTTACATTACAAGGGCTGTCATTGATTAGAACCTTTGATTGTTTGATATTGAATCCAATGTATCCAGTCAATGTTGTCTGGCCACCTTGGATACCTAATGGTGTTGCAGTCTTTATACTTGGCAAGTCTACATTTTTGATGTTAGTATGATGGTTGATTGATTGAATGATTGATTGACGTGTACATACAATATACATTGAAGTTGTTGATGATTGGAGGACTGTAGGTGCTGTCCACTGAGGCGTATGAGGTCTTCTTTGGAAGGCGAGTGTCAACGATACATAAGATGAGAGCAGTAGATAATTGTACTAGTTTACAATCATTTCCATATACTTGTACAATGTATGGATATTGAAAGAAGAAGGTACCTTCAATCCTCATATACAGATTATATCCATTGATCTCTCCAATCACACTATTGACATTTGTCACTATAATAATAATAATAATTATTGTTAATAATCAATCAATCAAATATGTCTACCATTGTTACTTACTATCAGTCTCCCATGTGATCGTGGTACTTATTGAGCGTTTCTGAGAGAATACCAATGTACTTCCTCCAGTTGGTGTACTAACTGGCAAACTAGATATAGATTGATTGAGTTAGTTTGATCACCAATCATTCATATAGTTGTTAGACTTACGTGAACATAGTGTTTGGATAATATTTCACCAATTGCGCAGGACTGAAATCATTCTGCTCCAAGTATCCCAAGTTCTGTCCAGTGATTGTCAAGCTGTAGGGTAATATCTTATTCCTTGGAATAACATATAGTTTCTTGTCCACCACAAATGCTAAAAATATTTCAAAGAGTTAGTATATTATTGAAGGGATTGGATTGGAGTGGAGTGGAGTTAAGGGTAGGAGTACTTACGACATTTGTAGTTGGCTGGGGGTGGTGGGATGCTTGCTGGAAGAAGGACGTTTGATATTCCCCAGGAACAGTAGAAACAGGGTGGTACTGATGTCACGGAAGTACCTGATAGGTCAAGATACTCTAATGAGCAGGTAAAGTCCGGCACTGCACCATTGATTCCAAGACTTGATCCAGAGGAGTTTCCAATGAAGATGTGGTACATATGATTTGAGGAATAGTCCGGGATTGGTCCATTCAAATTGGTGTTACTGAATATACTATTTAAGTTGGTTGGTGACATATATTAATATATTAGTTGTGATGATCAAGGTTAATGATTGGCTGAGTTACAAACATACAAGACACCTCGATTCTTTGCCATCCACTTGTTAGGTGGGAAGCGTGTATGTTCAGGTCCATTCATCAATAGTCCACCAAGGTTGTTGACATCCTTTAGCTCATTGGTGTAAGCAAGATAACTATTTTGATGTGAAGAGAAGTGATGATTTTGTGAGTATAGTGATAATATATATTATTTGAATCAAACTTACAGCTGTCTAAGACTTGTGAGATGGGTCAAGTTGTCTGGTTTGAATCTTCCATCATTCAATGAACTATGTTTAAAAAGATTTTGGAAATTAATAAATTGATTGATTGATTGATAAAGAATAATACATACAGAACATCCAGCTTTGGAGCTCGAATTATTTCAACTGTTGATTGGCTAAGATTGAGTCTGTTGAAAGTGGAGGTCCTAAGAATTCATATATATATAAATTAATAATCAATAATATTTGAATAAAGTTACATTAAACTTACCAACTAATGAGACTCGAGGAATCAATCACAAAATAGAATGACTCTGATGATCTGATGAAACTATATATGATTGATTGGATGTTAATAAATAGGAAGATGTTTGATGGATTGAATATACTTACAAGTTTTTGATTAAAGGGAAGTGATCATCATTGATTAGATAGTTTGAATAAAATGGTTTGTTGAAGAAATTAATAGTACTATAAAGTAACACAAGGTTAGTATTTCTAATTTAAAGAAACATTCTAAATATTTGAAGGAGGATATTTATACTTACACATCTGTCAAAGTGTCATATCTTAGGCTTGGGTCAAAGTAGACAGTTTGATTGGCAAAGTCAAATGATATATTATTCAAATAAACCTGTTTCAAACCTTTGTATGTGAACAAAGATGATGGAACTGATGTTGAAAGCACTGTTGTAGTTATGGTTCTATTAATTAAAATTATGAATATTAGTATTTTAGTGTCCAACTCCAATTCCACTCCAATACATATTGATTACTATGTATACGTACATTGAAGTCAAGGGTATGACACTTGGAAACAAATATGGAATTAAGATACCAAATTGACATCGATCAATACTATATATTGTTTGGAAATATGAAATTAACCGAGGTTAATTAATCACTGACCAATGAATTTAAGCGGAAGGATTATTGGACATACCTGATGATGCTAAGCAATTTGTTATCAATATTATCAAACATTGATAAAAATACAAAGGATTCATTCTTTGGAGTGATGTTATTAACATTGAGTTGGACCAAGTTGGGAAAGTATAATGATCTCTTCAAAGGATCTGGTGTTCCATTATCCTTAACTGCAAGCGTAATATTACTATATAGTTTAAAGTTAATATCTATATCCAATTTTTTTGTTTGATTGGTTGATTAATTGATTCAATGAGTTTACCAACATACATCAAAGTGACAGTGTCTTCACCTGTTGAGATATTATTTCCACATACTAAATCAGTACTGGAGATATCTGAACATGTGGTACCTGTAGCAATATTCCATCCTGTGCTGAATTGTTGAGCAATCCATTTAATTGAATCGACTATTTATATAATATATGATAGATTAGGATTAATATATCAATATTACAAGTAGAGATACATACATTCTTTTTGATTCAAAGATGCTGAGGATACCATTGGCATGATACCAAAGATGGTCGTGAGCATCATTAGTAGTAGTAGTACATATTGTTGTTGTGGTGGTGCCATGGTTGTAGTAGTAGCAGTAGTAGTATTACTTGTTGTATTGTTACGTTTGTGTAGTTTGATGAATGAATGATTGATTGTTTGATTGAAGGTATGATTGGTTGACTGGTTGACTGGTTGGATGGTAGGCAGGGTGATGGACCTGACTTGACCAGACCAGATATATTCAGAAAAGAATAGAAAGAAGGAAGGAAGGATGAAGTCACTCACCTTTACAATTAGTTAAAGTCAGTCTGACTGAAACCTTCGTCACCCACCTAACCAATCACCAACTGACCGACCCACCTATCATATGATGGTTGGCCCCTTCTTACTTTAATGACATCATTCATTAGATGGCCCTCTACCTCTTGATAATTTTCCATATCTAATATACGTATTGGTGTGCAGTACCTTTGCAACTTGGTCGACCGCCCAGTCGGACAGTTTCGAGGTAGGGGCAACAATTGATTCATTCTCTTCTCAGTCAAAGAATGAATGAAAATATTAATATATTTGTTTGATCGGGATCTAAATTTGGTTTACATCGCTCAGATTGCAAGAATATATCTCATAAATGGATTTAGCGAGATTTTTCGAGAACGGGCTTGTGCCTCGTTGGCCCTTCAGTGGTGCCTTTTTGACGCGAAATCCAACTTTTATGGCTGTTCCCATCGACATCCAAACCAGCGCGTGGCCTTGACCAAAGAGGAAGGATCACAAACCAATGAGATCTCGAGGATTGTATTCGGGATACGCACGCCCATTACTAGTCGTGTATGTGAGGCACTTGTTTTATCTATCTCATCACTTCTGTTTGATTTAATGTACACGCCGTTGATAGTACCTGATACTGATGCTGATGATGATACTGATGTTTGATTGAATGAATGGGTCGTCGAATCAGTTTAGTTCAGTTCAGTCCTGTTCAGTTCAGCTCATGAATGCATTAGTCGCTTCAAGTCCCCAATGCTGTGATTGATCATTGGCGTCCAATAGTTGTTGTCAAAGTGTGTCAGCGGTTGTTTGGTATCTGGGTCCGACACTGCGAGGAAGACTGCACGTCGCCACATGCGACTGACCTGACTGCATCGCATCAATGTTGGGAAGTCCATCAGTATGAACATCATCTTTAGAGTCTGCGAGCACATCCTCACGTTGACATCAACCATCGGCACAACAGTCAGCACTGATTCGAGTGGAGCCGGATGCGACATCACGTACAGAGTCTTCAGCACGCTCTTAAAGTTTGGTCGCATTGTTGGGTTCGCATGCCAGCATCTTTGGATCAGTTCAGATATTATAGGTGGCACAGTGTCTGGGATGGCTGGGCGACCGCCCTTCAACACATAAGTTACTCTTTCAAACTCATGCATTCCATCGAAAGGTTTCTCTCTTGTGAACTGATTGATTGGATTGATCGTTGCGTCAGGTCAGTCATTCATTCGGCAGAGTCCAATGTAATACTACTACTACTACTTACCAACTCCCACAACACTATTCCAAAGGAATAGACGTCTGCTGATTGTTGATACTTCTCGCCACGGATGACCTCCTCGGCCATGTAGATTGGTGTACCAATCACTGTCATGTTGAGTTGATTCTGCATCATCTTTGATGTTCCAAAGTCAATGAGCTTGACGCTAAAGTCATCCTTGACCAAGAAGTTGGCTGACTTGACATCGCGATGTATCAATGACTTGGAGTGAATGAACTCCAGTGCTTGTGCTGCCTCTGCCGCCATGTTGTGGATGAGGTACAATGGCGGAGCCTCGTGGCGCTCCTTGACATAGGAGTCGAGTGCTCGCATGAGATTGCCACGACTGCACAGCTCAGTGACAATGTAAGGCATTGTTGTGTTCTCGGTGCATGCGCCCAGGCACTTGACGACGCGTGGATGTTGTGACACGCATGCGATTGTGATCTCGCGGAAGAAGGCTGGCCATTCAAAGCACAGGCCCTCCACAGACTGCTGCTTGATCGCCACGTCATTGCCTTCGAAGCGACCTTGATACACTGTGCACAGTGGTGATTCATAGAGCATATCTCCAAAGATCACATTCTCTGGATTCACCTCGCGATGCACCTTTATATTCCTCGATGATGCCTTCAATATCAGTTCCAGCCATTCTGGATGTCTCTCGATTATACTTCTACAAGGCTCTGTATGAGTGGGTGAGTGTGTTAGTGATTGATCGTTGTATTTGCATCCTCCAGGCGACTCCCATGATGGTACCTCGCTTAAAATATGTTGCCAAGAGAGTGACGATATCATCGCTGATACCAATCTCCTCATCCTTCAGTCTATCTCTAAGGTTGTCCTTCTCTATACACAGTGTTACCAATGCTTCAATCATCTTGGAGTTGAAGTAGAGCGGTACCAAGGTCTCTGTTGAATGATTGAATGAGTATGATTGTCCTTGGATATGCATGTCCAATGCAAAGGCGCCACTCCGCTCCACTTACCGTTTTCAAAGAGCTTGAGGAGTATGGCGAGCACCTGAAGTGACAGCATGTTTAGTGTCACGGATGCTCCTTGTTCGGTTGAGTTGTCGTTTGTTTGATTGGTCTGGTTGGCTGATGCAGGCTCGGCCATGATCAGCTTGAGGTAGAAGATGTACAGGTTCGATAGGTTGTTCAGGGTGTCAAGATCTGCGAAATGGATAATGTTATCCACAGTGAACATGAGGCGATAGAGTATGGACAGCATTATGAACTGTCCTTGATCATTCCTCATGATGGGCGCGCATGTCGCCGTCGTCGTCGTCTGCTTTGTCTTGGATGTTGACAGACTACCCAAGTTTGGCATCGATAGAGATTGAAGGTTTGAGGCCGATGTGTTGGCTGTCGATGTGGCCGATGTGCCTGTCGATGTCGTTGGTGTTGGTGTCACATAAGGATGTGATCCAGACTTCTTATGATCGACCTCTCCAACAGTTTTTGCAGGTGACTGTCTTGTCTCAATAGATTGAAGTGAGAGTATGTATTCAAAGGTCTTTTCGTCGACCTTTACCTTGCTGATATGGTTGAATGAATGAGTGTGCATGTTAGCATGTGTTCAAACTGAATGTCGTAGTCCATCCCTCGATACCAACTTGAATATATCATAATGCTTCTTCTTGTAGACATTCTTTCCATTGTCCTCACTTTGAATGAGCTTGACCCATGTCCTCAGGTTGTCAACTGTAACTGTGCCACTCTGTACCATCTGCTCTCCATACTTTACAAACATATCTATTGTTGAATGCAGACATTAGTTATTGACATCCGACAATGAAGTGTGAAGACATACGTTTGGAACTCTTGCTCTTTGAGAATATCTTCTTGAATACAGATGATAGGTTTGGCTTCTTATGATCCTTTGATGCATTCACATTACAAGGTCTATGAGCATACTCTTTCAGCATAATACATTTGTTATGAACTACTATCTGGCAACCTGTATGACAAGATGATTGATTGAGTTAACGAGTGAACGTATGACTGATGACGACTGATTTGATCGATAGATACGTGAACACATTGCCACTTGGTTGGGCAGAGAGAGGACAGGACCGCCAAGTTGACAAAAGGCACACTCGGTTGGTGCAGATAGTACTGGATTTGCTACAAAACTATGATGTGAATGTTGTAGCATCAAGTTGGAAGATGATGCATATGCCATCATTTGATATATGTATATATAAATAGAATATGTATATGATGTTATGTATATGTATGAAGATAGATAATGAATGAATCAATGAGGACTAGTGAAGACAAACAAACACAAGTAAGACTTTCTGCAAAGTTACACCTGTTGTTGTTGCAATGAAGTGTCAGTCAGTGGTTTTTTTTTGAAAAGACACCTCAAACCCCTCAATTAACTTCTAAATCATCTGTTAGGTTGTTTGATTGATTGATTGATTGATTGATTGAATGATTACGACGATGATGGTATGGATCATTCAGCAACTATTACCAATACCCCAGGATTGATTAACACTTGATCATTGGCAGCGGAAGATAGATTTAAATTGAAATGGAACATCATTCGTTCATTCTTCTTGTGATCATGGTATTTGTGAGAGAGATCAAAGATTTACGCGATCATAAACTAAACTTGATTGGATCTTGTTTCTGAGAAGATACAAAGAATGTGACTCGAGAGTTGTTGAATGCAAAGACGAATGCAGGTGTGGTTGTCTATCTCAAAAACACTCAATTTTCCATCTTTATTCAATTCCAAACAAAGAGAGAGAGAAAGACCAAGAAGTTAGAATAACATCATTCATTAATTAATTTATAACTACATCCACTCAAATAATAGTATATGTCTATGTGTAGCATTGATATAATACTATACCAACAACATCATTATCTGAATAATCATCACCAACATTTTAAACAACAACAACTAGAACAACAATTAAGAAATGAAGAGAGTCAACATATTCCAATTGTCTTCGTCGGCACTATTCAAAGGTGATGATAAGCCACTAGAGGTGGCGACATCTAAAGTGCATCAACCCAATCAATCATTCCATTCTTTAAAGGATGATAACAACAAGCAGTCGTCCACTGCAGCAACACCAGCAGCAACAACTGACACGACGGTGACAACACCAGTTGTCGTACAGCCACCAACATCATCTTCAGAGTTTGATCATGTGTGCAATAGTTGTGCTCAGCGCTTCAATGATAGAGAGCTGAGGAACACTCATTACCGTTCCCCATTCCACAGATACAATCTGAGATTGAGGATGGCCAACATGCCGCCCGTCTCGCCAGCGGACTTTGCCACGATGTTGCGCGAAGCCGCATCGGCACCCGACAACTCTGACGACAGCTCGGACGACAGCTCAAGCGATGAGGACGACGACGAGCGTCTGTACAAGAAGATCACAAAGGATGGCCAGATAGAGACGCGCGATGGCACTGACGCGTCGGGACAGAACTACTTGTTCTACGATCAGCAGGAGCCACTGTCTCCAAAGCTCAGCTTCATCCAGCGTGACCTCAAGCTTCAGTTCACCATTTGGCGATGCATACTCACCGGCGCGTCACCAAAGGATCAGCGCGTCATGGAGGACCCTCAGCTGATCAAACAGTTCTATGATATCTGCAAGACCACGACTTCAAAGTGGGCCGTGCTCCTGTGCTCAGGTGGACGTTTCAGTGGCGCGATATACACTGCCCCAACGGGCAAAGCCATCGAGCACAAGACTCTGCATCGATACACAGTGCGCAAGGGACAGGGTGGCTCACAGGCCAAGAAGGATCAGGAGGGTGGCTGCGCAGGATCAGCAGGATCACGTCTGCGTCGATACAATGAGAAGCGTATCAGAGAGGAGGTGCTCGCCATCCTCAAGGGATGGCAGGGACACCTCAAGGAATGCTTCAAGATATTCATCTTTGCGCCAAGAGGTCTGACGCGTGACATCATCTTGCCGCCAGACCACAGCGGCCCCATTGCGCCAAATGATCCACGTGTTCAAGTCCTCCCCTTCCCCATCATCCGTCCAACATACGCAGAGAACCAGCGCGTATCTTCACAGCTCTTCACCGTGGACATTGACCTGTTTGAGGAACTGCCAATCACAACTTCAATCCCATCCGCAGGTGATCAGCAACAGCAGCAGGATGAGCAAGAGCAGCAAGAGATAAAGAAGCGCAAGGAGTTGCAGCGACAGGTGGAGAAGACGAGCAACATCACCAAGCGCGAGAAGACAGCTTATGAGACAGATCCACTGTTTGAGGCGACGAGAAAGAGAGACATTGTGACTGTCAAGAGGTTGTTGGAAGAGGACGAGTCTTACGAGTTGCCCATTCCAACCAATCGCGATTCAGTCCTCACGCCACTCTACATTGCCGTCGAGCAAAAGGATACCAAGATGGTTGAGTACCTCGTCAAGGCGTTGCCAAGTGATCTGGATGTTTGTATACCATCATGGAACTTTAGGACTGCACTGGTATGTAGTGGACGATCAATCTATGTATGAATATGTCCACATACTCACGCTCACTCTTCAACATATACAGCATAGAGCAGCCAATGATGGCAACCTGGAATTGGTAAAGATATTGATGGACGCAGGAGCTGATCCAACGGTGGAGGGATTCAGGAAGGAGACGGTGTACGAGTTGGCAAACAGTCAAAAGATAAGGGACTTCTTGAGGGAGTGGGCAGGAGACAACCTGACAAAGTGGAACTATCAAAAGGCACGCATACCACCACTCACAAAGGAGATGATTGCAGAGCGCGAGGAGAACAAGAAGAAGAAGAAGAAGGAGCAAAAGGAGAAGGAGAAGATCAAGAAGGCACAGGACAAGATCAACAAGGAGGAAGAAGCACGTCGACAAAAGATAGAGGACGAGGCAAAGACCGCCAAGTTGGCCGAGTTGAAACTGCTGGACCAAGTGACAAAGGAGCGACAGGCCAAGGACTCGATGCTGACTGACCGCGAGCGACGTGCTCTGGCGGCCGAGCAGCGCTTTGGTGGCACAGGCTCATCACTCAGACGTTGCACTCACTGCCAAATGACCATCATGGGCACACCTTTCGAGAGATTGACTTTCAACTACTGCTCCACGTCATGCGTAGTGGCCCACAAGAAACAAATGGAGACTCCAACCTCATCCTCCAAGTGATGGAGATAAGGATGTTGTGCGTGTGCTTGGTGTGGTGCGTGTGGACGCTGGCGCACTGGCACTTGCAGTCGCCACATCATGGGCAAACATATTAAACATGGCTATATTGTCTGTCTACAAACACACATTCTCTTTCTCTGTCTCTATCTCTCTTCCATCCATCCGCGCTCACTCTCTCTGAGTAACCCTGGTATTACTCTTGCTTCATCAGGGCAACTTCCATACCTCAGGTAGTTGTTGTTCAACCCATTACAAGTACAACACCAACATACACACATTTAATCAAATACATAAATTATGATGATGGATAGTGATCCCAACAAATTTGATGATGAACTGAATGACCACCCTTTGTATTTTGCATGTTTCTCTCTTGACTTGGCATGGCATGAAACGTTACGCCAAGACCAATTTAATTCATCAAAAGCCCACCGGTGTGCATTTGATCAATTAATTTTGTTGAACTTCATAGATAGAGATAGAGATAAAGAGAGAGAGAGAGAGAGAGAGAGAGAGAGAGAGAGAGAGAGAGCAATATATATATGGCGTTCGTTTGCCGCCACCATCATTGTGGTGGCTGGATTGGAGCGCCACTCAAATACTCGTCAGCCAGTGCGTTGTCTAATCACGAGGACAAGAGTCATCCCAAATGCGACGCTGTTGCTTGCAGTCTATCCTGTGGGCACTTCAATAGGCAGGCGAAGGAGTATCAGTGTCTGCACACGTGGTGTGAAGCAGAGTTCACGACGTCAAAGGAGTTAAATCGACACTTACGTGAGAAGAAGCACGTTTGTAACAGTCAAGGATTAGATAGAGAAGCGTGTCCGGTTTGCGATCCACTGACAGGCGAGTTGGATGTGTTGCATGACGAGCCATTGCAAGCAACAATGGCCAGGCTCCTAAGCGATGAAGTGTACTACAATGATATGCTTGAGCTAGCCTATAGACTCGCTACGATGGCTTGCGCAAACATGATGCCAAAGCCATCACCGGACACATTAATCGATCTCTTTAAGGGTCAAGGATCAGCAACTATACCTGACAAAGATTGGAATGAGTATATGAGCAAACTGGGCATCACTTCTTGTAAGTTACATACATTGCTATTGTACATGATGTACATTGTATTTGTTTGAGTGACTAACAACAATGTTCTCAAAATAGCACAACTTCCAACTTTTGAGC